ACTAACACTACTAGACGAACTAGAGATATTTCGTGATATATTCGCGGCCGATTAGTTAAGGATTCTGCCGATATAAAAGTTAACTAACTACACTATTAAACTTAAGGAAGGGGTATTACCCCCCCTATAGGCTAATATACCCCCTCTCGTAAACCAAACTCGCGGAATTAAGGAGATATCTTAACGAAAACCTCGCAAATAGATATATCCGACCCTCTAAAGAGTCCCGCAGGGGCGCCGATCCTCTTTATACCTAAAAAGGATAGTAATTTATGTCTCTGCGTAGACTACCGAGAATTAAATAAAGTCTTAGTTAAGAATCGCTATCCTTTACCCCTTATTTCAGAGATCCTTAACCGCCTTTCGGGTATAAAATACTTTAGTAAAATCGATATATAGGATATATATTACCGAATCCGAATAAGAGAGGGCGAAGAATAGAAAATAGCCTTCCGGACATAATATAGCCACTATAAATATATAGTGATACCATTTAGACTCACTAACGTACCGGCTACCTTTCAAAACTATATTTATACCGCGTTATATGGCTTACTTAATATAATCTATATCGTATACCTAAACGATATCCTTATCTTCTTATCAGACTACGAGTTACACACGAAATACCTTCGATAAGTTCTTGAAAGGCTAAAGGAAGTATAGCTCTACGTAAAAATATCTAAATATATATTCTACTAAGACTAAGTAAAATTCCTTAGCTTTATAATTAGTAGCTAAGGTATCTTAATAGACCTATAACGCGTTATCGCTATCGCGTTCCTAGGAAATACCCAAAATATTCTATAATATCTAAGTATTCCTAGGATTCTATAACTTCTATTAGCGCTTTATTAAAGGATACTCCCTTATTACGGTCCCTCTTACTAACCTTCTAAAGGGAAGCCAGAACGGCAAGAAATAAGGGAATATAGATCTAAACGATATCGAAAAGGTAGCGTTTTAATAACTAAAAGATACCTTTTAGTAAGCCTCACTTCTTAAATTCTTTGACCTAGTAAGATATATCCGAATTAAAACTAATATATCTAACCTAGGGATAGCCAGGATAATATTATAACCTAATAATAAAGAGCGATAGTACCCCGTAGCGTTCTAGTTAAGAAAATTTACTAGCGCAGAACTAAACTATAGCACCCCGGACTAAGAACTATTCGCTATTATATATTTATTTAAGTAATAGCGATATTACCTAGAAAAAAGTAAGTACCCTATTAAGGTCCTCTCTAATTATTCGAACCTCTAGGGCTTTATAAAATAGCTAAAAATTAATAGACGCTAAGCCCGGTAATATTTATTCCTTACCCCCTTTAATTTCGTAATTAAACACTAAGTAGGTAGAATAAATCCCGCTAATAGCCTCTTATAATAGCTAAATAAAGATATAACTCTAAGAATAGAGCTTCTAAACCCTATTCGAGAGCGAATCGTAGGTATTTCGGAGGTTAAACTAAGAGACCTCCTAGCCAGTAAATCCTAGTTAAAGTATAATAACTAAGAAGAACCTAAACTCCGTATATAAATCCCTATTAATACCTAAGTAAATTAAGGCCGAGGCGATATAGAAATAGCTAACTAAGCTATCTAGGAGGAGTTAAGTCGCGCTTAATAGTTACCTTAGAGTATAGTATAGAGTGCTAATACTAGTAAGAACGCTTATACAGAGTATATAAGCGCTAATCTACGGATCTAGGTTAAGAGAATCTAGGATAATAATCCGGAGACTCAGAGCTAAAAGATAGCTATTTCGTAAGGGAAATAGCGTATAAAAGAATAGTCTATTAATCTCGATAGCCTACTACACTACAGAATACGCCTTTATATCCCTACGGGGAGTAACCTAAAATAAAAATTACTATAAATCTATTATAACAATCCCTTAGTAGGACACTTTAGGAAATATAGGATAATAGAGCTCCTATAACAGAAATATTATTAGATAAATATACACTAAGACATTATAGAATATATAAAAACCTACTCTATCTACTAAGGAACTATAGTATCTCGGTATAGGCTATATAGTAACCTCAAATCCTTACCGTAACCTTTACGATTATTCGCCGAAATCTCTATAAACTTTATTATAGGTCTACCCTTAGTAATCTATAAGAATAAGCCTTATAATATAATCTTAGTTATTATCTGCCGCTTTACGAAATAGTGCCGATTTATCCCTATTTTAATAGCGATTAACGCTAGTTCCCTTACCGTTATAATATATTATAAGATTAAACTCCAATTTAGCCCACCAAAAGATATTATATCCGATAGAGGCCCTATCTTTATTAGTATATTCTAGTCAAAACTATATTTCTACTTAAGGATAAAACTCCGATTTTTTATAGCTTTCTACCTATAGATAGATAGCCAAACAAAAAGGATAAATTAAACCCTTAAGTATTACTTACGGTATTTTATAGATACTAAGTAATAAATATAGCTGAATCTGCTACGAATTACAGAGTTTATATATAATAATATTATAAATACCACTATAGGTATCTCGCCCTTCTAAGCCCTTATAGGATATTCCCTAAATTTCTAATTACGCTCTAAGGCTAGAGCACTAAAGGAGGAAGTGCTAGCTATAGTAAATTAAATATAAAAGCTATAGGATCTCCGTAAAAAAATAAAGAAAATATAGCGAAGAGCTACTAAAACTATAGCGAAGCACTATAATAAACGCTATACCTTAATTAAATTTAAGCGTAGAGATCTTATAGCCCTTTTAACCCATAACTTAAAGCTAAAGATACCTATAAGAAAACTCTTATTACGCTTTATTAGACTATTCCGCGTACTTATAATAGTCAGAATATAAGTGTATCGTCTAAGCTTACCTAACTAATACTCCTAGTTATATAATATTTTCCCTATAACCTTCCTTAAGCCCTAGTACTAATATAAATTAGATACGAACCCACTTCTAATATCAGAGCTCGCGGATAACGACGAATAAGAGGTTAAGGAGATTAAGGATAAGAAAATCTTCCGTAATAAGATACACTTCCTAGTTAAGTAAAAGGGATAGCCCGCAGAATATAACTAGTAATTACTAAAAGTGGATATAAAGAATACCTAAGAAATAATACGGGACTATAGGAAAAAGAGGAAAGGCAGAAGAGTTTATTAAAATCTTAAGAAAAAGATCCCGACCTAAAGTCGGCTACCACAAAAATAGTAAGAATAAATTTAGGTATTTAAGGTTTTACACACGAAACCTCTATAAAGATACACTAATATATTAAGAAAATAAGACCGAAAGGTTAAAGTATAAAAGGAAGATAGGCTACAATATTATTAATAATCGCCGCACTATTAGCGTCTCTATCCGCGTACTAAAGGCGAAGCGCGGCCAAAATATTATCACAGAAGGTTAGCTTCGTAACCCGCTAGGAAGCAAATATAATATCTATAGGGGACAAATAAAAGACTAATAAAGCCTCCTATAAGAGATAGTAAATATCAGACGCGCTAAGGCTAAGATTATTAATAGGAATAAGGAGATAACTAGCCAAATATATCTAATAAATAGCGAAGTTAACTTATAGAATTGTTAGCGAAACTTATACTAAACGGGCTTCTAACTTATAGGCTTAGTAGCACGTGTAGTGCCTAGGTTATAAATACTAAAGTGACGAGATACTAAGTATAAAAAGTTAGTAATAAGGGCGCGAACTACCTCCTTAGCATAAATATAAATAGTACCAGACTAAATAGGGTCACTAATAATAAGCTCACTATCTTTATTCGCCTCCTTAGCAGACTTAGTAACGATAGCCTAAATATCCGCGATATATTTAACTAAATTAACTATATTAATTAAGTTACCCTATATACTAAGGGGAACCTAGATAGGTTAGTAATAAAACGTAACTAAATAAAAAAGATAAATAAACCGAAGGGTAAGGACAATTAGTACGGAAACATACCCAATATAGGATAGAACTTAGCGTATCGCGTATATAAACTACTAAGAAGGCGCTCTGCCTATCCTAATCTCGGAGAGAGCGACGGGCGTAGGGAACACACTAAGTAAGCTCAGGGATCAGAGATATATCCCGCAGAGGGCGATAGCTAAGGGATAAAGGGGCAGATATATTAATTCGCGAGCGAAATAATAATAAAAATAGAGAAAAAGAAAAGAAATAAAGAGGAAGCTAAACTAATAATAAGTTACGGCTAAAGAATAAACAAAAAGAAGTTAAAATAATACCAAATATAAGCACTAAGGAGATAGAAGAGAGTTATTAAAGGGAGAAAAGTAAGAGGAAAGAAGTAAGGAAATATATAAGTAAAGATATTAATAATATATATAAATAAATAATAATAATACGCTAGAAAACCACTAATACGCGACCGGAAAAGACACACATAAATATATATTGCTATTAGCTAAACCAAATATATAACCTCGCGCGGTATAATAATATTATTATCCTATTACGGCCGGGTCTACCGCGAAACTAGAGGGAGTCTAATACTATTTATAACTCCTACGTAACACACCTTAAGTATAACGATACCTAGGGCTTATCCCTATTATATAATCCGACCCCAGGGGTCACGTGCCACTAGATAACGTTATACTAAAGAACGACCAAAAAAAAAAAAAAAATTTTCGATTACCTCCGGGGCCCGTCGTCTCTAGAAGGGGGAGGTAGTTATAAAGGAATACTAAGGACTAACGGTAAAGGTTTGCCCCGCAGTGGAATAAGTAAGTCTCGGACCCAATTCGTACTTAAATCGAGAGGGTTTCCAATTAATCTAGACTTAGCAAGAATCAGTCTTGCTTCTACAATACTACACCTAGTCCAGACATCCTTTCTTACCTAACCGACAGGCTTTCTATCCTGAACACATAGATCCTTTACAATATAGTAATGACAAGGCTAGCTGCGCTCCCCCCTTGCATAGCACCGATACCTTTTCTTCCCTTCCAGGGCTGTTTCGCCTCCAAGACCCAACTCGCTTACGCAAGTTTTGTCTGTCTCCACGCCTGTGGTGCTTCCAATCCACCCGGGCAGCTGGTCAAGATCATTGACTTCGTCTGAATTATGCGCTAGACGTAGTGGGAAACGGTCTGGCGCCGCCGAACCTATACGCATCATTGCAAACGAGTCAAGCTGGTTCGTCCATCGCGGCGTCCACGCAGCGTACAGCGAAAGTCCTAGTATGCAAAGGAGATAGAGTGCTAGCAAGATGGATATAAGCAACACCCCGGCATGTGATATACTTGGGACTTGTTGGTCGACGCCCAAATCCCAATTCAGTGAACCACTTGTTTCTGAATCACTCCACGTAGAGGCATATTGCAACCACTCGTCGACGGCCATGAATGCTGCTGCCGTGAAAGCATTCTCTATGTGCTTTGCCGAAGGCGAGATGACGTTATCATAATAGGGTAGATCCCGTTCTTCAGCAGAGAATAGCCAGATATAGTCAGCTACCAGCTTGAGGAGCCCAGGTCCCTTGGTATTAGCACCATCAATGCACGGATCTATGTCCAGTGAGACGCGATTGTCGTCTTCTCCATGGAGTAGTTGGACCAAAGGTGGTATATCAATACATCCACCCCACTCATCTGGCCCTCCGTTGTGATATGCTTGAGCAGCTGTATGTTCTATGTCGAGGTAGGATCCCGTGGTGAATAGAGCCAGAGTGGTATATAGAAGAGGGCCCTTGCTTACCACTGATGAGAGGGAATCAGTAAGGTTTGCCAGCGCTACTTCGGTACTGTTGGTCACCGGCCCGACAGAGAACCGCTTCTTCTAATAAATTGAAGCTTTCTGAGATTGAAACCTGCACTGTGCGCCGCAATTCTTCTCTTGACCATTATCTGGATCATCGAGAAGTGGACCAGGTAGCTGGCCATTTTGGTAATTTGGAAGTTCAAAGTAGCCTGCCGTGGTATTGAGTGTGACTTTGAAAGAGTATTTGCCTGGAGCAAAGGATAGATATTCCCCCAGTTCGTTTCCACCCTCATATTCCCCCTTCCAATCCAGAGTCATTTTGACGTATAAACTCCTCGCTAAAATCCTGTCTTTTGCGAGTAGCTTTCCATGGGGACTGTTTCTGGTCACCTGGCATGCAGATATCAACGATGTAGCCACCGATATCAGTCATGTTCTCGTAGTGAATGAACAACGCGCCTGGTTCATCTCTGCAGTCCTTCGGGAAATCATCCGCTAAAATCTTGTCATACTTGGTCGTGAAGTTAACTCGAGGAGCAAACTGCTGCCATAACCCAGTCCGGAACCCGACTGGGGGCTGGGCCCAGAAAGGATCACTTATATTGGGCATGATTCCGAACGTGGACTGACCAGACTTGTTACATGCCTGATTCGAACCATCAGTAGAGTTCGTGCAACCTTCTCCACTAGACCAAAGCCTGAACTGAGGGTCTGAATTGCTGGTTGAGATCAGTCGGGACCTGAGCTTTGTTGCGGGTTCTGCCACATCATTATCATGGATTGGGTCCGCGGCCCAGGTAATCCATTTTTCCAAGTCAATTAAGTCCATCGAGCTCATTTTGGTAGGAACTTTAATCGACTTGTATGATACAAATAATCCTTGAAACGGCGCGATAGAAGCGCCTTTAGGAGCGTCAGCAGGTATCGAAAATCCAGCATCAGGGCCTCTCTTCCTCACCAATAAGATTTAGTACCAAGGCGAAGACGAGAAAGACGGAGCCATATCGCTTCCACCCTCCTGCAATGAGTTTTGTGATGAGCACCGGGTCATTCCAACCTTTATCAGCCAATGCCATAGACTGCCTTAATGTCGGGACATGCCAGCTTTGCTTGGCTCGCCGCTGGAGAAAGGCCACTGCTGCACACGAGCAGACCATGGAAGTCAACGGGATGGTCAGAACCGAAGCCAGGGATTGGCATATTCGAGAAGCCCGAAGAAGACGCTCGGTTGTACCGAAACTGCCTTTTGGCACCGCCCAAATAATCCTCCAACTCGGTTTTGGAGCCAAGGTTGGGCTGGTAGCTTCGAGCCCCGATGGGACGATGGTTCAGTATACAGAGAGCTGCCCAGGCAAATATTGCAACCACTGCATAGAGCAGGGCCAGGATCACAATATGGGGCGCACGGCGGAGGGTATCAGAGGGGACTCGATTCTTTTCAGCGCTCTCTTCACTTGATAGTCCCTCCACATTCCCCATTAAGGACTCAGAGGGAAGAGAATCATCTCGGGGGTCAGACTCTCCTGGCATAGTCGTTTCTGGGATGCATTTAGAGGTGTGGAATACTCAGAGCCAGGGGATAATGCCTTTTTATCGGGGTCATGCTGCGAGGCAGAAATTGCGGGGGCCCGTGTTTGGTAGGATCGGCGTGCGCCTTGGAGCTGAAAATCCAGGGTTTCTTTTATGCACCAACCCCTCAGGGGCGCCTTGGCACAGCCCACCGGCCTCACCAGTTGCCTTCTGATCGTCGTGGATACATATGAACCAAGACTGTTCTCCCCTCAGATGAGACGTTTAGAATGACAGCTATCGATCCCCCCAGACCTTGAGCTCCTAGTGTACTCAATCAATTACTTGGACCCTCAGCGCTTGGATACAGTGGATTTCAAAAACAGTTTGCCCCCCTAGATATAGGCATTCTCGAAATCGCCTTGACTAGTACACACTAAGACTCTCTTTCTCGGCCCACCACCAAGACCTTAGCGGAGACCATTTATTGAGCGGGCCGCATCAAACTGAGGGGCTCAGTAAATTGCGACGTGTACGTTACAGTAATGTGTGACAAAATGTTATAGTACGCGTATGGAAAGAAAGCCCATGTAATTCCATGGAATTCTATTGTTGGTCTCTACAAATCATGTGAATAGGGGGAAGACCACCTAGCGCCAAGTAACTTGATGATCTGCTGGGAGAACTCTTTCTCCTCACCTCCCTTTGCGCGGTGTGTGCTAGTCATCACTTACGAGGTGTCTCTTTAGGCCAGAGGACCTCTCATAGTGATATTAGCAGCCAATACTTATCCTGCCTGGTTGGCGGCAAGGGCGAGGATTTTACAGTGACGAACACCAAATCTTGCGTTCAGCTCCAGCAGGTAGTAACCTCATTTCATGGCATACAGCTGTAAATTACAACTTAAAATACCTTCTGTTATCAATCCTGTACAGAGGATTTCGAAACCAGTTTACCTAGTCAGCGCTTATATACGATTTTATTAAGGCTTTATATAGACTTATACTAAATATTATCTAATTACCTTACTAAACTATATACTAAGTTTTCTATTAATAAAAAACTCATATTATAATTATTACCCTAATATTATAATAAAATCTTTATTCTTTTATATTGGAATATAGACCAATGCTACATAGAAAGATCTATCCTTATATTCAACATATAAGACCAGATTGCATTAATCACGTGACCAGATTTTTCTTCTATCAAAATGATGTTTTGACCACTTCTGATTCTGGTCCGCGGCCCTCCCCCGAACGATAGGCGGGACCATTTTCCTTTAGGGGTAAATGGTCCGCCTTCAGGTATGAATGGTCCGTTCCTTCGGGGGTGCCTTCAGGCATGCCTTGCCCGCGGACTTCGACTGTGGTCTTCGTACCCCGGTGAACAGACTTCGACCCTCGGTCCCCTTAAGGATAGGCGGACCACTTTCCCTTAGAGGTAAAATGGTCCACCTTTAGGCATGCATAGCCTGATCCTGCGGGGGTGCTTTCGGGGTGGCTTAGACCGTCGATCCTTGACATCATTCTTTTTGCTTCTCTTCGGTTCCCTTCTTTGCTACCTTCATTATGTTGCTGCCTAGTGTTTGTACGTCATTTGTATGTTATTCTAGACGTCATTTCTAGGCTATCCTAGCCTATAAATACGTCCTTCTTTTCTAGCAGATAGAATTAAGTCAGTTCTACTTTCCTGAAGTTAGTTCTACTTTCCTGAAGTCAGTTCTACTTTCCTGAAGTTAGTTCTACTTTCCTGAAGTCAGTTCTACTTTCCTCAAGTCATTGTCCACTTTCCAAAGTCATCTCTACCTTCTTTCTTTGATCCTCAGGACTGTGGTTCTGTCTTCGTTTAGGCTATATCTGCTTATAGTCTATCCTACGACCTTTGACCTTCCACCTTTGTCTGGCATCGACTGACCCAGCCGGATTAAGGTTGATCCCACGGACTTAAAGGGGCCACGAAGTGCTTCGTGGTAGCTTTACCCTTATATCCTAACATTTTATCCTATATAAGATCCTTATATCCTATATTTTATATATATATAAAAGCCGACCGAAAATATTATTATTTTAAGCCTATCCTTGAGATGATATATTCTAAAGGGGTAAATAAATATTTTCGCGCTAAAAAAATATTATATAAGCTAGAATCCTAGGTCCCTTTCACAGTAAGTGGAGGATGCAGGTGAGACCGCCACTTGGGGGGTCTTGGCATCGCCGTTTGTAACACGCTAAGCCTAATCGGGTGTAGCCCCTTGAATTTGAATTTCAGTGGACTGAAAGACTCACTTTCTTCCACTCCCTATTCTTCACATTTCCACGTCAGAGACCCACTTTTCCACCTATTTTGGGTCTCACATACTGATTTCGACTAAGCAATAGTGTCAATATGGTTCATCCTGCATTTCTGCGCGATGAGCAGGTCTTCAAAGACTATTTGGAGGCTGGGAAGGCCGGGGAAATTGATATTCGAGGCATACAAAGAGGTGAGAAGCCCACTATCTGCGCGCGAAGTGAGAGATTGATTTTCTTACTCGGAAAGAAAATCACTTCTGAAGCGCTTACTAAGCGCTTTGTTCAAGTTACTAATAAATTTAAAGGACAATTCTGACCCACCGAAGGTGAAGGTGGTGCCTGGTGAGGCATTTTGCCGAGTTAGAGGATGTTTGGTGAATAAGGTAAGTGCTTCCTAAGCGCTTGTTAAGCGCTTAACTAATATATAGCTAGGTTGAGCGGGAGACCCGTAATTTACGGCTCTATATTCGCTAAAGCCAGCCACCGCCGCGAGACTGTTAACCAGCGTACTAGTAATATCTCTGTTACTAAACGGATGGAAGCTCTGCGTAAGCACTCTCTAATCACTTATTAAGCGCTTAAATACTAATAATCGAGTAGAGTGATATCATAACCTAATGGAAGCGAACGTATCAAGCTCTTCTGGTAAAGATGCTACTGAGGATGCTACTGAGGGTGCTAAGCCTATTAAGGATCCTACTGAGGATCCTACTAAGGATTAGACTGAGGATTAGACTGAGGGTCTTACTGAAGTTCCTACTGAGGATCCTCAGTAAGAACCTCGGCCTCTTCTTTTGGTCCCTCTGACGAATACCCTGCGGGTAAGTGCTTACTAAGTACTTAGCAAGCGCTTATACACTAATTAAGATAAAGATTTCTCCCTCTCAGATAAAGCGAGCATTAGTTGATACTAGATACGTTAAGAGTCTTTTCCCTTGGGTTGCTTGCTAGGTATACCTAGATAGGCCTCGACCCGGAAGTAAGTGCTTATCAAGTGCTTATTAAGCGCTTAAGTCCTTAACTTATATTTATTATAGAGTGCCCTACAAACCTTAATCGCTACTAGTATCTCCGCGATTATTTCGATACCTCTAGTGCTATGAACTAGGCTAATATCTTACATATCTACTAATACCCATATTATAATAATAATAAACTATCTATCTCTAATACGTATTCTAAGATAATATATAAATTTAATATATATAAGCTATTATTCTAGGGTAACTTCTAATATAATATAAAGTAAGCACTTAATAAGCGATTATTAAATACTAGGAATTACTTTCCTATTATTATTATTATACCGCCCTCTTCTTTATCTGATCTTCTAACTCTAGTAACTTAAGCTTATGCTGTTTTCGCTTAACCTTTCTCTGAAGGGCTTTATTTTCTAGCTCGTCAATCTATACTTGTAATTGGAGCTGCTAGATTATAGTATTATCCGCTAAAGCCTGCTGATTTATTGTTATAACTTGCTGAAGACTAGTTAATCTAGTAAAGTAAGCAGAGTGCTTACCAAGCGCTTGGTAAGCGCTTAATAAGTACTTACCGACGGGACGACCTAGGTGATCGTGTTAATGACGACCGAATCACACGAGGAACACTAGACGTAGAGGTATTCTCGCTAAACCGAAGCGCTAGATCACCCTCAGTTTGTTTATTGAATTATTTTCGCTGGTTTGACACAACTATTATATAGTATAATGTTAGTGTATAAAAGTAGGCTTTTAGATTTATATATAAACCTCGGTGCATCTAGGAATCTAGGCTAGCGCTTATTCCACTAGCGCGGTAAGTTAGTCGGATTCCCCGCGTTATCTATGCTTGGTACTGCTGAATATCGCGATAATTAATATAAAAGCCACTATCTTATTAGCGAAGTACTTATTAAGCGCTTCTTAAGTGCTTCGTAAGCGCTTAGGTCACTTATAATATTAAGGCTTATAATAAAGTTAGTCGTCGACTACCTATATTCGATTTATAATGGGTTTGTTTAATAGTATTTGTGTTCTTCCGTAGGTGCCTAAAGATAGGTTTAGGAATAGGCGAGCAACCTTAGCATAGACCTTCTCGAATCCATCGTGCTCGTTTATGCTTTGCCTATTCGCAAATAAATGGATAAGTCGAGAAATCTAAAAATATAAGCGCTTATTAGACAAGCGCTTAATAAGCACTTAATAAACGCCTAGACTTACTCTTAATAATCCAACCTAGGATCTCTTTATATTCTTCTAGGCTTCTAGCCTTAAGGATCGACCGCATAGGAGAACGAGCGTTTTGAGGGAAAGGAGTCTCCTTCTTAAGGTATTTATCAATACCTCGAAGGAAGTGAATTTAACAGAAGACAATCTGTTACGCGATAAGTTCACTTCCTTGTCGTTTCTCTATATCAAGATCTTGAAGAAAAGCACTAAGGCCTAGTAGGTATAAGCACTTCATAAGCGCTTATTAAATATATAGAGAAAGAACTTTACTTACTAGCGTATTACTTTAAGTCTATATCTATTATAATAGCCTGGATACCCGTACTATCCTGACTAAGACATCGAAAGGTATAAGGTTTAGAAATAAGCTGATTAATATAGTTAAATACCCGCTTAAATAAGAGAGTATATCCTTCTGTAGAATCCTGTGTTGTGAAGATATAACAAAGGGTAATCACTATTTCCGTTAAGCGCTTTCTAAGTGCTTGGTAAGCGCTTCAGTACTTACCACGTTGCCGATCATTAATCTTCCTCGCGAATACTACCTTATGTAGATTATGACGATGTAGGCGTTTAGACGCTATATTAACTTTAAATAGCTCACCATTCATAAGTAAGGCTACCTGTTCAGCTATTATACAGATAATCATCTATTGATGATCGCTATCTATAAAGACGCGTTAGACGTAGTCCTATAATTGCAATTATTAGCAGTATACTCCTTAAAGCACTTATTAAGCGCTTTATAAGCACTTACTTATATGTTCTGGTTTCTTTCCATCTTAAATAGCACACTATTTATATCCTGTCCGGCAGGAAAGTTTAGGAGGCGTTGCTTTCGTATTATTGCCGTTATCCGATCAGTAGTACTAAAACTTTGATGGATATTAGGTAGTGAGATAGCCTGATGCTGCTGGCAGAAGGTTTGAAGGGCTGGGCTGACTAGGAATTTACCTAATTTAGGTAAGCGCTTATTAAGTGCTTAGAAAGCGCTTGACTCACTCGTTGTCAATGAGGGATCCCGTATAGCCTTAATAATATTAAGGATACCCTTAAGAATCTTTTCCGGAGCTTTACTAGGCGGCGGAGGAGGATACGTATGCTCGCCTATTAAGAAGAATATAAAGTATAGCCGTACTTTAAGATCTCGCGGTATAAGCTAATGGAATTTAACCTTATAGGTAAGCTTTTTGAATCGGCCAGAGCCCTGTGGGTGATCGTACTCTATAAGCGCTTAGTAAGTGCTTGGTAAGTGCTTCTTATAAGGATCCCTTATCGCAGAATACTATCCTTATAGATTGTCTCTTAACTGTTCCATATAATTCTTGCTGAATCGTTGCTTTTTGTTCAAATAGCTCACGTAATAGCTAAATATTAACCTCTCTAGTGTCTGGTATAGTCTGGGACCGAAAGTGTAGCTCCTCTAGCATAGTACTAGTATAGTTTATATATTGAATATATATCCTTAGTCGTCCGAGCGGTCCCTAGAGAATATAAGTAACTAAGCGCCTAGGAAGCGCTTAATAAGCACTTACATTAGATCTACTTTTATAGATCACTGGCTAACATATCTCAAGTATTGGCTTATATAGAATCCGAGGGCTATCTAGAAAGAACTATTATTAATGCACCTTAAAATATCTATAATAAATAAGCACTTAATAAGCACTTAATAAGCGCTTTATTACTAACCCAATCGCGTTCCTCTGGGGTAGTTCTGTAGGTAGATATAGAACTCTATATCGATAGGCTTGAATACGTTGCCAAATAGCCTTATCTACATACGAATAACATATATATTATAGATTAGGATACGCCCATTCGCATATCTTAACGCCAGTGCACGCTGATAAAGAATGAAAATAGCTTATATCACTAAGGAATGATTCAGAATTAGCCACACGGTGTCCATGATTCTGTTGCATATTATATTGGACCTAGTTATTTTAGATAAGCACTTAGTAAGCGCTTAGGAAGTGCTTACAGTTTACACTATCTCTTTCACTTATACTTCCATCTCTAGGTGGGTAGTATTACTTAAGGATGTCTCTGGTTGTAGAGATATCACGTATACAAAGCCATCTATAGCCGTCCGAGGATACTCGGGTAGGTCTTGTGAAAATTCGATATATCGTGCCTTTAAGGGATTGCGTTTCGTGGATGTTAGGATAGTGAGAGGGATCTGCGGTAATATTATTAGTTAAAGTAAGTGCTTAATAAGCGCTTAGGAAGCACTTACCTCCTTATCTATCTCTGTCGACATTATACTGTACTACAGTGTAGAGATAGAAGTCATAATAATAGTATGTGTGTGTGTAGTGGAACGTGTGTATAGTATAAGCGATAATAAATTACCCTAAACCCCTATGTAATATAGTTGTTTTAATACCGTAGGTAATGGGTGATGCCGCCATTTGGAGTCCTAATTAGGCTTAGTCTGTTTTCCAAATGGCGATGCCAAGACCCCCCAAGTGGCGGTACCACATATGCACTCCAGTAAGTGCGAGAGCTGACGGGGACCAGGATTAGTCATGATTTTCTGGGTCCCCGCCAGCTGGGTGCCCGCGTTAGGTGATGCTCAGTGAGCAAAAAGCGGCGAGGTCTGAGCACTAAAACGGAAAGAAAACGCCAAGACGTGGCATAGGAAATCCGGTACGTAGGTACCTCTGTATTGTATCTCCAATTGGCGTGGAAACAATGACGCATATTCTGAACACTTATACTCTTTCTAGGCAAGCCCTAGTAATCTCTGCATATACTGTCTTACGCTGACAGGACTGACAATGTAGGTGCCGTCGACCTGTTTTGTAGTCTTCAGGGCCTACTCTCAAGACTAACATTGAAAAAATTGGAGCATGATAAATCAAAATAGACTCGATTTACACATATGTCCGATAGAGCATATCCACACTTGTGGGTCTAAGAAAAGGCTGAATCGAGAACAGACGAACAGAAACTTTTAAACAAACCCCGGATCTCAAACGCCTAGCCAATATGTGCAATCTACTGCTTCGTAGACAAGACACCCTCGCCACGGTTGATCTGAATGCGCTTGTCCTCACCGGCACTGACAATGCCAACCTCCTTGTCCCAGCACACACTGAAAACCTTGACACCTTCACCACCCACGCGCTTGCTGTCGGCCTTGCCTTCCTCCTCGAGGCTCTTGCGGCCAATCGAATAAACGCTCTCACCGACAATGCCGTCCTTGTCGGTTTTGGTAGAACGGATATCCCAGATTCGGCATGTGCCGTCGTGACTACCACTAATGAGACCGTAGGTGCTGTGAGGGTCGCGGGCGAGGCTGACGACGGCGTTTGTGTGTCCTCGGAGCGTCAAGGCCGTGACGGTAGTGGCAGATACTCGGGGGTCGATCAAGGTGATGTGTCGGGCAGAGGTACCTGCTGCCAGGAGGTGATGTTCGGGAAGGTGCTCAAGAGAGAGAAGAGAGTGGGAAGTAGAACGGGTATCAACTAGAGCGCCAGTAACTAGATCCCATGTTCGCAATGAGTGATCCCAAGAGGCCGAGTATCCGACGGTGGAATCTCTTGCGTCGAAGATGGCGGCGGAGACAGGGCCAGTGTGGCCCGAAAGAAGGGACAACGGGCCACGCTGCGGCGTGCTGACGGAGGTGTTCAGCTTGCGTCGCTTTGAAGTCCGACCGATTGCGGAAGGGAGAAGACTTTCTGGAGCGGGACCGCCGTCGGCCTTCTTCGTGGACCAGAAGCCGACAGTGTGGTCGGCTGAGGCCGTGAGAAGACGGTTGGAAGGCGCATGTACAGCCAGAGATTCAATCGCTGATTTGTGTCCGTAGAGCTCCAGCTGAGGAGTAATTTTGCCGGAGAACTCATCGTTCTCAGTGTACTTCCACAAACGAACAGAGCGGTCTAGACCGGTGGACGCAATCTGATTGGGAGACACGAACTTGGCGGCCTTGATAGACGCAGTGTGTCCACCTTCCGTAGGCCCAGGCGAGGTCGCAATGATCTCCGACGACATGTTCCATATCCGAAGCAGACCATCGTAACTTCCTGACAAGATTCTCTCCTGGCCCTTGGAGAAGGTGGCGCCGGAAGCCCAAGATGCGGCGGGCGAAGTTTCAGAGAGTACGTCGGTAGCGCTTACCCAGTCATCATGCTGGAACGATGCGATGTGAAGCGGGGGATAAGAGCTCGGACATATTCAATCTCGAGGGTAGTCTCAGCAGAAATACCATTGGCGGTCAAATATCCATCAATCGAGGTACGCAAAAAGGTTCCGTTGATCAAAAACTCGAACGGGATAGGCTTCTCACTGCCCAGAAGGTTATTCACCAGGGTAGACAGAGCATAACGACGCAGACCTAGCAAATGTTAAGAGTTAGATATCTGAAGCATATACGAAAGCCTGGCTTCCAGTGGGCCGTAAAAGTTCTTACCAGTGGGAACGAGGATGGGACCTGTGCTTTCAGGCAGAGCAACATCCTCCTGCTGGCTCGAGAGCTGCACTCGAACTTGTCGCTGCACAGCCTCAGCGGTAGACGAGACCTGTTCTTCACTCATTATGGGCGAAAATGAGGCAATGTGGTCGTTTCTAGACTTTGCTATAGTGGCTGGCGCAAAATGAACGAGCCTTCGCGGGTGAGAAAAAAATACGGTGACCGATGCGGCACACTACCGCAAAAAGCGCGGAGATGGCCCCGCGATGCGTTCGTCTACATAGCTCTACGCAAGTTGCGAGATGGGAATATAATCATGCATGGTGATGGTATTGAGTTCGAATGCTAGACACACATTTACCCCCGAGGAGCCCGTCGAATTTCTGAAATGGCCCGGCGACGATAGTCAGACTCGGCGAACAGGGCCTCAATCAGATCGACGACCTCGTCAACAGAAAACTCAAGGCCCAATTCACCCTCTAGCCACAAGAATTTGATGTCGGCCAGGGAGCTCTCCAAGATGTTGACTAGATATTGGAACCGAAGCCAGCTCGGCACATACACGGCAGTGACTGGTAAAGCTTCGGCGTCATCGGTGGCTTCAGGCATGAAGAGATCTTCCAGTTTGGACACTTGGTTGCAAAACAAGACCAATTGCTTAGACTGATCCTCAGAGATATCACCCAGATCCTCAATATCAATAATGATCTTGCTAATCACAGTGGAAAGCAGAGAACCGATAGATTGCAGCAATGCAGAATGCGACAAGATGGGCTGCCACTCCTTATAGACATCGCGAATTCGGTCAACGGTCGCACTGATAGCGCTCTCACATTCTGACTTATATGGCTGCTCCGAACATTGACTGAGACCCTGCGCACCATCGAGGAGGTCTGTGACAATGGTGCTCTGCATCTGCATCTCTTTGCTGTAGGCAACTTTGCCGAACTTTTCGAGAGCTTCAACGTCGGAATTGAGCCTGGGGAGGTCGTGTTCCTCAATTAATTTTCGAACCAGATCGGCCAAGTAAAGGCTGTCGTTGTAGAGACACATTTGCCCAGAGTTGAGCTTCAAAGAGTAGAATGTGGACGAAGTAGCCTTGAACATCGCCAAGATCAGCGTTGGCAGTGCTAGTAGACCAGCACCAGACGAAGCAACACGGGAATTCGAGTGTCTGTGTACTTGTAAGCCTCCATTTTTTGGTACATCATCAAGTTCGAGACTTACGGTGGCTGTGCAATGTCCTTTGAGTCTGTGATCTGCCGTTGGATGATCTGAAGGACGGAATCCGGGATATCGGTGACCGTGTAGACCTCTCTCAAAGTGACCTCTCTTTTGGAGGAAGAGTTCTCTTGTGCTTGGTCCATTCGCCAGCTTCGATGCTGCGGCGGATTGGGATGGTAAGGGATTCCCACCTTTCTCTTCCTCGTCATCATCGCCCCAGCCCCAGGCGTCGTCTGCATCCTCATCTTCGGTGGGGGCAGTGGCATCTTGCTTGGGTTCTACCTGGGTGTCTTCATCTAATCCCCATGCATCAAGATCGTCATCGTCCTCAGGTCGAGTGTCTTTAGTCTGCTCAGCTGGCGTTTGTTCTTGCTCATCGTCCCAGCCCGCGTCCCAATCGTCGTTGGTAGCATTCTCAAGCAAAGCTCCGTCAGCCTGGGAGACCTTCTCAATCTCAATCCGCTCGACTTGCTTGGTGGTTCCTTTACTGGCCGCAAGAACCTTGCGTACACTGTCAAGCGAGTCAACCCGACGACGAGTGAGCCACAATCTAGGAGCTTGATTAACCCAAGAAACAAGCTCTTCATGCCCTCTCCAGCCCCAGGACTCGATGTTTTTCGTAAACTGTAAAGCCTGGTCCAGAATACCCTCAAAGTCATCTAGACCAAAAAGATCCGTGGGGATGGCAGATGAAAGCCAGCCGGATATCATCTTTGAGGTAATAGCCGAGACCATCGATGGTGACAAAGCATCCATCGTAGAAGTTGGAAGGTTCTGTCGCAGATAGATCAGGAGTTCCGTCATGCGATTGAGAATGTCAGCCACGGTTGCCTTTGAAGGCTTGGATTCAACACGGACACCAGCCTCAGTGATAGTAACGGCATAGCTGCTCCCATCTTTGCGAGGCAAAAGTACGGGGTCGATAATCACCGAGATGAGATCCTTCAGGAACTGATCACTGGCGGACGTGAGAATATCCAACCGTGACAGCGCAGTAATCATATTTTCCAGCGAGTCCGGACCCTCCGGCGTGGTGACCCGGAACTCGCCCTTTTCCCTGTCAACCTTCAACTGGTCGTGCCAGCGTAGACGTAACGCCTCTTCGATTTCCTGTCTCAATCGCGATACTTCAAGTGAAAGAATGCCCATCACATTTGTGTTCGTGAAGAACGAATCTCCTCCAATGGCGGCATCCGCGGCTACCAAATTGTCAATTGCCACGGTGACCTGTCCTTGCACAAGAGCAGTGCGCCCGCTTTCCAACCGGTGACAGAGTCGCTGCACCTCCTCTAGAGTCTCCGCGACAGCCTGGTTGAAGGCAATCTCCGTCTCGATCAAGCCCACTTTCGCACGAGCATCCTTGACCTTGGCCTCTAGCGGTTTGGTGTGCTCATGTTGAGCAATGATCTCCCGTGCAGTGACTCGCGATCGTTCTATGTCTGCATGCAGATGTTTGGCCTGAATGATCCAATCATCGGCGTCGAAGGTATTCTCGCTGCTGAGGGAGCTGATCTCATTCTATTGGCAAAGGCGCCCATTAGTGAACGAAATGGTCAGTCTGTCACTGGTGCCCGCATACCTCAACTTGTTCGCGAGCCTTGGCTATGAGCTCCAATTCCTTCGCGAGAGCTGTCACAGGGAACTCGGCGGCCACCACATTCTCCTCGGGGTAAGTGCCTTCAGTGACGAATTTCAGCACCGAGTGACACACGGTCTCGTCGTCTAGTGTCATGGCTGAAATGTAGAGCGCTACAGTCGCAAGTAGTGGTTCGGAGCTGAAGCGGCAAGCTGTCAACAACCCGTGACTTGGGCGTCACCGCCCCACGTGTGTAAATACGACTCGAAGTTGAAGCTGAAAGAAGCTGAGAAAACCGCGATAAGCCTGGAGATACAAATTGGCGGTCTAGTTTTATATATAAAAACCACACATATACCCAAGCCAGACAAGGGAAAGGATACCGCTCGCTTTGTAAGAAACGGGACCCAACTTTAGGAACTCTGGAACGTCTGGGACACTCCGCCTGGGCCACACTCAGGTTCTCCATATCCCCAAATTCACCGTGTCTCGCTTTTGCCTGCGTGGTCTGAGTCTGGTAGGCACTCCTCGCTCCTTGTAAGTGAATCCCTTCACCTTGTGCTTCCCTATGACATCAATCCCGTCTCTCAATCTCTGTCTGCCCCGCCGTCACACACGATCCGATGAATCCCTGCAGGGCACATCGGCGATCGATCACCGCTGTGGTGTGCGTTTTGATCCCGATTCTACTTTCCATATCGTGGATACGGTGCATATGGCCCCTCTAGAGCCCCGCGCGTTGAGCTATGCTCGCCGGCGGACATTGAATGCCCCTCACATATCAAAAAATTGTACATGCGGAAGATAGTAACTGACGAACATCAGTTTGACAATTTTTCGCCGAGACATCTTCTCCGGAAGATCTCAATTGATCAATATGTCGCCCTCGGCGCAACAGAGTCACTTCAAGCTACTTCAGCAGTTTAAGCCGGACTACTCGCCGAGTGAATTCACTGAATATGAGTCTCAGCGTACGGGCATGCGGGTGGTTGTCATCGACCAGCCTGGTCCTAAGGTCAATGGCTACTTTGTGCTTGCTACTGAGATTCACGATGACTCAGGGGCTCCTCATACTCTAGAGCATCTCTGTTTCATGGGTTCTCGCAACTTTCGCTATAAGGGCTTCCTCGACAAGCTAGCTACCCGTGTTTACTCCAACACCAATGCATGGACTGCCACCGACCATACTGCGTACACTCTTGATACAGCTGGCTGGGAAGGCTTTGCCCGCATTCTGCCTATTTACCTCGAGCATGTGATTGCCCCTACACTTACCGATGAGGGTTGCTACACTGAAGTATTCCACATCGATGGCTCTGGAAATGATGCCGGCGTAGTGTACTCCGAGATGCAGGGTGTGCAGAACAATGCCGCTGAACTGATTGACCTGGCTGCCCGTCGCCTGATTTACCCCGAGGGCAACGGCTTCCGGTATGAGACTGGGGGTATGATGGAACAACTCCGTGTCTTGTCTGCTGAGCGCATCAGAGAATTTCACCGTGAGATGTACCAGCCCAAGAACTTGTGCTTGGTCATCACCGGTGAGGTGGACCAGAACAACATGTTGGATATCTTGGACAAATTTGAAGAAACAATCATGGATGTCATTCCTAGCCCAGATGCGCCCTTTAAGAGGCCTTGGACCGATTCCAAGCAGGTGCCTGCCCTGCAGAAGTCGATCATTGAGAGGGTGGAGTTTCCCGAAGAGGACGAGTCGTTTGGTGAAATCGAGATCCGCTTTTTGGGTCCGGATTGCACCGACCCCATTCAATGTGAGTTTTTTTGTTTTGGACTACACTTCATACAGGTACTGACTGTTAATAGCTGGTGCTATGAATGTCGCCCTTTTGTACTTGGCTGGTTCATCTGCGTCTCTGCTCGAGAACGCTATAGTCGAAAAGGAACAGATTGCCAGTGCGGTCTATTATGCTACCGAAGACCACCCGAGCATCGAGGTCCGCTTTACGTTAACCAGTGTTGAGACAGAGAAACTCGAGCAGGTTGAGAAGAGGTTCTTCGAGATCTTACAGGATGCTATGAAGAAGGAGCTCGATATGAAGTATCTCAAAGAGTGCATTGACCGCCAGCGCCGTACTTGGAAGTTCTCGACTGAGTCTTCTGCCTCGTCCTTCGCGGAGTATGTCATTTCAGACTTCCTGTTTGGAAAGCGTGACGGCTCCACCATGCGTGATGTCGCTTCTCTGAAGAGGTACGACGCACTTGAGAACTGGACGGAGGATGAGTGGCGATCATTCATCAAGAAGTGGATCGCAGATGCACCTCACGTTTCTATTCTGGGTGTCCCATCCCTGAAGCTGTCTGAAAAGCTGAAAAATGACGAGGAAGCTCGCGTTGCTGCTCAAAAGGAGCGTCTTGGCGAAAAGGGCCTGAAGGAGCTTGCCGACAAGCTTGAGAAGGCCAAGGCTGAAAACGACAAGGAGATCCCGAAGGATTTGCTGGCTGCCTTTGGAATCCCCGGCGCCGAATCTATTCATTTCATGAACACTACCACGGCCCTGTCAGGCGCTGCTCTAAAGGCTGGACGCCCTAATCACGAGATCCAGAAGATCATTGATGCCGATGATTCGAGCCTGCCCCTTTTCATACACTTCGAGCACATTCCAAGTAGCTTTGTGCAAATGTCCGTCCTCATATCTGCACAGTCTGTTCCTGTCCAGCTGCGTCCTCTGCTGTCCGTGTACACTGAGGCATTCTTCAACATACCCGTTGAGCGTGATGGTAAGACCATCGACTTCGAGCAGGTGGTTGTGGAGCTTGAGAAGGATACCGTTGGCTATTTCATGGAAACTGCCCGCGTTCTTGGAAACTCCGAGATGCTGCGTGTGTCCTTCCAGGTTGAGCGCGAGAAGTATGAGACTGCCATTGCCTGGATTCAGGAGATTACCTGGAACTCCATCTTCGACGTCGAGAGGCTCCGCGCCATCACCTCTCGACTTCTGGCCGATGTTCCTGACTCTAAGCGCAGCGGCGAGGATATGCTTGCCGCGGTGCATGTCATGATTCATTATGCCGAGGAGTCTATTACTCGGGCGCGTAGCACCTTGGTCAAGGCCCGCTACCTCAAGCGCGTCAAGCGTTTGCTAGCTGAGAAGCCCGAGGAGATCGTCAGCCGCATGGAGGAGATCCGCAAGTCGCTGTTCCAGCCTGACAATGTCCGAGTCGTTGTGTTTGCCGATCTTGAAAAGCTTACCAAGCCCGTCTCAGCTTGGAAGCCCTTCGCTGAGCGTCTGGGCACCAGCACCGATCTAAAGCCTATTACAAAGAGGCGCGACCTACTGAGCGGTGCGGGCAAGAATCTCGGTGGCAAGTCTTTCATCGTTCCCATGCCTACCGTCGACTCCTCCTTCGCCTACGCCACTGCCCGAGGCCTGGACTCATATGATGACGCCAAGCTCCCGGCAGCTATGGTGGCCATTGCATACATGAATGCAGTTGAGGGTCCTCTCTGGGTCGCTGTCCGTGGCAAGGGTCTGGCGTACGGTACCAACTTTGCTTATAACATTGATACCGGTGTCGTCAACTTCGACGTGTATCGGTCTCCCAACGCTCACAAGGCCTTCGAGGCCAGCAAGCAGATTGTTGAAGACCACCTTTCTGGAGCTTCGCCTTTCGATCCTCTTATGCTGGAGGGTGCTATCAGCAGCATCGTTGTTGGTTATGCCAATGAGCAAATGACCGCTGCTATGGCGGCGCAGGACAGCTTCATCCGCCAGGTCGTGCGCAATCTGCCTGCTGACTATAAGGAGAAGATGCTCAAGAAGGTCCGGAGTATCAGTGTGGACGAGGTTAAGGATGCTCTTCGAGAGATCATTCTGCCGCTATTTGATCCCAAGACGGCTAACCTTGTCGTCACCTGTGGCAATGTTCTGGAAGAGGTAAGTTCACCATCGTAACACTTCAAAGAAAACATTTCCTAAATTTTGCCCATAGCCTCTCAAGCAAGGTTTCGAGGCCTTCGGTTTCGCCCCGGTGGTCCAGCCCCTCAAGGAATTCGAGGATGACTACGGCCTCAAGCTCGACGGTGACGAAGAGGAAGACGAGGATGATGATGACGAGGAAGACTCCGAAGACGAAAGCGGCTCCGAGGAAGGGGACAGTGACGAAGAAATGGATGACGAGTAACGTGTTCCGCGATCTTAGACACAACAGACCTAAAGTACATCTTACATACAATGGCTACGGAACTGTGATGGTACCTTCCATCTAGGCGTCTGCGCGTCGGGGAGTCTACTGCATGCGAAAGTCTGCTCAAATACTGTATAATCTCACAATTCCTCGTCGAGGATATAAAAATATGGTACATGGTACAAGGCCGGAGAAGCCTAAGAGTCCCGTCTCAAGCCAATCTCAAGAACACACTTCCTCTGAATAACCCCCATATGCATTCATCTCCACACTTCCGTCCCTGATATCAATGAAAGTACACTGGGTACTCGTTTTACCAGCTCATCGCCTTACGTCCCTTCATGCGCCGGCGCGTAAGAGTCAACCGTCCCTTCTGAGCCTTATTCCGAGACAGGAACCCATGGCGACGCTTCTGGACGCGCCGAGAGGGATTGTAGGTGACACGACGCACGCCTAGCGAAGCAGAAGCGGAGAAGGCGCGAGCCTGGAAAGGCTTCTGGGCGAGGAGTGAGGACACAGATGAGGTGATTGGAGTGGGGAGGGTCTGCGATGGTCGGAAACGGGTTGGCGTGGAAAGAAGCGAGGAGAAGGGTCGAGATGAAAGGAATGACGGTGTGCTTGTTGTCTGTGGTGTGAATTGGGAGATTCTGTATCATGATTTGGTCTGTTAGTGGCCTGTTCGAGGGGTCTTGTTGTCGCGGTGTGTTTGACGGACCTGGTCATCGGGGTCTGAACAGAGACCGGGGTCCGGAGAGTGGGCAGGGCCCTACAGCTGATACGGGGCATAGTGAGTAAGTTGAATCTGGCTGAGGATAGAGAGTCGGACGGGTGGCTGAATTGGTGGGTTGGGATATCGCTGGCACTTCAAGGCGCGGTGTTCGGAAGTCGAGAGAAAATTAAGCGCGGAGCCGCAGGCACGGACCCGCCTGTATTTTTCCAACGACGATAATATGAGATCTTGTGTTCTTCAATGAGCTGTGAAGGTCTCAGCATGGAAATTGAATATAGTAGAGTCTATTTATTAAAGATTGATTTCAGTTGTCTGCAGTTGTTCAGCATTTGCATTGATCGAGTCCAGTATGCTACCCGATTGGGTCTAGTGCCATTGAAACTTTTTTGTCGCGATGCGCCGATGGCTTCCAATTTCATGATTTCAAAAGAACCAAGTCTCACTTCCCTACGCCGTGACCGCAAAGCAAGTGCCCTATAAATACTCTGCACAACTCATTCACCACATCTACAAAAGCTATCGCACACCCCCTTAGCACCAAGATGAATGCACAGGGCCCGTCTTCTCTCCCGCCGACAATCGTGCACACCACGAAACCGATCAGCCAGTCCGAGGCTCACGACTTCCTGGCCGCCTATCTGAGCCGCGCAGCCAACGATCCATCTCTGCAACCGAATGCCAGCATCACAGAGCACGGTCCGGTCTCGCGGACCACCGCCGCAGCTCCCAACCTCATCCTCCACAACCTGAAGCGCGTGGAAGCCGGTCTTGCTGGTGAAGTCCTTGGCCGTGATCTTACTGTCGCGAAGCAAAACCCCGGCGAGGAGTACCTAGATATCGCCGCCGGAGTCTCGGTCAACCAGAACGAGGGCGAGGAGGACCAGGGTAATGACCTCGGAATGGCCGAAGAGGGCTTTGAGACGGAGGCGGGAGCATTCGAGGCGCAGGAGTCTATTGACAAGAATGAGCGCAAACGCCTGAAGAAGGAGAGACGCTTGGCCGAGAAGAAGGCCCGGGCCCAGAAGGGAACTGTTTCGGAAAGTGACTCGGAATGAGCTTGTGTCTTTTGGATCTGTTTGAGCCGTGGGCGTTGTTGCATTGGGACGGAGTTTTTCTTTTTGGGTTTGTTCTTGAGGCTTTCCCTGCCACTGGATATGTGCGGGTTTGGCTTAGATCTTGATCACCTGCATTCTCATGTCTGGGCAAAAAGTTGTCGGTTTTGTGTTATCATAGACGGATTGACTTAATTCAATCTATACATAATGGGAAGCTCAAGCCTTTTGCTTCTATCAAATCTCCATTCTCTGTTGCCCGCCACTCTACGCCGGCATCGTTCTCATCAACCTCATAAGTAAGAGAAAGATGCTCTAGGCGTCAAAAGTTGGTGCATGTCTACAATTCGCGGTCACCGGCCTTGACGGGCTTCTCGCTATCCTCGGCCTTCGAGCTGGTGACTTTCCCGCCCTTCCAGCCGAGAGCAGCAAGACGCTCGGTAAGGATGGGGTGCGAGTAATGATAGCTGGCGTAGACAGGGTCAGCATCCATGGTGCTCAGGTTCTGGATCTGGAGCTTCAGGAGAGAGGAAGCAAGCTCATCGGAGAATCCGAGGCGCTGGGCGAAAGCATCTGGAGAGTCAATTAGTACATTTGCGCCTTGAATGGAGATTTAAGATTGGACATACCAGCCTCGAACTCAAACTTGCGGCTAAGGATGTTCATCAGGAACTTCACGACAGCGTCCATAGGAGCAAGAGCATCCGAGAACAGAAGGAAGCCAACCATGATGGGCTGCTCCTTGATGAAACCGAAGGACTGGTAGAGAGACTTGTTGTTGACGAAGACAGAAAACAGGGCAAAGATGTAGAACATGTGGAACTGAACGAAGTGTCAGCAATCGTCCAAGGTGTGTCATAGACGCGCGAGCCATACCTGAGCAATACCGAAGAGCTTGGTGGTGTGGCTCAAGCTCCAGTGACCAAGCTCATGGCTCAGAACAGCAACGACCTCTTGCGGCTCGCTCTTCTCGAGCAGGGTATCGTAGATGACAATGTGCTTCTTCCACGGCAGACCGTAGAAGTAAGCGTTGCTGTGGGCACTGCGCTTGCTGCCATCAATAACATGCAGCTCGGAGAGCGGGAACTTGAGCTTCTTAGCAAGGTCCTCGACGCCAGTCTTGATGGCACCAGGCTCGAGAGGAGAGAGCTTGTTGAACAGGGGCAGAATCACAATGGGATAGATGGTGATAGCAAAGATCTGGACGAAGACGCCGAACATCCACAGGTAGTAGAAGAATGAATTGCCGGTCTTCTGGACGATCTTGAGCACCGCACTGATAATAGGAGTTCCCAGCACGATTCCGAGCATCTGGCCCTTGAGCATATCCGTTACCCAGAGCTTGACAGTCTGCTTGTTGAAACCGAACTTCTCCTCGAGCACGAAAGTCTGGTAGTATGAAATCGGGATCGAGAGAATAGTGCTGAGAATATTGAAACCGAAGATAAACACAAGCGTCTGGGTGATCTCACCCTGGAATTGACCGGGAAGATAGCGCGCCAGGACCAGACCACTGATGCTCCAAAGCTTGGGGAGGACATCACCGTAGATGAAAGCGAGATTCTGGATTTGACCGTAGAGACCTGAGACGAGACCGAACTTGGCCTTTGCACGACCATATGCCTGTATTCACATCTCCTTTGTGAGCTTGCTGTTGAGCGCCCCTGGTGTTCCGCGATGCCACTTACCTGTGACTGATCGAAGACTTTCTGAGTAACCTCACCCTCGAGGACCTTAGGAGCCTTTGTTCGCTGCAAAACCTTATATTGACGGAGAGATAGGAGACCCTCGAGGACAAACTGCCCGATGGAGAATCCCACGAGCACGTTCTTCCATGGGAAGAGCGGCCGGTCGAGGAAACGCGCGAGTTGCTAAAAAAGACACCTGTCAGGACACAATTTTGACGAGAGCGTTTCCTGTTGAAAGTCGAAATGAAAGACCGAAGAGTATGATCAGGCTTACCTCAAGAATCCACATGATGCAGATGCGCGACAATGTCAGAGGGAGAGGTGTCGAAAGGTCAAAGGAGCTACTTTGTTATTGCCGGGTGCCTTAGTCAGATCCCGCAATCCGGGGCCGCTGCCATGAAGATGGAATACCCTCCGATCTACAAATCGCACTGTCAAGCCAGCTCCAGTGAAACCAAGCAGGTCAGCGTAGTGCACACGCAGTGTAAGAGGGTGTCACCTAGCATGCGGCTCAAAGTGAGTTGATCTCTGTCATCTTTGCCTGGGATGAGTTTAATGCGGGGGGTGGCTATCGAGGGCATCGGAAACCGGTTCGCACCAATTCACGCACTATTGGGACTCCTGACACAATTGCATGACAGCTTCGTCCATATACATTTAAGTTGCGTGCTATTGGAGCTGCAATATTCCTTAAACAGTGAACAATAGACCAGTCCATCATGGTTGTAGCCTTTACAACCAGGACCAAGTTTCTTAGCAGGTATGTCTGAAAGGACATCTATTCAAAGGTAGAGTATATCTCCAAAAGGAAATAGCCATGTGTCTAAGATTGTACTCAAAGACATATTCAAAAGTCCCTTGAATGGAATCACCAAATTGAAGCACTCGAGTGTACGATGAAGATAATGCCGCAATATTTCCGCTCCCATGTATATTTCCTAGATGCTCATGGGGTTTGCATCTTGTTCTCCGCTTCAGCCCTGATCTCAAGGTTCGCCCATGTCTCTATATGTAATCATTTGTTGAGCGACACACGCGGGCTTTATTCTATGAACCTTTCATATGGTACCTCCAGGCAAGGCCAATATGCCACTTGGGGAAAAGGCTCAAAGTCGCAGATCAGCATTAATCACTACATGATTCATCATACTCTTTATCTGGGGCCTTACGGCTCGAGCTGAAAACGTCGCCAGGACGCAAATTCCAAGAAAATATATACTGGGCAGGGAAACATCCACCGCGCCATTTTACGGCAGTGGAGGTCATCCAGTACGTATGGCTCCAGGGATAGATCACGCGAATGCAGGAAATGGAAACAGAAAGAAAATCTCTTTAATACAACTCCCTAGAACACACAAAATAGAAAGAAGTGCACCTCTTCTTCGTCAACGTGACTCGTATCCTAACCCAGCGCCATCCTCCACCCCGTACCTGCCAGCTTTCTAGGACTTTACGTCTCCAGGTATGCCGAAGCAGATCGGGAGCAGGTGACCGAGTAGAATTTCGATAGACCTCCTCTATTCAGTCGGGGGAATCTGTAAATGTCATGTCTTCACTTTTCCGACTCGTCGTAAGCGTAAAACTTTTTCTGCAAATCGCAGTGCGTAAGCCCGAGAGCCGGCGGGTCGAAATTTGTTGACGGAATATATTGCTTTACACGAATGCCTCTTGTCAACCAGACCTCTCCCCAGACCGACCAACCCGAGACTGGACGTCATTCAAAAAAGGCAGCAATCTAGTGCTGGGTAGGCTCCAGGGTGTTACCGCTATAGTAAAGACTCGTTAGTTACGTTGAAAATATAGCGAAAATGATACTTACGCAACGATGTTGGCCCAACCAATCAGACGCCAGTGCTTGTCGATTCTTCGGGAAATGGCGATCTTCTCGCCAACTTCTGTGCAGGCAGGGGAGGTCAACGAGAGCTTGGCGGCATCGGCCTTGACACCGAGAACCTTGGCACCGGTGGCGGTGGAACCAATGTTGACCATCAGAACCTCGTTCTTAGCCAGCTTGGAAACCTTGGCCTGCTTGCCATCGGCGGTCTTGACACCCAAAAGGCGGCGGAGCAAGAAGTAGTTGACCTCGATCTCAGTGTAGATGGCAGGAAGATGGCCGCGGTGGCCCAGAACGAAACCGACAAGACGATCAGCACGGCCTATCAATATGTCAGCAAGCTTGGAAAATCATAAAAATTTCAGCCCTCGTATCCTGAGCCCTCAATGGAGGGCTCCCGTCTCGAGCCCTTTGGTTCGGGGTTGTTTGTTTCATTAGATACTTACACAGTGTAGGGTCAATACGGGTACCAACACCAATGAGGCCACCAGGAACAGCGAACTTCAGAGGGTTGCTCTCAGCGAAGAGGGACTCGACACGAGAGAAGATAGGGCGGCACTGGATCTTGCCGTTCTCGTCCTTGGTGACTAGACCAGGGCGGATCTCGATCTCGTCGTTGACCTTGACGACACCAGTGAGAATGGAGCCACCAGCAACACCACCCTTCAACTCTTCAATCTCGGCACCGGGCTTGTTAACGTCGAAGCTTCGAATGACCATCATGTTGGGCAAAGCGGTGAAATCCCGGATAGGAACAGGGATGTGAGAGACGAGATGCTCGTTGACGGCATCGATGTTGTACTTGAGCTGGGCCGAGATGGGGATAACTGGCGAGTTATCGGCGACGGTTCCTCGAATGAACTTGAGAATAGACTGGTAGTGCTGGAGAGCGGCCTCCTCGCGCATGAGGTCGACCTTGTTCTGGCAAATAATGATGTGCTGGAGCTTCATGATCTCAATGGCGGCCAACTATGCATTTGGTCAGTAACAAACCCACATGACTGGCTGGACTCAAAATCCTACATGTTCCGAAGTTTGGGGTTGCGGGCAGGTCTCGTTTCCGGCGATAAGGAGGAGGGCAGCGTCCATGACGGCGGCACCAGACAACATGGTACTCATCTGGAACCCGTTAGTACTGGCGTTTTCCGTTTTACAGCCGAGAATTGACAAAGAATACTCACGAGAATGTCGTGACCGGGGCAGTCGACGAAGGCTAAGAAAATTTGACCGTCAGCCATTTGTTCAAGTGGATTTCCCACGAGCAACCTTTCCACAGTAACACTCACAGACGTGGCGAAGAAGTTTGTAGCGGCCCTCACAGCCCGGGCGCTCACAGGGAGGGTCAACCTCCTTGAAACTGCTGTAACTCTTGTAGCATGTCGGACGAGGACAAGCGGGGTTGTCACACTTGTAGATTTTCGCGTTCGCGTAGCCTAGCTTAATTGTGATGTTTCGCTCCAACTCGTTTTTGAAGCGCACAGTCTGAACCTCGGAGATGGCCTTCACGAGAGTGGACTTTCCGTCTAGATTTTCCAGAGTCAATTAGCGATATCATTCCATAGGAGAGAGGAAGAAAAAAAGGCGACGCACGAGCGACGTGACCGATTGTGCCGATGTTCTGGGTAGCTTGGCGAGCAATGATTTCGGGCGTCAAGGGCGTGAGTGTCGAAAGATCCAGGGTGTCAGGGTTGGGCTGCTCGGGGAGCTCGGGCTTAGCAGCGACAGGAGCGGACTTCAGAGCGGACTTGACAGGCTTTTCGACCTGCTCGAGAGGCTCCTGGTCATCGAAGTCCTGGGCATTGTTGGCATCGAGGACCGGGGATCCGGGCTGCGACTCGTCGGAGAAGTCACCGTTAGTCGCCATGTTGAAATTAAAAATTCGCAGCAAGCCTCGTCCGTCGAGTTTGGAGGGTGGGAAACAAGGACAGGAGGTGGACGGGGTTGGTGGAAGGTGGAGTTGAAGGGTCGGATGAAAATTGCTGGTGGGCGATAATGATATGAAAGAATGGGCGTGGTGGGGGTTGTGTGCAGTGGAGAGCGAGCGGGCGGTGTCTGCTTCCAACGCAAAAATGGTCTACAAATTACGAAATGCTCCAGGTTTATGGTTGTTTGAAATATCATTGATTTTATATCTGTAGTTTTCGTGCTGTTCAGATCTGTTTCACATGGTGTGTGAGTCACGGGGATTTATCTGTGTGGCATCGCGGCCTCACCAAAACTAGGTATTTGGGTACGAGTGGCCACCCAACCCAAATCTTTGCCTTCTTCATAATCTCAATTTCTACAAGTGCTCATACAATCGCAAAGAACTTTGGAACTCGTAAAATCGCTCGATGCTCGCTTTTGGCGATCACAATTACAACTGAGATCGGGTCTAACAGTACATTGGGTATAAGGTCATATAGGTCTAACGAGCGTTTATTCGTCGTCGTCGGATGACTCTTCCTCTTCCTCGTCCTCTTCATCTTCATCTCCCTCCGAGTCGAAAAGTGTGGATGGATCCTCCGCTGGGAGCATGACAAAGGCTGCCAGGCATGTAATGCGGTTGCCAGTCTCGTAGGTAGTCAAGAGGTTGCCGACCTGGCGAGTGATATCCTTCCTATCATTGGACTGCTTGGCTGGGACAAGATCTTTTGCAGCGACCTTCCAGATGCGAACAACACCGTCAGAGTTACCAGTCACGAGCAAGAAGTCGTTGCGAATCTCTTTGGCCTGATCGACTAGGCCCAAGATCTCGAAATCCTTGATACGGCCGGGCAGCTCAGCTTGTTTGCCGCCAACCTGAGCCAATGGAGTAGCATAAGGAATTTCGGATTCATCGCCTTCCTCGGCGTCCTTCAGCTCGGTAGTAGAGTAAAAGATGACACGGCCGTCTTCCGTTGAAACGGCCAGAACGTCACCCTTCTGATCCTCTCCTTCCGGCAGAGAAACATATTTCATCTGGTGGATCTTGCTTCGTGGACTCGGCAGAGCTCTGCACTTGGGAGTTGAGTCCTATATTGAAAGATCAGCAAGCGAATCAATGCTCCAACAATCAAATGCAACTTACAATACCAAACACCACGACACCCCATTCAAATGCTACAGCAAATTCCTCTCCAGCACCATTCCATGCGATACGACGGCCTTCTCCAGAGCTCCACTTGCCCTCCTTCACACTTGATAACAAGTCTCTGCTGAAGTTCAAGACTCCCGCCTTCTTGCCCGTCACCAGATTCCACAACCGCATACACTTCTCGCCCTTGCCAACACTAACCATCAATTTCATACTCGGATGGACTGCGAAGTGATTGACTCCAGAGGGAGCGGCGCCGGGTGGAGCTGTGTCACCGCTTGGGCGGCCCTGCACTTTCGGGTTAGGCGCCTTGATGGTCGAGACCACAGTCCAATCGCGAGTCTTGGAGACGGAGATCACATTGTCTTCTCCACTGGCAAGCAATTTGCTGCGAGAAGGGAAGTTCAGGGAGGAGATACTGGCGGTATGATGCAACAAGGATCCCAGCTCGCGGTTCTTGGGATTCTCAAGAATCTTGTTTCCAGCCAGGGTTGGTACCGTGGGGTAGTCTTCGTTGACAGCGGGAGGAGCAGCAGATAGCTGGTAGAGGTTGATGCGTTCATCAGTCGAGCCACTGGCCATGATGACTTTTTGGGCGTCCGGCGAGTCGGTGGCCTTGGGCATCGGAGAGAGCGCCAGACAGCGAATTGCAGATCCATGGGCTTCGAACAAGAAAGTGTCGACGCATTGAACGGCATTTTTGCAATCTTTGGAATCATCTTTCTTGGCACTGAAGCTGGAAGCCGGAAGGCCAGCCGTGAAACCGTGCAGCACCCGCTCATAGGAGCCCGTCACTACTTGCACTGTGACAGCAGCATCTGGAGCTTGCATCGGAGTGGGAGCGGACTTGACGGTTTTGGCGGGGCTCTCGGTAGTCTTTTCGTCCTTGAGAGGTTCATTTCTCTTGCGCTTCGCCATTTTCAAGGGTGCTATGGGAGATGGAGATAGGTTTATTGCACGGCAACGGGCTTTTTTTTTCGCAGCGTTTTTCTGCGGGTTATCGATAAGAGTGGAGACCATGCTTGGGGCCTTCGTGCTCAGGCCACAATGATAGGTGTCGAGACTTGTAAGGTATTAAGGCAGCAAGGCAGCAATGAATGGATGCAAGCGGCCTCTCCAGTCTCAAGTTGGAATGCGATCGCTTACATGTACCTTACGCGTCTCGCGCTCGCCACTTAAAGAGTCCGGCCACGCAGCAGCCAACACATGGACACAGTGTCAGACAGGCCATAGATCCCACAGATCGACGTAAATACTTCAGACATGAAGCCTAATAATATGGAGTTGATTCACCTGAAAGTTATCTAGAAGTGCAAAGAATGCCCACGATCCAGGAGTTGGTAAAATTACAGTACGGTACCTCCACCAACTTCTCCCCCCGAACGCTTCCCTTTTTTCCCGTGCCAACCCGTACAGAAAAGTCCTCCCTTCCCTGCTCTCTATCGCTTCACGCGCCTTCCACATCCGATTTCATCTCGTATTGCGACTACTCCTGGCTGAATGACCTCGGTCAATTCATTTTCCTTTTTCCCGCGTTAATCGGATGCTGTGTTCCCGAGTTAGGCCTCATGCTCCGCGACGAGCTTCTCCGGTCTAAGAACGATGAGATCGCGTGAGTATTTATTCGGGAAAAATCATTTTCTGAATTATATCCGGTGAAATATGATGGACAAATTGCTAAATTTCGGTCAGAAACTGTTTGTTGTCGCGCAAGCGAAAACTGACCGAGTTGTATTATGCGACCGTGGGTTTTGAGGGCGCGACCGCCGACGCTCTTTACCAGCGAAAGGAACAGGCTTTCCTTGAGGCCAACGACCTCTCCAAGTGAGTCCCTACTACCTATTGCTATCACCGATCTCTTTTGTTTCCTTGAAAACTACCACGCGACATTAATTACGCAATGTCGATGCTCATACCTTGCACAGAGGTCGTTACTTCGACGAAGCTACTCTACCATCGCCAAACCATGCGCGCGCACGTTCTCCAAGCATAAAACCTGTCGCATCTGCCGTCTCAGACTCTAAGGATCATCCTGCCGCTGGGATTAAGTCTCCACCGACTGTAGTCGACACCATCCTACCGTCCGCATCCGCAGCCAGTCCGCAGGCGAAACCCGTATTATCTCAACCCGGAGTCGCATCATCTGCAAAAGATGAACTGGCTTCTTCTGTGTCTGTAATTATACCGAAGGCTTCTCAGGGTGCGGATGTATCGACGCCGACAGCGCAATCCAAGCAAGTCGGCGACCAAAAGGCAAGCGCATCAGTGCCACAGATTCCGTTTGGCTCCCAAATCCGCGATGGAGCAGAAGCCAAGATCTCCTCCGGCGCAGCGAGATCTGAAGCGACGAACGCGACACCCTCGCTCGATATTCCTAAATCTCTTCCACAAAATAAACACGACTCCCGACCTTCTCATACTCTAGGCCCCTCAAACACCGAACAACCTCTCTCACCCGCTTCATCTATCGACCCCTACTCGAATAATACACCTGTTCCCATTGCAGCTTCACCTGACACGAGCCCCGGCGAGGAAGTGACCGATGTGGGTCAAATTGATCGCTCGAGTCTGAAACAAATCAGATCTGTGCGCCCGCGTCCCGGCTTGGTTCCTGCGACCCCGGACGAACAATTGCGGCTGGAGGAAGCACAGTCTTTGAAGCAGAAGACCGGGGAGAGTGTGACTGACACCGGGTTCCCTTCGTCGAACGAAGTCATTCAGGAGAGTGTTGGTCCTGGGGCTGACAGGGATGAAATGGATGTTGACAAAGAACCTGCTGCCGGGGACACTGAGTCTAAACTTCCCGATGGAAAGGCAAGCTTGTTGCCAACCGAGCAATTGTCTGAAGGGGTCCAGTCCAACGGTGATTCCTTCGAGACACCTCATAAGAAGCCCGTCGCTATCCCGTCCATTCACCCTAGCTCCACACAACCGGAACGCATGACTACTCGAGTTTCCTCCGGAGCCATTCGACACAAGTCCGTTTCCGAAATTCTCGGGGAGACACCGAAAGCCTTGACTCACGACCGAAGCCATGGCGACGAGACACCCGACAGCGTTGCGCGGATGCGCTTCAAGGATCGCAAAGACAGAGAGAAGGAAAGAACTAGGCTCTCGACCGTTGTGTTCCCAAAGCAAACCCCGATGCAGCAAGAAAAGGCGGATTCATTGGATCTTGTACACCGGGACGCCAGCGATGCCGTCTCGAAGATGAATGAGGAGCAGGACTATCTGTTCACTCTGTTTTTGAACAGGGCATATGCTCCACCTCGGGGCAGCCATCTCAACACCCTTCTCACATCCGCCCACAAGACTTTGTCAACCTCAAATCATCTCCTCGAATACCAAGAGCAAATGGACTGCCGTACCCTGCGCCGAATCTATGCACTTCAAAATGCGAATCGCTGGCCACTTCGCCAGATGAAACGATCAATGGAACCTCCTCGTCAGGGATGCCATTGGGATGTTCTTATTGATCACATGAAATGGATGCGGACGGATTTCCGCGAAGAGCGAAAATGGAAGATTGCCGCGGCGAAGAGTTGTGCTGATTGGTGCTCAGAGTACGTCAACAGCGACCAAGAACATAAAGCGCTGCTTCGCGTGCATGTGAAGATTCCTACACCGATTACCGCAGCTCAGGATTCCCTAAAGAGTGCGGCTTCTCCATCCGAGGATACCGGCGACGAGGCTGTTGTCGCATCTCATCCCACACCTGATCTAGTTCCATCTGCCGAGGAGGAATCGGTCAGCGATGGTTTTAATGAAGAGCCGCGCCATGATTTGCATGATACGGTCGCCCCTGCGGCTATCTTCTCCCTGGGTTCCGACGAGTTTAACTTTTCAATCGACATGACCGCCGCTGCCGAGAAGTTGCTAGATGAACTCCCACTTTACGAACCAGTCCGCATCGCTCCGGAGACCCAAACGCCAAAATTTAAGCAACCCCCAGATTCTGTTTGGAAAACAGAGCTTCTCCCGGTATCGAAGTTTGCCTCCGCCAAGATTTCTTTCCACGATGATGAGCGTCCTCGCAAACGAAGCCGATATGACTATTCTCAGTATACTTCGGGCTTGGATAATTGTATCACCGAGATTCCTCCAGAGCAGACTAATGTGGCTCTCTTCCGACCCGAGAACAAACAAATTCGTGACCGCATTCATCCCGGTCATTCGTTCCGACCTCCAACCGAGCACCCGATGCCGTCAGTTGGATTTTTCGAATGTCGACAGTCGTCACAGTGGACCATGGCAGAGGATGATGAACTTCGCCGTCTGGTCAAAGAGTACTCTTATAATTGGTCCCTAATCTCCAGCTGTCTGACTTCTCCATCGATATTCACATCTGGAGCTGAGAGACGGACCCCTTGGGAATGCTTTGAGCGTTGGGTGGGACTTGAGGGTCTTCCGGCAGACATGTCCAAGACGCAATACTTCCGAGCCTATCACCAGCGACTTGAGACGGCTCAGCGAACCGTGCTGGCACAACAACAGGCTGCCCAACAGCAACAGCAACAGGCCGCTAACAATGGCCAAGTTCAACAGCATATTCGCCGTCGGACTACTCAGCCTCTGCGTGTGGACCGAAGGAGATCTTCTAGACACCTTGCGTTGCTTGATGCTATGCGTAAGCTGGCCAAAAAGCGTGAGACCATGCTGCAAAAGCAACAACATGCTTCTCATCTTGCCTCTTTGAGGAAGGCCAACGAAGCTAATCAGCCCAAACCCCCCTATCTCGTCACCGGCGGAATTTAGTCGTTTGAAGCATGAGCGAGAACAGAAGTTGCAGGAGCGCCAAGAGCAATACCGCCAGCAGATGATCGCTCAGCAGCGAGCTAATCTCAACGCTCAGCGTGCTGGTCAGATGGCAAGTCAGCAACAACCACAGCAGCCACAGCAAATGATGAATGCTCAGGGTCGAACTCCCGGCAACATGCCTTCGAATTCTACCAACGTGGCTATCCCTAACGGCACCCCCCATGGGGTGGCTAGTAGTATCCAGACAGGTGTGAGCCTCAATCAAAACCGCACACAGCCTATGCAGGGCCTACCGGCTGGTGCTACGCCTGTTAATGGTCAAATGCAAAATAACGCCATAGCCATGAAAATAATGCCCCAAGGTCAAATGCAACCGGGTCTTGGTGCGAGGCCCACGCTGCCCGTGCAGACCTCCCCGGAGAATGATCGGATTGTGCGAGAAGCCACCCGACTGCAGGAACAGCAGCGTGCTCTGCAATCACGACAGCAGACCCAAGTGCCTCAGCAATCAGGCCAGCCTCAGCAAGCTACTCAGCAGTTCCATAACCAGCAGTTTGCGCAAGGCTCCTCGAACCTCAATATGCCGAACGGCCCTAATAATCCTGCTATCATCGCAGCCATGCAAGCCCAAGGAGGAATGCAAAGCTCTTCGTTCCACAGTGGGACACCACAAGGTGTCTCGACCCCGTCGCCTCGCATGGCCCAACCCAACCCTCTCTCGAGCGGTGTTGTTCCGACCATCAGCACCTACCAAAACCAAATTCAACAGGCCAACCCAAATTTGCCTTTGGAACAGGTGAACAAGATGGCCACGGATCGCCTCAACGCGTATCGACAGCAGCGCAGCATCTCCCAACAAGCGGCTATGAACGCAGCTGCGGGCGGCATGAACAACGTTCAGGCCAACTACCCGGTCCCGCATGATGGCAACTTCCAAACTCCACCTCAACCTGGCGTGCCAAATGGCAACCCGGCAATGCAGGTTCCTCAGAACCAAGGCTTTTCACCGATGATGCGGGTTCCCCAGGCCAATCAACAGAACAGGGTCAACGTCAACAGCTCGCCAGCCATGAACAGCGCCGTTTCTCAAGCCAGCCGCAGCGCAACACCCCAAACACAACGCAGTGGCAGCGCACAAGCTGCGGCAATGCAAGACTCCAACAAAAGCCCACACCCTCCAGCGGCCCAGATAGCGCGTAGCTAAGGACCCAGTCCTGATATTGTCCTGTCCCATATCCTTACGCTCACCTCTTACCTCTTTCTCTTTCTACTGTATATACCCCTTCACTTCTCATTCCTATCTTGATTATATTCTGCCTTTTCCTTTCTGTCGGTGGTCCGGGATGGTGGCGCACCTTGCTTTCTACTCCTATTTCCCCTTGACGCTTTTGCCTGTCAAGTTTCTCTTCACCTGTCCGAACCAACTACCAAGTCCATTAAGCAAATGGACCAGATGAAGCGCTGGCTACGTTCTTACCAGCGCCGGGGATCTATTGATTTGGGCATGTACTTTCCAGGATGGGCGAAAACCTCGGGTTCGGTATAACCCGGGAAATGAACGAACATGAATTGTATGATTAGTTTCAAGCTTGAGTCTTCCTCCAATCATTCTCCCATGTTAGAGAACACTTTTAGAGTTCACTAGTAAAATGAAATGTAGATACCTGATCTGGACATGTTGCGCTTGATAAATCTTAGGGCTGAGCATTTGCACGCTTCCTCCGCTTTTGCCACCGCCTTGTAGCTCTCTCATCAAACCTTCGACACTGAGTCGCTCCAGATTATCTTTCATTCTTCAGATTTTCTGCTGTCGCGATGTCCTCATCGCAGGCCCCTGGTGACCGTAATGGTGGCGACCAGCCATCTGCCAAAATTTTCTCTCTTTCATCTAGTTCAAATGGACCTGCCAAGAAAACCGCCTTCAACCTTCAATCGAGTCGCGGGCGACTCGGCGCAAACAAGAGCCACGCTCTTCCCCGCCGTCCACACCAACTTAGACACAGCGGTGATTCATCAGACGAAGATGAGCGCGCTCCCGCTCATGAGGAAGTCTCTGGCTTTGACACACTCACCGGTGAAGCTATTACCGCCGACGGAAAGGCTATAAACGATGCAAATGAGCCACTGGTCATTCCAGTCACGAGCAAAAATAATTGGCGCGATAGACCTGGGACAAATGCAAAGAAGAGCAAGAAAAATCTTCTACCAGCCGAGGTCCAGGCTTTACAAGAGGCCCAACGAAATGGACAGGCGCCTTCTGGCGGTGCGGTTGAGACGGAGGGCCCGAGTATGGCTTACGGCCTCAGCTTCGTTGATAAGCCTGCGGATCAAGGGACGACTGGTACTACTGGACGGAGATTCATCTATGCCGGACGCGAGACACGCTGAAGAGACTAAGCCTCTTACGGATGACCAGCTGGCCATGCAAGCTTTGATCAGCGAGAGCAAGGGCGAGGTGGAGCGGAGGTCAGACCTTGTTATCCAGACATCTGCATCTCGTGATGACGAGGACGAAGCGTCTGGCCGTTACGATGAAACAAGCTCTTTCCGAACAGACGTGCAATCTCGGCCGGAACCCGCTACCCTAGACCAATACAACGCCATCCCTGTTGAAAGAATTCGGAGCTGCGCTTCTCCGCGGAATGGGCTGGAAAGATGGACAACCCATCGGACGGGGCAACTATGGGTCTGCCGTTAAAGTGGACAGCAATAAACCTCGGGTTCCAGAGAGACGTCCTGGCTTCCTGGGTATTGGAGCCAAGGACTCAACAGGTGGAAAGGGCGCTGAGGCTGAGTTCGGCGCTTGGGGAAAAGCGGCGATGCGCAAGGCGTCCAGGAAGGCGGGGGAGGAGAATGGAAACAGAAACACCGAGGGTGTGTATATGCCAATCACGATGCAGAACAAGAAAACGGGAGAGCACATTACAGAGGCGGAGCTAGAAGAACTGAAGAAAGCGTCCAAGTCCGAGCCCGCTAAGGACGACTGGCGCGATCGCCGGGATCGCAATTTGGAGAAGAGCGGACGTGATAGTGATCGAGATCGGGATCGAAGCTATCGTCAACGGGACTACGACAATGATCGCTCTGACCGGAGGACTGGATCCTCAAAGAGAGACCGAAGCTCATCTGCCAGTCGCCATTCCTCCCGGCGCTCGCGCTATGATGAAGAAGATCGTCGCAAAGATGATCGGTCATATCGAGACCGTGACCGTGACCGTGACCGTGACCGTGACCGTGACCGTGACCGTGACCGCGACAGAGATCGGCGACGGGATCGCGATGAGGAACAAGACTCTCGCCGGGACAGGGATCGTGATCGTGATCGTGATCGACGACATCGCGACGACAAGTACAGCGGCTCCAAGCAATCGTCTCACTCGTCTCGAAACGACCGAGACCGCGATCGTGGCCGCGATTCTCGTCGAAGCCGGAGGGACGATTGAATAATGAATCACAAGCGGATTTGCTGTCTTCGCGAATGTGCACTTCACCCGGCCAAAATGGCCTCTTACCTACTTTGAAAATTAAAGATACCCTGAACATTACAGCTTAGACTGAAATTAAGTGACATAATAGTTCAATTCTATGAGAAAGTAAATGCTTTTATCCTTTCCCATAAACCCAATATACTCCAAGACAAAGCGCCGTCAATATACACAAGATACAATGCAGACTTAAGCCTCCAACATGATCACATCCTTCTCATGCTCTGGCACCTCTCCATTGCTCTTAGCCTCATCGAGACTCATCAGGCCAAGACCACCAAGACCTACACCACCGTCCATCTCACCGAGCACCCACTCCACAAGGTAGCTATCATCCGACAGCTCCTCGACACGGCGATAGTGGCGCTCCGTGTACGAAGCAAGAGCCTGAAGAATATCTTTCAAACCAGCAGCTGCGCGACCGTCCTTTCCGCGAACAGATTGGGTCGCCAGTTCGACGAAGGTCGAGGCGGGATAAGACCGGAACAGAGCAAAAAGAACACGCTGAGCCACGCGAGAGGTACGCGCGTTAGTGTTCCAGTCACGCAGACGGAGCAATAGTGTACGCAGGTTGGTAGAGTCAAGAGACTGCAAAACCTCGTCAATGGATGGGTTACCAGTCAGACTGCCAGCTGCACGCTCACGCTCCTCGGCTGGCAGAGTAGGGTCATCAGCTGCGTCAATGGCGGATGTGAAGAGGGAGAGAAGACGACCGGGATGGTTGAGCTGAAGGGCCAGGGTGATGGCTTCGCGGTAGGCGCCGGCGCGGATGTAGTTCTGCAGCTGCTGGTCTTGCTCGACGCGTTCGGAGTTAGCGTGCACGGCGGCCGTGTAGGTGGCAGAGGTGGTGTCGGTCCAAAAGGTCACGGTGGAGTCGGAGGAGCCACTGGCCAGGGCGTAGGGAGTTGAGTCGAACTTGGAGGATATGACCTTAACATCGGAGCGCGAGCCAGAGGGAGTCGGGCTTGCTAGGGACCAGACTCGGTCGGTGTGGTTGTCGAGGGTGGCTTCGAGCTCGCCTGTGTATGGGCTCCAGATCTTGACCAGGCCGTCTGCGGCGGCGGAAGCGATGAGAGGTCTTGTCTGCTCGGCATTCTTGCCGGTAGGCACTTCCTCGTCATCCTCGTCATCATCGTCGTTCTTGGCTTTGGAGACCTGGGGAGGAGGCAGCCAGATCACCTTGAGGACACTGTTTGTGTGGCCCTCGAAAGTGAGAAGACAACTGTAGTCGGACAAGCTCCAGACCTTGATGGTCTTGTCACCAGAACCGGTTGCAATGAGGCCTCGACTAGTGCTAGTTCCGGCGTCGGAGTTAATGATGGGCGTATTTTGAGGCGCAAATCGCACTCCCCAAACACCACGCTTGTGACCACGCAGAACACCAATAGCAGATCCGTCCTCGGCATCAAAGATCTTCACAGTCTTGTCTTGGGAAGCGGATGCAAAGAGGGAGGAAGTTCCATCGACATCAAGCGAGTTGATATCCTTCTCATGAGCGCGTCGTGTGTAGATTGCCTTAAGGTTGTGCGGCTTGTCGCCATTGAGTGGGCCCAGCTTGCCAATGTCCCAGCGCTTCACAGTCTTATCCTGAGAGCCTGTAACAAGGAACGGAGGTGGATGGTTGACCGGATCTTTATAAGCTGCGCTGTCAACCGGGGGCGGAGCCCGCGGCAGAGCGATCGCTCCCAATGACTCAGCGTGACCAGTCAAGGTTGCAAAACAAGTATAGGCGTTGTTCTTAGGGTCAATACGCCAAAGAACGGCCTTATTGTCCTTGCCACCCGTAACAAGCCAGTGCCCAGACCAATCCACGTCAAGACAGATAATGATATCGTCGTGAGCCTCGAGATGGGCAATATCAGCACCAAAGAATTCCTCGCCCTGAGCTGAAGGCCGATCTTCCGATGGAGCAACGGAGACAATTCGAATGCCCTCAGTATTGGTAGCCAATGCCAGCATTGACCGATCACCACCAACAAAAGCCAGGTCAATGAACTCATCATCGTTTCCGGAGATGCGACGTATGATGGCCAATGGCTTTAACGTCGAGCCGGGTTTGTAATCCGACAAAGACTCGACCGAGTGAAGTCTGATAGTCTGATCTGCGTGCACAGTCATAATGAAGGGCAGACCAGGTGAGTACTGAATAGCCACAATGGTTTCAAAGTCTTCTCCTGCCTCTTGGTCCTCCGTGATCTCGCTGCCGCGGTTGACATCAAAAGCGCGCAATTTGCCATTCTCTCCACCAATCACGCAAACTCCGCTATCCAGAATGAAGGATGCAGCCTCCACACTCTCAAGGACGGGGATGATTCTCCTAGTCTTCCAGGTACGAGCGTCCCAGATAATCACAGTCTTGTCTCGAGAGGCAGAAAGAAGCGCGTTCTCGGTGGAGGAGAATGACAAACTGCGCACGAGCGAAACGTGCGAGTCGAGCGACGCAATGGACTTCCTCTTGTGCAAATCGTAAACGCGCACTTTACCCTCTTCACTACCACTGGCCAATCGGAACCCTGCTGTAGAGTCCGTAGCATGCAAAGCAGCCTCGTCCATCTCTTCGTCATCGTCTCCGGATACCTTGCGCTTAGACTTCTTGGAAGAAGACTTTGTTTCGTTCTCCGCAGCGGAAACCTCGAAAAAGCAGAGCGCGGAGATGACACCACGGTCGTGGAAAGTGTGCGTCACATAGCCTCCACGGATATCCCAGACTTTGATGGCACCGTCAGCACCACCTGTAGCCAGAAGGGTGCTGGTCTGGTCAATTGCAGTTGTCACGACTGGCGCAGTGTGGGGCTTGAGGGACCGGACAAGCTTCGCCTCGATGGCCTTAGAAGCTTCATCGAATGGTGACAAGGAATAGATGCGCATGGACATCGAACGGGAGCAGACAACAGCATGCGAAGCGGATGGCGTAACTAAAGAAACTGTGAGTATAGGGTCTCATGAGTGCCGTGAAAAGTTGACGTACTCGCCAAGCTCGTGATGATTTCTCCATCCTATTAGGCTTATCAGTACAGAGTTCGTGACTGTTTTTCGAAGTTCGACTCACTCCTTCCAGACTGGCAAGCTGGTCACCAGTCTCCAAATCGACGATCAAAGCGTCTTCGCCCACACAGGCCAGCAAGATACGGCCGCTGGCATCCAGCGCCGTGCTGCCACCGGTATAGATGGGGCGGATCGTGCGAGACGCCTCGAAGGTAGTTTTAACAATTGCCTTCGACATGATGTGAATCGCAGCCCTTTGCGACAACAGAAGATCAAGAGCCCGAGCTTTTCGCGGGCAACTTTTTTTCGGTCATTTGCACTGTTTGCACCGATAAGATAAGCTCACCTGGCCGCGACGCCTCACCCTCACCCTCTGCTTTCTACACTCTGTCTACGTCCTCCAAATTATTATCGGTCCGATGGACATCTTGATTGTCTGATCAATACGCTCATTTACGCGCACCTACCGAGTGATGAGTCTTGGTCCCATACTTACACGCGATGGGCCGCCAGGCTTATTTAAACCGGCTCGCTTTGGTAAGCCACCTGCTGTTCGCTTGTTATTCCTAGTCACGGCCTGTTCATGTCCCATTATCTTTGTGCACAATAGCGACTTGATCTGCTCGTATGTACGAACCGGTCAAGAAGCTGGTGAGGGTCTCCTTACATTATGTGGATCAGCGATACTTAGCTAGAACATGGACGAGTCTGTCTCGTAATTGCTTATTGCTTTGATTTCTTGCTCCTCGTGATGGTCAATACTAACTGATCATAGGGTCGGTCACCTTATGAGCCCCCCGAGACTGCTGTGGTAGACCCTTCGAATCCGGTTCGAAGGGTGTCCAACGTCCATTCTGATAGTTATATGCAGCAGTACGATGCCCGGGGTCATCCAGTCAATCCGGAATCAAAGGCCCTGGGTCGGGAGCTTCGCAGAGCAAAAAATGACATCCTTTCTACGATGGGAGTTGTTGTCAGCGGCGAGGACAGGAATGCTAGCTCTTCCAAGGAACAAGAGAAAATTAACCAAATAGCCACCGAAAACGACTTCGGCCTAGTTATCACTACGTTGGATCAACTTTGCGTATTCCTAGGTACCTGGTGGTCTTCATCTCTCACCGGGCGAATACAGGTATGGTCACATCTAGAATCTCTGTCCTAGTGCTAACGTGGGGGGGATTCGACCCACAGGCATACCGACATTATTCCCATGCTGCTTTGCTTGAAGTGATTCGCTCCGAGCGTGGAGCGACTGGCGTATTTGGGTTTTATTTAGCAGGAATCCCTGCATGGGCAGTGTCCAGTGGCTTGGCCATCATTCGAGACAGCCCGCTGAAGCGGGTGTTTATGACGGCACGCGATTATTTTGCAGACATCACTGGCAGCGGAGGTCTCTCGCTTGGGATTAGATCTCTTTTCGGGCTCACGTACTATGTGTAGGATTTTTCATTCTTCTTGAGAACCCCTACGTGATGCTAATCTTATCTTCAGGGCAAGAAGCTCGGTTCTTCTCTTGTCAGTAGAGGCCTACATGTGCTCTCTGCTGCAGTCTCTATCTCTTATGCCCGCAAACGCTATTCCTAGCCTTCGCATCTTTGTGCCATTTGGCGAGGAGTCCTTAGTTCAATTACCCCATCTTCCCACCGAGCTGTCTATACAATCAGCTGGTGGATTCATTATACGTCTGATGGCATCACCGGGAGTTTTGACTTTCTTATTTGCCTTCTACTTGCGGCCAGAGCTTGAAGAGCGCATCTACAGACTTATCCGTCGCCAGCTGCCGAAGCCTACTGTCGTCGACGAGCTTTCCATTCGTGTCGCGTACGAAGAGAACCTGATCGACTGGGTGGTCCCCACCCTGGGCCGCAGGTCCGCAGAGGAAATGCGCCGTGCCAAGCTCACATTATTTGAGGACATCAGGTGCGAATTGATCTCCTTCCAAGGATGGTTGTTCTCCTTCTTTGGTCTTTTGTCAAAATCAAAATCTGGCGCAACAACCAAGGATGGCGATCAGTTGGAAAGAATAGAAACGCTTCGAAATTCAATCGAATCGTTGCAGAATGAGCTTGAAGAAGTTCAAGTTCGTAGTCTTCCTCTGGACGAGGAGCCGGAAGATCATTTTGCAAGGCGTCTGGGGTCATTCTCCCGTACAAACACGGGCGAAATTGGACGGCCTGATCTGCCAATTGTTGCAGAACCTACCCACATGACTGAGACAGAGCTGGCCTTGAGTATGCATCAGGTACTCACCAACGAGAATCGAATGTCCCAGTCGCCCGGAGAAATGAGCAATGATTTCTTCTCTGAAATGGCAACACTGGGTCGAACAAGTGCGCACTCGAACACAACGGCTTCACAGAGTCAATTGAGCCACACACCAGGTGGGGAAGATATAACAGCAGACCGACAAAATTCTCGCTCAAACACACTCTTCTCTCGCCCGTCATCACCGGAGACTTCACCCCCGACTTCACCTCGTGTTCGAGCTTCCTTGATTCATCAAAGTTCCGATATAATCACAATGCAGCTAGAGCTTCTAGGCAACCGAAGTCGCAGCGCCCAAGGCCAGGGGATTGCCTCAAACCTACTACCCAGAATGAGCCGAGATGGCTCTAGTTTGCGGCCTTCGACTGCACCTGACCGACGATCGATTGCCGAGTTCCTAGAGGCATTGATTGTGAGCCAGGCTGCTCAGCAGGAGATTGCAACAGACCAAGATGGCGACTCAAATGCAACTGCAGGAGCGAGCTATACAACAGCTCAAGATCTCCCTACAGTCGACGAAGACTCTGAAAATTTGATAGAAGAAGCCATTTCAGTTGGCCAACCTATCCCGCCTCCTCCACAAGACGGGCCCATATCGAATGTCCCCAATATTCTTCCAGATGGTGTCGAGGAACCTAACGATGAGGAGCCAGACAGTCAATTACCATTGGCCGTGGGAGCAGCCCAAGGTGCGGATATTCCAATAGGCTCTGGCCTCGGACCCCCAAATTTCGCCTCTCGCTTCCCCGGGCAATCTGGCACCAGCCCGTCCATGGTTGCTCACCGGGTTACTCTTCTCTCCGCGCACCCAGTGGATTCGCTGGCATCTCATCTTGCGGCTATTATTAGCACCATGCTTCTCTCTCCCTTGGAATCACTTACCCTGCGTTCTCTGGCCCACTCTTACCTTTCCACGCACCCTTCATCTACGACTCAACTCTCAGATCTTTACGCTGTGGATGTTTGGTTTGGTGGAGGCTCTTGGTCCGATAGAATTGCATATACTGGGAGACTAATTCTTATGAGAGGCATGCAGGCCGCGCTTAGGGCAGGCGTCTGGGGTTTCTTGGTTGGTTCAACTATGAGGATTGGGCGAAAGTTCTGTGGCTGGGGTAGATTGAAGTGACCAAGCCGAACGTCTTCTCATATAAAGTAGCGCCTTCCATGCATTGACAGTCTTGTATCTTACGTCACGGTGAACATGTAGCGTCAAGTCATCTCATCTTTAGTAATACACAGATCTATGCCGGGGTTCTGCCCCAAGACAGTCGATATCTTCCTATTTTAAGAATAAAAAAGGTTCCCCAAGCCATTCTCCCTTATTCATTGCGAAGTTTCAGTCTACTTTGCACGGCCCTTTCCCCTCTGTCCAGGAACCTTGCGCCGTTCCCAGACCATCAAGTAGCCCTCGCGCGTAAAGAGCGTCTCACTCTCGGCGCGCTTAACGAAGAGATCTTGAATCTCGAGCCATTCAGAGTGCTCTGCAGCACTACCTTGGTGGCGGGCATTTTCAGCTGAGACAGCCTTGTCGTGCAACTGGACAAGCCAGGAGACCTTCTCGCTGCCTCCGCCGGCCCCAGAAGAGGAACCCGCGGCACCAGAAGCAGCGTTGACACCCTTGTCAGCTGCGTCTTCAGTGGCGCCTGGTGCCGCGATACTGGGGTCGAGAATGATGTTGGCGACGAGATCGTACACAATTGGTTCACCCGGAGGCCAGACCTCTGGGTTGGGCTCAACGTATGGCGACATGTCAAGGCCACGAGGGGAGGGGAAGGTCACAATGGTTGGGTTGCGTTCGGCAACAAAACGGTTCTTGCTAAATCGCTTGATGTGGAAAAATAAGAAAGGCGGAAGAGGATGGAGGAGGCGGTGTCGGACACGATGCGCCATCTTTTCAGAGGCTGTGAGGCCGTTGTATTTGTTGAGGAGGGTAGTCAACGGAACCTGAGGAATGATGGATTCGCGGTTTGCGGATTGGAACAGGGGGGTGGGAGGTAGATCCAGAGTGAGGATCATAAAGGGGGTGACGTTGCTTTTGATGTCGCCAGATTCTGTGAAGACTAGACGGGCGTTTTGGGTATCGGAGTGCGCGGTAATGGCCTGAGATTCAATTCGGACGCGGCCTTGGAATGTAGCATGAATGACGCTCGTCGGGGCAGTCGATGGTTTCTTGGAGCCGCCCAGCGAGAGGTGAAGGGTGTTCAGGAACCAAGAAAGAAAATCCACGGGATCTGATTGTTCGCTGAGTGTGAAGCGCTTCGAGGATCGCAGAGCCACTTCCTGCAGTAATTCATGCGGAGATACGTGGGACCGGAATGCCTTTGGGTTCCATAGCTTCCGCACAAGTGTGCTGAATCGAAGGACGAGCTCTGGTGTGCCTGGCATTGGAAATTCGTGGAGAAGGAAAAAGTTCCGGATAGGATGGACATGAGCCAGAAGCTGAATGACACAGTTAAAGTAGTCATTCTTCTTGATCTGATTCATTCCCACGAATCCTGGCCTGTACCGTGAACCCGAAAGATCCCAAGCGTCGTGCACCTCCCTGTCAAGTTTCATAACCGCATCTTTAGTGAAATGAGGATCCACCACATATTTGATATCATCCAAGCTCTGATTCTTGACTTCATAGCCTTCAGGCAAGACATAGACCTTCTTCGAACCGATATTGATGAAGACGTGATGTCCTACTTCAAGCGCGTGAAAATAGGCGTGCGACTTGGGACCGCGTCCTTGGTAATATTTGCCGCAAACAAGGCAAGCGTAGACATTAATATTTGACAGACTGACGGAACAGAGCTTCTCGAAATCGAAATCCAGCACACTGCGGTTGATGGTGTCGAGGTAGAGGTCGCCGTAACCTTCCATGGGCTGGGTTTGTCTCTTGGGCGCGCTGAGGGCGGAGACCTCTTCATCAATATCCGAGGACTCCGGCATGTCCTGTGCACCCTCCTGTAGCTCTTCTCCTTCTATGTCGGCGGCTGCTAATATATCGTTGCCATTGCGCTCGTCCTGCTCGAGCTCCTGGCCGCTGGTTCGTTGCGCGGGCGCGCCATTGCGAAGATTGGCCTCGGTCTCTTCCTCCACACGCACTTTTTTCAAGACTGGTGACCCGGGGAAGTTTTGCTCCAGGGGCAGCTCTGCCTGTCTCTTTGACATTGCGACGGTCTAGAAATGTGTTGGTGGCAAGGGAATGAGACGTTGAGAATCTCCAGTTCCACGAGCTTTGGGGGAAGGCGGATGCAAACGTGACAAACATCGGGGTTGCGCACCGCATCAGTTCAAGCAGTTCGATTGGTCCAGTTGTTTCAATGCCTCATCTATATATTATAATTAAATCGTCTTACAGCTACAAAGCATTTCAGTGAGTCTCATAGTTCCGCTGAAGATTGCACCTATTATCTCAATCAAGTGTAGGTTATTCCGTAATCAATTCAAAACGTCATAGGATATGATACAACAAACACCTTGGCATGTCGTCCATTAAGCACTTCGCGCAACACGATCGTTATCAAAAGGAATTTCCTTAACACCCTCCTTCGTCACTACCTTCACCAAGACCTGTATAAAGTGGTTAGTGAAGCACTGATAAGAGACAGTAGAGTGTAACGTACACCCTTGTAGTCAATGGGTAGCCGGCGCTTGAGCTCATCTGTGCACATCTCGAGGAGCTTCATGCCTTCTTCGAGAGAAATGTTGGGATTGTGATGCTTGTCAAGGAGTGAAAGACAGTAGTATCTACGAATATTAGCATTTACAGGTCCACTCAAAATTCAACTCGACTCGATATTCGAAAGGGTCCAAGACATACTGAGCATAGCCATGGGCGGCGTATGGTACGGGTGCCAGCGAGGCGAGATAGTCCACCCAGTACAGGCTAGGCTCCTCAGTGACGGGATCCAGCCCTCCCAAAAGTAGGTTGACGGTGTACGGGCTTCGTGATCGCAAGCTGCGTGCCAGCTCTCCTCGGACGAAGTTGGAAACAGCGGCGGGGCTGAGTTCGGTATCGTTGCGCATCGAGTACAATTTGATGTTTGCTTGGATGAATTCCGCGAATTGCACTAGATACAAACGATCGTCAGGGTCTGGCCGTGGTCTGTTGGAAATCCACGAGCTACTCACCGGTATCTCCAGCCTCTCCGGAGAAAGCCATGAGCGTGTGGGGGTTCAGTTGCCGTGTCTTGTCATCCTCAGCCTTTATGATGGTCGGGCCTCGCATTATGGCCTTGGATGCAGCCATAATGACAAAGTCTTTGCCAGTGATACCCAAGAGAACCTCCCTGGCAAGCACGGACTATTAGCTATGATCCCGTGTGAATTGGCGAGCAATAGATGTCAAGAACTTACATATTTGCGTTTAGAGAGAAACAAGCGTAAAATGAAAAGGTGAGGTTCAAAACTGGCGATGAAGGGAAGATGTGATTGAATCATGACCGCGCGGCGAGCTTGAAGCCTGGAGCTCTCAGCTACCCTGGTGACTAAGCCGCCGCCGAACAGCGCTTTTTTCCCCGAAAAAAAAAAGTTGATCCACGCAGATTCGACTTCCACGAATCTCACTTTCCTGCCCGGGGCTTTTTACCCGCAAATATTTACAGGGGCATCTATTGGAAATATTTTCTTGAAGATCGCCATGTCTTCTTTTTTCACTGTCCCTGCTTCCCAACGCAAGCGCAAGAGAGACGACCGCGCCGCGGCACCAGGATCTAAGAAACGTGGTGTCGATGCTCAGAACGAAGGCGCCGGAGGTCGACGAACCAGGGAAAGAGAGGAATCAATCTCTGGCAGTGATCTGGATGAAGACGACGAAGTTGCGTCCGCACAATCGGGCGAAGACTCCGATTCCGACTCGGACGATGGCGAGACGGCCGCAGACCGACGATTGAAACTCGCTGAACGCTACCTGGACAATGTCCGGGACGAAGTTGACGAAGTTGGATTCGACGCAGCGGATATCGATCGAGATCTGATTGCGGAGAGGCTGAAGGAGGATGTTGATGAATTCAAAGGCAGAGTGTTTCGCCTTCTTGGCTCAAAATTATCGTTTCCCACCGCTTCTCACTCTTTCTTCCGCTCCGACACACAGTCCACTACTTCTATCGCCATCCATGCGCCGTATGTCTACACCGTTAGCAAAGACAAGACTTTGATCAAGTGGGAGTTGGCGACTCCAGCCGAACCGAAACCCGCTGACCCGAACTCGAAGCGGCCTCCTCGTCCCCAACGCAAGACTCCTAAGCGAGTCAGATATTTCCGTGGTACTCGCAAAATTAATGGCGAAGAGCAAGGACACACTGGAAATATCCTGTCTGTTGCGGTCTCCCCCTCTGGAAAGTTTGTTGCAACTGGTGGAAGTGATAACAAGTTGGTAATCTGGGATGCCGAGACTCTCACACCAACCAAGACGTTCACACAGCACCGTGATTCCGTCGCCTCTCTGGCTTTTGCCCGTCACATTTCGACCATGAGTTCCGGAGAACAATTGTTCTCGGGCAGTTATGACCGTACGATAAAGACCTGGTCTATTTCATCGGCCGGTCATGCGTACGTCGAGACACTGTTCGGACATCAAGACCACGTCACTGGTGTTGCAGCTATGACTATTGATCAATGTGTAAGTGTTGGAGCTCGTGACCGAACGGCGCGTTTATGGAAGGTCGTTGATGAGACTCAACTTGTGTTCCGAGGCGGTGCCTCCAAGAACGCGCCTTACCGGGAGAGCAACATCGACTGCATTGCGCCGCTCCCGCCCTCTCACTTTGTGACTGGCTCTGATTCCGGCTCTATTTCGCTCTGGTCAATGCACAAGAAGAAGCCTCTCTATACGGTTGCTCTCGCACATGGCGTAGACCCCATTCCTCCTCTGGATGAGCTATCACCAGAGGCCGACCCAGAGGTTGCTGCCCACAACGCCCGGCACATGCGGCCCACAGCTCGCTGGATTACAGCGTTGACCACGCTTCCGGGTACCGACATTGTCCTGAGTGGCAGTTGGGATGGTTGGATCCGCGCGTGGCGCATCTCGGATGACAAGAAGACCATTATTCCCCTGGGACCTATTGGTGCTGGTCAACCGATTGTCGACACCCCTTCACAACAGCTCAGCCGTTCTCTTGCGCAAGACGGCACCCCAAATGGTGATGACATGGAAGTTGAGGCCACGCTAGCACCAAAAGCTGATCCGCAGCCATTGCTGAAGGGTGTCATCAACGATATTGCTGTACTCGAGCGCCGTCCAGAGGGTGCAGCGTCAGGTCAGAAATCTTCCAAAAATCAGCCTCAATCAGACCCCGAGGTTCGAGGTCTGTGCATCGTGGCTGCAATTGGCAAGGAGCACCGGTTGGGTCGGTGGAAGTGCTACGCCAACAACTATCATGAAGGAGATGCTCCCCAAGGTCGCAACGGTGCCGTTGTATTTGAGGTTCCTTTCGCCTCTAAGCAAGCCGTCGAGGCTGATGTATAACAGTTCCCATTATACTGTCCGCCCTGGTTAACCCCTGCAATCGGACTGTATGGGGTTGGAGGATAAAAATAGGAGCGTCATTTGGAGTGTGGTGTCCTGGAGTCGGGATTTGCATGTATTCTATCATCTTGCATACATATTGATATCTTCATGAGAGAAATCACATGAATTCTTTTATTGTCAAAACTGACCCCACCGTAATTAATTACCAGTGTTTCCAATCGTTTTGAGGAAGTACAACGAGAGTCCTCAAGTGCTGGAAAATCTTTTTGACTTAAGTTCGACTTGGTCGTCAGTCGTTGACCGCCTCAGGCCGCCACTTTAACTACATTCATTACTCGACAATCTCTAGATTGGAAACCAGTCCTCTGAAAAAGGAATGCAGCCAGGGTAGTCTCCTACCATGAAGGCTTCGCGGTATTCCCAATCTCGACAGAAATCATGCCAGCAATGCTCAAGTGCCAAGGCAAAGTGCGATCGCAAGCAGGGACGATGCACCAGATGCACCCGCAGAGGCCTTCCATGCATATTTCCTCATGCCACTGCTGCAACCAATTCTTCAAGACAAACTCTCCAAATTGCTCCTATGTACGAGAGTAACGAGCCGGGCGCGTCGGTTTCAAGTCCTAGTTCGGACTTCAGCGTGAATGTTCAGCCTATGAATTCGGTAGCGACCCCATGCAGCCCGCAAAATACAGCACGGAGTCTTAATCCAGATTCAAGGTCAAAGCCTGAAAAATCAAACGATCTCGATTTCGGCGGTCTGGATTTGATCTGTCCGATCAACGTCGACGATATCAGCAACCGCTGGTTAAACCCCTACATCCCAAGCCCCGAACAAATCCTGAAGGTATACCCAGCTACAGTTACTCGTTTTATTTATCGGATCTTGAAGTCATACGCATCTTGCGCGACTCGTGCACGATATATCCTACCCTTCATCCATCCCATGCAACTGAATGAGCAAGCGTCAACAGGCTCGCCACTCAATACATGTCTGAGCCTGATTCGAGTATGCGAAAATCCGTTGCCGGGAAGTCAAAGCTCTGCAGCGATCATGCTCCAGCGCGAGATGGAAAGCATCACGGAAATACGAGAGAAATATGATGACATGTCCCTGCTGGCTGCATTCCAAGCCTATCTCATATACACTATGGTTCTATTTTTCCGTCTCGGTCAGAGATCTCAACCATTCTTCCGACAAGCGATGATCAATCTTCAAGATCTTGCTTGTTCCTGCTCACGGCGCGGACTAGTATGTGCGGCTGATTCACGTCATACGCGACCGAGGTGGGAAGAGTGGATTGTGACAGAGGCGAAGCGGCGTACACTGTTCGTGATGTATCTCCTCGACAGTGTGCTCTCCGCTCAAGAGAATCTTCCTACCTTTCTCGGCACTGAGCTACGAGGGCTTCCGGCTCCGTCTAATAAATATTTATGGAGCGCTCAATCACGAGCTGATTGGGAGACAGAACACAACATTTTTCTGACGGAGTGGACAGAAGAGGGGCTAAGTATTGACGAACTTTGGCCCACACCGGTGGATTATGATGCAGCGAGCATTACTCGGAGACGTGACAGAGTAGACAGATGGCTTGAGAATCTGGATGAGTATGGCACAATGATGTTCGCGGTGACGGGATATACACATGATGGTTGAATCTGAACCATCTCATGCTCCATAGCAATCTCCATAATCTTAGCCATGAATTAGGCCCATCAGGTCAACATAGGCTCATGTCGTGCATTCGACTCGGTTCTCTCCAAACTGAAGGATCTAATCAGACATAGTCCGGCATTCTTATCGCTGGGTGTCCACACCAAGTCATGGCCGAATGGCAAATCTCACACCCCCCTTTTTTTTTTTAGAGTGTGCTGATTCACCTCGTCCAGCTCTGGCATATCATAAAAAGGATTGAGTTTCATTCTGGAAGATTAAATAAATAAAAACAACCCCCAGCCCGAATACGCGATGAGATAAAGTCGGGAGTCTCCTTGCGGTCATTGTTTTTAGGTGCCCTCAACTCCGAGACTCAACTCCGTCAACCCCGAAATGTGAAAGGGTGTGTTCGCGCCTTCCAAGGTGTATAAGATTCACTTTTGATCCTCTTCTTTTCAACCTATAATTACTATTTTCTACCATCTGATGTGAGAGGTCGTCGCGTAGAGTACATGGGTATTTTCCAGCCTGGTTCACTAGTGCCGGTTGCTGTTGGACCGGTGATAGGAGGTGCTCTCGCAGAATATCTAGGATGGAGATTCATGTTCCGGGTTTTGGCGATCTACAGTGGCATTTAACTGGTTTTGCTGCTTCTTGCTCTACCTGAAACACGTCGATCAGTCGTCGGCGACGGATCGTTGGTACCATTTAACTGATTGCCCAAATACCCTCTGAATCTTTATCAAAATCTCAGCAAGGTAGACTAGGATCGTGATGCACCACTGCCTCATTTGGCAGCTAGGAAAACCATCAGCATCTGGAGTCCGTTCCGGGTATTCATAATTCAATACATTGAGACCCAATGTTCGTCGCCAACGGAGTTGGCTCCATGGTTGGAACCGTGATCACCGGCAAGATTCTTGATCCGAATTATCGCCGCATGAAACCAAGTACGAGCTTAAAATCGATGTAGAAGTTGAGGATTCATCAGAAAATATTATATGCCAGGAAGACTTCCCGATTGAAAGGGCTCGTCATCGACTGGTACCGTTCTTCTCGGGCCTACAGTGTCTTTGCACTCTTCTATGCGGTTGGACTTTTATACCCCCACCGCGTCCATATCGCTTTTCCCATCATTTCGACTTTATCACGGGATAGACTATTGTCTCGACGCAGTCGGTGATCATGACCTATCTGGTGGATATTTTCCCGGGTCAAAGCGCTGCAGCGAGGGCGAGTTTGAACCTGGCACGGTGTCTGTTCGCTGCTGGCGGAACAAGCTTTGTCAGGCCTATGATTCATGGTATTGGGGTTGGGCTGACATTCGCCCTCTGTGCTGTTGTTCAGGCTATTACCCCTATTGGACCATTTATGCAGTGGAAATTTGCGGGGACTTGGGGGAGAGACACAGGAAGACAGGAGGCCTAATCTTCTGAAGGGGGCAGCTAGGGATACTGGCACGGCTGGATTTGAAAATAGATGAAAGAAGGATTTTGAATTCACATGAATTGCACTTTGTTTTGGAAAAGATCCTGGATAAGTACCCCATAGCACAGAATTGCTTGATTGATTATTCAGTATTATCCACATTCACATCTCGAATTTAGGCGAGGTGGCGCTTCCACCAATTCTCTTTTTGCTTGAAAGACTCAAGAATAGCCGTGTGCCCATGCCACCCATGGCCTTCGCCGGGGAACTCAACCACCTCCGCAACTCTACCATGAGCATGCATCGCTTGAGCCATATTCCAAGCTTGTGCCAACGGGACCACCACATCCACAGTTCCCTGGAGAAGGAGAAGCGGTGCCTTGATGTTCTCTGCGAAGAAGCACGGGCTTCGCTTCTTCAGCTCCTCTTCCCTGTCCTTCTGCTCCGTCTTAGACAGCAGCAACCGGTCCACATCTTGGCTCTCAAACTTGTACGAATCAGCCTGCAGCATCTTCACGTCACTAATTCCGTAGGAACTGATTCCAGCGGCCCATACATCGGGATACATGTGCAGGGCTTGCAGGGTCAGGTAGCCACCGGCACTACCACCATAGATCCCGACGCGGGCTCCATCGATTAATCCTTCTTTGGCGAGATACTTGACTGCGCTGACTGCATCTCCCGTGTCAACCAGGCCCCAGTACCCCGATAGTCGCTCCCGATACTCGCGTCCGAAGCCCGTAGACCCGGTGTAGTTGACAGCGCAAACGGCGAAGCCGCGAGTGGTATAGAACTGAATTTCCAGATTCAGAGCTGGGGTAACGTTTGCATTGGGTCCTCCATGGACGTAGACTAGAACAGGGGAGGAGTTGACGCTTCGGCTTGGAAGTCGGGGTTCTGGGGCGGGAAGTAAAACATGTGCACTTGGCCATCGCATCGTGGCCCATACTTCTGAGGGGCAGTGAATTCTTGAGCACGAGAGATATACTCGGGTGCGAGGTCAAATGAGGCAGTTGAGGTGAGAACTTTTGTTTGCGTTTCAAATGAGGGCGCAATTGAGACCAGGGCCAGTTCTTGGAATGAGGTTGCTGAAGCAGCAACGACTGCGAAGCTGTTTGATGATACGCGGTAAATTCCGTTGGCACGGAATCCAATGTCCACGTAGGGGAGACCCAAGTCTCGCACAGACAGATCAACGGTGTCAATTAGGACAATCTTGCTAGTGGCGTGAGTGATGGCCGTTGCCACTATTGTCCTTTCGTCTAGGGAGATATAGGTGGAACTAGACAAAATTAGACTCCTGCTAGCGAGGTTCGAATGATCTTTTGAACGTACCTACCAAGTTCCCATTCCGCAATGGCGAAATCAGCATTTTCCAGGCCATTGAGCGAAAGACTGCGAATATTGGCGTTCTTCGGATCGTATGAGTACAGTTGCCAAAATCCAGTCCGGTCACTGGCAAAGTACAATAGCCCATCCAAGCCCCATTTAGGCTGCGCGATACTCTCCGCCATCGCTTTTCCAGCAATGAAAGTATCATTATGCAGAGATCCACTGGCCCACTCTGCCATGTGAAGCAAAGTGCCCGTCCATGGCATATCCGGATGGGACCATTGGATCCAGGAAACATATTTACCAGAGGGATCGAATTTGGGATGGGAGTAGAAATCATCACCTTGGGCAATGGTGGTTCCTCGCCCGGTTTTGATATCAATTGCCACAAGTGTATTGTGGACGTGGGTGGCCTGGGTCTCTGGGGTAGCCTCGCGGTGATCTTCCTTGATTGCAATGATCCAATCCGAGTTTTTCGGGTGGGTGTTGAATTCCGCATAGCGAATACCCTTGGGTGCTTCGAGGATGAGCTTGACATGACTCGATTCCGGGTCCAAAAGATAGATGCTGCAGGAAGTTTCATCCGAAAACAGAATCTGGCCGTCAGGTCTCATAGAAATGGAGCCACCGCCGAGTTCCTGCACCGTGGCGTGGGCGCTCAACTCTTTGGGCAGAACATCCTTAGTGTGCCCGTTGAGATGCCGCACAATAGCAAAGCGACCACCCTCGTTGGGTCGGCATTCAATTGAGTAGATTGCCCCCGTAATTTCCTGGTGTCTAATCAGCCAAATCTTTCGGAGGTGTCCAGCGACCACTCACATTGACAGCGACTTCTTGAAGCGATATGCTGGAGCCCGCCAAAAGCTCTGCAGTGAGCGGGCTCTTCCAATGACCGTACGGCACCGATTTAGAAGACATCGCTCGCAGTCCAGTTTGATTACCGAACGTTGAAAATTGTAAGATGGCTCTCGGGGTGAGACACGAATTGTTCGAGACCCTCTTCAATGAGTAGCCCGCTTGGCAGTGATTCTGGATGACTCACAGATCAGAAAACGGATCGCAAATTCAAGCGGTGCAACAAACCCTGGAGATATTGTGGGGATAACTACAATATGTTCGTCTTAATATTATCAGGGACGGTCTGGAACAGTAATTAATCGGCACTCGGATGATAGTGCGTTTCATTCCTATCCGTTTCCGCACCCAAATCAGTTTAAGGAATGACCACCTTTGTAGATTATTTGGAGCCGAGAAAGATTGAAAGGATTCTAGATTAAGGCCAGGGTCAAGAAGCGGAGAAGACAGTACTGGTTAAGTTGTAAGAGAGAGAGGAGAAATTGGGACGACGCAGGACGTGGTGCTAGCGTTGCAGCCCGATTAATCAGGCAACTGCGATAACTTAATTGCGTCGTCTGAGAATAAAGTTGGCTGTCACCTTGACTTTAGAATGATTCATTTAAGGCTTCTAAAAGATCCTGAAGCCAGACAATTGGGTGGTATTATGAGTATCTGGTGTGCCCTTTGGCTCACTTGGGATTTACCCACAAAGAATAGATAGTCGGAGATAGGTAAGCCTGTAGTCCAGTTCAAAAGGACACAAGATGGGGTATTGAGGAACAAGCTATTTTTTCACGTGGCCGAAGAAAGCACGTATATGGAAGACGCGGTACCACCGTCATGTGAAGGAGTCTCTCGCGCAAGGAGAGCGCCGCGCTATTTTCTATCCCATTGAAGCGCCGCGCTATTTGAAACAATTGAATCAACGCCGAATATGCAGAAGAGAAGCAAGAGTGAGTAAAGAAAGAGAGAGAACTGGATCATGGAGTTCAGTAAGGAGTCGCTCGGGCACGGCGGCGCTGTGTTGCTCTCCTCATAGGTCCGACTGGTTGTTCGTCTTCAGAATCATCAATAGTAATTGCGTTACCGGCAGAAACCCCCGTGGTCCTGGCGGGTCTCATAGGTCTTGGAGCAGAGCTGTCGCTTGATGGTTCACTGTCATGATCGGTAGGGTAGAAACCTTGCTCGTAATAACGGTGGGCATGGGCCATTTCAGGGTCCGCTGTATCGTTCGTTTCGGCCTCGGAGACCATCGGAGATGATCTTGTGTCGTGGTATGTAGGACTGCTGGATGGCGCGCCCATGCGAGAAGGAGAGGACGCCTCCCAAGGTTCTCGGGTCTCTGTAAAGCTATCTTCTTCCTCGTCGACCCCACTGCCTTCTTCTTCGTCATCTGTCATGGGAGCATATGAGACGTCGCTATAGCGCGGTGGACCCCATGAAGGTACATCCCTGTTCCGAATAGGGGCAGCGCCCACCACTGTGACGCCGTCAGACTCCGCATCATCTTCCCCGTCCGGGCGAACTTCTTCGTCATCAATAAACGAGTCCTGATCATCGTATTCGTCTTCCTCATCTTCATCATCTTCGTCATCGTAATCGGTCATCTCAGAATGCATCACTTGCCCTTGGTGAGGATTGGAATGAGAGTGAGGGCGAGGATTTGGGTAAAACTGAGGGTGTGGGTGAGGACGAGAGCGCCATGTTTGTGGGAGACTTGGATGATTTGAATGACCTGGGTGCCACAATCCGTTCATTGCCTGGCTGATTGCCGAAACAACGGCGATGTTAGGGTCTGCGTAGGGGTGCGACGCGCTGAAGGGGCCGAACTGGCTAAATACGTCCTCGGCATCGAGATCCCCAAATTCGTCCTCTTCGTATTCGTCCTCATTGGACTCGAAGCCAGACGCGTAAGAGGGGGTCGCGCTGCCGTCGTCATCGCCACTGTATTCTGTCACCTCGTCTTCTGGATGATAACGCCAGTTGCAATTATGACATTCTTCGCCGTCCTCAAGCTCCCACGAGCAACATGGACATCGAGTGACGCCATCGTCGACGTCGACAACTGGCTTCAAAGACGGGCCTTTTGGCTTGAACAGTCCTCTGAACAGACCACCTCGGTGTGGATCTGTATTTGCCTTGTCCGTTTCTAGGCGAGTCGCCTCTTCTTGTTGATATTTCGAATGCTCTGCGGTAGTTTCTCCTTTATCCAAGAGCTCTGCGCGACTTGTGAACATTTGCACGACTGCTCGAACCTATGGAATCCCAAACATGTTAGAATCTCTGCATAGAAGCAAGTAAGAGACCAGACTCACCAGGTATGCCGGCGCGGGTTGGGTTATGACGGGTGCTCGACAGTCCGGGCATGTCCGTTTCGATCGGCCGCCAGAGAACCATGAAGAGAGACACTGCGCGATATTAGAGAAACCCTACCAGAAGGCCCAGGTGCACGCAAAAGACTTACAGAATAGCAGAAAGTGTGCCCACAAGCGAGGGTGTAGGGCTCGTAGAGTGGTCGAATACAGATACCGCACTGTATAAGGCTTCTGATATCATCCACATGGCCTTGGAGCGTGTTGACAAGCTGGAACCATATTAGTTTTGGACTTTCAAGCAAAGGTCCATAGAAGCTTACCCCGGAGGCCTCGGCCTCAGAGCCACTGACACGCACCATGTTGGCCGCCATGCTGGCCAAGCAGGATGGTTTGGTATTTGGGGTCACTGCACTTGCAACTCTGATATTGAAGAGGTCGCGTTTTTGATGTGGTTGCGCGGAGACGCGAGGTCCGTGAGAATGCGGTGGGGGTCGGAGGAAAAGTTGCCCGACAGTGGCAAGAAGGCGATCTTGCAGGGAAAATTGGAAAAATTCGTGTCAGAAGCCAGAAGTGATGACAAAAGAAGGGAACAATGCAGAAGATAACGAACGAGACTCCACGCATGTAAATTGGTCGCCGATGTAAAATCCAGCCAGGAAGGCGTTGTTTCATGCCCCAGGCATCAGCTGACATAAGGCTTTCTACCTCCGTCACGTGGGCTTTCAAGCATCAATTGCTTTGTTTTCACAAGTCACCCTGACCCTTCTTAATTTTACCGTCACTGTCGCTCCTTTCTCCATCTTGCTGGTGTATCACTATCAAGCAAGATTGCTACTGTAAGGCTTTCAAAGGCTGGTAATAATCTGGTGGTGCTTATGAGTGAGAAGTTTACAGCACGGGCCATTAGCACTATCGTTACCAGTTGCCGCCTCCTTGCATTCATATGGAAGATCTATTGGCCCTGCGATAACTGTCCATTTCCTGCAAATTACTGCAGGGATATGAGGATTCAGTGTTCCATCACCTCCTGTGGTTTGTTTGATTCAACACAATGGGGTCATCGAGAAATATGACTTGTCTCGATAATACACATTGTTCTGGTCCGCAGCCCCTGGTCTAGCTCAGGCAACTATAACTATTGCAATCCCTATGACTGGGTATTCATAAAATCCAGTAAAGGAACGACATGACGCAGAGTGCAATATATTTCGGGTAATCTTGTTAAAATATCCAGCGTAGAAACTTACCACACCACTCGTTCACTCCTCCACAGCATGAATCTATACTTTCACTGACTTGAAACAAACAAAATAGTTATCAGCGTCAAGTTGATACAAATGCGGCTCCGGCGATTTGCAGACTTGGGTCTCCGTGCCAAGACCACGGATCCCCAGTTCTGCCGGAGCAGCACTAACGCCGAGATCTCCGATCCACCTCCAACTTTCTCCAAGATCGCATCCGACACGTCCTATCAGTACTCAACTGTTTACGCCTGCTCACACAACTTGTTCCCATTCTGTTAATCCAGAGATCTCAATAACTCAACAGCCTTATCTCGATGTCAGGTGAAGTTCCCAAGGAGGACAGTCACGGCAAGGCGTGGGAGAAGGCGGAGAGAGAAAGTTCTCCCAGTAAGTTTCAATTAGCATTTTCTTTATTCTCAGCGTCTCAGATGTGAGATAAAAAATTTATGCACGCACACTTGCTGCCGGATATCCGTCGCAGTGAGATGAAAGATTCTCAGTGGCGCAACGCGACGCCGTGATATATGTATGGCCGGCTTCAGAGGCGCCAAGGAACACCTTTCTTTATGGTCAACCGTCTTGAATTGAACAATGTTCTCTTCAATATTGCGTTCGGAGCCTCATCCCGTGATCATGGCTGACCCGATGGTACTAGCAAAAATGCCAGCGAATACTATGACCCCTGTCAGGATTTTGCGGATCGAAGTCTCAAGTGCATGAAGCGCAACGGATTTGACCGCGAGATGTGTGGCGACTATTTTCAGTATGTCCATCGTCACTTGGCTCCGAAGAATTATGCGCTGCAACCTCGGCTGCCTTGGCCATCTTGATCGAAATTGTCTTTTTCACGTTCAACGTTCCGTGACTGACTGATTTTACTTGCCAGGGCTTATCGCGATTGCAAAAAAAATTGGGTAAGTTGAGATGCTGCAGGTTACTGTATTGTCTACGTGTCTTGAAGTCAAGGCATTCGGGTGATTCCGAGACTCGTGTTTTGGTGACATGAAGACTAGTGCATTGGAGTCTCGCTAACAATGACTACAGTTGAATCAGAAGAAGGCTTCTTGACCTTTGAGTATAGAACTAAAAGGATCCGATGCCTTGTGACGAATTGGATGCCTGTTCTCAGAGCGATAATTGCATCTTGTATCATACTTTACAACCCATTAGCATATCATTGTTCAACTCATCTATTTTGCAAATTGAGATCTTCAATCGATCTGCATTGTGGAATACGTGACCTCTCACAGGAGATCTGCAGCAGGCATCAAAGTGCCATGGAGGGACGGGGGTGCTAAGAAGTACTCATATCTGTAAATTAATTAATTTGGGCCCCCTTTGGAGAGATCGAAGCATGCTACTCTACTATAAGAAGACTTATTGCTACCTAAGAAGCCCATATTTCTCCATGTGTAAATGGGGAATTCCATGTGCATGTATTGACTAGATAGCATGCAAGACTTCTCTCAGGGCAACTCAAGGAGTCACATAAGACTGGCTAAGCCAGCCGGCGCGCCTGACAACCTGACGACCGATGCCTTCGGCCCTCACCGCCTTTCTTGCTTCTGCCTAATTTCTTTTCACCGCTCTCGTACGTCCCCGCCATAGTGCTTCTGCAAGCTCTCTGGGAGCTCGATTTACCCTCTGTTTCTGCGTGACTGCCGTTGAGCCTTGTAAGAGCGTCTCAGAATGGCGTCTGCGAATGACTCGGTTTTTTTGCGTCGGAACAATCAGGTCCAGGATGCGATTGACGGGCAGAATCTGAAGCAGGCGCTTCAGTTGGTCGAAAAGCGCATGAAGAAAGGCGAGGACACAAGGTTCCTGAGAGTATGTAGATCTAATTGCCACGCCATTGAGTCTTGAAATGCCACGAATCTGGGCTTCAGTGCCTCGGGCTCTCGCACTCGGTATCGGAGAAAAACATTGCTTACACGAAATTCGACAGGCTTGGAAAGCGCATATCCTCTTCCTCCATGCAGATGATGCTCACAAGCAGCGAGGAATCGCCGAAACCCTCGAGCTGTGTGCCGCCGAGCCCCCTACTACCGACCTCGAAACGTTGGACAAGCTCTTCCAAACCCTGCAGAGGCTGGATGGACATGGTGCGACCAGGAGTAGTCTGTGGGAGAAGGCCTCCAAGGCAAAGCCGCAGGATCTCGAAATCCAGCTGCAATGGTTTACAACTTCGTTTGAGAGCAATGACTGGAAGTCAGCGCAGAAGGTCGGCATGAAACAATGACTCAATGCATCAGTCCCTCAAATCTGACATTCATTTCTCTTGATTACAGGCTGCAATGAGTCTTCAGAAGAACTTCCCCAGAGAGAGCGGAAGTATTACTTCTGGGCCATCCTGCTCACGCATCTTCTCGCAACAGATGCCGCCAGTTCTGATATGGAGCGCAAGCTTTTTGGAACATTGGGGTATCGGATGGCCTCAAAAGCAGCTGCGGATGTTCCTGCAAATCCGGTAAGTTATTCCAGAAATCAATCTCTTTACATCTCCTTCCAGTATTGAGAAAGCTTACAAGGAACTACATCAGGCCGATTTGTTGAGTCACTCGCGCGCAATTCAGACTTCAGAGGAGCTGCGATTGCTTATCAAGATTTACGAGTCCCAAGACCAGCATGCCGAAATTGTCAAAATTTTGGATAGCGAAAACCTTGGCCTCAAATCTCGGCTTATCCGAAGCGATAAAAGTTTCCTCATCAGTAAAGCCACAGCCTTGGCATCTGCTGGACTGTGGGAAGAAGGTCTAGCTTTTGCGAAAGATCTTTATACTGTGTCAGAGGGGATGATCAAGAAAAAGCTCCGCGAACTCGATGATTGGGGCATCTGGAGTTTGTTGGTTGAAGCTGTTCGGAACATCAAAACTCCCGGGTTTGTTCCTCGACTCCTTTTCGTAATCGAGATCATGCTAACGTTTCCTCGCTCCTTAGGATCACTATTGAGACACAGAAATTTGTCGAAGAGTTCATCAAGGCCTGTCCTAAGTCCCGCAATGCGGCTCTGGCCTTCATTGACCTGTCGTTACTCGGAATGCAGCGGGGAGAGATGGCTGCGGAAGAAGTTCTCTCAGCTTGCGAGAGATACGCAGATCAACACAAGCATAAGCTTTATGTCTTCGGCGATCTACGAAGAGCATTAGCTGAGAATAGAACTGCTTTGTCGAAAATTGCCGACTACCTTTCAAATGCAAAGAATGATGGGAAAGATGTTAGTTTCCAGATATCAAAATTCCCTGCATACTTACGTTGGAGACTAATCCGTCATTTCAGACCGTCGTTCCCATGATCAACTCTCTCAAAATTTCCTATTGCCTTAACATCTCAGGTGCCGAGGACAGCTCTTCTAAGGACAAGGTTGAGGCATTTGTCAGCCAGTGTCTGAAACTTTATCAGTCTTGCATTAACAAGGGAAGTCCGGAAAAGACCAAGGAAGAGGAAGCGGCTTCTGCCACCGAAAGCCAACCTAGAGATGATCTGTGCATACTTGCTGCTATGGCTCTCCTTCGTGCAAGTGCGGCTGGCGAGATCCAAGCGCGGGTTCCAGATTCGGCTCTTATTCGTGCCGCTGGCATCTTAGAACGGCTTCTAGTCGATTCGCCTCACAACTACCAGGCTCGTTTACTCTTGGTTCGCATCTTTCTTATGCTCGGCGCCGGCTCTCTTGCATTGAGCACATTTAGCCAGCTATCAGTCAAGCAGATACAGTATGAGTCTGTTGCTCACAATCTCCTTACCCGCCTCGCAACTATTCATCCTCACTCTGCCCCGCCTGTCGAAGGCGCCGAGTACAAGGACTTTGACCCTCAAGCAGCATTTATTCAGGCCCTCAACTTCTATCGTACCTCCGAGGTATCAACACTCAAATTCCGCACCCGTTGCATAGCTGAGGGGAGCTTTGTCAATGCGGAAGAAATGGTTCAGCTGCGGGATCGCCTCAGGAACAGTATTTGTCGCAAGATGTTTGCGCTTGAAGTGCGACGCTCGCAAAGATTGGCTGGAGGAGACCCTATGGGTCGCTATGATGATATCGGTTCGTTCTCACATGTGTTGAATGCCAAGCTCCTTTAGGAAGCGGTTGCTGACCAAACTCACAGCTCGTAATGACTCCATTTCCGTGGACAGCCGAGATCACGATGTTTTTATGAACTGTGAATACCCAGGGAAACCGTCATTCGAGGAGAGAATGCGCGTGGGACCGATTCCGAAGGTATCTTTTCTTGTCATCTCGAGTCTCCCCTCAACAATAGCTGACGTTCGCTCAGGAAAACTGGATGGCCTCTGCCCGGGTGACCGACCAACTATTCAGCGTGCTGAAGGGTATCACTCTGCAGAAGCCGTTCACACCGGAACTGGATGTTCATGATTTCTCCAAATTGAGCATCTCCGAGGCAGCAGATGATCAGACAATCGCGGAGAAGGAGGCAGCCAAGATACACACATTACTACTGAAAGCCGCAGTCTTCATGGCAGGGTCGAAAGTCACAACCCTTGAACAAGCTGAGAAAGCCCTCGGCGGTGTAGAGGAATTCCTGGAATTGAAGAAGAAGGATTTGAAGCTTGATTCCACTGATGTCTCGCCGATCATTTCCACCACCGCGTTCTACCTATCTGATGCGCCAACTGCGCCCACATGGAGATTCTTCCACGCTGTCTTCACACTCCTGGAGACTCTGAAGGCTCTTTCTCAACTCACCAATCTGGCTTTACGGAAGGGTCCCAAGTCAACCAAATTTCCCAAAGAGTGTATTGATCGGCTTTCGAATCTGGTCACTGAGGTCTTTGATCTCGTTCGGGCCAATGCCAAGGTGCTTAGGAAGCGCGTTTCCGCATCGGGTGTGCTAAGTGGCTTGGTCGACCTTGTCGGGCAAGGCGAAGTATCCAACAACTACAGCCAGGAACTTCAACAAACGCTGGAGGCCACCTTGGATGGATCCGCAGTCGAGGTGTTCTGCGGCTCGCTGATGGAGAGCTGGGAAGACGCCCTAGATGGAGTCATGGGAGTCAGCATCTGATGGGGTACATGAATATCATATCAAATTCATCTCCTAGTGATGATGGGAAGCCATTCTAGACAGATAGATGAGCATGGAACGCCTGTATCATTCTTACTCCACAAGTACATGTAGATCCATCCAAGGGCATCAAGTCGCACGTGACCATATTAGATCTAATGCCTCAGGCACAAATACCCACATGACCACTAGCCCGAAGGGGTGTTTAGCCCTAGCCCTAATTATTCGCCTACCGCACAGCGTGCCAAGACCCGCAATTGTGCGGTTCCCGTTACTAGGTGGATTTGCTCACTGGATTCTTCATTCCCTTTCTACGACAACCACCGCCAACCTCCCCAGTCACCAACCGTCGAGATGGCCCAGGAACGCTCCGGAATTGTGCTCGGCACCAACAGTGGCCACGTATGTCCATCACCTTTTCCCCTTGGCAGTGCCATGTCTGGAGCTTTGTTTTTCGGTGCAAAAATTTTCGAGTCAGGTCCCGTCGAGGGTTCAGGGTCACTGCACGTCACGCCACTGCGATGATACCGCAGATTGGGAGAACAGTTTCATGGAATCTGGAGTGGAAGAGGAGGAGTTAGATATGGATATGAAAAGTTGCGGAAGAATCTCCGGACATTTGGTGGACACGACAAATCTTCAATCGCCAGCCTGAACCTCCGACATGACCTTGATTCGAATAAAATCGGCATGCACGAATGAAAAAAGCTGTCCGACTTGAACACAACTGCGAACGGATTATTTGAACTAGATCGACTAACACATTCATTTACAGAAAACCACTGCCCTCAACACCCCCAAGACTAAGATCAGCCGTACCAAGGGCCAGTCTTCCCGCCGCACTCAGTTCGTCCGCGACATCACTCGTGAGGTCGTCGGTCTCGCCCCCTATGAGCGCCGCATCGTTGAGCTGTTGAGGAACGCCCAGGACAAGCGTGCCCGCAAGCTCGCTAAGAAGCGCGTACGTGTCCATCCTCTCATTCTTCATTGAGCTCTTCGCGGGGTGTATTGGATTGGTTTGGGAATGATGTGGTTCGGGACAATCTGGTACAGCGGGGTGCTTGATGTGAATTTGCCACTCAGGGAAGACCAGCCGACCTTTACTCGGCTCATCCACACATCGCAACCCTGCACCATGCAACCCGAGTCACTAACCCCATCCTATTCAACTCCCAGCGAAGCGACAAACAAATGACCACTCGGACCAATGCTAACATCTCTCTAGCTCGGTACTTTCGGCCGTGGCAAGGCGAAGGTTGAGGACATGCAGCGCGTCATTGCTGAGTCCCGTCGTGTCCAGGGTCACTAAACGCTCCATTCCGTTGATTCTTTTTTCTCCTTAACGACTCGAATACCTGGCGCGCGCAAGGGATACGAACGAAAAAATCGCATAGCGTATGGCTTGCGGATCGGAACATGGATATAGTTTTTGACTACCGGCGGATGACGGGGATGGCAAAAGTGGAATCCCTTCCTCTTGTTATGGAAGAGAAACCATAATGAAAACATTTTATTCAACGTTCTATGCATTCATTAGTAGTTCCGTAGGTGTTTGAATGTCTTGTGGGAGACCATTTTCTTCAGCGTGACGATACGTCGCGAGTGTGGCTTTACTTGGGAGTTGCGATTTGGGCCCTTTCAAAGGACTCAAGCAAATGAGCGCCATCTCCTGTCGTCCGCTATCTTCTGCTGTCTAACAGCTATCAGAGTAAGTCTAGATCGTCATCAATCATGCAGTTGCATTTGTACTGCTCAGGAAGCAGATAGATATATCGCTATTCGCACAGCAATGTAACGCACGCCTAGTCATGGTCATCCAGCAATACGCATCACTCATGAAACACGTCTACGTCATTAAGATACTTCATTTCTTTCCAGGGAGCTTCAGCCACTTCGGAATGCCACCACTCTTCTTTGCTCCACTAGGCTTGCCATCACCAGAATCAGCCGGGTTTTCCTCGGTCTTTCGTGCAGATGGTTCCTCCTTGGGCTCCGGTGGCTGCTCGACCTTTATCTCCTGAGCTTTGCTACGGAGTTCCGGCCGCAGCAAGTTGGTTCGGCGCTGTGTAGAGGACACGCCATCAGCCCAAGTGAAGTTAACCAGGACTCGACCTGCTATACCCAAATCCTGAATCAGGGTCTGAGCAGTTTCGGGCAGAGTGCTTGGACTTCCAGGATGCGACGCCGTGGGGCCGCTGAATATGTTGAGGTTGAACTTCTCTCCAGTGATTGCTGGATCAAGACAGCTGCGTACAAATCCGTACAATGATTTTCCCGAGTCGGAGGGCCCAAACTTTGAGACTATCTGACTCTGATCTGGGAACCGGACTTTCACATCTACTTCGCGTATTGCGGAGCGCCGCTTCTCCTCTGCTGCAGCTTTAGCGGCGATTTCAGCATCAGTGAGTAGGCGCTGGTTGCGAGAGGTTTGGTTGAGGAGGCGCTGATGAGCTTTCGCGTGCTCGACTGAGGGTATATAATCCTCCTCGTTGTAGGGTATTTGCGCAGACGATGGAGTATTGGCGGATGGAGGAGAGAAGACGGTGATGGGTCGTTCGAGTGTTGACGCTAATGTGGGGTGCTCTGGAGCATCTGGAACCGGAATATCTTGGTCATCTACTGATAACACAGTCGGCTCAGTTGATACTTCAGGTTGATCAGAAATGAGATCCTGCTGCTGCGATTCATCTTTAATCACCTCTCCGGACGTTGCGGGTGCTTGATCTGGTGTCGACGGAGGCATTTCATCCTCGGAGGCCTTGAAGTACTCGGCAATCTTGGTCATGGCCACGTGAAGGGGATCTTCTGTCCGTCGGAAGCTGAGTCGGATGAGTACGTTGCCACTATTGAAGCCGAGTTGGGCCAGCGTTCTCTGTAAGTCAGCGAAGCTTGACAGCTCGCGCTCCAAAATCCGTAGGACAGGGATCTCGTAGAACAAGCTCCCAGCACCGGAGTCGCCATCTTTTGTAGCAGGCACCCCTCGGGCAGTCAAGTTTCGCAGTGGACCAGCTCCTGCGACGCCAGCTTCAAACTTGCGCAAAACCTGCCAGAGCGTAGTCGAGCTCGGGAATTTGTCAAGTATGCGGCCGTTTGGTGCACCGCGAGCTTCGGAATCGGGAAGCTGGAGGGCAACAGTAACGACAGAAGGAGATCGAGATAGCTGGACAAGCTCTAGCTTTGCGCCAGATAACAGGCCAGAGAGGCGATAGGAAAGGGAAAGGTCCAGTTGTTTGCCGTTATGCCTTATGGGAAAGGTTAGCATCGCCCCATGTCAGCGGGAAGCAGCTTGACTCACTTCAAGGCATATTGGCTAGGATTATATCCAAGCTTGGAGCATGCCTCTTGCAACACGTCTGTTAAGTGTTTGGCAGGTGTTGTCCTGATAGTAGCCCGCCTGGCCGTCGCGTCGATGACCACGACATGGGCGCTCATGATAGCAATGTCTGTGCCTCTTGGGGAGCAATGGGTTGCTGGAACAATGAGAAGAGATTTTGGAAGGATGTCAGAACAAGAGAGGAGTAGACAAGGTAAGATGAGGAGAGTGCGGGGGTGAATGATTAGAAAGAAAGTAGTCGAAGGTCGAGGCCGACCAAATAGGCAGCGGTGCGGCGTCATCCGAGCTCTCGCGTACCTCACAGCTCCCCGTCATCAACTCATCTCCCCCATCATCCACCCGCCCTCCTCCTCCAACACCTTTTGCACCCGTTCCTGTCTCTCGTCAAAGCTCCAGAAACTACTCCGCTATCGGGATTGATCAGAAAGAATTTCAATAATGGTATGAGACCGCGTCCCTTTCCTCATTGAATATGAACCACTGGAACTCAAAGCTAACCACCTCCTGCCATCATCAGGGCTCTCCCTTCGACATCAGTACGATTCCATTTTGCCCCTGACAATCAATCGACTCACACACTAACCTCTACATAGATGGCGGTGCCTGCGTCGCCATGGTGGGCAAGGACTGTGTCGCCATCGCCTGCGACCTCCGTTTGGGCATGCAAGCCTTGACCGTCTCCAACAACTTCCCTAAGATCTTCAACTACGCCCCGTCTACCTACCTCGGCCTGACTGGTCTCGCCACCGATGTCAATACCGTCTCTGACCTATTCCGCTACAAGGTCAACATGTACCGCCTGCGAGAGGAGCGCAATATCTCCCCCAAACCTTGGCCAACCTGGTCAGTTCATCGTTGTACGAGAAGCGTTTCGGACCTTTCTTTGTCAGCCCCGTCATCGGCGGTATCAACCAAACGACCGGCAAACCGTTCATTTGCGGTTTCGACAGCATCGGCTGTATCGATTTCGCCAAGGACTTCATCGTGAGCGGTACGGCCAGTGAACAGCTGTTCGGTACCTGTGAGGGTCTGTGGGAGCCTGATCTGGTGCGTTTATGCTCTTCTCTTCCCCTGCAATCAAAGCTAACATGATCTCAGTCTCCCGAGGACCTCTTCGAGACCATCTCCCAAGCCCTATTGGCCGCCGTCGACCGAGACGCCCTTTCCGGTTGGGGTGCTCAGGTTTATATTATAGAGAAGGATAAGGTGACCCAGCGGTTACTGAAGGGACGACAGGATTAAAGGGGAGAATACAAGAGGGTTCAAGTCGGTTTATTTCGGGCTTTCTGTTGGATTGAGGGCATCGGCGTCTGTGGTCTTCACTTGATGATGATGTGCCATCGCGGGTCAGCCACTGGCGCAATACCACAGTGACGCGAGGGCGACGGTCAGGCCGTGGATTCATCCTGCTATATGTTTCTCATACCCGATATCACGATAATACAAGCCCCGTCATCACGTCACAAACTGTGTCTCATTCGCATAACTTGAGGTTGGTTCCAGGTTTTCTCTTATGTCAAACAGGGTCAATAGCCATCTTTGCCCTGGACCGCCTCGTAGGCTGGCCCGTCCCTGCCCAGGAAATCTTTCAGATCACCTGCTAGCACTTCGGGCACCTCCCAAGCAGCAAAATGACCCCCATGCTCAAACTCCTTCTCCTGCACCACATTCCCGATCGAACGGTACCAAGCAGTAGGCAACTGGATAATTTCTTCCTTGAATTGCGCGACAGCAAATCGCACATTACATTGCGCAGAAGCCGACAGCACTTCAGGAACAGTTATCCAGTTCGTAATCACCTCCTGCTTGCCCTCACCCCCGATATCCTTGGTTTCAGGCTTTGATGCCGAAGCCTCATGGTAGATCCGAGTCGACGCCGTCGGCCCTGCCCGCGAGAAATAGTACACGCTGATCCAGGTAAAGATTTCATCATCTGTCCACTGGTAGTTGTCTGACCATGAATGTAATTTATCGTAGATCCACGCGAGAAGCGCAACTGGGCTGTCATGCAGGCCATATCCCAGTGTCTGTGGCCGGGTCTGTTGCTGCTTCATATACGCACTGCCGTTGAGAACGTAGTCCACAGTGCGGCCAATAGCCTTCCGGTCCTTCGCAGAGAAAGGCACACTTGCTAGGGAATGAAGAAATCGGAGCGGATTGCGCCATGGTAATGGAGGCATCACGGCAACCAAGTTCAGGTGAATGGCTTGAATATGCTTGGCGTAGTACTGTGCCATGGTGCGGGCGATCACGCTCCCCCAGTCTCCTCCCTGGATGACTGCAGAACCCCCCCGTCAGCGATCGAAACAAGAACGTATGATTCTGTGATTCTGTGATCTTTACCGTATTCTTCATATCCTAGAGTAATCATCACCTTGTGCATGGTCTCGGCATACTGAGCCAGACCGAATCCTCTCTGTAAATTGCATGCATCATCGGTATACATCCAGGAGATATCAGGCCACAAAAACATACCTTCTGCACACCCTGAGAGAAACCATAGTTAGGTAACGAAGGTACCACAACATCAAATGCCGGACCATCATCGCCCTGCACAAGCAACGGGATGAGCTTCGTAGCTTCGAGGAAGCTCCCCGGCCCTAGTATGCATTTAGCCATCGCCCATCTGACATGAGTGGAACTGGAGAACGTAGAAAGCTCACATCCGTGAATGAATAAGAGAGGAATAGCGCGGATTCCCATTTCGGTGGTGCACAACATGGATATCGAGCTCACCAAAGCCATCCACTGAAATAGAGACTATGAATTGGTTGAGCTGCTCGTTTAATTTCTTTTCTTGTGCGCGCCAGTCAAAGTTCTCACGCCATGCTGTGACCAGGCGCTTCATCTCGAAGAGCGGGACACCCATGTCCCAGCCAGCTTCGTCCAGTTCATCAGGGAACGTTGCTGCGTGGAGCTTCTCGTTGAGTTGTTTGAGCTGCGAATCTGGGACTGCGATGTTGAAGGTGGAAATGGAGGCCATTTTTGGTTCGGTACGGATTGGATGTGTTAGCAGAGGGTTGAGGAGTTAGGTCTGCTGTCACATCTTAAAAGCAATGTTGTTACAAGATCCCTGCACTGCGGAGTCTGATGCATCATTGGCGGGGTGGGCCTCGGTATCACAGTATGAAGATGTCAACGAGTATTGTATAGGTTCTGGCTATGTATTCATGATCATTGAGAGGTTGATCAAGGAGCGCTGTGTAACCACGGTGTTCTTCGAGGGCGTGTCTGGAGATTTCAATGGGTTGGTCCTCGTCAACTGCTCGCTCGGCTGTCTTCATGAAATTTAGATATTCACTGCTGTGCTGCTTCACAACTTTACTTGAAATGCACCTTTCGGCACTCTATCGTGTGCAGCTTCCAAAATTGCCTTCCCTCTAATAGCAGATTAGCTTTCGCATCCGACATTGATGCCCCTTTAGAAAAGCGAAATGGGGCATACAAGCTTGAGACACGAGCAAGGCTTTGCGGCTGAGATCGGGCAATCAGAAAACTCCTTGTCTTCCTGAGCGCAGCCTAAGTCAGGGATCCGGACTTGATTATGCACAATTGCCTAAGGAGAAAGCGAGAGAAGTATACCTGGTTTATTGGACTCGACAGATCAAATTTGACACTGAGATTGGCCTAGGCCATATCAGAATATGCTCCGGGGTGAAATGCTACGATGAGGAGAACAAGCTTGACTAGGCTAGGGACAATCATCTGCAAAAAGGGCATGTGTAGCAATGCGTGCTCTTATCTCCTATAATTCTAATGGTGACGGTCGCCAGAAAATCAGAAAATCATGATGAATCGGGAGTTCTCCACGCTCGCCTAGTTCGCCAAGCCAGTCCGAGCGTGCCCCGGTACCCAGTACGTGCCCATTGGCGCCCCCCCCAACTCGGCCACACAAGTACTCGCTACTTACGCGAAGGCGTGAGTCCTCATCTGCGCAGGTCTAGATCCCGCCGATCGTGTCTTTCCATATGCATGTGCGTGGGCAAAGGAGAGGGAATAAAAAGGGGAGACATACCAGGATACAAAAATTGCAGAAGCTTGACTATATTTATTATTCTTAGCAACTCCCACTCCCTAAAGGGCTGCTCTTTGGAACTGTTCCTGACCCACGAACTCCTGTTTCAGGCCCAAAGGCCCCCGTTGTCTAGACCGCCCCGGTGGCCCCGTAGAGCTTGGGAAAATCCCCTCCTGATCTCCCCTCTTGGCCTATTCAGTCCTTGCTGAACTCTCGTGCTTTCGACGTGGATACTTGCCCCCTGGACAAGCCATGATCTTTACCTTACCGCCATAGAGCAGCCGGAGAGAGCATTGTTTACCTACCTTTCCACATGGACTATGTCCGAAACGCCCGAGTCCGATGTCCCTAGCTCCGTACCACGACCTGTCATGTCCTTCCCCTCCTGCAAGTCTGAAGCCGCCAATGATGGACTTGCGACCGTGAACGAAGATGGAAATCCGCATTTTGATGCTTCAGGTCGCTCCTGGAACGATGGCGCTCAAACGACCGCCATTGAGCACCTCGTGACCCTCAAGGAGGGCCTGCACACCCCGGATACTGAGCTGTTCTGGAAACGGCTCATGGAAGATATCACGTCGATGGGCAAGGCCCAGTATGGATTCGTCGCTCGCAGAGTCCATGGCGGCGAACCCATGGCCGAACTCCAGGGGCGGCGCCCGATCCTCTTCGGTGCTGCCTTCTATTTCAACGACGGCTACCAGGCCGTCGGAATGCAGCGACACCGGTATTTCGCAGGCGGAAACCCTCTCCTACATATGGATCTCGAGCGACCCTGTCTGATACCGGAAAACCTCAAATCTTTGGTAGCATTTAGAGACGACCAGTTACCGTTTCCTGCGGAGGCCTACCTGGCTATCCCCCTCTTTTTCGGCGGGTAAATGTATCGCATATCTCGGTCTGATGTGGTCTTCTGAAGGTCTCCGTACACGAAATCTGTCCTGGTCTTTTCTGGAAATGATTTTACATTCCCTTGAGGACAGGATCGTCCAAAGACTCCTACTGGATGAAGAGTTCACTGGTCAGAGTCTTGACTCTGATGCAACGTCCGATACGTCCATTGTTCAGAACTCCCAAACAGTTTCCTTCGATGATGCCTTCGATTTCACATCCCAGCCCCTCAAACCGTACGCACGCAGCTTATCACACGAGCTGCGGACTCCGATGCAAGGCGTGGTAGGTATGCTCGATGTTATGCATGCCACGGTCCGTGAAGCGATGGAGAGCAAAACTCCGGTGAAGTCGGGTGGTATTTTCCAGGCTCTCAAGGAGGGCATTGAAATGGTTCAAGACAGCGCCAGACGTGCTGTCGAAGCGGCCGACAATGTTGTACATGCCTATGATCTCAACATGCAAGTCCCCAAAACACCGCAACGGGAGGAAGAGAACGCCATGTTTGAGTACCAAGGTTCGCCGCCCATGACGAGTGAACGGCGTCCGAGTGTTTTCATTCAAGGAAACAACATCGCAGTAAACCCGTACAAAAGGCGGCGGAGTCTTCCCCCCGACATGAGCTCTGGGGGTCCAGCTCCCCGCAAGCAAAGAACTCGAGCATCATCAACGCGACAAGAACTATCACCCCGTAGTGAAGAAGTCAAGAATGCCGTCCACGAGAGTGATCAGCTCGTTCATGCTACACCCGCTCGCCAGATCGAAGCAGTCATGGCGAACATGATGGATCCTCGCCCATCAATTGCCGTTCGACGATCGGCTCCTCACCTGCTATTGGAAGGCATTAATATGAACACCCGAGGTCCAGCTCTGCGTTTCACAAAATTGCGGGACCTTCTCCGCTTGGTGATCAACGAGTCTCTCCACGTTGGCGGCCGGCCCGACTCTGCTGTCAGCAATGCAACCGAGTCTGGTGAAAAAATTGAGATTCGGTCCAAATCGTCGAATGGAGAGTGTCACAAGAAGATTGTGGACTGGTCTGTTGACCCGGCCTTGCCCGACACTCTGCTTGCTGACGACAGGGATCTGGCTAAGTTGATCTCGTGCGTCTTCCTCAATGCTATCAAATTCACCAACGACGGCACAATTACGTTATGTGCGACGATCGACACCAAAACTAATGATGTCTTGATTCGCGTGCGCGATACTGGCCCTGGCATTCCGGAAGCCTTCCTACCAAACCTTTTCAAACCATTTGCTCGCGAGGACGCGTCAACTACTCGCAGTAAAGATGGATTGGGCTTGGGACTTCTTGTCGCCAAGGGTCTCTCCCGGAAGATGGGGGGGTGATCTGATTTGTGTTCGTTCCTCGACCACCGGCCCGGATCATGGCTCCGAGTTCCAGATTCGTGTGCCCGTGAACCAGCGTGAGGCTTATAGTCGACTTGGAACCCCAAATGAGAGGATTATAACGCCCCCAGTTATCAGCGAGAACTCCCGTCAGGGTAGTGCCAGCAGTTTTTGGAAACTTCGGCATCCATTTCCCCGTCTTTGCTTCCGAGCCAGCTGCAACAGCCGACACCTAGCACCGGTGATGAGAAACATTCTGAGAGTCCGAAACCCCCCGCGCACATTACCGCCATCCCGGTCGATTCGCTCGCATCTCAATCGGGACTATTACGATAAGAAGCTCGGCGAGAAGTTCCCATTGCGTTTTCTTGTTGCAGAAGATAATCGAATCAACCGCCGTGTGTTAATCAACATGCTGCGCAAGCTGGGCTATCGGGATGTCCTCGAGGCTGCCGATGGCAGGGAAGCGGTCCAAATCGTACAAGACATTTTGTCTGCGTCAATTGCCACCAACGAAACCAATCCAGATGAAGACTCCAGTGTCATTGCTCAAGCAAGTGATTCCTCGAAGATGAGACCCATCGACATTGTGCTCATGGATCTCTGGATGCCCGAGATGGATGGTTACGAGGCGACTTCTCGAATCCTCCAGATGATGAATGACCATCAGAGCCAATATTCTGGACCGTACGATGGCTCAATGCAGATTGGTAACACTGGAAACCCCGATTCCATGGATTTCGAGCCAATCTCACCTACACTTCGAGCGCCGCAGCCTCCTACCGTGCTCGCTGTCAGCGCCGATGTCACTGACGAGGCGCTAAATCGTGCCTCGAAGGTGGGCATCAAAGGCTACATGACGAAGCCTTATAAACTTTCAGACCTTGAACGACTCATTGTTCAGTTCTGTGGTCTTACTACCGACCCCGCCGCGGCATAAGTACCAATTCTATTGATGAAGCTTGATGCTTTCACATTGCTTTCAGTTCATCCTTTGGCAGGGACCACCATATACCCCTAAAGTCCTTTCCGCAGGGGCTTCTCTTTCTACGTGGCCTCGCGACCCCCATTTCATTCTGAGCTGGAACTTGCCCTAAATTGACGAGTAATGTACTCGTCATTAGCCATTTGGCGTCTTCGTTTCGAGCCACCCTTTTTGCCTCTTTGCCATATACCACCGTTGGGCATTTCACATTTATCTATTATCTTGTCTGCACATAATGAATGATGACACTACGCGCAATCAATCAGGGCAAGTCCCCTTTACATTCTTTCCAAAGACAGATCAATAAAATACGTAGCTACAAATGTATCAAGGAAGGGAAGAATAAGCAGTCATTACATCCATTATCAAGATCGACATCCCTCGAAATCCCGGCGCTTCTCGCCCCTCTTTGATCGTTTGAAATACAGATCGGACGCAAACATGCCAGAGCCACTTATAGCATATAATTAGATAGAAAGGCACTCTAGCCGTCGTTCCGGTCCCTCTTGAAAGAGATATGGCATATCAGTATCCAGAATCGATATCCGCGTAAACTGGGCGTGTGTGGTACATAGAGCTAGCAACCAGATGCAAGGTGAAGAAAAGGCTGAAACATATTTTGATTTGCAAACGTTCCCCATCAACCGTCCATCTAGGTCAACTTCTGCTTGATGAAGAATGAACGCAGGTGCGAAAGCTGCCAGGCGCAAGCGGCGGAGAGAACGGCCACTTGAATCAGGGCCCAGCGCACGACGCGGGAGTTGGTGGTCTCGGATTGATCACGGAATTCGGCCTCGCGTTCCTATACAACCGTCAATTAAAGTCTGTTTTATTGAAGCCATGTTTTGCCCATGAGACAGTCTCCTGCCATGGAAATTGCCATTCGGGGTAGACGACATACCCGCTGGTACACCTGCTCCCGACGAATATCGTGCAATCGGCTGTTCAGATCACGAACCCGCTGCACAATATCCTTCATCTTATCCTTGTCCTCGGTCTCAATCTTGCTCGTCTCGCCAATAGCAATATCCAGGGAAACCTTGACGGCGCCCTGGGAACTGGACAACCAGCCGCCAGAGGTAGCGTCGGTCTCAGCGGTGAAGCAGATGCGGTGCTGGCCAGCATCGGCAGCAGAGAAGGTGAAGCGGCCAGAGTTATTCTCGCGCTTGGAGACGACGCGGTGATCGTTGTCGAAGGTCTCCTCAACAGTGATGAGCATCTTCAGGTTGGGGTCAACGGAGTAGGTGTTTGAACCCTGGTTAATGACTTCTGTCTCGAATTTGCCTGCAGATTAAAGAATGAATTGAACGAACTTCCAAATGAGAATGAGTTTGCAGTGATTCCATACCCGCTACGAGGGTGTCCTTTGGCAGGTCCTCGAAGAAGCACTTCGGTTGCCGACCATCGACATAGAAGTACAGAGCATTGGCGGGGACGAGCAGAGAAAGCAACGAGAATAAGGCCAGAGCGGCCGCGAGCCATGACGGCGAGGACGTTGAGAAAACCATGGCTAGGAAGTTTGCGCGATTGGGGGGAACCTCAACTCCTGTCAACACGCGGAGTGTTGACCATCTGGCGACATCGCGGCCCTCACCGCCTGCCACCTTGGGCGCTCTCCCTTGCCAGTCGCCGCGCTCGATTTTCATCGTCACGACAACTCCCTCCTCATTAGTGCCATCTATTCCAATTTGCACGCCTGTCTTGCCTACTTGACGCGATATCACCCGTGTACCATTACCTGCAAAATCCTTCCTGAGCAGGGTTCACCGATCTCGCCATGGCCGCCGCTGCCGATGTGCGCGATATGCTGGACTTGCCCGCTGAGGGCCAGCCCCGACCTCATAAGAAGCAGAAGGTTGTGGAGAAGCGACCTGGTAAGTAAAATTGGTGTCTTCACGGTGGAACCCCATCTGACGGTCTTGTTGCAGAGGGCATCACCCGTGAACTTTACGCGCTACTGGGCGAACGAGCACCGCCAATCGCTATCAACGAGAACAAATACAAGGGGCGCCCGAAGTGGATGAACAAGCTTCGAGTGCGACCATGGTATGTGTGGTATTTAGCTTACGAAGACACGACAGGACTGACTGTACCTTCAGGCGCATGACTCCTTTCACGAACGGTGCTAGATCAGACGGTCTCGTCTTGAATCACTGGCAGAGGAAGCATGAATCCACCCGGCCACCTGCGCCTGACGGAGTCCAGATGGATGTCGATGGAAAGACCGAAGACGGAGTGGAAGAGGCTCCTAAACCGCTGGAGCAGGAATACAACTTTGCCAAATATAACGTTAAGGCACGCGTACCGCGACGGTACAACGATGAAGAATATAACCGACTATTGAAAAGCGATGCATGGACGCGCGAGGAGACAGATTACTTGATGGATCTGGCTACCGACTATGATCTCCGCTGGGTGTTGATTGCGGACCGCTACGATTATCAGCCTCGCATGGATTCTGAGCCAGATGCTAATGCGATCGTGCCAGCCAAGCAAGTGCGCACAATGGAACAAATGAAGGCGCGATACTACAAAGTTGCCGCCACAATGCTGGCAATTGAGCACCCACCAGCCGAGATGTCTGAGGCCGAGTTCGACATGCATGAAAAGATGCTGAAGTTCGATCCCGAACGAGAGAAGGCGCGCAAGGACTTAGCTTCACTGCAGCTCGACCGTACCGCCGATGAAGTCCGTGAAGAGGCCATGTTGCTAGAAGAGCTCAAGCGTATCACAACCAACGAGCAGAACTTCATCGCCGAGCGCCGCGAGCTCTACTCCCGCCTAGAAGTCCCGATCAGCGTCGGCAACACAGCCATGTACCAGTCCAGCCAGGGCTTATCACAACTCCTTCAAACTCTCCTTCAAGCGGACAAGAGCAAGAAGCGCCGCTCGATCCTCGGCCCCGACGGCGCCGTTGCCAGTCCCGCCGGCCAAACACCTACACAAACTGGCCCTCTTGGCCGCGCCGAAACGCCCAGTTCAAACCCCGCTGCCAACAAAAAGGGCTCAACATCACAACCCCAGCCAATGGTCCGTACGCTCACACCAGCCGAAGAAGCCCGATATGGAGTCCAGCATCATGAACGCGTCACAGCAGGTGTCCAGTTCCGCAGTGACCGTGCCCAGAAACTTACGCAGGCCAAGTCAAACGTACAAACTCTCAAACTGGCCGGTGCACTTGCCGAGCTCGAGATCCCCGTGCGCCTGTTCATGCCCACGGAACGTGTCTGCAAGGACTTTGAGAAGCTCATTCAAGCCGTCAACTTACTTCTTGACGCTCGCAAGGTCTCCGAAAAAGTCGAAGGCGAGATCCGCGTCTTGGAAGCCGCAAAGGCCGAACGCGAGCGTAAGTCTAGAGAAGCTGCTGGTGACTTTTCACACCCAGTGAAGACAGAGGCCGAGGATGGCGGGAACAGCGGGCTGGACTCGGCGGCAGAAGCCTCCGCTCCTGCTGATGATGGTGATGGGGAACGGGATACGACCCACAAGCGGTCTGCGAGCGTATTGAGTGGTGTCAGTGATAAGAGTAACAAGCGACAGCGGCGGTAGATCTGGAGGTCTCTTAAGTTTCGCCTGTGGAGGGCCGGAGAATCTACTGGACTGTACGATACACTTTCGCTTTGAGCTTGATTTGATACCTCTGTACGATTAATGAATACCTGCTGGGAGCTATATCCATATTCCAATTTCACTCCACCTTTTCCTGCCAGGTAACAATAGTAACATGCCTGCTGGGTATAATGAAGCCATTTGCGCCCCCACTCATGTAGGCGTTCCCTCATTTTCGTCAAGTCAGTAGTCATCTTCAGACGTACACAAATCCCACAGTACTTTGCTACGCCGATTAGCCCAGCGACTGCCATCAAAAGATCCAGGCATGCGGAGACAATCCTGGTAGACTCTCGCTGGGTCTTCTGCTCCGCTGCTTTTTGTAGAGTTGGTTCGTCTGGCACTGTTCGAGTCACACTCAACGAAAGCCGAGGAAGTCTGCGAGATTTCTTGCTTGTGTATGTTCGGGGAACAACGAGTTGCTTGACGCTTGGAAAGCTTCAACAGCCATCGTGAACTGCGCGAATTGCTTGGGTGTAGCTGACCAGCTTGGTCTTCCTCCTCGTCACGCTGATCTGCAGTGAAAGGCTCCGCTGTGGAGGGTTCTATCTCAACGTGCCCAACTATGGGTTTTGCGGTGTCTCGTACTTTGTCGACAGTATATCCGATTGCCAAGCGTGAGTCACCATGGCTGCCTGTCTCATGGCCGTCTAGTCCCTCTCCATTCTTTCGAGCTAGAAGCTGCACATTCACGGATCGACTGAGTCTAGCCCAGCAGGTCGCCGAAACATCATTTGGGCGGTTGCCGTAGTGGGCGCTTGATGGAACCTCATAACGTTCATTCTGAGTTGTTGAAAGAAGTTCTGGAGCACGAAGACTCGGAGGATTACTTTCATCAACCCAGACCGCACCAGTTTCATAGTCTAGACTGGATCGATTGTATCGACTATCCATGAAAGTCGGTAAATCAGGCGGCATTGGGTAATCCTTCGCTGAGTGAGGAGATGTCATGGAGTGGGGAATAGTAGCTGCGACAGTCTCGTGGCGTTTTGGATTCATAGGAGGTGGTATAGGGCGAGGCTCCTTAATGGTTGGCTCCATTTCCTCAGGACCCATCCGACAATCTTGGAATGGAGATTGGAATTGACGGTCATTCTTAATCGGCGATCTCCAGCCCGCTACGTCGCTTGGATGTCCATCGCTACCTTGGTGTTGGGTCGGTGCATCCTCAGCAGCTGATACCGGACTATAGCCATAGCCAACCCGTCTGCCTCCTGACATCCAACCTGCACTGATCCTGCGTGGAGAACGGTGATTCGGGTCATGAGGCTGACCGTGATATTGAGGGGGTGCGTTGGTAGCATCACAATGCTCACGAAATCTGCTTCCATGCATAGAGCCATTATCCGTAATAGGACCCCCGCTTTGAGGCTTCCCTCTTGTTCCCTGGTTGAACTGAATGGGTCTTTCGATGTGAACTAATGATTGGACACGCGGCGATGTTTCTCTTGAGCTGGGATGACTGCTTTGCTGAGAGTAAAACGAAGACGGGCCGCGGCGACTGATCTGCCCCTGCGGTGATCTCTGGCGAGGATGAAGGTTCTCATGGGAAGAAGACATCAGTTGGCCATGCCGATTGTAACGAGCGAGATCAACACTCGAGGGATTGCGGGAGATGGACCCAGAAGACATGGTCTGAGAAGCGAGCCGATGGGATATTTTGAGATCACCCAGATGAAGTGCCCGGAGATCTGTTTGGAGATCTGTTTGAGACATGGCCGCGGTCCCTGGCTGTCTCCTTTGGGCTACCAGAGCATCCGTGGACCAGTTTGGCAGAGATCCTGATGTCGTCATGCCCTTCCTTTGACCTCTCCTCAAGTACTGGTCCCAATGGGCTATGAAATTCACGTCATCTACGGCATTTGAACCGACAAGAGCTGGAGAGTGCATTGAGATCGATGGACCAGAGCCACGGCTTGGAACATTCATATTGGGTTGGGATCTTGCAAGCCCCATCTGCAGAATACGTTCTCCCCGCGTGCGCTCATCTTCGAGAGCTGGATGTTGACTGTTCGCTTCACGAAGTGGATGGGGTGCACCTCTTAGACTGCTTTTGGGAGTCGGTATATAATGCATTCCCAATGGGGAATCACGAGAATCCGACTTATGTGGGGACTGGTCCGTTGTCCAGCGCTCAGATTCTTCCCGCTCTTGGCTTCTTTCCATTAGATCAATCAACTCCATTCTCCGGAAGCCTTGAGCTGCAGGCGAGGCTGCCATGTGGTTCGCGCGGGTTGGAGTCGGAATATCTCGTGCATCGCTGTCGTACCCTCTTTCGCTCATCAGACTGCTCCCAATGTCTTCCAGTACCATGAGTTCTGTCCCAGGCTTCGTGGTTGACCTTGCCTTGAGGGAAAAGGGAAGGCTAAATTTGCCAGAATCACGGTGCTCATTTGACGTTTTGGACTCTCGAGAGAAGCGACGTCGAAGCATATGAGTAAAGTTCCCGAGCTGCTTCTGACTCAAAGGTGGGATATTGTCAAATCCAGACAGTAGGGGCCCTGATACGTATGACAGTTAGTATTCATTCTTCTTGCCAATCGACAGAGAGAAGTGCTGGATGTAAGGCGTACCTTGTGTCTGGTCCTGCTGAGATGCTCCCTCGGCGTGGGTTTGGTCGGAACGAGCAACCTCCGACGGCGCAGTCGTCCGCAGTTTTCTCAACCAAGGGCAAGTGAAAAATGACATCTTGCATAATGTTGCAAAGTTGAGCAGGAAGTAGAAGAGGATGAATCCCAAGATGTATGCGGTTTGCTCTATGCTGGTAGCAGGTGCCCTGCTGTGCTCCTTCCTCGACCAGGACACCCCAGATCCATGTATGTCTGCCCATGTCTATTACCATGGTACACGCCATGATGGACACCTTGACTGATCAATCGAGCTTTCTACGATTGAAAAGCATTTGGGACAGTCAAGGACTGCGGAGTTTCCTAAGAGTACTTCATGGGTCGAGAGGTTAATCTCAAATAAGCGTATCCAGCCTCGGTGACAACCCCACGAGAATACTTGAACGATTCGTAGCTGTGAGATGACCGAGGAATACAAATTCATCCAGACTAATTCTAATATACTGCGCAAGGACCAAAATTGTGTGTAGGTCATGCCAAGTCCAAGCTTAAACTTAGCATTACTGTACTCTGTCACAGAAAGATTGTCCCTTTCCATGCTTACTGCTCGAGGCCCCCCCTGATTGCTTGTTATCTCGTAAAACATGTGTATTAAACTCCTTGATAAAAGCATGCAAGCTTAGCGGTGTGCAATTGGTGAAGTGCGTAACTAGCGTTCTCAGGTTCCAAAAGAAGGAGCCGGTCAACCCCGCGTCAGCGTTACGGGCTTGCTCAATTGCATGAGACAGAGCGAAAAACAGATAGCGCTAGGAATAGCAGCAGAATTGCCCTAGCGCATAGCACTTCCGGAACTATTGGATGGTGGATAATTTTTTGAGTCTGTTGTTATTATTACAAAATGTGATAAATAAAATTTTGAAAAGTGGTGATCGCCCCCGTATCAAACAATGGCGTGATCCCCGCCGATCACGGAGACCCCTGCTGGGGTAATGTGACGTGTATATTACCATGGCACACCTAGGAAATTGGGGTAGACTAGTGGAGCTAATGCCGACCATGACAGTACTGATACCGATACTTGGAGGTCGAATTGCCCCTCCATCCTAATAGGGTTAGACCTACGGACCTCCCCCCCTCCATTTTTCTTCTCGCTCTTCCCCTTCTTCTCTCTCTCTTCTTCTTTCTCTCTTCACAGGTGTCGTGGTCTTTTTTATCATCTTTGAGACCCCAAATTCCCCTTTTCCTCTTTCTCACACACATCCATCAGAATGGTTCAATCGTATGTTAATCTCTACTCTGCTTGATGACTGTTGGACATTGACGCTAACTGGTCTAGATCCGTTCTGGGTTTCCCCCGTATGGGTAAGCTCCGTGACCTGAAGAAGGCCACGGAAGCTTACTGGGGTGGCAAGATCTCTCGCGAGGAGCTTCTCGCTGAGGGCAAGCGTCTTCGTCTCGAGCACTGGAAGATTCAGAAGGCTGCTGGTGTGACTCAGATCCCCAGCAACGACTTTGCTTTCTACGACCAGGTCCTGGCTCAGTCCCAGCTGTTCGGTGTCATCCCCGAGCGCTACAGCAAGTACAACCTCGACCCTCTCGATGAGTACTTCGCTATGGGCCGTGGTCTCCAGAAGGACGGTGTCGATGTCCCCGCCCTCGAGATGGTTAAGTGGTATGTGGAGACAATATTTTTGCTATTCCACGTGGCCTCTTGCTAATGTCTTTCATAGGTTCGACTCCAACTACCACTACGTCAAGCCTGCCCTCCAGGACAACCAGGTCTTCAAGCTGGATGCCAACCCCAAGCCCGTCGTCGAGTTCAATGAGGCCAAGGAGGCCGGTATCATCACCCGCCCCGTTCTTCTCGGTCCCGTCTCCTACCTGGCTCTCGGAAAGGCCGACCGTGGCCAGACCGTCGACCCCATCGACAAGCTGAGCGATCTTCTGCCCATCTACGTTGACCTCCTCGCCCAGCTGAAGGCTGCTGGTGCTGAGGATGTCCAGATTGACGAGCCCGTCCTCGTTTTCGACCTTCCTGCTAAGGTCAAGGCTGCTTTCAAGCCTGCCTATGAGAAGCTTGGCAGCCTCGGCGCTCAGGCTCCCCGCCTGACTGTTGCTACCTACTTCGGTGACATTGTCCATAACATCGATGTCCTCCCTGCCCTTCACAACGTCCACTCCATCCACGTCGACTTGGTCCGCAACCCGGAGCAGCTCGACACTGTTGTTGCTGCCCTTGGCCCCAACCAGGTTCTATCTGCTGGTGTCGTCGATGGACGTAACATCTGGAAGACCAACTACAAGGCCGCCATCGAGAAGGTCGAGGCCGCTATCCAGAAGCTCGGCAAGGACCGTGTCATTGTCGCCACTTCCAGCTCCCTCCTTCACGTTCCTCACACTCTGGCTTCCGAGAAAAACCTCGACCCCGAGGTCGCTGACTGGTTCAGCTTCGCCGTCGAGAAGGTCTCTGAGGTCGTTGTCATTGCCAAGGCTGTTACTGAGGGCCCTTCTTCCGTTGCTGCTGAGCTTGAGGCCAACGCCAAGTCCGTCCAGTCTCGCGCTACCTCCAAGCGTACCAATGATCCCCATGTCAAGGCCCGCCAGGCTGCTGTCACCCCTGAGATGCACAACCGTCTGTCTCCCTTCGAGACCCGTATCCAGAAGCAGACCGACCACATCAAGCTTCCCTTGTTCCCCACCACCACCATTGGCTCATTCCCCCAGACCGGTGAAATCCGCAAGCAGCGCAACTTGTTCACCAAGGGTGAGATCACTGCTGAGCAGTACGAGCAGTTCATCAAGGATGAGATCAAGATGGTCGTCGAGGAGCAGGAGAAGCTTGGCCTTGATGTTCTCGTCCACGGCGAGCCTGAGCGTAACGACATGGTTCAGTACTTCGGTGAGCGCTTGACTGGTTACACTTTCACCGAGAAGGCCTGGGTGCAGTCTTACGGTTCTCGCTGCGTTCGTCCTCCCATTATCTACGGTGACATCAGCCGTCCTGCCCCCATGACCGTCAAGGAGTCCCAGTACGCTGTTTCCATCAGCAGCAAGCCTATGAAGGGTATGCTTACTGGTCCCATCACCTGTCTGCGGTGGTCTTTCCCCGTGACGACATCCACCAGAGCCAGCAGGCTCAGCAGCTGGCCCTTGCTCTGCGTGATGAGGTTATTGATCTTGAGAAGGCTGGTGTCTCCGTGATCCAGGTCGATGAGCCTGCCCTGCGTGAGGGTCTTCCTCTTCGCAAGGGTAGCGAGCGTGACGCCTACATCAAGTGGGCCGTCGATGCTTTCAAGCTGTCCACCGCTGGAGTCACCGATGCCACTCAGATCCACTCTCACTTCTGCTACTCTGAGTTCCAGGACTTCTTCTACGCCATCGAGGCTCTTGACGCCGATGTTCTCTCCATCGAGAACAGCAAGTCTGATGCCAAGCTTCTGGAGGTCTTCAAGGCCAAGGACTACCCCCGTCACATTGGTCCTGGTGTCTACGACATCCACTCGCCTCGTGTCCCCAGCGAGCAGGAGATGAAGGAGCGCATCGAGCAGATGCTTGTTCACCTTGACCCCAAGAAGTTGTGGATCAACCCTGACTGTGGCCTCAAGACCCGTGGTTGGGAGGAGACCCGGGCTAGTCTGGTAAGTTTCCTAATTTGCTGAATTTTTTCCGGATGTGGGAAGATGTGAAGATTGCTAACATGCTATTCAGTCCAACATGGTGTCCGCCGCGAAGTTCTTCCGCGAGCGCTACGCTTCTTAAGTTCTTTCTCAACACCACACACAATTTCCCTTTTGATTTCTTAATTGGGTGGGCGGCAATCAACCTGCCGCCTCCAACACGGGGGAGTTCTTTGTTTTTTCATGACGAGTTACGATGATGATACCAAATCTCAACATATGGGTTTCAGCGAGGGTTTGTGATCAAGGCACCAAAAGCGGGTTACCATAGGGTATGGTACGGAGTTCAACATTTCTAACGATTTCAACATGGGTGCCACCAATTTAGGTGCCAATCTTTCAACAATTTTACTCTCCCTCCTTTGCTTCTGCATTTGCAAGGCATTGGACATGGAGACGAGAGTGTGTAGAATTAGCTGTGAATACTACTACGGTTCTATACTATATTGGTGCAAGTAAATTCCAGGTCGTAGGTCAGAGACGTTTGTGTATGCGACGCTTCGAGATTGAAGTTCCATGCCGGGTACAAATGACCGTGACTTTGTAGGCCGTTGAGGCGAGTTTTGGGACCAACTTGCACAAGGGAGTCCAATGGAACTTGTCCGTATCTTGGGTTGTTCTCGAGCGCCCTCTCTGTGACATTTGGTCTTCAGCACCACTTCAGTTGTCAGGAAGCCAAAGCTCGGAGTGTTTTATGTTAGCCTTCAATTCAAAAACACTGTGGATTGAGGATGTTTCAATAATGTTTTAAACGTTGTCGCAACTTCATGAATACCTTTGGCTACTACGACGACCATGACGCCACCACGAGCTCTGCGGGGGGATCCTGAATACGAGCAACTAGGGGACTACATGCTCTTAGACCATTCCCCAGCCAAGTATAGCTAACGGGTCTTCTCCGTGTCCCATCGGCTTTGACAGGAAATTTTGTGGGTCCTACATTGCAAAACCCTTGCAGGGAAAAGACCTCGGCATGAATCATTGTAACCTGAAGCATGTTGACTACTTCATGCATGCACTTTTTCCATCTACAGAAGCTTGTACAGGACCGAATCAGTTACGAGTTGGGCTAAATAACTCTTATTCTAAATGCGTTGACTCGTATATCATTACACCTGTAGATTTCCTCTTACTTGCCAGTCCCATCGCAGGGACTTTGAGCCTCGGCTTGAGGATCATTCGTGCACCGGCAAATCCACCGGTGAATCCGGACTGGGGCAGCGACGTAGCGCCAGAGCAACTCCGCCTGCATAAGCCGTTCTACTTAGTGGCAAATGATGGAACGGGCAATTGCTCGTTGCGCCTTCTTGAATGGTAGGTGAGTTCTTACTCTTCCGCATGTTACTTCGGCTATCCCGGGTTTCAATTGAACTCGGCATTGGCCAATCGTGATCCCCTTTAGGGACATGCGGAGGCACACGGGGCTCAGGGGCTGAAACAGGGTCCAACGGTCCCGAGTCCGCGAAGAAGCATCGTGGAATGACCGGTTACGTAAATGGGTGTTGGATTGCTATAGGATATTGGTGGTATCCTTCTACTCACTCTTGTTCATATGTTAATGAAATATCCAATTTTCTCGTTGAGATCGTCCTTCCGAATCATTCCCTGAAGATGTCTTGGAGATTCTATGCAAATATGACAATCAAAAAGGACGTGGAGGCCCCCACTCCACTCTTCCAGCTCACTCATAGGCTCAGGCGTCCCTTGGACTCAAACAAAATACAGTGTAGGAATTACCCTTTTCAGTTAATGCCATCGCAAGGTGCAGGAATCGGAAACCGATGGCGCCTTATCCCAAGCATGCCAGACACCATGTGAGCTCGGAGGGAGCTTCATAATGACTAGTAGGGCAATTGCGATACCCACCTTGAGTGATGATCCCAACTTCTTTGACTGCCGCATGGAAATAATTGAGGACCCGATCTCCGTCAGCATATGGTATATATAGTTCGAGCTCTTTTCTGATCAATCGATCATTCAATTCACTCACAATATGGCTTTGGTATCTTCATTCCTGGTGGCCTCGCTGGCTCTCCTGAGCCCGACGTTCGCTCAAAGCGTCGATGGCTCGAAGTATAACAACCCCACGGCTGGACCTCCTGCGAGCTACTTTGCTGCCGCTACGTCCGTCCCCGTCGCGGCACTGAAGAGTGCTGCGGCAAAGGCGAGTACCGCTGCAAAGGATGCGACTTATCCTGTCAACAACGATGGCGGTGCTGCCAAGGTCACCATTCACAGTGACTGGTCGAAGTTTAGTGAGGTGCGTGGATGCCAAGTCATTCAAATAGTTGATCAAATCATGTTAACATTCTATTGCAGGGTGCCGCTTTTGTTTGGGTCGCCGACATGGATGTCGATTGCGATGGTCTCGACTACAAATGCAAGGTATCTCTGAGTTTTCTCAGTCCGCGGCCGATAGAAACTAATTCCTCGTCACAGGGAAATCAGGATGGACTCCCTGACACCAATTTTGGTGCTCTGGCGGCATATGAAGTGCCATGGATTGTGATCCCGGACAAGTTCGGCACTACTTACCAGAATCTCCTTCCCGGAAATAATGTTGGTGCAGTTATTTGGTGAGCATCTCCCCTGGAACTGGGAAGATAGTGCCAAGTTAACAATGATGCAGTGACGGCAAGATGTTCTATGGAATCTACGGTGACTCCGATGGTGACGATCCCGAGGTGATCGGAGAAGCTTCGTGGCTCATGGCGCGAACGTGCTTCCCCAATGACGACTTGAACGGCAATGCTGGCCACGGTAGTGTCGATGTAACATGTAAGCGGAACTTCTCACACACAAACACCATGTTGTACACATTGACTGACTTGAACACTTAGACATTCTGTTTACTGGCAACGACGCCGTGCTTCCAGGCAGCGCCCTCAACAAGAACTACATTACTAACTTCACCACCCTGCGGTCCATGGGTGATAGTCTGATGGCTGCTCTGGCGAAGAATTTGGGTCTATCTGGTGGGTCTGGAAGCCCAACCACCACTTTGACTACAAAGACGACGACCGGTTCTTCCTCGACGACTACATGCTCGTGGTCTGGGCATTGCGCGGGAGCCTCTTGTTCTAACGAGAATGATTGCTCTGGTGATCTGGTCTGCAAGAGTGGAAAGTGTGCCAGTCCGTAAGATAATGTGAGGATAATATTAAAGGACTGGGAGTTCATCATTCTTGTTATGAAGAAGGAAGATGAAAGATGAGAGACATGATGATGATGATAGATTCTAGAGATGAAGCTATGGATCTACATATCATGGAGGATGAGGCAAGGATGCGATGAAGAGGGGCAGTACCTCCAATTCAATGCGAACACATATAAATGATCTATACAGTACGTCTCGAAACCGGTGCAACCACCTGAACTCTTCGATTGTTTCCCGAATCCTCATGCCAAGATCCATTAGTCTATATCTAGGACCCCAGAGTCAGTAGTCCTTCTTTTAGCGAGTGTAAGATAGCTGTATTGTCTAGGAGATATGTGGGTCACAACCCTAATGCATGAATGGTACGTATCAGGCTGACAGAACAATACCATCTATAAAAGTGCTCTAACATTCCTGTACTGGAAGACGCGCGCGTCACGCGCAATGGCCCTGCAACGATGAAAAGAAGAAACAGTAAAGTAAAGCGTAAGAAAGGGATAGATTGATGAGTTCTTCTTCCTTGACCTGCATGTAAATTGAGATAGGCCAATGAGGGAGGCAAAAGGTGACGGTGAAGTGGTGATGATAGCTTGAGCTGCTTCGCGGCAGTGCGTGAAATACAAGTCTGTATTCTCTTGATCGCCTCGGTGGCTAGGCTGCATCAGTTTTGTTCTTGCAGGGGTTGAGAAAGTGACTGACTTGTCAACGTTGATAGCCTGAAGAACAGTATGAAGTCAACACCATCGGAGAAATTAGGGATAGGATAGCCCCATACATAGACAAACGCGCCTGGTATAGGTCAGGTCGGCGCAGCCTTCGCACAACGCCAGCCATCCGTGAATTATGTGGGGATTGTGCCGTGCAGAAACGACCAGCAAGCGTGCATAGAATCGTAAAAGTTAGATCACCAGGATAAATGGTACAGTCTTACGTTTCTAGTCGAAAGAAATATGTAAAATAAGTCAAGGACTGCATTCTGTCAACAATGACCCCGAAACCAGGTGAACCTAGGCGGTCGAGTGGAAGGTTGTCACAGGGGTGCTCGTTTCATCGCCATCATCAGTGGACAAGTCCTCTTTTAATTGACGCAAGCATTTCACAATGACCAAGACTCTCCATGGGGTTATCATGCTCCAGGTGAGGACCTGCAACAGCAGCAAGTACCACACTGGGATCCAATTTTCTCCATTTCCGAATCGGTCGAGTCTCGTGTCAGGAGCAAAAACTCTCAAAAAAAGAGCCCCAAATAAGACAAGAAGCCCAAACCAGCGCCAAAAAAATGAAGTAACGCCTAGTACTACCAAAAGGGAAATGCAAGCCGGTGGATCACAATCTGCCCAAGGAAGAATAGTATGAGCAATGACGCTCAGGAGTTTATGGAACCTATCAGCGGTAGATAAGCCAGGAATCCTTGGACAAATCCATGTGTCCTGCGTTGCTCTAGACGGCGAGGGTTTGCAACGGCACCAGGACCGTTCTCCCCGGTACAATAAGAGCACATCGATTGCCCTTTTGGCTTCTCGCGTATTCCCACCCTCGCCATCGGGTCTTAAGTCGTCTTTCAACACTTTGGAGATTGCCTCCACTTCTTTCGCGTTCTCAACGGCTTTATCAAATAGTTGCTGCTGGTTTTCATTCATACAGCTGAATTGTCGGTCCTTAGTCCACCACAGCACTGCATTCAGCAAGACCCCGACTAAAACTGCTATAATAATGAGCAATGTACGATGTGCGCCGCGATACTGAAGCGAGGCTAAGAGCACCCCGAACCCAACAAAGGACAAAAGAGTGCAGGTTCGGAGCGCTTGTCGATCTCTTATCTGTGTGAGATCGACTTTTTTGGGGGGATCGGCTGCTGGAGGAACGACTATCACGTATCTGCCATAAACGAGAATCAATTTGTTCTTTTCTTCGCGTAGCGATTCCGGTACTTCACAAGTTGTTTCGGTATTTCGGAGGCCTAGCTCATATGTAGGTATGACTAAAGCATTGCGACGATCCTCGATGGAGACGTCTTCCTTGTAAAGACGGAGAGGTGACTCGTCTTCTCTTTGTACTGAAACTGTGGGTTCGCGAAACCAGAACCATTTGCCCCAGCATAACACATTGTAGAACCTTCCGAGCTTCCAATCTGCCGGCCAGGCCACGTCATTTCGAGAAATCGTGATAGACCCGACTTTCACGGGACCATCGAGGTTGTTGTAGACTCTAGCCCATTCTCGGACCTCTGTCATATAACTGAGAACTGCGAGAAACCCGCAATTTTTCCCTTCGAATCTCTTCTCTTGTCTCGGTATCACCATAACCCAGCGGAAGGGTATGCAAACAATAAACCACGAGATTATCCAAAGTTCTGCAGTGCTAAAAGTGGATATTCGTGGGTCGCACACCGAATCTGAGTCTCCCGCCATCTGAGAACCGTTATGTGAGCAGTGCATATTAGAAATTATCAAGACGTTTGTCCTTACCACGAGGGCTGCTACGAGCTGACACAAATTGTTTTCACGAGGCTTGTATAAAAGTGGGAGATGTCTTTGAAAAGCCGTGATACCCTGGACTCAAGAAGCAGAATTCTTGAAACTTGTGGCCAAGAAGAGTAAGGGCCGCAAGGCTACTCCCAAAAGAACTGAGCTGAATTCAACTGATCCAGCCAGTATCACCTCCACGGGTCTATTATACGAACAGATGTAGGGCATGTTGTTGTAACGAGCAAACTTACATCAAGAATGCCCATAACAGCCTTCGAACTACTAAACTTTGAACCCGGCTCCGTCAGTGGCGGTTCGACACGACACTACATGAAGTCATGACTTGACTCGTCACAGGCGGCTTAATCATAGTGACCCGCGGCCTCATGAAGCGGCCGATGTCAGGATCCCTGTGTGGGTCAACTGGAGCGGGCCAGGAGAGCATTAGAGGTTAAAGCTAAGGAATACCCGCCCCTGCCGTCTGCGTCTCGACAATGTGAAACCATCCTTCCGGTCCATCCGCCTTTTTGATGTCAGCCCTGGGTGGTCTAGATCGAAATGTATTACATAAGCACTTCTCATGACCAACATTCGACAAATGGGGAATAAGTTAGTGGGGACTTTGGACACAAGAGTGATAGTCTGTAGCAACAGAACTGCTTGTCATAATACTACAGTAATAGTGTAGGTGGTGACACTAGAAAAATAGTGTACATGTACCTTTGCCGGTTTATTCGCGCTGATAATATCTCCAGGGAAGGGTTCATATCAGCTCTGCAACAGACCGAAGTCCCATAAAATTTCCCATATGATTGCACACCATTACATTATTGATTCGGTGGGCAAGGTGGCTTCTTCACACCTAAACAGCGGGGTCTAGAAATTGATATCTTCTAGACATCACTTCGACTAAAAGTGAAAGCTTGCTAAGTTCGTGGCGCCTATCCTTCTCTGTTTGAATGATTTGCATTTTCATAGAAATGCTTCAGCTATCACGGATAGCCAGGGGACGCCTGTGTACCTAGGCACTTACACTATCTACTAGACATGATTCATGTAATCAGTCTGAGTAGGAGCCCTGGAGACTATTTATCAGAAAATGTGGACACGTTGCTGTTCTGGGGCTACACCCTATATAGTAGTTTCGATTTTAGTTTTCAAATTCAGTTACACTCTTACGATTTGATTTCCGGACGTTACAGTCCGTACAGACGAGTTTGAACCTCCACCCATCCGGCTGGGAAGTTACCAATATTTTTACTTGCCAGCAGAATACAAAGACATGCTAAGCCACAGAAATTCCCCTAGTAAGTAGTCTACCACTCCTCTACCTCTTATCACTGCCTGCACACGCCTAGGCATGCCTTCAGAGAGGCTTTGTAGGTGCTCTGTGGCTATCTCTGGCCACGCAGATTGCGCATAGGTATCAGATACAGTATATCCTATTTGTGACGATTCACATGTGGTTGATGCCTGATGGCTGGTTTGATGCCTGCTGCAGCAGAGATCCCACTTGTAATTAGATCTCATCTCACCATCTCTGCTTCTTTCCTTCCCCATGCTTAGTTGCTTCGTTGAATGCTACATGTTTGTTTGATATCTTCGTGTCTAAGCGTAACACTAATGTCCTCATCATTTGGTACATCCATTGCAGCCGGCCGCCCCTGCCATCTGCGATATAGATAGTTCTCCACTGCGGATCATATCCTAGATAAGCTCATAATTTGAAGGGGCTAGGTTTAGCGCCATTCTGGTAGTGGCCAGCTACCAGTGATGGATTGTCAAGATCTCCAGTACCAAGGAAGAGGATACTTGTTGTGGCGGGGAAAGAGGTGTCGTACGCAATAACGTCACAAGCGAATACACGCTTCAAAGCATTAGGTACTCAATGTAAGGAACAATACAAGCCCCACTGACAGGTGTACTCCGGAATAACTAGTAATCAGGGTTCGAGAAAGAGCCGAAGAATGTAGGTGGTTGTACCGATTTCGAGACATACTGTACAACTACCTAGCTCTTTGAATTTGTTCCTTCATCGCTTGAAAAGACATTCCAAATCTTGCCCATCAAACCACTCTCGGTTCTTTTTCCACCCTTGTACAATAAGGTCCCTACCAATCTTCACGACCTCCTCAACCTGCTCCTCGCTACCCCATCCAGCGACCCTACTGCCCCAAACAACAAGATGAACGCCGACATGAACAGCAGTTCTGAAAGCCATAATATCGCTAAGAGGGCCATAGCCCTCCAAAAAGCCTTGAATTACCCACACGCTACAATCCACTTTTTTAAAGAGCTTCGTTTCATACAACTCAGCCATCATCTGTCCCAGATCCAGAGCTCGATATCCGATCTGGCATAATTCCCAGTCAATAATGAAAAGGGTAGTATCAGACTGTTCTCGGAGCGGAACATTGGGAATCAGAACACTAGAAATCCCATTAGATTCTTCTTTTTCTCAAAATTTGATTAAGTTTAAACTTACTTCCCCGTCCAGAAATCACCATGTATGATTCCAAACTCACGATTATGATCACTTCTCTTCATCTCCCCCGCAGCATGATTCTTCACTTCCTCAAAAACACCCCGACTCTCTTCCAAAACACCCGGGAAGTTCGCAATCGTGTCCATCAGCATGGAATAATTGACATGAAACTTCAACTCCTTCATCGACTCGTTCTGGGCAAGGAAAGATCGGGTCTCTGCCTGTTCCCCTTTATCCGCCCAGTCATGGAACGACCTCAGCCAATGTCCAAGCGACCGACCGAGCAATCGACCTAAAGACGCCGACACATTCTGGCACAAATTCGAGAGGAGGAAAGTCTTCAGATCTAAAGAATTAGGCAAATCTTCCATGATTTGCGTATTTGTTTCCTGGATAAAATCAAATACACGGGGCGTTTTCACGGTGATGTTTCCCTGGGAGTGGAACGGTAGCCCATTGAGCGCTTGCAGGATGGCTTGTTCGAAGTGCTAGCGTCTATTCAGTCCTCCATTCTATACAATGTGAAAAGATTGGAAAAAAAAAAGAAGGAGAAATACTAACACATCGCTTTGCGTCGAGCTTGAAATCCTGGTTGGAGGCCACATAGTTCTTGGTATGTTTAATGACGATCGAATCCCGGGCTGAAGGTGTACCCCGGTAGACGAAATTGGCGGTGCCACCAGATAGGCGAGTGAGAGAGGAGCATGCGAATGGGGTTTGAGAGAGCTGCTGGGCGATCTGATCGCGAATCTCGTCTTTGTTTTCGATGTCGGTCATTTTGCTGTATACTGTTGACAAGTGGAGGGGATGAGGGTTATCTGCTTGTATGTTTGACCCTGCGCTAGGCCCCTTCCAGTGCCCGCGCGCGGAGAACGCCTTGTCCCACTGGAGATCAGCCACACCCCCGCCATGACTCACGAGCACTGACGATTGCATTGAAGTGTATTGTGTAAATTGAATGGAGATCACGGTCTGAGCATCTCAGCCTGATCGGCATCTGCCTACTAAAGTCTAAATTCTTAGGCACCTAGATTCACAAAGTGGATTGATGATTCGTAACGCATGTATTGGCCCATTTATCGGCTAGGATGAACGATGAACATTACTATCAAGGTCACAACGACTCCACAAGTCACATCAAACTCAAAACAAAAGAAAGTAGAAAAACATATCACAGCGAATACTCATCCTCAAGCTTCTCCACGAAAACGAGTGAGTCACTAAAGGTATAGCCAATAAAGATCACACGGCAGCAAAAGCTTGCATAGAGCAGTCGCAGCATTGTACCCCTCTCATTGGCCGTTAGATCCACATCTGCAGCTTATGGAGGGGCACGCATCAATGGTCCTATCAATGCCAACAGAACTATAGAAGCCCAAGCAGGAAAGAAAAGTCCCCGAGCCACGCCAAGAAACCAGATCGTTTCCCAGAACGGGAGTCCGATTCGACATCAAACGATGACTCAAACAAAGGGCCTGTGGGCGCATCCAGGCAAGCCCAGCTCCTTTGTTCCAGCTGCAAGACGGGGGGTAGGGGGGGTTGACCAGGGGAATTCCACACTGGTGAAGACCGGCTTGCGGTCACGGGCAATCAATGCCCTTGGATAGAAAGGAATCCTGTCGCAGTTTAAGGTGGTTCGTAAGGCGTGTGACTGTTCATCGAGTGCATAATTAAATGCTGTCAACGTGGGATTCAGAAGCGGTAGTCTGCGCCTCGGCGGCGGATTCGAGAGGACTCGAATCGCTGCTCGGAGCGCTCGCGGTCTGAGCTGTAGAGCGAGCCGCGACTGGATGGACTGCGAGATATGGAGCTGCGGGGAGATTGGTAGACGATAACGTGACGCTTGCCCTGGCCTGGAGAGCGCTCCGAGTGAGGAGATCTCTCGATGATCTCTGTTGCGGTGCGCTCAGGCTCGGGTGAGTATGAGCGAGATGGACGGATTTGTTCGATCACAGGTCGGCGAGATGGAACATAAATGGTGCTCGTTCGGGGAGCGCGGACAGGAGAGGCACGGCCACGACGAGGGGACTTGAAGGCCAGACCGGCTTCGACGGCGTCGAGAAGGTCTCGGACGGAGTTGGCTTCACGCGGAAGCTTGACTCGCATCAAGACACCGTTCTCTTTGTCCACGACCGAGAAGTGTTTTCCGTCCTTACAGTAGAGGTGCCTGGTCACATCGATGGCACGAGGGTAGCCACGCTCGCAGAGGCTGTCGCTAGGCTGGTTGAGGGCGGTGGTACATTGGGTGCAACGGCTGACATGACGGTCAAACTCTTCAACTACGAGCTTCTCGGCGTCGTCCATGTCACGGACGACGAGGGGAGGCTCGACGATTTTAATTTGGCCAGGCATGGTGTCGAAACGGGTCAAACTGGGTTGACGTCGCGGGGCGCGGCGTGGTCGTTCTATGGTGACGGTTTGAGGGTTGATATAGTACTTGGTGGAGTGGAACAGCGACACCGTGATTGATGTCGAAGAGTCACGCGAGAGAAGGTGTGTGATCACCGTATAGATAGCGTGGAGACAGGCAAAGTACTTGATTTGATGGAATGTTCAGTTGTCTTGAAAGGAACTGAAGTGACCCGCGAAGAGTGAACAGAGAACAGTGTGTATAGCAAATGCAATGTAGAGGGGGGAGAAGAGTATATATAGGTTTCCTAATTGGCGAGGCGCATGGCAGCCTGGGGCATGGCGTAAAATGATGTACATCCGTGACTTGAGCCCCACGCGGCCTTGCACTTCACAATCTACCCTGGCGCACTGAACAAAGCTAGCGCGAGAACTAAAAGTGTGGCTCAGTTGAACCAAAATGGCACTAACTAGACCCAGGTCGAACTAAGTCCAACACCGCCCGAGTAGCCCCAAGCCGGTACTCTTATTGGTCTCTACTCTCAATTGAACGGTCTGTCATCATTTTTGGACCTCTCCGGTGATGTCGTGCATAGCCTTGGAAGGACTATTTTCTCACAGGAATAGCCCTGTCCTTGCGATTCCCTATCCACCCATGTCATCGACCCTGAGCCAGTGGCTTGTGCCTCGTGTTCCTGAGAGGGCGTGTCTCGTGCCCCTTGAACCCTTGAACCCATGTTCACGTCACTCGATCTTTCGGTGAATGACAGCCATTCCATTTGACGGGTTGTGCGATGTCTGAGGCTCGCCCCCGAGCGCGGTCTATCGCGCTCAACCCTCATTTGCTCCCCAGCCGCTCCCCTCAACTCCAGGCGTCTACCCAGACGGCTATCAAACAACCCGATCTATGATTCTGGCGATGTGAATGAGCATACTCGATTCTATTCTGAGAGAGCTCGATCGCTGGTTCGGGATTTCAAGATTCCCAAGAATAGAGCGACCGCGACGATTACGATACTTTGGACCCCACGCCATGGACCCCTCACCAGGCGCTACTCCTCAGCCCCAAGCCACACCACAATCTCCTTCACCTCCTGCTTACCTTTTTTTCTGCTCGCTTTCCCTCCAGGATTCTACATAGCCACAGCCACAGTGCCGCTTATCTTGTGAAATGATTCGATGCACCAGCCACGGTCTCTCTCTCTCTCTCTCTTCTCGTGTTCTTGCTGACCAGATTCCCTGGATATATCTCCGTGCCGCGTGTGCTCAGTCCCCTCACCCTGCACCCTCAAGTATCGTCCACGCCATGAGAGTATCCTTAAACTTACAAGAGGACTCGAGTGACCTATGAAGTGCGGTCTTCGAAGAGATGCTACTGCAATTGCCTGTCTGCCTTCAAGGCATCTGCCAATCACTCCGCTCGTGCTCAACCCGGGTGAACGCCCAGACCCCGTTGATCCTCCAAGCCGCAAAAAGCCACTTCCTTTTCCAAGATCTGGCCCCGATTTCTTCACAATTATTTGTCAGAATGGTTTGACTTCCCCCAAGGATCTAATGCATGCCCTCTTATTACCTGTCGAAGACTCATCTAGTCCCGTGGTGAAGACACCACCTGCCAGTATAGTTCTTTACATGGACAAGCCCTTCACCAAGCCCTGCCGGGCTAGCTCAATCGGTAGAGCGTGAGACTCTTAATCTCAAGGTTGCGGGTTCGACCCCCGCGTTCGGCTATTCCTACAGAACAACCTGAGATATTCTTTTTTTTTTTTATCTGGTCTGAAAATTTTGATTGAGGCTCGTGTCGCGGCCGGTGAGTGGTTGAGTCAGTTTTTTGGGATCCACTGGGTGGGGATCGGCCCGTCATAGAAGAACGCCTCTGCTGTACTTTGCTACAACTCCGTTATCCCGACTCTGAAATGGACAATAACGGAACAGGTCTTATGACCGACGTGAAAAAGCAATTCTTGCTGGGTATAAAGCGGAGACTTGTTAGATGCTTGTGTATTGTGGCTAGATCGTAGGCCAAAGCGCAAGGCAGATTATGCCATTCCGAGTTGGGGAGATACAGCTGATCATGCATTGGAAATGGCCAGGCATCAATGACTGACAATACAGTGCATATGGTAGACTGTATTGATCAAGGTCTTCCATTAACTCTTGGTCGGCTGAAAGAAAAAGCAGCACTGGACTTCGGTAGGCCCCCGTAAGATTGTCATGCCAGGGCCGCATCTACATTCCAGGCTGACTAGAGACGGAAGCAAAGACGGACCGTGATGTTTCCCGCGGAAAATCGCTTGATAGAAATACTCCGTCAAACATAGTGGGGAATGAAAGGAAGCAATGGTTTCCAACCCCGTTTGCCAATCTAGCGCACTACGGAGTAAATTGCCGGTTCGGAGACGGAACTGCCGGCATGGGCTCTTATTCACTGACATCATCACCGCCCTCCAGCAAATGTGCATTCAGACTATGCGCTTGTTCCGTGTACACATCAAATACATAGGACTTGGTTATGCAACCCCCAACCTCAATTCAAAAGGGAAGAACTGCATATCTTCAGGAATCCCTTCCCGAAGAGTATCCGAGGGCAATCCAAAGTCCCGGACCTTAGCAAACCGGTTATATGTAGCTTTCATGACCCTTAGACCCACATAGAAAGCATACGCTGCATGTTCAAAGTCCAGGTGAATCTGGCTCAGTGAAACGCCCGCTCAATTCACTCCAATTCAAACTTGATCAGTTGGTCTGCATCGATCTCAATGCCTGTCCCCGCAACTCAGAGACAAAAGCAAACAGAAGGGTCTCATGGCCATAATGGCGCATTGAGCGAGTTGATCAATCGCCACCGGCCCGACTTGAAGCCCTTTGAGGAGATTTACCGCCATCTTCACAAACAACCCGAGCTATCCGGGCAAGAAGAACAGACGGCCAGCAAAGCAGCAGACCACTTGAAAAGCCTGGACTTCGAAGTTCATACCAATATCGGTGGTCATGGAGTAGCCGGGGTCCTTTACAATGGCGATGGGCCTACTGTTCTATTACGTGCGGACATGGATGCGCTCCCTTTAGAAGAGAGAACCGGACTACCCTATGCCAGCACACAATGGGTCAAAGGTCCAAATGGGAAAAGCACCCCCGTCTCCCATGCATGTGGACATGACTCGCACGTCACGGCTCTCATGGCGGCAGCGACGCTCCTGCATGCCGCGCGCAAACAATGGGGCGGCACGCTGATCTGCATTTTCCAGCCGTCCGAGGAACATCTGGATGGGGCCCGTGCGATGCTCGACGATGGACTCTACGACAAGATTCCCAAGCCGGATGTTGTCCTGGCTCAGCATGTCATGAGGATGAAAGCGGGCACTGTGTGTCTGAAATCGGATTCGCTTCTAACCGCAGCGGACTCTTTTGACGTGCGTATTTTCGGACGTGGAGGGCATGGCTCGGCGCCTCAAACTACTATCGATCCAATTGTCATTGGCGCGTCCATTGTCATGCGTCTTCAAACTATTGTGTCACGCGAAGTCACTCCTGGTGAGTTGGCGGTCGTTTCGTGTGGGAGCATCAATGCCGGGCATGGACCGAACATCATTCCCGATCATCTTGACATGCAGTTGAATGTGCGAACTCTCGATGCTGGTGTGCGCGAGCGTGTTTGCGATGCTATCCACCGCATCATTGAAGCCGAGTGCTCGTCTGCTGGTGCTGTGGAGAAGCCCAAAATTACGAAAACATATTCTTCACCGGCCACTGTCAATGATAAAGATACTGTCGACGCTCTGCGGGCGACGTTTGAGCCGTACTTCAAGGAAAAGATGGTCGGCATGGAGCGCCCGACTGCTAGTGAGGACTTTTCCCTCCTGGCCACAGCTGCCGATGCACCCTACGTCATGTGGATGTTTGGTGGTATTGATGCCGAGACTTGGGATGAGGCTGTTGCCAATGAGAAGGTGGATGAGCTGCCCAGCAACCACTCTCCCTATTTTGCCCCGGCTATTCAACCTACACTGCAGACAGGTGTGGATGCGTTGGCCCTCGGCGCTTTGACTCTTCTGAGTACGAAATGATAACTTGCACTAGTCATTCGTTTTATCACTTCCTATTGCGCCTGACCTACACGGAATGGAAATATGGAAAAATGTACAAAGTCGCAATCGAATAATAAGGCGTAGCCACATGGACAAGGACTTCTGTCCTTATACGCCGGCAGCAAAGCTTGTCAAATGCCCTGATCGTTTCTTCCAACTCATGCTTACTCCCAAATTGCACCGTGAGAGTGTCCTACTACGGCAATTCACCAATCTTGATGTAAAACTCATGAATTGTTCTCGAAGGAATGAATGACATATGTCCACCTTCCACTATCTGAGAAAGAAGGGTAAACTATTCTCTCAAGAAATGTAATCAGCTTCGAGGCACCTACCTGCACAAACTCATTCGCAGGCTTCAAGCAATGATGACATTACACATATCACCCCTAAGGTTAATTAGTATACACAAGCGAACATATGATCTTAAAAAACCAACCTTCTTGTCCTCTAAAGTCCCAATAAGATCAAACTCACCCCTCGAAGTAAATTGAAGCCCTCATTCGCCCCGAGTCCGCCGTAAGGCTCCGTACTCTTCGCCGCGGCATAGCACCCTATTCTCTTTCGCAATTTTACAAAGAGCCCATTGCTACCGGGCCCCTAATGAATGTAGACCATATCACCTTGTCCAAGGTCCAATACCAATTCAAAGTCTGATAAGCCGACTGTCCTACATCGTTAGACTCGCGGTATAATTGATAGACACGCTTTCAGGTGCATTTCAAATGCAGCAGCATTTAGATTCGCAGAGATAAAAAGGCACCCGGCCAGAGCACCAGAACCCACAACACCAGAACTCATTGGCACAACAAGACACCCAAAAGCAAGCTGGCCGACAACGAAAGCCGCACGAAGGGACATGCCCACGCGCTGGCAGATGTCCATATCCAGTGATGCCTTCATGCGGATGACTAGGTAATGGGTGTGGGGAATACCCCGGACTTTGTTGAAGTACACGGGAGGCATAGCGCTTATTGATGGCAAAAAAATTCCGTCATTGAGAATTTGTGTTCCTCTTTCGGCCGCTCGCCGAATTGTGCAGCTCAGCTTGGTTGCCAATAATTTGAGAACCAATCTCGACCTGCGTCAATAATGCAAAAAAACAAAGGCAAAAAAGAAATCTCCGATAGGGGGAATCGAACCCCCGGCTGCCGTGTGAGAGACGGCGATGTTAGCCACTACACCATATCGGACATCTTTGATGTGAGATTAGCGGGTATAAAAATCATAGACTAAAATCGGTTCCTTGAGTCCCTACACATCGAGGCTGACTCAAGCTCGCGGATGGCTGACTGAGTGGCATCCTCAGGATGTAAATGAGTACGTAAAATTGATGTGTCACTGTACCTTTTTGGGGGGTGCGTTCTTGCCTGAGTCACCAAGTACCATAGAACCTCGTACCTGGATCTTTGCCAATGTAGTCCCGTCTTCTGAATCGTGTGCCCCACTCTCGTACTATCTTCAAGCTTCCCCAGCACAGACAATTGTGGGTCATAGTGCCACCGACATGTCAGCGAAACGCCCCAGACTCGTGTCTCCGGTACAGTACAATCGCCTGCCCATCCCAGAAACCGACATAGATACCTCCTTCTCCTATCATCAAGCATTTTCTCCCAGGCTTGTACCGAGTAAGATGACTTTCGTTTCTTGTCATGCTGTCATCAGACTTGAGTCACTAAGGCGCAACAGGAACGGATTCGCAAAAATGGGGACTCCCCGAGTTCGCTGAAATACGCGCTGTTCACGCTCTCGAGACTACGCCGGAGAATGAACGGCTGGTTCGGACTCATCATCCCACATTGCGACTACATGATCAAGTTTACGTATCGCATCCCCAGTACGGCCCTGAGGTCTGGCTTGTGAACGGCGCGTGTGAAGACATTGAAGCGGGAGGGCGATCGTTGCACCCTTATCCTGAGGACAGGTTGAACCTTCAACCGATTGGGAGAGTCCTGACTCCACGTTCACCATGGAAGGAGGATTATCTTTTCAAAGAAGGTATTAACCCAAGAAAGCTCCTGTCCCCCGAGAAGATTGATAACTTGCGCGAGCTTTTCCCCGTGGCAGTAGGGGCCCGTCTTTTCGTCAGTGGATTCCTAGTCGTCCTTTTTAAATCACTCCATGAAATTCAAGCCGTGTATGAGAGAGACTGGATCATGGAAGTTGGGGGTTTGCGAACAATCTATGATGAATATAGGCTCGAAGCCAGCGCCGACACCGTCATGTCCGGCATGGAAGTTTGCAAAAAACCCGAGAGTCTTCATGGTCAAGGCTGCTTGGGCCTGAGAATTCGGATGACTGATGGAAAAGAAGCCATAACGACTGTAACACATGGCTTTGTGAGAAACCCTCAATGGTCTCGCATGACGATGATGTTTTCCGACTGGATCCTGAGATCCAAGAGCGCTCTTTCATGCTTCCGCCGTCCACCACCTCAATCCGACACTTGCGCAATTGGAGTCGAACGGAGTTCAAACAAGAATTCTCCGATTGGGAAAGAGGTTTGGCTAGCGACGGAGAAGAAGAGGGTAAGTCTCTTCCCCCTTTCCCGTGCTTACTGCCGAGGGCTTTGAACTTATTCATCCAGATCGGTGTTATCTCCCATACATTCGACGATCCAAGTCCAGTTCTTCCGTTTCCGGCTGGCTATCGGCACGACGTCAGCCTCATCATGGACGATGATCTACCTCAACTTGTCAGCCCGCCTGGCTATCCCGCTGTGTCGGGATGGGCGTCATACTCCGCTGCGCTCGCTGGGTCCGATGTCTACGTAACCCGGATGAACACGGTCGTTGGGAGGTGGCTTCTACTCGAAGGAACCGTTGATCCTAATGCAATTAGAAACGCAACAGTCATAGGTACCCAGTATCTATGGGACCGCACTGCATATTCACAGACTGCGTCACTTTTGTGGAAAACGAAGGAACCGTTCAGTCCTGCAGATGGGTGGTCAGGATCAGTCCTGTGCCTTGGACGGCCGACAGACGAGTCGAGCCTTGCGGTTGTCTTCCAGAATTTTCAAGTGCCCTGCACCACGCTCGTGAATCCCGAATCCGGTAAATATCAACAAGTACCTGTTAAAGGGGGATTCTTGCTCCCAGAATCCATACGGTCTTCCAAAATTGTCACAAGCAATGACCAACACCGGGGGCGGGATTCCGACACGTATCCGCGCCGCAGCAGAGAACGCGCAAGTTCAGACCGTCGGGTGTTCTCGACCCTTTAAGAGACTTCAATTTGCTCTGGCTTTGGTTTGCTTGACGATTCTCCAGAAACTCTTGCTCTTCACCATTACCCCTTATGGCCCGACCTTTTCTATTAGGTCTAAGTCTTCTTACCTTTATAATCACAAGGCTGTATTTATATAACAAAGAATAAAGAGAGCTTAGCAAGCTTATGAATTTCAAAGAAAAAATAGTGTCCTAAAATATATTGTATGATTTAAATTAGCATTACTAACTTAGAAACTCCTAGTAAATAACGAGATTTAGAAAAACTATTGTTTTTCCAACAAACATAGTAATAAATAATGCTAAATAGATATATCTACTAAAGATCCCTTAGGTAATAGGGTGAGTTATTCTAGGCGGTTCCCTAGAATTAGGCTATCAAGTCTAGAATTACTTAATAAATACTAGGAATTACCTTTTAAAGTAACGAGTAGAAACCCTTTTCGGAAGGCTAATCTTGCCCGATAAGAGATAACCGATAAAGCCTAAATTACCACAATATTACTATACGCGTAGAGTATAAGCTATGAATTACTAGTAAATTACTCGAGGTGACGGGGTCGAAATGCCTCTGATGGCCCGATGCAACGAAAGCTAATCAAACTAAAGTCTGGCGTCTCAACGCCTCAATCTTGAATCCCCTGCCCGCCCCCAGTAATTTTTTCACACGAGATAGGTTTCTCTTGAGCATTTCCCTTCCTCAGGCAACTTGATAGAAAGGCGTCGTAGAAAGACTCAGCGGATTTCGAAATCGAGAAAAACACCCATCTCTGCCTGCCATGCCTGCGCGATCGCCATCAGTACCATCGGCTCCCCCACGAGAGGAGCCTGACGAGCGGGGCACCCCTGTTAGGGGGGGATGAGGCTGGTCATGACGACCACCCCAAGATTACTTCGCTTCTCCGCAATCGCCTCTTACTCCTTGTATGCCTTTCCGTGGTGGCCGCTGACTTTGGCAACTACCTTGGCTATGCCCCTCATATCGAAATTCTGGAGTCGATCATCTGCCGCCAGGCTCAGGGTAGCAACGCGTTTGGGGTCGATGAAAACTGCAAGTCACCTCAAGTGCAGGGAGAATTGGCTCTCATAAATGGGTGGAAAGACACATTCGACCAGCTACCAGGAATCCTCCTTGCGCTTCCTTATGGGTTCGCCGCTGATAGGATAGGGCGTAAGCCTATCCTGGCACTCAGCTTGATTGGGCTCATTCTCGAAGAAACCGCCATGCGATTAATCTTTTTGTTCAATTCCGTCCTGCCGCTGCGAATAATCTGGGCTACGCCAGCTTTTCAAATCATAGGCGGCGGACCCCAGATGGCGACCGCCATGGCCTATGCTATGGTCACCGATATAGTGGCAAGTAACCAAAGGTCGGGACAATACCTTCCCAAGGTTGATGGTCAATTGACTAACAGAGAAACCTATGTTTAAGGGCGTCTGTTTTCTTCGTCCTGTCTGCTGGAACCCTATCAGGCGAAATTCTCGCAACACCGATTGCTGCATTCCTCATGTCATGGAGCCCATGGATTCCATCGCTGCTGGGTTTGTTCTTTCAATGTTTAGGGCTGCTTGGAGCCGCTTTTATATCAGATGTGCCCTTCAACCCAGCGCCATGCAACGACCAACGCTGCCTAGAGGAGCAGGAGGGGGAGGGCCAGGAAGAGGGGCATAATCAGACCGAAGTTCACAATTCAACGTATATCCGGTGGGAAAGGGCCATCCGGCGGCAGTGGAACCACATCCGAAACGGCCCTATGCTATCCTGTAGCACCAGCCTTTTCTGCACTGTTGGTGCATTTCTATTCGCAAGTATCGGTCGCCAAGCACTGCAACTCATTGTTCAATATGCCTCAAACCGATTTTCTTGGAGTATTGCGCGTGCCAGTTCACTCATTACGCTGAAGGGTATAATTAATCTCGTCACTTTATTGTTTATTCTCCCTTGGCTTTCCGCATGGTTGAATAAACATCTACGTCTGTCACCTGCCGCCAAGGACCTCCGTATTGTCCAAGGCAGTGTGTGGATTCTCACTCTGGGTTCGGCCATCATGGCCGTTTCTACTCATCCAGCATTATTCATAACGGGTGTTAGCTTGCTTGCGTGTGGATGGGGGTTCTACTCGGCCCTGCGAAGTCTAGCAATGGAACTGGTATCGCCATCGCAAGTGGGTATTGTGAACACCGCGATTGGGTTCGCCCAAAGTACCGGCTCCTTGGTTTCAGGGCCCATCCTGGCAGCTACGTTTCGTTGGCGTTTGCAGAAAGATGGGCATTTGGTGGGATTGCCGTATATGGTTGCCGCTGGTCTATTTTTCCTATCCGGTTGCTTAACAAGTTGCGTTCTTATTCCGAAGGGAATAAATGACCCCTGAATGCCGATTGAGGACTCGATGATGGTGTTTTTGAAAGCTAGAGGCCACCAAGAGAATTTTCCCATTGTCGAAGTGAATGCTGCTATTTGACTTCCATCCAAGTTATTTCATTATGATTAAAAGAAATGAGATAGCAAGTATTTACGTAATTACTCTTCGGATGTAACAGCTCTTATTCGACTTACTTCAGATTCATACCATTTGGTCGAACTAAACTCTCAAAATTGAGATTATTTGTAGCCTAGATAGCTTTATTCCCTCATAGCATTAATGCATCAATCTTACACATATCTCCCTGTTTTCAATCATCCCTTCTGACTGAGATCATCTAATATTCTGATCCTTCTTCCTAATTCTCGCCCCATATTTCTTTAAGAGAAAAGGCACAGGAGCAAACGCCAATGCAATAAAGGCCAAGAGACTATTCCCCCATCCCATCCCTAGAGCATCATATAGGCCCTGACCTGCGAGAGGCAGCAAGCCTCCGGCCAAACTTCTAAGGATGTTCATCGCTGCCAGAGCGGAGGCAGAATGTCTCGGAAATGCATTGACCAGATAGACCTGCGCTGGCTGGAAGATGCCCATCATGGCGAAACCAAACACTCCCAGCCCAAGTACTGGGACCACGGGGATGCATTCGTCTGCAATGACCACCCATACCAAAGAAGGCCAATGGGAGCTACTAAGCCTGAAGGAAGCATAGGCCACAGATACTCCTCCGGTTGGAGATCGTTGCCCAAGGCGGATGCTTTCCTCTTCTTCCGCTGGGTTACTTTATCTGACGCATAGCCGATGATAAAGATGCCTAATCCATTGAACAAGTCATTTTTTGTCTCAAGTCACCTGAAGCAGAACCAGAAGAGGAAGATAAGCAATCCACTCACCTAGAATGGTTCCAATTCCGTTCCCTAGGTAAACCAACCCTGATATGCCGGTTGCCAAGTGATACTTGTCCTGAAAAATGTACGCCAGCGTAGTAAAGACAAGGTACTGGTATCCGTATACTACTGCAACATCTAGTGCAATGATCGTCACCACAAACAACGTCAGCAGAAGCTTAGGGGGACGAATGAGAGCCTTGAAGACGACTGCTCGGCGAGAGACTCCAGGATCCAGGCGGGACTTCAATTGAGGATTGCCTGTCTCCTTACGAAGTCTCCGAGATTTAGCCTCCAGAAGTACGGGACCATATGTTTCACATATCAGAAAGGGAGAGAGAATCGTAAGGATGGCCATCTAACCCACTGTGAGTCAGAATGTACTTCGTATCTCGCTTTCGCATGCAATGCCCTTTCATGATTCTAGTTGTCCCAACGCTTACCGGAATAGCAATAACCCAAAAGATCCATCTCCAGCCAGCAGCCTCGCTTAAATAGCCTCCGGCAATGGGAGAGAAGACCTAGACACGATGTTATGTCAATCTACGCCAGCCCCCGGCCGAGACCAATAGATAAGGATATGGATAGTAGCATAAGGGGTCTTACAGGCGCCACTAGCGATCCTAAGCCCCAAACGGCCATCGCGGTCCCCATCCGTTCAGGTGGCATGAGATCGCCTATCGTGCCTCCGCCCAAAGCCAAAGGCGTCACCCCTGCGCAGCCGGAGATAAATCGGAATGTTAGAAACATCCCTACGTTCTGGCTCAAGGCACATCCAATGGTGACCCCAAGGAATATCACGTTTGTCACATGATAAACGATCGCACGACCATACAGTTCAGACATCGGTGCCACGATAAGTGGGCCAACGGCGAATCCGATCACATAGATCGACACGACAAATGAATCTAGTTCCGTACTGTCAGATCTAAGAGATCTCATCACGTCTTGAACGGCAGGTGCAAGCATGGACGAAGCTAGCGAACTAGTGTTGCAACATCAAGCATCAGTCACATGAACAGACTCGATTTGAACGAGATTCGCAAAATTTGCGGGATCGGGCCGCTTCATTAGCGCCGTCGGAATTCACCAGTACGTACGTGACAAAGGTCAGGATTGTGATAAAGACGATGTAGAACCAACGGTACGTGGCGTTCCAGTTCAAAGGGTTTGCGGGATCTGCGTCGTCATCCCAGAACACTCCATTTGGATCAGGCACGCCATCTCGATCTCCCAGGCTGTCATCCGCATTCAAGGCAGGAGGCGGGCCCTTTTCGGCATCGTGGGTCGAGGCCATCTGTTCGCCAAATGTGGGGGTGGAGGGTGAATGAATTAAGATGAGACAAAACAACTGTCGGGTCAGCTCGATCAATCAATAAGCGAAAATACAGCAATTCAGTCCTCTTTAAATATTCCATCAAAGATAACTGGCGTGGTTGACACCATCGCGACGGTATTTTTACTGTGTATTTCAATCTGAAACCACACGATACCTGTATGCACTAGTACCGAGGACCACGATTGAGAATACTGGCTGAGCAACTCTCTAAGAGATCGCTGTTGAGGGCGTCTCATAGCCTGAAGGCATAGCACTGTCATTTTAGAACACAGGCATTCCGGATTGACCATTTGGACTTTCAAAAAAAAAGGAAGAGGTGAGTTGATATACGCTGAATCAGGATTTCCATAAACTTTAGCGGATAGATTGTGGGGTAACCATAACCTTAACATAACCATTTCTCCGCAATCTAATGGACCAGAAATTCTGTTTACGTTGTCCAAAGTTTACTCTCAGGCCGTCCCTTTTGCATACAAGTCTGCCAAATTTCAAGTGGAAGAAGCTAGTGAAGTTGACAATACTAATTCTGAGTGACCTGCAGATCTGCTAACGAGTCAGAGGCCGCCCCCAAGTCTATTTTGAAAAAGCAACGGATTATGAACGAATCTCAGACGAGTAAATCTAGATGATGAACTCGGTAGCCTGATTCACTAGCGCGGCCTAAAGGGGTTCGACCGGGCGGGCAACGCAGATCCGGCGGAATTCCGGGGTGGGCGAGAACGACCTAGCAAAGTAAGAGCCCTGAAAGTACGTGACAAAACATGTGTAAATTTACACTCTGATAAGGTTACATGACTATCTCGAATATTTGGAGATCCCATGCATAATCTAACGATCCCTGTAGCTAGCAATTATAGCAGGAAGGGTCACTTTAATCCCCGTTGGCTCTTACCTTACAAGTATATGATGGTCGCTATGGTCTCTCTCCGTGCAAATGATCTGCAATGTGCGAGGAACGCAATTGGAAATACAGACCGGTATGTCATGCATACATCTTGAGCAAAGTGACCGAGTCTGTCGTAATTTTCAATGGTCAGCTGCGCCAAGCAAGCGCTAATAGCTTCGCGTCGCGCTTAGGTTATCTAGTGCGTGGCACCTCATCATCGCCTATCTGGGCTGCTTCAAGGCCGCAGGATGGGGAGTGGCCCCTGTATGATTCTGGTGATACAGATTTGGGGACAATGTCTGTGAGGCTTCGTACTCACTAGTGAGTGGCTCGGACGTCTGGCGCTTCTACCTGTTTACTAGAACGAAGGGTTCGTAGCTTCTTTCTGACATTACCATCGTTCGTACCGTTTTCTCCTTTTCATATCTAATAACCTGATAGGACAATGGATACAGCTTGACAGTGTACTGCAATACACCCTCACACCTACGGTACCTATGGAGAGTTTCAAAGTCTAAGAAAGATTGAATACTATGTCGCCTCGATTTCTGCCGCAAAGCTGGAACTTATCTGAGCAAAAGGGTAAGCTGTCCGCAAGTGGTTTTGCGCTTCCTGACTTGCCCTGTTGCCATCAAGGTTGTTGAACGAACTATGCTGGACCGATTGTATACCCGCACCATATTTTATAAACATCGACTGGATTGTCTTGTGGCTTGTGAATGAAGCCGTTGGCACTATCCTGCTCAAGCTCATGCCCCAAAACGACAACGTGCTACCACCATTGGCCCTAGCCATGCTGGAAAGCGAGGAGGATGCGCGACTGCCCATTTTCTACATCTTATGATATCTTTTGGGGGCGCTTGGCTGAAAATAGGGCCTAGAACAGAATTCAAACAAAGCGAGCCAACAAGTGGTACAGGTCGCCTTATGTTCTTTTTCTGGGCCCCACCGTAGCCACAAAACAAGATGGTGCGGAGATCATTAACTTCAACGATTCGAGATGACGATGGTGAGACCAAATTTGCACTCAATTTCGACCTTTATATTTGGGTAAGTGTAAGTAGTGAATGTATCTGTTTGCCTCATAGGGCACTGTGTTTTTCCGGATGATCCATCAACGGAGAAGAGTAATCCTCATCATCCAAATCCATCATATGTATCCGGTGCTGGGTCATTTTCTCCTCAGTGTGTGACTCGATCTGTCTTTCCATTCGCTGTTCCTCGCTAAACCCGTCCTGGCTGTTCAGAGCATCACGAGCAGTGGAAGAGTCATGATCTTTGATGCCCGCTTCGGTTTCATTCTTGGCCCTTTCAGCCTCCTGTTTTTCATCTTCAACGGCCAAGGCACGCTCTTCACGTTCAACCTCATTGAAATCGACATCTTGCAGCCCAACAGATGTCATGATTCTTCCCAGCAGGAACTTGTATCGAAGGTGACCACTGATCATGTCACTGACGTTGAGATTCTCGACACCGGGCACATTTTCAACAGGCTGCAAGCCAGCAACTCCCAATTGAAGACTACTAGTCCGATAGAGGAACCCAAGGACCGAGTCGTTCTCTGAGTAGACATTGACGACGCGGCCACTGACGACACTGCGAATACGTCGCCAATACTCGGCATCGGATGGAGTTGGTGATCCCATCACAATGACGGACTCCACGAGACCATAGGCACCTCTCTTGCACAACGTTTGAAGACATGAGAAGATCAAGCGAGACCCTAGAGAATACCCGATAAGAGTCACCGGCCGTTCTCCTTGAGCTTTATTGATCAATGCATCTGCTAGAACTTCACCTGCTTTGTCGGCCCGGGCCTTGGCGACGCTAAATGGATTATCCACGATGCCAGCAACCTTCATGAGACCCATCGGGAGCATAACGGCACTCATGATAGTGGCGAAGATCGTGCGGCTTAAAACTTCACGGCTGGCGACAGACCATGCCGCGCTCGTAACCAGTGCGGAGATTGCATTGCCCAGCTTCATCAAAGGCTCCATTTCCCAACGAAGCGCGAAAACCTCGGAGTCAGAACCAAGAACTCGCCAAGGAACTGTAAAATCAGATTCTTCTTTGATCCAGCCCGTCACACCAATCGTGACTCGCAACCGATGGTCTTGCTTAGCGGCTTCACTCTCATCCTCGGTCCTACCACTGCGTGAACCGCGAATCGGAATGAAGGCAAAGTCATCTACCTCCTTGGCGTACTTGTCCATCATCCTGCCAGTCATACGTCCACCATAGGCACCAAAAAGACCTCCAACAACGACACCGCTTCCGGCCAGAGTTCCTAATAACCCGGCAGCTGCAGTGGCGCCGAGGCCTAGTCCACCCATGACAGTTCCGATACCAGCTGCGACCAACGGAGCTGCAAGACCACCGGTGACGCCAATAAGAACAGCGCCGGCGACTGAAGCAATGCCAACTTTCCACTTGCGAGAATCATCACTCTTCTTGACTTGCTGCTTAGCTTCTGGTTGTGATGACAGCGCTAGCGCAGTATCAAGAAGTCCACGTGCAACTTTGACTTCGTCTTGATTCAGCACATCAATATCTATACCCAAGCTAGATGCAACATGAAGCATCAAAACTCTAGAGTAGGCAGTATACTTTTCCAAGCTGAGCAGCAATAATAGAAGCGAGTGAAGGATAAGCAGTCTTGTCGCCTTGGGAACTTGCGCCAGCGGCGATTCCACAGGATGATAGATTTGGCAAAGCTTTGCCAGTCTTTCTTCATCTTCAACAATGGGAATATCATCTGATCTCGCCGCCTCCGAAGGCTTTTTGCTTTGATCTTCTTCATTCTCATCATCCTTGTTAACAACCTCGCCAAGTCTCAACAAGACAGCATCTCTCCAATCTTCAAAGTGAGAAAGCGTCTGAGCTTTAGCGCGAGCTTTTGCTCTAGCATTTCGTGCAGCTGCTGGATGGTTACTGTTCCCTGGGGATGGTGATGCTTTCGTGCCATCAGGCCTAGGCGGCGTTGGGGGCCTTGCCTCATCATCGTCATGGTTGGACGGTTTTCGATTTGGAGATGAGTCGTTTTCAGATGGCGTTGGCTCATGAGAGTTCTCAAATATCTCGAGAATACCGATTCGCATCGATTGCGCGATCTCCGCTACAAGAACCGTTAGATCGGCACGTTCAGAACGGTCCAATATTGACGTCAGATCTTGGCCGCGCTCGCTCTCCGGCGGCGGAGTGGATTTTTTGGAGTCGAAGATGTTGCCACGTTTTCTTTGAGATTTTTGAACATTTCGATAATCGAGTGCAAACCTGATTCATTGGTAAAATGTCCCGAATCCTGGATGTTGGGAGTTAACAGGACAAGAGAGGGGATATCGCTTGGCTACGGGGCCGGAGCCTCTTCGTGGCCTAAGGCATACGTTTTTTAGTCACTGCGAATGTTCAAATTAGATCTATTTTGTAACATCGTAGAATTCAAAGAAATTACCTTGCTATAGTTCTTACGTTATAAGTAAATTGCCTTTTTCTTATATGGCTCTTGGCCGGTCGTCTCTTTGACTTGGCCTACGAACCCTTCATCAAGGGTATCGGGAGACACACGCGACAGCCTACAAATCATATATCCTCCACCATATAATAGACTTCATTCACTCGAGATTAATTGCAGTCAATGCAAGGAGAAACCAGTGAGTAATCTGCTTATCCATCATCGTTGAGTTTGAAGATTATCTATCATGGTCCGGGGCACTCACCCACGTATTTAATATATGATCTACTTCCACGACGTGGAGAACATGGTCCGTCCGTCTAGTTGTTTGCAGCAACTGGGCGAAGGTAATGTTTCTCGACAGCAGTTGGTGCTGCAAGATTGAATACCAGAAATCCATAGTTATATGTTGAGTACTATGACAATTGAAAGAGCCCCTGCTTGTGTCTGGTTGGCCAAGTCAGTGTTGTGGGGAAAGGCATATGATACTTCAGATTGAACCTTGCATGAACAGAGTGATAAAGAAGCACAGGACAGGAAAAAACTGTCCGGGGTATATTGCAACATATTGTACAGGTTTAGTATGACAATGCGCCCGAAGACGATGTGGAATGAACATGGATGTGGCATTGAGGGAAGCTCGAAAGCTACCCCTGCCGGTGTCGACAAAGAAATATGGCCCTTTAGTCTTGGAAGCCGACCCGAGCGCATTCCCATCCCAAGCTGACCCATCGGGATGAGTATTTCGTTCGTCCTGCACGCGCTGAACTCGCCGTCTCCTCCCCGTGACGCGTTCCCTCGCAATGGCATCCTTGAGCTTATCAAGTCCAATAGTCATCTCTTTCACCGCAGCGGGACTCTCATCACGGATACTGCGCAAGGGCTCGACGCCTGTCGTATCCACGCTCTGCATTTCTTTGACGAAATGAATTTGAGATTCAAGGGTCTTCAGCATGTGCTGCTCCTCTTCTGCGCTCGCTGGCTGAGGTAGGGCCGAGAGGCGGAGGAGGTGGTGGAGTTGTTTCGGTGTTACTGATGGTGTGGAAGGCTCTGAGGACTGGTCTGGTAGGAGAGACCGGACTGACCAGCTTGGTTCGGCGAGAATTGATTCGATGTTGATTGCTTGAGGTTTCGAAGAGTAGAGGCGAATGAAACCAGAGCGACGAGTAAGTGACCGCGACAGCCCTTGGCTGGCTCTTGAGTAGGCCATTTTTTGTGGTGTAAAGCAATGGCTGCTTTGGAATATATGCGACGTGATGTGAACCGCGGGGATGAGCAGGTCGTTGGCAGTAAAGTGAAGTTGATCCTCACAGACCGCCTCGGACCCACCGATCGATGCTCTGTCCTCATACCATCATCGCCTCTTTCGAACTGTGGATTAATTCTCAGTGATCACATCTATTCTTCACTATGGCTGCTCAAGATCCCCGTGTTCTGCTCCAAAAAGTGAGCTCTACTTGACCCTCTCTCCATCTCGCCTGCTGGCAATGACGACAGGCGGCATAGCTAACGATGTCTCGCACCCCGCGAGCAACCAGGCCGATAAAGCTCTTTCGGGCGCCTCCGGCGGCTTCAGCTGGTTTGGAGGACGCACAGAAAAGTATGAGAGTGCTGCCGATCTTTATACCCAAGCCGCGAATGCGTTTCGAGTACAGAAAATGAGTGAGCCACCCCACGTCGCCACGTCTGCCTACACTAAAGTGCGGGTCGCTGACGAACGGTATTTACCCGCGAATAGATAAGGAAGCTGGTCTGGCCTTTGAGAAAGCAGCGACAATCCAGACGCAAAACCTAAACGAGCCCGACGATGCGGCCAATACGCTCCAGGAAGCATTCAAGGTCTACCGCAAGTCCGACCCGGAAGATGCTGCCCGTGTTCTCTCCAGTGCGATCCAGCACTATGTTCTGCGCGGAAACTTGCGCCGCGCGGCGACTCAGCAGCAGTATCTAGCCGAGGTTTATGAGGTTGAGCTGGGCGATATGAAGAAGGCGCTGGAAGCATATGAGAAGGCCGCCGAGTGGTTCGAGGGCGATAATGCCGAGGCGTATGGATCCATCGCTTCTCGGGTTTAAAAAGCAATGCTAACAGCTGGACTCGTTTAGTCTTGCAAACAAACACTTCCTGAAGGTCGCAGACCTGTCTGCGATGAATGAGGACTATTACAAGGCCATCAACAATTACGAGCACATCGCTCGCCAGTCCACAAACAACCAGTTGATGAAGTGGTCCGTGAAAGACTACTTCTTGAAGGCCGGTATCTGCCACCTTGCGACCAAGGTATGTCTGCCCGGATTCCCAATATTCATCGTTTACTCACTCGCTCTCAGGACCTGGTCGAATCGAACCGCGCCCTCGAATCATACCGTGAAATTGACCCTACCTTCGCCTCAACCCGTGAGCACCAGCTGCTCGTGGACCTGCTCCAGGCCGTGGAGGCTGGTGACCAGGAACAATTCGCTGACAAGCTGTTCCAGTTTGATCAGCTCAGCAAGCTGGACAAGTGGAAGACTACAATCTTGCTGCGGATTAAGAACAACATCGAGGAGGCCGAGGAGGACTTCTCTTAGATGAGATTGGATTTGTTTTGGCCTTTGATTCCCCGTGCTGTGCAAGGAACTTTGAAATGAATTACTTTGAAGATTATTCGTTAGACGTATCTGAACCACTTGTTTGTTTGGCTTGGAAATGAATACAGCCTTCGAACTTTCTACGTTATTATTGGAGTATATAGTGCACTATCCCTTTGTCCCCGAATTGAGGAGATCTTGAGTCTACATTGACGACAAGTATGATTGAAAAATGTAAGAAGAAATCTCGTAATTCATTAGGAAATGCCTCTATGTACTTTTGGGGGTGTATCATGCCATGCATTCCTGGCCAGGAACTGCTCTCATCATGTCAGGTAGTCAAGTATAGTTCATCCATCTCTTACAGAACAGTCAAAGCGCCTATCTATGCGCCATAAGCCTCGAGAGCCACCGCAGGACGTGGGAAGACACGCTTGTACAAACTGATACCAATAGAGTCCTGGGGGTTGATCTTGGCATCAAAGGTAGCCTTGAAGTAACCGTGAGTACCGAGACTCTCCTTGATATAACCGCTGCGGCCACGGCGAGTCCAAAGTTGCAAAGCCTTGAACCAGGCAACATCCTCTTGGTTGAAGAACATATACCGGACGGTAACGACCTTCTTGTGAATCTTGTACGGGTGACCGGTGAGAATGGCACGCTTGGCAATGACACGCTTGGGATCGGGAGCAACGACAGTACCGGTGCCGATCAGCTCCAGGCGGTTCATATCGATGGGTTGTTGCGCCGGCTTCTCGTCTGCGGAGTCGAGTATTTCGGGGTCCTCTTCCGTCTGCTTGTTGCGGAAGACAAGGATAGGGACAGCACCCCAGGTCATGGGCCCAATCCATGTGGCGATGGCGCTGCGACCGGGGTGCAAGTAACGGTCGAACTTGTGCACATTGTTGGGAGTGTTGTCAGCAGAGGAGAACACTGGCTTGACCACAATGCGACGGGCACCGCACTGCACAACGAGCTCTTCCTTGGACTTGAGGGGCTTCTCGACGCTTCCATTCAAAGTCATGTTCACGTTGACCACGGTATTCTTGTGCTCGTGGCGCAGGAGGGAGAACAGGGAAAGCGGCTGGGCCTTTTGGCGGAGAACAGAAGGCACCGCACGAAGATGGATGTCGACACGTGTACCAGGGTTGACACCACCGACAAGAGCTTCACGAATGACACGGTTCTTGATGCTCTTGTAGTCACCGAACTGCAACAACCGGCGCCAGTCTTCAGGCTCGAAGGAACGGTCCTCAGAAGTCTCCCAAGGACTGATCTTCATGCTCTTCAAGCCACGGAAACGAGCGAGACGCTCTCTAGCGAGCACATTGGGGTGCAATTCAATCTCGTCGGGGAATTCAAGATCTTCTTCGGCTTCAGTCTTGCGACTAGCGCGGTAATCTGCCAGCTCCTGAGCCTCGTCCTCGGGTGACGGGTCAAGGAACATCTCTGACTGGGGATACTCCGAGGGACCACCTTCTGTCATGGCGTCGGCGTTGTCAGGGAACACGCCATCTTCAGGTGCACCAGCAGTGTCCATCTCCATCTCCTCATCATCGTCATCCTCCAGATCGGATCCAGAGTCGGAGACATCTTCCAGATACCAAGCGGATTGGTAAGTTGAGGTACCCTTGGGCAAACGCTTAGGCGTCGCGGGAATGTGAGAGTCGTCGTCGGAGAAGTAGTGGTGGTCATCCAGCAGGACACCCTTCTTCTCTGTGTCGGCCATGGAAACCATATCGTCATCCTGCATTTCAATCTCCTCGGGTGCAACAGTGGCCATGTCGTCCTGGTCCGCAGTAGGGCCATCAAGAACTTGACTTGCTTGGTTGTCGTCCACGTTCATGGCATCATCACGCTTGCCCTTGGTGGGTAAAGGAGCTGCTGTGATCGAATCGATCTGGAAGTCACCCCAGCCTGGGATATGTGCGATTCTGTCGGCCTTCAAGCCCTTTCCACGGACGATACCAGAGATAACAACATCATCGACCACTTCTTCATTTGACTCGGGCCACTGCACGTTCTCAACAAGCATCCAGCTACGCTCGTCACGCCAGCGAATACCCTTGGGGGTCGCCGTACAGAGAGAGCGGATAGCATTGGAGCACTCCTGTCGCGAATCGAGCGACATGACCTTCTCGACAGCCGGGAAGAAATGGTTGACGAAAGACTTAAGCGAAGAAGCCACTTGAGGACGCTTCTTGGCCGGGTTAATCTTGTCAAGCCCCTGAACCACGGTAATGACGTTGGAGATACCCTGACTCTCAATTGAGCGCAGAAGCAACTCGCCCTCTTCCTGCACTTCTGTCTCTGACGATACAACCAATACGACAAAATCGGCCATACGGCACACGTCTAGAGCATTCATCAAGTCATACTTGGCCGGCATATAAAGCAAGCTCTGACGGAAGCGCTCGACGCGCACGCGGGTAGGTCCATCAATAGATATAGCGCAGGAGATTTCGACACTCTCGTTCAAAGCTTGAATCGCAGCGGGGATATCGATGTCGGGGGTGAGAGGTACAATAGCGATGTGGCGAGGCGCTCCATTTTGGCCAGTAAAGATGCTGGTTTCCTGGACTCGCAGCTGGTGCTTCAATTGCTGCCTCTGGCGGGCCTGGTTGCGACGATCGAGTTTCGACTTGAGCTGTTGGTGGGGGGTTTTGCGAGTGCCCCGCTCCGTCTCGATTTTACCTGAAAAAAATATAAGAGAAATTCCATGTAAGTTTTTTGTGAATATTAAAGCAATTACTCACCCTTCTGCTGGTCCTTCAGAGCACCCTTAGAGGCATGCTTGGTCTTGAAAGGCTTGTTCGCAGCCTTGGTACTGTTGCGGTGGTGATGCTCCGGGTTAGGCGCCATGTTGGCACTGGACCCTTTGAAACGGTATGGAAGGGAGTCCAGCTTGAAACGAGAAAACACTCTCTGTGATAATGGAATCGAGATTAAAAAACACTGAGACCGAAGAAATCCCACGCAGACAGAAAAAAAATGGCGATAAGAAAACAAAATTCGGCAGTGGAGAGGATAAGCGAGCGGTGAGCGCAACTCTTGGCGCAATTTTTTAGATTTCGCTTTTTCTCCGCGAGTCGATTAGCGTTTCCCTTTGAAAAGCAGCACATACTAAAAATGGCTGACTCGGGTTCGAAACAGGTCATGACGGCCGAAGACCGTGCGGCTAAACAGCGGCTTATTGAAGCCCAAAAGGCCTACGGACGAGGCAAAGCTATCTCGACCAAGGCCATTCGAAACAAGAAGATCCGCTCGACCCTCCAGGCGCAAGAGGCCAAGCAAAAGCAAGCTGTCTTGCAAGCGAAGGATTCAGAGATTCTTCTCGAGCACGAGGCCGGCTTCCTTGAGCCTGAAGGGGAGCTTGAACGGACATACAAAGTTCGACAGGATGAGATTAAGGAAAGTGTTGGGATTGAAACGGCAAAGAAAGGATTCGAGCTACGCCTCAATGACTTCGGGCCCTATCGCGTGGATTATACTCGGAACGGACGCAATCTGTTGTTAGCTGGACGGAAAGGCCATGTCGCAACCATGGACTGGCGTGATGGCAAGCTGGGCTGTGAGCTCAACTTGAACGAGACAGTTCGCGATGCGCGCTGGCTGCACAACAATCAGTACTTCGCGGTTGCCCAGAAAAAATACGTTTACATCTATGACCATCAAGGAACCGAGTTGCACTGTCTCAACAAGCACCTGGAGCCGCTCTACCTCGAATTTCTGCCCTACCACTACCTTCTGGCCAGTGTTGTAAGTACAATCCACCTCAACCGGCGGTCACGAAACTTTCTAATGCAGCTTCTTATTAAAGGGCATCAGCGGTTACCTAAAATACACCGACACTTCTATCGGCACCACCGTCGCCGAGCTGCCCACTCGCTTGGGCCGTCCCACTGCCCTTTGCCAGAATCCTCATAACGCCATTCTTCACGTTGGGCACCAGAATGGACAAGTGACATTATGGTCGCCCAACTCTCAAACAGCGCTCGTCAAGGCTATGGTTCACAAGGGACCTGTCCGCTCGCTTGCGATTGACCGCCAAGGCCGTTACATGGTATCGACTGGCCAAGACCAAAGGATGAACGTCTGGGATATTCGCATGTTCCGTGAAGTCCACTCATACTCTACTTATCAGCCCGGTGCGTCGGTCGCCATCAGTGATCGCGGTCTTACCGCTGTCGGCTGGGGTACTCAGGTCAGTGTGTGGCGCGGCCTCTTTGACGCCGCCGTTGCCGACCAGGGCAAGGTGCAAAGCCCTTACATGGCATGGGGTGGTGATGGCCAGCGTATTGAAAACATGCGCTGGTGCCCATACGAAGATATCCTAGGTGTCACCCATGACCAGGGATTCGCTAGCATCCTCGTCCCTGGCGCCGGAGAACCCAACTTCGACTCTCTGGAGGCGAACCCCTACGAGAATGCGCACCAGCGCCAGGAGGCAGAGGTGCACTCTCTGCTTACCAAGCTCCAGCCAGATATGATTTCGCTGGACCCAGATGTTATCGGAAAACTCGATACCATCAGCGACAAGAAGCGCCAAGAAGAGCGCAACCCGGACCACAAACCCCAAGACCACATGGAGAAGATCAAAAACCGTGGCCGTGGCCGCAACAGTGCTCTTCGCAAGTATCTTCGCAAGAAGGGCCGCGGCAATGTCATCGACGAGAAGCGACTCAAGGCCGAGGCTTTGCGCAAGGAGCACGCCGAGCGCCACAAGAACAGGCTTCGCCAGGAGCGGGAGGAGCTTGGACCGGCTCTGGGCAGATTCGCCAAGAAGGACTCTTAATATGTTTCTTGCGTTTGCTCGTCTCTCGCGAGCCTCAGACAGCTATCCAGATACCCAGCCCTGCGGCTTTTTGATATTGGAGAGCAAGCTATGTAGCTGCATTTCAGGCGTTGGAGGAACCCACATGTATAGAATCTTTGGACCGGAAAAGCAAGTACCTATGTACCATCATCATTTTATGGCATATATGACCAACCTCTCACGCCCTCGTATATCTACTCATCAATACTGCCCGAACCACGCGGGGCACCGTCCTTCCACCGCTGCAAGCTCAGATCATACGCACCGCTTCCCTTCCAAGCACTAATGATTAGATTCACAATGTGATTCATGCCTGTCCCATTCTTCACCACGGCAAAGACAGTAGGCCCGTCCTCACGCATCTTTGCCGCATCGCGTTCCATAACCTTCAAGTCCGCACCAACTGCCTCAGCAAGATCAATCTTGTTCACGACCAACAGATCTGACCCAGTAATACCCGGGCCACCCTTTCTGGGCACCTTGTCACCCCCCGCAACATCGATAACGTAGATGATGAAATCCGCCAATTCGCGCGAGTAGTTCGCAGCCAGGTTATCACCACCAGACTCAATGAGCAACAAATCAGTCGAAAATTGCCTCTGCAGATTCTGCAGAGCGAGCAGGTTTGCACTGATATCCTCACGGACGGCAGCGTGGGGACAACCGCCCGTTTCGATAGCGCGGATACGCGAGGGAGCGAGGGCTTTGTGGCGGGTAAGAAATTCTGCATCTTCGCGGGTGAAGATATCATTTGTGACGGCTGCAATGTTGTACTCGTCGCGGAGGGCATTGCACAGGGCCAGCATGAGAGCTGTCTTTCCGGAACCGACGGGTCTGGAGCTGTCAGGAATAATCTGGGCTATAGGAGTACACGGATCATTTGAAGGAAGTTGTTGGCACTCACCCGCCAATTCCAATGGTGAAGGCACGGTCCTTCCAGTCACGGCCTTCGATCAGAGGCATCTCGCGGTTGAGGTAAGAGCCTGGGCCATCGAGAATGTCGTGCGAGTGGCCGTGGCCGTTAAACGGGTCGTCATGGGAGTGACTTACGCCGGCATCGTGGGAGTGAGAGTGGGCCATTGTAGAAGATTGAGTCACTGAGTACTAGAGGGGTATAAGCATGGGGGTATAAGTAAGAGAATGGATGCAAAACGGAGGTTGAGGGTAAGGAGGGGCAGTCGAGCAAGGGCTTAGCTTAGGCTTTGGTGGGGAAATGCGATAACAAACATGCCGAGAATGTCAAACTTGGCCGAACGGAGATCGCCGATTCGGCCAAGGATAATTCCAGTGGCAAATGTTATAGAATGTAAAGATGGGATGGATAGGTTTCAAGAAATGGCGCCTAGTAATGAGTTACAGTGGCAGTGATGATATATATGTATGAATTCGTCAAAATAGCGGCAGAACGATGAGCCCCAAGGGAAGGAATAATCAACTCCCAAACTACGGGCCCAAAGGACCACCCCAATGCACGCAGACGAAGGTCCAAGGAAACAAACAGCCTGACGCCAGTGCAATCGCCAACACGGATATCAGAGGAATTAATCCAAAGGTCAGAAACGGCAAAACAAAGTCCAATCCAGAAATCGTCAAACCCCTCGCATTGGCAAGAGACTTCAAAACTCGGAGAACATGCAAGTAAATAAAGGTCAGGTGATGATCCCAAGCCAACCGAACACACGCTGAAAGAGAGATAGAGTACATTAGGATTGAAGGTAGATCGGGAATCGATGGAGACGCGCTTCATATCTCCGGCGCGGAAAACCAAGGGGCGGGCAATGTTTAAATCCAACATCGACGGGAGATTTTATCGTCAAGGTACCGAAAGCCGAAGAGAGCGACCTTCTGTGAATCAAATCGACACAAAACAAGAAGAGCGCAGACGAATGTCTCGCCAGGTATCCAAAGTCGTACGCCGGTTCCCCGCCTCTTTGAAAAATGAGAATCAGAAATCGAAACGATATGATCAAGCGGCTTGTCCCTTTTGCCGTTTAGGTACTCGAGGGCTAGCTTTGATCTTGGCCGAGCCGGGAGCCGAGGTGCCGTTGACCTCTGCCCCGTCATCGCCTTCCATCTTAACGGTGCTTGCCCGGCGGCGTTTGTTGCCGCCCACATTAGGGCTATTGTTAACACCAACTGGAGATGGATGGACTGAGCCTGGCATCCCCGGCGGCCCGGCAAGCTGGCTTTGAGCAGGGCTTGCATGCGCAGAGCCGAGATGGGGCGATCCTTGAGCCCCCGGGAGACCGAGATGGGCCATAGCAGGCGAGGCGAACTGCGAAGGGCCATTCATGCTTGGATTGCGTGCGTTGGGCATACCTTGCATACCTTGCATACCTTGCATGGCTTGCATGGCTTGCATGGCCTGCAAATTTTGCAAATTCTGCATATTCTGCATATTCTGCATGTTTTGCATGTTTTGCATGTTCTGCATATTTTGCATATTCTGCGTATTCTGCATATTCTGCATATTTTGCATGTTTTGCATACCTTGCATTCCTTGCATGCCTGGGTTCATCGAGGGTGCAAATCCTTGATTAGGAACCGTCTGCAGAACGTTGACGAGGCTGCGAAGCGCTTCCGGCGGGGATAACGTCGGATTCTGTTGAGAGTAGTGGAAAAGCATTTGCATGTGCGAGATGGTCTCTGCGACTTCCAAGAATCCCATCACCGGGAGAGTTACGCCATGGGAGTTGACCAAAGACTCCGGCAACATTGGTGATTGGGCCTGCTTTTGTGTTCGCTTCGCGGCGTTTTTGGAGACCTTGGGGCTCTGTTTCATTTCGGGCGTCTCCAATGCCTGAGCAACACTTCGGGGGATAAACTCATTGTGGCTGGTGACAGTTATATCAAGCATCTCAAGCTTGTTGTCAATGCCAAAGGAAGCACGCAGCTGTCCGTTCGTAAAGAGCTAGATAACAATCATGAGTGAATGTTCCAAGTGTGTCATGACTATCAAAGAACTTACTTGGCAATCATTCGTAAACCAGTAGATAAAGGATGTTCGAGGACTCTCGACCATGTGTCCTCCATTGGGCAAGTCCCGCTCACGGGCACCTTCCACGACCATTTGAATCTGGCGAATGCCGCTAGAAAATTGAGTAAGGTAGTATCGAGCCAGTGCAGGTGTTGTAATCTCAAACTGCTTCGATCCGGTCTGAGAATTCCAGACACCCTGTCGCAGAACACCTCCGGGTGAATAAAATTTCTCAACAAAGCTGTTCCAGTACATAAGGTCGGCTGTCTCGTTCCGACTCTGGAAATTGCTTAGATTTTCGGCGTAAGCGTGAAGATACAAAATTGATTGTCCACCGGGTCGGTTCATCCTTTGCATCATCAAAGCGTGCTGCTGCTGCTGCGCTTTGATTTGAGCCTCCTGGGCAGCCAGCGCCTGCGGATTCGGTGGGCCGGCTGGCTGGCCTGATTGGCTCTGAGCTCCTTGAGGCTGTGACTGGGGGCCGGGCTGTTGACCTGGCTGTTGGCCCGGCGGCAGCTGCTGTGGCTGCGGGTTCGGTGTACCCTGAGCTTGGGGTGGTCCCTGCGACTGTGGGGGTTGAGTCGACGGAGGTTGGGAAGGCTGACGCGGCTGGGGCGTCCCACCCTGCGGCGGACCATGCTGAGACTGAGGGGTCCCACCCTGGGCCTCATGCATGTTAGGAGGTTGCGCAGATGCCCGCTGGGGAGTATGTTGGCCGGGCTGTCCATTGTTTGCCTGAGCCTGTTGCTGCGCTTGTTGCTGGGCTTGTGCTTGCGCTTGCGCCTGCTGGAAAGCGAACAACTGTTGTTGCGTGAGGTTTTGAGGTTGGCCGTGAGGTACCTGTCCCTGAAGATGCATCATGTTGACCGGCCGCATTCCTGGGTTTCCCTGCATTTGAGCCAGCTGGGCAGCATTCAAGCCCTGGGTTCCATTGGGTAATGATGGGAGGCCATGTGGATGCTGTTGCGCGGCTTGCTGCCGTTGCTGGAGAATCATTTGCTGCCGCATCATCTGTTGTTGGTGCATTAATTGGGGATTGTTTGCATCTAGCAGTTGGGTGATGCGATTAGCAAGTGTCTGAGAATGGATATTGGCTAGGATACCGCGAGCAAAGCCCAAAGTACCGCGCTTCGACTGCGAGTACCCAGTATGCGCGCGCGTATCCAGTGAAGCCCGCGCTTCCAAGTGTATGGAATATGTATGGGAACTACTCACAATTTTGCGCAAACGCTTGTTGCTGGAACATGTGTGGCGCCTGCGGATTCAGATGGGACATAGCGTGGGCGTTGGGCATGGGGCCACCAGGACCTGCAGTCCCAGCGCCCGGGGGCATACCACCCATCATCGGACCCGCCTGGCTCACTTGGGGTCCTCCTGGTGCGGAAACTCCAGGGTGCATTTGCTGTACCATGCCAGGGCCGGGATGACCGGCATTTGGGTGTTGACCGGCCATTGGGTGATGACCCGGGGGCAGGCTGTGCTGTGGGATGCCTTGATGGGCAGCGAATGGTTGCGCCATCATCATTGTGGAAAATGTCACCACGGACAAGGGACTTGAAGGGCGAAGAAATCGCGACAACGATGAGGAACCGACCGGAATATGTATATAGGAGTCGCGCGCCCCAAGACTAGAGGCCGGTTTCTTGGCGCTTCGGAGCGGATGCCCAGGCGACTAAGGATCCAGTAGACGCGAAAGGCTGAAGCATGGATGGGGACCTCAGCCTAGACTTCGATTCGCCTCAATGCAGGCCTCGTTGTCCTGTAGACCGGGCGATTAGTTCTGGTGGGGAGTACGGGTTGATAAGAGACACGAAGTTTGGGGGGGGGGGAAACAAGAGGTGATAGGGGAGGCGTGGAGGGGCTGGGCCTCCGAACATGGGAGACAACTCACACAGCGAAGCCCGAATGCGAAGTCGACGAGACGGTGTTAAAAGGGACAGGGACAGTCGCGATCGCCCATGAGAGGAGAGAAAGATGATCGCCCGGTGGGAGCGAAGAGGAAACTGGGGCGGAGGATCCGGCTCCGAAAGTGGAGGATGTAACCGAGCAGTCAAGATAGATGCTAGGGGGCAAAACAGCAGATCAGGACGATGAAGATGATCTCTTGTATGTGAATATCAAGATCTCACCTCTAGTTTCCTTTCACCTGAGGCTTTTTTCCCTTCACACTCGACTGCGATTTGCAAAGCTGCCGCGCTAAACCGCTTTCTCAAAGTCACGTGACTGTTGTGTATTTCAGCGCGTTTTTTTTTTCCCGCTTTCCCTCATCTTTACACTTCCTGTTGATACTCTCTCTGGAGTGCCTCTTTCTTTATGATGAGAGAGGTCTCTCGCGTGGTCATCAGGCCTCATGCCTTATAACTCTCGCCACTAACTGTCTGCGCCTGCAGCTTATTTGCCTCTGGTAAGTCCGAAAGTGCTTTTTTTTCCCTCCCCTCTTTCTCTGGTTCAAGGATGTCAAACCCTTTTTACTTCTTTATCCTCCAAATCGACCATGACGAGACAGTTCGGACCTTCCTTTCCCGGTTGGTTTGCTACTTGCCAGTATATTTTGTCTGAGAACCATTCCAATCATCAATTGCTCGTTACATTACAAGTTGTGAGACATGGGCTGACCCAATGTTTGCATCAGGTGAACCATAGACTCTCGATCATGCCACGCCCAGATCGTCCATGTTATATTCATAGTATACTCTAGTCACTGAATGGGACCACTTAATTGATATCATTCCTTCCATGACCCCGTACTTGTGTCAGTTGTCCACTGTAATGCGATCCACAAACTTTATTGTAATCCCGGCCGAAGATCACTCCTAGCGTAGCAGGTGCGTAACGTAAAGGAGTTCAATCTTTAGGCCGTGGCAGGAAATCTCCAAATTTCATGGTTTTGACCAAATGAAACGCAGTTATTATCTAGACTGTAAATCCGGGTCTCTCGCACGTTTTTTTTTTTGGGATACATATCACGTGATTTTCTATTTCTCCGGCGGCGTCTGGCGTCTGCGCTGGCACCTCGTTGCACGGTCAATGCAGTAATTTGCTTTCCTTGAATTTGCGCTTTCGATTCCGGTGGCATCTCGTGCCCCGGATGTTTTTGTCAATGCAATTGTTTCGGCTGTCCCTTGCACGCCCTTGTCGATTCATCGCACGTCGCCGTTATCCCGCGCTCATTGCCTCTCGGCATTTCCACCCGTCGCGACGATATCTTTCAGCCGCGAACGATCCCCAAGATGGTCCAACTCCTTCCGAAAATATTGTTGATGAGCCTCGCTCTTCAGACGTCGACGATTTTCTTGTGAACAATGGCTCCCTGCCCGCCGACCAAACCGGCAAGCCCGCTTCAAAGCCACATGGATCCGCTGTGCGGAGAGCTATGAGAAACCGGTTACCAAAGCAAGAAAAAAAAATCGCCGCCGGTGCCAACGATTCCTGCATGGTTTGTTCGACGAAACACGGTGAATAGAGGCTCCGAAGGTCAAGGTGCGGTACAATCTCAACATCAGGTCGAGATCGTCAAGTCAAAACCTGTACCGGACACCGAGGAGCCGGCTAAAGAAGAGCAACCCTCTGGTGGCGATGACAGCGACCCTTCATCGACCGAGCCGACGGGATCAGAGAACCGATATGCCGTGGCGGATGCAACATGGGAGGAATTGCGGGCTTCAGTCAAAGCTGGTCTGAGACTACCATCCTTGCAATATGCAAACGAACCCGCGGCAAAGAAATCCCATCTTGTGCTTCAGTATCCGGGCAACAATGGCATCACGTTCTTGAATGCAGTTGTGAAGCGCCTTGCTCTTGAACAAGATACGCATCTCGTCACTCTCAATGCCCAAGACATCGCTATCCTATTCAGTGAGCTTGATCTTACTGAATCTGGTGCCTCCTCAGCTATTCGTTCCCTTGGATACGAGGTTTATAGACCCCCAGTCGTGGCTTGGCCCGAGCCTACGGATGGTGAAGATGGTGATGAAGACATCTCGGAAATTGCTGCCGGTCAAGGTGTGCGCGCTGAGGTTAGCACTCCTCGCTTCATTACCATCGAGGCAAGCCGTGACTCGGGCGATATTCCGCTTCCTAATTGGATGGGGTTAAAATCGCTCGTGGCATCTATGAATGGTCAGCAGGATCAGGATCTCGGTACAATGCGTCATCTCGGTCATGGCGTGGAACAACGCTGGGCTGGTCTGCTCAACCAAATTATTTCCCCAGCTGATCAACCAACACAACCTGCGCCTGCTGAAACAGACGGGCTTTCTGAATCGGACTCATCCAAGAAGGTCCTGGCACGAGACACGATTGTACACATCCAGGACTATCGCGAGATTCAAAGCACCAGAGACGGCGCGAGAATGATTAGTATCCTACAGAAGGTGATTCAGGATTGGCGACGTGGAGGATCGAGAGTCATGCTAGTTGGCAGTACATCACAGGATCTTCGTCATTCTTCCCCCCAAGATGGCTCGAGGATATTACAAAATGTCTTTGACGACAACTTCTCGAAGACCCTGGTGGTTACACCCGCCATGTCTGCAAAGGCTGTCGAAAAGACATTTGCAGAGGACGGGAAAAATCGTACAATGGATATAAACATTCGGCATCTCCAGATGATGCTTCGCTACCGACTCAGCGAGAGTTCTACTGCAGCCAAAGACCAAATATTCCTTGATAGCGCCTGGCCGCTGGATTCGTCCACTATCAAAAAATCCGGTATCAGAGAGCGTTTCTGGTCTTATAACCAGGTGCACTGGGTTTCAACCCTGGCCCTTGGCAGTGCGGAGTCCGATGAAGTCTTTGGCTTCGAGCATATCCGAAAAGGAATCGAACTAATGGATAATGGTGACCGAGTTACCAGTGACTGGTTGCAAGAGAAATCTTCCAAGTCGACAGATTCCCCAGCAGGTCAAAGTCGAGAACAATTACTGGCTTCCCTGCGCAAGACCTGTAATAACCACGAGAAGAAGCTGCTGAATGGCGTTGTGGATGCAAAGAGCATCCGCACCACCTTCGCCGACGTACATGTGCCACCCGAAACTGTGGACGCTCTCAAGACCCTGACTTCCTTGTCACTTATTCGCCCCGAAGCTTTCACCTACGGCGTGCTGGCGACCGATAAGATCCCCGGTCTTCTTCTTTACGGTCCTCCGGGCACCGGTAAGACGCTGCTTGCCAAGGCCGTTGCTCGCGAGAGTGGAGCGACTGTTCTCGAAGTGAGTGGATCCGAGGTATACGATATGTACGTCGGTGAAGGCGAGAAGAATGTGAAAGCCATCTTTACTCTGGCGAAGAAATTGAGCCCATGCGTCGTCTTCATCGACGAAGCCGATGCCATTTTCTGTTCGCGCACAGGAGCTAGCAGCCGCACCTCCCATCGCGAACTGATCAACCAGTTCCTGCGCGAATGGGACGGAATGAATGACCTATCAGCCTTCATCATGGTCGCCACTAACCGACCCTTCGACCTTGATGACGCCGTTCTCCGTCGTCTTCCTCGCAGGCTCCTCGTGGACCTGCCTACAGAAGAAGATCGTCACTCGATCCTGAAGATCCATCTCAAAGAGGAACAACTTGATCCCTCCGTCGACCTCGCCGCGCTAGCCAAGCGGACCCCACTATACTCCGGCTCCGATCTGAAGAACCTGTCCGTCGCGGCTGCACTGGCTTGCGTGCGTGAAGAGAACGCGGCTGCCGCGAAACACCAAGGCGACGAGCCCTACCAGTACCCAGAGCGTCGCACGCTGACACTGACTCATTTCGAGCGAGGAATGGAAGAGATCAGCGCGTCCATCAGCGAGGATATGTCTTCCCTTTCTGCGATTCGGAAGTTCGACGAGCAATACGGCGATCGTAAGGGTCGGCGTCAGAAGGCTCCTGGATGGGGATTCACCCCGTCTGGCGAGGAGCCTGTGGCGGACAGTGCGCGTGTGCGCACTTGATTGTTGTGAATTTTATAGACCTTGGGATACATTCTGGGGTTTGACTCTTTCAGCCGAGACTCCCCTTTGTACTTTTAGTGACACGATAGACATGTATTAATATCGCGAGAGTAAATACGCTTGCATTTGCATTTTCTGCCTTCGACCTCTTCTGCCCCTGGAAAGAAACACAGCCTAGAAAATTATTTGATGCGATAAGTTATCTGTTCAGGATGATCTAAATTTTCCTATTCAGCTTTGCGGCATCAAAATAAGGTTTTTTGGGTGGATCTATATTTCGTCTAGGCGGCTGACGATGGATTTCATCCATGACATATAGTAATAATTACAGAGTGTCGCTGTTCAAATTTGATCATGTTCTGCGGCACGGTGTCGAGAGGGAATGAATAGAACCAGGTAATCTTTTCATTAGCAAAGTCTAGACCGCGGGGATGTAATGCCGGTGTGTGTATGTCGTAATCTGGGAATAGCACCTAGCTACCCACTCGGGTCGCGAAAGACCGGAACTTGACTGCCGTTTGGGAAAAGATCGATATTCAACCTATTTCGGAAAGTCGAGGCGTCCGTTTTGCATCCCTGTCCAGGGTAATTTGTGTCGTTTTTGGGATATCACAGGGTCTCGTCGGGTAAATTTTAAACTATGATCGCTCGATTGCCAATGTATGGGCTTGAGATCCGCTTGAGATCAGTCCGACCATCTTAGACTGTATAGCTTTAAGCGATAGCAATTTGGTGCAAACGAAGTTCAAGGTTATCAAACGCAATATTTACAATTTCCGATGGTCAAAAGACAAACAGTATGGGCTTCTTCACTTTCGCTGGACCTCTCCGGCTCGGCAATTTTACCCAATATGTTGATGAAATATAGTCATCAATACGTAAATATATTTTGACAGGCTATATACTTGTATTAAGATGCCTTTGCGATATATAAGTGATACACATTGTCTTATCGTATCATGATCGATAGGGATTATTCAAAGCTATGGACATGCGGCATTGCAGACTTCAGTACAGCTAGATCATAGGGAATATAACAAGACTTGCCTTAAGTTAGTGAAGCTCTAGCGAGTGAGAGTCTAGCGGAGTGCCATGGTTGAAAGTATTACTCTAATCATGTCTGAGCTTGGTATAGATCAGCCCAGCCCAAGAGGCACTACTACTGCATGTCCCCCCGCCCTCACTCCACGCGACCAGGTTGACGATAATACACTCTCCTTTGCCCAAGCTTCTTCTGAGTTCTTGATCGCCCCAAGAGACCCTACGTTCAAAGTAGCGCGATCTCATGCCTGATCAATGCGGCGCCCGCGAAGAGAAGGCACGTGCCACGATGACATCGCATCCGTCTCCACCCGCCACTCGAGCTTCTTTTCTTCACTGGAGGTCGAGAAGGACTTCTTCGCCCCGGCCTGATTCCGCGATAAACCGAGTGCGCGTCGATCATACTCTCCTGCTACCGTTATCCCGTACGCCTGCGAGAGAAGAAAATTCAGACTCCCCACCCAAAGCCATGTCTGGCGACTCACGCGACACAGCCATTCGCGATGCGAAACGGTTCGTGCGCGAAGTGGTTCGTGATGACTGGGAGTTCGATCCTCATAGAAGCGCCGATGCTGCTCGTCCCATTTCATCCTCATCTATCGATTCAACCGGCACCCTCTACCAAAATCGCCAAGTGATCGAATGGCGATGTCGCGAATTCGACAGTTCCGGCTCCGAGCTCGAACCGCAATCATCAGACGATGATGATTCGGATTCATCCTTAGGTAGAAGAATAGCAGAAACGGCGATTGAGAGGCGGCGCAAACGCCGCCGACAGATGGACGAGGAGATGACATGGAATGAGGGGTTGCGGATGTGGATGGCACAACGGGATGCATGGTCTGGAGCTCGGACGAGACGACAAATACGAGCTCAGGAACAGAAGCGCAATCTGGAGGAACTGAGGTCTTCAAGTCCATCTAATGTCGACAGTGTTGATTCAGGCGTTGACACCAGTGCGGGGAAACCGCCACCCTCGGACCAAAAAGCTCACAGCGAAACCACAGAGGGGTCTGGATTGGCAAATACAATCGAGAGATCCCTATCCATCTCAGAAAAGGAGAGACTTGAAGAGGAGCAGTCAACCGCTCTCGATGACGACAAGCGCAAGGAATCTACCGAGACCGGCATCACCGAACCTGACGCGCATACGTCCAAGGATCCCTCCCGCCTGACGACATTCCCAGCAATTGACGATAGCAACGTGGAGGACACTGATGAAGAGCTCGATGAGCCTCTCATTCCTGTCGCGCCTCCTTTCATCTCCGCCGACAACCCCATACGCGCAACCATCGGTCCCGCCATCTACCCATCGATCTACGCCAAGGTCGTCGTGCAGGGCATGACGCCTACCATACCGGTCAATTTGGCCGACTTGACTAATGCCATGGTCCACGGCTGGAAGGCAGACGGGCAATGGCCACCCAAGCCAGCCGTCACGTCAATTGTCCTCCAAGACGACGCCTCCGTTCCCAAGACGGTTTCATCAGATAACCCAACCCAGACAAGACGAAAGAACAGTATCACCAATGCGATGCGTAAGGTCTTTCACAACCCCTTCCACCGACGCGGATCCACCGATGCTGCTTCTGGGCCTGGGACCCCCGGTGCTGTCTAGTGTATATGCGGACGGAGGATCTGTCGCTTCAGTGTTCAACTTTGTCACGATCTGTACGGGCTGATTGTCTTTCGCGCAATGCATCTGGCGTCTGTAGTCGGCGGTCTATGTCTTACAATTTCTCGTTATCTAATAAGGTCGATCTCGGCGATGCGGAGGTTTTGTGTCATACGATTCTTGTGACTGTTACTATCCATGGACAAGGTCTTAGGTTTGTGCATGGTCATCTCGCACATAGTTCTTAGGAGTTCTCTACGGCCAAAACGAGCAGGTCTTGATAATTCTTGGCGACTTCATATGAGCATCAACATTTGAAACATCCATCTTGCATCATGTCGTATACAGTAGAACCCCAAGAAAGAGTAGGTATAGATGGCAGCGGACAGAAGGTAGCTTCGCCCTAATTCATCCCTTTTTCCTCTGCTTTCATCAGTAAGACGTCTCAACGTAGGGACTTTACAATTCCAAATCCTCCATTGTATAATCGATGGACAGCCAGACTACTTAGGTCGACAATCCCTGAGTCCAGGCTGTACACAGCGCCCTCGTACGTGGATATCATAACAGAGGCTGAGCGAAGCACTGGTCAATCAGTCCAGACCCGGGCTCTTTACAAGTGTCTCCTCGGAGATTTGGGAAGATGGGAAAAGAGGGGTCTCAAGATCTCATTCTGGCCAATTCGAAGAGCATAGAGCCCAGTTACCGACTATTATGCTCGAATGGCGCCAGACGAGGAGCCACAGTCCATATGTAGGGACTGGTGTGCGTCTTAGAAGTCCAGGGAACCAACCTAGACCACAGGCGACATGGAATCAACCTGAGCCAAGTTCTGAGATGATCATCACCGTGATCCCGTCCTTTTGAGCCCATCGATGAGCCGAGCATTGGGACTGCATCGTCTGGTCGTTCTTTCCAAAGTCACAAAACTACCATCTGTAGAACTTCACTCATTCATCTTCCGCGACTATTCTAGCAAACCTCCAATTTCTCTTCTCACAGAGCATCTTCAAATTCTTTAGGAAGAAAGGGAAACCCATCTTTCATTGCCCCTCACTGAATGGTTCATCCTCTCCTGCTGTTTACATCGGGATCTAAGCAACACCCACAACATGTACCCTCGCACCATCCTTCATTCCGGCCAATTCAGCCGGATCGTGGATCCAGAATTCCCCCGGGGTCTCAGAGTAGGCACCGGACGTCTCATTCCTCGAAGATTTACTCCTCGCAACACATGGGATTCACCGCAAACGCTGTTCCCACCTACCTGCGGTCGTAATAATACCTTGCCTGTGAATCGGTTCATCAACAAAACCGACCGCAGACAGTTCCTCATATACACAGGCGGCGCATTCTCAGGTACTACCCAACAACACCCAGAAGGCGGCTGTGCCTTTATCTTCCAGCCGCCCAACTGTGGGCCTGATGGCTATGCCAGCTTTGCTCTGGAGAGGGAAGGTCCCACTGGCCAAGCTCACCCAGGAACAAGAGTTCGGGCCGAGCTGCGCGCGGTCATCGCAGCTCTTCGACACAAATACTGGATTGAGGAGGGCTTCAACAGTCTCGTGATCGCCACTGCTTCCGAATACGTTGTGAAAGGCATCACCGAATGGGTGTCGGTGTGGCTTACGACCAACTGGAGAACGAGTACATGTGCTGATGTCAAGAATCGTGACCTGTGGGAATGTCTGCTGGGTGAGATTGAGGCGTGGGATGATGAGGGCATGGAGATTCGGTTCTGGGCTATTCCGAGGCAGTGGAGTACATGTGCTGACTCTCATGCTCAAGAGGCTCGACTCAAGAGGCCCCTTGAACAATTCCATGATGTGTAGGAGGTGCTTGTGTCATTCGCTTTATGACTGAAGTCAGAGTTCAGACGATGGAACTAAGGACGGGAACAGGTGGTGGAGCGAATGATGCAGATAGAAAGACTTGATGGGCGTTTACTTCGGCTCTTTACGAACAGCAACCCGGCGCATGTTTCTCTGCTTCACTTCCCTTCAACATTATCACTTAGCGTTCAGATTGACCCGTGTGAAAGCGAAATATATCGTTATTGACCTATGTACTTCTGCTTTTGAAAAGTAGGAACCAAACTTGATATTATAGCCTTAAGGCTTGGCGAGGATAATTCGTAGTCACGAGTATAATGCAATTCTTGAGATTTCACCCCATTTTCAAAAACTACCCGACGCCAGTGCTAAATACATGTAATGCGTTGAAAAATGCAAGCTCTACTGCAAGTGCAGCGATTGAAGACAATCGTGTAAAGAAGACAGAGTAGACTCATCCATCCGTCCATGAGACTCATGATTTGGCAACTCGACAGGTGGTAGCAGTCCCAATCGCTCCACAGCATATATGAAATCTGCTGTAGCACCCTCAAAGGCCTTCTTCGCAACAGCCTCATTTTCAACCACTGCGGCAATCTCGGCCTCAAGAGTGATTTCCTTAGAATCGTGACCAGGCCGAGTGTAGTAGTATTTTCCATTGTGGAATGACCAGTTTCGAAGGTATGACTGGTGATCTTCAAAGGCCATGCGACGAGCCGTGGCCCGCTGCTGAGGCAAGTCGATCGTTACGGTAACTGGAAGTGGCTCGGGTAGTGAGAGTCTATCAAGTCCTGGACTTGATAGATCCAAGTATGAGGTCACAGCCATGGTCAAGTCTCGGAACCATTGTATGTAGGAAACAAGTTCATCGGCCAAGTCCGTGACACGCTCGATGTAATCGATCAAAGGTAGAGAGGCGGATATCATCTCGAAGAAAGCGGCAATGATGGCTAGAACGACGGGGTCCTTGAACTTGGTTGGGCGGTTGGAAAGTTGCTGAAGTGCTCGATAGGATGACTGGAGAACCGTTTCAAAGATCTTCAACAGGGAAGAGACGCAGTCTGGATCTGAGATGTCAATCTTGAATAGCAAGTCTTTGAAGACGAGTGAGATGCTTAAAATGACAGGACGGGCAAGGAGCCACGCGGCAGGGCTACTGAATGCTAGTTCGAGGTATGCAGGGAACACGCATTGCAGCAGAACGGCTCGAAGGGTTGGCTTGTCGGGTCGTCCAGCTTCGAAAGTATCTTTCATAGCGGTGTGTAGCTGGCCAGCAAGATGATTCTGTTGACCTTCCACAAGTGCCCTCTCGGTAATGCCTTGGATGAACCCACTCAGGGTTACCAGTTCCTTATTCAGATAAAGCTTCGGTTCGTAACGTTTTAACTTCGCAACAATGTACCTCGGATCGGTGGATGGCAGTGGGAATAGCGCTGGGTCTGTGAAGAAGGGGTCGACAGGCCGTATATCGCTCGTGAGTTCTTGGAGAAATGTGATAATTCGATGCACGAATTCGACATAAGCACCCTGAGCAGACTCAGCGGTTCCATTGCCAAGCTCGCGGTAATTGTCTTTCATGGCTGCCATCATTCGCTGAAGTATTTCAGAATAGTCGCGCTTTGTGACGTTCAAATCGCGACTCATGGACACTTCTAGTCCGAGGATGTGTTCGCGCATGTTTGACAACACGCTGGAAATGAGAGACAGTCGTCGCTGGCTCACTTCTTCCATATTGATTGCGTACCGCTCCGTCTTCTTGTCCTTTGTGAACGGAAGATTTTGGAGCAATGGATCTTGGGGGCTTCCATTAAGAATCGCAGCGGTGAGATGGTGCTGGAATTTGAGCATTGAGGATCGTTCAACCAACGACGACATCCACATGCTCATGACCATGATTCGACAATCGGATAAAACTTGTCCATCTTTCTCAATACAAAGTGCCACAAAATGCGGCGCAAATTTTCTCGTCTGCAGCGTGTCTCGAAGTCTCGCCCAGGACTCATCTCCGAATTGACTGAGGTAGTTGTCCCAATCCTTGAGTCCATGGCGCACTAGAACCTGGGCAATAGACGTCCAGCAATCTAGGGAGCTCTTGAGAATGGCATCTTCCGGGCAATGATCGGCGCCAAAGCAGTTGGAAACCAGGCGAGAAACAACTGGGTGAAGGACTCTCTGCACATGCTCGATACTTTCACGCGGCGGAGAATTCTGCTGGACCAGCTCAGCATCAATATCAGCCCAATCGGAATCACCGAAGCCAAATTCCTGGCTGTCTTCTTCCGCGGTTGGCAGGACCGCAGATGCAGCAGCAGGAGTCGGAGGTAACGCAAGATTATCTTTCTGAGCATACGCCACAATCACCTGCAAAGCCTGCGTCACGACAACATTTACTCGAGCGAGTTTTGGGTTGAACAACCCCATGATGGAATCAAAAGGAGTCTTCGAGATCAACCTGTACGCATGGTCCATGGTTGGCGCCAGCTCCATAGCAGTCTGCATCCCACCAAGAGCCATGCCCAACAGGCTTTCAATTCGCCGCTGATTCTGGGTAATTGTGCTTTCAATAAGCTGTTTCGAAACGCCGCCCTTGTTTTCTGCCTCGGTTTCCTGGCGGGCAAGTGCATGCTGTTGCCGAAGCTCGGTCAAGAAGTAGCTGTGCCAGTCGGCGAATGGGTCTAGCCCCGTGATATTTTCGTTAGTTGAAAGCTTGAACCGAACAAGCCTTGCCCAAGCACGGAGATTGATGCTGCACGTCTCAATGTGAGAATCGGCGGGATGAACTAGGTTGCGAATGCTCTCCAATCTCGGACGACATCCATTAGGAACAGCCCAGTACAGAGTGCAGAGGAGATCGTGGTGGTTGCGCAAAGCATCTAGATCTTCGTGGTATATAGGCATGTCTTTTGGATAGACTCGACCGTGATTGGGCAGGAATCGCCAGGCGATGTTCCGAATTCTTTTGTTGTCGTACCGCTCAGACATGAAGCGAAGGCCGCTTGCGATGATTTTGAGCAGTGTGTGGAAGCAGGGCTCGCTGGGTCGGACATCCAAAGAAGGTTTCTGATCGAGCTCATCAAGAAAGGTAGGGGAGCTGTTGCTTTCCTCGAGCTTCAAGTTGTAAAACGTCTTCTGCGCGAAGAAGTCATATAACATTTCGAGAGCGGGCCTGCATTCCCTCCAGCCCCACATATTGATCAGACGATGGCAACGTTGGAAGAGAGTTCGACAGTAGGCATTATATGAGATTGGTTGCGTAGCAGAGTTAGTATCATAATTGTCTAGCGCCGGGGACAGAAGCCGTTTAACCAAAGTCCAATTGTCATGGCTCGTTTTGAATCGGGTTTCACGTCGCGCAATACCATGGTGGTCGATCTCATGAAGAGACATTGGAGTGAACAAGCTGCGCCATGCCGTCTCCAAGATCAAAATGTCCTTGTGGTTACAAACAATGTCCTTGGTGCAAACCTCGAGTTCGACGTCTTTGAGCAGGCTAGTGAGCCCAGCCGAGCTGTGCAGGAGCTGCTGAACAATAACGTAAGCTTCTGCCGACGGAAATTCTTCATGTATCGCCTTTCCATATTGCTCTGATTTCTTTGTTTCTTCAAACAATTTTTGCAATTCAGTCACCCCAGTTTCGCCAAAGACTAATGATAGCGTGTCTTTCGCAAATGTCTCCACCAGATGTCGAGAATCATCGGCGAGAGAAGAGTTGACAAGGCTGTGGGATGTGATTTGACGGATCTGATTTGCAAACACAAGATTGTAGTATGCAAATCGGACCAATCCAGTCTTGTTGTAGTCACTGCTGGTAATGAAAGCGGCCATTGGGTCCTTGAGTCTGAAAAGCAGCCCAATTGCGCGAATGGCAAATCCTGTTCGGTCGACGGGATCGATGAAGGACAAGTTCTCTGTCACATACTTGATCAAAGATCGATATGCCAGTGATGCAGCACTCAGGTCAGCTTTTGTACCCGGAGCAGCAGTAGCACTTTTCTCGACATCTTCGACCATCATGTCGAAAACATGTTCCAAATCTGAAGAGACTTTCTCATTCCAGATACCGCATTGCAAGGTCCGGTCTCTGATTGGAATTGAAGAAAAGCCAGATTCACGGTCCATGTTGCGTTTTGCAACATTAAGTGAGCGGGAAAACTCGCCACTCCCTATGAATGTACTTTCATGGAAGAATGTCCCATCACGCAATGGCAATACCCCGAAATCGACTGAATAAGAGCGTTGCCAATTGAATAGGCCGCCAACACAAAAAGGCGAAGGCCGCATAGGCGATGCATTATTTGAGGGGAATGTATCCATGTCATCGGAGACTGTTGCAATAGCCTCCGGATCTTGAACAAATTCATATGCATCAAGGTTGAGCTGCTTGGGTGGGCGTTTCTTTAAGCGACCCCGGCCTTGACGAACTTGCGTACTTGGAGCTATGTTGGTCGCGTTTGCGGAAGCACCAATAAACGAGGCAGTAGCGGCTGGAGATACCCCAGATACTGGGTCCGAAATGTACCGATCGAGAGTCAGACTGGGCTTTGAGCTCCGGGATGTCTGTTTAGTGGAGAATTCGCGATTGAGCAGGGTCAGAGAGCGACCAAATACAGCTCGGTTGTCAACTTGACTTTGACTAGGGCCCGCCAGACTGGTCGCAGCAGGACGAGCACCGCTGCGCTTCAAAGATGATATGCCAATGTTTCGGCGAACGATCCATTGATGGCCTTGTCGTTCAGCCTGTGCGGGATTTTTTGCGACTGAACTTCTTTCCGTCGGAGTGACGGGCGCAGCAAGATTATCAGGAGAGGGGTGATCTGGTAGAAGTAGATCATCGTCGGGAACTTCAATTGCTTCTGCCACAGTAAAGTGATTCGAAATTCGAGAATTTCGAGCAGTTAGCCCAACTCCGCGACTATCCGTAGATGGTTTCCCGACTGACTGGATTTTACGACCCTTGGTGTGAGGAAGAGCGATTTTGGTCTGTTTGATTGCTCCCCTTCTCCAATCTCGCAGGGATTCATTCGCTTCTGCGGTCTCAACCCTCGATCCTAGCTGAAAGAACTTCCGTGTTGGACTTTGTCTCCCACCATCTTGGCGCGAACGAGCTTTCCTAGCAGCGATTCTGAGGAATTGGGGTTGCTCTGTGCGAGGTTTAGATGCCACATCGGGAGCATCCAAAATCCCCAATCTGGGCAATGAAGCTGTGCGCTTCATTGCTGTTCGATGTCCTCCATATGAGGCATCGGTGAGCCTGGTTTGTCTTTTTAAACGAGCTTTCTTCAAACGTCTCTCTATTTGACGGGGGTCTTCTTTTGAATGCACTCGTTTCAAGCTCGTTCGCTTTTCACGGGGCCGGCGAGGAATGGTCGGAAGCATATAGTCAATCCGATTGTCCTCAAGAGCATCCCCCTCTCGATCAAATTCCATGGACATGTCTGCTCGCAAGTCGGCGTCTTGATTGACATTAAGGCTAATTGGGGGTCGATTCCCTTCGTCGCTTTCAGAGTCTGCAAGGTCGATCAGACCTTGCTGCACTCGTGACTGCCCTGATTTCGCTTTTCGAACGATTTTCTGGGCAACCCCTTTGCCATCTGGCCGTTGAGCGGCAAGTCGATTTTTCTGTGCACCTTTCTGTTGCTTGAACCTCTGTTCCGCATCTATACGGACCCATGACGCGGGAAGAACACCCCGAATACGTCGCTGTATCAGACGGTTTACATAATCTTCGTTATTTTCCTCGGCTTCCACAGAGCTCTGGGAGTCATCGGACGCCTTCGAGTCGTCGGAATCGATGAGCAGGCCCGACTCGCCTTCTGCAGTAGGTTTCTGAAGCACCGGTGAAGCTGAATAAGAATCGACAGCATCAGGCAAAGGCGGCGATAGTTTGAATCCAGTAGGAAAGCGAAAACCTTCCATTGCACGAGGAGTCCTAGATGCTGGCGAGTCTGGCGGACTGGATGGAACATCGAAGAAAGAAAGATCGACGCCGCCTGTGGGTGTGCGATTTGGAATCACCACTTGCGGTCTAGCTTGAGTCTTTGAGCGATGCCTGCTATCTGGGGAAGCCAAGCGATGAGATTCCTTCAGTCTTTTGTGGGATTGTGTTCGACGAGGCAGAGAGCTCTGCTTCTCACGATGCCGAATCGCTTGACCGGAAGAATCTCGTTCTTTTTTGTCGTTCTGGTCGGAGAAATTCTTCAGGCGGCGGACTGGACTGAAGGGAATCGGGGTTGAACATATCATGCTCCTGGCTTTCATCTGTGGCTTCTTGGGCTTGTGGTTTTGAGGACACTGCGGGTGGTCGAATTGGTCTCATACCTCGTTCTCTCATTTGCCGTTGATATTTGGCAAGCTCGAGGGCGTATGGATGCAGCTGTATTGCATTTCGCTCCCGGAAAGACCTACGTGCTGGCTGAGACAAATCTTGTAATAATTCTGGCGGGACATCAATATCTGCCAAGCCGTGGTCTCTAACCCCCGGCGGTGGTATTGTTGGAACTCTGTCCTCCACATCTGGCTCCTCGCCGGATGGAGAGTGAAGGGATGCCGGGGGAGATGATAATGGAGAATCATCTGAATCATCTGAATCATCTGAATCATCTGAATCATCTTTCGAGTGTTGTTCTTGAAACTTGAAATGCTCGTTACGCTGTGGTGGTCTCGGAGATGGCTCTGTGACCACATTTAACTCATCGGGTGAAGAGCTCCGGGAAGATAGTGCATCTGACCAGTCTAGCCCATTTTTCGGTTCCTTCGCATGAGGACGTAGTGCAATCTTTGAAGGCGATAATTGTACAGGCGTGGAAGATTTTGGCGTGGCCTCATGGCTTCGTGATTTACTTCCAGACATGGCTCCTTGTACCGGCGAACTAGGAATATCCCATATCCTATCATTTTGTGCATTCAGTCTAGATTGGCGTTCCCTGACAAGGGAGCTCGGCGTCCGTGTTGAAGATGTCCATCTCCCATAAGTTTTGCGCGCTTTTCGTGGTTTTGGCGTTTGATCTCCTAGGGAGGGGCTTGCAGAGCGGTCCTTTGCTTCAATGTCGGCCGGTGAAGCTTCTGTATTCGGGTTGCTTGAATGGTCATCATTAGCCGTGAGATTTGTGTCCTGCTCACTCTTGCTTTCTTCAGGGACGCCGTTCGTATTTCCAACATTCGAAAGCGTTAACGAGCTGTTGTCATTGTTGATGGCGGTCGGCGCTTCCACAGAATTTCCGGCTCTGAATGCCGAAGTAGACGTAGGTAAAGGGATATATTCAAGATCGACAACATCGTCGGCATCCTCTGCATCCTGTGCAGCGTCGATAGAGGCATTTCGCGTATCTAGAGAGTCGAATTCGTCGTCTTCATCAGAGTCCGGGACAAACCCTCGTTTCCGCCATGGTTCCATTGACATCCTTGGCGGAGCTCGTCCATATCTCTAGAGCTTCATCGAGGCGTGTCGAGAATTCAGCACCATCAAGTCGTACCTTTCGAGACGATTGAGTCGTTGTGCTGAGCTCAACGTGTGGTGGACGCGTTCGATAAGCGAATAATTTGGCGACGCGCCGATAGACGATAACGCTCCGCATCTCCGAATCCACTTTAACTTCTTCCGCCACCTCATTCCGCATCACTCCAGGCGTGAACCTGTCAAGATGAGTCGCAATTTCTTCCCCGTCATTATGGCAATTGGAGTCGGTGTATTTACTGGTATTACTCATTCTTCCCCTGATCACGGCGAGATGCTCGCTTCTAACGTCACTTTGTCTCAGGATACTACACCTTCCAACCAACCTTTCAACAGCTTGCAGCTGAGAAGAGCCCTGGTGTCCAGTCCTCCAACCCTGCCGGCGCATCTGATAAGCCTACTGGGGCTCTCAATGCTGGAGCTCTGACAACCAAGCCCGAGGCCGATAAGAGTCAATAACGTCGATGACATACGCTGTCAGGAATGCGGAAAGTTCGAGGTTCTCGCAAATTTGCCCGGGAAGAGAGAACGCAGATCGAAGTCTCCACTCAAGGACATGAAGTAAAGGTCACATCGAGATATAATGCATATCTTGGGCGCTTGAAGACCTCAATTTCACGTGCGAGATAGCCAATGCTGCGCGGGCGCAGGAGCTCTACGGACTGACTTCCATGCTTCAATCGCACTTCGGATTGAAGGCGAAGCTCGATGGCGTCTCTGAAATTCCAAAGGCCGTTGGCGCGCTCTGAGCGATGTATAATAGAAGAAAACTTTCGGACTACTAATATGCTTGACATGTACATTTTGCTCTCGGGGCTTGAAGAAATCCAAGTTGATAGATTCAACGCCATGCCTTAACTAGTATGAAGCCTTGGTAGCCACCTTGACCCTCGATTATAATCTAGACCGTTCCCACCCCAGATAGTTACCCAATACGCCTCGAACCGGTGCAATATCCTTGCAGCATGTCTTCATACCTCCTCAACCATCTTACCGGTCGGAGCCGCGAGAGGAGCGCCAAACACACGGCCGGCCGGGGTGCCGAGCCATTCCTTAGGTACGCCGACTTTGCAGCCCTTCGAGTCGCTGATCCATCGGACCATGAGAGGATCGGCTTTCTCGGGCTCACGGGCCTCTTGGTCGCCGGGAGTTGTGTCGGTTGCGTCCGCAGCGGCGGCGGCACCTCGGCCACGCCGTTTCGGAGGCTGTTTTCGGAGCAGGCGATTGATTGTATCCATCTATGATAGGGTCAGATATGGAGTTCCCAATCGGCCGTGAGCCAGACTATGACTGGTGTGAAGCTGGCACGAGTCATGATTTACCTTTTCTTCTTCATTTCGCTTCTCACTCAGATTCTTTCGTCGGCGCGCCATTTCAGCTCGTCGCATAATACGCTCCTCTGCCGTCAGGTGTTTTTTGACTTGAGGTTCTGTCCGACCCGTTAGCATCTTGTTGAGATTTCAGCAGTAGAATCAGCTTACCCATGGGGAGCTGGAGGAAGTCGTCGCCCAAGTTCCCTCTTTGACGCTTGGTCTGTTTGCCGCCATCAAGTGCAAGTGCATCACTGTCCAGCTCGTCATCCAACTCGTCTTCCTCGTCCTCTTCATCTAGATCGTCGACATTGACATCCGGAACCGCGCTCTCATCCATATCATCGGGCTCGCCTTCGGCATCTGTTTCGGTGTCCGAGACATTCTCGTCCTCTTCCTCTTCATCCTCTTCTTCGTCTTCCTCGTCTTCTAGCTCCATCTCCTTGGCTTCAACGCTCTTGACATTCTTGCCACGAGCTGGTGCTGCCACTTTGGCATTCCGCCTTGCCGGTGGTTGGGATGGGGCATCGTCCATATCCAAGTCGCCATCAGCATCGGCATCTTCATCGTCTTCACCGGGAGCATCTTCCTCTTCGACCTCGTCTTCTTCTTGATCTTCAATATCATCGTCGTCACTCGAGGGAACCTCAACAATCTTTTTTCTGTTTCGACTAGACCGAGGCCCCGAGACGATAGGGTTCTCTTGGAAGACATTGACCGAGCGCCGGCCTGGACGGCCGCCGCTGGCTTCGCGCATCTTACCAGCGGGCATCTTTACTGTGAGACGGAGGCTTCTGGCGGGTTCTCCGGGTGAGTGGGATTGAGAACGGGAGATAGTAATTGAGGCTGGGGCAACAGATGCACGATTTCGCCTTCTGAACCTGGTGGAGATGTTAGTTTCTGGTTCTGGAGGCGTTCCCCGGGAAGCTTGCGATCGCGTAGAGCGACGTAGCTCCACCATAGTGATTTTGATGCCAATGAAGCGGTAATAATTGGGAAAAGAAAGAACGGGAAGTGCACTCGAAGCCCGGGGGAAGAAGACGAGGTAAAGATGAATGCCAACGAGCAAGTGTGTGGCAGTACAGACTGCTCTTGCCAGCGCGGAGTGGGAAAAAGGCGAACTCCACTGAGGACATAATCGCGGTAATTAAGGCCTCAAAGCAGTGCAAACGGGAAGAATACAGGGCCAGCGTGTTTCAGACGCCACAGATGCTCGTAACCTTTGCGAACAAAGCGCAGGTTACAGGGAATATGGGAGGTCTCCTGTCGTGTTCCCCGGCTTCTTAAATATTCAGGAGATGTAGGGTCCAGGCGGGTACATAGCGACGAAGAGATACAGGAGATCCCAGTTGAGGGCCAAACCCCAGGAAAAACTCACCAATATTTCGCGAAAGGGTATGTCTTGAAGTTTTGTCGCTGACGCCGAACAAATGCAGTTACCATCCCATTCTGCCGGGCGGTGGCTTGTGGCTTGTATACGCGATAAGGGCAACGAGGACGAATGATTTACTTACATGTCTGAGCCATTAGACGGGGAAGGCTTATGCACATTCATGTCGCCTTGTTAAATTGTGCATGAATACACTCAATTGATATGACTGAGACTATCTCCACCCCATGATGCGCTGGGTCTCATTGAGTCTTACTGTACTATCAGTCGATGGAAAGGCTTGACTGAATATCCTAGAGACTGAAAGCTGAATGGATGATTATCAAAGAACTTGAGCAAGTCACCCTACCTGATAAATGAGTCTAACAGTTGTTGTGCCAGTTGGTTGACCCTGATCGGGGCCAGCCGAGTCGGTGCAACAGCCGAGGTCGGCTCACATGGACCCTCCGTCACCCAAGTCCGGGGAAGTTCCTCTTCTCTCCAACTTACACTTCCTGTGACAAGACTGGGCCAGACACAAGTAACATGTCCGACCCATCATCTAAGCCACCTTCCATTCCATCCTGGCAACGCTCAGGGTCTGCGCCTGACCAGGCACCCTTGTCCTCGTCGCCGAGTTCCGATGCGCCCGCATCCACTTCTCGTCAAGACCTGGTCGACTCAGCGTCCAGATTCCTCGATGACGAATCAATCCGTGACGCTCCCACTGATCGCAAGGTCTCATTCCTTGAGTCTAAAGGTCTGAACTCAGGCGAGATTCAACAGCTTCTCGGCGTCTCTCGAAACCCAGAGGCGACCAGCTGCACCGTGACTGCAGCCGAGGATCAGGATTCAGAAGCACCGCCAGATTCATCCTCCTCCAAACCGTCTGAAGTCATACCTTCCACTCTTTCTTCTCCTGCCACTTCATCATCGTCCTCCAACACCATGTCTCAGCCGCGCTCGACGGCTACCGCCACCGTCCCCTCCTCCGCACCACGCGATCAGCCTCCGATCATCACCTACCCTGAATTCCTCTTCGAGCCCGCTAAGCAGCCCCCATTGGTTACCATGAGCAACATTCTTTACACAATTTACGGCGCCGCGGGTCTCGGCGCTTCCATATACGGCGCGAGCGAGTACTTGGTCAAACCGATGATTGCAACCCTCACCAGCGCACGACACGATCTCGCCGTCACAGCGCAAGAGAACTTGACAAAGTTGAACGAGAAGCTCGAAGCAAGTGTTTCTGTGATTCCCGCCCAGTTGACTGCGCGCAAGTCCGCATCCAATGAAGAAGATGAGTCCAACGAAGACGGGGACTCGGTCACCTCCGATCCTACGGAACTTTTCCATCGCGACATGGGAACTCAAACAACACCAGATATTACTCCCTCACCCGTTCTAGGCGCAAAAGATGAGAAAGGTTCCCTTGATGCTCCAGTTGAAGCCGTGAATAATCACATAAGTCGCTTGGCCTCGATTCAATCCCAGCTCAAAGAGATCACCGAGTTTGAGAAAGATGCGAGTAACGTTGACGATATGGCACGTTCCACTTTGTCTGATCTTCACCACTATCTTGACGGGCTGATCTATGCTGCGCCCACATATACTTCCTCCACATCTAATTATGGTCTGTACACGGGTAATGTGAGTTCGGACAGCAGCTCGACTGGTTTCCGTAAGTCAGAGGATGACGCCATCGCCAGCTTCAAGGCGGATATTCGTGGTGTCAAGGGTGCCCTGCTGAGTGCCAGGAACTTCCCTGCGAGTCGAGGTGGCAGACTTGGTGGCGTCCGGTGATGTCTTCACAAATCAGCGAATTTTCTAATTCTGTGAATTATTTGTACATAAAGTTATACCAAGATACCAAGATATCTCTCCCAGGGTTAATTGCATATCTCCATACACAAAGCTATGGTTCTTCACCGATAACAAGGGAAAGACGAAGGACTCAAGGAAGTCTTCACTGTCCTGACTTGTGCAATCTCCCTTTGCTCTTTACAGAAGATCTGATTGCTCAATCAGCAATAATGATATCTGATGCTTTGATTATGGCTGCGGGCCCTTTCCATTGAAAATTTACATGTTCATCATTCGGTTCTTTTGAGGCGTGGCATCAGACCACGCCCTAGTTCCCGCTTCATTGAATGTTCAGGGCTCTGCATAAATCATACTTCTTCAAACAAGTTGGATCGCCCACTCGAAGGACCATGGTTGAGCCAAGGAAAGAGCATTAGGTTCCACATCGCGCGAAGAATAGTGGTACAACTATTGAATTGACAGTCATGTCCAGATAGCAATACACTGCACGACCTGCGTACTAATATCTTGATTCTGTATCGTGTCATGACAAAGAATTTTCACGTTCAGCTGATTTTCTCACACATTAAAAGCCCTATTGATGTGCATGACTCTCGGGCTCCAGAGAATAATCATTTTGTCTGTAATGATTTCGCCGGAAGTCGGCTATCCACTCAGGATTATCGGCAAACGTCTGATTCCAAGGATCATCGGAATCATAAAGAACCCGTCTGGCCTCCCGCTGAAACATTTCGTCCGTGGGTATGATACCCTGACTCATATTTTGCCGAGCGAACTGACCAAGGTGCATAGTGACGACCTCTAAAAAAGTGTTGAGAGGCACGTCCCGTGTCTGCAATTGTTCAAGAGAACTGGCCAACATCGCCGTGCTTTTATCTCTCCCTTGAAACTCGCTCTCTTTCAGACTTCCCTCCACTCGAGTATTTGCTCCGTCTGCTCGCGAGGAAATCTGAGCAAAATGATCTTTGCTGTTGAAATTTGTGGCTGAGAAGGGTACCATTGATATGGACTCCGATGCAAGAAGATATGGTGGTACCGCATTAATCACCTGTGCGGCAATACTCGGCTCGAATTCGTGGTCTCCATGCCAATGGCGCATTGTCAGTCCCTTCTTGAAGTGCACCGCCAGGTGCTCAACACGTTCCTCCCAGCTTTCGAGGCGATGATCACAGAAGCCACAACGAGAGGTCACTTGGACAGAATCAGTCTTCCATTCATCGAGCACTGGTAATGTATCAAGGCGATGGGCTAATCGGAGATGTTGAACAAGATGGTCCTTTCTTCGGAAAGTGCGCCGTGTTCTCGAGCACGAATCGTACTTGTGTTCGTCGAGATGTTCCAGGGACGGTTCCAGGCAATAACAAAAGACACAATGTTGCCTTCCAGTCAAGGGGGAAATCGGAGATCCTCCATGCGGAGCGCAGACCCAAACTTCCAAGTTCAGGTGAAGAGATTTCTCATGGCGAACCCAGTCGTATTTGCTCTTAAATTTATCGCAGCAAAACGTGCAACAGAACGGTCGGTTGGTGGCATCTTTGGTAGCCGTTCTTTTGTTTCCAAGCTTCCGAATACGATGCTGATTGCGGCAATGCGTCTTTTGGGAATCTTGCGTTGCTGATGATGCTTCAGATCGCGTCGAGCGAAATGATTGATGGGAGGAAAAGCTGGTGTCACTATTGGAGCTGGCCAGTGAGGCAGGTCGTCGATAGCCACTAAAGGCGCCGTGGCTGACGGTCTTCATATTTTCTCGCTTTGATGACCTTAATGCACTCATAATCGCAGACTTAGAGGCCGGCTCGTCCTCGGGAGGGGACTCTTGCCATCGTTGCATGGGACTCAAGTCGTTGTCCGCCTGGTGTGGAACAACCAGAGGAGACGCAGAGCTCCGGGAAGATCTGATCAAATGTCGACTTCGTCTCCTTGGAAGGCCTGTAATGGAGTTTGCAGTCGGCACGGGGAAATTTGTCCCGGCATTACTGATATCGTCGGAACCGATACTCTCAAGATGGGCGCGATAGATAGACTCAGACAAATGATTCATTGAATCCAAATACGAGTGCTGAGAATGTATATTGGTGTCGGTGGGAAGAGGAAGTGGAACGTCCGCCTGTGAGGCGAAGAGCCCGCTATTTACCGCTGGGAAAGATTGTCGGTCATGAGGACCAACAGACTCATCATTACGGATGGCGGTGGAGAAGTCTCGTTCCGGGGGTTCTCAAAGAAAACAGGGCCATATGTGTAATTCGAAGACTCATCTTGCGTGGAGAGTCTTGGAGATGATGTATTGAAAAGATCAGGTGAATGTAAATGCTCTGAGGGAGCTTTGGTCAAGTTTGACCCCAGTGGATCTGATGGATCAATATCTGGAGAAACAATTAGATCATAGGATCATCCACCAGTGGTGAGAATTGGGGGCGAACCCAGGAAAACATCGAATGGCAAGGCGCCCGAATGAGAAGTAGGCTCCATCGTCCCACAGGACAACACACTGTGTAGGCTCGCTTGAAGGGCACAGGGTTGATTGTTTCAAGTAGCAGACAGAGAAGGTGAAGTCAAGTGCCGGACGTTGCCGCAGAGTGACTTGACTCACGCTGGTGGTGTTCCATGGTTGATGCTGGGTGAGATCTGGATCCACTGGAAGCTAAATCCTAGCTCTCTATCAAGTGGGACCAAGGAGAGAAATTAGAGACTGCCAAAATGGCCAATTCGGATGTGCCCAGGTATCATTGATATTGGCAATGGGAGAGGATCTAGCATTCGGCGTCACTTTTCGGATCGTGTCAGGACTCAGGAACAATCTCGTTACGGTGCCGGAGATAACCTCTTGAGGCAGGCTAAGTACCCATGGACGGTATCTAAAATCAATCTACTCGTTCATTTCATAGCATGTCTATCTGACACTCTAAACCATTCAAGCCCAGAAATCCGCGTTATGAAACATTGGGCATTTTTCTTTGCTCACGACAGTGGTTGACCAGACTAAACCCCCACGAGAGGACGCAAAAAAAAAAAGAAAAGAAAAGAGAAAATACGCAGGCATTAATAGTAAAATGAACAAGAAAACCCAAAGCCTAGGCTATCACAACGAGACCTCAATCAATCTTATACCCGATCCATTCTATCAAGAAACAGCTAAGCATGAAGTCCTCGTTCAAAGAGAGCTTCACGGGGTAGCTTTGCTCATGCTAATCAGACGCTTGACGCCGACCTTCATTTTGGTTAGTATGATGATGGGAGAAAGTTTACACAAAAGGACTCACCATCCAATTACCGCACTCATCAGTTCGATTGGTCATGATGTCAACGTGGATATTGCGGGCGGTCTCATAGTCGCGGTTCTGAATCGCGCGAGACAAATTGGCCATGTCCTCGATAGTGTTAGGTTTGAGCAGGTCCTCGTTGTTCAAGTGGTCAAAAAGGAGACTCAAGCGACGCTCGGCATCATCAACCTGGGCCTTGAACGAAGTCGGGGCACGAGCCTTGACGCGCGCCATGTCGGCTGACAGGATCTCGAAGATCGGCATGGCGTTCGCAGGGATGTGAGAGCGGTCGCCAGGGGCTAAGAACGGTCAGCTATTTGTCCCTTCACTGAGATTGGAGATAAGAAACTTACGGTACTTGGGGGTCGAGGGGGGAGGTGCCCGTTGAGAGGTCGCCGTGGGGGGACGAGATCCCTGCCGGGGAAGTCCTTGGGGCGGAGGGGGGACCTGCGCTGCCATGGGAGGGTGTGGCATGGCAGCACCTGGGCTAGGCGCATACGGGTTGGCCGCCGGAGATTGGACTGCTTGTTGAGGAGCATATGTCGCTGGGGCACCTTGAGGAGGAGGTGCTACTGGGGCGCGAGTCTGCATTTGCGGGCTTGCAGCCTGAGCAGCCGGACTAGGCGCGTACCGGTTGGTAGGCGGGGGCATGCTAGGCGGGGCATTGTATGGCGAGGGACCCCGGGGGATTGAAGTCTGAGGAGGAGCCATACCCGAAGCCATGAGCGGGGACTGGGGAAGAGAGGCATAAGGGTTGACAGGCGGCGGTGGAGTAGGTCCGGGTGCCATGCTCGAGGTCAAGGGGGAAGTCACGCGCGGTGGGAGGGATCCAGCCTTGGGAGGCGGAGGCACAGAGGGTATCCGCTGAGGCGGTCCTGTGGGCGGGAGAGGCCCTTGGGCCATAGGAGGTGATTGCTGGTTGGCAAACGGAGAGCTGATAGGCGCAGCCGCACCAGGAGTGCTACGACGTGAGGACATCGGGGGCTTGGCGAAGCCCTCCGGGAGATCGTTCCATGCAGGCAGACCAGTGGCCGTGGTGTAAGTGGTGACTTGGCGAGCGGGCGACTGAGTTCCGGCACGAGGAGGGGGAGGAACGCCTCCTGGTGCGGCCGGTGCGAAGATTGGAGCGGGGGAGCGTAGCCCGGACCGTATGCCGGCGCCTTCATGCCCTGAGTCGGCTGGTATCCGGTGTTGGGGTGGTAACCAGCACCACCAGAGGCAATCGAAGCATAAGGGTTAGCAGGCTGAGCGGGCCCGGCATTCTGGGGCGCATAAGCATTCAACGACGGCTGGGGAGCAGCAGCAGGCGTGATAGGTGCGTATGGTGCAGGAGTCGCAGGAGCCGCCGAGGTGAAGGTTTGCGTTGGCTGGTAGAGGTTGGGTTGAGTGGGCAGAGGCTTGAAGTTGCCAGGTCTCGCGGTAGCACCGGCCTGTGCCTTCTGAGGAGCCTGTCTCATAGCAAGCTTGATGCGATTACGAGCCACCTCAGCCTCGGGGTGCTTCTCAGGCACGAGATCAAGATACTTCTGAGCAATTTGGAGACGGCCGTGGGTGGCCACAACGTCAGCATACTCAATGTATTTTTCGTATAAGGTACCGAGGCGCCAGTCGGACTCCTTGGTGCGTTCTGTATCTTGGAACTTGGTGACTTGGCGGAAAATGCTAACCTTCTCGATCAATCCCTGCAAAGCACGAACGTGAATAGAGAAGGTAGAGTTGTCCGCATCTGTTTCGATTCCTCGCTGCTCATTCTCGCGTAGTTCCTCAACCCAGATAGCCACGACCTTTTCGAGCTTGGAGCCAGCCAAATAGCAGAATGAGGCATCTTTGCGAACGGTCTTGTCACCAGTGTTGCGAACCTGCTCCTCAAGCCGGTCACCAAGAGCATCACACAGATCGGGGAATTCCTTCTCGTCGGCAAAAGTGCACAAAGCAGCCATGACCTCTTTCCAGCTGGAAAGATCAGCGTTGTGCACAACATCCCACAGGTTCTTGCCCACAATTGAAGCGAGCAATCGCATGTAGTTGGGACCACCCGACTGCTTGGAGAAATAATATTCCTGGGCCTTCTCAATGCACTTCTGACCACCACAGATGGCAATCATGAAAGCGTCAGACATGCGATCCTCCTGAAGAGCCACATCAAGAGCTTTCTCGAACTCCCCGAGGAGCAAAGCACGAGTGATCTTCTGTTCGGCCTCGGTCTCAGAACCATTGAAGATCTGGAAGGGGTTGTTGGTCTGCGCACCCTTTGAAGCAGCAAGTTCTGACAGGAAATTGTCACTGTCGGGGGTTGCATCAAACATGGATTGCAAGCGCTTGTGCTTCTTGGCATTCGACTTGGGCTTCTCGGCCGTGTCGGGGGTCTCCTCGTCATCCTTCTTATCCAGACCAAGCTTAGACAAGCTATCGGCGGCCTCGTCAGCCGAGTCTTGGAAGCCAAGGTACTCCACCAGGCCCTTGCGAGGGTTTTCAGAGAGCAGAGCCTGCATGACCTTCCACTCAGACTTCTCTTCTTCGCTGGAAGCGCCAGCCGCGCGAGTCTCGCAGAGACTGCGAAGGTCACCCTCCTTCAAAGCATTCTCAAAGCTTTCAGTAGCATTACCGACGCTTTCATCAACTTCGAAAGAAGTTATTTTGACCTTCGATACGCGAGAATCCTTCTCGGAGACACCGAGAGAGACAACGCGGCCACCGAAACCAAATGAGGCACCACAGGGCCGCTCGAGCCAGCGAGGAGGCTTCGGGAGGGAGAATTTAGAGACTTGTGGCTGCGTCTGAGCCTTGGCGAAGAAGTCCTCGCCATCAAGGTTCTGGTTCTGGTCGGCAATCGCCTGCGCGTCATCGGTCTTGGTGTTCTGGAGAGTTTGCACCGAAATCTTCCCATCAAATGAAGCGGTGGCGAAGAAGTTGGGATTGTGAGGGTTCCAGCGAGTCTGGAAGGTCCAGTTGGTGACAACGGGGAATTCACCGTAAGGAGTACCGGACTGCGGGTTCCAACAGATGTTGCGGTTGTCTTTGCCGGAAGACAGCAGAAGATCGGGGTCGTGCTCGCACCAAGCAAGCGACAGCACTCCAGATTCGTGGCCCTTGAGAGTCCTCTCCGGGGCATGCGAGTTTCGCAGATCCCAGACGTAAATCATGGGGTCCGACTCAAGAGGAGTAGCAGTGATGAGCTTGGTAGGCTTCTCAGGGTCCCATGCAACAGCACTGACAGCCTTTCGGCCCATGTTGTTGAGGGTTAAGCTCTCCTTCTTTGTCTTAACATCCCAGACAGTCACGAAACCGGCGCTGCTACCAGTAACCAGAATATGTGCGACCTTCTTGTTCCAGTCTAAGCATTCGATATCGTCTGTGCGAGCCGCATTGGTACCCAATCGGAACGGGTTCTCGATATTGTTCAGATCGGAGATGAAGAGCTCGCCCTTGGCACCACCAGTGGCCAGAAGGTTCGAGTGTTTAGGGTTGAATTGGAGGGCCTTGATAGCACCGGAGTGGTTTGATGTTCTCGAGATCAGCGAGTCACTATGATCTGTTAGCCCTTGTACCTCAGTATACAGTATAGATGATCTCTCGCGTACCTGGAGTTGGCAAGCAGCTTATCGGCGTTCCACAGATCCAAAGAACCATTCTCCAAACCACCAGCAATAACACCACGTCTCGTATCGTCAAACTCAGTCCAAGCCAAGTCATTGAAGCTAGGCACATCCGTCAGTACAATCGATCATCACTAAACTTCAATATGGGCATCGTACCCAGAGTCGGTGTCAAGCTTAGCTATGGGCATCAGCTCTTCGCTAGCATCCTGACGATCCAGGCCAAGATCCCAGAGCTCGAGACATGTTTTGTTGGAAAAATCGACATCGACGGCACCTGCGCGAGTTCCGGTTGCGATCAATGGCGATGCAGCCCCCGGAGACCAGGCGAAGGTGGCCGTCCTTGGGATCTCCCTCAGACGGACCATGATGAAGGGGAGGATTATATGTGAGGGAATGAAGCCAGTCGAGGCACAGGTCTAAGAAAATACAATCAAATCCCACCCCTGTACCAGAAATTGACAATGGGGGGCGTGCAGCTCAGAGTAAACCAAGTGGCCTCCTGGACTTGGAGGGACCGGGGAACACGCGCTAAACCCAATGTGGTACTCGCCAAAACACCCCGAGGCTTGTCGCACGTGATATCAGTTTCTCTTTCCTCCAGCAGAGCTACGAACGAGCAACAATCTGCGTCCAAACCACGTTGACTTCGTGTGCAACGAGCTTCCCGCATCCAGATCTGATATATCTGTGCGCCCACTTCTATCCAGGTCAAACTCCCCATACATTTCGCGCTCAATTCAAGCCGTTCTCCACCATGAGTGAAAGCACACGCCTGAAGAGCACGGTCTACGTGGGTGGTCTGGACCAGGCCGTGACAGCACATACACTGGCAGAGGCATTCATACCTTTCGGTGAAGTCGTCGATATCTCTCTTCCCAAGCCAGAGGCACCCAACTCCTCAGAGACCCACCGTGGCTTTGGATACGTGGAGTTCGATCTCCCCCAAGATGCCAAAGAAGCCATCGACAACATGGATGGCAGCGAGCTGTACGGCCGCACAATCAAGGTTGCCGCCGCAAAACCACAAAAGGATGCCGCCGAGGGATTGGGCAGCAAGACTGCAATCTGGGAGCAGGTACGCGTGAATTGCATCTTCATGCCTGTCGCATTGCAACTAATCATACATCACAACACAGGAGGGCTATCTAGCCAAGTACGCGGTCAGCGACGAGGACCGACAAGTCGCCGAAGATGCCCAGGCCGAGAGCAACCGCCCACAAGACCCAATGCAGGGCTTGGAACAGCTCGACGTTGCCGGGCCGAAGCCCGAATAATGTACACTATTACGAAGGCCACGATGATAATGAAAGACTGCGAACGTCCCTTTTTGCTGGAATACACGAAAAAAGTCAGTCCCCCTAGACGAGCCGGACTATGTACACAGGCGCCGATAGCGGACAGGTCTTCTTTCCTGATGCGCTCAATTGCATTCACTTTCGGCTTCCAATCTGTCTGAAAACAACACAGGCGGCAAGGATTGAATTGAGAAACTTGGAATCGCATTCTCGGAGCTTAAAGAAACATAATGATGGTACATTTAGTGCTCACGGCTCTCGGGGCTGTTGCGGGTGAGACGAAGAGTCTTGTCGGTCATGAGCTTCTTGCTGCTAGAGTAGATGGCGGCACCGACGGCGACACTGCGGGGATTGAGTTAGAATGGGCAATGAACAATGCACAATTTCGTCTGTGGGTAGAGGAGGTGGACGATCGAGAAAGCTCGTGCATGTCATATGCGGACCGATCGGGGATGAGAGATCAGAGAGAAACGTACCCAAGAACGATACCTGATAACATATTATGGTTAGATCTTGCTTTATTGATACGTAATGTGATGGTAGAAGACATACCGAGAGGGATCAACTCCGGGGGAACCTTGCGGAGCAGGCGCAGACGCTGGGAGATGGTGTGGGCTGGGTAACGCGTTAGTCCTTTCGCACTCTCTCTTCTCCCGCTCGATTTCAAGCCAGACGAATCAATGGCTAGTAGCGTGGTGGTAACCAAGGGGAAGTCGTACCGCTGTGAGCCTCCTTCTGTAGGGGAATTAGCCTTAACCGAACCGAATCATATGATCCGACCACACCCGACCAAGGGGTGAAAGAGAACTTACAGGAGCGGGGCTGTAGAAGGCCCGCGAGGGCTGCATCTGGAAGACGCGGGTGGGAAACATGGTGGTGGATGGAGGGGAGTTGGAAGGTGGAGAGAAGAGGGAAGACGAGAACTTGGAGGTTAGCTTTCCCAGAGCGGGCTGTGACTGGCTCGGGTGGTTTTGGGAAAAGCAGCGATGCTCAGTGGCTCTCGCTTGACCGCCCGCGGTCACACCCGGCTCTTCACAGCTTCCATCACCCAACGTCTCATCTTGTACCTTCACTCTAACCTCCTCCCTCTAACCACACCAATTGTCTCTCCGTGTTCTTTCCGAGTACACATCGTCAAAATGGGTGCCATTCCGGAACACGACCCCGACGAGCCCGTCGAGACCAAGCCCTTCAAGTTCGTTACTGGTATGTCTGCCCACTCCCCCTCCTGTGAAAACGGTCATTTCTCCAATTCTGTCCGAGTCAATTGCTAATTCTTCGACAGCTGGTGCGTATAATTTTGATCTCCTGGCGACTTGATATTCTATCGGGATACTTTGGGAATGTCACCCGATCAGCTGGGGCACAGCGAAGTTAACATTTTCCGAACGCGATCACAGGTTTCGACGCCCGTTTCCCTCAGCAGAATCAGTATGCGACTCGCCCCCATACTTTAATAGCGTTATACCTAATCTCTGCGCTCACAGGACCAAGCACTGCTGGCAGAACTACGTCGACTACTACAAGTGTGTCGAGGCCAAGGGTGAAGACTTCCGCCCTGCAAGCAGGTACTTTGACCCACACGACCATCAGACCACGACAAAAGCTGATTGATTTCCAGTTCTACCACGCTTTCCGCTCTCTCTGCCCCAAGGCCTGGACCGACCGCTGGGACGGCCAGCGCGGTACGTTTTCCCATCTCCTGGCCAATTTAAACAGCGCATGCTAATCCGCTCAACCAGAGGCCGGCAACTTCCCTGCCCACCTTGACCGGTAAATAGCCAACGGCTGTTTTGTGTTGGTTAGGCTTTATCAAATTTTGTGTATTGACAACTTCCAATGTACTCTACCGGGTCATGCGGGGATGCATTTCCTTTTTTCCCTGGATGTAATCCGATAGCTTGGAGAAGGGGTGTCTATAAATCTGCCGCTCTGCTGAGAAATGTGTTTGATTAGATCATGCCCTTCGTAGATTTTCAAGTAGCAACGGCGTCGTTGAGATCAGTCACTTCTGAGCCGTACTTTGTCTGAGCCCTGAACGCTCGAATTAGGTATCGTATGATCAATGTGCACGCAGAGACATTGATGGTGTCTCATCCTAGAGACGTTCTACGTGACTAATCTTGTGAACATGGAAACTGGATGTTTCTGGCGAAAAAAACAATTTGAATGCGAATCAAGGTGTATCTATGTCTATATGATTTGAGTCTTCCGGATTCTACCATACAACGCATCCTGTACACGGTGATCCGGACCAGAGAATGTCTCTGGTCATAGATCGCCAAACTGCTCAACAGTGATTAGAATGCAAGATATGTGCAAGCTGGATGCTTGTGTCCTCGTGCTCTGCCCGAGGATCATGAAAAGGAAGCGGGGGTCGTATATACTCGGAATGGATCGGGAAAAGGTGCAGAAGCAGATGAGGATAGAGACCGCGCGAGTAGAAAAGGGAGAAGAGATAAGAGAATGCGCGACCCTTTTAGATCCAAATTTAAATGCCCTTCAACTTGCGGTAAAGCTTCTTGTGCTCCTCAAGAAATAGGAATGTGGCAATGGTGTGCGGACCCAGACGAATGAAGCTGGGAACCCAGCCGCGGAAAGTCCAAGCCAGACCCTCCTTGCGACAGATATCGCGCAGCAGGCTAACAATGCTCTGACCACGACCATCGGCGTGAGAGGCGGTCATCACACGAGTCTTGATCACGTCGACGGGACTGCAGACGGTGGTTGCGACGAAACCTGCCATGAACGAGGCCGTGAAGTGAGTACCCAGGTGATCACCCATGCCAACCTGCTCCATGCACATTTTCTTGAAGGTGTCGTACGAGGCCAATTGCGATGCAGTCATGAGGACCGCGCGTGTCGAGTTCGGCCACACGCCACGGAACAGCGAGCCGAATCCTTCAGTCCGAGTCATCTCGATCAAGCCGTGGAAGGCATGGCGGTAGTTTCGGCGCTGAGCCGGGGGAGAGAAGCATCGTGCTGCATGCGCACGTTCAGCACATCGGCTGGGTTGCCGACAACACCTCCGATTAAGCCGGAGGTACATGAGATACCGAGAAGGGTGAGGACGCTCGGCGAGGAATTGGAGGAGGATGTGGCGACGCGGGATTTTAATTCTTCGTAAATGCCGAATCGTGTGGTAGAGTAGGTCATTTGTCGCAGGAGGGCGGCAGAGAGCTGTATCGAAGCGATGATGATCTTGTCAGCCAAACACATCTCCATGCAGGGTGATCCTCGCGGATCGGGGATCGGGCCCGCCACATACACCATTGTAAAGGCCGAAAAACCCATTGTTTCTGACAATATGTCCAAATGTGCCCATCATGGTCTTGGGGGCATCGGGAGCGCGTGTTTGTAACCGGACCTAGAATGCGACGAACGGGGTATCAGCGATCGGGTTCGGAGAGGCGCCCATATCGATGTCGGAGCTGAAAAAGTACCTTGACTACAGACGCTGAATTAGCAAACGATCGCCTCAAGACGTCAAAGAAACGAATCGCAAGAACACCTACCCAAGTCTAACGGATGCGTCACGCCGGCCGCAAAGCAGGAGGCCGAGCCTCCAAACCAAAACGGATAGTGCACCTTTGATGTCGACGGCGCATGCTTTGCCACAGGGGCCACCCGCGCATGGACGGGAGCCTCGATGAGTTTGCCGCTATCAGCCATCTTGTCTCACACAAGGTCGCTCGTTCGCGAGAGCGGGGGAAGAGGGAGAGTGGTTATGAGGAGTGCAGGGTCATTTTTTTTTTCAAGATGCCAAAGTTTGACGTAATTTGGGTACGGAGACAAAATCAGGCCGCCGATACTCCGCTCAGCCGCGCATCTCTGCCAATGGTCTTTCGTGTCTGGATGGGTCCGGCGACTCGGCGCCAATCATGTCCTCGGTTTTGCCTATCCCCGAACTCATGGCCTGTAAGGGGACATACGACCCTTGTCATGGTCACGATGCACACTGCTCATGCTGCCCTCGGAGATTGAAATACTCCCCGATGCCCTTCACGATCAGAATGACTACAATACCCGAGGTATTTTAACGATAGTGAGGCCATTCCGCGGCGTTTATCCGGGATCTTCGGCGAAATCGCGGCTTGGGGGACAGGATAGGGTTCACCGGGGGGTGAGGGGGGGGTCCCGATGGTACCCCTCGGTATGGATCTTCTAGGATGATCAGATAAGACTGGACTGCTCAGAACCTGATCGAATGGAATGCTTAAGAATACTGAAAAAGGTGGTGAGAACATTCGGGTGCTTTGATCTTTATTACAGCACAGAGGAACTTTATCAGTAATGTCTACTTTGAGACGAGTGAACCCTTCCGTCTCTTTTTAAAGACTGACATCTGGACTACAGTCTATCTTCAACTGCTACCCACAATGCTCGCCGTGCTCCTCCTTTCAAAGTCCCACACAAGATGTAAGACCATATCTGTGACCAAAGAAGGTAGGCCCCAGGGTAAACATGAGCCGCAATTCTTGCAAGCCTGATGCTTGAACTTTTGACTTCTATATCAAAGACAGCCCATGCAAGCAATGCTCATGTTTTATCACTCTGTGCGTCAGCCTTGGAAGAATTACCTGCAGTCTGCGGATTACGACCCAAATTCTTGATGGGGTTAAGCCACACTCGCATCGATCATCATTGATGGAAGGCGGTCGCTCGCAATATGTGATGAACCATCCCCTCGTCGTTGTGCCAATCCCGTAGGCGGTCTGTCTTCCTGGAACGGATTTGCAGACAATCAGCTCTGCTGTCCTTGGCAAACAGCCCTGACTGCCAAGGATCATTCAGCACTATGCTTAGCCACACTCATTCCTACAATGTGCTCTTCCAACAAAAACGCTTTAACTCAGCGGGGATAGATTTCCAACCCGATGACCTGTTCTGCAACAGTGGAAATTGTGGAGCTTTTGAAGATGGCCTCTGGCACCTATCAATGAGAATGATGAGGGCATGATCTATGATTTTACGACTTGAGCGTATATATGGACGCGTCTGAATAGAAATTTTGAAGTATTTAAAGCAACTTGAAAACTGGTTAACAATAACAAATGTTTCCGACAAGACTTGCTTCGAGTACATCGTACAAGCAAGCCATATGTACTTCGGCGACTTGTTTACCCGGCCCGAGGTGTTTTCGAGATTCCGCAATGCGCAAAAGCGACGTTCAATTGACTGCCACTCCTTCACCAAAAATGCGGCTCTTAGCTACTGGAAGAGCTCTGCGGGCTAGCAGTGGCAAATGGTTCATTGTTGCGACTCGTCCCATAATTCGCAGCCCTCGATTGCATTCACTCCGTGACACCGTCCCGACGGCCACTCGGAGCTGGAGCTCAACCGCAGCTCTCCGCACTGCAGATCAGAAATCCGGTGCCGACTCACCAAGCACGAAATCACACTTGAAAATCGAGGGCGCAACATACTCCACAGATCAATGGACCAACACCCCTGACACAATCTTGTCGCATGTCGGCCGACGACTCTACCTTGACGAGAACCACCCTCTCGCTATTACCCGCAAACTTATTGAGAGCCAATTCCCCTCTCCAGTCTTCGGTAACTACTCGGAGAAAAACCCGGTCGTAACAACTAGACAGAATTTCGATGTCTTGGGTTTCCCGCCGGACCACCCGGGTCGTTCTCGCACGGATACCTACTACATCAACGACAAGACGGTCCTACGCACACATACAAGCGCGCACCAGCAGGCATATTTCCAACAAATCAATCGCAATGAGAAACTTCGCCCGGAAGAAGTCGGATACACAGTGATTGCCGATGTCTACCGCCGTGATGCCATTGACCGCAGCCACTACCCGGTCTTTCACCAGATGGAGGGCGCCATGCTGTGGAAGCGGCCGGACAGTAACCCACTTGCCAGCGCTGCGGAAACAGTCGCTCAGATCAAGGCTGACGTGGATCTCATCCAGCGCCATGATGTGGTCGTCGAAGACCCCAACCCAACCATCCATGCCCAGCGCAATCCCTTACAGGCCGAGCACCACAGTGAGGAGGAGGTCGAGGCCATTGCGGAGCACCTCAAGAGGTCCCTTGAGCGCATGGTTATCAAGGTTTTCACTGAGGGTAGCAAGGCCGCCGCGACCAGCTCTGATGGCAATGTCGAAGCGGAGCCTTTGAAGGTTCGCTGGGTCGAGGCGTACTTCCCCTTCACTAGCCCGTCATGGGAACTTGAGGTCTTCTGGCAGGGTGACTGGCTAGAGATCTTGGGCTGCGGTGTCATCAAGCAAGACCTCCTTATCAACTCCGATGTACCAAACCGCATCGGCTGGGCGTTCGGTCTGGGAATCGAGCGCATAGCCATGCTCCTCTTCAACATCCCCGACATCCGTCTCTTCTGGTCTCGCGACGAGCGCTTCCTGTCGCAGTTCCGCGCTGGAGAGATCACGCGCTTTAAGCCATTCTCCAAGCATCCTGCATCCTACAAGGATGTTGCCTTCTGGTTGCCTCCTCTGCTGTGACTGGTGGAAGCAGTGCTGCTGGCGGTGCCGTGCCTTTCCACGAAAATGACGTGATGGAGGTGGTCCGGGGAATTGGCGGTGATCTTGTTGAGGATGTCACCTTGATTGACGAATTCACGCATCCCAAGACTGGACGGAAGAGTATGTGCTACCGTATCAACTACAGGAGTCTGGAGCGTACCTTGACGAACGAGGAGACCAACGAAATGCATAACAAGGTTCGGGAGAAGCTCGTCGAGGACTTCGGAGTAGAGCTGAGGTAATTGACGATGCTTTCTGTACTATTTAACTTCCACTATTCTCGACACTGTACAATATGAGATATCCTCCTACAGACTCTACATTCTTAACATTTTCGGATATAGATCGAAGAACAACCGGAGACTTGAGAGCCACCAACGGGTGTATATTATACAGAGATGAGGAGAGAGTTATCGGGAGGCACAGATCGCGCGAAACAAGTGAAACAAACACACCCAACACGAATCCGGACGCCTCCAGTTACATGCAACAAAGGTGTATCATACCGATCCAAGAGATAAGCAGACATGAGAAGGAAGAGTTTTCCACGGACCAACAGCCAGCCGCATCCGAGTGCAAATCCCAACCGCGATCATAACGTATGATATATGGTACAGATAGAATGAAAAGAGGAGGTAGGAGGGAAAGCAAAGCATCATGCTCAAGTAGATCTAGTCGTTCTTAACAACACCGACCTTAGCAGCCTAAAGAGGATATTCAAAGTTAGTGAATAGTCCACGGTAATAAATCCGGCAAAAGATAACTTACGCGGAGAACACGTCCATTGAGACGGAAGCCCTTAGTCTGGGCGTACATCACGTCGTTGTTTTCCATGTTCTCTGCCTTGGCCATGAAAGTGGCTTCGTGCAGGTTGGGGTCGAACTTCTGGGGCTTGCCCTCGACCTTCTCGCCGGGGTCGAAGCGCTCGAGACCGTGCTTTTGAAGAGTGTTCATGAGGATGTTCTCGGTCATCTTGAGACCGGCAACGAGGTCATGCAGAGCCTTGTTCTCCTCAGTCGGAGCAGCCTCGAGCTGCTCCTTGGGCACGGCCAGCAGCGCCCGGTCAAAGTTGTCAATGCTCTCCAGGAGGTCCTTGGCGAAGCGCTGGATGGCAAAGTTTCGCGCACCTTCCATGTCACGCTTAGTGCGCTCCTGTAGGTTACGGAACTCGGCAACGGAACGAAGGTATTTATCCTGAATGACATTTAGTTTTGCGCACGCGACAGTGGTGTTAAGGTAACGAGAGTGAAACTTACCTTCAGATCAATGACTTCCTTGTTCTTGGCCTCGAGCTCCTTCTCGAGAGGATTCTGCTCGGTGCTCTCGCCCTCCTCGCCCTCCTTGGTAGCTTCCTTCTCGGTAGAGTAGAAGCGAGTGGGCTGGGCGAATGGCCGGATGGCAGCGGGCAGCTGTTGTTGCAACCGTGTTGTCCGTCGAAGAGCGAGGGGTGCGGATGTGGAAGTGGAAGCTGCCAGAGCCGACCGGGCGGCCTGGGCTTGTCTGAGAAGAGTGCGCTTGAACATTGCGGAGATGAAAAATTACAATTGAGTTATGGGATGAGTAGGAGAAGAACGGGTATAACGATAGCTGATCGGGCAAAATTCATCTAGCATCACCTGACCGCTTTAGCTCGGCAAAATGGTGGCCGCCGGTACCGCCTTCGCTACTTCAGTGTGTACACAAAAGTAATTTCGTTGTCGGTCAGTTATGTAACAAATGGATCTGAATAGGGGTGTAAATCGCTTGGAAACTACCATCAAAATCAATGTTTTTCAATACAATCGGTTTGAAAGATTGGAAAGAGCGATCATCAAGAACGCTGCGATCGTGACTGTTTAGCTTTTGAGGTTCACTGAAAATCTAGGGAGACTGTGACTGCCAAAAAGCACCTAATCAGATCGGGTAGGGCAACCACAGACACTTACTGTACATGCAATTGTATGTAAGATGTATCATATGACATTAAATAGGATTGGAATCAACCGTCTTTTTAGCACATCTAGTATCCACTAACTCAGATATCGAGGATAAAGAAAAACAGTTGCCGTAGCTCATTATTTCTCTGAAATCAGATCGTAACCCAGGATTCGCCAGCTACATGGCGAAAAACATCGTTCAAATGCCACTAAGAGTCAAGCATCGACTACCAGGCCCTTCTGAAGACATAGTTCCAACCTTGTTCAAATAGTCAGTTCTTCGGTGCTCCAGCTCTAGGGCTCCCAGCTCATGTTAGATTGCATTGCTGTTCATTGTAAGTTTCTTTCATGCGGAAACGCAAAATCTCAACTCGATCCTCGACAACGTGAGATGTACTATCAAAGCCGAATCTTGATTTGACAAATTAGGTCAAAACAATGGAAAAGATTCGAAGAACTCTAGTGAACTTGTTTATCAAGTATCCAAGGACTGGTCTAATCTTTCTTGGGAGGGTTTTTTACCTGATCTTTCCACTACTCTTCGTTCCAACTGTGTTCTCCTTATTTCTTTACTCAGTATATATTCTCACCTACCACATTTACTTGATTACTATGGCGATAAACTTGAAAGGTCGGCGGTTTTAAGGTCCTATGTAGACAACCCTCAATGAAAATATTGTAATATTGGTAATATTCCAGAGTGATGCTATTCTGTTCTCGGAGTCCGAATTTTAGAACCAGGTCTCCCACTCTGTCCCCACCTAAAAAGCTATGATGTAATATCACTTAACAAGAAGAAATCAACTCTAAGAAGAGTTCTATCGTAGGAGCGTCGTGACTGATCAAGTCGTCGATTTAACTCCATTCACTATAGTCTCGAACATAGGGGAAATATGTGCTCGCCATAAGCTCGGGATGCCGCATTTGCGGAAGCCAGGGTGGTCTCGGGTCTGTTTAAGACCAGCACGCTCGCGGGATGACGAAGTTAGTTCGCCAGCGGTCAGGCCATGTTACGTCATAAGTAAACCTTAGGGCTATAAAGATATGAGCTCGTAGGGAGATTTGGAGTCAATGTTAATCTTCAATCTCGTGGTAGATATTTGAAAATTACACTCTATTGTCAAAACGCCGTGTTTACCACCATGTCGGGCTTCCTGCACCACCACCACCACAAAGACTCAGAAAAGCCTTCTGAGCATTCTGCTCAGTCCAACTCGCACGTTGGGGAAGAAGCCAGTAAGTGGCTCTTCTCACTTATCATGTCTAGGAAGATGCTAATGGATGCATAGACAAGAGCGCCCACCATCACCACCACCTCTTCGGCCACCATAAGGCGGGCGAAGAGAAGTCCCACCACCGCCCTAGCCAAGAGGAAATCGACAACGCCGAATTCGCTGCGGCGAGGCACTACGATCATGCTCTGAAATCTAGTCATGGTCCTGGTGTCGGCTTCGAGGGAGGACGTCAAGGTTAATAATGACGGTAGATGATATAAGGGATACCAGAGGTCCACTGCTTCTGTACATAGATCTTACGAACCTTCATGTCGAACGATGCTACGATTTGCTTTCTTTCCAACGAGCGTATGCCACGCCCCCAAGAGGTCCACGCCTGGCGGTCTCTTTTTGATATATTGTCTGGTAAAAGTAGTAGGTGTATAGTTTTGGGACAATCCTACAAAAGTGTTGCCAAGTTCTTCAATACGCGAGCTAGCTGTCCATAAAATCCGTTAGAATCACTCAGAGGTGCGCAGAACGCCCATCTGCAAGCCTGATGTGGGGTATATTGAATAGACCGCGATAGATGTCATTGTTTCATTGCCAAGTTGGGGCAGGTGACGGGTATGAACTAGCGGCCCTCGGCGCACGCTATCAACTGATCATCCAAGCCCATGGGCTCCCATACATCTTTGGTTTTCTTGTTTTGTACCATCACAATATCGCCTTGCAAGAAGGCCACCACTCCACCTCTTCCAGTTGCGCTGGCTGTAATGCGGAACAGTGGATGTCCGGTTTGCGGGTGTGCCTCACGCAGCGGCAGCATGATTAGACCCTGTTCGACGCACCAATTTTCCAGAATATCCTTGAAAGAAATCTCCTCCTCGATGTGTGCTTTAGGTGTTGGTGGAGGAGCTGCTGCTGCTGCTGCTGCTGCTTCAGCCACGTTGTCTTCACGAGTGGGAAGCGTAGCGCGAGCAGTAGCTGGACGTGGAAGTTCGGCAGCTGCGCGATCTCCAAGCTCCGCAGCTTGATGCATAATTTGAATACCCTTACTCCACTCGCTATCCACTTTGGGAATTTCGTTGATCTCGGCTGGGATTTGTTCCTTCCACCAAGAGAACCACGTAGCAACTTCCTCCAGGTTGGGATCATTGGTGAGCCAAATGTAGAGTATCTCGTGCCACTTAGGGAAGAAACCAGAGACAAGTAGTTCGCCCATCACCATGGGCTGGAAGTAGTCCTTCCACCGGAGGACATCCTCCAGTGCCGTTAGATCTTGTTCCTGGGGGTTCACGACAAAGTCTTCGCGGAGGTGACGTGCCAAGCGAGGTAATAAATGGTTTCGGAGACAGATATCAAACTCGCTACCGAGAGCCTCCTTCCAGAGGTCTAAGCCACTGATAAGATCCCTGTGAAGGCTCCATGAGTCGAGCACCACACGGAACTTTCTCTTAGTGTCTGACATGAGACCCGTTGGCTGCTTCGGATTGGTATGTTTTTCATCCAGGTATTGCAGCCATTGGAATAGCCACCACGGAAACTTCCCATCATGCTGAGATGGGTGTCGTCGGCTGCTTCGGGCCTTCCACTCCTTCAATGCTGCGCTGAGCTTTGGAACAACCAGTTGGTCGAGAAGATTGGCAAGGACAAATGGAGGAACGATCGCCCTCCACGAATTGACCAAGGTGGTCGCAGCAGTCGGGTCGTAAACGTCCCAATCATGCATCAGAGCCGAGCGGACGCGCGGAAGCCAGAGAGTGTATATCATCGTTTCGTACGGCGATGTTGATTGCCTTTGGAATTCTTCCTTTTCACTTCGACGAGCGAGAAGTGGTTGAAGGCGCGTGAGATTCGACACCAGGAACGTGGGGTTTTGTAAGGGCTCCCATTCTTCCATGGCCTGACGAAACAGTGGGTGCATAGCAGCTACTGCAGCCTCAGCTAGCTTGTACTCGTCCATGACATCCTCGTATTGTGCTTTGATATTTTCAAGCTTGCCCGTCATTTCGTCGAATTTCGCCGCAATATTTTCATCATGTTCAAAGAGATCCAGCTCTTCCACGGCGGCGATCAGCCCGGTCAGATGATTCAGACGGGCTTGGTAAGCGTCTAGTTCGTCCACGACCTGCGCCTCTTCGATCTCAATGAAATTCTTCCTCTCTGTCAAGCCTTTCCATTCGTCTGCAAATGCCTCCAAATCATGGCGAGCCCGTCGAGCGAGCTTCAATGCTTCCCCTTCGCCCGAGCCGACAAATCCTGGGCCAGCCATCAAGCCAGCAGTCGATGTCAGGGTGCGTTGTTCTTTGCCAGTGGCATCAATGAGCGACTTTAGCACGTTCGGCACCTCGAGACCCTGCATATCGGCTTCCAACTCAAGCGCTGTGCGGAATTGAGGCTTCTTGGGTCGCGGAACTGGGGTGCCTGTGCCACTGCGAGACTCTGACTTGCGTCCATCCTTCTTTCTTCGACGTCTCTGCTTCTCCTCATCGGAGCTTTCTTCTACTGTTTCGCCTCTGCGCTTAGCATCTCGTCGTTCCTCGTCGCGTGCCTGCTTGGTCTTCTCTCGAACTGCACCCAGACCGGCACCCTGTGGGCGCGCCTGGGCTTCGATCGGGTTGACAATACCCTGCCCGGTAGAACCTGAGACCCTGCCCCTCCTTGTAACCCATCTTCGCCATCATGCGCGCGGCAAATGAGTTTCCGGCGCCCTTTCTTCCGCGGGCGGCACCTCCACCGCGGGCCGCCGTATTCTCTCCGATACCATTGTTCATATTATTCCAGGGGTTGCGATTGGCGCTACCGAGGCCGCCCATTCTCGGAGGCGATTCGGAAGGCTCTCGCGCTCTGGCGAAACCTTTAAAGCCGGTGGTCGGGCGGTCATCCTCGCTATCGGAGCTCATGTCGGCGACCTTGCGCTTCTGGCCGGCGTAGGATGACGATGGCGAGTCCATGTCCGTCGGTTGTCGCTGTAGCAAAGCGACGACTTCGTAGCTCACAGCTCGATCGTAAGCTCTCAAAGTCAGAGCTCGTGAAATTCACGTGGAGAGCCGGGGCGGAAGAACCAGCATCCGAGGCGACGAAAACAAGATGACGTTGAGCTCGGTTACTTCATAGCTCCGAGGATTCCATTCGTCCTTTTTCTTCCATTTTACTGAAACTCTTCTCTCTAAACCCCTCATCAATACTTCAGTACTCACAATGACTGCTCTCTTCTCCACCTCCGCTCGTGTTGCCCTTCGCTCGGGAGCTTCGGCTTCCTACAAGGCTGGCGCTGCGGGCTTGACTTTTGCCCGCGGCAAGGCTACCCTGCCCGACCTTTCCTGTAAGTACTTTGTGTTTGCGCAGATCTTTGGTGCCAATGTATTTCTTGTTGAAACACGGGTAAACTAATTGTCAATCAAGACGACTATGGTGCTCTTGAGCCCTCCATCAACGGCAAGATCATGGAGCTTCACCACAAGAACCACCACAACACCTATGTCAACAGCTATAACACCGCTTTTGAGCAGCTCCAGGAGGCTCAGCACAAGGGTGACATTGCCGCCCAGATTGCCCTCAAGCCCGCCATCAACTTCCACGGCGGTGGCCACCTGAACCACTCTCTCTTCTGGGAGAACTTGGCTCCCAAGAGCGCCGGTGGTGGTGAGCCCCCCTCCGGCTCTCTGGCCAAGGCCATCGACACCACTTATGGTGGTCTCGATGAATTCAAAGGCAAGATGAACGCTGCCCTGGCTGGTATTCAGGGCTCCGGCTGGGCTTGGCTCGTCAAGGACAAGCAGACCGGCCAGATCAGCATCCGCACTTATGCTGTGAGTACCAACACCTTCTACATTCTACCTGAAGGCGCAAAAGCTGACCCTGCAATAGAACCAGGACCCCGTCGTCGGCCAGTTCGAGCCTCTCCTTGGTATTGACGCCTGGGAGCACGCCTACTAGTAAGTAACTCTACCCGGGAATGACTGCTTCTAGATGCTTACAAACTATTCTAGCTTGCAATACCAGAACCGCAAGGCTGAGTATTTCAGCGCCATCTGGGACGTCATCAACTGGAAGGCCGCGGAGAAGCGCTTCTCTTAAAAGCGAGATCTGATATATCGGCCCCACCATAAGCGGAGGCCACACTTCTCTTGTATTGTAGCGTCTGCCTAATTTATGTCAATTTACCTCCATCCAGAGAAATGTCCTTTTCAAATACAAAGCTCTTAAGCTCTGACAATTTAAACTCAATTCCCAAACTTGCAAGTTCTAGGCTCAAAGTGGCTGAAAGTGATGGTCTCATCCATTCCGCGACGGCCCGTCACATGTATAATGTAAGCGCGTCATCAGGGTCTGCCACGATCAACATTCGAACAAGCTTTACCTCTCTGCATGGCAAATTCCGACACCATCACGATCATGTCGGCAGAGAGCCCAGGTCGTAAGTCAGGCTTCAAATCCTTCTTCTCCAATGTCCTCCGGCCCAAAAAATCGCGCCAAACCCTCCGGAAGGGTGACAGTCGATCCACGACAGACCTGCGGCAGGCCGTTCGTCCAAGTCTCGACGATGCTCCCCCAGTGCCCAGCCTCGCGCCATTGCAACTCCATCGATTGAAATATCAAGCGACACACGCGAATCTCGACTACAATCTCGGCGAACGCCGCGACTACACAACCATCATTCATTCGATAGGATGTTTAGAAATGGACGACTCCACCGGGCCCGCCGACATCTTCGACCCGAATCGAGCACCCGGAGAAGGCGATATCGCGAAATTATCCTCGAGTCTATGGGCGCAAATCGCATGGTATCTGGATCCAGCCTCGGCGGCTAGTTTAGCTTTTTCTAGCATCACCTTATACCGCCGGCTAAGGACCTTGGTACCTCAAGGTCCTGGAAGAACCGCAGAACCATGATTTCAAGATGCAATTCCTCATTGGACTAGACATCTCTCTACCACATCATTTGCTGTGTTTCCAATGCGGCCGATACCACAGACGCACGCAGGAAGGCGCTGAACGTATACGACCCGCCCAAGTGCTTAATCCGCTATTCAAGTGCCCCGAAGCCACGAACGTCCTGAACCCGCAAGCGCGAACTCGTATCACGCACGGACGCACGCTGGCTTTCCCATTTGTGCAATTGGCCACGCGCGCGCATAGGTATGGTCCTCGGTACGGGATCCCCGTGGAGGATATGGGAAGACGATGGCACAAAGACGGCTGGTCGCATGCTTCGCGCTTCTTTATTCATGAAGGACGGCTTTTAATGCGTGTCACGAGTCAGGCGTTTGCGGCGCCAAGTTTACCACCTTCTTCGATGCGAATGCTCCTGTTCTCGCGTGACGACTACTGGCCTTATTTCTCTGCGTGCGCGCACTGGCGCGATGGTGAATTGATGTCTGTTTGCAAATGTGCTTTGGGACATATCCCCGCGCCACGGGATACTGGTGGACTGCAGGGTCTCGAGTATAAAGTGAAAGACCGTTGGGTTGGACAACGGTTTGATCCTAATTCCTTGACCCTCTTATGTGGATTCTGTCGACCTATGCGTCGATGTCCCGAGTGTCCGAGTGAATATCTGACTGAAGTCAAATTGTGTGAAGACAAGTCGGATCCTCACAAGCTGGTGTTCAGGCAAGCGATTGTGGTGACCCGCTGGACTGATCTGGGCGATGGCACTACCCCAAGCGGGTTGGAGTGGGGTGCTATCAATGGAAAACGGGATGACTATGACTCGTTCCAGCATTATGCGAAGCGTGGAATTGCGAGTGTCTTTGAGGCTGCATTCACGGCTGATACGCTTCCTGGTCAGAGAGTCCTTTCTATGAATCCTCAGAAAAAGAAGCTCGGTGAGGAGGGGGATAGTTGGTACTAGTCTGCTGTTTTCTGGTCCCGTGGCTTGTCTTCTTGAGCCCAGAATGCTCTGTATGATATGTGACTCGAGAGTGTTTCTTTTCTTTCGGCGTTGGGATGTTGAAAATGGGCATCGGAAAGTGGGAACATGGAATAATAACACTATGTAGCGTAATACCTAAGAAGATTGAAAGTCCACTTGATATATCACAGATATCACAGAACGAGATGTCAAAAAAAATACAATCTGTAATACAATCAGACGAGGAGACATTGAAGACAATGCTCGATGTTCGAGAGGCCATGTCTCAATCTCTCTGTTAAGGCGGGCGCAGTCACGTATCATATGAGCGACGGGCCTTCATTCCAAAGCCACTGCAAAAGCTCGAATCATGGGTGGAAAATGGGCCGCAAGAGATTGTCGAATCTGGACTGAACGTGGAGCCCAATTTGGAATTTGGCTGAAGAATCACATTGATTTCTAAATTTTCAAATAACCAGCGTTAAAACATCAAGCGTAAGCCAAATACATCGTTGAATTGTAAAAAAGACATGAGAAGCCCGTCTGAACCAGCAGAAGGCATTGAAATGAAGAACCCTCCCAACGTCACTTGCGTCGAACATCATAATCCGAAATCCTCCAAAATTCGTTCATTCTTCGTGTTCAGTGCAAAGATCGGTATACCAAGAGGCTGTCAAATAACCCAAGTGCTGTCTTGAACCCCTGAGGTGTTGTACAAAAGAAAAGGGTATCATAAAATACAGGACGATTTTCAGGTTCAAGCCAGCGTGAGCATTGAGTCTCTTAGCTTCGACGAGACCGACGACCCATATAACGAGGTTGTCGAGTTGTATCGTCGGACCCGACGGTCATCATAGAGCGAGGCCGCATGGTGGGTGCGTCCATAGAATCTGGGGTAGAGGCACGAGGTACAGAGAACTGGGGATGTTCCTTCATTAGACGTGCAGGGTTCCGGTTCTCCTTCTGTGCGGTGTCCGTGAAGTTCTCGTTCACAGGGAGTGCGAGATCGGAGCGTTTGCCGCCGACATTCTTCATCCAGCCGAAGATTCCCAGCGAGGTGCGGCGTTTATGTTCAGTACTGTGGATTGATGATGGCCGGCCCGATATTGTAGCGGATTGGACTGGCTGGCTCTCTTCCCGAGCTTCCATTAGAGATTGGTGGAAAGCTCGAGGATCGTCTTCGAGGTCCTGAATCGCAGCGGGAACATGGGAGTAAAAGTCGGCCGAGTTCGTGATGATCTGCGACATAGGGCGTCTTGTGGCGCCACCTGGATTCCTGGTCTTCGGAATGATGGGGGAAGGTGCGCCATCCTCCTCGTCATCTATGTATTCACTCAGCGTTGGCGAAGACTGAAGACGGCGAGGGCCATTGTAACGATTGAGGAAAGCAGGGCGGAAACTAAAGCGTCGGCGTGGCTCCGGACCAGGTCCATCCTCAGGCTCGGGGATCGAAGCAAGTCGCTCAGGCGCATGACTTTCGAGAATCGCAAGGGCTTCCATATTTAGAGTTGGGATCCCAGGGACCTCAGGCTCAACGGCGAACGAGTCAATGCTGTCGTTTTCGTGGAAGGCGTTGCGGCTTATAACATGTCGATCTGATCCTTTCTGCTGTTCGATCCGAAGTCCACGAGCTTTCTCCTTTCGAGAACGAGGGGTTTTCTGGGCGGCTGCAAGCCAATCCTCCGGGGTCAATGGCGGGGAGGCGTCGAACTCCATAGACCTTTGGTGCAACGTATGGGATTTTGTGGGTGTCTTCCGGGTAATTGGCGGAGGCACGGCTTCGTCAATGCTATCTGGGTGAAATAGATCGGCGAAAGACTTGAGAGCAGGATTGTTAGGACTTCCGGGTCCAAGCAATTCACTGGCCTTGGAAGCAACTGTGTTAAAAGGATAAATTACCGGCGATTCAGATTTCCGGCCATCAAGACGAGGTGTGTCACTGCAGTTTGTCTGCATGCTGTCTGTGACGTCGCTACCAGCTCTGCTGCGGTGGGATGTCAATTCATCGGCAGAACAGTGACGCCGCAGACGTGGACCGCTGAACAGCTGATCACGATTCTGCAGAGGGCTCTTTGGGGGTGCGATGCTTCCGTTTGAACCGTTATAAACGGCTGCATATGCTGTGCTCATAGTATCCGGGGTGGGAGGAAGCCTTGCGCTCTCAAACAGCGAAGCATCGAGACGCTGCCGACCTCGGGGTTTGCTCGTAAACAAGTCACCTCCGAAACTCGGAACTACTCCCTTTCGATGCATCTGACATTGCCCGATTCTGTCTTCGTTGGATGATAGTTTGCGATTGCATCCAGGTTTCAAGTTGATGGTTCTTTCCCTCCACTGTTTCGGTTGGGCCAACGTAGCTGTCTAGGCTGCTCGTGGTAGATAGTGCTTTGGTAGATAGTAAGTTGCTGACAGGAATGTCCAGCTTGTCGAACTCGTGCCATCTTGAAGACGTGTCAATGGGGTTCAGCTCACTGGCCTCGCTGAGAACACTTAATCGAGGAGATGCCATAGAAGTGGCATCAGCCATCGTGTGGTAGCTCTCAGACTTGGTCATATCACTTAGAGCCGAGTGTGACTTATCATCATCTGGAACATAGAGACTGCGTAGTGCGGCAGTATTCTGAGTTTCTTCGAGCAAGAACGAAGGTGCCTTGGATAGCAGCCGCAAATCGGACGATCGCCGTCCCTTTAATCGAGATTTCAAAGTTCCGCCTCTGGAGGAAGATCTCTCCGGGATCTCGAAAGTAGCCTGAGCCTGAGCCTGAGCCTTGGGTGTGCAGGCATTTGGGCCATCAAGTACGAGTCGACTTGGTGACATCGGTAAAGTCCGACCACCTGCCTCGAGCTGCTCGATCTTCGATTCAAGCTGGCAGATGAGCTGAACGGCCTCGGTCACAGCTTGATCCCGCTTTCCCAGCTCCAGGCGAAGCTCCTCATTTGACTCCCGAAGTCGACGATTATCCTTTTCAGCCTCGCGGAGTTCCTCTACTTCTTCCTCAAGCTTTTGCATCTTCGTCAATTCCTCCTCCATCGACTTCATCCGTTCCAATTTTTTCTCTAGGTTCCCCATTTGTTGTGCGCGATGAAACACCTCGAGTTTCAGGTCGAAGTTAAGTTTATTCATTTTGGAAACGTACTGGCCACGGTTAGTTTGTGCCTATTCCGTGGTTTCTACCGAGGGGGACCCACCTGATCCATCTCTCGCATCCCCATCTCCTTGGGCTTTCGAAGACCGGCGGAGAGGGCATCGCTGACTTTTCTCGCCCTTTCCGAGGCCGTAAAAGCACCGTCTTCTTGGGTGCGAGGTCGTTCGGGGGTTTGTGGAATGCCCTCCCAATCTTCGGGCGCAGACCCGCGCGAGTCACGATGCGCGCGCTGTTCCTTGAGCATATCTTGCAGAAGAGTAGACGCTGGATTTACTAAAGTGGATGTGCCTTTATTTGGGGTTCCTGTGTTGATGCCCATAATTAGTCTCCAATTGGTGGTCGAAGTAGTTGTGTCAGGACGTACTCTGTTGCTGGGGTGGTGTTCTGGTTCCCCTACGGACCGGCGACTGGTCGACCAACCATGACCGGTCAGGGCTCATCTGTGGCGGCGTATACATGTTTCTTCTGCCCTTGACACGGGAAAGCGAGGGGTGCTGAGGACGACCGGTTTTAGCTGAGTGGCAGGGATATTAGTTTGATGTGAACACCAGTATAGACCGTAGTCAGTCGAACAGGAGTGGCGTACAGCTGGGGCCAGACGTGGAGGAACGGGAGCTCGGAGGGGCCTTGGGATAATATATTGAGGCCTGAGAATGAGAGGCTGGAGGGTTTACAGGAGGCTTGACGGCCGAGCTCCGTTTGGCCTTCTCCATTACAGGTGCATCCATGGCGTGCATGTTATGCGCATGCTGGACGCAAAGACTCGACTGGAGCGCGGGCGACTGTGCGTCCCGAGCAATCAGCGTCTGGCGTAAACCGGTCGATCACAGATAAATCCACCACATCGGAAGATTAAATTGACGGGATGTGCGTTCCGCGCGATCACAATTGGATGGGCGCTAGACCATGAATTGGATGGCCCGGAGCAGTGGAGGACAAACAAGATGTAAGAAGCGAGGGATGCGGCGTGGAAGAAGGGAATCAATCAGACTCGAGTGGGCTCGGTGGAGCAAGGAAAGTCTAAGACTGGAAAAGTGAGGTGCTATGAAGCGAGGAGAGATCAGAGAATAGAATTGTGATGAGTCAATCCTCATATGGAGGGCAGCGAACTGGGGAAAGGACGATTGTGTTATTGTTGTGCCCTTTGGTTGATCACTGGAATGCACAAGAAGGGAAAGAGAAGAAGACCAGGGACTGGGGATGAATCTCAAAAATCTGAGAATGAGCACACTACCCTAGACTACGATTCGAATGATCTGCGTGTTCCTGACGTCGAGCCCAATGGGACGTGGTGCGAGACGGTCTCAGCTGGTCCTTACTTGAGGTGCCTGGCCCTTGTTCTTCGGCCCCTCTCTGGAGTGTTCGAATCTCCCAGGTTTCCCCTAGCATGCAGATTTGGATTTCTGATACACGAATACGGCACTAAGGTCAAGAACCCTAATAATCCAAGTTGCAATTGATGAACCCCTAGTCCGTGATTCCCGGTGCCCATATCCAGAGTACTGTAGTGACTTGTCCATCCGCTCCCGTGTGTTCCACTGCGATCCATAGGAACCAGGAACCACAGTTCATCCCGTTTTGGTGATCGTACTAAACCCCCCACTCGGTTGCAGTAGTCTCCCATAGACCAACATGAAATCAAGATCACAAAGTATGAACGCTGGATGGCTTGACAGCTCGCATGCTCGGACCCAAGCCTAGCGTCCGTCAGCTGTGCCCGCACTCCACGTCACAAACACTGAAACGGTGGCGACGAGACCTAGATGAGTTTTCGTCATCCATTCCCAGTCTAGAACAGTACTTTTATTCCTTAGTGGTCATTTGCGACATCCACCTACGTAGTGCATAGAGCATTGATAATTTCAGTATTCAGGGACATTTTCTCCCCGCTGTCAGAAAAAGGCGTCACCCGTGAAAAGGTCATTATTATTCGGGATAGAGTTGTGCGATACATCTCTCGCCTTCTTCCCGGACGAGCTCAGCTCAGCCCAATTACCCCCTTCTACAGATCATTTTCTTTTTGTCTCCCCTGACCAAATTCGCATCTCTTTGGCCCGATCGTGAGCCGCACGGAACACTGCGATATGTCAGTTGCCACACTCGAGAGTACTCCGGTCCATACACATACGTTGCCGCTCGGTCTCGTCTAACCCCCGGAGGAAATTCACGCCCTCTCCCACGGCACCACGCGGGTTATGCGCGTGGTCGGCGATTTCTGCAGCCCGTTTCTTGAAGGTCTAGGATCAGGCAATTGTTAGTGGTAACAACTCGTATAGTCCATAGGGCCCATTCAACCTACATCACTCAGCACATCGACCATATCTTCTTCCTCGAATATCTCGAGAATGCGCTCGCTTAGACTGTAGAAGTGTGGTGCTAGTGCGCGTAGGTCAACTGTGCGGGGGTCGGCCTTTAGTGCATTCATCACCCGCTCTGAAAGGGCCTCGGGCATGTCGAGAGTGACGAGACGCGAAGTACCCAGGCGCGCACTTTTTCTCGGTTAGTACCAATCTCGTCCGAGAGTAAAGGTCATATCTCACCCGATTGAAAGCATCTCACCCAACCATAGTGGAAGGTCGATGCGAGTCCCCGCTTTGATCTGGTGCTGGTCAACGGCTGGTCATGATACACGTTTGCTTTCGAGTGACATACATCCTCTCCGGGGTTACCTTCCAGAATTCCTAGACCGGGGACTTCCAGCTCAAAAGTACACGGCAGTTTCTAGGTGCCGTGGTGTTAGCCGGGGAACGCTCCAAGCTAAGAGATCAAATATTGGAGTTGAACCCACCTGGGCATCAGTCAAGACGGAATCAATATCGTAGTAGGACATTTCGGCACATTGATTCGGTCGCGATCCCCGCGGGCCGTTGCTCGTCGGGTGTTCCAGAGTTCATTTGATATTCGCGCGCGTCCAGCGGCGCGTGGTCACGTGTAGAAACATGTAAGGAATTTCCCACTTGCCTAAATGAGTTACTGCCGCGGGTGTCTCCGCAGCTAAATACTACATACAATATGCACTCAGCACCCCACGAGATACCCGATCATTAACTGCATATTCACCATCTGAGAAGATTCAAATGACCTTAATCCTTTGACACTGCTAAGGAGGACACACATTTCCGACCACATGCCCCAAATGACACGGGACGTTACAATGTTAAGTAAATCTTGGTCAAGATTTGACGTATTGGCCGGCGTCGTACACAATTCACACTTTACCTTGTGTCGTTCAATCAAGATGCGGTGGAAGGCCACATATGTGTTGAAGGAGGACGCGGTCCGCTGAATCGGTGATGCGAACCTTGGAAACCATTGGCGTCTATTGCGTCTTTCGTGTTCGCACTGTTCTTGCTCCTGCTGACGCCGTTGCCAAAGCAAGAGAATACACTCCCTACGACTTCCCGCTCCAGCATAGAAAAGCACAAAACTACCCAGTAATCGAAGTAGGGCCTTTGCCTGCAACAACTGACATCATTGAAATAGCCCGTAGTCATGCAGTCTCAGGTCGAGATGAGTGAGAAAATATACAATTTACGGACGATCTGAAGGATTGACGAATGTGTAATCTTTGGATGTTCTCTATATAACGAAGACATAGTCGAAAGAGACGGAGATAAAGGATTCGCCGTTCTTGAACTAGAATTCGGTGAAAAGGTATTCGAAACGGGAGGAGTGACTATGACCTAGAGATTTAGTATAGTACTAGAGCAAATCTAAACATAATGCTAATCCAATCAACCTTTGAGCATTGCCCAGGCTTGTCGTCTCACATTTTCATTGGTGGTCGTGCTACCTCGCGTTGCATGATGTTTACTCAGCACTAGCTAGCATACTCTTGAATCATGCCGAGGTAAAGATGTCAATTGATAATTTGGTCGCTCTAGACGTCAATGGTATAATCGAACTCATCTGACATTCGCTCCATCTTCCACGACCGAGTGACGTTCTTAAGGTCACCGGAAGAAACAGGCATACGACAGGATACTTGCAGAAAGGCGATCGAAATTTAAAAGAATGGCAGGTTATCCTGCAGCCGGTCACATAAGGAAAGAGAATAGATTGTGTCTTGGATCATGTCCTCGGTCCGACTTTGAGATGAGATCCTCATCAATGTAGAATCAGGCCTAGTGCGTTGCCTGCAGGTGCTAAGCACTTTTGAAATTTGCCAGTGCAGGGTAGCAATTGGCATTAAGACCCACATGTTGATGTATTCATCAAATCCGTACCTTCTCAAGTTTACTTAGAGATCATTAATCAATGACTGACACCACACCTCATTTGTAAGTGTCGAGAAAGTGCCCACAGATTGATTCGTTCCCATCGCATTTATTATTCTTTGACACATACTAAGCCGAGAAAATCTTCCCCGGTTATTGTGATAGTCTCTCGGTGCACGCATCTTTGTTTTCTTGACTAGGGCAGAAACAGAGATAATTCGCTTGCTGGTGATGAGCTCACATATGACAAGATGGCCAAATGGGGCAACTCCTCCGTGAAGGTGGCCCGCCCTGCGTTCTTCAGGGAAATAGATGAATCTTTAGCGCCCAGCTAGTAAAATTGCAGCAATATAACCGACACCCACGGAGAAATCCACAGAAAGCCAGGATTCAACTCCCCGTACGCGACCCCTGACGTTCCAATCGGCAAGGGTGAGAGAATGACATTAGATTATTTCAGTCTCCGCCTCGATTAGCGGGGAGTCAATCATTTCTTGAAAGAGAGAAACGTGTCGAGAATGATTCTTTTCTCGGCCCTGGACTTGCTATCGGGTACCGATTTAGTTAACCATCACTCACTGGTGGTGGGGAGACTGGGTGTAACTTGAAGTATACAGTCAACCTATTGAAGAGGATTCTCGGTCGGAGCCTGAGGACCTTGGAGATTACCTTTCTCATAGTTCCAAAATCATAGCTTGGTACAATGCTTGTTTCCAAGTGGATTGCCGTTGCTGGCCTATTAGGTGCTGCAGTCGCCTCTCCTGGCAAATCCTTGGCGAAGAGGACAACCGTGCAGGATGCGCTGTTTGGCTTGTGAACGAGACCGAAGTTACCAACGATCTAAACGACGCTTATAAGACTCGCATGCCTAATTATCTCAACTTGGTCTACCCTGTCATTGATTATCATGACACTGCGCCAGTCAATTCCTTCCCACCAAGCGATATCGACACCACTTTGGGTAGTGGCTGGGCTTACTCCACCCTCAGCTCCGACTGGACTCAATGGATTGGATCAACAGCCGCGACCAGTGCCGATGACTACGGTTCTTACTCAGTGCTGTATCCTGACGGCAACCTCAGAATCATATCTTTCAACACCAACTTCTACTATAAAGAGAACTTCTGGCTGTATGAGAAAACCATGCAGTCGGATCCCAACGGTCAGTTGGCATGGCTCGTATCTGAGTTAGATGCGGCCGAAACAGCTGGTGAGCGCGTCTGGCTCGCGGGACACATGCCCATGGGAAGCGGAGACGCGTTCCACGATGGATCGAACTATTTCAACCAGATCATCCAGCGCTACGAGGCGACCATCGCCGCCGTCTTCTATGGACACACCCACAAGGACGAGTTCGAGATTGCTTATTCAGACTATTCCAACCCCACAGCCGACACTGCGACCGTGATGTCTTATATTGCACCAGCTCTGACCCCGACCTCTGGAAACCCTACCTTCCGTGTTTATTCCGTGGATCCAGTCACCTTTGGTGTGCTCGATTTCGAGGTATACATCGCGAACATGTCGGATCCGAACTACCAGACAAAGCCAATATGGGAGAAGTACTACTCTGCGAAGGAGGTCTATGGCTCTCTTCTCACCCCGCCTGTGACAGACAGCTCTGCTGAACTGACTCCGGCTTTCTGGCATAACGTGACTGCTTTGTTCGAGAATGACGATGCTGTATTCCAAGACTATATTGCTCGCAAAACTCGAGGTTGGGATTATTTATCTTGCACTGGAGACTGTAAGACCGATGAGATCTGCCAGCTTCGTGCAGCCGAATCGCAGTATAACTGCGTGACTATCACCCCCGGCATCAGCTTCAAGAAGCGTGATATTTCCACTGCATTGCACCAGGAGAATGCACGTGGTGAGTCTATCATTGGAACTATGTTCTCGGATTTCGATGGCACCGTGTCTGCGCTCCAGGCCTCCTTGACCTCGAGCTTCCTGAGCACCACAGTCAACTCTACAGTCGTGTAAAGCATGTTCGATCAGGATATCGAAGGACTTCTGTCATAGTTCGCCAAATTAGGTTAAACTTCCGAAATCGTACCATGAAATATGCCTTGATTTGAGGGCGCCGTCTCCACTTTCAGATAAGACCGTAGTGCTGATAATGAATAGTATAGACCAATAATTTGTCTCGTCAGCTTTCTTAGACAATTATAAAACTTTCCTCGAGGCTTGCCCCACATTATCAGGCACGTTCCGTAAGCGTGATGGGGCAATTGGTCTACTCCTGGATAGACGTCGACTCACCATATTGCCAGCAGCCTAGCGCCTCTGTAGCCCCGGAGAATTTTAAGAAGAGTATAAATGATTTATTGGATGTTCCGCCAAGGGACTAGTTCATCTCGGTTAAATGTCTGGGACGTCCGGCATACCGACACGTGGGCCGGTAATAGGCTTGCGTGCTCCCCATTGACGCTAAGCTGTAATTGCAGTTAATCACAACTAACGCATCTCCGGAGGGCTCTAGGCGAGAGAAGTATATAGACCGTGTCCAGTGCCTTTCTCCAGTGTTACATCAAGCAAGTCTATTTAATACAAAAAGCTTCGGCAAGTCATTCGTTTAATCATGGCCAACTCTTTGTCTATCCTTGGAGTTTCTGCTCTGCTGTTGGCTGCCGCGGCTAATGCTGCGACGCTGGCCCCAGCCAATGATATTGTGTTTCCTTCTACCTCGAACTCTCAAAATCCTTTGATTTATTCTGGAGGCAATACTCCTTGGTATGCTGGTCCCAACGTCAATGGAATCGATAACTCTGTGCCCAAGAAGTGCACCGTGCAGCAAGCAGCATATGTTGTGAGACATGGCAGCAGGTATGACACTTAGTGATAGCCCATAAAACCCTTTTTTTAACATGCCAAAGATTCCCCGACTCTGGATCGTATTCGTCCTGGGTTGGAATACACGATAAGGTAAGATTCATTTCGGTTCTTTGGTGGTCGTCAACAACTGACCCGACTGAAAGATCCAAATCGCCGTCAATGGCAAGGGTTTCAAGGCTCGTGATGAGCTCGCCTTTATTCCCGACTGGAAACCAGTCTTGACCAACTCAACTTTGCAAATCGCTCAAGAGTCCATGACTGGATGGAAAGAGGTATGGAATGCATTGGCTTGCTCAATTATCTGGAGTGGTGTTGATGAATATTAGGCTCACGATCTTGGTTATCAACTTCGTGCTCGCTGTGAGAATTTCCTTCAATGTTGTATTGTGACTATGACTGATGATGACAGATCCCGACTTCTACGAGGATGGAAGCCCTTTCTATGTCTGGGCGAACCAGTACGCCTCTCCCATTAGCAAGTCTCGTGTAGTCCAGACTGCGCGCGCCTTTGTTCAGGATACCTCTACGAATTCGCTAGCACCTCAGGCACCGTGGTTAGCGTCAACTCGACCGGCTCTGTCAGCGCTATTGGTAATTCTCTAGGACCTTCTGATTCATGTCCTATGTTCGGCGCCACATCCAGCGGAGGAAACAATGTCACCGATTGTAGGCCTTTAGACCATGTCAAGTATGAAGGATAGCTACTGACCAAAACCTCTTAGTTGATGCCACCTGGGTCCCGAAAGCTCTGAAGCGTATCAACTCCATGGTCAGCGGAAAATTGACCTTTGACGAGACCGATATCCTGTTCTTTCCCTATCTGTGCGGATACGAGAGCCAGCTGACTGGTAATCTCAGCCCATGGTGCAGCGTGTTCACTCAGGAGGAGCTACGTAACTATGCCTACTCCCAGGATCTGAGCTACTACTACGGTGTTGGTCCAGGTGCTTCAGGACCGGCTCCTAAGCTTTTCCTGCCTTTCCTCCAGAGTCTGACCACACTGTTGAGTAAGGGACCTGGCCAGACCGGTGTCACTGCTGATGGCGGCAGTTTCACTGTTCCTAACCTGATCATGGCTTTCCTCAATGATAATCAGATCGCCGAGATGACGGCTGCGATGGGGATGTTCGATGACGAGGCCCCTCTGCCCGATGACCACGTCCCGAAGGACCACCTTTATAATGTCTCTCACTTCATCACCATGCGTGGTACCGTTGCGTTTGAAGTTCTGAACTGTGAGGTTAGTTCTGGAAGGAAAACTTCGGACGAGCTGTATCTTCGCATTCTCTTCAACGATGCCGTCTACCCCATTCCCCGCTGTCAGAACGGTCCCGGCAAGAGCTGTTTGTTGTCGGATTACATCTCGATGATCGAGAAGAAGAGCAAGAAAGCCGGCAACTGGCTCGACTACTGCAATGTGACTGAGACTAAGGAGCCCGTGGCTGGAGCTAGCTTTTTCACTGACCTGTCACTGGACTTCTTGACTATGGTCAGCCCGTGAGCAATTGCTCTTTTTGTCCAGGCTGTGTACCTCGATCAATCGAGGCGTCTGATATATGATCCTTGGGGCTCTCGCTGGCGTCACGTCCTGTGTATTACCCTCGGCTTCCGAGGTGTGTTGGGTGACTAGATCCTTAAGAGTATATGTCAGACCTGGAATATTAGATAATATTGTGCTAAATAAGCAGCCATGCCTTTTCTCCCAAAATATCAATCAACTGATCAATCAATCAAAGCCCCATTAACCTGATCCAGCTTAAGTATGCAGGTACTTCGTCCGAGATCAATGCAGAACTTGGTGTCTTTCAATCCAGATCCCACGCATAACCCTACATTATTCCCGTGAGAGGAAATATTTCGAAAGAATGAAAGATGTCTCAGAAGAGCTTGAGAAAGACACAAGAAAAGTAATGACAAGAGCGCATTAACAAAAATTGGCTATGAGGGAGGGGGGAAGAACCCTGGAAATCTCTTCACTGTGGCTTGCTGGCTAGGCTATTCGTGCATAAGCTATAAATTTGGCTGGTCCGAAAAGGCTGAAGCGAAAGTCTTCCTTCCGCCACAGCGGTGAGAAGTGTTGTGGGAAGTGCAGCGAAACCAAGGGCGATCCCATCATTTCGTGTCCTGGGCCCGTAGCTTATCCTGATGACAGAGAACCAATAGAACAGCCTCATCCTGATGGTCATCTAACCTTTGCCAAGCAACGCCTATCTTCAGTCAGGCTACAAATTGGTGGTAGATCCCATGTTGTTAAGCAAAATTAGGGACTGTTCTGACCACGAGACAGCGGATTCGGCAAGGGAGCATGCGCAGCGAGACGAGTCGAGCGGCAATCAAAATCAAGGTCAGCATGTGCGTATCATACTGCAGAGTGCAGAGCGGAGAAGGCAGAGAGCTGAGAGCTGAATGCATCGATTACAGTTGTTCAAGGCGCGAACCAAGCGGACCAGAATCCAGCTTGGAACCTTGCAAAAAGGCCCAGAACGCCCCGTGCGTTTCCCCACCTGCCCTACGCTTGTGGAGAGGTCTGAGGTTGGGCTCCAGTCACTAGTGGGCTTGGTGCTCTAAACAGGTATAGATCAGGCTAAACCTGTCTGCCCTAGTCTCGATATTGATTTGAGGTGGTCCAAGACTTGAGATGTTCCCGATGTTCCCCTGCCACAAACTCGACCAAACTCACCGTGGCTTGGCTGTCAAAAGTGCCTTGGTTTTAGAGTGGGCATCATTTCCGCCCCGCCAGGGAACCCAGGCCCAAAAAGGGGGTGACAATCCAAATTTAGAGAGGCGAAAACATTACAGTAACACGGATGAAACATCCCGCTGGTCCCTGAATTCCCTTCCCTTCATATGGAGTTGAACTGAACTTCTGCATTTTCCTTGCTCTTCGTCTTCCCAGGCTTCGGTCTGGACGACTCTCTGATCATGGCCTATAACCTGGTCGCTCAGGTGGATGAAGTGGCTTCCCACTCGGGTTCCGACGCATCGCGCTCCCCGTCTCCGACTCGAATCTTCCACGCTCGCGATACTGATACGGGCCTGGGACCGAACCAGCTCGAGTCAGCCCGGGTCGACGACAACCCGGGACTGGGCCGACTGGGCTCCCTACTCCAATCCATGTCCTCCACGAGCTACGATATGGTCGAGGCCGAGGACTACGATGTCGATCCTTGCCTTGCGAGGCAATCGAGCAACGCCCGGAGCATTCCGCCGCTCAACACCACTGTCGCGCGACATTCCTCGTTCGAAACCCCCTTGCGCAGCGCGGCCAGCGATCTTCCCACCCCTCTTAGTCACCCAACCCCGGACCTTCAATCTATTCAGGGCGCCTACAAAGGAAATGTAGAGCGGTTGGAAATGAGTGCGGAGCGTCTCAGCCTCCACTCGGCAGACATTGGCAGCGAGATTCGCAGGATGGACCTGGAGCAGAAGCGGCGCTCTTGCAGCTCCGCCTCAAACTCAATCAAGATGCGGAATGGAGCATTCTCCCCAGGGGGCATCGCGTCACCTATTGGATCGACCATCTCCACGCGACAGCGCTCCGTGTCGGGCGCATCTCGCCTCGCCCAGGTAACGGAACCTGAACATGAAGGTCACTTCTTGGACAATTTCCCAGCCCCGTTGCCGATCCTCCCCGATTCGGACACCCCAGTCTATGCGCATGACGATGAGGTCTATCACGAACAATACGATGCCTCCGGTGATATCGAGAGACCGGGCACGGCAGCTTCGGGTGATACCTATCAGAAGGCCCGAACGCTATTTACCGACTTCGATGGCGTTCATTTCGCACCCTTAGACCGCGGGATTTCCGGACGGCAGCTATCTCTCACCCAACCGCCCCTTGCCAGCAAGCCGGAGCCATGCAAGGAACCCCGATTGGGCGAGCACATGGTGTACTACCCAGCTCCTGTCCCGCGCATGCTCAACCTCCCCCCAAAGCTATCCCGCAAGCCAATTGTAGAACGCGAAAAGCGTCGCATGCAACTGTTGACCTCCATTGTCGCAGAAGACAGGAAGGCGGAGGCATGGCATGAGCAGGAAAAAGCCAATGGTAATCAGAAAGAGAAACGCCCGTCCACAATTCCACCGCAGCTTCGTGCAAGCGTCTTCTTTGAATCTCCGAGCCAATCGATCGAGGTCGATGTGAAGCAGGATTCCGCCGTTGCCACGCTTGATAGTATTCTCGACGCTTCGGCCAACGCGCCTGTATCGGCCTTTACGGATCACCCTTATGCCGGTCAGGTTGGTTCCCACGTGTATACGAAGTCGAAGCGTAATACCATCGCGAATCCGAAGAGATTGAAGGCGCAGAATTCTCAGCTTTCGATGGGTCAGCATCAGAGTTCCCAACGAGGTAGTGCGATTGCTTCGGATGATAGACGGGATGAAGAGCATCACGATGAACATGATTCCGAGCTGTCAGTCAGTGAAGAGGAAGATCATGAAGATGCGTCAGGAAGCGAGGAGGAGGACGACGACGACGACGATGCAGTCTCGGATTACGTTGGGCCGCCAAACACACTATTGGCAGAGCTGGAGTTGCGGAAACAAGAATTGAAGCAGCGACAACGTACATTCGTGCCCAAGCCCACACCAGGGATGACAAAATCTCTCCTCGAGCTGGATGCAATGGCCCAGATGCAGAGCGAGAAAAGACGCCGGCGACCGGTCACCCTGGCATGGGATAGTCACAACGCCGATGACGAAGATGTTCCCTTGGCTTTGCTTTACCCCGAGAAATCCAGGTCAAATCTTGCAGATGAGGATCGTCCCGTTGGGTTGATGGAACAACGTCAATTCGAAGAAAATGAGCCTTTGAGCTCACGTCGGGCGAGACTTCGAGGTGAACCCGTTCTTGAGAAACGCCCTGTCACTATGTATTCGGAGGCTGTTCCGCCCTCGTCATCAGCACCAGAGCCAGAACCAGCGACAGAGCCAGGGAGTGATGATGAAGGTGAGACGCTTGCAGAGCGATTAAGGCGGTTACGAGGGCAGAAACCGACAGAGAGCGAATTTGCTCATGATCTCCTGGCCGAGATCGATAGTCGGGTTGGAATCGCACCTGCATCTACTTCTGCTTCTGCCCCCGTAGAGCCCGTGGTAGCTCCAGAGGAAGAGACTCTGGCACAACGACGTGCTCGTCTTCAAAAGGAGAGTGGCGGCCAGCAGGCCAATGTCAAGAACCCCCGTATGCGACGTAGTATGGCTGCTCTTCCCCGAGTTCGACCCAGACATGTCGTCCGCCAGTCATCCCATGATGTTCTTGGTCAGCCCGGCATGATGCAGTATGGCAACCGAATGTCCATGCAGCCATTTGCACACCAAATGCAACCGCAGAGGATGAACCGAGCTTCGCTGCAACCATCTTACGCCTATGGAACAGGACATCCGCCTGTTTATCCATACAATATGGGCATGAATGGCATGGTGTATCCTCCCCCGGGTGCCTATGGCCCAACCACGCGACAGCCCATCATTGACCCCAATCAAGCCGATGTCATCGACCGCTGGAGACAGAGCGTTCGCTATTAATATTCACCAGCATGTTTGTTTCTTATGTCTTATTATCCCATTCCATCCTCATAGCGTCGTCGTTCAAGCGTATTCTTTCTTTTTATTTTTCTTTTTTTTCCCTCTGGTTTGAATTTGGGTCTGAATATTCATGTAGAGTAGCAAGCTTGTGTATGATCTGAAGAGGCAATTGGGTCTTTGGTGGGTTTCAATCTTGCATCATGTTGAGGCCTATCTCCTTCTATCTTTTGGCACTCTTGCCCTAGTGATAGCAACTTGAGGCCTCCTCACCTTTACCGGGTTGGTTTGATAGGAGGCCCACAGAACTCCCCGTCACAATATAATTACCATACACATGGTCAAGAATTTAATACTTTGACCTCTAGGAGTTCATTGCTTTCACCTTGACTCTACCTTCTCACGCCTCTCCATCCTACAGTCATATTTCCTTTCAAGCCATCAATTCTGTTATTCTCATTCTCTCCAATTAGTCCCACACAGGCGTATCTACCGCCAGGATGGACCGTAGAGCGGCTTCGAATCGCAACAGCGGATGATCTACGCCAAATACCAGAGGAAATAAACAGTGCATCCGAGATTTCACATCTCTTTCGCCAACACGGAAATTGATTTCCACGAAACTTGGTTGCTACTGAAGATTGGTGATAGTTTGAGAGTGTTGTGCAAAGCAGACTACCACTCCGGTTGTCCAATTAACTTTCGGATACTTCTTTTGCGGCAAACGAAGATAAAACAACCCGAACATATAACAATAAGTTAATTCTCACCTGTGGTTTTCGACGAAATGATGTACAAAAAGAACTGAATCCAGGAATGGGCTTGTAGGCAATATAGCTAGCGGGGAAAGCGTGAAGTGACTAGAGCATAGTAGAGTTCCTATTCGCGGCTATGCTAGAGGCTATCGATCTTATAGCAGTTGAGATGATAGTTAATATCTGCTCCCGCGTCCGGCTTAGGTTCCCTCTAATCGTCCCCCCTCCAATGTAAGAAGAACAGATACTTCTTATTAGATGGCTAGTGACCTAATTAAGCCGTGTAAGGCGAGATTCTGCCTAGTGTTACTCCTCTCGATTAGGATAGAAGAAGCACTCTACTAGAGAGGGCCGGGTGTTTGTTGATCCGGACTGGAATATGGAATATGGAATTATGTGAGGCAGACTATCCATGGTTCAGTGCGTCAGTGGTACTAAGATATACATTTGTGGCCAAAATCATCTCCAAGCCAGGTAACAACGGACCTAACATAGTTGCCCCAGTGGCAGTGATATTTTCTGCGAAGCTAAAGCCAACATTGAACTGCATAAAACGAGCCGCTTTACTGCATGCACATGTGAAGCTCGACGCCAAACACGAGGCGAAGCTCCAGAGTACCGAGTACGGGAGCTGCACCCGATTACTTTTCCTTTATCGGCCGATCATTCATTGTTATCTTGGAGCCTTGCTTCTCCGTAGGTTTTGTCTCGAAATAATTATTCTTTAAGCTACAAAACCCCCTGGAGCTTTCGACCCAAGTGGCTCGTGAAAGCCCCACCGGTGCCTGGTATGTGAAATTGAACGCGGTCCTGCTTCACTTCCAAGGCTAAGACCTGCTGCAGACGATTACCGCCATGGAGTGCCAAGTCCCTTGAACCCTCACTCTGCTTTATATTGGTGCCCGGGCACACTGGATCTGTGGCCACGATGCCTCCGTCGACTGTCTTCTCCTACTGGCGACGCGACCGTCGCTCAACCGCGCCACCCGCATCCTTGCCCGCACCATCTCCAGCCTCGAAAGGTTCAAATGACAGCCCACTCGGCCCTCCTCAGCTCCCCGAGATCCCTGATACCTCTACCATTACGACCCCGTTGAATGGTTCTCAGTCAGACGATGCCCCGCCTTGGGTTGATTCCCCGCTAGGGCATGATGCCTCGAAGCTCAACTTCAACACGTCCGTCGCGCAGCTGTCTTCCTCTGCGAGCCTGGCCGTTCCGTCGCCTTCCCCAGAGAAAGAAAATCGCCCACACTCGAGTTCTCACGAGAGTGTGCCTGAGCCAGGCCTTGCGTCGCAACCTCACAGCTCCCAGCCGTCTGACAGCATGCTGAGACCAGAGCACGGAGATATCGAGTTGAACTCGAAGCCGAATTCGCCTTTTCGCCTATCTTTCGGGGGGAGACCACGCAATTTACAAACGCCAACTAGTGAGGGACAGAAACGTTCTCCTACTGCGGGTTCAGGGAGCAATTACTTTGGATTGAAAATGTCACCAGGGGAACCACACCCCGAGAAACCGATGCTGCCACACAAGGAATCCAGGATAGAGGGTGCGATTACTCGGTGGGCAGGAGATCGTGAAGCACCGGGGGATCATACCCATCACAAGCCGGGGAAGGCAATGCTTCACCTTTTGAACCCGATGTCGCTGCTTGCTCGGCGCCGATCGTCTCAAATTGGTAGTTCGCGTGTGGACAATTCGAAGATGAGTGCGCAGAGCTCGATCCCTGCAATCCCTGATGACTATGATCCTCGAATTCGCGGAAACATCGTGCATGACTTCTCTGCGCCCAGACCGCGCCGCACTGCATCTGGCACTCCAGGTAGTGGCTCTACCATGACTGAAGGCAACAGTAATATGCAAAATGCTTCACCGTCGCAGGCTGGTCTAAGCCCTGCCACCCGGTGGAATGACCAGACGAGAAGACACAGTGATCACTCACCCGTGTTTAAAGAGCATTTTGAGGACGATCAGAATGTACTCCAACCCGAGAACAAAGGCTATCTCCAATCGCCATTATTAACGAACCCAACACAACATGGATACGAACAGGCAATTCCAGTCTTTGCTAGAAAGCTACCTTCTCATTTGCCCGAGAAGCAAAGTCCTGAGCCTGCGAAACTGAAAGCGTCCCCACCAGTAGAGCTTCCTGCAGAGCTCCCCGCAGAGCTCACTGCTGTGTCATCGAAGGCAACTACACCCGAAGCGCAACGAAACCAACCAGACCCAGACATCATTCCAAATGTGCCACATCCCCCCTCAAGCGTTCCAAAGCATCTGAAGAGCAATGCGTCGCGATTCAGTTTCGACATGGGTGGCGTAGAGTCATCCGTCCAGGAGAAACTCCTCGAGGAGAGACACAAGGCGAAAGAGGCTACACGCAAAATGGAAGACGGATATTTTGATGATTTCGACGATGAATTTGATCATGACCTTATGGACGACTTGGATGGCTTGGAAGAGAAGATCCCGGGCGTCAATGCTGATGCTGACGAGGACGATTTCTCCACGCCCTATCTTAACGCGAAATCTTGGGCTGCTCCAAAGCTTTCGCCTGTGGTTGCGAGCCCCATTACGCCTGCGCCACCTGGGATCCAAGCCGATGCGACTCCAAAGAATTATCTTGACCCTGAAGCTGATTCTCCAACTTCATCTTACTCAGTTGACGACAATGAATCTCAAAAAGAGCCCGCTCAAACGGACCAGTCGGTCCAGATCCAACAGACATTCTCTGATCACACTGAAACCTTGGGAGCTGCGCCACACGGTCCAGATACCCAACAAACACAGACCATTAATGTTGAGGACGATATGTACTTCGACGACGGCGAATTCGGCGACCTTAGCCTCAACGACCAGGATAGAGGATTTGACGAGTCTGTCTTTGACGATGTGACAAGCCACCTTTATGAGCGGAAGCCAGTTATGCCACAAGATGCTCAAAATCCAAAGACTGATGGGTCTGATGATGATTCTTCACAGCAAGACATTGACCTGGAAGGAAATGCTACTCACGGCCTAAAGCACATGCCCAGCGTGGCTAGTACTTACCAGACGACGTCTGTCAAGCGCGGTCCACTCGGTGAGCCAATTCCCAACCTGGGACCTACTCGGGCTCCTGGTGGAGTGCTCACGGAGCAAAATCTGGATATATTACACAACGCTTTGGCTTTTGCAGCCAATGAAGCAGCGTGCAAGAGCCGCGTTGAGCGCAATTTCAGTACAAGTGATCGGTCTCTAGGTAAGGAGAGTGTCCAAACCGCCCAGACGGTTGATTCTCAACCTGGTCTGGTATCGGATGATAGCCACCTTAGCCAGGGGCCTGATTTTATAACCTTTGAAGAATCCTACGAGGATCAGATCTTAGATGATGATCCGTACTGGGATGACGCGATTGTTGCCGCAGCCAATGCGGAAGCTTTGGAAAACGACGACGAGGGCTTCTACGGCCAAGAGTTTGGGTTCTATGCGGAGGCACATGGTACCGCCAGTTCCGAACTGACGAACGGAGGCTATTTTGGCCCTCGAGGCGTCGAGAGCATCACTCGCAGCCACAGCAGCCGTGGCAAATTTCAAGAACCCAGCCTGACCCCAATCACTGAACGCAGTGAATGGAGTACGCGCAACTCTGTCATTTCGCTCAAGGCAAATGGTGCCACTCATTCGAACCCTCCCCAGGCAAGCCCCGGTCTAGCCCAGCTGGTGGATATGGGTAACCTCGATGACGAGATGTCGCTGAGCGCCCTCATGAAGCTACGCCGGGGTGCGTGGGGCGGAAGCAATGGAAGTTTGCGGAGTAGCGCGGCCAGTCCGCCAGCTCATACTCTGCCGTCCTCCAACCGCGCCAGCTTCACAGGGGCGTCGGAAGTAAGTCCTTCGGATGCGCGGCCTTCAACCGACGACGAGCTGGCAGGAACTGTCTTTCACCAGGAAGACATCAACCACACCTGTACGGCCTCACCGCTTAAAGATCTTGCCGATCTCCCGAGCCGCGGAACAGACGGGCCGAGCAACACTGAAAGCGATGTTGACATGCCGGCCTTGATATCTCAGCATCTCAATGTTCTATAGTCCTTCATTGGACATAGTCGTCGTCACTGTTTTGGCGTTCCTCTTTGCACATGACTTTTTTTTGACCATCTAATAACGATCTAATGACGACCTGAGTGACCGCACTTCCCGTTGGCAATATGATCTGCGCGCTCATGCTGCTTGTTTGTATTTTGGGAGGACAGGGAGATTTTACAGCTACTGTATCATGTCTATATGGAGGGATGACACCGAAACAAATCCGTTAGGATCGGTATATAGAAGACATTACAAAATGGTAATTGAGTTGACCACTCCTGGGCCGAAAACACCCGTGTATGGGCCGAAATGCTTAGCCGGAGGGCGGAGAGTGGCTCTGTCGTCACATCAAAATATCGGCTACTGTTCGGGCTGACTCAGCGTACCAGCCTCAGGCCGTCCTTTCCTGAAGGCCTTGTTCTTGTTCTGGCGCTCTCTTGCCTCTTGCCTCTCCATTCACCTTCCCACCGTTTTGTATCAGCAGAGTTTCTGCTCTCTGATGATTTCCGTCTCTATACAGGTGTTACGGCAGTACTAGTCGACACCTGTCTTTTGCGAATAGCCCCTTTTAGTACGTGTTCACTTCCTTTCCTCCGTGGTTCGGTATCCTCGGCAGATGCATCACAAACCTGGCAATCCCCATCTACTGGTGAATTTACGAGCAAGTCCCAAGCTAACTTGCTCGCGTCTAGCTGGCTTGACTCGAGACCTCCCGTCGTATCTTTTGAGCCTGAAACTTCAGATTTCCTCCTTCTCATCCCAACTACTCGATTCATCTTTGCGATCACCGAAAAACTCCGCAATGTTTAGAAACGCTGCTTTGAAGGCCACCCACAGCGGTCTGCTGCGTGGTGCGACCTCAACATGCCGTCGATCCGTCCACCTGGCCGCGAAGAGCTCGAACTTGGGCCTGGCTGCTCGCCGTCCTTTGGCTGTTGCCAACCGCGTCTTCAATGGCGCTCGGCTCTATGCTTCATCCGCAGAGGCGGGAGTGGTAAGCTACCAAAACACCCTGAGCACCCGCGATCCAATTCGAGATGCGGGAAGGGAATCCCCCAAATCCCGGCCATTTCACTAACGCGACGGCGCGATTTTGCCTTTCCTGAACACTAGGACCCCAATGATTCTTTCCTCTCCGGCAACACTGCCAACTACGTTGACGAGATGTATATGGCCTGGAAGAAAGACCCTTCCAGCGTCCACATCTCGTGGCAGACCTACTTCCGCAACATGGAGGATGGCAACATGCCCATCTCCCAGGCTTTCACTCCTCCTCCGACCATCGTCCCTACCCCCACCGGTGGTGTTCCCCAGGACATGCCTGGCGCTGGCATATCCGCTGGCACCGACGTCACCAACCACTTGAAGGTCCAGCTTCTTTGCCGTGCCTACCAGGCTCGTGGTCACCACAAGGCCAAGATTGACCCTCTCGGCATCCGTGGCGATGCTGAGGCCTTCGGCTACAGCAAGCCCAAGGAGCTTGAGCTCGACCACTACGGTTTCACTGAGCGCGATCTTGACCAGGAGTTCGCCCTCGGACCCGGTATCCTGCCTCGCTTCCTGACCGAGGAGCGCAAGAAGATGACTCTGCGCGAGATCATTGCCGCCTGCGAGAAGATCTACTGTGGCTCCTACGGTGTCGAGTACATCCACATCCCCGACCGCAAGCCTTGCGAGTGGATCCGCGACCGCTTCGAGATCCCCGAGCCCTACAAGTACTCGGTTGACGACAAGCGCCGCATCCTCGACCGTCTGATCTGGAGTTCTAGCTTCGAGTCCTTCCTCGCCACCAAGTTCCCCAACGACAAGCGCTTCGGTCTCGAGGGTTGCGAGACTCTGGTCCCGGGTATGAAGGCTTTGATCGACCGCAGCGTTGAATACGGTGTCAAGGACATCGTCATCGGTATGCCTCACCGTGGTCGTCTGAACGTTCTGTCCAACGTCGTTCGCAAGCCCAACGAGTCCATCTTCAGTGAGTTTGCCGGTTCCGCTGAGGCCTCTGATGAAGGCTCCGGCGATGTTAAGTACCACTTGGGTATGAACTTCGAGCGTCCCACTCCCTCCGGTAAGCGTGTGCAGCTTTCTTTGGTCGCCAACCCCTCCCACTTGGAGGCTGAGGACCCCGTCGTGCTCGGCAAGACCCGTGCCATTCAGCACTACAACAACGATGAGACCAAATTCGACAGCGCCATGGGTGTTCTGCTCCACGGTGATGCTGCCTTCGCCGCTCAGGGTGTCGTCTACGAGACTATGGGCTTCGAGTCTCTTCCCGCCTACTCCACCGGTGGTACCATCCACATTGTCGTGAACAACCAAATCGGTTTCACCACTGATCCTCGATTTGCCCGTTCCACTCCCTACTGCTCTGACATTGCCAAGTCCATCGACGCTCCCGTCTTCCACGTCAACGCTGACGATGTTGAGGCTGTCAACTACGTTTGCCAGGTCGCTGCTGACTGGCGTGCCGAGTTCAAGCGTGACGTTGTCGTTGATATTGTCTGCTACCGTAAGCAGGGTCACAACGAGACTGATCAGCCCTCGTTCACCCAGCCTCTGATGTACAAGCGCATTGCCAACCAGAAGGCTCAGCTTGACACCTACGTCGCCAAGCTGATCGAGGAAGGCACCTTCACCAAGGAGGACATCGATGAGCACAAGAAGTGGGTATGGGGCATGCTCGGCGACAGCTTCGACCGCAGCAAGGACTACCAGCCTACCTCCAAGGAGTGGCTGACCTCCGCCTGGAACAACTTCAAGACCCCCAAGGAGCTGGCTACTGAGGTGCTCCCCCACCTTCCCACTGCCGTGGATGCCAACTCCCTCAAGAACATTGCCGACAAAGTCAGTGGTGCTGATGTCCCCAAGGACTTCACCCTCCACAGGAACTTGAAGCGTATTCTTGCCAACCGCAAGAAGTCGGTTGACGAGGGCAAGAACATTGACTGGTCCACCGCCGAGGCTCTTGCCTTCGGTTCCCTCGTTGACGAGGGCTACCACGTCCGTGTTTCCGGTCAGGATGTTGAGCGTGGCACCTTCTCTCAGCGTCATGCTGTCCTGCACGACCAGGAGACCGAGGCCACTTACACTCCCTTGAAACACATCAGTGAGAAGCAGGGTAGTTTCGTCATCTCCAACTCGTCCCTGTCTGAGTTCGGTGCTCTTGGCTTCGAATACGGTTACTCTCTGACCTCTCCCGAGGCTCTTGTCATGTGGGAGGCCCAGTTCGGTGACTTTGCCAACAATGCTCAGTGTATCATTGACCAGTTCATCGCCTCTGGTGAATCCAAGTGGCTGCAGCGTTCCGGTCTGGTCGTCTCTCTGCCTCACGGTTATGACGGTCAGGGTCCTGAGCACTCTTCCGGTCGCATGGAGCGTTGGCTCCAGCTTTGCAACGAGGAGCCTCGCGTGTTCCCCTCTGCTGACAAGTTGGACCGCCAGCACCAGGACTGCAACATGCAGATTGCCTACATGACGGAGCCTTCCAACTTGTTCCACATTCTCCGTCGCCAGATCCACCGTCAATTCCGCAAGCGTATGTTTCAGTTTCCTCTACATTTGGATATCATATACTAACCATTCTATCAGCCCTTGTGATCTTCTTCTCCAAGGCTCTGCTGCGTCACCCCATTGCCCGCTCCGACATCGAGGCCTTCAGCGATGATTCCCACTTCAAGTGGATCATCCCTGACCCCGCCCACGGCACCGCCATCGATGCTCCCGAGGAGATCGAGCGCGTTATCATGTGCTCTGGCCAGGTCTACGCTGCTTTGATCAAGCACCGTGAGGCTAACGGCATCCGCAACACCGCCATCACCCGTGTTGAGCAGCTTCACCCCTTCCCTTGGGCCCAGCTGAAGGAGAACCTGGATAGCTACCCCAACGCCAAGAACATTGTCTGGTGCCAGGAGGAGCCCCTGAACGCCGGTCCTTGGTCGTACGCGCAGCCCCGTCTCGAGACTCTTCTGAACTCCACTGAGCACCACAACCGCCGTCACGTCATGTACGCCGGTCGCGCGCCTTCCGCCTCTGTTGCCACTGGTACCAAGTCCGTTCACCTGAAGGAGGAGCAGGAGCTTCTCGAGGATGCTTTCTCTGTTGCCCAAGAGCGCCTCAAGGGCGAGTAATTGCCTTTTGATTGGGTTTTCCTAAAGAGATAGCGTCTGTTTTAGTTTTGATTTTGTACTACCGCACCCTAAGCATGAGTTGCCGCTTGTGCTCGCAGCTGGTGTATAGACCTGTCGTGCTCTTTCCTGATTATCGACGAGTTTATACCTAGATCCCCCATGTTTGTAAAATACAATTTCATTTACTTGTTGCAATTTGGAGTTTGCCGAGTTGATAGTACTTCCTTCGTACGCGTGAAAACTTTCCAAAAAAAAAAATAAGGCCATGAAGAAGAGTCTGAAAAAGGTCTTTTTTTTCACGAAAGTGACACTGGTAATAAGGCCTTGATTTCTGGGTCATCATGTCTTTGACCTTGTCCGTCGCGAGACTGGAAAAGTATTCAACGCCTCGAAAAGCAACAAAGCACCCCAGTCTTCACCAGAAACCAAAGAGCTCCAAGAAATCGGAAACAAGACAACCCAGAGGTACCCCAAAGAATGACCTTGAAATACCACGCCGTCCGCAGGGTCGATGTCGTCTATCAAAACGTCAGCATTTGCTTTACCCGCAAATTCCGTTCCAACATACCGTCAAGCAAAGCTGCTTCATTCCAACATTGTTAATACACAATGCCAAAAGCCCATTACTGAAAGTCCACAGCAGCACCAAATTGGTCCGGAACGACTTGTAAGAATCATCCAAGTTGACTTCCTCCTTCACCTCCGGCTCCACCCACTTCTCCAAAGCCCTCTTCACCGTGAGCTCAAACTGCACATCAATATCAACCTGCGGCTTCTCCGGCTCCTCTAGATACGGCCCCTGCCCTGCAGTCGCCTGAAGATCCGATTTCGTCCTTGCCGAGGGCAGAGCATCGGCCTTATCAGACCCCTTCGTTCCCCATGATACATCATGCCAGTTGCAAAAGGCATAGACCATCAGGATATTGATTGACGACGGCATGCCTAAGAAGTACGCCCAGGACGAAGTGAACATGTGCCACGGGTCCATGTACAGGAAGCTAGCGATGAAGTAGATGCCGTATGTGGAGACTAGGGCAACGAGGACGATTCCGCCGGTTGAATTGATGAAGGAGCTTAGAAAGCCGCCGATGCCATCTTTGAAGTTGAAGTCGAGATTGTCGCCTGTGAGGGCTTGGGCGACGAGGTAGAATGACAGGACGAGAATATATGCTTGGACGATTGAGAAGTAGATGAAGAGACAGTGTATACGGGAACTTGGATCTGTATATAGCATTTTTGTTAGGAGGTACTACGACGGGGATGGTCAGATTTGCGACGGACCCTTTTGGTCGATTTCCCAGAGCCAGAATGAATTGGAGCATGAGGAATGCGAGATAGCCGATTTTGAAAATGTTGTTGACGATAGGTGTAGCTTCGCCTCCGAACGGCCAGCCCTTGAAGTGGTTCACTGCACTTGGGGTTCCGACGATGTCCATGATGACTGAACTAGTGAGCCAGTATGAAGCTGCTCGTGAATCTCCCATCAGCTATAGTTCGAGACAGACATTGACATGGGAAGATACCTAGTGAAAACCACGTCATGATCAATTGACAGATGTTATAAACAAGCTGTAAGTGAAGAATGAACAATCGAACCCAATTGTGCCCACTCTTGTAAATTCGATTGAAATGCATCGTCGCATATAGACTCGCGGCGAAAGATCCGTTCAACCAGCGCCTTCGCTGGCTGAGAAACTCCGGTACGCCTTCAGGTACATCGGTCTCTCCTTTCGCAGCTCTGACATATGTAAGCTTCCATTGGCAACCGGCTTTAGCGACCAGCTCAAAGCAAAGGATTCGATCTTCAGCTAAGAACATGTTCTTCTTGAAGATATTCATCCCTTCGATTCCCTTCTTCCCCAATCTTTCAGAGAGCGTATGGTCACCGTGGAAGTATTGTTCCAGAGGTCGTCCGACTATAGCTCGATAGCGATAGGCCGAGAATGCTCCTGGTAGAACGCTCACATAACCAAAGGTGCTTTCCAGAGGCTTATCAAGGATATTGGATATTTTGTACTCGAAGTTCTGGGCTGCAACGATTGGGTTCCAAACCTTAGTCCATCCGCGGCCAAGGAGGGCGTGAATCTCTCCGCATGCGCCGCCGAGGTGTCGGTCATTGTAGAATGCTTCCCAAAGGGTGAGCAGTGATTTGTGACCTGGTTTCGTACCGGCGTCGATCAGGATACAGACTTCCGGGTTTAGGATGCGTCCGAACGCATTGAATAACCAGCGATGAGAGTTGATCTTCTTGCTGTTTTGCTGTTTGAGGCAGAAGATCATTTGAACGGGGGAAGATTGGTGGGGTCGTTTTCGAACGGGCGGACGAGTTGTTGGGTTGGTGTCACCGATAGCTGGGTGGTATACTCAAACTATGAGGATTCAGGATCAACGGATGTTAAGTTATTTCAATGTCTCGGGGGGGGGGGAGAGGAACATCCATCAGTGGTTTGATTGAAGAGTAGCTTACAATATGAGCCACGGTTTCTCTCCCATCCACATCGTGTTTCATGACACCATCCTGATATACCCCCACGGTGGCAAGCATATCCAATGTTCTCTTGTCGCAGGGCTTCAGCCCGTCAAACACCAGACAGACGACAATCTTCTGCCACGCTGGGCCTCCCTTGGTCCAAAACTCCGTCTTTTTCAGATTCACAATGTCCCTGACATTCTGCATGACGCCGTGCAGGGTTCTCGCGGTAAGAACCTTATCTTCATTGTAGTAGGTGATCGCGATGAGCATCTCTGTATGCCGATTGTACATCGAAGGACGGAGATTGTATCCATGCTCCAGTGTGAATTCGTCCGGGTCACATGTTGCCGCCGTGTCTGTCTCGATTAGTATCTTGTCGAGAGTCAGCTTCCAGCTACTTACATCTCATATGGGTAAACTCTTCAGCGGGGTCACCCTCCAGGTCGCGGTATTTGGCCTGAACGGCATTGCGTATCGCACTAGGAACCGGATAATCAACGCTCAATACGGTGCCATGGACCAGTCTGATGCGCCGTGTGGGATATCGACGTAGTATTCCTGAGGAGTTTCTTTGCCTTTGTTCCCAGTGCTTTGAAATTATGGGCCCGGTCTCAACAATGAGAGGCTCTGATGGTGTACTGGATTTTCCGTCGTGCACCTCCGAGTAGCATGGGCTCGAGGGGAATAACGTACTGGCGCTGTATGATGGAGTAAAGTGTGACTGGCTCCGTGTACTGAGATGCTCCGGTGCGCTAGATGGAGTATGGGGATACAGAGGGGGAGGCAAGAGGAATTGTCTCGATTGATCGTGCTCATCGGACACGGAAGTTCTCTGGGTCAACAGTAAGTTAGCCTAGTCAGAAGGGCACTCGCAGGGCAATGTCTGCATTGGAGAGGCACATACCCCATCGATTACTGGGTTCTCTATGGGCAAGCTACCACAAGGCGGATAAAATGTCGGGTCTGGCGGTTGGTCCATAGTTGGTACCGGTCTACGCCAAAGCAGTTCAAAAGAACAGATAATATAGAAGAAACTAGTATTGTGCCTGGTGAGGTAGCCCAGGCAGCCTTATCGGTAGTGGTAGGACACTGTTGTTTCACATGCGAATTCAGAATCAGGAGATGGCATGAGCCTTGTGTGGATGATTGTTACTAATTTGAGATCTTGATAAAACCTTGCAGATTCCAATTTGGAGCTGTCAGATAACTTGTAAAAATAACTTCACTCGGCCTCGAGGGCGCGTTGGGACTTGCCGGCCAATTTAGAGAAGCAGCGCAACGTTTGAAAGTAGTCCAGACCACTGGGTATCTTTCGGACCCTTACTTATAGAATTTTGAAATATCTGAGACATCCATAGGAAGTTAGAGGACAGTCCATCAAGCTGGAGATTAGAGTACCTGATCCTTGTGGCATGTCTCTGCCCACGACAATGCTACCTAGGGAGGCAATGATGCATAATCTCACGTCCAATGCCATATAAAGATCTTTTTCTCATTGACAGCGCGGACGGGGATCCAAGGCTGGCCATTAGCTTTTCTCATTCTCCAACAGGGTATATGGGTACAAGATCCCAACTTGGCACTAGTTCCTGAGCTCAAATGGTCTGCCCCACTTCCCTTAAGATCTGAGATGTCATAAGGATGGACTAGACCTAGAACTGATCCCGCAGTTGTCAGATCAAGCAATTGGTAAAGTGAAGCGTACCTACTACGGCGACTTCCGTCTTCAGTTGAAGTGGCTGGGCCGCCAGCCGGACACAAATGTTCTCTCAAGATAGTCATCCCAGTCTGGGCTACCATGGATCTTCCTGATGCCAATTGGGCCACACAAGATTTGTGCTTGGTATCAACGCCTGACTTCGAAGCGAGCAATGTCCAATAGACACACCATTAGAAACACCAAGTAGAGGTACGTCTTGGCCTGCAAATTGAGCCTGTCAAAAGAAAAAAAAATATCTACTAAAGTCTTTGACCGATGTTTTCAAAGACGAAAATGATGAATCCCAGTGATGAACAGGGAGATTCGGTTCCTTGTCCTTGTATTCATTACAGTAACCAAGTTAGCAAAACCAAAAATCTCAAACATGAGGTGTCACCCCAAGTGGAAATTAGAACTCGGATATTGAAGACTCGATCAGAATCTCGAGAGAAGCTGACATGAACCTCCTGATTTGCAGAAAAAAAAGAAATCAAATTTGCAATTGAACTAGGTTACATTCTGGCAGGCGTATGGACTCGGTGCTGGTTTGAAGGCAATGCAGAATGGACCTGTTCGTTTGTATCGGGACCAGTCATGCAGCAGCTCTCAGTAACTAAAATTTAAAGAGATTGCTGCGTATCACGCATTGAACCCTTTGGCTATCTTCATCAGACCGAAATCCCTCAACTAGAGAATAAACGTCTCGAATCATTCAAGGCCCACATATTCAGCATAAATCGGCAGTTCTCTCCACAATACTTCCATGATCAATAGGCAAGCCCATAAGCCAATAGCAGATCTCGCTGGAATGTATGCAAAGCAGTAGCCGCGGAACTGTATCTGCAATCAGTATAACGTTGCAATGGCGTTTATTTCGAGGGTTGTTGCTGAGCCCGGCATTACTGATGGTATACAGATTAACAGTGTTCACATCAGGGGCTGAATTGAAAACAATTTTCCATGCACGTCTAGTTTCAATTCTTGCCATACCAATTCAGGACTGGACGGGGAATCACATGGAACTAATTATGCAACAGATAGGAGGGATCGCCGATCGCCCACAGCTATAAGGTTGGTCCCATTTCCCTTCCATCTACGACGTTTCTACAGCAAGAAAAACCTCCTACCAATGATACTATAATTCTACTTTTACAGACTTGATAAACATGCACCTCACCTTTGTCTCCGTCCTCGCCTTCATTGGAATGGCCCTAGCTGCCAGCTCTCCGGCTCAGGTGAGTACCCCATTCCCATAGAACAAATCTACGAGTCTTCAACTGACTTAATGTTAGCTTGCTGTAGGAGCAACCTGCAACAAGGATGGAAGTATGGGAAACTGTGCTTCGGGATTCTGTCTGGTAGGTGCAATCATTCCTCTTCTTTTAGTAAGTTACATAAGAGATCTAATGTTTGCTATTAGCAAGAGGCCACCGCGGCGACTGGAAAGTGCCAATAAGCGCAAGTTGCCGGTGACGGAACAGTGTAACAGGCATAATTCAACTGGAGAAATACTGGTCGTTTTCAATGGAGATTGAATCCCTCGATGAACAATCGGAGATCATTGATTCTTTCCCGTGAGCGTCGATTCTCCTATCAAAGGTTGCATGTTCTAATTAATACTTCAATAATGTCACTCAAGCTTTTTCCACTACTATTGTTTTGTCTCTCTCCGATGTCACCTCCTAGCCTGACTCTGACCCGGAGAATATTCTTAAAGGATCTCACAAAAAATCAGTCCTCTCTCCAACTTCTTCCCAGAGATTTTGTTAGATTTAATGGGAATTCTTTCCACTCCTTGTTAAGATTTAATTCAGACATATCTTAAGATGTACTAATCATAAGAAAGGCCATGGCCACTTTCTTAGCAGTAATTTGATTGTTTTATCGGGTTACTCTGTATATGCATAGCTCAAAGATCAATCACTCTGCTACCAAGACTGCTTTTGGGCATGATATTCGGCATCTGCGCCGAAAATGTCGATCCAAAGGTATTCATCCATCAGGCTAATGGATAACAGTATATGCCCAGAATCAAGACGAAGCTTGGCCTTTCTCGATTTTAACATGAAAATTCACCCAGACGTAAAAGAGATACTTGCTCTAGAGGCATTGTCAACATTAGCAGATCTCTAGTAATCAGCACATCCCTCTACGTCTATAACTTTCGTGTGCCTGATATGAAGTTACGTCATTGATCTACATGTGACCAAGAGCGTTGATGCCTTACTGCACAGGCATAAACTCACCTGATCCGATTGCTCTTCTCCGCACGCAAACTTCCGAATTGTTACTCCTCCTCGCGGGCTTTGGTTGCTGCATGAGCTCTATTGGGACACGCATACCTCGGACTGTCCAGATTGACGCCATCTCTTTCTCTCATATTCCTTCCATATCTTGCGATCGGGTCAGGTGTGCCCAGCGCTTTTCCAACAGTGCATCGCCTAGCCTGACCTTGTTCTTCACGCCATGTCCGCCGTCACGTCGTCAGCCATGAATCCCCAGGGCCAGGGGATACGCCAGTCCGCCCGACAGACCCGAACAAACCCTTCTCGAACCTCCAAGACAATCGGCCGGTCATCATTGGGCTTTGGTCGAGGCTGTACAGTCGAGATCCCCTCAACGCCCCCTGTTCCTGCTGGCTTCTACCCTGCCCTCACCCATTTTTCCGACGCGATCACTGCCCTTCCACGCGAATTCCGCCGACACAATTCATTGCTGAAGGAGGTAGACGCTAAAGCATGGGCGCTTGAGGAAAATTTACTTGAGTTGCTGCAGGTCTCTTCAAAGTCGCAACCCGTTCCTCATCCCCCTCACCCGGCGCCTATTGTCGGGGGTGTGATTCGGGACGATGTCTTGCCAAAAGTCAGTAATTAATGTTGTCAAGAAGGTGTTCTGACGAATTCGTATTGATTTTCTCTTTTACCAGGAGCTTTCTCAGCCACCCGAGTCGCCCGAGAGCCAAGACCGCCGCCTCCTCTTCGATCGTGTCCGACAAAGCCTCTCGGATCTCATGATGACCGCTGACGAAAAGAATCATGTCATTTCAAACGCAAACGAAGAGCTGGACCGCCAGATCGTCCGCCTTGACACCGTTTTCCCTTTCATTGCTGGAGAGATAAGCGACGAGGCCCGGCTGGGCAGTTTGACGCACTGGGCCTACTCAAATAAGACTGCTGCAAAGTCTGCGACTAATGACCGACCGCGCCGCGAAGCTGTGAACCACCGACAAGACTTGGCGGCTGTGCTTCACGAGGCCGAAGCCGCGAGTCGCAGTGAGGCAAGACGCGAAGCTGTCCAGGCGCGAAAAATACGTCGCAACAACGTCGATGCGGACTATGAGGAAACCCGTGCCCCTCGCAAGACGAATGCCGCCAAATCCCGAGGAGAAAACGCTGCGGCAGATCAGAATGCCGCAGCCAAGCGCCGAAAGGTGGAACGGCCTGCGGCCATGGAGATGGGTACACCGATGGAGCGTACCGCTAGTGGCGCTGGAAGCCAGCGGGTCTCATCTAAGGATGGTGCGGAGAAGAAACGATCCCGTGCGCCCAATCCCAATGCCGTGGCGGCTCGAAAGAAGTATGTATACCCCCTCAATGCTAATGACGCAAACTGACCTCTCCTCAAGGACCAATGCGACATCCAACGCTGGATCACCTATCCCGGCACCTTCTCCTCTTATCGGAACCTTCAATGCTCCGCGGGGTGCCGCGAGCCCTGGCCCTAACCCAGCTCGACCGCAATCCTCTCGAGCTCAACAAAATGCGGGACAAACCAGCAATTCTCGACAACGGCCCTCATCCTCGGCCTCGAATCGCCTTGGCCAGCCCAATACCTGTACGTTGACTCGACTTGAATACCCTCCGATGTTTGTCTAACACTTTGTCCTAGCCAAACCCTCCGACCCCAGATCCACACCCCGCGACGGCCCCCCTCAAGAACGAAGTCGCCATTCCCGACGGACGAGACTATAACGAAAGCAGCCGAATGTCTGCAGCAACGGGGAATAAACGTGAAGACATGGACGGGCGACCCACAGACCCCCACGAGTCTGAAGCCAGCAAGGGGCGAAACTCCAAGACCTCCACACCTGTCCTCTCCACCTTTACCGAAACGCAGTCTCGCGCACGACCAACGCGGAGTAATGACCCGGCACCCAAGCGTAACGCAAAGAAGCCCGCAATTCCCGCGCCAGTTGTTCCCTCAGACGAAGAGTCCCTCCACGAAGGCGACGACGAAGACGAGGAGGGCGAGCCCCGGTACTGCTACTGTGACCAGGTTAGTTTCGGCGAGATGGTCGCCTGTGATAATGACGCCTGTCCGCGCGAATGGTTCCATCTGTCCTGTGTAGGACTGACCAAACCACCCGGGAAGAACGGTACGTTTCTCTTTTCCCTCGAATATGACTTTCTATACTAACAACAAACAGTGAAATGGTATTGTAACGAATGCAAAGAAAAATATGCGACGGAGTCGCAATGGGCGTTAATTTCTATCTGGCATAGAAACCCCCCTTCATTATGTTTCACACTACCGGATAGATTCAAAGACATATCCCATTACGAATATAAAAACATTACCCCTGCAAGACATAATGCATTGTTCACACTTAGACGGGGGTATATTTACCCCCTGGAACTCTTTCTCTAGAATGCACCGCGCAACCTCTCCATGAGCCCACTACTCTCCTCTCCGGTCCCGCTCCGCCTCTGTCCACCATCAACACCTGTAGAGGCTGCAACCTCGCCCTCCAACCTCCTCCTCAAATCTTCATACCGTTCTCTCTCCGCCCTATTCCCCCCAATTGCAGCACCTCTCCGCTCCCTCTCACCGACCATCCAAGCCGGGACTCGGAACCCCGCGCTCGAAGGCGATAGACCGGGCAGTAACTCCGCGCGCCATGCAACGCCGATAGTCCAGCCCACAGCTGAAGGGAGCAACATAGCAGGGAATTGCGAGAGAGCAAGCTGAGCTGCAACGAGGTAAGTTGTTGATTTGTCGGAAAGGAGAAGAGTCAAACTGCTTGGTTCGGGCTTGGGGGTGTTTGTGTTCTCGTGGGGTGCAGATGAAGATGAAGATGCAGATGCAGATGCAGAGGGAGCTGTGGTGCCGATGCGATAGCGGAATGTGTGGGGGATTGTGGCGTAATACTGAGCTAGAAGGGCGAAGATTGTCGCTGTAGGGCCGGAGGGGAGGTAATTGAGGTGATTGAGGGAGAGGGGTCTAACAACGAGGGCGAGGAGGAGCGGTGGGAGGATAGTTGTATATGGGAGTGTAGTCAAGAGAAATGTCTGGATCATGTCAGTACGCCGTGTTATTGAGCCTGGTGCTGTTTTTTCATGTCATGGAATACCCACAGCCATCTTTCGCTTTCCCCAGGCGCGTTCTACGACTCTCAGGTGGTACACCAACATGGCGGCGAAGAGGGCCTCAGTGGAATTGGAGAAGCCGGCGACTTGCCAGATCAGGCCGCGCCAGACTTGGGCGTAGGGCCAGAAGTGTGGCGAGACATGAATGGAGGCTAGGTGTTTGATATCCAAGAGGGAGAGCGCGATCGATGAGGTGATGGTGTAGATGAGGAGGGACTTGGTGAGCGGGGTATTGGTGAGTCCGGATGTGAGCATTTTGGTCAAGATCGGTTGTGTTGAGCCAGTGATATTAGACAGGAATAGTCGGAGGGCTCATTGAGTTCCTCCGGGGTTTGTTGTTGAAGGTGAGTTTCGGTGAGTGGAGATGTGAAGGAGGCCAGATGGCATGTCGGAGATCCGGGGTACTTTCGGCATGCCGAGTTGATCTATATTAGGAACTACATCGGTGCACAAAGTACATGAGTGTAGATGCAAGGATGAAAAAGACTAGATTGCAAATCACATAGTATCAAAGCACAGCAATTGGTATTGGTGATATTGTACACTTCATGCCCCTAGACGCCCGTCTGTCCTTTTTTTTCTATTTGGCTTCCCTCTCCATTACATAGCCATCGCGGCTGACTCTTTCGCCATCTCCTCCTTCAAAGCTTTGTTATACTTGTCCAAGGCCTGTTGCAAAGCGCGTATCGTAGGGCCAAGCAATTGATTCACGACTTGAGCACCGCCCTCCACATCCAGGTTGACCCGGATTTTTCTTCCCGTCGTTTGATAGACTTCCCGCGCGTGGCTTTTGATTTTTTCGACCTCCAACTGTCGCTCTGCTTCTGCGTCTTTTGCCACGACTTGAATGCGATCCAGTGCACGCTCAAGGGACTCGGAGAGTGATGCGACTTCCCCCGCTCGATCCGGATTGCCCGAAAGGAAGGCTTGCCAGAATTGGTGCAGGAATTCGGTTGACGTCGCATGGGTTAGTGTCAATCGATCGTAGATGGCTACCGAGAGACCGAAAGTGTCCGAGGCCGAGGATTCGCTCATCTGAGTTCGTCGCTCGCGCACCGCCCCTAGGATTTGAGAGAATGCATCATGAAGAGCTGCAGACGATCCAACTGGACGTTGACTGGCGGGTGCGTCTTCCATATCCTCGTCTTCATCATCCTCGGGATCGACAAGCTTCTGTAGCGGAGCCCTGCCGCCGAGCGGAAGATTATGCGCAATCTCTTCGCGGAGCTTCCTCAGAATGAGACCAGGGTCTTGTTGCGCGAATTCCTTGTTTTGACCATCCTCCTGGGCCTGCGAGAAGAAACGGTTTTGATCGCGAATGTTTAATGTGATGCGAGATTGTTCCTCGTCTCCGCAAAGGTCTCGCAACTGAAGCTTCTTATATGCCTCCTCATCCATGCCAATCGGTGCACTAATGTCCCCGTCGGCTGGCGCGACGTTCGCCATGATTTTCTCACTCAGGCTATTCAGCGTGCGAATGATTGGGACCTTGTCCACCCCAGAGGGCCGCATGTCCAGGTCCGGCCGGTTTCCACGGCGCTGACTATGATGGCTTTCGTTGGCCGCCATATCAAGGAAATGCGGGATACTGGCGTCGCGATTTCCATCCGAAGTATCGTCCCGAAGATACTTGTCCAGAACGGCGTCAGTGGCATCCGCTTCGCCAATACGCTCTCCGCGCAGCTTCTTGAACAGCCGACTCTGGAAAAACCGCGACCAGAACTGCTGCTCGCTAAGCTTGGGCACATTTTCATCATACACGCGCTTCACAAGTGGGTGCTGCGTAAATATGAGTTGGATTTGCTCTTTGCTAATATTCAACCTGGTCACATTGTCTTCTACGCGTGGCTTCAGGGAAGACAAAACGTTGTAAGAGCCACGGGTCTGGGTTCGTTCAATCGCGTGCGCTCGTAGGAGGTGAAGCCGAGTAGACCAGAATTGTGACATGAACTGACCGGAGGTCAGCTTCTCGGGTTTTGTTTTCATGGATTCCATGAACATCTTTTGTAGCACAGGGTCTGCTTTCAACAGCGACTGTTGGAGCTCCACGTCGCCTTTAAGGCGATTGTCGTCGTCCCATGGGTTCTTCGTTGAGGCGCCCGATGAGACGGCATTTGCGATAGCCATTGCCGCTGATAGACCTCCTCCGCTACCTCCAGGTGTCGGCGTGCCGGACGGTGTCCCCGCCTTGGCCGCGTTGACTCGGGCGCTGAGTGCATCTTTAATGGCATCAGCCTGCGGGCGTGCGTCTACCCCGGCCGTGAACTGGAAAGTATAGGTGTCCGGTGTACTATTTGGTGGGGCGTCTGCAGCTAATGCAAAAATCTTCAGCATAACCTTGGCGGCCGTGGCAGGCGTCTGTTGTAAATCTAGGCATCACCAGATGGTTAGCACAGTGGCAGCTAGCGTCGGGTCAAAGCAACGGCCATACTGGTGATTTTGGACACATAAATCGTCAAGGCCACACTGTCAGCCGCCGCAGGACTCCAGGTGAGTGATTCCTCATCTTGGCTCAACGTCAAGATGCCGTCCTTCTTCTTGTATGATGCTGCTCCGCTTGGAGGTGCCATCGTCGCGGGTAGAAACAGCTTCCACTGTCCTTGTCGGCGACAATGATCCCACCCATCGGGATGACCAGATATCCCGGGGGCAAGTGAAGCAAAAAAGGACCGGTGCCTTTGAGATGGTGAGCAGCAGGTAACACTGAACGTTTGTCGCCATGAGCCGCAGCTCTTCTGGAAAGTGTCACGTGATAGATAGCCTGAGTGAAGTACCCAGCATATTCCACTTACGGTTTGGATATTCGTTTTAGATTTAAGAACTGAATACATAGAATTGATCTACATGCGAGAAATACATGCGAGAAAAGGCACTTAAAACTACGTATTGTATGAGTAGAGTGATGCGGAAACGCCGTTAATGAAGTCGACGCCAGATGCAAAAACTTGAAACGCACAAACACTGAAGAGATCCTGAATGCTATACAACACAAAAGAAGACGCAAAGAGAGCACGAACCCGAAGCGAGGAGCCAGAATGCCGAAATTCGTAAGCCATATTGCGCGCCGCCATGCATAGACCGGATATCATCATATCATAATCATCAAAAGCAAAAAGTCCACCTAAAGACGTAAGTGCAGCGAAACGTAGTAGACAAGGGTATTTGCACCAAAAATAAGTAGGGAAATGAAAAGCCAGAATAAGTTTCTTTTTCAAGCAAGATCGAGAAGATCGAGAAAGCAACCGTCGCAAGAAAGAGATCATTTCTTGAACATGTAGTGGCCGTAGATGCCACCAACGTCGCCAATGGCCATGGGGATCTTGCGCATGCCCCACCATCTGGCGCCCATCTTCCAGGAGCGAGAGCCATCGTCGATAGGCTCATTAGGAACAGACCACCGATCACGGACGTACCAGCCACGGCGACCGAGCTCCCGCACGGTCCAACCCACCGAGACTCGCTGGGTCTTCGCTCGCTCGCGAAGCGGGTTGATGATCCTATCAACAAATTCGACAACTTGCAGCGGGTAACTCTGGTCAGACAAGAGGGAACAGGTGTTTGTGTTGAAGATGGACGCGATGGTCATTGAAGAAACCTTGGTCAGGTCGAGGTAGCAGAGAGTGCTCGGGGGTAGACTTTCCTCAGCACCGGACTCAGTCTGGCGAGTGCGAGCAAAGAACGAGTTCACATCAGCCACAGAAATATCAGCCGAGGCCAGACTCAGTTCCTCCAAGTGCTTGGTCAGGGGGACGAGCAAAGGAGCATGGTCGGAAGTGACTTTGGCACCTCCTAAGTTCAGAGAGCGCAGAGTCCGAGGAAGCCGGGGTAGCAGCGCTGTCACGTCATCCTCTTCCAGTAGGCGGAAGCGGGTAGGGTCCGTCATGAGGTTGAGGAACACCAGGGAGTCACGGACTGCGGGGTGGGTGGTCAAAAACTCCACCAGGGCAGACGGACGAAGTCGGGTGCATCGGGAAACACTCAGATGTGTGATACGAGCCGTTTCAGGGATGGCAAACAGAGCAGAGTCATTGACCTGGGTATGAGTTAGGTCTAGGTGCGTCAGGTTGGTCAGACGCGACAGAAGTGTATCGAAGAGGGGTGCCGGGATGGTGCTGCATTCGTGGAACGACAGGCGTTGCAGGTTGGGCATGCTCATGGGCAACGGCGGTCCGCCAGTAAGAGCCTCAGTAATCTTCTGGGAGAAAGCCTGGGTGGCGCAGCCACAGAAATCTAGAGCACGAAGGTTCGGCAAATCCATGAATAATTTCCGAAGGATGTCTACGCTGAAATCCCCCTCGAGGTGCTCTTGCAACAGACATTCCTTCAGATTAGGCAATAGATCCAGGCACTGCATCAGAGTGCGCGAAGTGAGGTTCTGAATCTCGGCGTTCATCTGCCTCGAGCGACTAAAACCGACGTTGGTAAAGTGCGAGAAATCCAGGCGGCGCACCAGGGTGCCTAGCGCAGGATACTGCGACATATGATTAAGAGCCTTCGCGAAGACGCCGGAATGCGGGAAGGTCATGTTCCTGTATAACACACTCAAGGTCGCCGCGTGCAACGTGCGTGAGGCAAGCAGGCACGAGATCAGGTCGACATTGCGCGGGGTATAGCCATTGGGTGGGACATCCAGGGCCAGGAGCGAGATGATTTGATCTAGACGGCGGGTCAGTACACAAGCCGAGTGAATTGCGCGAGAGCATGTCTTACCAAGGACCTCGGGCGGAAGTTGCTCAAGGGCGGATGTGCCGGGAGGAGGCGATGGTGGTAGTTCCTGTTCCACGACAGGAGGAACCTGAGGCGCCTTCAGTTCTCTCCCGGAATCGGTAGTTTCCCACGCCCAACCTTTAGCCTGGAGACTACCCAACCCACGTAGATCCCCAAAACTACGACTCAGTCCTCTTCCCCCCTAGCCGAATCTGCTTCCATCCAAGAAATCCACCACAGGGACAACAAAAGTCCGGAGTCTGCTGCATCTCTGGGAGGTCCAGTTTGCGCGGTTCCTTCTGGGAGGGCGTGTGCTGCTGGGTGTCCACGAATGACTGCGCAATGCCTGAACGACAGAAAGACCTCGTCAGCCATCACTAGAAAAAAAAAAGAAAGTGAACGTACGTACCGTCGACGTCTTCTTTGATAGAACCAAAGGATGGACGCCTCGAGCTGGAACCGTCGGGAGTGCCACACGAGGATGGCGATGAGTCGCGCGAGTGCTGATCGCCACAGCAGTTGGTATTGAAGCGAGGCACCATGGGCTTCTTCCCAGAGGAAGGAGGAGAAACGGCGGCCATTGTGTATACGAGATGGAGCGGGCCCTCTATAAAGGGCACGCGGTCCTTTTCTCTTTTTTTTCTTGGAGAAATCGGGAGGTGTCCTCTGGAGTCGGGTGGAAACACAAGAAGATTTTTCAAGAAATTCTGGTGAGTAATAGGCAGCTTCCCCGGATTCCACAAAAGCCAAAAGAACAAAAAGAGTTTCCGGTCAATAATCAGAATCGGGATTGGAAGGGCAACGGCGAAATTAGGGCTGTTAAAAATGGGCGCTGAGGGGCGGGGAAGGAAAAAAAATGGTGAAGCTGTTAGTCACGGAAAAGGCCGACCCAGTGCGCTGGCTTAGCGGCAAATAACGTGGTTTTCCCCGATCGCCTGTCCGTTGGAAAGTCTTAGCTTAAGTTCAGAAGAATGAAGGATATAATAAGAGGGGGCTGATGGCGAAAAACGGTGGCGGCTACTTCATTTTAGTTAATGTACCTAAAAAGTACCGGGGGCGAGTCATCGGCCAGACTCGGCTTAGATCGTCCCTAGTTGAAGAAGCTACCCCTGCATGGCCCCCGATTTGCTTTTTGTTTGTCCTATTTCTATTCTCTATATCTTGATTCATTTGTTTAACCTGACCTTCTCCTTGTGTAACATGGCGTCACCGGGAAGTCAGATCTCCGATGATCCGTGTCGTTCTCTCCGATGCAAGAAGGGAATCGCATTATTGTCTCCGTTTCGAGGCAATATCTATGACATAACTTAAACCGCCGTTCTGGGCAAAGCGTGTCCGGTGGGTTGGGTCGTGTCCCCGAGCCGGACCAAGCACCGGGTCAGCTGCTTTACGCCTCAAGGTTACCTTGTGTCCTATAGTTGCCAGCTGTTCAAAGTTCCCGGCATGTACCCCAGGATGCGTGCGATGAGTTCTTGTTACCTAACTCCTACTAACTGTCCTCGTCGATTCGCCAGGCCGGCCGATCCATGCGGGGGATACGCGCGCCATTACCTAATGGAATGTCAGGTGACCTTCTATACTCCTTCCCCCCTCCTTACACTAGTGAGCGACGGGTCCGGCTCACCGACATTATGTCCGTGACTTGACTGATGAGACAAGTCCAATCTTGAGTAGCCAAGATATAGTACATTCGCGACTGTCGACTGTCGGCCGGATTTGTATTGGCGCGGTGATTTCCAGTTGTGTTGTAGTCCGGGTTATTACGCACTCCGATCTTGGGAAATATTGACCCATTACGACGTCGTTCGACTCTGGGAAACAGCAGGGTTGGCAAAGGCTTGATTTGTATACCCTGTACTCCCGCCCCCGGCACTTAATTGTCGAGATCGAGCTGCCGGATGACGCTATCTCCGCGGAGAGCCTTCCTTCGTCTATCGGAGGTTGATGCAATCCCTAAGAAATGTGAGATACACTGCTAATGCGGGGTGGGTCTTTGTGATCGTCTCGGTCCACAGGGATCTCCGTAGATAACGACCGAACGGCATTATTGCATCTAGGCCCATTCGCTAGTTTGTTACGGTCTACTGAGGTATCTACCTCGTTTTTGAGATGTACCTTTGATTGGTCCCTTTACACATGCCCCTTGACTTCATGGTGAGCTGCTTATTTAGCTGAATAACTTATTCGGTTCATCCTTCTTGGCTGAATCTTTGTCTTGGCAGCTACCGCCACTTCGTAGTCGGTCTGCAGGATGTAGGCGGTGGCTTGGGGAGTACTCACTTGTGAATAAACTCACCTTGACTATGGGCTTACGGTTCGTTGCCAAACCAATTTGAAGATTCATGTCTCATAAACTCGACTTGGGCCGACTGGTGGCTGTCAAATTCACTATACACAAAACTCCCACCCTTTGAATCTCAGAGTGTTTCACTTCCATGGTGACTTCCATGGTGGATGACTTTACACTTTGATCAAGCTATCTAAGGAAGACTTATGCCCGACACCTCCGTGTGACCGGACATCTTTCCCAACAGGATACAAAAGGTCTAATCGATCGAACATACACCAACACGGATTTCCGGGCATGTGTTTCAACGAACCTTGGATCCTTTCTTTTACTGCTCTCACTCCTCGAAAATACCATAACTCAGTTCATATAATTTGAGCGATCTACACTTCATCCTCACTGTTTCTTCTATTCAAGGATAGGCGCCCACGACCCAATCAGCTTTCATCAAATCCATCAAAAACTCTTCGACGCCCTCTTCATCCAATTCATAATCTTTCGGCAACTCATCCGAACACTTTTTATTTTCATTCTCTTTCAGAAAAGACCCTATCCCAGTTCATTATCAATTGACAAGACTGGCAAAGATGAGCAGTTTCAATGCGGTGCAAGATGCGCCGAAAACGGCCATTCGCAAAACCTGGCGTCAGCAGAAACCCCGGACCAAGAGACTTCAGAATTACTTCAATCAGCTCCTATCTCAATCTCACGAGCTTGAGACTGAGTTTGAAAAGGAGAAGGAAGAATATGCAGCGGAAAAAGAAAGCGAAATTCAACTTCTGAAATCAGAGAATAAAAACTTATCAGATCAGCTTGCCACGGAACGGTGTGTACATAAACCCCACAAATTCGGTGTTTTCCAGCTAAAACAGCCTCAAGATGTGAAAGAGACGAAGTGGTCAAGGAGAACAATGACATGATCCGATCATACTATCGTCTCGCTGATGAGAAGCTGAAGTTGCAGAAAAAATTTGATTCAATTCAAGCCGAGAACTCAGCTCTGCGAACCGAGAAAGATGCGCGTCTGAAACAACTCAGCGACTACGAGTCCGAGTTGGATGATGCCTGGGCCAGCATGAGCTATGCGTATCTGCGTGTGAAGGTAAGTCATTTTTTCAAATGGAGTTTGATCTGCACTCTATACTTACGAGGTCCCTTCTGTCCTAGAACGTCAAGGGAGCTGCCTCGTCGTTGATCTATCAAGATGCTCATCGAAAGTTGAATGGCTCTTATAAGAAATAATGAAAGTGGGCGAAGGGCTGCGATGAAATCCCTGGAAAGGAATGAATTATTAATATTTATCCTACCGTGAGGCATGAGGTATTCGAAAGTACCCTAGATCGTGGTTTCGTGTTCACCGTTGCTGCTTAGCTACGGTAGGCTAATGATCTGACCATGAGGTAACGAAAAAAAATTCAAATCATCGAGAAATTGAAGATTTAGTGAGTACCCAGAGATAGACATCTACAAATGACTTTCGAGCTCGAGACCCTCCAAAGCTCACAAAGAAGGGTCTCGTTGTCGCAGACCCATACCGGAGGACAATTATTTAAATTTAGATATGTGGAACAGCATATGGACTTCATGGCCTCGTTAAACCTTTCTGCATCCTTGTGATTCCTCGCCGAATCTTGTGCTTTCATCGTGTAATCTCAGTAGTCAACAACCGCCCAGCTTTACATGTGCAACTTTCTGTCTGGATAATTTTGTATTCCAACAGCCCTCGAATCTGCCAATACCTTAATATTTCAACGATTTCGCCGTATTCCTTTTTACAGCCATTATCTTTGGAAGTCCTTTCGTTCAAAGCCTTCATCTTCTTTCCCAACTCACACAAACAAATTGACGCTTACTTGGTCCTCCGGTTGAGAATTATAGAACAATCAAATCCTCGTCCAAAGCTTTTGATTCAAACTTTAAATTCTTCCCCTCACCAGGTTCGAGCCCATCTTAACCCTTATTTTACACAGGGACCTTAAATGAAGCTAACAAAGTCAATATGGTAAACCCCAGAGACAAGAAGCGTATACAAATACCTAAGGCCCAGGAGAGCGGCTTGACAATGAGGACTCTTTTAACATTAGATACTGAATGAATAGTAAGCTTTTCTTGTGACCAACTAGGACTAAGGTCTAAAGTGGATGATTCCGAGTGGCTCAAAATGTGATTTTCAGAAATATTTCTCATCTGGAAGTGATCGTGGCCCTCTACACGCTGAAAGGGGCCATCGCGCGGTTAATGATGCAGCACATTAGCTTGTCAGAGGAGAATCCAACTGATCGTTTCTTGAGATTCGTCATTTCCAGGACATAAAGAAGAAAATGACCCTTGGGCATCTCCGTGAGTCGGTTGCTCGCCACTTCCCAAGCCAAGACTTACCGGGATTCTGGTACAATGGACTATGCAGGAACCGGTACCATGTGACTGAATGCAAGCATCAAAGACAAGATGATCCGACAGGTCACATGGAGAAAGACCATGTAATGTCACGCGATCGAGCGTCCAGCCGTTGCTACCCGCGGCCACGGAGAAGGCGGATACTTTGCCACTCGCGTGTGCAAGGCCTTGCATTCTCCGGCTTTTTGATGCGGGTGTGCCTAGGCAGGTAATTATGCCAAGAGTTCAATTGTGCACGAAATAATTTGTATTGGTTTTAAGTGAAGAATAATATCCAAGAATGATAATTATGTGAACAAATGTTCACAACAAAGGCATGTTTGGCCAGAAGAGAAGAACACGGTCTAGCTGTTTCAAAGAAATGTAAAGCGTAGATTATTCCGATCTGCCTGAAAAAGAAGAAAAAATGAGCCGAGGAGGATATCAAAAGCTTAGCCCGGAAGGCCCCCATTATTCAACCAGGAAATCCATGGGGGACATGCATCATAGAACAAGACAAAAGACCTAGCACTGGAATAAAAACGCAGAAACTCCCATAGGATCACGGATCGGAGGCTCATAAATCATGATCTTGGTTGATTTACTCAACCGCCGAGGTACTATCGGCATCGAGAACAGGGTTGACCTTAGGATTCCATTCGAATTTGAAGTCCTGACCGATTTCTTTGCGAACGACTGCCTTGACGGCGTCCAAAACGTGGTCATACACTCCGAAGTTGGCAGGGTTGTTTGCATCATTCTCGCCCTCTTTGCCTTGGAAGACACCTGTACGAACCAGGCAAGTGTTCCAGCCGTACATGTTGCCGCCAACGATGTCAGACTGAGGGTTATCACCAATCATGTAGACATTCTTGGGCAGACGATTCTCGTTGTGGATTTCTTCCATCCAGTTTTTGAGAACTTCGTCAGCATAAGTGTAAGTGGCGCGCTCAGGCTTGCCATACACAATACGCTCAAGCTCGACGCCGGTGGCGGCCTTGTATTGGGCTTCAATAGCGATACGGAAGGCACCTTGAGTTAGACGCGAGGGGCCCTTATGGGCGGTCGCGAAGACAAAGTCACCCTGGGAGAAATAGATTGGGATGCGGCTGTTCTCCGGGTCCTCGGCACGGGTCAGGAGCTTGCCGTTATCTGAGAGGAGCAAGTCAAGGATAATTTGGAAATCGGTCGCATAGTCGCGAGAGTCGGCAAAGACCAGAATGGCATCAAACTTCATCTTGGAGAAGTCGCGCGGCTTAGCACCGGCACGATCCTCCTCGGTGAAAGTGCCCCATGGGGAGATAGTGGGATCCCATGCCTGGATATCCTTGGGATGCACGACGTGCTTGAAGCCATAAGTCTCAGCAACTTCACGAACCTTGTATCCTTCGCCTCCACAGACGAGAACAGTCTCATAGTATTCTGCCAATGCTTGCATGGGAGTGTGTGACTGAATGAATTGCTGGGTGGAGATGGGGACCTCTAGCTGCTCTGAAAGTTGCTTGCAGCGAGCTTCCTCGGTTTTACCACCACCATTGGTAAGCAGCACATAGGGGATCTTGATCCCCAGCTCGTTGTCCCCGTTGAGCATCTTCAACGCCTGTTTGGCTTCCTCAATAGGCTCTAACCCGTGAGCCAGCACACCATCAATGTCAAAGGCGAAAGCCATGTTCTTCGCAGCCTCAACCTTCTCCTTTGACATATCCTGCACCTGGGAGGCCAGAAGATCTTGGGACAAAGCGGGTCGCTTGGATCTCAGATGCGAAGTGCGCGGTGAGCGCGGGATAGGTAGGGAAGTACCAAAAGAGTTGCGTGAGCTACGACGCTCCTTCATAGAGGGCGACAAACTCAGGTTGTGCATAAGAGCAGCAGCATCACTGATAGAGCTACCAGTCACGGGAACTTCCACAATCTTTCCAGCATCGCCCGGGATAAGCATACCGCTGGCAGTACGGGACATGCCCGGGCGAGTAGGCTGCTGAGGGGCATGGCTGGCAGTGCGAGAGACACCCGGACGAGGATTTTCGGGGCGAGAGACATCCTCAGGAGTCAGTTCTGCCAGGCGAGTCATTGTGTAAAAGTGTGCGTGAGAAAAAGAGATAGAAAGGGTTTACACAAGTCCAAAGTATTCGTAAGATAAGGAGATCGCCAGCGATGTACATCCGCGTCTAGTGGAGAGAAGAACAGTGGGGATGAGGATGAATCGCAGTGGGGATCTGGAGAAATAAAAGAGGGGATGCTTCAATAAATAAATAGGAGAAGGACAGGAGCCTTGAGGACAGTGGAGTATGCGTATATGCCTCAGCGCACATCGGGCTCAATTGGACTAAACAAGAAAGTAGTATCTTGTCCCTTTTTTTTTTGCATTGGGAGAGAGGGGAAAGGCCCCACTCAACGGTAAGCATCACAGCGCCATTCCTAGGAATTCTCGTCATGGAATTGGCGAGGTTCTCTAAGACTGTGGCTAGAAGGAGAGGGAGTGCTCTGCCACATGGGTGTTGGGGAGGGGTTCCCGGTACCTGAGTCGTAGCATAATAACAGGCCTAATTCCGAGTACCCTGTACAAGGAGTGATCATCTCCGGTGGCCGACTCAATCAGGGGTGAATGATTGGTCTGATAGGAACCATATTACGGACCAATATGGGCCATATGGACCGGACTGAAGCATTGAGGGTGGACGAGTGGGCCGGAAAAAGGGCCCCTTCACCCGAAACGGACTCATTATTGGTGATGCGGGCCTGGTCTGCCCGTGGACCGGCATAAAATCGATGGAGCCGATGACGATCGAGTGGGTCAAACGCTCGGAGCTGTTTCGAGATGCCCGTGATGTCATCACCGCGGTTTGAAAATTACAGAAAATTTTAGAAGTGCTCAGGGGATCTCAAAGGAGACCAATGATTGAGATGGTCATGGAATAGATCGGCACCAGGATGTTCATGGTTAGGTACGAGATGGTAGACAAAGAGCCGATCGTCTTCGGCAGTCTTGTACTGTAGTCTGGGAATAGTAAGCTGCCCTTTTACCCCTCCACCCCACTCGTCAACAGCGTCATCGCTTTAAGAATTGCTTGACCCCCACCCACTTCTTCCTTCTTTTCTTCTTCTTCTTCTTATTCTATTTCTTGCCCTTCCTCCTTTCTTCTCCTCTGCATACTTTCAAATTTATCGTCCGTCATGTCTAACGCAAAGACTTTCACTTTGAACAACGGCGTCAAGATCCCCGCTGTCGGCTTCGGCACCTTCGCCAGCGAGGGCTCCAAGGGCGAGACCTACAATGCCGTCATGTGCGCTTTGCGGACCGGCTACCGTCACCTTGACTGTGCCTGGTACTACTTGAACGAGGACGAGGTCGGTGATGGCATCCGCGATTTCCTGAAGGAGAACCCTTCAGTGAAGCGTGAGGACATCTTCGTCTGCACCAAGGTGTGGAACCACCTGCACCGCTACGACGATGTTCAGTGGTCCATCAACGATTCTCTCAAGCGCCTGAAGCTCGATTATGTTGACCTCTTCCTGGTCCACTGGCCCATTGCCGCCGAGAAGGACGGCCAGGAGAAGCCCAAGATTGGCCCCGATGGCAAGGTATATACTTCGGCGATCTTAGAGTATGCATCTGGACTAAAGCTAACAAACTCTGCAGTACGTCATCCTGAAGGACCTCACTGAGAACCACGAGACCACATGGCGCGCGATGGAGAAGCTGTACGAGGAAGGCAAGGCCAGGGCCATCGGTGTCTCCAACTGGACTATCCCCCAGCTTGAAGCGATGGCCAAGTTTGCCAAGGTGCAGCCTGCAGTCAACCAGATCGAGATTCACCCCTTCCTGCCCAACACCGAGTTGGTCAACTACTGCTTCTCCAAGAACATCATGCCGGAAGCCTACTCGCCTTTGGGCTCCCAGAACCAGGTCCCCACCACCGGTGAGCGTGTGTCCGACAACAAGACTTTGAACGAGATCGCCGAGAAGGGCGGCAACACCCTTGCCCAGGTCCTGATTGCTTGGGGCCTGCGCCGCGGCTACGTCGTTCTCCCCAAGTCCTCCAACCCCAAGCGCATCGAGTCCAACTTCCAGAGCATCGAGCTGTCCGATGCCGATTTCGAGGCTGTGAACAAGGTCGCCGAGGGCCGTCACTTCCGCTTTGTCAACATGAAGGATACCTTCGGCTACGACGTCTGGCCCGAGGAGACCGCCAAGAACATGTCTGCTTAAATACATCTTAAAAGCGAAGATACCTAGTGTACCCATTCGGGATTACGAAGAATGACATTATATCCGTGACTACGAGCGCGGATCACACACACACTTAATTGTCCCCGTAGACTCTCTCCACCGAAATCCGAGAGTGATGAATAATGCTACACACCGGCGACATCCCCGCCGGGCTCCACGCCCAATTCCACATCAATTTCCGGCATTTTATGAGAGTGACCCGCTCGGAGTTCATGTCTTGTACCCAAAAATTGTAATCTATTATCGATCATGTCTTGCTTTTTTTTTTTTTATTTTTGCAAAATCCAAATTATCCAATTCCCAAAGCGGGCGCCCTTAACACGGTCAAAGCAACCCAGAAAATAAACACCGATAGCGGGGTTCAGTCTCCCGCCTCCGAACCCAATTTCGGCTTTTCACTCCTTAGGAGACACGCATTCCACAGCGTTACACCGTAGCCAGCCGCGTCTGGCCCTCGAGAAGAAGAGAATTTTACAACGTTCGAGCAAAGAGGTTACACTACGAGAGAGACACACACAGCCCATGATCCAATACGGAGGCATTCAAGAACAGTATGGAGCAGAGTGCTCCGACTATATGCATCATGTCATCCTCCCACCCCTGCGCCACGGCTGTGCCAATCCCGGTCTTTAGCGCCGCAAGCATTGACTCTTGGAGGCCGGGTGAAGCCGGAGGTGGGATGATATAGAACACCGAGTGACCGGATGGGGATTGGTGCGTGCGGGTCGAGGGGGGGTCGCGCTCTGACATTCACCTAGCGATTGTACATGGTACTCTCGCGTGAGTGGTTTTGAGCATGCTGGGAGAGGTACTGGTACTGAGGTATTGAGTCACTGGAGACGATAGACGCTAGCACTATACTATATTGCTAGTGTGCTCGTGTGAGACATACAATTGGGTCTGAACCCAGACTAGGTTGCCATTGTAGTCATAGTCACTCTAGTGACTGTCGGAAATTCAATTCGGATCTTGAAAGCGCAAGTATCCCGAGCTCTTCATCTCGGGAATATACTGGGGACCAAGCTCAGACGAATGTGCAGGGGCCTTGTCATGATACTTTTGGTAAAGATGGGTGGTCACATAACCTCATTTCCCTTCCAAGTGGCCAGCTAGTAGCAAGGTACTCCTCTCCTTCTAAACTTTGATCCCGACCAATTTCAGACTCGCGAGCGGTAGGAGTCCGCATACTCATGCAAGCGAGTTACTCCACTTCCCCATCAATCTCGGAGACAGTGCCGGGCAATTTGAGGGGGTGGGGATCCTCGTTAACACCCCACGGAATATAATGGGCTAGCCACTTGAAGAGCAACTGTATCACTCTTCAAAACACCAATTGAGCGGATAGGGAGGTAGAAAAGACCGGGGTGCAGTAGCAGCGGCACAGACGTCACCCCGCATGAACAAGTGCATAGGGAGGAGTCTAGACTGCGGCTACGGCGTTGATCGTCAAAGCCACGAGAAGAATTTCCAATGCATTTTGAAATCAACAGTAACAAAGCTCAAGCAAAACAAACAACAATGGTATCTTGAAAATCACAAAACTAAACTCCATTGTGCATGGAATGAGGCATCAAAATGCTCATGTATACAAAACAACACCAACCAGAAGGGTGTCTCTATAGGATCAGTTTCTCACTCGGACCCGCCGGGGTGTGCATCCCGCACTAGACTGGAGCATGCTCTTCCGCTTAGGCTCTTCGTTGCAAATGTTTGTGCTGCGCGTGGGAATGCTACTGGCTGCTCCTTTTGCGACAGGGGCAGGAAGCAGCGAAGAGCTGGGACTCTTGGGAACAAGCTTGCGACGAGCCTGAGGGGGGGTGGATGGCGCATCTGTGGGCGCCGTGGCGCTCGACGGCTTGCTGATGCGACCTCTGCCGGTCTTTACAGGTGTGCCAGAGACACCAGTTGAGTCGCCCATGCGCCGCACCCGTCGAGAACGTGGGGCTGCAGCTGGCACGGCAGTAGGGGTGGTCGAGGAACTCTCGGATTCCACGCTGGCAGCCTCATGGCTTAGCTTCTGCATCTGCGCCCGGCTGCGGCGGTCACTGACCGATGCTGTCTTCTCTGTGGGCTTGGCTTCAGATCGGATGGAAGCGTCGTCGACGTCACTCTTGCAGCTGCTGCTATCCTCTTCCTCCAGCTCCGTGGTCGGGTTGTAATCTTCAAACTCCACGAGGCGATCGTCGTTCCAGCTGACATTCTTGGATGCCGTTCGACGGCCAGAGATCTTGCGATCCGATCGGACTTGCTCTAGAGCCGATTCTTCATGTTCTTGCTCGGCCATAGCCTGGAGTACATACTTGGGCATCACAGAGTCACCCCGATTGTGGCGAGTGTTCTTCTTCGTAGCCAGGGCCAGTTGCTGGGCCTCAGTCCGCTGCAGAAAAACAAATTCGGTGCCCTTTGCCCGGCGAAGTGCGATAGTGTTGCGCACAGCCGCTGGATTAGCTGCGGGAGCTTTGACACGAGTGCTCCGTCGGCATGCAGGGCTTGCAGGGGCGGGCTCATCATGTTGAATTTCCTTGCTGACTGCAACTTCCTGCGCACCATCGAAAGTGATGGCATCGCTCTTGATCGGTGAGGCCTGAGTTTTGACTGGCGAGGGAGAGTTTGCGTCCAAATCCTCTAGAACTCGACGGGATCGTGGAGTGAGCGCTTCCTCTGGTGACTCGTCGGCGCTGGAGGATGTCTCAGTAGTTCCCTCTTGGGAATCCACGAGGGCCGCCTTAGCCGCACGCTTAGCCTTGGCTTTGGAGAGGAAGTCGTTCAAAAGGTCCGCGTCCTCTCCATCTAATGAGCTCCGGAGCGCTGATCGGACCAGCGTTCTCTCCTGCTTCTGGGTCAGGACTCGCACCACCTTCGTAGGTGTGGGCGCTATGTTGTGCTCGGTTTCCTCCACTACAGTGTTGATAAGCTCGTTGTGTTCTTGTTCTGTAGATTGATGGACTGCACTTCCGATGGGCGTGGCTTCGGAGATTGAGGTGTTGATGTCAAATGGCTGCATAGCATCCTGGAAGATTGCTGCCATAACAGGGCTTCGTGATTGACCGAGCGGCGGGGGCGACGAGGTCATCGCCAGATCGCCTTCAACGTCGCAAGGGCCATTGTTTTCATTGCACTGGCTGTCGGCGTTGCCAGGACCCGTATTCTGACTCAGAGCCAAAGTCGGCTTGTGTTGCGAACTCTCGTCGAAAATGCTAAAAGGCGCATCGGGCAATTTGCCTGTAATGCGCTGTTAGCGACAACTATAGACCCGTGTGAGACCAAACTCACGTCGCTTGCGCATGTCCCCTTCCCACTTGGTTTCGAGAAAAAGAGTGTCCGCTCTGCTGGATACCAGTGTCTTTCCGGTCATCGGCGCCGTCAGAGGCAACACGAAGTCGCTTGACGCCGCGCGCAAATGCGGTATCCTTGGACGGGTTGATGGATGTGTTGGTGAATGAGTTAAGAGCGGTTTGAAACGCATTTTGCTCCAGCGCGCTCGATTGCTGAAGCGACTGCATGTTGGAAAAAGATGCGTGGAAACGTTTCCAGAGTTTCTTCGACTTAATTCCACCCTGGAATGGGGTCGCTGGTTTGCGCTCCCAGAGACGGGGCAAAGCCTTGATGGCCTTGATGGGGGTAAACCTGAAGGTGTTTTCTTGTTCGGGGTCGTTTAGGCCACTACAGCAAGAGTCGCGCATAAGCACTTATTGTTAGCCAGGTGAAATAGACGAAATTCGGATTTTCGTGATTGCATCAAGGTGTGGGTACAATCGGCCACGAGGGGTAATCAAGGAGAGATAACAGCCCCTAGGACAGGGAGGGCATGCGATTGTGTCCTCGGGACGTAATATGAAGAAATCAAGAGACCAAAAGGAAAAGGAAATCACCCACCATGGCTGTGCGTGGGACTGAGCATGATCGGAATCCATTGTTGACGCGTGTGGAATGTGTCAAAATACCAGCGGAATCCGGCGGTCGGTACAGCGCAAATGGATAATTGAGACGATGTTGAACTATAAAAATGGCAGCCTTAGAACCTTGAAATTGGCGATAGGTTTGGCGATAGGAACCGAGCTGCAAAATGTAAAAGTGCAAGATGCGACCGGGCACGATGTTTTGATGAGGGTAAATGTCAATATCACGACACTTGTGTTGGCGAGACCCGCCCGTTACCCCGTCAACCGGCTCCTCCACGGACTAACGGTCTTAGGGGCTCTGTATATCATAGAACGATAGCTCTACTATGGCGGTGAGGACAGCACCAAAGACACTTCAATGGTCTCTCTCATATGAGATCGCGGAGTGTATGGCTTTGATCCTAGCCCAGGATCTGGTTTTACGTTCTGCTGTGCTTATGTGAAACATGAGAAATATATAACATAGTCGCAAGCAAAAAGAGAAGAAAAGTGACAACAGTCGAAATTAGATATGGCAGCATCTTCAGATGAAGAAAGTTTTGAGAAAGTTGGTATAGTTATTACTGGGCTTTAGGTCGATTCGTTGATAGGAATCACAGGTGGCCTAAGAAAACGTCATAGGCTCAAAAATCCGAACAAGCCTTGTCGAGACGTGCAGCAGAGCCAAGTCTGAACCCACCTGGAGAGTATTTTTATTCGCTTACCGGTTCATCAGTCCCTGAACTTGGGGCTCTATTTCTTTCCTTCAGTTTCTTCATTCTCTCAGGTCGCGATCGGCCGACGTGAACATCTCCGCATGGGTGTCTTGAGATACAAGCAGTTGAGTTGAGATATTGCCGGGCCGAGATATACCATGACGGAATTCGTAGACAATTTCAAAGTAAAGAAATTTGTAAGAGAGACCACTGGATTTGAATTCACTGATCGAGACCAATCAATATCTCATGTTACCAAGGGAGATTGAGTAAGATTAAATTTGTCCAACCCAATTAAATAACCTTCAATGAGAAGAAGAAATATACTCCAAATCAGGAAAAGAATACAGACAGTTTATATACGCTACCGTGAGTCATGATCCCAGGAAACGAACTGAGAGATGTTTCAAAAGAGAAGTAGGGGCCGCCCAAAAAGATCGCGAAAAGGAGTAGGAACCAAATGTCTTGACACCCAAAGATATTATCTTCCCAGCCAGCCGGTGACTAGATCCTTCGCTACAGATAGTGATCTTCATCTACCCGTTCTTCCTCGGAACAATGTCACATAGGCAGCTTTTTGATCGTCTCGAGTAGCAAACCAGCTACTGCCTTCATTCCCACGAGTTTGGGATGAAGCATCGGTCCGTCCGACCCGTCAAATCGTCCAACCCAAGGCTCCTCGCTACCAAGTGCATGTCTCAGGCTGTACTCGTTGACTGGTACCCTCTGACACCACTCACTCCTGCTTTCTGCTACATCACAATAGGCTCTTGACATTGCAGATGCGACCCCGAGATAATGTTCCACTCTTTCTTGATTAAAGGGGATATCATGACCCGGCCGCGTGTCGGGTCCCAGGACAGCAAGGTATTCGACAAGGAACACGCGAGCTCCCAGGGCTCGTTCGTGTATAGCATCGACGACCCCGGCTAGTCTTCCAGCTAGTGCGTCTGGAGATAACGCGCCGGTGTTTGGCACCGGTGATTCGACGCCCAGCGCAGCACATGCATCCGAGATCTGGCCACCGATGTAATTAATGTCGTTGCCACCAGCAGTGATGGTCACGATATCCGCATCTTCGGGCAGATTGGAGAGTTGGGTGGGGAATAATCCACCGGTGAATGGGTTAATCTGTTGGGTGATTGTAATGTCGAGAAGAGTTGAGCCTGAGACAGTCAGGTCGGTGAGCTCAGCGTCTAGATGCTGGGCCAAGATGTGAGGGTAATTCTGCCCTGATCGCCCGGCCCCGAGGGGTGGAATTTCTGGGGGAATGCCTGGACCTGAGGCAAAAGAACTTCCCAGACTCGCAATCTTAAGCTGCTTCAATTTTGTATTCATGATTGTTAAAAGAAGTGCAGGAAAGAAATTCGTAGCCAGGATTTTGAAGAACCCTTGCCGTGGTGCTTATTGTAATGCCGAGAATGATTGGGTTCTATCTCTAGAGAGGCCAAGATTCTTGGCACGTGGGCAACTTTGATGCCGATTGCCCAGCCTTCAATTACCAACTTCAAAGTATTTGCTGGACTTCCGAGACACAGACTCTTGACAATGTGCTTGAGAAAACGATTGAAGAGTTTTTTTTTTTTGATATGGTCCCTGGCGCTATTCTGAGGCGACATACAAACCTTCTCGAAGTTATCATCACCCAGCTGTCGTGTGCGAAGCTACCAGTAGTATATGATGAGGTAGGGAAATGGTAGAATAGATGTATACGCTGTGCAGCCTTGAATTTAACCATTTACACCTAATAAGCACCATTTTTCAGGCATGGTAAGGTTGGCTTTCAAACTAATACTTCATCAAACGCTTTACTGCTACTCGAAAAGGTGCGCAGTACTGCTGAGTGTCTCGAGGGTAAGAAATACTTATCGGCCTTGACAAAAGACGATACCAAGAAGGTTTTGTGGTGCTAACTTCTTGGTTACACAAAGTGCTTAGTCCACTTGCATTGTACCGAAAGTAATAGAAGTGCATTTATGAACAGATTGTGGTACATCTGGCGGTTCTCAAGGTATCTACAACCGATGGTTTCGTAGAACGAAGTTCTCGACCGTGACCGTGACTGAGTTCACCTGCCAGCCAAATACTCATGTTATAAGGGTAGCGTTCCTAGCTGATTCACGATACTACAAGAACCGATTTAATTACCTAAAAACTATCGAAGCTCGCAGCATGAGTGTTAGCGGTTTGTTTGTCATTCCACGGCGGCATGATTACTCAACAATGTAATCACACCGAAGGCGTTACCAGTCGCGTCCCGCCCGTGCGAGGGAATTCTTCAGCATCCATCTGAAAAGTACAAAGGCAAGAAACGTCAACTTCTAACCTGGTATAGGATCCGTTACTTCCGGTCGCTTGCTCTATAAGCGTCGCCAGCTCAGCCTGGGCCTCGGGTTGACGTATACTGCTGCGCTACCAGATGGGTCTTCAGTGAACCACACAGTGTATCTGATCTTTGGAGCCCTTTGCCGATAAATTGAACTGTGCGAACCTTGAGTGATCTTATTCCTTACATCCACACGGTGCATACTTTCGTGACAATCATTTCTTCCTCTATTACATCACCCAACTTGCGCTCTCGAATCAAGGCAAAGATGACTGATGGACCAGTGCAAGAGATGATGGCGCGCAATCGGTAATTATCTCATGGCATATCAAATTCTGCATTTATCCTTACTGGTAGCTTGCAGCAAGTTTTCTCAAGATTACAAAGCCCCGCCTGGATTGATGCAAATGGTCTCTATAATGAAAGCTTCTGGGACGGGCGTGGTGGTACTATGCTGTTCAGACCCTCGTCTAAATCCTTACCAGATATTGGGCATCGATTCAACGTTGAGTAAGTTCCCGTCCTGAATCGCTTTTCCTGGCTTGCTCCTATCATGAGAGTTATCAATTTACGTTCTCAAAGACAACGATAGTCCTAACTGACACCGAATTAACAGAAGCGACCATGGTGCGAAATGCTGGTGGCAGAGCTTTCGACGCTATTCGAACCCTGTCGGTCTTGCAGACTATAGGCGATCCAGGCACTATTGTTGTCATGCATCACACAGGTCCGTTGCTCTCAGATACCCGAAGTTGATTCACGATCCTTGATGTTGGATGATACAGAAATTGACAAATTACAGACTGTGGCTTGACCCATTTCCATGACGCCGACATCAAAAAGGCGCTACTAGATATCGCGCCGCACGAGCAGGGGTTGATTGAGGCTTCTGACTTTGGAGAAATTACTGGCAGGTTCGTATCATATCCCAATCTCTTGTGCTTTGGAGTTGACCATTATTCAGCATCGAGGATAGTGTGCGAGAAGATATTGCCATTCTCAAGGCTTCTCCATTGATAAAAAAGAGTGTCAAGTTCATTGGTCTTAAATACGATATCAATACTGGGCTCTTGACAGAGCTTCCAGAAAACAAGGTACTTTGATTCTGTGAACGTGGCCCGCCCAATTGATTATCAAAGTGATCTACCGTATAAATTATCTCATCCTTTTCAACAGAGCCTGAATTACTCTTGTGGTTTTGGAATTCTTTTCTACTTGTGAATCAAAACAATAATTTCAATCGTTCAGAGGCAGGTCACAGTGTGACTGCAAATTCAAGTGCAGTTAAACGTTTCATCCTGCAATTCATTATTGGAACACTCATTTTTCACTAATCCCGGAGATATCCTACTAGTCTTCAATATCTAGATGGAGAACGTGTATCCTGATACTTCCCAATGGAAAAATCTGCCCTTGAGCTTTAATAACCTGTCTTGCGCATACTCTAAAACTGGACGGGAAAGCGGGTTTTAAATACACCTTGGCTATTGATAACGTCCATTTTGACGACTATATAGAATATTGTAGCTGGGCATGTACATGCCATATATATGATTCCAATAAAGCATACAAACATCATCTCAAAGTCAATGTGCCCAAAAGCCTAAGGAAGGACGGGCTAGGATATTCACCAGTCCACGGTTCAAGACCCATAAGATGCGACACAGCTATGCGCGCAGTATCCACGCCGTAACCCGTGTCGACACAAGTACGCCCCGGGATTTCCACAAAGGATCCAACAAGACCAAGATTAGAGATAGACCTCGGAATAATACGTGGGCGGTCAGTAGTGGATCGAGTGAGTAAGGTTGAGCTCATTCGCGGCATTGCTCGTGGAATGGTAATGGACTGCTGTTGAACTTCTGTGGCCATCTCGCCAGGAAGCTCCAAATGATAAACAACCTCAGCCAAGATTTGTGCTCCACAACAATACAGCATTGAGTGGTTGACGCAATCTCCTTTTCGATCAGGAAATCGCCCAAAGCCCCAAAGAACGCGTACATGGGGCGGCTGTTGGGTGAATACCGGCTGGGCAGGGGTGCAAAGGCATAGTCCCCAGCTACTGTCCTTCATTAAAAAGATGGCGCCCGCTTCTGACTTGCATTTCGAAAGCGAGTTGAGGTACTCGAAGAATTCAAGATTCTCTGTTGTGATGGTGAATGACTCAATCATGGACTCGGACTTCCGTGTGCAGAATGCGTACGGATTACCCATGTCTGGATACTTGTTTCCTGCCTCTAGCCATAGTGACCAATTCTCGTCGAGATGATCGCTTGGTTGTACTGAGCGCCAAGCTGGCGGTAGGTAATTGGTTCCGACTGCTGATCCCGACACGGTCGATCCTAGACTTGCAATAAGAATGTCATCAGGACCTAAGTTGATCTTCAAATCCAGCCCGTCCTGCGAAATGGACATGCCAATGATGGTTCGGACACGATCTTTCCTCGCGCCTGTTTCCACATTTGTCACTTTGGTGTTAAATTGGAAATCGACGCCCTGACCTTGGAGATAAAAGTAGATTGGAAGGTAAATAGAGTCCCATTGATAGTAGCCGGTGATGTCCAGGCAGGTCAGGATACTCAAGCTGCTAAAGTCGGATAGATATTGCCTGACAGCACGTCTGAACTCAGTAGCACTATGCCAGGGCTGAAAGCCGAACCTGCAGTGCTTCAAGTTAATCATGGAACTGTTCAATGGACCTAGTGGATATTCACTGTATGGACCAAGTCTCCCAGAAGGTACTCTCGAAGAATTTTTCTCTGAAGAATTCCCGAATTTGTTTCTTTTGTAGATGACTTTCATGCTTGAGCAGAAGCCGTATCAAGCTAAATCGGTCCTTTAAACCTAGACTAAGCCGTTTGGTGGGCAAATGCTTGAAAGACCCATCTTGGCGACTGACGAAGCAGGTGCCATAATGGCTGCTCAGAGAGAGTCGTTTCCCAGCCTGTTCGTGGATATCATCCAGGAAAGATCGCCCTTCTGACCTTGCTGATGGGATCACATCAAGAAGCTCCTCCAAGCCAAGACCGACAGGAACGGGTAGACACCCCGCGAATTGATCGTATCCAGTCGAGAAGCTTCCTTCGCGATGCAAAAGATCATCCAAGGATATGTGCTCATCAAGAACGTGCACATTCGACGGGCGTAACATGGCATCCTTGATCAAATACACTGCCGCTGCCAAGGACGCGGTTCCGCTTCCGAGAATCCAGGCCTCGGCCGTTACAGAAGGCCGCCGATCATATCGTAGAGTCTTCTTCATGGCGACCGCGAAGAGGTCGCGCGAGTGTGCATAAGCTCGACCTTTGAGGATGACGGCTGTGAAGGGAGAGCTCAAAAGTCTATCGAAGGGACAAATATACTTGTAGTGGTTGACATTCACTGTCCCCCTTCAATGTATATCAAGGTGGCGATTGCATGACTTTCGGTGCCAGAAGCGAAGTCCACAGAGAGAGAGAGAGAGAGTTCCATTAAATAGCGGCACCTCACGCCATTTCCGTTTCTATCGATCATCAGACTGCACATTTACAGCATCAAGCCATGTAAAGAGCCCTCGTGTCCCAGAACTGATGACGTAAAGGGCCCTGGGCTAACCATGGATGACAGCAGTCCATCGAAGCTACAACTTCGGTTCGTGTTGCCTGTTTGCTCCCTTCTCCGCCTTAGAGGTTGGGTAACTCCGCCTTAGAGGATTGGGTAAAAGAGCGAATCTAATTTCGACATCTAGAGATCGATAACAAGCTAATGGTTGATATCGAATTTTAAATCATGATATCAACACTCGAAATGACTTCAACTCACCACCCGTCAAAAATGCTCATATAGTGAAAGCCGCACCCACTTTTACTTCGTCACATATCCAGAATCTAGAACAGTCAGAAAAGAACCATGATATCGTCCTCAGGGCCTTAAGTAACTCTCACCCAAAGTAATTTCTTGACCTGTCATCGAAGTATTTTTGGCGATTGCCACATACATGTCCGCGCAATCGTCGAGGTAAACCTGTAGAATCATATTAATCGGAATGTTTGAAGCAGTTATCTAGAAGTGTATGCTTACCTCGTGCTTAAGAGTTGATCTTTCCGTCCATGACTGGATTTGCTCAGCAGAGTATTGCAGGCCCTGTGGAAAGCATTCACATCATGGAAATAATGAAGAGAGATATATCCTTGAACTTACCCACTCTGTGAGGAGCAGTCCTGGAAGTACTGAGTTGATGCGGACCTTAGGTCCTTGCGACGCCTTCAGACATTTTAAAAGGTGCAGTCCTAAGACTCAAGTTAGTCAGACACTCATCAATCGGAGAACGAGCTAATGTACCAGCAGACTTAGTGACTGAGTACGCCATGCTGCTACCACTCGGGGTGATGCCCTGAAGTATCCGTTAGAGAGGCTGTCATTTTCATCAAAGTGGTACTCTTCGGATCTCACAGCAATAGATGAAGTTGTAATGAAAACTCCACCTTCTTCATTTGCGTTGAACGTCGGTAGAGCCTCTCTGAATAAAAACAGATTACTTTTGACATTTGTTGCCCAGCACTTCAGATCAATCAAATTAGAACCCAGATCTGACTGGGGTTTTCTTCGTCGTACCTTGTCCCATTCACCTTCGTCCAGAGCATACAGATCTCCAAAATTGGAAAATCGTGTCCACCCCTTGAGCCGTCAGTGTGGATTATTTAAGAAAGATAAATGGGTAGGCTCACGGCATTCGATATAATAATGTCCAGCCCTCTGAGCTTCTCGATTGCCGTTTGAACCAACCTCACACAATCCGCTTGGATACCTGCATCCTAATCCACGTCTAGATTAGCCATCTATACCGATTACCTGATAAAACAGCTAACAAATTGTAGATAAAAATGCATACTCCCTGGATCGTAGCTGTTCTGATGTTATATTCCTTGTCCAATCTCAAAGCAAGGTCATCAGCTTGCTGTTGACTCGAAAGATAATTAATTGCAATATTGCAACCCTCTGCAGCGAATTTTTCGGCAATACAAACCCCAAGGCCTCTGTATAGGGATTAGATTGGAGGCAAAAGATAGCGACTTGAACAGATCAGAAAGCAGAGGGGACGCACCTCGCACCGCCGACAATGAGAACATTTCGGCCTTGAAGCTTGTAAGGCATCTTGTTCAAATTGAATGCCGTAGAGATTTGATTGGAAGTATGTGGATCTCTATTACTCTGATGTCAAAAAGAATGGTATAAGGCTCCGTCAAAGCGAGGACACCCTATACTTTTTGAAAAGAGGGGGTCGTGTTAGACCTCGGGCAGCAATGCGGGGATTCGGCTGCGCCGATGATCCACCATCACACGAGCGGTCGGCACTGCCGATGATGGGCGTTCCTGATTAAACATGTTTCACTTCGATATCAATAGCAGACGAACGGTGATGGATTGTCTTTGAGCTGTGCGTCTTTTATGTGGGAGCGCTCATTGCGGCATCTTGATTGATGCTTACATCGACGACATCGGATAACTATAGGAATTATGGGTCTGGCTTGTGCTGAAGAAAATAGATCTCCATTTGATTAACGCTATATCGGGAGTCTCATGTCAAGGGTGAATTGACCAGTAGTTTGGGGTTTTCTTCCTTAATCTTTGAACTGGACAATGAGCTGATACCGAAGAAATGGCGGATGAACCAAATTGTACTGGTATGGATCATACTATGGAAAATTAAAGTACTTCCAATTTGCCAATGACAAAATCTGATTTTCCAACGGATTGTCAACATTTGACCAGAAATCATCAAATTGAAGTTCTTGACCATCTGGATCATTTGGCAAGCCATGCCATTCGATTTCACTCGGGGGTTGGGCTGGTATTGGCGTTCGTTCTCCCCTACCTCTGCCAGAATTGACGGAGGGTCCCTTTTCAGATCTGCGATACAAGCCGATTAGCTTCCACCCATGATTGTCTGTACAATGGACTTACTTCTGTTGAGAGCCCATTGTGGATGGGGATGATAGGGTTTGTTTTGACGATAACTCATTTCGCTTGTCGGCTTCTACACCTGCCGTCACGTCACGAGATTCCCGGATATAGTTCATTATACCATCGGCAATAGCCTTGAAACCGTCTAGTGAAAGAGGTTCGTCGACGGTTCGTGATTTCACTATCAAAGCTCGGTACAATTCAATTTGATGTATCTTCATTTTATTAGCAAGGAGGAAGTTCACAAGTAATCAAGTTACTCAGCGTACCCAGTATTTTGGCAGGTCCCAGAACCGAGACAACGATTCCATGGCTTTGATGTCGTCCTGCAATAAAGCCTCCGCTTCGCGAGCAATCCTGGTATCTTTGAAGCTTTCCTCATCAATCAGCGCGAAGAAAAGGTTCAACATTGCAAGTGCAGCAAAGGTATCCCTCGAGTAATGAAGATGATCGGGAACCTGCCGCTGCCATTCCATCAGCTGGTGGTCAAGTTCAGTAAATGGCATGTCACTCCTCCACGGAGCCCTAGCGTCAGTATATCGCCCACCTCGCCCGTGCCAGGTGATTATCTCCCCCAAGATCGACAATATTCGAGCGAGGGAGACATAAAGATTGCTTGAGGTTTCGTAACTCAGACCGACAGTACTCGGATTAGGAGGTTGGTGAAAGCGTCGGAAAACAAGATCCTCTTCAGAGACCGGGAAATGACAGCAAATATCCTTCTCATCAATGCTACTTGGCCGATCTCTACCATTGGACAAGAGTCTGTCAAGGAAGAAGCAACTCCAAAATGTTCTTCGCTTCAATTCGACCGTGGTTGCATTTTCATTCACGTTTGGAGCAGGCCGGCCCCAATCGAAATTGGAGTGAGGCTTGTCCATGACAGACAAACGGAGGATTTGTGCCATCCTAACGGCATTCCCCAGATGGATCCAAGCGCTAGATTCAAAGCCGCAGCCAACTTCGTATACGCAGTGGATCAGGTATGCTTGTACAACATGGAGTGAGACCTCGTCACGTTCTCTCTGAAGGAATTCCAGAGCCCTTGTACGATAAGCCCGAGACTCCTCAATCGAGCTCCATGGACTAAACCGAGCGGTCAAAGCGAGGATTGCAAAAGTGAGACTCATTGGTAATTCTCCAGAGCAGAATTGGGTTGTGAAGGTGAGTGGGTCGATGAAGAAAAGCAGTGTTGAGCCAAAGTTATCCCGAAAGAAATCAGCTGCTTCTGCCAGCTCGGTGGCCGGTATTTGTGACAAGTCTCGGACTTCTTTTCCCAGTGGACTGATGGGATGAGCTTGATGTGCTATGTCCATAGCCGGATGGCCCTGAGATACTCCTGCATATCGGCAGTCGATAGATCTGTTGATACAAGCTTTGCAGGATGGCCAGCCACTGGTACAGCGAACCTTGCGCTGTCTTCCAATAATGTTTTAGTGAGTTGCGACTCCTATCGCTGCTCTAAGAGGATCGAGGTACCTACCGGCAGGGAATGCATGCAATCGCAGCTCGTTGACCCGGTAGATGGACCGGACGACGCAGTTTCCTTGGCCAAGTAGATACCTGACTCATTTTCGAGATCGATTTTTAATCGGCAGATCAAGTGCATTGATCCCTCAAGTCGAGGATAATTGACCAAAGTTGAAAGTCGGTCACAGCCGCGTTCTCGCCGTGTGGGGGAGGGAAACTGACTAAAAACCTCGAGTTCTTGGACTTTCCCATAACCGCCAGATCGTCTCGACTCACTTACAAGTTGACAAATTGTTTGGCGATAGCATTGAAAAAGGTTCTAATACAGAAGATGCTCGCAAGACTACAAGTGAGAACCTGTTTCGCGAAGAATGTCGTGACTCTATGGCAGAGAATCCGGTGGATCGTTCTTATCGGCACTGCCGAGACCAATAGAGCAGGTGAAACAGCAGTGCTATTTCACCATTTGAACCGTGACACTATTTATACCCTGTCAAAGACCCGAGAACCGATTGCTTGGAAAGCATACCAATATCAAAAATCATCATGACCGACACACTGCGGTCTGGGCATCTCTCGGCTGAAAAGATCATGAGTCTATTGCACGATGCTGAGAATGAGTACAAACACAGCAATCCAAATTCACAGAATCTACATGAGAGAGCGATCACAGTCTTACCGGGCGGCAACACTCGTTCGGTTCTTCACACAGACCCGTTCCCCATCTACATGGACCGAGGCGAAGGTAATCGATTGATGGACGTTGACGGTCACGAGTCTGCCCTCCTAGCTCTCCATGTCCGAGTTGCTCATAACTAACCAAATTATCCCGCAGATACCTTGATCTAGTCGGCGAGATGACGGCTAGTGTCTGCGGTCACTCCAATCCAGTAATTCGCGATGCAATTATCTCTACCATTACCAACACAGGCCTAAACCTTGGTGCCACCACCGCTGCCGAGGTTCGTTTTGCAGAGCAAGTCCGAAGCAGATTTTCCTCAATGGAGCGAATGAGGTTCTGCAATTCTGGTACAGAGGCGAATATCTACGCTCTCAGCATCGCACGTCAAGCGACTGGGCGAAGTAAGATCATCGTCTTCAACGGCGCCTATCATGGTGGGGTCTTGACCTTTGTTCATGGAATTTCCGTGAACTCTGTTGACAGAGACGACTGGATTGTTGGAACATATAACGATGACGAAGGAGTACAGCGACTGATATCTGAGAACAAGGGAATAGCTGCTGCAGTGCTTGTTGAGGGGATGCAAGGTGCGGGCGGCTGTATACCGGGATCAGCCAAGTTCATGCACGCTATTCAAAAAGCGACGAGCCAAAATGGTATGCTTTTCATCATGGACGAAGTCATGACTTCGAGGCTGGCTCCTGGCGGCCTCCAATCGACAATCTTGGATCCCCACGACGGTGCTCCTTTGAAACCAGACATCACGACTTTGGGCAAATACATTGCTGGAGGAATGACAATTGGCGCCTTTGGGGGACGCAAGGAATTACTCTCAACGTATGACCCTCGCCCAGCCTCCGAGTCGGCAATGCAGGGAAAGCCGGCTCAAATGAGCCATTCGGGTACATTCAACAACAACACACTCGCGATGCATGTCGGCATAGTTGCCCTCTCATCCGTGTTCACGCCTGCAGTATGTACGGAACTTAATGCTCTTGGGGACTGGTTTCGTCAAGAATTGTTTGATAGGTGCCAAGGGTCGAGAATGACGGTGACTGGAGTTGGGTCGGTGTGTAACATCCACTTTGGCGCTCATGAGAATCAACGCGAGATTCTCCGGATTGAGCATTTGGATGAGCGGCTCTCGAAGGCTGATTCTGGCTTGAGGGATCTCTTTTGGTTTCAGGCTGTTCAGAAGGGGTTCTGGATGGCTCGCCGTGGCATGGTGACTTTGACCATGGGAACTACGAGATCGGAGCTTCAGGGATTCATTGGATTTGTGGAGGACTTTGCTCGATCAACTCGCGGTCCCCGGTGCTAATCGCCATGACAATGATTATGTGCCTGCTATCTCTACTCAAAGGCATGAACTTTCATGGTTGTTGGCTCTTACGTCCCAACTCAGAAGACGCCTACCTTAGACCTAAACATTGATATTTCAACATCGTTGTCCTTCTTCAAGCTCTTTACTTTCATAGACATTTTTATGTATGCACACGCCCTGGTAACAGGCTTTTTACAGAGAGTTTTCAAAGCAGACTCCTACCAGAAAGCCTACCATGATCAAAATGCTATTGTCTTTCTGCATCACCGATGCGCAGCTTCATGTACCGCACAGGACTGAAGGTGCCGGTGGGTGATCAGCCTAATTTCATAACTCGGTAGAAACAGCGTGAAGCAAAAATCTCATATTTGTTGATCGGATGAGGCTTTGTGTCATCCCGTGCATACAACGTATCGTGTATTGGTCAAGTCGTGTCTCATTAAGTCATATCTGCCAGAGACAGGTAGCATTTCCAAAGCAAACCCTTGTACTGCATTATAAGAGCTTCTCTTCCAAGTCGCGCTCATCGAAAGGGTCACCAAACTCGTCTTCGAAGAAAGCAGTTAGTGGATTTCAAAGCTTCAAGTCATATTCAGACACCACATACGCAAATTAAAGTCCTTATCCACGACATGTTCCATCGCCTTCTGGTAGTCATCCTGAGCACGCTTGGTCTGCCAGGACCCAATTAGATGTTCTGAGTTCGCTCGGGACTTCTGCGCCCCGGTTCCCATGTCCTTCAGTACGGCAGTCGAGATATCCGGGATTTGTTGAGGTTGGGAGCCGGGAGGAGAGAGTTCGGACGCTGCGGCGGCAGATGCGTGAGCGAAATGGGTTGGAGTGCGGGCGCCCGGTGCATCTGAATCTGTGTGGACTGAGTCTGCGGATGAAGCCATCTCGGAGTCGCCGTCTGGATCCCTGGAGTCTGTGAACGGTGAGTGGAGGGTCGGCATTTGCAGGAACAGGTCACAGTGCGGGGTCGGGAATAGCCACCGCTACGAGGGTCTCCAGGGCCTATGGCGGCCAAAGTCCCCTCCATTTGGGGCAGATGAGATGGGATCAGAAAGTCACGTACCAATAGCCATGTTGGTGGTTACGTGCAGAGCTGAGGGGAGCTTAATGGACCGGATGGGATGGAGCGGAGAGCGGAGTTCAACGCGTGGGCGGTGGCCAATTGGGCATTTACCTCGATTTTTCTTTTCTTTCTGACATCCTGGTATACACTCTGAGCATAGTGTGGAGCTTTATATTGTACTCGCATTCACTGTCTTCTATCTTTTAGTCTCCCCTATCTTTCTATTTATCTTGTGCCATGAGCGCGAACACTGAAGCCCCCAACGCCTGGGAGGACGAATGGGAAACCCAGGCAGATGTAAGCAGCCCGTTGTGTTCTCTGCTTTCTTTAAGAAACATCTTCTCAAAGCCTCTGTGGCAGACGTGCTGATAATTTGATACAGACTCTGGCAACTAATCCCTCCATAGAATCCGAGAAAAAAGTCTCGTCCAAGGTCACAAAAGCACAGCGCCGCGCGCAACAGGCAGAGTTCAACCGACAGCTATGGGCAGAGGCGTACGTCGTCTTCTCTACAGATGAATCAAATCCCCAAGGAGATGAAGGCTAACTCGAATTCTTGCGCTAGCGACACCCCACAAACCTTTCACTATCTTGAAGCGCGCTCCGAGGTTGTACCCCTCAAGCAGGACATCAAGCCAGCTGTCACCCTCCTCAGCCGCAAACCGCAGATTGCAACTAGGAAATTTGCCGCCGTGGGGGTAGATGGCGCTGCAGCAGGTCTTAGACAACTCGGTCTAGATGGCGAGGAAGACGATTCAGACGACGAATCAAAACCTCGGGAGCCCACGTTTGAGGAACGTCAAGCAATTGCACTGAAAGCCAGAGAAGAAAAGCAGCGCAAATATGAGGAAGTACGAGAGAGGCTTTTTGGCAGTCCATCTGCTACGACATCCGGCACTTCATCGCCTGGAAGTACAACACCGCCCCGCCAGAACTCGTCAGCCGATGGCAGAGGAAAGGGCAAGGGACGCGGTGGTCGGAACTACCAGAAGCGAGACTCATCTGTAGCTTCAAACAAATTGAGTCGAAATCTCTACGACCCGTCGACTTTTACTAGACCAACCGGCCCGCAATTACAGAGGCGAGAGCGCCAGGGTGGTCAGACTGGCTCTGAAAGGTCGCCTGCACCACAGCAGCCGACTCGAAGCCCTCGTGGTCCGGATGGGAGTGGAAGAGGTGGTTTTGGATTTGCCACAAGAGGCGCGCGAACAGGCTAAAGGATACATTGCTTCTGATGCTTGTCACTTCATCTGTTCTTTCCACCGCGACTGGCGGCGAGAGCAAGGGCCTCCCTCATTGCTGGCCAGTTGGGAGCGTTCCTATCTTTCAGGGAAGTCCCCGTCCCGAATTGATTGCATTCGCAACTTGAGATGTGTTCGGGCGGTTCTCTGTCATACGATATGTCAGCACTAAACGGCCTGGTACTGGTTCGATCAAAGGCACTCACCGGCGTAACGCTCATAGCTATCAAAGTAGAGCTGGTCTGTGCTGGTTGTTGCTCGGACATGCTCATTGGCTTCGAGTGCGTTCACCCATGACCCCCATCTTGAGCGTTCCTCGGCATCTGGCCAACCCCGATAGGGCTTCAAGACCCGACTGAGCCGAAGGACCCATGGAGCGGCCTGAACATCGACGAAGGAAAGTTGTGATCCCATGAAGTATGGGCCACGGGCATCCGCGGCGGCCATCAACTGGTTGAAAGTATTTCGAAGCTCCTGTGCATGAGCAATCTGTTTCTGCTGGTCCTGTTCCTGTAGGACACGGTAGAAGTTTGGTATAATGTTCCGGTTGATCTGAAACATGTTAGCAACGATTGGTGGCAGGAGTAAGAGGCTTTGCTCACATGGTCTGCCCATAACCGGCAGTGAGCGCGCAACTTTGGATCGGCTGGCATGAGTGGCTCGCCGAGATCAAGATCTTCCAGCTATTTTGCATTAGCATTGACAGGGAAGTGAGACTTGGAAAGGGCAACTTCTTCACATATTCCATCAGCACTGTGCTTTCATAGCATCCCCAATCGTCGTGCCTCAGTGCTGGCACAAGACCTCGCGGGTTCACCTCCAGTAGGGACTGAGGCTTCTTGTACGGATCCACTTCAATATACTGATAGGGAATGCCTTTCACTTCAAGTGCAATCCAGACACGCTGTACAAAAGGGCTAGAGATTATCATTGGGTCAGTCTGGTTTTGATGGCATGATAATGCCAATTGCAGAAATGCAAAGGAACTGTCACACACCAAAAGCAGCTGCCGAACAGCTTGAGATTTGACTCAACTGAACGGCGAGTCACTGTAGCGGCGGCCAAGCCAGACGCTTTGGTGTGGTATGACTTCTGCGTGTGGGTGTTGTCGTCCATGACTCGATACTGTGGAAGCAGATTAGGAATGGTCTACAATTCAAAAACAAATGGGCATCAGAATCGCAAGATATTGAATGAAAGTCAAGAAATGGAGGATGACATGGGGTGACGTAGACCGTGTGGGGGATCGCCAAGCCCCTTCGAGGTATTGCTGTAGGGAACAAGATGGACGTACCGTGGACTTCTTCCTCCCCTTGTCCTCTTTCATGAAGTGTCTATGAACACTATTCTTCTTGACTCGATCGCTATCCTCAAGCGTATGTCGATGACCACCTTCCACGCCTTCACTCTTCCCATTGGCACCATTTCCATTCACACGTTGTATGGTGAAATATCGCGCTCCGTTCACCCCGGGATGATCTGACGGTAAATTGGGCCCTGGCGCAAGCACTCCAAAGGGCTGATTCCCTTGAACGGGAAACAAGGTGTGAACTCCAGGCAAAAGTTCAGCGGGAAGCGATTCGAATCCACCAGTTGTATCTACGACCCCGCCACCCGGGAAGTACTCCGTAATCTTGATCTTGACGTCGCAGAGATCTCGCTCTCTGGCCGTACGCTTGCGCTTTTTCTTAGTCGGGTCGTCGGACTTGGGTGTCCCTGGAGGCCGACCTTTCAGGCGACAGTCCCAGTAGTGGGATACGAATGGCCTGCGTTTGTAGCGCTGAGTGGAGCGATGAGAGTAAACATTATCAACGTGTGGGAAATAAGTCTGGAATCTACAATGGAGTCGGTCAGTGTTCAATGAAGCTGAGGAAGTATATCACGATTTGGAATAGCATACTGTTCTTCGCTCAAGGTGATGGTCTCATTCACGTGGAACAAGCGATCTCTCCAATACTCTAGATCAGGTGGATCCGGGATCAGCTTGCCCTGTAATTGTCCTGCAAAACTTGTTGAGGCTGTTGAGTTGGGTGCGAGCTCTTCATAGTCCGGTTGCTGAAATGACGGATCCGATTGGAGTAAAGATATTCCATCTTTTGTAGTGGCCCGAACGTTGCTTTCCAAGTCTATTGCGTCTGGCGCAGTTGCATTTTGTGCTGGGTGCGGGTCGACACTGTCAATAGACCGGAAGGACGCAAAGGCCTGGGAGTCCGGGTGGAAGTTCCTGAGCTGCGATAATCCCTGCGCTTCATCAATGATGTCGAGCGCCGACGCTAGCGGGCGCGCAGCACGCAGGTCGGAATCCATGAGTGGAGTGCGTCGTGCTGCTTTTGGCGGGTGCGGAGAAGAAAGGGCGGGCAGTTCAAGCGGCATGGCGGGTCCCGCGTACTGGGGTTGAAGTAACATCCATCACTATACTCTTTTAGTATATATTCTTGAGTCAAAGAGCCTCAACCCCTATGGATAGTTTTCTTAGAGGTGCACAAATTTACTTAGAAATTCAAGTTAAGCAGATATGTGAAGATTTAAGATATCAAGGAGCTTTATTCTTGCTGCACATCGGAACCATATCTTTCTGGCACAACTCCCAGACCTGCATGCCAGCTCACACATGCAGAATAGATCACCTTGGGAACATCTTCAACCTGAGGCTGCTTACAAACCCTTCTTCCCAGTATGCTTCTTAGCCGCCTCTGAGTTGGCAAATGGGAACCCAGTGGTCCTCTTATCAGCGCCAGTCCGACGACTGATCTTACCCTCACCGCTCGCAAAGAGCACACACCACAGGCCAATAAAGGCGAGGATCGAGTGTACGATAACCGCCACTAGGAATGACCCCTGGCTTCTGGAGACGTACCAGGTGTATGCATAGAAGCCGGTGGTGGCGTGGAAAGCCGAGGTCACCATCAAAGTCGGCAAAGCATAAGGAGCTCTGGGATCCGAGTCCTCGGTCGTCACGGGCTCCGTGATTGTGTTTGTTAGGGGGGATTGAGCCCGTGAGCATGGCGATTAAGACGGCGATTGTCAGGAGACCAAAGCCCAGACAGCGGGCCAAGTAGATTTCGATGGCTTTGACAAGGCAACGGCGTTAATGTGAGCTTTGGAGTACTCGGCAGTCACTCAAACGAGGGGTGGTGGGTATCACGAACAGGAAGCAGGCCGAGGCTCATCCAGTAGCATGGAGACCAGCATGCTCGGGCCAGTGATCAAGAACAAGCTCTGCAGGGAAAGCCATCCTGCTGTAGAGTATGTGTATGCGTGAAAGACCTAAATTGTCGAGGTTAGCAGCTGAATCTGGACCAACGATGTCCTGACACCTCAAGCAGGCTCGGGTGGGGGTTAATGTCGGCAGTACTAGTAACTTACGTCCATGTTCGGCTCATCAATGGGGATCAGTTTTAGCCGTGAGACAGGAAAGAATGTGGGAGCTGTTTGCAGACTCAGAAGCGTCAAAGGAGAGGTCGGAGTTAGCCAGGCAACCTTCAACTCGCCTCGAAGCTGTACCATGAATGACGTCACTTGTTTTGTGGTGTTTGCATCGTGACGAGCTTTGTGTGTTGAAATACTAAAACGTCAGGTTCGCGTTCTAGTACAAATGGTGCAGAGTAGGCATTGGCTTTAAACTCAATCATGTCTCCTATTTGGGTTTGTATCTTGATGCAATGAAAAAGAATAAATGATAGAAAGAAATCTGACACCGATTAGCCACCAACTCCTGAATCATGATTACAACGCCGCATGAGAATTCTCAATGCTCATCACTGGTTCATGCTGGCGGAGCGCAAGTACCGAGTGAAGCTGTTATCCTGATCAGAAGGTTGATCCTGCCCAAGGGCATGCTGGTAGCGCGAAGAGAGACCTTCATCATCGCCAGCGCTTGGGCCTTCGTAATCATCTTCACTATCATCCTCGCCATCGGCCAGTCCTCGCTTGATAATCTCATCCTCGCTGTCATCTTCAGCCTCGCTAACAGTCTCAGGCCCAACCTCAGGCCCCTTGGCTTCTCTGCGACCTGATCCCGAGACATTCATATCCTTCATCAACTTGCCCAATTCAACCTCGCGCTGATTGGCCTTGTTCTCCTCCCGCTCCTGCTTTTTTCGCTCCAATTCAGGTTTGTAATCACGTTCGAACTCTTGGCGCTTTTCCTCCACAGCCTCGAAGAATTCGTCAACGCCGTCTCCGGTCATGGAGCTCACGCCCACGACGCTCAAGTGGCGGTAGAACTCCTCGAGCATCAAGCTCATGCTGTTCAAAAGTGATCCCATGTATCCACTCCCGGCTCCGAACCCGCCGGCTGAGCCCTCGGCACCAAAGGCACCGGATTCTTCTTCCTCGCGCAAAGCCTGCTGGAACTTGTCAAAGTCGGTCATCCATTCCTTGGCAAACTCGGCATCCTTGACATCAGTCTTGTTGAAAACCAAAATCATAGGAAGTTTCGTCTTGTAAAGAATACTGCAAGCATATAGCATGTTGCTCATAAAAGTGCTGGTTGAGCTGGCGCGCGGGGTGTCGATAATATAGGCGATAACGGTCGGGAAAGATGAAGCGAGGGTTTCGAGAAGAATACTTCCAGATGCACTCCACACGAACACTTCAATCTGACCCGGGGTGTCGACGAGGATGTGTTCAATCGGTTTGGCAGCGGGCTTGCTGGGATCTGGAGTAGTGCGCTTCTCTAGAAGAGCAATGATCTGATCGACTTTGGTGGCGAAAAGATTCAGGGATGTCAAGATTCCACCGTTAGGACCCAGGTTGTATTGGCGCATTACTTCCTTGTAGTTGATCGAGTCTCGAATATCAATGTTGCAGTCAAAGGGCACCGAATGCACCGCCGGGTCGAGGTTCATCACATAGGGCACACTCTTCTTTGAATGAAGATGGGAGTTAATTCTCTGCATGAAGGTGGTCTTTCCCGAGCCTAAGAGGACGATATTGTCAATATTCAGTGTTCCTGGTTCAAGCTCGTGAGGGGCAAATCGCTTTACCTGCCATGCCCACGCAGACAACGGACACTGGATTCGCCATGGTGAAATGAGGAAGCTCTTTTGTAACAGATGGTGTCAGATGGATAGCTTTTCCTCGATTATTGCGTTGTGGTGTCCAGCGCAAGGTGCTGTGGCGATGAAGAAGAGCTCAACTTTTTTTTCTCGGAAATTCTAGTCGCGGGGAACCCGACGATCTGCGCGTGGACCGCCCGGCGCGCCAAACGTCATTCCGCCTGAGCTCTTTCTCCGTTAAACCACCACCTTTCAGAGAACAAAATGACCCTGGAAGATTTTGAAAAGTCGCTCGCGGAGGACCAGGATCGGCGGGAAAAGGATAAGGATCGACATCGCCGTGACCGCAGCAGCGAGCGCTCGCGGCATTCTCGCCATCACCGTTCTGGTCATCATAGACGCCATTCATCTAGATCCCGCGAGCGCAGAAGCGATCGGGATCGTGAGTCCCGCCATCATGATGATGAGGGGCATCGTTCGAAGCGTTCACGCCACTCGACCGACCATGGAGACGACCGCGACCACGAGCGCAAGCGACGTCACCGACATGAAAGTAAGGACGACGCGGAGTCTGCGCCCAAGGCGGCCGCGGAGGAGCGGCCGGCCCAATTGAAGCGAGATTCCTGGATGGAAGCTCCTTCGGCTCTTGACATTGACTACGTCCACCGCCCAGATCCCAAGCGCGTGGAAGAGGACTCGAAACCGAAGATGCTTGCAGCTGATTATGAGCTGAAGATTCATGACAAAGAGCTCAATGAGCACCTGCGCGACCTCAAGGATGGGAAAGCACTTGAAGATATCCAAGAGGAGTCGGCGCAGCATGAGGTGGATTACACATTTGGAGATTCTGGATCGCAGTGGAGAATGACGAAGCTCAAGGGTGTCTACAGGGAAGCCGAAGAGAGCGGTGTACCTGTGGAGGAGGTTGCGACTGCTCGCTTTGGAGACCTACGATCATTCGATGATGCCCGTGAAGAGGAAATCGAGCTGGATCGCCGCAAGATGTACGGCGAATCCTACGTGGGCAAGGAGAAGCCGAGCGGAGAATTGTTCCAAGAAAGAAAGCTTCAAAACAACGTTCGCAGGGATCAAAAAGAACATCTACGCGATCCAGCGGAGGAGCTTAAAACAGAAGGGCAGGGCAAGCAGATGGAAACTGTGCCTCCTTCATTCAGAACACAGCCTCTGGATCAGACGGCGTTGAATCGTCTCAAGGCTCAAATGATGAAAGCGAAGCTGAAAAAGGCACCCAATGCGGCTGAGCTTGAAGAAGAATACGATGCTGCCGCCGCTGCCATGGCTAATCGCAAACAATCCGACATCGTCGTGCTCGGTGTCAAAGACAATCGCATGCTTGCTGGATCAAGGAATGAGGTCAAGGCGGTGGATACCAAGAGAGGCCGTGAAAGAGGTTTGGTCGTAGAAAACGATGACATGACCATCGACGACATGGTTCGTGAAGAACGCAAGACTCGGGGTCAGATGGGAGGCGAAGGAAAGCGATTGGCAGAACGTATCACCCGTGATGGAAAGTTTGAGGTAAGTGATGACCGCTCTTTACTGTTTGACTTTACCTAACATGCATATAGAACGATTTGGAGTACATGGATGACAATGCCTCCAAGCTAGCCAAGCGAGTGCACCGATCCGAAATCGACATCAAGAGTGCAACAGTCAATGAATTCCGCAAGATGAACCGAATTCTAGACAACTGCCCACTCTGTCATCATGAGGATACCAACACACCACCGGTTGCTCCCATTGTGTCCCTTGCGACCCGGGTATTCCTGACCCTTCCCACCGAGCCTGAAATCAGTGATGGAGCTGCCACAATTGTGCCCATTCAACATCGAAACAATCTCATGGAATGCGACGATGATGAATGGGAAGAGATCGCAACTTCATGAAAAGCTTGACCCGCATGTACCACGACCAGGGGCGGGATGTGATCTTTTATGAGAATGCAGCTCACCCCCAACGTAAACGGCACGCATCTATGGAGGCAATTCCTCTACCCTATAGCCTCGGAGAGACCTCTCCTGCATTTTTCAAGGAAGCCATTTTGAGCGCTGAGTCTGAATGGTCACAACACCGCAAGCTCATCGACACCCTGGCCAAAGCGAAGCAGGGACTTGGAAGATCTGCCTTCCGCCGCACCCTCGTGAAGGAAATGCCTTACTTCCATGTCTGGTTTGAGCTTGACGGTGGCCTTGGGCACATTGTGGAGGATGAGAATCGCTGGCCCAAGGGAGATCTGTTCGCAAGAGAGGTCATTGGAGGCATGCTCGATGCGGCTCCGGATGTGATCAAGCGGCAAGGCCGTTGGAATCGGGGTGGTGATCGCCGGGTGGAACCATTCAGGAAACGTTGGAAAAAGTTTGACTGGACTCGCATTCTTCTTGAGGGATAGGCGTCCTTCGCGCTTCATGTATATCTCGGTGCTACGGCCACTACAGCTTGACCAGAAGGTGTCCTAATCGGGCCCTATCACTTTCATTCTCTTACGCCTTTGGGAGAAGCACTCTGCGAGAATAGTTGCCCAACCGTCTGGCAGGATATCTCTGCTCAGGGCATCCAGTTGACTGGAATACAACTGGATAGATAATCACGTATGATATCTCCTTGACCAAGTCGTAGGCCCAAGTGCATCGTTCTGGTGCAATCCATGTATGTTTGATAGAGAATGTCAAGAGCTTGATCCGCGGTCACCCGGGTCAGAAGATGACTTGCCATTAAGCAAGACGGAGGGTCTCCGACGATTCTTATCTCACTCGGATTGACACTTCCCAAATTTGCCGAAGGTGATCGGATCGCCCAAGAATGTAGATCGAGTGTAGGCCTTGATTTCGATGCTGGGCTCTTGATTGGCGATTGCCACCAGTAATGCAGCAGTATCTGCAATACTTTGGCACGCAAGGTCCGAACTTGCATCAAACATCCGTGCCATCCGACTGAAGTTCACACCACTGGGCGACATTCCGCGCGGGGAACTGTCCGCGATAAACGGCTTGTGTGGCAGCCCCATAATCTTCTCGGCCGATGCCTTTTCCGAATGACTCTAGCCATGAAGCTTTCTTATCTCCTCTGCCTTCTTCTTGCTCGACTTTAATCTCCCTGGTTGACCTTTTCATCGAGCTTATTACGGCTCACGGAATCGCTTGCCTCTTCTATTGGACATTGCCGTACAACTCCCCACCTTTCTTATCGGGAAGTGTCGCGCCTTCCTTTGACATATCTGCGTCTGCCTTCTTTTTGCTATTATTCAACACATCGCTTTCCTGGCGTAAATATTCTGCCAATTGAGTGTTTGCGAGACCTTCAGTTGCAGTAAACCGGTGTGCTCGAAAGTTGTCACCACGTGCATCAGTGATTCGGACTGACAGCCTGCAGTATTTCCAGAAGTCCTCATAAAAACTTCATGATAATGGGATCCACCGAGACCAGACCCAAGATTCTACTTCTTGGAAAAATCTACCAGTGAGCCATCCATTTAGCTCGCGCATTGTAGTCAATGCTAACAAGCTGATCGCTGAACAGTGCAAAAGGGTCTTGGAATGCACTCAATGATCTTGGTGAGCTGATCGAGACAACCGCCAGAAACCGTGCCGAATTTATTCAAGAGTGCCGGAATGGGAAGTTCAAGGGTGTTGTCGCTGCCTACCGTACCTTCCAGTCTGCTCAGATCACAGGCCAGATCGATGAGGAGCTGGTAAAGGAGCTGCCCAGTTCTCTGATATATCTTGCAAGCTGCGGTATGGCCTTGTACCAGTAATAGATATGCCAATGTACTAACCCCCAATGATCAACAGGGGCCGGTTACGATCAGATTGATGTCGGCGATTGCAGTGCACGCAAGCCTCCGATTCGCGTCTCGAACGTCCCCACTGCCGTGGACGATGCGACTGCCGACGTGAACATGTTTCTTATTCTCGGTGCTCTGCGTAATTTTAATGCTGGTATGCACGCTTTGCGTCAAGGAAAATGGCGTGGTGGAGTGAGTCTTGGGCACGATCCCGAGGGAAAGACCCTAGGCATCTTGGGCATGGGTGGCATTGGCCGTAACCTGAAGAAGAAAGCCGAGACTTTCGGGATGAAGGTCATTTATCACAATCGCCGTCAGTTGAGCGACGAGCTCTCCGATGGAGCTCAATATGTCTCGTTTGATGAGCTCTTGTCCACCAGTGATGTGCTTAGCTTGAATCTGCCTCTGAATGTAGGTGCTTTCCATGAACGTGCTTATTCATGAGGAATCCCAGGATGCTGATCTCTCTCAGAAAAACACACGTCACCTCATCGGCAGGAATGAGTTTGCGAAGATGAAAGACGGCGTGGTTGTCGTCAACACAGCTCGCGGTGCTGTCATGGATGAGGCTGCACTCGTTGAGGCTTTGGACAGCGGCAAGGTGTTCTCGGCTGGTCTTGATGTTTTCGAAGAGGAGCCCACGATTCACCCCGGCTTGCTCAGCAATTCGAATGTGATCTTGGTGCCTCACATGGGAACTTGGACGATTGAGGTGGGTTCTACAACCTGCGAGTCAGTGCATGAACATGGAAAATTTACTAACAATTTCTAGACGCTCACTGCAATGGAAGAATGGGCTATTGAGAATGTCCGCCTCGCGTTGACCACTGGCAAGCTGAAGAGTCCAGTACCTGAGCAGGCTGACTTGTGGAGTTGATGGTTCCAAGATGACTGTGAAAATGTGGCTAGAGTGGCCTTTGTACAAACTTGCCTCAAACAACCTCGGAAGTTGGTTTAAATTCATGATAGAACTTACATGACTTTCCCCCTAAGCTTGAACTTCGCCCCTTCTAGCCTAGAATCTATTGAATCTCTTGATACTCAAATCATCAGTCACATGTACCGAGAAGGGCAAAGCAAATGCTGAACAAAAGTGAGCGACCAGTGGTGTTACTGCTTTAGGACTAGTCTGATCGCGGAGCTTGATCTTATCACCTCTGGAGTGAGCCTCAATTACGACATGCTCTACACCTGCCATTATGGCCGAATACTGGAAATCAGCTGTGAGCCACCCCTTCGCATATTATTATGTTACCCTCCTAACCAGATCGTTCATACCACAGCCGCGCCATTGGTGCAAACAGTGCAAGATCTTCATCCGCGACACACCTTTCGAAAAGACCCAGCATGAGGCGAGCGGGAAACACCAATCCAGCCTGAGGCGCTTTCTTCGTGACATCCACAAGAACAATGAGAACCAGCAGAAAGAATCACAGCGAGCAAAGACTGAGGTTGAGCGATTGCGCAAGGCCGTCGGAGGCGGGTCCTCTGCGTCCTCCGCACCCGGAGACGCACCGTCTAAACGCGCCGCAGCACCAGCTCCCAAGCCTGTCAGTGTAGAAGAAAGGAAAAAGCAGATCGCCCAGCTGGCTGAAATGGGTGTTGCAGTCCCTGACGAGTATCGTGGCGATATAGCCTTGGCCGGTGAATGGCAGACACTTTCAGAGACCAAGGTCGATGTGGAGGGACTGGAAGGCGCTGCCAAGTCTATTGGTGTTCGCAAGCGCAAGCATGATGGTGATGAGGAGGAGGATGAACATATTCCCGAGCCAGTCGCGAGACAAGGGTGGGGTTCGAGGATGAAGACGTACCCTGGTGCGCAGGACGAGGACGAGGATTTGGACGCTCTTCTTGCGTCTACGAAAGACCTCAAGAAGACAAAACAATCTCTACCTACGATCGCGAAAGAGGAGCCCGAAGAGCAGGAAAAGGAGCATGCCTCTGTCTTGAAGACAGAAGATGAAGCGCCTGGCTCGAAGAACGTGAGGACAGATGAGGCCGCTCAAGTGAAAATTGAAGTGCCTGGAGAGGGCTCTACGCCTGCAGCGGATGAAATGCCACCAGCCCCAGAAGAGACAGGCCCTATCTTCAAGAAGCGCAAGCCGAAGGTCATGAGAAAATAATATTTGACTAGGCGATACCAGTTCATGAACCACATCAATATTGTTCCTGAGAATTCAGCTTCTGCACATCAAGCAGCTGGAGATATGAGAAACCTGAATTCAGGGCACGCGAAGGGGTTGCGACGTGCCACCTCCACGCTCCTACTTCATCTCGAGACTCTATGGCCATGCCAAAGCATTTCCGCTCGAGGAATGTTCCATCGGTTTGATCGGAACATCAAGGCATGATAATAAAAGCCTCTGAAAGCCTCCTTGATCTCCCCCTTCAATGCCTCTAATTATCGAGACGCACAACTGGATCGATGGCGCCTCCGTTCAAGACGCCCTTGGTGATGTACGCCCCCACCACGTGCGAAACACCTTCCCCCCAAAACACGAACAGAGATCAATCACGGAGGCATAAATGTACAAAGCGAATGGAGAGCTGCTCTCATTATACAGTAATCAAGGTCTCGTAGATCACACCGCGGGCGGTATACAACACCCACGGTCCGCTTCCCCACACGTCAAAGGACAGTTGTAACAATTGATCTCATCAAAGTATTGACACTCAATTTGAATATCAACTAATTCATGTATGGTGATAAGTCTGATCAAGGTCGTTGTTGTAGTATAGACTTGCCACCCCAATTTTTTTTTCGGCGTCGAAGCGGAGACTTGGATCGCCGGAAAAGAAAGCTCCTCTGGTTCTCACCAACTTCGCGCATCTCCTCCAGTCTGCCACCAACGCTCCGTTCACGCAGATTTGTCGTCAAATCCTGCGGCCTATCTCTTGTTACTACCCCAATAAGTCATTACTTGGTGAGTAGATTCTTTGAAAAGAAACCGCGCGTTGTCTAGCCCAGCAAATCATTCATCTCCACTCGAGTCGCACTTCCCTCCCATTCACGCAGTCCCCGCGGATGCCGCTCTCCAGCGTCTTCATAATCCAGCCCGGTCTGAATGAGGCTCTCGGTTTCCGAGAAATCACCCCGGCGACTTGTTGTTTCGGCTGGGTGTGAGCCTGCGAGCGGGGAGCATTGTCTTTGGGGTCTTACCACGAAGAATGCGACGAGCGGACTCCGATCGGCTGGCATGACCTCTGCGAAAATCTGGCGATCCAGTTATCAAGCCTCTTGAACCCCCGGACTTCTTGCAATTTACCCCGGTCGGAGCTCGATATTGTGTCGCATTGCATGGTTCTCCCCACCGATCGGATCTGCTCCCATCTGGTAACCTTCCAATGTGGCTCTGAACACCCAAAATTGGTCCCTCTGAAGCTTCTGCTACGCTGCATCTCGCACTACGGCTTACGCTGGCGTAAATGCGCATCATGAGACGCGTTTTGCCTCACCACTTGACAATGGCTGGATTTCTTTTCAGCACGCGGGAAAACTCTGGCTAACGTTTCGCGAACCTTATAGACCGAAGAAAATAAATGATTTTTCACTACCAGCCCGTCCGATCTGGTGTGGTGCCTCTGCTTAACAACAAGCCACACGATCTTTGACCTCCAAATTCGGCCTGTTCCCGCCTAGGGACTAGTCTTTGAACGCGACGGCGGGCCCTGCCTCATACGACACTACGCCTCGATTACACGCACCACTGTGCTTAGAGGGCTACACATTTCATTATGTCAGAACCGACGGATCCCAACTCTGGTGATTCGACCGGTTTACCCACTGAGTCGAATGCGCCAGCTACAGAGACCAGCCAGCCCCCGGCACCGAGTGGACAGCCGACTGAAGAAACGCATGTGCCCTCGAATTCGAATCATGGGTCAGTTACGATGAGCGAGCCTCCGTCAGAGCCCCCACAACCAGCGCCAGATACCAATCAACAAGTGAGCACTGGCAACCCGCAAGAAGAAACTCACCCATCTGCACCTGCACCCGCGCCAAATGTCACCTCCTCGTCAATCGATCATGCACTGCCTGCGATGGACTCCCACATTCCATCGCTAGACTTTGACACAGAATTACCATCGATTGGATCGTCTGCAGACGCGGACCTCTCCCTCCCAGCGATCGATACAACGCTGCCATCACTCGACTCCGCGTTGCCGGCAATTGGAACGGACATTCCCACCATGGAGGAACACGAACACCATTCTTTCGACAATGGGTTCGACCACCATGACCATCACCACAACGGATCCGTTGATTCGGGAAACAACTTTGACCAGCACTCCGAGTCGATGAATGACTCAAGCCATTACCAAACGCCCGTCAATGGCAATTACCATTACTCGCCGACGCCACAACAGCCAGATGGGCAACAACCGCCCCAAGGGCAGTCTCAGCATCAGTTCCAGTCGCAACCACCGAATTACCAACAGCAGAGTCCCGACATGTATCACAATCCTGGTGGCTTTTCCTCGGTGAACTCGAACTCCGGGAATAATGGCCAGGGGCAGCCTGGTCAGGTGCCGCAGGCTCCCATCGGATCGCCGATGCCCGCACACATGCCTCCGATGGCTTCAATGGGCCAGTACATGACAGGCTACCCGTCCAATGGTCCGCAAAATCCAAACTCGCAGATGCGATACCCGCTTCCCGGTGATCCTAACAAGATTCTATCCGGCGGGAGGCATAAGAAGGAGGTGAAGCGACGCACAAAAACCGGATGTTTAACATGTCGCAAGCGAAGAATCAAGGTACGTGGTTGAGTTGAGTTTCGCTTTTCGCGGGGTCCTGGCCTCGCTTGTGCCCGCAGACCCCGCCATCGTTTATTTCATCTCCCGCTTAACGCACGACATTACTTTTTCTCGCGCCTCTCGACAAGATACTAATTTTGAGAAAAGTGTGACGAAGGACATCCGGTCTGCAGGAATTGCGTGAAGAGCAAGCGCGAGTGCTTAGGCTACGACCCCGTGTTTAGGCCTCAAGCATCTACCCCCTCGGCCATAGCTCCAAACCCCCCCTCCGTCGCTAGTCGTCAACCCTCAAGGCCCTCCTCCTGTTCAGTCGACGACTCCTTCTTACCCTTCCGCGCCTCCTGGGTACATGCCCGCTTCCTCGCAACCGTTTGCGCCGTCTCTTCACTCTGAATCGCCCAGCGCCTCGACCGACCAACCTGAACAACATCACGTAGCTTCCGTTGACCATACCTTGGGAGCCCACAACAACATACACCACTCCACAAATATGCAGAATTCCGGTGAGTTCCGGCCTCAGAGCCTGGAGCCCACGTATAGAGGTATGCGCGACTCAACATCCGTCCTTGATCTCTTCGGGGTGTTTTCGATGCACAATCGGAGCTGACAATTCTCTTAGCGGTAAAAACTCTCCATGTCAATGACTTGATCGCATTGCGGGGAATTGACCCTCCACCCCCTCATCCCGTTGGAAACCTCCCCCCGGTCGTCTCGAAGAAATACAGGCTGTGTTCCTAGCGACATATGCGCCTGCGATTGACAAGCTATTGGAAGTTCGCTGGTTCTCAGAAAAGGCGCTGTCGGTCCTCATGGCAGATTCGCAGCTCATGGCAGATTACTCGGCATTGATCAATGCGTTTAACGAATGGAATCTCGCCGACAGGGACACTCTAGCTCGCCTGGAAAGCTTTGAAGCCTCAATTATCTGGAGAAGTATGGTTCTCTGCCGCCAGGTTCCAAGCGCAGAGAATGGACAGTACGGACAAGACTGGAATTTGCTGGCAACGAATGCCCGTCTCAATGCCATTGAGGCTTTGTTGAGCTGGAACCACATGGACCAAAATGCCTTATCGCGGCCACTGGGCATGGATGCCGCTACTCCACCCAACTCCCCCGATCAGTTCATGCAACGCCAGTTGGATTTCTGGAGCGAACTTGGTGACTTCCTGACTCTTCACGACAACGAGGCCAGCTCAGCGAAGCAGATTGACGACACTCTGAGTCGGCTTCGCTCAATGCTGGATACATATGAAAACCGCGATATCATCTACTCTATTGCTATTGCACGCCACCTCGGTCAGCGCTGGGCCGATTTCCCTCACAATCCGCCGAAGATGGGCTACTCCAACGAGAAAGAATCCGGCACGAAGCTTTTCGTCGCACAGAAGTTCATCGAGGAAGAAGCCGAAGGCAAGGGCACGACTCAGGTCTACAAGCGCATTTGCTGCATGGCAGTGCGCTCGTGGTGGGTTGCTCGCGAGTGAACAACTTCAGCTCCAGCATCAAGCTAAGATGTATTTTCTTTCTATTTCTCATTTCACCGGCCTACTGTACAGGCTGGCCGGTATTTACGGATCTACGCGTATCTACGGTTTGGATTTACAAAAAAGCATCATGGTTCCGGCGTTGCTTTCTCGGAAAGATTTGACTTGATTTGCGTTTCTCCATTGTTATTGTGGTTCGCGGGACCGGGCAGCGAATGAGCAAAGTTATGGCGTTTCCGACCTCTTCTTTCCCCCCTCAGACGAGTTTCTTGATCCTGTGCATATCTCGCTTCTTATTTACTCGCGGGAGTTCCATACCCAGTGGCACCCAACATTGCCTGTTGGGATGCTCACGTACTAGTACTTAGTTAAAGAACAATTTCTTGATCCTTTTTTACTGAACTGTAGAGCATTCATCAATGTGTCGTGTTGCATCATGGGCTGTTGAGCCCGTGAATTCGTAAAGACCTATTATACAGGAGATATATCAATCCTAATCTTCATCTCGCCCGTCTCACCCTGGAACAGGAACCCAGTATCCCTTGTCGATTCCACCAACTCAATCTCCCGCCGCACAAATCGACTCTTTTCCTCTGAGACAGGGTCGACCTTGCGCACTGCCGCATCATCATCGCTATCTCCATCCCAATCAGCACCTTCTTGGCCGACATCTGGTTCAATTGGATCCCATTCATCAGTCTCCCAAATTAACTTGAAACCAAATGGAGAAAGCCCAAACAGCCTGGCCACAAGAGCCTTAACCTGGTATGAATTGAATGAGCCTGGGATCTCTTGAACCCGAATCGGCCCATCTGATCCAGAAAGACGGAACGCCATTTTTACCAACCGCGCCGCCACAGATCGAGGATGAATGACCCGTCTGCCGGAACCGTCAGATACCACGGCTCTAGTGATGGCCGGTTCACCATAGAGCTCGCATAGCTCGACGTAGCGTGGGTGCTCGGCGAGAATCCGGGGCTCCTCTTCTTCAGAGGTAGCGGAGAGGGTCTTGCCGATGAGGGAGAGGTAATACATCTCCGCATTGGAGCGATCCTGCCAGGATATATTGCTAAAATTCAGAGTGCGAAGCGTTGTTGGGAAACGGGAGAGTGTGAGCATGAACGCTTCGTCAACTGTCATGGGGTTGCAGGCGCTCATTGAGGATGTCGCGGCGGCAATGGCTGCTGGAAGGGGTGGTTGGTCGTATAGGGGATTTCTTGAGAGACGGAGAGTTGTTAAGCCTGGAAATAGAGTTGAGAGATGGTTGAGGAATGTCCATGAAGAGATTTGGTTGAGTGAAAGATCAACTGAGCGGACAGTTGGTGGAAACTGGAAGCTTAGGGTGTCGTTGGGGTCGCTAGTGATGCTAGTAATATTGTTTCCGCGCAGAGAGAGATGCTCTAGGTTTGGGAGAGCTGACAGGTGGCGGATTGATGATAATGATGTGATCTCGTTCCAATCTAGGGTCAATGTGGTGATACTGTTGGGAAGTGGACGTGTCGTTGCTTTGAGTTCGTTGGTGGTTAATATAAGAGAACTGAGCTGAGGGAATCGCGAGGCCACTTCAGCGATCTGTGCTTTGAGTTAGTGTCAGATATCTTGAGACGATGCTTTCGTATCACGTACTTCATCCCAGTGTAAGAAGGTTTCCTCTAGGTGCAACTCGGTAATTCCCTTAAAGAATAGACCTTCTTCCAAGGACTGAAATCGATTCCCACTATGTTTCGAGTCAGCTCACGGAAACATCCCATGATGACACAATGAATTTGGCTCAAGGTGGAAATGATGACTTACTTCAACTTTAAGCGCTGTAGATGCTTCAATTGATTGCAGATTTCCCAGACATCGCGCCAGTGGCTCAACAGGTTCCGACTCATATCCAAGTCGGTGATCTTCGGACAAGTAGCTGCGATCTCTATAGCAGACTCTTGAACTTGATCGAGCGGCTGGTCATAGGACGACAGCACTCCAGTCAGACGCAGTCCATCCAGAATGACAATGCGCAGCTCTTGCAATTCAGCCATCTCCCTGCGGATCTTGTCAAAGCCGACCTCCTCGACGACTTTACTGCTGATTCTGATGGTTTGTTTTGGATAAACAGTTTCATTTTCTGCGTTTTCCTGCGCAGGCTCAGAGGCATACTTCTCACGCAGAGCCTCCAAGAAGCTACGCGGGGGATCTGATGGCCTGGAGGGGCGGACAAAAGATCCCGCCGTTGGCTTTTTGCTTCTACCTGCAAGTCAGATCAGTAAACTTATAGGAAACTTCTGAGAAGCATTCGAGCAGCATGTAAGCAAAGACCAACATGTAAAATAGCGCAAGCCCATGTGTTCGCCCGAGTGCTTGCCTCTACTTGGGTCGTCCCATTCGACACCAAGCCAGTCGCCCGCCGTGCCCTGCACGTTGCCAACATAGCGAATGGTGCATAGCTGGCCGTCAAAAGACCGGCGTTGACCTAATAGATCAGAAGCCATTCTCCAAAAGAGCCGAATATCCAGATGTAAAGTGATATTCGGTCGATTGTGTACACGAACGACCGCCGACCGCTTACATAACCACTTTGATCTCTCTTCGCAGATTTGCCATCTCCAGCTTCTCCAGTCAACAGCAACGCCATGGATTACCAGGTACGCATCTCCTCTCTCTTTGATTCAAAATTCAGTGGATCTATGTTCTCATGCTAATATATCCCAGAACCGAGCAGGCTCCAAGTTCGGAGGCGGCGGTGTCGCCGACAGGTCCGCAACCAACGCCGACCGACGCGAACGCCTGCGCAAGCTCGCCCTGGAAACAATCGATCTCGACAAAGATCCTTACTTCTTCAAAAACCACGTCGGCAGCTTCGAGTGTCGACTTTGCCTAACAGTCCACCAAAATGATGGCTCCTATCTCGCCCACACGCAGGGGCGCAAGCACCAAACCAACCTCGCCCGTCGTGCTGCGCGTGAAGCCCGTGAGGGCAAGAACCAGGATCCGAATAGCATGCCCGGTGTTGCGGGCGTGCAGGTCAAGAAGCAGATGATCAAGATCGGACGCCCGGGATATAAGATTACCAAGGTTCGCGATCCGTTGACACGGCAGATGGGATTGCTTTTTCAGTTGCAGTACCAGGAAATCACGCCTAGGGGTGATTCCGCGTGTGCGATTTATGTCGGCATTCGAGCAAAAGATAGAGGAGCCGGATAACGAGTTCCAGTACTTAATTGTTGCAGCGGAGCCATATCAGACCTGTGGGTTCAAGTTGCAGGCTAGGGAGGTGGATCGGAGAGATGGAAGGTATTGGACTTGGTTCGATGAAGATAGCAAGGAATTCTGGATTCAGATCATGTTCAAGACGGAACGTGAGGAACGGTTCAGTGGTGTTCCTGGTCTGGCGCCCACGCGGTCGTGATTCCACATCATTCTATACTCGTTCTTCAATACCCGGTTTGGCCTTGCTATAAAAGCTGAGGGCTGTCTATGGTGGGCATTGGAGCTCTGGCGTTCAAGGGCTTGTTTCGTGTCATTGGAATTCATGCAAAGCGATGGCATTTTCTTCTTCTTACGAATTGAGATATTGGTGGCTTGCGCCGCATCATTACGTGAAAATTTGCTAGATCCGAATGGAATGCGAATCAAAGAATAGACGTCCTGTTTTGTAGTTCACAACTAATGATATGCAGATCAAGTCCTGAAATGCAGAAAGTGGTGGTCCTCGGGCTCCCCGACTTCGGTCACCATGCTAGACAGCGTGAGGTTTCACAACAAAGAAAAAAAGACGGCGCTCGTGTCATGATTCAGAAAACATCGCGCTGATATGCTGAAGACGAATTCGTGATAAAAAAAATGGTTCCGAGCCTCCACCGAGCCAAGAGCCTGTAGAAGGTGACATGGAATCAAGCCCTGCCTGTTTCCTAGTGACCAGCGTGGGCAGCTAGCCGGCTGAGAGTTCTCGGAAGGAAGAATGCAGCCGAATCTAACTGCTTTGGAAGGCGTTGAAGGCCTTGTAGGTGTACCCAATGAATGGCAGGCTCATCTCGGCCTCCTGCGAGTCTGGCATGGCGCGGGCCTGAGCACGGTGGATAGCGCTGGTGTCCTCTTGCGGAATCTCGTCAATCGGGAAGTAAGACACGTCAATGTTGGAGGTGAGACGGGGCTCGAATGGCGCACGAATGCCACGGAGTTGCTCCCAAACCACGCCCCGGAAGAAAGGATGGTTCTTGATCTGGGTTGCGCCACCATGCTGGCCACCCTCGCTACCTATGCGGTGCTCGGGATCACACAAGAAGCTGTGAGAGTTTTGTTAGAATGCCGATTTGTATTGGATTTCAACGTGTTGAGCTTCTTACCTTCGGATCAACGATTCAGAGTCACGAGAGAGAACCAGCTCATCAGGGAAGTAGAGGCATTCACGCCAGTTGACGATCTTACGGTACGTGTCATGGGTATCTTCGGCGCAGAACGGAGGCCAGCCGACAAGACACTCGAACATGATGGCACCAACAGACCACCAATCGCACAGGTAGGTGTAACCTTGACCATTGAAAATTTCGGGAGCAATGTAGTCGGGAGTTCCGACAGTTGAGTACGCCATGGCGCGACGGGACTTTCTCCAGGTATTGATTTGGCCACGGTTTGAGACAGTCAAGTTGATGGCATCATTGAAGTAACCAGAGTTGCGGTTGCGGTCCTTTGAGGTCGAATTCTTGAGAAGGTTCTGGTAGTACGCGTTGTCGTGAGTCTTCTTGCCTCCAGTCGACAGACCGAAGTCAGTCAGCTTGACGTGACCACCCCGATCAAGAAGGATGTTATCAGGTTTGATATCACGGTGCAAGAAGCCGAGCTTGTGTACAGCCTCAATGGCCATGACAACCTCAGCCATGTAGAATCGAGTGATGTCCTCCGAAAAGATCTCATATTTGATGAGCATCGTCATCAGATCGCCACCCGGCAAGAACTCCATCAGAAGGTACAGATAAGCTGAGTCTTGGAAGGATGCGTGCAGCTTCACGAGCCACGGGTTGTCCTTCGAGTCCGCCAAGATGTCACGCTCGGCACGAACGTGTGCCAGCTGGTCCTTCTTGAACATCTCCGTCTTGATCAAAGATTTCAGGGCATAGATCTTGCCATCTGTTTTGCGCTGCACCAGTTTCACCTCACCGAAAGCACCCTTGCCGATGATCTTGATGGTCTGGAAATTCTGTGGGGTCTCCTTGGTTCGCAAGAAACGAAGGAAGTCTGATTCCCGCTTTGAAATGGACTCGGCATCCCGGCGCTTTTGATCGGAGGGGATGTTGGCATCCCGAAGGGTCTTGTCGAGGTCCACGGAGCTAGGAAACAGGTAAGGTCAATTTTCATCCTCAGCAGAGCCGACGAGCAGATACTTACCGCATATTGCGATCACGAGCCCGTTCGATATTCTCATGAAAGAAGACGGTCACCAGCTCCTTGGCGGCCTTGCCTCGCTTGTGCACATTCTCTGAGTATCTATCCGGAAACCGCTGCAATTCCTCGTTCTCCGCTGGGGGTCTTGGGCTACGAGGCACCGGGGGGAGCCAGGTGTGCGGCCTGAGTAGGGCCTGCGGCTGGGGAGCCGCCAGCAGTGCGAGGTCGCTGAGCAGGAGAGCCTGCGCGGTTAAAGAAGTTTCCCCGATTAGCGTTCAGGTCTTGATTGGAGAATTGCTGAATAAGACCATTGGCGCCGTCGGTGGTGTATCCTACGCGAGTCTGGAAGGCGGGCTGAGACGACTGCAGGGCCTGCTGTTGCTGTGCGTACTGCTGCTGGGCATACTGCTGCTGCTGCTGTTGCTGCTGCTGCTGCTGCTGCTGTTGTTGCTGGGCCTGAGGGGCATATCCGTTGTTCATGAAATATCCCGGGGCATAAGCAGGATTGGAAGGATCGACGTAGTCCTGGGCCCCCTGAGTCTGGTAGATCGGCTGGGGAAACGCGGAGGGGGTAGTGGGATAGGCGCGGTTGTTGGCCGCGTTGTAGTGCTGCTGGTCATACCCGTAATTCATATTCAGGCGATTGGGGTTGTTCGGGTTATTGGGATTGTTGGGATCCATGGTGACTTTGCTCCTGAACGAGTTCCAATGAAGAGAGTGGATGGAGAAAAGAGAAGGCGGGGAGGTGAAGGAGCGGTGGCTCAGGAGGCGATAATCCACCCTTCTTGATGGGCCCCTGTTTGGTCTGTTTCGTGCGTGTGCGTGTGTTGGGTTGTGTAGTGTTGTTTCGTACTTTTTTCATTCACGGGCTGAGGCACGAAAGCCGTGTCGCCCTTTATTCTACATTCTATTTTCTCTAGACAAAGGAGGGGCTCGGATATGCAGCCTCTCACTATTCCTAGGAGCTTTAGACCTAGAATCGACCCTCGTTCAAACTGAACTACTGGGAATATACCCCGTCCATATTCACGTCCAAGGGGGAGGGGTACGGAGGAGAGGGTACGGGGGTTCGTGATGCTCGGCACATTCCAGGCTGATTGTCAACAAGCATCGGGATTGGTCTTGCGGAAGGCGCTTAACGACGATCCATCACCCCCGGGGGCGGGTTTGGGGATGAAATTTTGCGATTAAGAAGGAAATCGGAACCATCAAGTCCAATGATTTCAACAGATAGTGTATTGCCTCATGATGAAATCTCTGCAATGCCCAGGGTTATGTTGGACAAACACATGAAAACACGAAGAGAGGCGACTATAGACTCGTACACGTGACGCGGAACAACTTCTGCGCCGGAAGTCGGCGCGACTTTTTTATGCTCGTCACAGTTGACTCCAGGACCTGCGATCAACAATGGCCGATTCGTCTACTTCCGCGGCCTCTGGTGCCGAAAAGCCCAAGGTGGCTCCCAAGCCTGTTAATCCTGCCTTCAAGGCACTCGGTATAGTCCCATGTCTTCCACCCCAGACGCCCGGGAAAGCACACGATAGACTAATGCAATGCGATTCGACAGGTATGCCAAATTTCCGGTTCAAACTGCCATCCAGGAATTGGATGATCTTCTTGACCATCACTGGCTCCTTCGCTGGTGCTATTATCTACGACCGCCGCGAGAAACGCCGTGCACAACAGAAATGGTGCGACCTCGTGGCTCATCTGGCGACGGAGCCGCTGGCGGTGGAGCAGATGCGCCGCAAATTGACTGTATACCTTGCTGCACCTCCGGGTGATGGTATACGTGTTGCTCGCGACCACTTCAAGGAATATGTCAAACCGATCTTGACTGCGGCGGCCTTGGATTACACCGTGGTTGAGGGTCGGAGGGAGGGAGATGTCAGAGCTGGGACTGCGGAAAGTATTCGCAAACTGCGACGAAAGGCTGGCGAGCCGAGCTCGGTTGTCACTGAACCTACCGTTGAATCCGCTGTACTTGATGCGCGAGAGCGCATGGGAATCCAAGACGAGCCCGGTCCCAAGGGCGATTTGGTGATCGGACGCCACACATGGAAGGAATATGTTCGCGGCTTGCATGAAGGTTGGCTTGGCCCCTTGGATCCTCCGTCTCCTCCGGTCGACCTTTTGATCCCTGAAGGAAATGGAGAGGCCATGAAGGACATTGCTACTAGTGATGCGCCATCTGACAAGCAGGAGAATGTTGAGACCCTCGAGAAGACCCTCGAAAATGCCGAGAAGCCCGAGGAAAAGCCCGAAGAAAAGAAAGAAGAAAAGCCCAAGCCCACTGGTCCTGCCGATGCTTATATCTATCCCGCCGAAACTCCTCCGCCTCCCTCCCCGCCTTCCCTTCCCCAGTCCTTCGACAACTCCGTCCCCGTTGAATTCCCCCATGTCCTCGGCTTCTTGAACACCCCCATCCGACTCTGGCGGTACCTCAACGAGCGCCATATGGCTGAGAACATCGGCCGGCAGGTTGCTTCTGCCGTTCTCGCTGCGAGCTCAAGACCCTACCGCGACGAATCCTTCAGTACAGATTCCGAGTTCATTGGAGCCGCCGTTGACTCCACGCCCTCGCGTGGTAGCTACGAGCAGCAGAGCATCTTGGAGGTTGAAGAGAAGGAATGGCACAAGTCCGTGCACAAGCGTGAGGATGCCGACAAGGAGCGCGAGTGGCTGGACGACATCGTGCTCGATCCTCGAATTGCCTCCCGCATGCAGACTGCCATGATTTCGCCCGAAGATGAAGCTCGCGCGCAGCGTATCTTCAACCAGGAAGAGTACATACTTGGCCAGGAGCGCCCGGCCCCCGTTCCCTTCTGGAAGCATTTGTGGATCAAGTACGGCTACGGCGAGGACGAGGAGACTATCAGGAGAAAGCCGATCCTGCCTAATGTTGATGAGGAGCATGCGTAATCATTGAATCTTGTGATATACCATAAAAGGTCGTGGGTATTTTGTTTTGTTACCCTTTGCATGGGTCATGTTTCCCCAATCTGCATACACTCTCCTCCGCTGGGTTCAAATGTTGTATATTAGAGGCGCTTTTTTGTCTGATTTCTGGGGTATGTACATAGCAAGGTGCAATGTACCTAGGTAGATCATTTCTGCAACCTGTTCTGGAACTGAAACGGCCTACGTAGAGCGAGGCGTTGACTGATTGGCCCATACACTTGAAGCGATGAGAAGTATGGATAATAAATACTGATATATTTGATCTTTTTAGCTGTATATTCATTTTTGAGATTGATTGATTTCAGGTATATCACCTTTGGTGTGCTCTATTTCTCCTTCTGTAAGCTCCCATCGCAAAAGCCAGCAGTTGGTAGCTGTATAGACAGTCTTACCACAAGAAGATTGCCTTCAGAAGAAAGCAGATCTCACTCAGCCGTCAAAGATCATACAGTAGACAGAGCATGGCATGGGTCATGTTGCGTTCGAATAATCTCATTTCAACTCAAAGACAGAGGACTCGGGCCACTTCTTACTTGCCTTCTGGGCAAACGCAGTCTTGTCGCTGGCCCACCTGTCCAACAGATCGAGGGCCGAAACTGCCTCTTCAATGGTAATATCGGACGAATCGAGGGCAGCCAGGAGGTCTTTCTCGGACTGCGCCTTGGAGTCGGGCTTCAACAGCTGCCGGGCTTCAAGGGCGGCTTGGACGTGAGCAATGCTGTTCTTGTTGTTGGACAAGAAAGATTCGTTGAACTCCTCAAGGTTCTGGGACTTCGAGAGGAGTTTCTCGAATTCAGCGTCGACAACCTCGGCGGTTTGGGCCGGGAGCGGCTCAGCCAGGCTGTCAAGAGCCTTGCGGAATCGAATGAGCGCAAGGTGGAGGATGGGATTGGAGGGGTCGATTGCGTGAGCGGCCTTGAGGCACTTCAATGCGAGCAGGTGCTTTTCTGTGAAGTCATGCGTTAGCCATATGTGACTAAGGTATTAGAACAGTTATTTTACCTCTTCGGAGGTAAACCTCGAAGCCAAGGCACTGAGCCTCAATGTTCTTCGGGCTGTGATCAAGCAGGTGTGTCAAGAACTTCATGGCATCCTTGAGCGGTTCCTTAGTCTGGACCAAAGTATTACCAAGAGGATCAGGGTCCTCTTTCTTGACTTCTCCGTCGGCACTCTTGGCGTTGGCGGCAGCAGCCTTCCGTGCCTCCCGCTTCTCAGCCTCAAGCTTCTCCAAGCGATGCTGCTCCTTCTTGGCCTTCTTGAGGGCCTTCTTCCTCTCAGCATCGTCTGTGGTATCGAGACCGTTGGCACCGCCGGAGATGGGACCGTGTGCAAGGTCTGGGTGATCGTTGAGAAGCAAGTAGGCCTTAATGGTCGCGATAGCAATTCGTGTGTAGAATGGGTGCTCGCGCAGGCGGTCTTCCCAGCGCACCATGTCCACGTAAGCTCTGACCATACCCTTGCGCAGGGAGAAGCTGTGGAAGTCAAACTGATCCTCTTGCCAAACGTCAAAGATGTTGTGGACGGCAGTAAGGCGCTTGAGAGCAAGGCCTAACTTCTTCTGTCGCAAATAGGCCTCGCCATCCTCGGTCAGATACCAAACGCACTGCATCTCGTGGAGATCACCCATAGCTCCCCCAACAGTCTCGTTACGAGTGAACTTGCTCATAAGGTCCAAGGCCTTGTCGTTTTCGTTGTTTCGGAGCTGGTACTTGGCGGCCTTGGTGTTGATGTGGCGGTCTTTCTCGTCTAACAAACGTGCCTTCTCCATTTCCTCTGCGGCCTTCACAGTGTTGCCATAATGCTTCCAGATACGAGCCTTGGACATCTGGTACTCAACAGCCTTGGGAGAGATTTCAATGGCCTTGTCAACATTCTCCATGGCCTTGGGGAGGTTGCGGCTAAGGTGGAAGTTATAATGTTGAGCCAAGAAGTAGTAGCATGATGCCAGGAACTCATTCTTGCTGCCATTGGTTTCCGCAGATCCATTGGCCTCGGAGGAAGACTGACCAGAGACATAACCCTCCACCAGAGTCTGCACAGCATCCCGCTTGGCGGGGTTACTGTAGAGCATTTTAATGTTGGCGAAAAGTGAGGGAACACCCTTCTTGAGCATACGCTGCAAGTAAACATCCGCGGCCTGCTTGAAATGATCACCCTCAAGGAAGTCAAGAGGAATGCGACGAGCCGCATCGCCGCGGGGATACTTCTCCACCCATTCGTCATACAAAGCCTTCAAAGCCGTGTGGTCGCTGTCAGGGATCTCCTTGGCCTGAATCAAGCCATTGTAGTAGATTGAGTTCTCTGAATTGCGCTCCAGCAGGGCAGTGTAAGCCTCAGCCGCTTCAGCCTTGCGGCCAAGCCGCAGAAGATAATCGGCCTTCATCTCCATGACCGCGAGAACATCGGTGCATCGGTAACCAACCTTCTCAAGGTGCTCCAAAGCTCTCTCCAGATTTCCTGTCTCCGCAATGATCGAGTTTTTATACAAGAGGGCCTCGGAATGCTCCATATCCTGAACCGAAGGCGAACCTTTCAGAGTATCCTCAAAAGTGGTCAGAACCTTCTCGGCCTCCTCGAGATCTCCTGCCAAGTGGTGAGCAATCGCAAGCGCAGTCCAGTTCTGGCGGAAGCCGGGGCGAGCCTGCAACATGGATGTACGGCTCTGAATATATCCTTGGAAATCGCGCATCTGCATCTGGAGGAGGGCCAAGTCACGCTGGATGGGCTGGGATTCGGGCTCAAGGCGCAGAGCAAATCGGTAGGCCTTGATCGCTTCTTCGTAGTTCTTCTCCTGTCGGTATAGTAAACCGTACACGTGCCAACAGATGTGCGACTTCATGTCGTTGCGCAGGGCTTCCTTGGCTAGGACGAACGCCTCCTCCAGCTGATTCATGTGGCTCATGATCAGAGCTTTCATCGCCTGTGTATCGCCATGCTTGGGGTTCTTTTTTAGAACCTGATCTGCCGTCTTGATGCCTGTTGCGATGAAAATGCAGGTTAGCTCATATCATCCGGGTTCAGACGATTGGGCGGGGTATCGGACCTTTCTTGTACTGCTTGAGCTCAAAGTTGCGAACCACTTGACGAAACAAGGACTGGTCCTTGGAGTTCAATGGTTGCGGCATGATGGGCGATGCTGGGTCAATTGACTTGTGCGAGGGAGGAATCGATGTGTGCGGGGAGCGGCTTCTCCGAGTCCGAACTTGGCAGTGCGAATGAGCCGATAAGATAGGCCCAACTGCGTCAATTACCTCAATTTCTGTCTACAATTTACAATTGACTGATTTAATCCTTGCTTCAGGACATACTGAGCGAACGGTTCAAAGGAATCACCATGTAGCTTTTCGTGCTACCTTGAAACACCTTCAAAAGCTTTCTTCGCTTGCATGATTGCTTCTCCGTGCATACTCTGTGTGCTCTTGTATCGTTTACTTCGTACCCAATTGTGGGAGCCCAAATCGTACAAAAAGCATGAATGTAGAGTTTTTTTTCAACGTACCATGCCGATATATGTGCAGTAATGTACACTTCGGCCCAAAGAAGCCTGTAGATTTAAGAAGGGAGAGGGTCGCGAGAGCCTGATTATCAACTAGTCGACACGCAGTTGAACTATGGCCTGTTCTCGCATAGAAGCCTTATCGGCCATGGCTCTGCCGCCAGGTATTCAGAGCATCTTCCCAAGATGTTGAGGAGCCACTGCATCTTTCAGTCACCATACCCCATGTCCGAGCCCGAATGATCTCTTCAACTGTACGCTGGTTGCGGATCAAGTTGGCCAGAGACTCAGTTCGAGCTTCTCGGGGAAGAAGCGAGCGGAGTAGGGGTCCAATCGCTCATTAACCACCCGTTCTCGGTCTCGGGCTGATTCGGTTTCTCGTAAAATCAGGTCCGGATCCTCGGGATCGGGACTTGTTGCAACACCGGCACAGTAGCTCAACACATCTGAGCGAGTCTGCCATGATGGGAAAAGTACATTATCCTTAAAGCCCCGGCATGCGTTCGGATCGATTGCTTTCGGAGCTCCAGAGTCGGTCTGCCGTCTAGCCGTGGACGCCGGATCGAACCCCCTCTGAGCGGGCGTCACTAGCGCATTGAGGTTTTGAGCAATTGAGTCATCAATAGTAGATCGGGAAAGGCGGAGAAAATCTGGAGTAGACATTATGGCTAGTTAGAATACAGTCCCAAGATCACTATTATGCGTCAACGAACCTTGGAGGAGCCTTTCATCGAAGCAGAACTGGGGAGTCAGCGCCGGAGCCTCCGTAGAAGAGGCCTGTGGCATTGTATTGTTGGCTGCCTCCTCCGAACTTCGATTTCCCGATGGTGCCCAGAACCAAGCCAGCTTGAGTGGAGACGCGGATGAGCAGGCTATCGGCGGTAGATTAGAAGGCACGGGCGGGGGCTGTCAAGCACAGGGTTGATATAGAAATGCGAGTGTTGTTAGAAAAGCTTGTCAAGACTTAACCAGGGTGATTCTCGCAGACGAAAAGTGCTTACAAGGTTGTCTTCGAACTCGCCGCTGCAGTGAACGCATACGTCCTGATTGGGACTAGTGGATATTGGATGAGTAATTCCACTTCACTTCGCGCCTGAGGCTGCAAACGTCATGCTGCCTGAGAAGTGTGATTACGAACTCTTTTCCTTGGATTGAGCTAAGTGAACTGTCATTGAAACTTCGCAAGGGTAGAGAATCAATACGACTCATAGTTAATATATATGACAGCAACAAGAAATTGTGGCAAGTGAGCTTAGATAGCCAGCCCTGAAAATCTGTCCTAGTACATTTGGAGTCACTCATATTGATCTTGTAAGCGAAACGAATAGGGGTCTCTCAATCTCTCAAGGCCATGGGGAAGATCTCTAGGGAATGGTGTGAAAGTCGGGTCTAACTGCAATATCCAAGTAGATTCTGATTACGGTCATGTGACAGCGCGTCACGCGAGGAGATCGTCGCGTCTCGAGAGTCGACCCTTGATGCTCGTACATACATTCGCTCAACTAAGTTCTCTTGTGATTAAGTAGTCGGGCAACCCTGTCAATATGCCCGAACTCGCGGAAGTGTCACGCATTGTGCATTTTATTCGCCAACACTTGGTAGGAAAAACCCTATCGAGCGTCCAAGCGCAGCACGATGACATCGTGTACGGCAAAGTTGGGACCAGTGCAGCCGAGTTTCAAAAGGCCATGACAGATAAGAAGATTGTTGGCGCCGGACAGCAAGGGAAATACTTCTGGATCACAATGTCTTCGCCTCCACACGCGGTTATGCATTTTGGAATGGCCGGATGGCTGAAGATCAAGGACGCCGACACATATTACTATCGCTCGGACAAGCCTGCAGATAAAGAGTGGCCCCCCCAAGTATTGGAAGTTCCTGCTCGAGACCAGCGACGAGCCTAAGACGGAGGCTGCGTTTGTGGATGCTCGCCGATTGAGCCGCATTCGCTTGGTGGACTGTCCCGCAGACGAGATTCGCAAACACAGTCCTTTGAAGGAGAATGGACCAGACCCGGTCACGGATAAAGATACTGTAACGGAATCATGGTTGATGCAGAAGCTGAGGAGCAAGAAGGTTCCCATCAAGGCTCTTCTTCTCGACCAGGCGAATATCAGTGGCATTGGGAACTGGATGGGGTAAGTCGTTTTACAGAATGCCTTCGTCTTGCCTTCGTCTTGCCGTATGTTGACCTCTCCTTCAGGGATGAGATCTTGTATCATGCCAAGATACATCCGGAGCAATACAGCAATACATTGTCCGACGACCAAATCAAGGAATTGCACACTTCAATGCACTACGTCTGCTCCACTTCCATCGATGTCCTGGCAGACTCAGAGAATTTCCCTGAGCATTGGCTTTTCAAGCATCGCTGGGGCAAGGGCAAAAAGAATCAACCCTCCGTGCTTCCCAATGGACACAAGATCACATTCCTCACAGTCGGTGGCCGCACGAGTGCTGTCGTTCCAGCGGTCCAGAAGAAGACTGGCGCCGTTGCGAAAGATATTGAGGACGATACTGGCGCATCTTCAAAAAGAAAACGTGATGTAAAACAGAAGGTAGAAACCGATGCCGAAGAGGAAACCGATTACAAGAGCCGCGTGTCGAGACGCAAGAGCACAAGGGCGGTAAAGGCAGAGGAGGGTGAAGAGAAGAAAGCAAAGAAAATATAGAGTTCTACTTTTGTGAGGGAAATAGTCATTTGTGGCTGAAAAGTAGTTCTAGTCTTGCTAAAAGGCTAATGCCCAAGGGCTACATTGCTATCCAATGACATTTTCTACAGTAAGTCAAGACATATGTGTAGTATCACAGGCAGCCAATGATAGTGCACGGTTACTGGTCCGGGCGGTGAGGTCTTATCAGGGCCGATGTCGCCACGCGATGACAAAGCCGCCACGCTCGTGGGTTCGAGGTTTCAACTCTTTAATTCTTGTGAATATCTGCTCCTGGATCCCGTTCCTACAATATACCGATAGTCGCGTGGTATATTTGATCCTGTTAGAGACCTATCCTGGCGCGGGGCTCCCTCTTGAAGACCCAAAGTGGTGTCTCGCCACTATGAGCGCGATCTTGTCGGCAGACGATCTGAATGATTTCATTTCGCCCGGGGTCGCGTGCATTAAGCCCGTGGAGAATCTTCCTCAAAGAAGCACAAAGGATGCAGAGGTTCGTACTCCTGTGGCTTGCTGCTTGTCAATGAACTTACGACTAATTCTTGTCTTAGAACCCCTACGAAGTCACAACGGAAGACAAAGTCGAACCCGAGAACCTTCCCCGGCACAGATTTCCTTGACAGATTGCCTTGCATGCTCCGGCTGCGTGACATCTGCTGAAGCTGTTTTAATCTCTTTGCAGTCCCATACGGAGGTCCTCAACACCCTCGATGCTCACCCAGAGATCTTCGTGGAAGGCGAGCGCCACGGGAAAAGGGCAGGGAATACTGAGGATACCGGAGAAGGCATGCTCTTCGTTGCCAGTGTCAGTCCACAGGTCAGAGCTAGCTTAGCGGCAACTTATGGGATATCGGAAAAAGAAGCGGGGTACATGATCGATCAGTTCCTGTGTGGACCGCAGGGGCTGCGAAGTGGCGGAAAGCATGGCAGTGGCTTCACATGGGTGGTTGACACAAATGGCATGCGGGAGGCCGTCCTTGTTCTCACCGCCGATGAAGTTTCAGACTCGCTCGGTTTGTATTCTGCAGGAAACGGCCCATCTGGCGCTGAGTATCCGCTCCCCAAGCGCCCGATCCTATCATCCGCGTGCCCTGGATGGATATGCTATGCTGAAAAGACACATCCCTTTGTGCTGCCGCATCTATCTCGCCTCAAGTCCCCGCAAGCCCTGTCTGGAACCTTCCTCAAGACCGTACTAAGCAAATCTCTTGGGATTCCTGCATCCCGCATCTGGCACTTGGCTCTCATGCCATGTTTCGACAAGAAGCTTGAAGCGAGTCGAGAGGAGCTCACTGATGTCTCATGGCAACAGGATTTCAAGAATGGCTCGGAGTCGCACCAACCCGTTCGTGATGTGGATTGTGTCATCACAACTCGCGAGCTGCTTTCCTTGGCCGCTGCTCGAGGGTTCAAATTACCGAGCCTGCCTCTGCAACCTCTCCCGGCCGCATACACTCCGGCTTTCCCAGAAAAAACTCTTGATTCTTTCATCTCATGCAAGCGTTCCCCCACTCGACAGTCCCCGGAAACCGGCACCTCTGGGGGATACCTGCACCATGTGCTTATGACCTTCCAAGCTCGCAACCCGGGTAGCCAGATCATGACGAACCGTGGGCGCAATGCTGATGTCGTCGAGTACGTCCTCATGTCCCCAGAGGGACAGCCTATCATGAAGGCAGCCCGATACTACGGCTTCCGAAATATTCAGAACCTTGTTCGCAAGCTGAAGCCCGCCCGTGCTTCTAGATTGCCCGGTGCAAAGCCCGCTGCTGCTAATCGACGTCAGCCTGTGTCTCGAAACGCAGTCTCCGGAACCTCAGGATCGGATTACGTCTACGTCGAGGTCATGGCATGCCCAGGCGGCTGCACAAATGGCGGGGGACAAATTCGAGTTGAGGATGCCAGAGATGCCCTCGTTCAGAATGCAGAGGTTCCGGAACTTTCCACCAAGCCTTCACCTCATGAACAGCGTGCCTGGCTTGCGCGCGTGGATGAGACATACTTTTCGATGGAATCAGATTCAGAGAACGAACCAGACCATTTCCAGCCGCAGTCATTTGCGAACAAAGAAACTCGAATCCACCAAGGCTTGGCCCGATGGTCAGAGTTCATGAGAACTCCACTCGATAAGTTGGTTTATACAACATATCGAAAGGTTGAAAGTGATGTTGGCAAAGAGCAGGTCTCCACCAACGAGACGGCCAATGTGGTCGAGCTCGTTGGAAAGATTGGAGGCGGGTGGTGAATGATTCTGGAGGTATTCATGACAGTACATAAGCATTTTGGCTCTTTTCATTGCGTGGCGCTCGGCTGTATTTTGTTTGACTTGCATATCAGTGTGGGAGATACCAAAACGACTTGATTGATGATGACATTTGAAACGTAATTCACTACTGGCTGGGCTGTATGTTTTGGAACTTGAAATTTCAGAGTAACACTTTAAATTCCACATTGTCAAAACAAGCCAACTTAAGAAAAACTCTGGCTGTGAACTAAATTATGTCTCCCAAAGAGGCAGGCGGCCATGTGCTGACTCATCGGGGCTGGAGTAGATTATTAAGCACCTCCGCAAAAGAAAAAGAATCTCGCCGACATTAAGAGATCACCAGTCAACCCTCATCTCCGGACCTTTGTTTCCTCGACGAGCGCACTTCTCACCTCACGCAAACCCTTCAGACCATCTCCATACCGAATATGTCTCGTGAAGCCTACCAGGTCCCTTCCATGGGCACCCAAAACGCCTTTGGCAACGAGGGCAGCGGGTTCAACTCCATGGCTGTTGACACTCCCTCGGTCGTCTACCTTTGCGGCGAGTGCTCCGCGCGCGTGCCCTTGAAGCGCGGTGATCAGATCCGCTGCAAGGACTGCGGTCACCGAGTTCTGTACAAGGAGCGCACCAAGCGGTAGGTTTCTCCTTCCCCGCGTCCATTTCCTTGACGCGTCGGCTGACATTTTCTCGTTTTCCATGTAGCATGGTCCAGTTCGAAGCTCGGTGAAAGGTTGCGAAATCGAATGGAAGTTCCTGTCTAGGCACGTCCTCTAGGCACGTCCTGGGCGTGAAGGAGTTGATGGAACTGAGCTTTCGCTATCTTTGATTTTACTCATGTTCTACGAACAATGCATTTAGCGGCGCTTTTGGAGTATCAATGCGAATAAGATTTACGAACTTTATACAATACACTGCCGAAATTGGGGCGGTCCGCCTGGTACAGCTCAAGAGACTAGCTCCTGTGCGCAGCCTAGGTAACAAGCTCTCTTTCAAATGACTTTTTTTTTGATCTTCCACTCCAAATCCCAGCGACCAAATTTGACTATTCAAAGTCACGTCCGCCGGAAAAGCACCCCGAGAAATATTAAAAATGTACATCAAAATAGCGATGTCACCCCGAAAATAATGACAAATGGACGAACGAAATGCCAAGTCAGTTCCCCTGAAACCCTTCCTGGGATACATCAACTACTTCAGCATGCATATGTAACCCAACATGATCACGCAAGCTTGTTTGATACCTCGATGAATTGCTCAAAGACCTTCAGGGCCGAGCCGCTCTCAATTGCCCAGCGTGCCCGACGCAGACCCTCCTTCCAGCGGCCACCGCCAGGACCACGTTCGGTAATAACCTGCCCATCATCACCAGGACCCATGTTACTTGTCTCCGCTTCACAGATACCGGAGGTAACCAGCAGAGCAGCAACGTTCATAAGAACAAACTCCAGAATGGGATCGTCGCGGCTAAGCTCATTGCGGAGGATGCTCATCAACTTGTTAGCGTTATCCTTGGGCATCTTGCGTCCGTAAACCTCAGTGAGAGGGTGGGAATTGACGCCGAAGTCGGAGGGCTGGAGCTGGAATGTGTCAAGCTTGACGAGCGTGCGCGGGTTCTCCTCGTCTTCGGAATCATCGTCGTCGGCACTTGTCTTTTTGTACGCCGGGTTGGGGTACTCGGACAATCTCCAGCAGTTGGTCTTTCCAGCACAACTGATCTCGTCCATATCCTCCTCACCGCAGACAACAAGCGCCTTCTTGGCACCGGCTTGACGAAGAGCATCAGCGAAGACAGGTCCAAGGCTCTGGTAAGCCACGCCCACAAGGCGCGCCTCAATGGCCCACTCAACGGGATTGGCCAGAGGACCCATCAGATTGAAAATTGTTCGGAGTCCAAGACCACGGCGGACCGGATTGGCATACATCATGCCGGGGTGGAAGTTCGGCGCGAAAAGGAATGCATAGTTTGTTTCTTCGTACACCTTAGCCACATTGGATGCATTCACAGCAGAAATGTTGGGAGGGATGGGCTGGATGGAATTAAGGACGTCTGCGGATCCAGAGAAGGAAGTCTGAGCGCGGTTTCCGTGCTTTGCGGTCATCAACAGCGGTGAAGCAATAATTGACGAGGTGGTTGAGACGTTGAAGGTCGAATGTGAGTCTCCGCCGGTTCCGACGATGTCGCACTAGGAATTGAAACTGATTAATATAGAGATAGAGATTGGACAAGCGCAGCCTTCCTTACCAGTCCACCTTTATAATCTCCCTCGCTTTTTCCTCGGGCCTTCACAACTTTCTTCAGGGAAGCTTTGTCAATCTGGGTAGCAGCTTCACGCATCCGGTGGGAGCATTTCGCAATGACTGCAGCATCTTTGTCCTTTCCAGTGGAGTGGAGGAGAGTCAACAAAGCTGCGGTTTGGATGTCTGACAGACGGTCTTCGAAGATCAAGGCAAAGGCAGAAGCAATGTCTTCTGCGCTGACTTGAATGTCTGCAGTAGCGGGGTAGGCCAAACGTTTGAGTAGAGGGGAGATGGAGACAGGCTCCGGCCTGTCGTGCTTGGGCAAAGAAGCCATTTTTTGCGTGGAGACAACTGAGTGTCTCTATGAAATCTATGGCAGATCACCAAGTGTATCAAAAAATAGTGTAAAAGAAAGATCGCATCTGTCTGAGTCAAAGGACCCCTCGTCAGTGTTCATTGCCGGCAGAACCGAGCTTACCGCCCAAGTTGGCACTTTGCCTCTTTGGGTGCCAAAAAATATCTCCAGGACTGCCCTTCCAAATCTCCGAGGCCGTTTTGGATCCGCTCCATCATTGTTCCTTGTCCATTCCTCGATTTCCTCTAAAATGCCTCCGCGGGTACCCGTATCATCATTCCGGCGACAAGCCCTGCGATGCCCATATGAACTTCGAATCGCCAGGGCTGCCACCACCGCTGCGGCACCGGCCGTCACACCAGCTGCGCCGATTGAGCAAATGACACGCTCGCCAGCTCCCATTGCGCGTACTCCTCCCACTCAGCCACCATCGCATCGCAGTCCTGAATACCGCCGGTCCCAACTTCTCCGCCAATACACCTCCTTGCTCCGTACCTCCCCTCTTATGGTGCTTTTCCAACACAACAACCTCAAGTCCACGGAATGGGCTGCTATTCGACGAGAGTTGACCAAGGCCTTGCAGAAGGTTGATGAAAAGATCGCTGCCGAGGGCCGGACATCCCCGGAGTTGGCTTCTTATATCAAGCTGCAGACTGTCCAAAACAGCATCTTCGAGGTGGCTATTCGTATTGTCGAATACTTCCGGCCTAGCCAGGATGCGCTTGCTTCTGGAAAACCCCCCAGCGCCGTCGACCCTGTCACCCAGACCTCTGCCGAACTCCCTGCTTTCTCCGGTTCCAGGGATGACCCGGCCCTGACCCACGACTTGTCTCGCGCTGCTCACATTGCCGTCAAGAACATGAAGGGCAAGCACGAGCTCGCCGAAATCCTCACTGGTCCCATCGCCGTTCTCTCCATTCCAATCGTCTCACCCGAACACATGAAGGCCGCTCTCTCTATTCTCACCCCCAAGGAAGCCGGCTTCCCTGCACCCACTCGCAAGGGCAACCCGGATTACCACGATCCCACCGTCCAACTCGGTCTGCAGAAGCTGAACTTGCTTGGTGCCCGCGTGGATGGCAAAGTGTTTGATATCGCCGAGACCAAGTGGGTCGGCAGCATCGAGGGCGGTATGGATGGTCTTCGCTCCCAGCTCGTTATGGCTCTCCAGAGCATGGGTTCCAGTGTTACCAACACCTTGGAAGGGGCTGGCAAGAGCCTCTATTTCACCATGGAGAGCCGGAGAAGTGTCTTGGAGGAGGAGCAGAAGGGCGAGGGTGAGAAGAATGAATCGTCCTAGAATGGATTTGGCCCACGCCTGCATTCTTGTATAATAAGTCATGTTTTTCTTTTGCATCCCGAGGGACCCAAGTTTTGTGTTTTTGTATAGGCTGTACAACCATGCAATAGATTCTTTTGCAATATTCTCAATAGGAACTGGGAATGGTCATCTCCATCTATACATCTCTGCACGCAGTCGTAAGATAGGAAGCAGGTCTATTCTCTAGGCGGGCTGGCATCTCTTTAATGAGCCTGAGCTCTATACCGAACACCAAAATCTGGCATCTTTGTATCATCTTCGTCGTCAGAGAAACTAGTTCTCGCAGTATATGATCCATGACTGAGACGTCCACCAGGAGCTTCTTCCCATCCCTGGTCTAGACGAAGGAATTGGGATCAGTACCGGATAAATACGGGTATTTATCTGATAATGCCACTTACGAGGAGTAGTAATCACATTAGGTGTATTCGAAGGGCCGAACGATCCCTATCCCTCCTTGTAAGCCTCTTTGCAAACAAATTCCGGGATTGGTGTCTCTTACCAGCATCTCCGTACCCCGTGAGTGCCTTATACCTTCTCTAAATACTTCTTGGGTCTGATATAGCTCGGAAATTCTGTCTCCTTCCACGGTGAACTTCAGGCTCGTCTTGTATTCTTCACCTTCTCTGAGATCAAAGCCTTCGGTCTTCGTCTTTTTGATGCCCTCGGGCGTGGAAAGATCGAATATTATCGGGTCTCGGCCGTCGTGGAAGGTGACTTCGTAGGAAACCAGTTTGACAATTGCATCTACTCGACTCACCGGTTAGTACGTAGCAGCTTAAGTTAGCTGATAATGATCGATCCGAGATTGGAACGTCGAAAGCCATCTGTCCAACATAGGTACTCTGACCGAGGGTGTTAGTGACTTACTAGGCATGGCGGTCGAAATTGCTATTTTTGAGAAAAAGAACAAGAAAAGAAATGGAAACAGACAGAGAGAACAGACAGAACGAGCTCTGGAGACAGTGGTCGAATGATAGAGAGGACGAAGAAGATGAGGCGTGAAAGTCTAGAAATTCCTCTGGAGAACTGCAGCGTGGTGAGCTCTTACATTGCCCGCGGCCTTTGAGACTCGGGGTATTCACCAGGCGCAACGACGCACGTACGACGGCCCAAAGTAACTTAGCTTCGCTGCGTGACGATACCGTCCAAGCTGCATGAGTGTTGACTAGCGTGCTGATTGGATGCACCTCCTTTCTTTACAAAGTAAATCGCCGAAAGGGCCCACACGCATTGCATCGTCCTTGTAGCACGGAATATGCGTACGAAAGCCTCCTGGACATGGTGAATTACTCCGCTATATCCAGGGTCGTTGGTGTTCTCCAATTGCATAACAGAGGGTTTGCCGTCAGATTGAATCCTCGTGATGTAGATGGACCACGTAGGTGACGATGGCTTACTTATTGATGCAGACCGATGTCGTTCAATTTGATTGATGCTGCCAATGATAATAAGCAGGTCTTTGCAGAAGAGAAGAGGGGTTTGTTTCGAACTGCAGGTGTAGGGAACGGCGTCATTTGAAGGATGCATAGAGTTGCTATGGCCTGATAGGATAAAATTACAGGACCTTCAGGGCTCTTAACAGCTTGTCTAAGTCTAGTTTTGTCGCAAACGCAATTTAGCGTTCATGCCAACGATACAGCGCACAAGGTCCCAGTCACCATCAAGACCTACCCAGTCCATGACCAAGACACCAGTGGATGAGTCGCCGTCTTCATTCCTGTGACGCCGACAGATGTAATTTACAATTGCAGGGTTGACCTTGGCCGCGATCTTCTCGGGCCAGGTATTTGTCTTCCAAAAATTGCTCGCACTCAGGAAGTTGATGTAGAAGGGGTGGGGGCCGGGATGTTCGCCGAACGGATAACGAGTCTTACTAGCGCGGTCGATGTGGTCCTTGACGTATTGGATCTTCTTCTCGATATTTGTCGACTCTTGCACCTCGTAGAAGTCCTGGATACACAGCTGCCCACTGGGGCATTCGGCGTTGGCTGTGTTGTCAGCCCAGGCAGAGCCGTCGATACCCCAGCCATGTCCCTCGTGCTTCTGTTGCAGGTCTTCGGGGATATTGAAGCGACGTAGAAGGATCACCTTGCCGCGGGCTTCGCCGAGAGTGGGGATCTTTGGTCGAGTCCACCAGCGCTGGTTGTCATCCTTGGCATAGTGCTTGTTGAGAATGTGCGCGAGCTGTTCGTCTTTTGCATCTCCTGGACCCTCACGCTTCAGAGAGATGATCAATGTCTCGGACGGGTTCTTGTCAAGGAATTCATTGATCTCCTTCATCAAGTCGCGGAAGTATTTAGTCCCGGTCAGCGAAATAGGGAACACGCTGTGAACAAGGATCAGCTCCTCCTTTAATTCTTGCGGGTATTGCGGCTGAACACGAATGTCGAAGAAGCGCACGCCGTTCTGGAGCTGTTCGCGCAGGCTGACGGCTTGGCAGCGCACAGAGGGCGGCGCGAGGTAACAAGTCGGCGAATTGTGAGTACCGGGAATAGAAAGTGAGGACAGGACAGTATCGTCCCGCAGCTCGTGCATCCATGCGTTCAGATTGGCGGACGAATAAATTGCCAGGAACGACTCAGGTTTCACCCACACGCCAGTGAAGCGGTGCCTGGGATTGTCAACGGTCTGCATGGCTGCCGTCTCAGTCGTAAGGGACAGGCACCTGGATAGTGTGTTCCTCGCCCTCAACCCCGAAGACCAGGCGCAGGCGCTCCTTTTCGGAGTCCCGGAAGAAATCCAGATCGGTTTCCTTGGTGGTGAATGGCTCAATGTGGATGCCTAGCTCTTCTCGGTCATCGAACGGCTTGTCCGCCAGGCTCAGGGTCGCGACAGGCGCCTGGCTGCGAGTATGATTTGTCAAGATTCGAGTGAAATTCTTCGCCAGCGAGGTAATCTCGTTGGTTCCATAGCTTTGTCGGGGGGCTGAAGCGCTGGAGGCGCTTCAGATTGATCGGGATATCCGTGTTGTTACGGATGGTCAATTTTTTGGCTACCATAGTGGACGGATGTACGCTTGGTGAAACTGCGGGGCTTTGAAAGCTGAGAGGAATGGAGAACCCGGGGTGAGGATCAATGAGATCGATGAATATGGCAATGTAGCCACTTCCCCTCATCGCGGGACGATTGCCAAGAGCTGAGGCCGATGAACTCCATTGTAGCCATTCTGATTTGATGTTCTGGCCATCGGTGACGCTATGATCAATGTTGTTCAGATCCAGGTACAGTGTAACCCGATTCGAGTTGTCTGTAGGTCACGATCCACACCCGTTCGACCTTCCAATGCCTGACGCATTCGAGGAAATTTTTTCATGTGGTATTTCCTCCTGTTTGGCTCTACCGTCATGAACCACAATCCGGTTCAAACACCTACGTCGAGATCATGACCAATATTTAAGGACTCCTTCTCAATGCCTTCCAATACACCGTCGACCATCTTCTAGGCGAACAGGCTTCGCAAGATGGCGTCTAATTGCGTCGAGACCACCCTGATAAACGCCGTCACCTGATAGAATTCATTCGCAGAAAGACTAGAAGTAATAGTATAGACTATTATCGAAACAGTCTTGAGAAGCTAAAATCGTGCCTCTAACCCGAAGAGCCAACAAAAGAGGCAATTTACCCCGTCAGCGAAAGGGCGCATCCATCCCAGCCAGCGCAACGGCGCCCGATCCACAGATAACACACCTTTTGACGACTTTTCATGATTCCAATACTATGAGAATGAACAATCAGCTCCTATACTGTGTACTAAGGAATAATTCAATGCCTTTTCACCAAAAGGCTAGATTGTTGCCTGATGCTGACCAACAAGTTGGCAAAAGCAACCATCTTTGTGAGTCAACAGCCTTCGCAAAATGATCAAAATCTAGACCAGATATTCAATACATTTGGGATAACCGATTGTATGATGGTAGAACAACAGCTCATGCTAGAATGCATATTTCCTTCTTCTCGTCTCTAAAGAGGTAGACAGTATCTGCACTGATTTGCGATGTTTTCAACTCGATGCAGTGAAAGTCGAAAAGTACTTTCTCCTCCAGACACACATGCATTCAATCCTGGCTCGTGCCCAGAATTGGCTGTGCACCATGGATCATACTCGCTACCGCATTTCTACCAAATCGAGGCGTCTGTTGGCAGCTAGTGCCCGGGTAAGCTGGCGCAGATTACTAGAGCTTCGATTGGGTGTAGTGTGCATTTCTAGCGTGGGTTACGCAGCTGCATGGGTTCGCTTTGTGCAGATTTCAAGATCTCTCAGTCTATCGATATTCAAGGATGCGTGGCACCGTATGTAACGCGCTCATCCTATGTGGCGTGAGGCTGAATTCGAATGGGGCCGAAGATATGCGCTATAAATAGAGAGGAACTCCAGCACCGACTCTCTTTATTCTCCAGCCAGCATTCAGTTCCTTCCACTCCTGTCTCCTTTCTCGCCCTCTTCACTTTCTGTCCTCCTCTTTTTGGTTCCTGATCTACCCCTGATCCACAACCATGCCTCCACTTACGACAGCCGAACGCATTCACGCCGTGGAAGTCATTATCAACTATGTGTTCCACGACAAATCTCTTCTTTTGAGGGCCCTGGAAGCCGCTGGCGCCACCATAGTCAGCCAGGGCAATAAGCGGCTTGCTCTTATCGGAGACGCTGCCCTGAGGCTCGTTCTTTATGAGTTTGGTTATGAAAACGAGGCCTCAATTCGTGAGACCCCTTTATATCCACTGTTTCAATTTCTGTTCAGGTGATAATGAAATAAAAGGCGACATGACGAATGCACAGAATACTCGGGCCACGAACGAAAATCTGGCGCAGATAGGCTTTGCCCTGGCCCTAGATGTCTACATCCAGCTGAACCCCTCAGCCCAGGGCGTTGTTCATGCACGCCTGATGGCAACTACCATCGAGGCTATCGTTGGCGCTGTCTATCTCGATAGCAAGAGAGATATTACGGTCACACGTCTCTTGATTGCTCACCTGCGCGTCATGCCGACGCTCTGGTGAATTTCCTCGGCTAGGTAAGGGAAATGTCACGTTCCGCCCCCAGCTTTCGTTCAATTCTTTTAATTGCTGGTTGATACTATAGCTCGCATTTCCCGAGGGGTATTTGAATACCCTTACGGCGATAGTTGCTAGCAGATGCCCTGGTAAAGAGGCTTTTTAGACCCTGACGAGGGGGACACCCTTGGTACCGTGTGTCCCATTCGAGAGGGTCTAGAAAGCCACTTTATGATGGCATCTGGTGGTTAGTATGGTTGAATAGTATCTGAATACTCCTATGGGCGCCAGTCACTGGCATATGACCAGCACGGAAATCTTCCAGACCTTTTACAATAGGAAACCCCCCTTGGTACCCGGGTTTTGTATCGCAAAAGAGCTGGGTATATTTTCGTGCTAGCGGAATTTTGATGACTGGTACATGCATTTGCTTTTGATTCCAATGTTGATCTGTCTATTTCTGTTGGGCATATTCAACATGTCGTCCCTTGAATCATTGGCTTGGATTGAAATGTTCTATTGTTTCATAGTTTGAGGTCTTTCGCGGTTGGCCAAAGGTTCAACATCACAGGGTCATCGAGTGTTTCTCAATATTTGCAATTGTCAAATTCAATCTAGTCACTCGTTTCAGATCCACCTCCCAAGTTCCAGAATCTCATTTTATGGATTCATCGACTGAAAGCACACCGAAGTCATTCCCTTGAATTCGAGGATCTTCAATCAAAACAACTTGGTGCCTGCACTAGTGTCTAAAGTCTTCCTCTCCGAGATGAGCGAAGACCCCTCAATTTCGTGCAGCAACGCACATCACATTACAAGGTAAATATCTGGTGATGTAAACCTCCACTCCCTTAAAAGAAGAATTTCTTCTAGGAAGGAGATGTGAGTAAAGTTTGACATAAGGAGCACTTTAGGACTCGCGACGGAAGAATTTGTTGAGAGTCCGATCACCTACCATTCTACCAACAGGTGCTCGCGTCAAGCCACTCCGTCACCTCGCCAGTAATTGCTTTATCACTCAAATATCTTCCATGCTGGCCTCAAAATTCAATTGGTTTTTGTTTCCTTCTTCCGCGAGCTCAATTGGCTTGCCTGATTTGGCGGTTGGGAATGTTAAATCGCAAGATCGCGAAATGCTTCCTATGGCACAGCACCTATACGAATCACTTGGTGTACAGTTCCTTTGAAGCATAAGAAACCAGAAATGAAAATACACATACATATAATAACGTTTGAAGGCTTCGGCAATGACCATTTAATTATGTTGGTCTCCGCCTTGGCGCGTTTGCCCCCACAAGCCCCCCTCTGTCTGAACGGCTATTGACAAGTATCCGTTCTGGACACGGTTTGATGTCGCCTTCACCTTCTCAGCCATGATGCCTACTGGGCCTGGAGAGCCTGGGCACCACATAAATACTGCTTCAAATTTTCCTGAGTAGATCACGACAATCATGGCTCGGCCTCAACGGAATGTGCTTGTCGGTGTTGATCGGCGTTTCCGCTTTGGTGGCGGCGCTCTTCTTGGACAACCCCAATATTGAAGCTGCACTCGGCTACTTCCGACTCGAAAATCGAGACAGCTATTGGGAAAAGCATCGAGAAGAAGTCAAAGATGTATTTGTCACAAGCTGGGATGCGTACTCTAAATATGCCTTTGAGTTCAGACTGTTGCGCTTCAGCATCCACGACGGCAATACCCTTCGCGCTTTGATCCAGAGCTGACTTATGTCCTCGATCCAGGAAAAGACATTTTCCACTCCATCTCAAAGAGGAGAGCAAATGAGCCCAAGTGGACTAGGTTGGATCATTGTTGACAGTCTAGACACTTTGATGGTCATGAACCTGACTTCCCAGCTCTCCGAGGCTCGGAAATGGCTCAAGCGGGACTTGGCCTACGATCAGAATCAGGATGTCAACACCTTTGAGACAACTATCCGCATGCTTGGCGGACTCCTGTCCGCGCACTACTTGTCGACTCAACTTCCTGACATACCATCACGCCATGACCATGTTTACCTCGAAAAAGCAATTGATCTCGCAGACCGTCTACTGGCTGCCTATGATTCGCCGGCTGGAATTCCTTATTCCAGTGTGAACATTGGTACTCGACAAGGTCTCAAATCTCATACTGACAACGGAGCGTCGTCGACTGCTGAAGCCACAACTCTTCAGCTCGAGATGAAGTACCTTGCTAACCTCACGGGAAATGGAGTCTACTGGGAAAAGGCCGAAAATGTCATGCAGGTGGTTGATAATCATCGCAAGCCAGATGGCTTATTACCCATCTTCGTGAGTCCTGGTACTGGTAACTTCCGCTCCAGAATAATTCGTTTAGGAAGCCGCGGCGATTCTTATTACGGTACTGTCCGTCGCTTGGGCGCCTTTAATAGAATTGGGCTAATGAACCACAGAATATTTGGCAAATCAATATTTGCAGACCCACGAACCAATCTATGCCGAGATGTGGGAAGAGGCTCTAGCTGGTATCCAAAAACACATGATTACCACCACCAAGCATTCCAATCTTCAAATTGTGGCCGAGCTTGAAAAGGGCGTCGGGGGGGAAGTTAACTTCCAAAATGGACCATCTCGTTTGCTTCTTGCCTGGCTCGATTGCAATCGCCGCAACGGAAGGAAGAACCGAGGCCGCAGCACGGAAGCTCCCCACTTGGAGTCCCCAAAAGGAAGAGCAGATGGAGCTTGCTAGAGAGCTCACAAAGACTTGCTGGGCAATGTACGCTGTCACAGAAACAGGCTTGTCACCCGAGATCGTGTGGTTTAATGTCGAGGATCACAATCTCGAGCCTAACCCTGGCTCGAGGATGAAAAACAAGAGCAGCGATGATCTAGAATCTTGGCAAAAGGACTTCAAGATCAAGTCTGCTGATGCTCACAACTTGCAGCGTCCAGAAACCGTGGAAAGTCTTTTCTTGTTATTTCGGGTCACAGAAGACCCCATCTACAGAAAATGGGGGTGGAAAATTTTCCAATCGTTCAAAGAGCATATGCTTGTACCCAGCGGGGAGGGCTATACTTCTTTGGATGATGTGACTACAATCCCTTCACCACCGCGTGACAACATGGAGAGTTTCTGGCTGGTAATCAAGACCCCCTCTTTGTGGACCGGCAATTAGTTCAGTAGCGAACACTCATACAGGCCGAGACTTTGAAATATCTTTACCTCTTTTTCTCTCCGAGAGAAATTCTCCCGCTCACAGAGGTTGTTTTCAACACCGAAGCACACATTTTCCCTCGATTTGAGCCGACCAAATTCAAGACAGGCTGGACGCGAAGAAGGCGCGACCAAGCCAGAAATGAGCATGTATAAAAGCATGCCATATAACCTTGCATTATTACTGATAATCTCAAGCCTCCGTGCATCATTTCAAGATAGAGCCACTGTCTGTCATGGGTAACATCATTGTAAAAATGAATGTTATCCCAATCATTAGGCGAGGGCCAAGTTCTCTTTTCAAGCTCCACGAACATCCCCAATACTTTTGGCCCCCCTAACCTTTGAAACTCTTCCTCGGCTGAACTAGTTTAATTATTATTTCTCTCGCCTTGTTTCAAGATATATAGCCTCAACAAAGGGACTGGAAATATAGCTACTGGTTTAAACGTAAATCAGAGTTATATTGAGTACAAAATAGTCAGATAAAGAATTTATAGATAAAGGTATAAAAAGGCATTGAACAAGTCTTCCTTATTCGGCTGTCAGATATCTGAAACCCCTTGAGTGTTAACCAGTCTGCATAATTTCTTTCGGTAGCCCCACGCAAGACCATCCTGAAGCTTGAGGCACGGTCTCGCACCCAGCCCTCTACTAAGGTTTGCCCACATGGCAAAGATTGGTCTAGTAGCGAAGTGAAGCCCGTATGCTGCTCTGAATGCTGGAACGTGGGGACTTAGTAATTGGTAACCCCCTAGATTCGCGAAATCCGGGGTCAAGCCTCTTCCCCGCGAATGAAACGCTTTGGTTTGCGGGGACCATCAAGGGGTTTCTAGGAGAACACAGTCATTGAACCCGGTTCTAGCTGGACACGAAGAATTCACTTTGCCTAAACTGGGTGTAACTGGCCGCTCCTTTGGTTACCCCTCACGCGCATGAAGCGATAGGAGCGTTGCAGCGGTTCCCACGCTACTGTAAACTTATCTTATCTTCCTATCGTGACGATCGGAGTGTATGAGAGGGACAGAGAGGTTTAAAGCTAGCTCCGAAGATCTTTCGCTGTCGAGTGAATTCTCTCTGTGTATTCATAATGAAGCGGCTAGGGACAGAAAGCGCGGATGGCATTGAAAGCACATTACACACTACCTCTGGAACTGGCCGCTATGATCCCGAGAAAGGAAACCATCTCAAGGGTCCCGATGGGACAGGGGCTCCTGAACTCGCAGCGGTTCAGGAATTACGGTTAGGATCTGTCCTTTCAATGATTTGAGATTGTCGCTAATGCGCCATGAAATCAGACAGGGTCTAGGGCAACGTCACATTCATATGATTGCCCTGGCAGGCACAATTGGAACAGGACAATTCCTGGGCTCAGGTCGAGTTTTGGCTAATGCCGGACCAGCGGGCATTTTCATGGAATACACGATAATGGGATTGCTGATCTCGAGCGTCACACTATCCATCGGAGAGCTGAGTGCCCTCCTCCCCCTCAGTGGCGGTGTCATTCGACCCGCTGCCTATCTCGTGGACCCGGCGTTCTCCTTTGCGCAAGGACGGAATGTCACATATCAGTACCTCATCTCCATTCCGGCAGAGATTTCTGCGGCCTCGGTGATCATACAGTTTTGGGTGACGGTGAATAACGCGATCTGGGTCACCGTCTTCAGCGCGATTCTTTTCGCGACAAATATCTTTTTGGTTCGCATGTATGGAGAGATCGAATTCAGCCTTGCCATTCTGAAAGCTTGTCTCATCGTTGGCATGAACATCATGGTAATAGCCTCGCCCATATTGGTCTTTCTGGCTCTCTTTGGTTAATACTCAACGGGGTCTTGTGATCACCTGCGGTGGTGGGCCTAACCATGGATCGATTGGTTTTCGATACTGGAACGATCCCGGGCCGTTCGTACGATTTCTTGGGGTTCCCGGCTCATTGGGCCGATGCATGGGATTTTGGACCGTGTTTATCAATGCGGCGTATGCCTACTCTTCTGTGGAGACTATTTCCATGGCAGCGGCGGAGACATATGCCCCGAGGCGGAATACCCCAAAAGGCTGCTAAACGGGTGTTCGTCCGTGTTATGCTGTTTTACGGTTTGTCCCTTTTTTTCCCTATGAATGGCAAGATCTAATCATGGATCAGTCATTTTCCATCTTCATGATCACCCTGCTGGTTCCATCAAACGACCCTATGCTATTAAGAAGCACTGGCACTGCTGCTCAGTCTCCATTCCTCATCGCCGCGCAGCGCACAGGCGTCAAGATAGTGCCTCATATTATCAACGCGATTGTGCTCAGCAGTGCTTGGAGCTCAGGCAATTCTAGTTTGTTCCCTTCCACTCGTCAATGACACTCAACCTAACAGCTATCCAGCACTCCTCAGCGGATCTAGAATTTTCTATGGCATGGCCCGCGAAGGTCTAGCTCCGAAGTTTCTCGCACGCACTAACCGGTGGGGGGGTCTGGTACATGGGCGTTCTTGCAATTGGCGTATGGATGAGCCTTGGCTACATGTCACTTAGCTCCACCGCCGAGGTCGTGTTCACTTGGTTACAAGACCTCGTTGCTTGTGCCCAAATCATGAGCTGGCTTGGGATTTGCACAACCTACCTCCGCTTCTACTATGCTCTGAAGAGGCAGGGTATTTCGCGGAGTAGGTTGCCGTGGGCTGCACCGCTTCAGCCTTATGCTGCTTGGATGACTCTCATTTCGCTCACTGTCATTTTGCTTACTGGAGGCTATACTGCTTTCAATCACGGCCAGTAAGTTCTCGCGCGATTCAGGCTGGATTGTTTATCGTGCTCACTCTCATGCCACAGCTGGTCTACCGAAACATTCATTTCGTCCTACCTCGACATTGTCATTTTTGCTGGCCTCTACTTTGGATACAAGCTATGGTTCCGAACCAAGATAGTCTCCCTTGATGAGTCGCCTGTTGCCCGCTTCGTGCAGATTGCGGAGAATGATCCCGACCCACCGAGAGGCGCCCCAGTCCAACTGGGCCAAACTCAATATTCTGTGGGCTTGAAGATGTGATGCACTGAGCAATCTCTCGATATTCTAATTAAATGCTGCCTCTGCTTGTCGCTGCGAACTTCAAGCTGTTCTGTATGCCCGGCGATGACGCGACTTGTTTACGATATCGAGCAGAGCGCCATTGCATAGCAAAGTGACGGAGTGGCGTCGGTTGTTTAGGGCAACATGCGGAATTCTAAATAAACTCACACCTTTACACGCATGGCCTAATGTATAGGGAAGACTAGCTCGTGCTTTTGCTAAAATGCCTGGCATCGTGCCAATGCCGGGACTTGTGTGCGGGGCTTGCCTAGCTGGCTGAGCATGACCCCACTCAACCTGGCCATCTTGAGACCACTACGGCATCCGCCACCATGAAACCAGCTATGAATAGCTTGCCGACGCGTTGTGTCCAAACAGCACCACACCAAGCAACACACACGTCATCATGCAAGAGCCCGATCGCCTTGACGAATCAGCCGATCCCGGTCTCGCGACGATGAGTGGGTGAAGCTCTCGACGCTAAGCTTTAGCGGTGGCTAGCCGCAGCATCAGCTACACCACGATTTCAGGCTTAATGCTCCAACTCGGCACCAGACAAGCACGTGTGCTATCGCGGCCTTCTCCTTTGCGAATGGCCCAAACAAGCAATCTCTAATGTTGCCGCTAATGCTAGGACGTCCAATATGACGACAGCGCAAAGGATCGACACATAAAAGCCGATCTCGGACGCTCCTGCCCTTTTCATTCCTCAACTGCACTCGTTGCTACATCGTCAGAGTGTCTACAAGTTTATCTTTATCTTCATCTTCATTCTTCAGCTTTACCAAAATGACCATCTCCCACTACGGCGTCTGGGCCTGCACCCCAACCCGCTATACGGCTCAGACCGAGAAGCAAGACGCCAAATCCCCTCACATCTACCTCCACTTCACCGATGGCTCATCCTCCAAGGATCTCGAGGCCGCCATTAACGTCAAGTCGACCGATAAGGACACCCGCCTGGTCTTTTGGTTGAACCGCAACTTCTCTCACCCCATCACCAAGACCCTGTCTGGCCTCGACCAGGGCTTCCACCTAGCCCAACAGAGTGGCTCAACTGAGAACAACAGCACTCACCACAGCCGTCATCGTCACAACCGTCGCGAAACCTCGACCCTACAAGGCCTTGACTTCATTCGCACCCAGGACCTTGTGGATATCAAGTCCGGCAGGGTTCTCCCTCACGATATTCCCGGTCCCAATAACGATATCCTGGATGACCTGGATCCCATCATCACCGATGCGATCAACAAGAAGGCGACTGCTTATATCTGGGGTTCGTCTTATGGATCCGGAATCCACGATGTTCACATGAATCAGGGTAGTCTGCCCAGCTACTCCAATGGCATCTACGAGGATGGCGCAGTGCTGTTTGAATTCGATGATGGACACTGGGAGGCTGTCTTCTTGGCCTTTGCTTCGCAGAGGATTCCCACCGATGACCAGGGTGAATATGAGTCTAACAGTGAGTCTCTGGCAGATATCCTGGGTCAATAAATTGCCAAGATAGTATGAGTGGATTGTTACCATTGATGTGGACTTGTGGACTGGTTAGAAGCAAGACTTGCATAGATAGACAATTACACATCGCGCCATACCAATCATTACCTTTTACGTATTATTTCTTGCTGTCCAGAACCAAGGTGACTTGCCAAATGGGCAATACACTTGGGCTATATCAACGAAGCTGTTGGCCTCTGGGTCACAAGCTCGCGATACATATCTAGCTGAACAGGAAGCATTATATTCTAGTCCTTCTGAGGCACCTAAATAATAACTTGGAGCAGTCGGATTATTGAAAAGTAAGATATAGTTGATCCCCGCTATGATCGCACGGGTGCGGGGAGATCACGTGGTTAGCATCGGTTACCATCGGGGCAACGATTCCCTTGATAAGTGCCATGCTGCGTGCTATGTCCCAGGTATATCTTACGATTTCACTTCTGAGATCTTCAACTGTTTCCCTAGGTGATCCAAAATGAATCTTCTTCGCAGTGGGGGCAGTGTTTCCCGCATTCTACGTCCCTGTCGTCCCCAGAGTCTTCTCCGCATTCGATGCCCCATAACGCCCGGCGTGAGCCGAGGATTCCATGCTGGTTCGGCATTGTTGGGGGTTCGATCTCAGATTCTGAAAGATGTTGGCGAAGGTGGGTTCTTGAACACGGATAGCCTTTTGAGATTTCTCGAGATCACTCGTTAATGAAGTCAGGTATCACCGAAGTCCAGATCATTCAGTGGTATGTGGAGGAGGGAGCGCATATTGAAGAATGGAAACCCCTGTTCCAGTATCAGTCGGACAAGGCTGTTGACGATGTCAGTATGCTGGCTATTCTATGTCAAATCTTGGAAAAAAAAAAAGCTAACATTGCCAGATCACATCACGGTACGAAGGCGTGATCAAGAAGCTTCATTTTGAAGCAGATGACACAGTACCTACAGGAAGCGTATGCAAATTACCCCAGTATATATTCCTGTGTCATATTACTGACAACTCCCGATAGGCCCTCGTTGAGATTGAAGTCGATGATGCGAAATACCCCGAAGAGAATCCACAACCTGTGCCCGCCGCAAACCCGGAGCCACTCCAGAATGCCACGGCCCCAGAAGTAGCGGCAGTAGCTCAAGCAATTGAGTCGTCTCAGGTTGAGACACCCGCCGTGCAAGAGGCCGAGGTGCCCACCGAAGCACCCAAGTCAAAACATGCTTCCCTTGCAACTCCCGCCGTTCGAGGGCTCCTCAAAACCCACAGCGTCGACATTCTCCACATTAATGGAACGGGCAAAGAAGGCCGAGTCCTGAAAGAAGACGTCCTCAGATTTGTCGGAAACCGAGACTCCCCAATCAGTACACCCTCCATAGCATCTGCGCCCACCACCCCAGACGCACGCCAAACCGAAACACCGACGAACCTAACCCCAATTCAATCATCCATGTTCAAAACCATGACCAAATCCCTAACCATCCCCCACTTCCTCTACGCCGATGAGCTCAAGATCAACGACATCACCAGAATCCGCAAGAGACTGCTCGCGGATCGTGACCCAAAGAAGATCACATTCCTCCCCTTCGTCGTCAAAGCAGTCTCTCTCGCACTAGCCGACTTCCCACTTCTAAATGCCCGTGTCGATACCACCGACCCGTCCAAGCCCAAATTAATCATGCGCTCCCAGCACAACATCGGCATTGCAATGGACACCCCCAACGGCCTGCTCGTCCCAAATATCAAAGACGTAGCATCCCGCTCAATCCTTGACATTGCTTCTGAAATTTCCCGTCTGAGCGCCCTCGCCAAACAAGGAAAACTTTCATCAGCCGATATGAGCGGTGGCACGATTACAGTGTCGAATATCGGGAATATTGGTGGGACTTATGTTGCACCCGTCCTTGTGCCTACAGAGGTGGCTATCCTTGGCATTGGGAGAACGAGAGATGTACCGGTCTTCGATGAAGCGGGTCAGGTTACGCGTGCGGAGATGGTGAACTTTAGCTGGAGTGCGGATCATCGGGTTGTGGATGGAGCTACGATGGCGAGGATGGGGAATCGGGTTAGGGAATTGATTGAGATGCCTGAGCTTATGCTGCTTAATCTACAATAGAGGGAATACGAGATGCAATTGGCATAGAAGCATGTTTATAAGTTTCTTTTCGCCTGGTAGATTATTTCCAGGTAGATTAGTTTGAGGTATATAAAAAAAGATGTGATGGCTTTCAAAGACACTATATTATTACATGGAGTGTCGCATAGTAGACGGTAATAGAAGGGCCAATTCTGAATCGAGCAAATTTCCAATTCATGGATTCAATCTATCGGTATCGTAGACCATTGAGATGCTTCCCCGTTGGAAATGGGGTAATCCAAAAGAACGGACCTCGGTTGCCCGTACAGTCACGTCTTGAACTAATGCTAAGAATAAGAAAGAGAAAGAAAAAAACGCTAGGAAGATAGATACAGGCCCGGGGCCCGGAGGGACACCACGAGCAAAATCCGCCAATGTACACAAAACTCCCGAGGCACCATGTCAGAGGTGTATCCTCTCATGCAATATCAATACCACAGCTTGAAGAGAACAAGAGCAGTATCATTCCCATCAATGGTTCTCCTCGAGTGTCTTGTGCACCGCATCGAAAACCCGGTGCTGCACCTGGGCCTGCGATCCCTCCACATTAATAGTAATCACATCCCACTCCCCCTTGGGTTCCTCGAGGGCCTGCAACTGAGACCGAACCATATCACTCTTCATATAGTGAGCCTGGCGCTGGCTGACACGCTGCATGAGGACTTCCTCGGTGAGTTTGAGGTAGATGAAGTGAATCTGGACAGAAGGCGAGCCGTACGCTGCCACGCGCATGACGTCACGGTATTTCTGCTTCAGCGCGGAGCATGCGACCACAACACCGGGGGGAGGGTGGAAGTTGTTTGATTCGGACGGGGAGAGAGCGTTGATGGCGGCTTTGCGAAGGGAGATGAGCCAGTCCCAGCGGTCTTCATCGGTAAGGGGGATGCCGTTGCTCATTTTATCTTTGTTGGATTTGTTGTGGAACTGTCGAGATCCGAGGTCAGTCTGTGGTTTAAGGGGGGAGGGGGGGGCCGGATGTCTGGTTGCTGGTTTTAGGAAACAAACGTACATCATCCCCTTCAAGGAACGGAATGCTTAGTTCTTTAGAGAGGCCATTGCCTACTGTGCTTTTGCCGCATCCCGCAGGACCGGTCACGATCCAGATGTGCTGGACGGTGCTTGGGTCTGTAGGTTTGGAGAGCATTGCGGATGCTGAATGTGAGGATTGGTTGGGCTCGAGACCGGGCATGATGTGTGGCAGTTTGGAGGAGGCTACGGCAGGCGTGACTGGAGGCTGAGGCCGTTCCCCGGCGGAGAGCATGGTGAAAATGTGTGAATTGGTGGTTGGGGGCTTCTCAAGTTTCCGTCCTGGCGTGGTTCCAGGGAACTGAGCCGGGGTTGAGTGGATGACGTTGTGATACGTGGGTTGAAGGTCCTTGAGGTCTATATGGCTTGACAGTCGCGTACAGAATCGCTCAAATGGAAAATCAAAGAAGAAGCAAAAGCAAAAGTCGCGCGACAGTGGAAGCGAACAGGCTACATTTTAAGCATGACGGTGGGTCGAACGAGGGAAATTGAAGAAAGCAGAAGCCGAGTGGGGGGAAACACTGGCCACGGTATTCATTGGTGCAGGGACTGCTTTTCATTACCCGAGTGGAGGTGTGAAGTGGGATGAGTCTCCAGGTGCTCGGTAGATCGATCGACGCCTCCCCAGGTTCACGCCGGGTCACCGCTTTTTTTTTTTCGCGTTTGGCGGTGGTATAGAGGAGTCGCGTAAATAATCGACCGTATCTAGATCAATCATGAAATAGACCGCTTGCATCTTCTCGTGCTATCAATCGCCCGAAGATGATGTTCGTGATGTCACACGGGCAAACAACCCCCACGCTAGTGGAACACCATAGGTTAGGGTCGATTTCACGACTCATACACTGCCAGTGTTCTTTTTTCTTTTCTTCGTCTAGCATCTCTACAGGTTACAATCTGGGTATAGAGGTGGCATCTCAGCAAATGTACCGTGCCGACATTCCGTTCTGCAGTAGGACGAACTGAACGCATGGCCTCGCATGGAATGTGATACACTGGGGCAGTGGGGGCTAGGAATGAGATCACATAAACGTAGGTAGGGGTCTAAAGGATCGCCGTACTGAAATCACACCGAGTCGGCTTCGGCCCCGGTACTTCTTGCGCCTGAGAGATTTCCCGCTTTCTCGCCCTTTCACGTCCAAGGTGACATTGTCTCAGGATCCGGGTCAGCAGTCCCGTAAAACGTTCAATCCTTGCATCAGGGCTCCGGTCAGTTCATAGGCTCGGAGAGGCAGTCTCGGAAAAGTAGAATCCGGCTCCCGATTTCACCGTACTCTGGCTGACTTATGAGACTTGTTTGATCTTGTGGACCTGGGTTCGAGGCATAGCAGTGACCCGGAGGAATGGTCTTACAAAGGCGTACTAATGTGGTGGTTGTTCTGTCGTTCTGTCAGGCTCGCCGTATTGCCCACTTGCCGAATTAATGTGGGCAGACGCTCCATTATGATCATCGACCACAAAGCCGTTTGGGTGCTTTCGAGACAATTGGACAAAGTAGTGTCTTTCAACTGATTATACATCAAGTTGAAGACTCAATGGACCATGGTCAAGCTGTAGATCGAACCGCACGAGGCACCAAGAGCTGCCTGCGGGGGAGAATGACTAAGCGGTGAAGCCACGTTCTGGATCAAGCTCAGTCAACTCCGAAAGCACCTCAGCGCTGCACACGATGGCGTCCCTCTTCTTCTCCACCCCTGTCGATATTGACATCGTCCTCGATGATCTTGATGACCGTCAGACCGTCGATGTCAAGCTCGACAAGAACCGCCGCGAGCGGGTACCCCTGTTCATGGACGGAGAGTCCGTCAAGGGCGCTGTGACGATCAGGCCGAAAGATGGCAAGCGATTGGAGCACACGGGAATCAAAGTACAGTTCATCGGGTCGATTGGTATGTGCGTCATCTTCCTGGAAGCTCAGTCCATTATTGACGCAGCTCGGCTGTTTTTAGAGATGTTTTACGATCGAGGCAACCACTACGAGTTCCTATCGCTGGTCCAAGAATTGGCAGCCCCAGCGAATTGCTACATCCCCAGACTTTTCCATTCAACTTCAAGAATGTCGAGAAACAATACGAATCCTACAATGGTATCAATGTCAAGTTGCGCTACTTCGTCCAAGTCACCGTCTCACGGCGCATGGCCGACGTCATCCGTGAGAAGGACCTTTGGGTGTACTCCTACCGCATGCCCCGGAGACCAACAGCCCTATCAAGATGGATGTCGGAATCGAAGACTGCCTGCACATCGAATTTGAATACTCCAAATCCAAATACCATCTTAAAGACGTGATTGTCGGCCGGATCTACTTCCTGCTAGTGCGGCTAAAGATCAAACACATGGAGTTATCCATCATTCGACGAGAGACCACCGGGTCTCCACCCAATCAATATAATGAGAGCGAGACGTTGGTACGCTTCGAGGTATGTGTCGAGCCCCCACCGGCTCCGTGACAAGCGATTTCACCGGTACAATTTATCGTGCGGGCAACCGTTAACAGCATTATAGATCATGGATGGATCACCTTCCCGAGGTGAAACCATTCCTATCCGTTTGTTCCTCGGTGGTTTCGATCTGACGCCCACTTTCCGAGACGTCAACAAGAAGTATTCGACACGATACTACCTCAGTCTAGTGCTGATCGATGAAGGTACGTGACCTTGAACCTTTCATATTGCACTTTGTCAATTCCGGTGGATGGGATGCATGCGCAAGGAGGGCAGAGGCAATGGCTTCAAACCCCGACGGCAATTGAGACCAGTCTCGGCTCGGCTGGGCAATTCTATACCGTTTCTCGGTTTCCGAATTTACCGTCTTGAACCCCCCACACTAGACTCTTCTTGGCACCTTGCATCCTCCACTTCATCACTTGCAGACGAGACTTGTCCTTGTTTACACGATCCACTGACACTGAACTTGCAATCAGATGCTCGACGCTACTTCAAGCAATCCGAAATCGCCCTTTATCGCCAAGCCCCTGAGATTGCTGCGACACCACAGATTGCCCAGCAACAGCAGATCCAACAGCAGGTCCTGATGCAGCAACAGCAGCAGGCCCTTCCGCCAGGATCTGCCACCGCTGGGCCAGGACGTGAACAGCCCAGACCGCAGCCCGTCTCAGCGCCGGTGGCGTAGTTTCCCCGCATTGATCATATCGCAACTGTAACTTGGGCAGATAGATCTGTTCTTCTATCCTTCTTCTATACCCACCCCGTTGTCACCACACTCCCGCCCCTATCTACCCGTGTGTTGTGTCTAGCAAATACATTCCTCGTCACCTCCACGGATGTCACGATATCACCCAGTCAAGGTAGTCTACTTCTTATTCTTGTCCATAATACGAGAATCAACTTGGCCAACCCTTTTGTTTGCAAATTCTACATCTCGTGACATTTGCCTAGAGAAATGGAAGGGATGAGATGAACTACATAGCAAAACACATTGTTCTAGCATCCAGTAGCTATCGAATCCCCTACTCGAATCGGCCCGTCTGTTCCAACACCTTGCCCAAAGCCTGTAGAACCTGTCCATCGTCACGCTCTTTACCCGCGACCTGGACGGCTTGGACAATAAGAGGATACAGCCACTCGAGATGCTTGCGGTGGTGACGTGGGGACTTGTCATCACCGGCTGTTGCCGCACCAGAATGGACAGAGGGTGGGTCTGGGATAGCAGAAGGCTCGCTTCGAAGCTGGACCATCTGAAGCAAAAGATGTAGCAGGGCTTTCCGCGATGGACTTGGTTGGGGCATGAGGCCCCGGAGAGGCTGGTCGGCGATGTAGCCTTTAAGCGAGACAGCGCAGCGGAGCAGGAGGTAGGGAGAGATAGACCTGGCGAGCAGAGTCTGCGCAGATGCGGTGGACTTGAACTCGGACTCGGCATTACCCGCAAGCTCGAAGAGGGAGTCCATGAGGGCGTAGGCCATTCTTGGGCGAAGGGTCGGAGGCGGGTCGAAGGTGCGACCTGCGCGAACGCGGTAGTAGTCTTCGAGGGGAAAGTCCTCGATTGGGGCGGAGGGAAGATCGAAGCGCTGCGGAGCGTAGATAAATGAGGAGTGGAAGAGGGCGCAGGCGAAGTTTCGGCGTATTGGGTCGGGGATAGCGGAAGCACCGAGGGATGGGAGAATGATTTGCTTTAGCCGGGCGAAGGCTGTGGTATCGAATTCTTCGTCGGAAAGGATTCGGATATTGGATAGCTGCTGGGTCCGGAATCCACGGGCTGAGACGATGCCATCGGTGATGTCGATGACGCTTTGCCAGAAGCGTGCGATTCCTGCTTCCTTGGCCTTGGGGTACTGCTTCTCCACGTAGGGTACCGCGACTTCGAGAACGTTCAGAGACGCAGTTGTGGCCTTTTGCCAGAGATAAGGTTCACGATCCTTGCCTTCCCACATGTACTTGTACTTGATCGATACATGGAGACGCTCAAGGGCGGTGGCAAGTGCGTTGTTCGAAAAAATGTCTTGCTTGATACCGAAGTCCGCGATGTACCAGCTTACGAGATCTATGGCGCTCTTGGAGAAGGCAACAAAAGTTGGTTTTCTCGAGTCGTTGCTGGAACTCCATTTTGACAGGGCGGAATCTGACAGGTCTGCGAGACAGATAAGAATAGCAGCCTGTGATTCTTCATTCTCTAAGCAAAGAGTCCTGATGCAATCAATCACCAGCCCCTGGACATCGGAAGAGCGGTCGATATCCGTCGAGTAAGGTGGGTATACCGAATTCCATACAAGCAGACGAAGGTGTTGGAGTACCTTTTTGACATGGTCCGTGGTCAAATCATCTTTATAGAGACGATATACCTGCTGGAAAGATTGCATATAGGCCAACGCGGCGTCTTGGTTGGGTCGATCCAGATCAAGCATGGCTTCATCTTCAGCCGGGTGGCCATTAGCCCACAGATCCCAGGCACATTGAAGAGCTTTCTTGCTAAGCCCAAAGGGGGACTGCACCCTAACGAGAATCGCACAAAGGCTAACGAAGGTCGCCTCGTTGAATTTCAGAAGTTGCAAGTCCAACAATGCCTGCAAGTACTTCAAAAGCCGAGTCCAAGACTCGTCGAACATTTCGTCACTCACAATGGTATCGAAGAAGTTTGTGATAAGATTTGAGATCCCGTTGATCATCAAGACTGTCGTTTCCACCCGTGACTTGAGGCTATCTGCCGACCCATTGAGCTTGTCCTTCGATTTGAAGAGATTGTTTTCAACTGCTTCCACCATTTGAAACAAGACTCTGTTCAGACACAACCTCCATGCTTTTGGTGATAGCTGTTGCCCGTAAGCGTCAAAAATCCTCAGAAGAGTATGGATCGCGCTGTTTCGAATCTCCGGCCTCGAGTCTGTCGCAATGTCAACAATACGGAGCAGCAGCAACAGCCAAAGAGAATTCTTTGAGACAGAGGGATTCTTGTCACAAGCAAGCTTTGCCAATTCCTCTTCGGTGACAGAGGCATCAAAATGACTCTCAATCGAGAACTTCTCGATTTGTTCCTGAAGGAAATCGGATACGTTCCAGAAAAAGGATGTTGTGGTCAAGGAAATGTTGAAGTCCTGTGTCTGCGAGGCGAAGCTAGAAAATGCATTGACCAGGCTCAAAAGGCAGGGAGCAGGCAACAAGGAGAGGAAATCTGAAGCCACAAGATGAAGAGACTTGTATGCTGCGCGGACTAACCGAGGACCGGCTGGAAGGGCCGACGACCTACGCTCAGCCGGGGTGGTTGGTAGGAGATCCCCAGTCTCAGCCTTTGGGATGACTTGAAAGACTCCCGATATCAAATCAAAAGTGTGATCCCATCCGTCCGTGAAAGCTTCAGCATATTGCTCGAGTATGTTTTGAAGAACCTCCAAACTCTGCTCATGGATTTCAATAACAGTGGTTGGAAGCGACTTCGTGGAGGACGAATCAGATGGGTAAAGTGATGCTACTTGGTTCTTGAGGGTTTCGAGATTTCTCGTATGGACCTGGTTCAGGACTTTTTTATCGACATCCTGTGCATTCATGGTCAAGAACACCAACGAATTGAGGATTCCGCTAGATTGCAGACGAAGATTGGGACTGATTTCAGTGTTGGCGGAAGCAGATATCAGACTTTGCGTAAGGATTTCCCAAGATTTGTTGTCCTCGTCGTCAAGTGACGAAAGCCTCTCAAGGTTCGCCCGGGCTAATTCGTTCACTTTCTCTAGAACAAACTTGAGCTCTTCATCCTGCATTCTTGATATTCCCACAGTGTGAGACACACGCCGAGTAATTTGATGCATTCGTCCAGACTTCTGTGAGGATTGAGGGGTACTCGGCATCTCAGAAACTTCTTGCTCTGGCTCGTTCCGCGGTTCTGGTGCCGTCGAGGAAGACAGGTTCAAGAGTGCATGTAGGATCTCCTGGAAAGCCCCGCTGGGGTAATCACTAGTGCTCTCAAACATCTTGGATGAGGCTGCCTGAACTGCAATCACTTCCACTCCCAGATTTGCAGTTGGAATATCATTTCCAAAAATCGCCGTGGTTTCGCCCAAAGCATTGGCCGATTTAACCATAGTACTGGATGATATGCCGATCACGAGTTCAGTGTATTGCAATGTCTCAAATAAAATTGACCAGGCCGGCTGGTCCAAAGTAGGCCCTAATGCAATTCCAAGATTGAGTAAAGCTCGAAGACAAAGCAGATTCCTCGTACTCAAGGACGGCGTGGAGCTTTCCAACCCAGAAGAGTCCGCAGGCAATGAACTTGTTCTTAGCATGTCTGAGCTCTTTCGCGATTTCTGATGGCTCTCATTAGATTGAGCGCCAGCTGCAGTTGGTGTGGCAGGAATTTGCCCTCTGGAACCGCTTGCGCTTACGGGAGTAGCAGCTTTTCCCAGTGTGGTAAGAAATGCATCACGAGGCACAGAGAGTCTCAGAAGGCCAGCTACATGTGCTAGCTTTTGGAACGCTCGTACTAGGTTGTGGTAATACTCATCGTCCAGGGAAGCGTGCAAGAAGGTGGAACAGGCTGCAAGAACAGCAGGCCAACAATTATCAACCATCCCGGCACAGGTCATGATCGCGGAGTATTGTATATGAGAAGTCAAATCCAGAGGATTGATAGGAACCGACGACCTCTTGCCTGGTGAGGCTGTCTGAGCCCGCCAGGCATCAGATTGGAGATCTTGAGATGATCGCGCAGAGTCGGGTCCCTGGTCTGTGTTCACATAGCGGTTCTTCTTCTTCTGCCTTAAGTCAGGGACTGTAAGAGGAAGAATGAATTTTCCAAGGCCCTCGGCAAAGCTGCTGATACAGTTGAGAACAAGGCTGTAGATATAGGTGTCTGGCGGTAGTGGTGGCTCCGTTTTATCCAGTAGTTCGATATACGGGGTCCGTACAACACTCCATTGGCTGCTGATCCCTGGTACTTTGGTCTCTGCTGGTGGGCCTGTTGACCCTATGACGCCTGCGACGCCACCTGTTTCAAGGGCGATCTGATCCTCCGTTGCGGAGCGTAGATGTTCAGCACGTGATGGCACCGTGGATTGGTTGCTGACCCCGATCAGGGAGGGCTTCTCCGACGCAAGCCGAACAAGTGCTGCCATATGATCTCGGAGAACGTTCTTTCTGCGTTCGTCTCCGTCGTACAAGGTGTAAATTTGGCGAACAACGCCCGCTTCAGCATAGATACCGCGGAAAACCTCCATACACAAAACGCGTTTCCAGGGCGCGTTTCCATCAGGTTCAAGCAAATGGGTTAGCAGGCCAAATGCCATCTCACACTCGGCAGGCAGGAGAGACATGTGACGTTTTAAGAGCACAAGAAGAATGCGCGCAATCCGAACAGTCTGGGAAAACGAATGCCTCTCCGAGAGATACCTCACAGCCAAGGGCATCAAACGAACTCGCAGCACCTGCGAAAGTTCCGGATGATTGACAAAGAGGCGGCCACTGTTGAGGATGATGCTTTCGATGAGCTCAAGAACAAAAATTGGAGACAAGATTCTCGTGCGCAAAAATTGCAATTGTTCGCCCTCAATAAGACGGCACAGATCATCCAGAACCTGCAACGCATCGAACGCGAATTGTCCCACCTCAACCGAATGACCGTCGACCGTGATTGAGGTAGTGGATTTCTCATCGTTGGAAAGTTTATCTTCATTCGACACCCTTTCAAACGTCGATACCACCAACTGTTGGAGCGTAGCAGCAGCAGTGCTACTCACGGCCATCGTCTTGCTTGCTTGCAATGTAGCGCAGATTTCTAACGTGTTTGCAAGAAGGTCTCCACTAAGCTCGTTGGAGTAATACTGCAACAGCGAAGGTAAGGACTGTAAGATTTTTAATTGAATATCAAGACCTGCACAGTGTGAGCAGCCGTGTGTTCAATTTGGGTTGATTTTCTGGGGCATACTCAGGCTTGTCGTCTCTCTCAGGCCAGTAAGGACGTCCTTAAGGCGTTGAGATGGCAACGATCGAGAAGCAATCAATCGCTGCAAGCAAATGACTCCGATCCCTGCGAGTTTCGCATGTCGAGTATGACAGGCGATGATGAACGGCTCAACAAAAGCCGGTTTGCGAACAAGATCTATTGAAATTGTTAGTAATCTGAACTTGAGCCCTTTATGCAAGAAACTCACCTGCTGCTATTTGAGCTTCTGATGTTGAAGGCAGCGCCTTCAGCTCGTTAAGTGATTGCTCGGCAGCCTGAACCTCTTTGCTTAGCATCGCGGTCCAAGGGGATATCTGATCGTGGTTTGACTGACATGGCGCAGGTCAGCGTTTTTCCGCCGAGACTCTTGTATGAGGTTTGCAAGCTCTGTCTGCAAAAATTGGGAGGACATTTCCAGCGCAACAAGCTAGCATCAACGCATGGCCAATTCCGTTGTCCGAATCGCCGAAGGTCTCCGTGTCAACAAGACAGGGAGCTCTGGAATCCGGACAGACCCGCACGCGGCTGAAAAGAGAGCGATTTCAAGAGCTGCTCAGTTCCAGTATCACTCAGATACGGTGAGTCTTAGTCGAGTTCAACTTGGTCGAGCGAGGCTCAAAGATGTAGCAGTCAACAATCCCCGGCGTGGCATCTCCAAGTGCCAAGGCTCCGATAAGAGCCTTATCGCACGTGATGGAGTGGCTCCTTGAGCGGCAGCTGCCCCTCCTCTCTTCCACGAACTCCCTCACTTTCACGCTGTTCCTTTTTTTCCTTTCTCTTCGTCTTTATATTTTTCATACAAAATGGCCGCTAAGGTGCCGCGAAACTTCCGGCTCCTTGAGGAGTTGGAGAAGGGCGAAAAGGGATTGGGCGCAGGTACATCCGACTCGTCATATGACACGAGACCATAGGTATACTGATGTATTGTTATCAATCATTACAGAGGCCTGCTCCTATGGCCTTGCCGACGGTGAGGATCTGATGATGAGCAACTGGAATGGAACCATTCTCGGTCCTCCTCACGTTTGTCTCCCCCGCTTCGTACCTGTCGTCATGCATGTCTGACTTGAAGAATTACGACTAGAGCGTCCACGAGAACCGCATATACAGTGTCAATATTCACTGCGGACCCGACTACCCGGACAACCCTCCCACCATTCAGTTCATTTCCGCTGTCAACATTCCCTGTGTTGACCAGCGCTCCGGAAAGGTGGGGTCGAATGTGCACCAACATACTGAACCATGACTGACCGGTTTTCTTTTTAGGTCGACCCGACTAAGCTTCCCTGTCTCGCTCAATGGAAGCGCGACAACACCATGGAGACCGTCTTGATTGAGTTGCGGAGGTCAGATATCTTAAGCTTCTGACCGTGAGGACACCGATACTAACACGATTTCTAGATACATGGCATTGCCACAGCACAAGAAGCTGCCCCAGCCTCCGGAAGGCTCGACTTTCTTCTAAAGTCTGCATCTCGTCCATAGGGTCCATAAGCAATCCGGAGTATCACGGTCTTTTTCTTTGGCATTAGTTTGCTTTCTTCCATCATGTGATGATCCCTTATAGCGTGTACAGTCCTTGCATAACAGTATCGGCGCAGTTGACTTGCGACCCAAGCCCTTCCCCTTTATCCTAGTTGGTACCTTGCGCGGTGACTCAGAGGTCGTATTGGTCAACCGATCACCAATGTAGTCACACCTCTCTTATCGCACCGAAGTTTCCATTGCTCATTTAATAGAGGAGATGCAGTCTTGCCAAAGACCAAGACTGCGTGTCACATTACGGGCATTCGCAGCCTTGATGAATGTTTGCATACTATCACGTGATGATATCGGACGTTGATCTAATCAGCCGCGGTCCCCGGATTTTCTCCGACTCACTCAAGACTAATTAACGGCATGGCCAGATTGGTGCTACCAAGTCATTCTGGAGTTCATCGGTTTGCTTGTAAGATACCCTGCGCTTCACTGATCTGACTCCGGCACCCTGTTCATCGCAATTCTTCCAGGTTTGGCACTCTACCGAGCTCTCCTCCGACAATGTTCTCCTTCGACCGATAAACCGCGATGGCTAGCCGAGACACACTTCCTCGTCAAACAAAGATTTCGGAGATATAGGCAATTACAAAGTCCATCGCAGGCAGCAAATGCTCTAAAGGCTGGGTACAAGGTACGCTTTCCGTAAGCTGATCCTTGGCCGTTGTACATCCTAACTTGCGAGATTTATCGAATCAGGCTTTGGATCTACTGGACTCTGCATCAAAAGGAAACGAAAAACATGCACACCAAGTCAGCCAAATCCTTTCGCAGGCCAAATTTTTGAAGGAGCAGTTCGCAGCCCAGCAAAGAAAGAAAATCAAGGTGGAAAAGCCGTTATCGTCCAATGAAACGAAGAAGATGAAGGCCGTTCGCTCCGAATTAGAAACCTGGGAAAGGAAACCAGACACCCCCTCGATTTTGAATCGTCCTCAGCTTGTGAGCGGGAGACGAAAAAATACCGGTCCTGGTGAATGCTCGCGGAATTCCGTTTTTGCGCATCAAGAAGCCACAGCCGGCGAATTTAAGTGGAGTTCTACGGAATAAGTTGAAAAAGCGCTGGGAGTGCATAGAGGTGCGAGATAAATTGCAAACGGAGGTCCTTTTTGCTAAGGATGAAGATACCTGGGATCGCTTGACCCATGCCGGGGACGAAGGCTCATGGGCTGAGCAACCTAGAATCGCTCTGGACAGAATTTTTCAAAAGATCCGTGAAACGGATAGGAAGACTCGTGAAATGGCCGAGAAAATGTGGCAAGTTGTTCTTCGGGAACGAGAGGCGCTCGCGGAAGAGGAAAAGCAGAGACAGGCTTAGTGTGGTCACTTGCAGTATTCTGTTGCCAGCAAACTGTCGATTCATATCGCGAAATGATACCCAATTTTTTTTTGAGTCGTGGGACTATGGCACCCGATCGCCTAGGGTTCTTATACTATACGAAGTCTCCCATTCGAGGCAGAAATTATGAGAGATTGTATAGTTCACAAGCGTAATTTGACTTGGCATTGTCAACCCTTGTAGAAATGTCTATGCAGAAACCTTGAGCTTATCAATAGCTGGCATAGCATCTTCATCCCCCTCGTCATAGTCTGCCTTGCCAGCCAGACCTTGCTCCCACAACTGTCGCCCAGTCAGCTTCTTCTCCTGGGTCCCAGATTTTTTCTTCTTGTCTTCCGCCTCCTTCTCCTCACGTTCGCGCTGCTCCTCCTCCCGAATCTCCTGCTGGAATCGCGCATTCCACTCCAAGAACGTCTCTCTGGTGACTGGTGTGCCCTGGAACTTGCGGTTCTCTTCTTCCTCGGCCTTTGCCCTGACCTGCTCCCTTTCGGCTTCCACAGCGTTCGCACGTTCTGACATAAGAGACTCTGCGCTTTCTTTAAGGGCACTGACGAGAGTGAATACCATTGCCATTCCCATATTCTCCTCAATTGTGGGCTGCAGAGCCTCGAGGAGCTGTTCTCGGTCCTCTTGAACATCTAGGCGAGAATGCTTGGGTGCATTGGGCGGCGAGGAGATGCTGAGCTGCGGAGCGACATCAGGATATTCTTCGGGGTATGTGACTTCCAGACATATGACGGGTTGCTCAGACTCTTCGTCATCAAATTCGGGTGGGTCAAGAGTTATCGATACTCGGTATGAATTTTCGGAGATGTCTAGACGTAAAAGACGGAGGTGAGCAGAAAATTCCCTGACACAGAGTAAAGGCTCTTCCCATTCCTTGTAATCACTCACCTGTAATTTCCTCGGGAAAAATGGAGTCGAGCACCTCGCGCTCCTCAACTTGATCTTCGCGACCCATTGTGTCTGATCCGCCCGCGGATTGGAGGGGTCTCGGGTAGAATGGTTGGGCGAGAGTAAGAGGGAGATACACCGAGCGTTATTAGAGGGCTTGATGAGGATCAAGGAGAAGCAAGATGGCGTATAATTTCTTATAGAGAAGATCGCATTGTCTCCGCGCTTGCAAAGGTAGGCGATATCAGTTCCGCATGCAAACCCGTCAAACAGCACCAAATTTTGGGCGCGGAGCTTCTTTTCGCTCCAGTCCCGCATTGCATCGGTGAACAACTATTCTTCTTCACTCTGACAAGTCACTTTCCGTCCTTTTTGCTGTTTTATACATTCGTTTTGCCATGGGAAAACCCAGACCGCAGAAAAAGAAGTCGTCCAAGTCCAGCAAAAAATCCGTCCTCGGCCCTGGTGGCTCGATCTCGAAAGCCAAAATGTCTCAAGACCCCTCCGCATTGCTCGAACAAGCTACTATCCTACTAGAAACACTCCGTGTTGATGATGCTCTGGCAACTGCACAGGCGGCGCTGGACCTCGCAGCTGGAAACGCGTCTGTGCAGCTTCAAGCGGTGAACCTTCTTGGAGAGATCAACGTCGAGCTGGGCGAGATTGATACTGCGCGTGGATACTTCCTCACTGCGGTTCAGCAAGATCCCAATGGCTCAATACCGGAGGCTGAGGGCGGTGGTGCGGAAAAGTTCCTATGGCTTGCTCAATTGAGTGAGCAAGGTGGTGCGGACAGTGTGCAGTGGTTTGAGAAGGGCGTGTCGTCCCTGAGACAAACTTTGCAGCAGTTGGAAGGCAAAACGAGCGCCGAGGATGTTGCGAATGCTGAAATGAAGAAGGCCAAGATGGCAAATGCGCTCTGCGCTGTTGCTGAAATCTACATGACCGATCTTTCGTGAGTGCTTCTATCTCTACGCACATTGTCGCTTTAGCGCTAACAATGTTATTCTTGATAGCTGGGAAGAAGATGCTGAGGCCCGTTGCGAAGCACTTATCTCAGAGGCCCTGGTTGTTACACCTAATGCGCCCGAGGTCTTGCAGACTCTTGCGTCCATTCGGATATCACAGCTGAAGACCGAGGAAGCTCAGGAGGCATTGAAGAAAAGCATGGCCCAGTGGAAGGAGAAGGCCCCCGAAGACCCCACTATTCCTGATTTCCCTGTGCGCATCAGTCTTGCGCGACTCTTGATGGAAGTGAACTTGGAGCTTGAAGCCCTAGAGGTCCTCGAGCGATTGATCTTGGAGGATGACCAGAGTGTGGAGGCCTGGTACCTCGGTGGCTGGTGTCTCTATCTGCTGGCAGAGAAGCAGGAAGCCCCCAAGGATATAAAAGACGACGAAGAATCTCCTAGACACGCCTCGCTGATTGCCAGTCGGGAGTGGCTCAAGCAGAGCTTGAAGCTTTACGATGTTCTCCAATATGAAGATGACCGTCTCCGTGATCATGCTACAGAGCTGTTGCAAGGAATGAACCAGGAACTCGGCGAAGACATGGACGATAGTGAAGCCGAGGGAGATGGGGAAGGTGAAGACTGGGATGAGGAGATTGAAGTTGTTTCTGATGATGATCACGAGATGGCCGATTCATAGACGTCCAAAAAGTTACGATGCATGTACATGATTGTCTTTTCTTTTTCTTTGTTGATACCAAGTAAATGAACCAACTTTTTCGTCTAAACTTCTGTTGCTTGTTCGCCACTAAAAGGCGTCGGGACCGGATAAAGTTCCCTCCGGTCGATGCAGATGCCGAATTCTGTCAACGAACTCTGCACGACGCGACGTTGAGGCTGCCAAACCCCCTGCAGGATGGATTTGGTACCAGCGCCGAGCGGGGAGACCCCGGTGAAGTCCTCTGTGGTCGAACTGGACGCTGTCAACCTCGTGGAGCAGGTCAACGCGGAGTTGACCGCGCTGGAGGAGCCATCATCCGACTATGAAACAGACAGCGATGATTCAGAGGCCTGGGAGCTTCTATCTAATGGTGACGACGCTATTCAAATCATACGTGACGAGCAACTCCGTGATGGGCTCGGTATGTCCTTAAAATATCTCACATTCGCCTTACCCCAGACATCCCCGCTATCGGAATCCACATGGAGCGTGGACTAACCTTATGCTCCTACATGTATAGTTCCCGACGCCTGCACACTGGAAGAAGCAGTTGCGTATCGACAGCGCTTACATGATATCGGTAAGGCGGCATTCGTCGAAGAGACTATCGCGCGTGAAACCGTGACGGCGAAGAAGCTTTGCACGGCATTTGGAATCGTTCCGCCGGCCTTCCTTGAAGGTGCACCGGACGAGGCATATCATCCGCTGCTAGCGATCGCCATCTCAAGAGAATTCTCCAAGCGACCCAAGCTTCCTCAATACAACTCGATCGACGACGCGGTCAAGCTGCTGCAAGAGGCTAAGAACATCATCGTATTGACCGGCGCCGGTGTATGTACCCCCGAATGATTTTCTCTGATCCCTATTTAACTCTCTCCTGGTGCTTAGATTTCGACAAGCCTCGGTATACCTGACTTCCGCTCAAAGGATACTGGTCTGTATTCGAAGTTGGCCCATCTGGGTTTAAGTGATCCCCAAGAGGTCTTCGACATCCATATTTTCCGGGAAGACCCGAGCATTTTCTTCTCAATTGCCAAAGATATCCTTCCCACGGAGAAAAAGTTTTCACCTACTCATGGATTCATCAAGCTGCTCCAGGATAAAGGGAAGTTGTTGACCAACTACACCCAGAACATCGACAACATCGAAGGAAATGCAGGTGTTCTCCCAGAGAAAATCGTTCAGTGTCACGGATCCTTTGCGACCGCAACATGCGTCAAGTGCAATCACAAAGTCTCCGGTGACGCGATCTTCAGCGAGATCAAAGAAGGGATCATTCCCGAATGCGCTGTCTGCCGAAAAAGAATCGCAGAAGAGGGACTCAAGCCACAAGGGATGAAACGCAAGCGTAGCACGAACTCTCAGCAGAAAGATCGCAAAGGATTTGAGGGTAGCTCAGATGAAGATGAATACGAGATTCCCACCCCTGGCGTCATGAAGGTACGTCGCTTTCACCTCGGCTATTTTCTGCTTTTGGAATATTGACGATGTCGACAGCCCGATATCACCTTCTTTGGTGAAGATCTGCCCGATGAATTTGGCCAACGTCTGGTCCATCATGATCGAGAACTAGCCGATCTGGTCATCGTCATTGGAACATCGCTGAAGGTAGCCCCCGTTGCCGAAGTGCCAGGGATTCTGCCTCGCCATGTCCCACAGATCTACATCTCGCGAACAGTAAGTCTATTCACCGAATCTTTGAATTCTATGCTAACTTAGTTCTAGCCCGTGTCGCACACTGGGTTCGATATCGATTTGTTGGGCGATTGCGACGTGGTAGTCTCGGAGCTCTGCCGCCGGGCTGGCTGGGATCTGCAGCACCACATGATACCCGCTGATGAGAAAGTAGAGGTCACTCCCGTTGAGGGATACGAATCACGACATGTGTTTAAGGTAGTTGGCGCATAGCTGCGGAGTTTCGGTTACTTAGGTCCTTGGGTATGGCTGAGGGATGGCGTCTCCGAGGGTTCACGTTTTATGACTGGACGGGTGGGATTTCGCTTTGTTGTTTCCGAATGCGTTCTTTTCTTTCTTTTCGATAGATTCGATTTGATTACTTCCTGGTCATATGCCGCGGTGGATTTTGTGTGCATTGGATTTGTGACTGTAGATAGTTGTCCTTTCAGGACAAGGTATATATTTTGGGGGCTTTTGTGGCCAAGTAATAAGGAATACTATTGCAATCCAGGCTTTTGAAGAACAAGATTGTAGATAAATTCTACGTCCATGGTCCATGCTCAAACGAATCTGGCAAAGAGCACTGGGCTTATCTTGTCCATCTGTCCATGTGTTTCGAAAGGGACGTTCCATCGCAGACATCTGGAGGCAAAGATCTGGAACCCGAAAAAATCGATCCCGCAGCGACACCCCACCACGGTGCAGGATCTTCATAGCCCCAACAACTATTCACGACAGCATTTATACTTCCATCCACGGAGGCTCATTGTCAGTATGGAGTATATGATCCGGTTGGCTCAATGCCATGAAACTTTTCGGGTGGCAGAACTTCAGGCCGTGGCCACGGTCGTCGGGGTCGATCTTGAAATTGTTTCTTACGACGAATATGTATGTGTTTACCGACTTGATGTATCGTGACCTGGCGTCAGAATAGACGAAAGTCGGAATCTATACCTGGAATCGACTGGTCGACCTTGCGCTCGCGTCACTGTCCTTACATTCCTCAGAGTCAGGGCTTGCTAACACCGGAATATCAGTCGCCATACTGCATTGTGAAACTTGAGAATGATGAAGCAGCACGCAAGCTAATTTCGCGCACCATTCTTGCTAAAGATATCTCGGAGCTTTGGGGCCAAGGCACCAACTATGATGAGCTGCATGCCGATGTGAAAAAGCGGACATCGCATCGCTGGGCCGACTATAACGACATACCGTTTGCATTTGCACTGTATGGGTTCTCTGGGAAACGTACCCAAGAAAAACGCATAGAGATTATTAAATCATTCTCTTACACGGGTTTGACGGGTCCTGTTCAACTGAAGAACCCCCCCCTTACAGTTCATCGTGATGGAGGAATACATTGGAGATACCGAGGCAAGCGCCCTAGGCGTATCGCGCATCACGGAACCGCGAAAAGTCTTCCTGGGTCGCTTTATCGCCAACAGCGCCCGCGATGCCATTGACAAGTACGATCTCAAGAAGCGCCAGTATATCAGCACGACCTCGATGGATGCAGAACTCAGTCTGGTCACCGCGAACATGGCACTCGCGGCACCCGGAAAGGTCCTCTACGATCCATTTGTCGGAACAGGCAGCTTTATGGTAGCTGCATCGCATTTTGGAGCGTTGACGTTCGGCTCAGATATCGATCCCCGAAGTTTCCGGGGAAAGGATGAGGAGAAGGGAATGGGCAAGAATGTCCAGGCCAACTTCAAGCAATACGGTATCGAGAGCAAGTTTTTGGATACCTTTACTTCAGATCTGACGAACACGCCTTTACGAAATGGTCAATTGCTCGACGGTATCATCTGCGACCCACCCTATGGTGTGCGAGAAGGTCTCCGGGTCTTAGGCACGCGCAATGGGAAGGCCATCGAGCCAGTCGTGATCGATGGGGTTCTTAACTACTAGTTTGTTGCTTCATGTCCTGTGATATCGATCAGTCGTGCCTAACATTGCCTTATAGCCGACCTGGTTACATCCCGCCAAAGCGGCCTTACGGGTTTGAGGCCCTGCAAAGAGACATTCTAGATTTTGCGGTTCGCTCGCTTGTTCCTGGTGGACGTCTGACTATGTGGATGCCCACTACGAACGACGAGGCCAAGGAGTTCCCAGTGCCCATGCACCCAAACCTTGAGGTGATCGCTGTCTCGGTTCAGCATTTTGGTAATTGTACGTGGCTCCGACTTTCTAGCTATCCGGGGATTTAAGATAACCTAATATGATATTTCTGATAGGGGCCCGGCGACTCATGACCTACCGCCGCCTTCCTGAAGGCGAAGCCTCCGACATCTCTAAGGGGAGAAGCAATGCGGATCAGCGTGGCATCACTGCGGATGAACTCAACGGGTTCCGCCGGAAGGTATGTTCCTACCCATGGCCAGCGATGGGTAAATTTCTGACCATAGACTACAGTACCTTGCGAGGAACGATACACCAGACGAGGGCAGAAACCCGACGCAATGAGAAACCCATCCCACCATTTTGTATTGTGACGTCCAAACTGCTTTTTATCGACTTATGCATTCACGGGGAAGTGACTACAGGGCTATAGAGAGGAAATCAAAAACCCAAACAGTGATGTTCTACAGCTTCCCTCGCTGCTCATCCGACGACCCCTGGCTAAGATCTACCCCCCTCGTTCTCCTTAATGCGCTGAACCTCCAGCGCCAGCTCGGCTCTCATAGCCTGCACCAACGCCGCACCTTCCTCGTCATCAAGCTCCTCTCGCTGTCCTTTGCCGAACATGGCGAAACCTGGCCTCGCAGCATATGTAGAAGGGCGGGGAATAATATGAAAGTGGACGTGAGGGACCACTTGGGCAGCACGGACACCTATTTTTTTTTCATATCACATCTCATTAGACCCGAGTGAACCAAAGCTAGGAACCAGTTCCATGTAGATCCAGCTTCGAGAATAAAGGAGAGAGAAAGATGCATACCATTATTCTGTACAACATTCCAATGTCTGTCCGGGTCGTCGCCAAACACGGTCTTGGTCACGACTCGTGAAATGATAGGAAGCCATTTGCCTATCTAGACGAGAAGTAAGTAAAGATCACTCATGTAGGTCAGGCCAAAGATGGCAAGTCAAGCTCCCAATTTGATGCTTGGAAATTGGTCACGCTAGGGAGATGGAATATACATACCTCCTGTCCCGCCTCAACACCCATATCGCCTAGCATCTCATAGTGCTGTCTAGGAGCCACAAGTACATGACCACGTGTGAGAGGCATGATATCCAAGAATGCAAGGACATGGTCGGTTGACAGAATCATATGCGCCGTTGTCTCAGTACCTGCTTCTGGAAAGACAGGTCTAGACTCCGGCTCGGTGAAGGGGCCGGATGGGTTGGTTTTCCCGATCTTGCAGAAGGGGCATCTTTCAGATGACATGATGATTCTTATGCACTGTGACTCGTGTTACTCGCGCAGTGCTTAATGATCAGACTGTTATTGATCCCAAGAACAATTCATCTGGGAGATGAGATTGAGCAAGGGTCTAGAACTCAGAGACCTGTGGTCTTCAGATTGGTGTTCACCGCCCGCTTTAGGATGATCAACCGAACGGCGATTGATATAAATGATGCAGGTCAATTAAAAGGCAACCGTAGATTCTGGAAATTCAGGCTGACAGACTTTGTGTGATTGTCGGGAGTGTCAACAGATACACTGAAGTCCGGGTTAAGTCGATCGCAGTCATCGGCGGGGCGAGCCTCGGCTACGGAGCCCTATTCAGTTGCTAGTGAACGTTGATTCTCCGCGCATCTGATTCAGAAGGGATGCCTATGTACAAGATTAAATGTACAAGATTAAAAGCAAGCGAATAGAAAAGAAGATCAGAATTGCATCCAAGAACCACGCCAAGCTTCCAGCGCAGAAAGCACTATCTAGAAAGGAAAAAACCCAAGCCTGAAACCACCTAATTACCCCTTCCAGTCCAGCCATCGTATATGCTTGTTAGCGAAGACAATCCCAACGGGAGCACTCAACGCTGACAGATAAAGACAACTCCATCAAAGAACAACCAACAATCCTTCAGGCTTTGCAATATCCAAATCTGTTCCATCTGCAAGTTCCACACTGCCAGGAGACGAAGGGACTTGACCAAGTCACTCCGTATTTCCAGGACTCTCACAGTGAGACGAGTCACCCGACGGAGATAGATCATCGGCTGCAATAAGGTAAAATTTTGATCTGAAGAGACGAGGAGAAGGAAAGAACAATAGAATCCGACGCCGGTAACAGGACCGCGAATGAGAATGGAAAGGTATCAACCCCATGCACAAGAAAAAACAAGCCGAAAGAAATAACCACAGGGCTGAGCGCCAGACACCCCCCCGTCACAGACAAAAATGCGGAAGCGCACAAATTCAATCAAGTCATCGTAAGAATATGCAAAAGGTATTCAATACCAGCACAATGAAATGCCAACATATGGAGGGATTCGATTCTCCCTGGTCGAATGATCGCGAGAGCCTTGGGGTCGTCATGAAGGTATAGCAAAAAACATTCGACACAGGGCTAGCATAACATCATAATGGCATCATTACTGTTCATCCTTGATGTAAGTGTACGGCTCCGACAGAGAGCTGTCGATGTACATGCTGTGGTACTTCTTGGCCCACTGGCGAGTCAAGATAGAAGCTGAAAGGAAAGGTGAGTAGAGCACATGGAAAGAAGGGAGATGGGTCACTCACCCTTCAAGAACTTCTTGCTAGCATATTTCTTGAAGAAAGCCTCGTGAGACACAGGACGGTGAAGATAGTCAATCATTAGGCGGAAAACGGGGTCGATTTCCTTTTTGGGTATACCCGGCATAGTGCGCAAGAGTGGCATCCCAGGGCCCACGTTCGAGGATGAGACGGGCCAAGTACATGGCGGCAGCGGCAATGTGGCTCTGGGGGTAGCTCATGAAGCGATGATCAAGCAGGCTGATCTCCATTAAGTACTTGCCGAGAGTGCGGGTCTGGATATCATAATTGTCGGCCTTGGAGATACGACGTAAGAAGTTCATGGGGTTCGGGAAGCTCATGTTGTACTCGAGGGTCTGGAGAACGTGGCGTTCGGCATCAAGAATTTCCTTGTCGGAGAAAGTCTCGTCGGCAACGTGACTGAAGTTGGCAACGTGAGGAGAAAGGACCTCCTCGTATTTGGAAGCGATGAACATGGCAGTAACACCAACAAGCTGCAGACGGTCCAAAGCGACGATCTCGGCTGACAAGAAGCGGTCGATGATGTTGACGGCCAGGAAGAGAGTCTCGGGAAGCAGACGGAATCGGGTGTGAACCTCAATCAACCAGTCGACAAGAATGCCGCGCATCTTCCACTCCAAATCATGCTGGTGCTCGATGTACTGAGGGTTAGGCATCGTAACCAGCTCGAGGTCCTTCAGGTAGTCGAAGATTTCCACCACATATTCAGCAGCCATCAAAGGGTCGTCCAAGTCCTCGGTGTCCAGATCGTGAACACCTTCCTCCACGACATCCTTGATGCTCGTTTTAACAGCCGGCTCATCTTCCACCTCGGGAGCCTTCTGCTGCGTATTGGGCTTCTTGAGAGGGGGCTCCTCCGAAGTCGCGTTCTCGTTGGTCTTGGGAACCTGGCGCTTCGCGGCAGGCTTCTTGGTGTTGGCATCGCGAAGCCCATGGTTCCCTCGTGTTGAAGTTGTGCGACCGGGCTTCTGAATACCTCCAGGCTTCACACCGGCCTTTGATGTCAAGCCAGCCTTGCCAGCCACAGCCTTCTTTCCATCCTTGGCTCCACCCGCGTCGGCCTTGTTGAAATTGCTGACATCTCCGAGAGCCGCGCGGCGAGCTCCATTAACAGCCGAAGGGGCTCGCTTGACGACAGGCTTTTTGATCGCGTCGGCAGGACCCTCAGTTTGAGCGGCGGCCTTGGCCCGCGTCAGACGCGTCGAGGGACCGTTCTCATCGTTCTCATTCATCGTACCTCGGGCGCGAAGGCTACGGACCTAGATGAAGGTTAGCTTTACCATTCAGGACCAGACGCGTCGAGTTCTGATTCAAGACTTGATATAAACTGTCAACGCGATGTGTCACGGTCGGGTTAGCTTACCTGCGGCATCGTGGATAAAAATCAAGAAGTAATTAGGAGAAGAGCCACGATTGAGAAACAGAAAGGGAGAGGGTGGTAATTCTCCAGGTCCTGTTGGCTCAGGTCAGCATTCCGCTGGGCATTACCTTGGTGGGGACCTCATACCAGAGGCACAGGATGAAGTGCACGTACCACGCGTGAAGATCTAGTCCCAGGGAGTTTCACTTGCTTTCAGACCGATATAGGGCTGGATCGGACGAGGTAGGTGATGAGTCGCGAGTCACGTCACATACACAATTCAATGATGACTCGTGGCTAACAACAGGGAAAACGCGCGGGAACAGGGGATCGAAGTGTCCAGAGGTATTCGAATTCACACGTGGAGCTTGACGGAGTATCACCCAGGATACAATGGGGGTTATGGAGAGGGGATGAAGGGTATCTTGAAATGGAATGATGAAGGGAAAAGGAAGAACTTGAGAGGGCCAAGCGATGTTTGGCCCTACTCTGCTAGCGCGGAAAACCGGTCAGACCTGACTTGACGCCCCACTCTTGAGGTCGCGCGGAGAACGATACCCGAAAGAAATGAGAGCAGAATAGGGATGCTGCGATGATCAATATTGGAATTGAAGACACAGAATAGGAGGCTGGAATCTTTGATCAAAAATCGGAAAGGAAGATGTTGAGGTAGTCCCGACAACGAAGGGGAAGGGCACAGGACGGTGGACGGTTACCTCGTAGTAACAGCGAAATGGTAACAAAGTGGGTACGCGAGGGCGCGGCCAAAACGTGAGGCGCGCGAGGGCTAAACAATCGTTGCCCGGCAACCATAGACTCTTGGCGCAGCTGCGTCACGAGAAGCCACGTGATATGGTAATGATGCCTAAGGCCTGTAGTGGTGACTGTGTCACGTGCATGTACACCCAGAACTTTTTGTCCTCGTCCCGACTGGTCGAGCTTGCCCAGGTTGGAATTGAAGACCCCGGTGGCCCTGGTTTTCCCTCGTCTCCATCTCAATCCGCTCTCCTGCATTCGCTGGATTCCATTTCCAACGATGCTTCACCCTCGACTTGCCCTTCGGGGCATTTCGCTTCCTTTCAGGTGTTTACCTGCCCTCCCAGCAATTCCCGCTCGCCGCTTCGCAACTGTAATCAATGAGCTCGAAATCCCGTCCGAGAAGTCCTCTAATGCTGGTATCGATTCTTCCGTCTCTTTTGACCCGCCTCCGGCTCGCGGCGACATCGGCGTAAATGTTCGCAAATACACTCCGCGCACCCCCGGTGTCCGACACTTGCGACGACCTGTTAACGATCACCTCTGGAAAGGCCGCCCAGTCCACAAATTGACATTCCCCAAGCGCGGCCATGGTAAGGGTGGCCGTAATAACACCGGTCGAGTCACCGTTCGTCACATGGGAGGTGGTCACAAGACTCGTATCCGCACTGTGGATTTCTTGCGGATGGACCCCGGCCCTCATTTCGTTGAGCGCATCGAGTATGATCCCGGCCGAAGTGCACACATTGCCTTACTCCGCAGCAACGAGACGAAGAAGTTGAGCTATGTCCTGGCAGCAGATGGCATGCGAGCTGGAGAGACAGTGCAGAGTTACATGTCCGGCATTCCCGAAGATTTGTGGAAGAGTATGGGCGGCACAGTTGATCCCGGTGTGTTGGCAGCCAGGACTGCCTGGAGAGGAAATTGCCTGCCTCTGCACATGATCCCCGTGGGTACCCTCATTTTCAACGTGGGATTGCGGCCTGGCAAAGGCGGCCAGCTTTGCCGCAGTGCAGGAACCTTTGCCACTGTCGTTGCCAAGGGTAGTGACTCGCGCCAGCAAGATATTGAATCGGACGAACCGGAGGAGGAGAAGAAGCCTTTGACCCAGCGTGAAAAGCAAAAGCAGGAGCGTTTGGCTCAGCATATCACTATCCGCCTGGCCAGTGGAGAGTCTCGCCTCATCCACAAGGATTGCTGTGCCACTATTGGCATCGCTAGCAACCCCAACTACCACTACACGCAGCTTGGTAAGGCCGGTCGATCTCGCTGGCTTAACATTCGCCCGACCGTTCGTGGTCTGGCCATGAACGCCATGGACCACCCTCACGGTGGTGGTCGTGGTAAATCAAAGGGTAACGTTGACCCCAAGAGCCCTTGGGGTATTCCGGTACGTATTTATCCTTCTCACCATGCTATTTGATGACCAGTACGCTAACCTCTTGTGTTCTGACAGACCAAGTCCGGCTATAAGACTCGCCCGAAGTGGAAGATCAACAAGGCTGTCGTCCACCCTAGACCACGCAACCAGGGCCAGCGTCGCCGCAAGAACAACTAGTGCGCCTTATTTTGTCGAGGTGGTGGCTGGGAACAGCACTGTTCCACACATGTCTGTGTCTGAAGTGGCACACGCTCTTCTCATTATATACCTCATCCCATATTTAGACGGGATGACTGTACGATATCGCTTTTTTTGTACTGTTTTATTGCATCCCCAGCGGCTTCTTCTTTGTACTGTTCGCCGTCTTGGGAGACCTGTTTCTATCATTGATGGGGACTCGGGCAACGAGGCACTGCATAGTATGTCAGCCCAAGGCCATACGCACAAATTGTTAAAATAGAAGCATCCTTCTCCAATAAGTAGACCTGTATCAAGCACGAAGCATCAAGCTATGTAGCAACTCAGGCAGAATATAAAGATTCATGGAAAGAGCTCTGTAGTACAAGCGCCCCGCAAAGCCCCGTCGATCTGCCAAGCCTCTCCAGGCAGCGCCGTCGTGCGTATGCCACCATGCGCCGATCGCGAGGTGTCAACGCCTATCACAGGTACCGGGATCCTGGAACTTGGTGGATTTCCCATAGTCTCGATTCGAAGGTTATAGAAGTAGAGGGAAAAAAAATAAGGGGCTCCTTTCAAAGTCAATTCTAGTATCGTTGGGGTCAAGTCGTAGCCTTTTGATACGAAACTTGCCGTCATAAGAACTTTCGTCCTTGCTTATCCCCCCCGCCGTCCTCCCAAGGCATCAGATAATGCACTCCACGCGCCTGATCAGTGTCTGATTTATGTCTATCTTCTTTACATCGCTCTGTAGGAGTCGCTCGCGTTGATAAGTGGTGGGCCGTCAATCTCGTTATCACTCCGAATCACGCATCTCCCACTACCGCCCGGCGACCAAGCCATGGACAATCTCCCGCCCACCATGTACTCGCAGGGAGCTGCGCAGTACTCCGAAGCTCCGGATTTGATGGACCAGCCGTTCGCTGAGAACGGTATCTCCGTCGAAGGCGCCCCCACCTGGAGACGGAAACTACGTACCTCGCCCGAAGCGCATCGCATGTGTCGTCTGCCGACGTAGGAAGCTAAGGTGTGATGGAAGACGTCCGAGCTGCGGAACATGCTCAAGGTTGGGTCATGAATGCGCCTACGATGAAGTGCGTAAAAAAAGTGGCCCTAAGCGGGGGTACGTGAAGCAGCTCGAGGCTCGACTAGGTACGGACACTCCCATTGACCAGTGCTGCCAGACGTGTCGCAGGGCCCCAGAAGTATGTGGCTAACTTTCGTGGATACACTAGCTCAGGTCGAAACGCTTTTGAAAGGCCAAGATGTCGAACATGCGCCCCGAGCCTCTCCGCCGCAGCCTATGGACAATCCGTTCAGTGCTCCCCTCCAGGATGACTCTATACTTTCGTTGCCAGACCTCTCGGGCCTTGGAAATGAACTCGGAAATGCGATACCCACAACAGGGGATGGAATGGGGGCTTCTCAACCAATTCAGACGTTGTATCCAAGTGCTGGGCCTTCCTATCCCGCTGATCCTCAGTGGGAAATGATCAGTCTGGGCGTGGAGGAGCCTCTTCCAACCCCAGATGTTGTTGAAGAACTGTGAGTAGCTATGTTCTATAAGCTGACTCACCTTCTAATTCACGATTTTGCAGGGATGCTCTATTCTTCGAGAAGGTCTACCCCATGATGCCCATTGTTCATCGCTCTCGGTACTACAACAATTTGCTTCTCTCTCCCCAGATGCGACCACCTGTATGCCTCCGGTACATGATGTGGTGCCACGCAGCCTCTATCAGTGACAAATACTTCTTCTTGCACAACCATTTCTACCAACGTGCGCGGAAATATGCTGAGATGGATGAGATGAAAGGTTTTGGAGAGACTATCATCAATCTAGCCCACTGTCAGACCTGGATTCTCATCGGCACTTATGAGTTCCGAATGATCTATTTCCCTCGAGCTTGGCTTAGTGTTGGGAAGGCTGCCAGATTAGCACTGATGATGGGTCTGAATCGATTGGATGGTGCTGGTCTCGATGTCAAACAGTCCATGCTCCCACCCAAGGATTGGACGGAGCGTGAAGAGCGCCGGAGAGTGTTTTGGTTTGCTTTCTGCACCGATCGATATGCGAGTATTGGAACTGGATGGCCCTTAGCCATTGATGAAGGCGATGTAAGGCAGCAATGACGGAATTGAGATTGGCTTTTAGCAGTGATGGCTAACCATAAGCAGATCATGACAAATCTCCCAGCCTCCGAGGAGTCATTTTTGAAGAGCAAACCCCAGCGAACCCTTCGTCTGTCTGATATCATTGCCGGCGAGGGCGTGTCTACTTTGGCTCCATTTGCGTGTGTAGTGGTTTTGGCCAGTCTCTTTGGTCGGAACTTAATACACATCCACCGGCCTCAACCCCAGGATAACGATCATGATCTCAACGGCGAATTCTGGAAAAGGCACCGGAGTCATGACAATGTTCTCTTACACATTGCACTTTCCTTGCCTGACCATCTTCGACTCCCAAGCGGAATGGATGATGTGAATGTCATCTTCGCCAATATGAGCATCCATACCTCCACAATCTGCCTTCATCAGGCCGCAATATTCAAGGCTGAGAAGAACAAAATGCCCAACCAGATCATTACCGAGAGTAAACGGAGGTGCCTCGTGGCGGCCAATCAGATCTCTAGTATCATGAAGATGGTCAGCCACATGGATCTCACAATGGTAGGTGCGGCCTTGTTGTCCTGAGTAGGCTCCTGCTAATGGCTGATAGCTTAATCCATTCATGAGCTTCTGCCTTTACATTGCAGCGCGAGTGTTTGTGCAGTATTTGAAATCACGACCGGATGACTCGACAGTCTATTCGTCGCTACAATTCGTCATCTCGGCTCTCAATGCAATGAAAGTCAAGAATCCGCTGACCGAATCATTCATGGTTCAGCTGGACGTTGATCTCGAAGGAACAGGGATGCGAGCCATAGAAAGCCAGAAAAAGGGCGCGTCCTATGTGGCACAAGCAATGGTCAGCGTCTCTGAGCGCTCTTCATACATTGATGGCTAACCTTGATATAGCAGGCTTATTGCGGTGAAAAAGTGGATTGCACCTCCATCTATACTGTCCGCGACGCACGATCTTCTGAAGTGCCAAGAGGACCTCAGGAACTCGGAACCCACACTGAGTCTACGCGTCCCTCCATGACGGGGGAGACAACATCTCTTCCCAGTCGACAAAGGGATCCATCAGATACCGGCAATGGGCGTGCAGGTTCCGGCAATAATGTACAGCCCTTCTTTCCCCATATGTCTCGTCTGCCAGACGGGACTGTCCAGAGCGGCATCGTGGATGTGGATATGGACTTTTCACCAGACTTTGGCCTTGGCGACAGGAATCCACCATCTGACCACCCAACTCCATCGACATTAAACTCCTCTTCGAACACCTCATACTCAATATCTGGGGCCGACAATCCATCACCTGGTAAAAAGCATCAGAAGACCACCACAAGCTCTGCCACATCTTCCGACCAGGTCAACTCGGTCCACAGTGCTTCGTCCATTACAGAATCTCCGCAGATTCCCAATCTGAGCGCAATCACGGGACAGGCGTTCCCAAACAGCACGGGCTCCATAGGAAATACGGCCGCAGCAAACGCTTTCAGCATGAGTTCTCAATGGGACATGCCCACTCCAAGTTCCGCTTTGAACAATGTGGACTTTGGCAATGCAAATGTGGACTCTTTAAGTGAGGCCCAATGGGCACAGATATTGAACAATAGCGGTAATGGCTCTGGCTGGGCGGACTGGCGACCGTCATGATCGCACTTTGCAGTTCAAGGTGATATCCAATCGAGATGGTTCCATAAGTTCGTCTGCCATCCCTTCAGACTATTCTCTTACGGACCGCATGATTGTTTTGCAGTGGAAGCAAATAAGGATGCGTTCACAATTGCAGGTGAGCTCCCTGGAGCTGGTGAGGCCAAATTGTTCCAAGCACCAGAGACGAAAGCATTAATATGCCACATTGGGATAAAATCCCAGCCGATAGAATTCCTCTTCCTTATATCTGGGCTCTCTTCATTCTATTGGCATGGAAGGTTTATGACACCGGACGGATTCCGGCGCAGGCGGACCTTCACACGACTTCATGACGAAATGTAATTAATCTCAACTCTTATTCCATGCCTTGGCCTTTACTTCCAAGGCTCCAAGGATGTTGATACGATAGCGACTGCAATGATAAACAACGGAGTAATCAAAAACAAAGCTCTTGTAATCTGGGAATCATAATCTAGGCCAATCTCAGCGACTCAAAATCAGCGTAAAGTAAGTAATCTATCACACCCAAGGCATGTAGCATCAGGAAAAAAATCACAGACCTCCCCCCGCAGCACCAACAATCTTCAAACCACCAGCCCCTCCGCTACCGGGACCATCATTCGTCGTCGAGTAAGCCAGCCAATATCTTGAGGGATGCCATGCCACAGCAGGCACACAAGTATTGACCCCGTTCATCGGTACAGTATAAACACTCTCACCCGACTCAGCATGGAAGATCTCGAGTCCGTTGCCACTACATCCAAGCTCATCCCAAGCACCGCAGATGAACCGTCCGTCAAAGCTCCAGCTGACACCGCGAATACCGCCACCGTTTTCACTTGATAATGTGCGGCGACAGATCCAGTCTGTTGTGTCCCAGAGAGAGATAAGTGCGTCGCTGCCGCCTATGGCGAGATAGCGACCTGTAGGAGCGAGGGAGACGGCCATGCAGGATGAGGTATGGGCGTTCAGAGTGTGTTCGATGTTAAAGGAAGGGTAATTCATGATTTTAACGGTACCATCACCTGTCGTTGCGAAGAAATGGAGGTCCGGGGAGTCGTCGGTAGCAATGTCGTTGGAGAAGGTCGTAGCATTTGTTTGGACGGGCTGAGGGTGAGACGAGAGTGCTGTGAAGGTTGATGCGCCGGGCTTCGAGATACTGCTCGACCCGTTGGCCATGACATTGGGACTTGAAGGTGATTGTACAGAGATTGGAATTAAGGTATCGTCCTAGTGATGGCGAGTCAGTGGTTGCGCATGCCATGAATGTTCTTTGTGTTTACCTTTCTTCCGACTACCATGGTGCTCCCGTTCCGCGGACCAGGACAGTGTGAATGCCTCTCCGCCAACGTCCAGACGGCTGACGCAGGTCTTTGAGCGCACATCCCAAAAGCGCACCGTTCCATCTGCCGAACAACTCGCTAGCTCTGCGTCTCGCACTGGATTGAAGAGCACTTTCTCAATGGCGGCGGTGTGCCCGCGCAGCTCGGTTGAGTATCGCACAGCAGGACGCTCAGGGTTCCAGATGCGCAGCGTTCGATCAGCGGAGCCAGTCGCGATCAGTTGGCCGGCCGGATTCCATGCGAGTGAACGAATGCTGTTGCAAAAAGCGTTGTCAATAATTGCTCCCCAGGATTCTGTGAATGGAAACCTCACGTATGCGATCCGGGTCCTTTGGCCGCTGGATCGTTGTAATTCTGGGTCTTGACGCTGCCGAAGACGGTAGGGAAGCGTTCCCTGGTGAGGAGTTCTCGGCGCGGAGGAGGCGCCATAGCCGGTGATCCTAGACTTTGTTGCTGTAAATCTAGCAATTGGAATCCTGTATCAAGCTCAGATGCATCGGTGGAAGTAGGAATGTGGGATTGTGTGCCTCGGGCGACACTGGAAGCTTGCCATGATCGGCGGGCCCTGCGCCGCCAAATTGCGCGGGCGGGATAGCGATTGTCGCCTCAGGCATCAACGCCCTCGGTGCTTGAACACACGTTTGAATCACAGGGAAAGAACAATAGCTGTCTCAATATGTTGGGAAGATCTGACTTTATGAATGTTGTTAAAGAGAAACGGATTATTTGCGAGCACTCATGCGTGCAGGTGGGAAGGTTGACATCAACTTGTTCATCACAGCATTGATTCTCGACGGACAAAGATTACCTTGCATTCAGTTTCAGAGAGTTAAGACGGGAAACTTGGTAGCTATGTGCTACCTCACACAGCGCCAAAGAAACTCACTCGCTTTGATGTCTTCCCAACCTGAAGCTGTCAAGTATATAGACAACTGTATGGCCCGAAGAATTTCGATCCTACGACATGCGCAGTGTCCGAGTATAAATTGGGAAGAAGGTAGCAACACTTGGGAAATCTATAGATATGACGTGAATTTAAGTAGACATAAATCACCTAGTGTTCAAGCTGTAAACACTTGCGATGGGCGATAACCATATAAGGCAATTAGTCTGGAAGATACCAACCATAACTGCAGTCCCAACGACGATCGTCAGTTACGAGCCATTCCGAAATCAAGAGTTCCGAGTCTGTCTCATAATTAATACCCCTAAGAACCATCTACTTGGACCCTATCTCGGATTCGTAGGGTGACACTGAGATCATCCGCTATCATCGATAAGGGAAGCTTAATCGAACTTCAAAATTTCTGGCTTCGATGCTCCACAATTTCCTTCACCGCGACCGAGACGCGCCCAACTTCTCGACACAACTCCCAGGAAGCTGTATCATACAAATTGGCATTTCAACGTCATGTTCGACTTTGAAGACGACGCGTCAACACGCGAGAAATGTTTCACCTCGGTCACTGAGCTCCCCGCATTCGTTGATCCGAAGCAGATCCCGTCCAAAAAAGTGCCTTTCTCTACAATTTCTAATCACCCATTCGTGCACACAGTAAGATTATCTCGTTGACCCTCCAGAAGCAAATAAGTGGACGTTGCAGAGGATAGTGCTGATAAAACCCGTCAGGTTGAAGCCATTCTCCCAGAGGAGACCTACAAAAGCATTCACGCATCACTGGACGCTAAGTTGGAGAGGCTTCAGTATGCTCGAGTATTTATGTATCCTGCAGATCTGCTGGAGCATGAATTTTTCAATGCGTACATCAAGAGCGGTACATTCTCCCCCTTGAAAGCCCTTGACGATGTCGTGCCCATCAGTCAGTCTTATGGACGATCGCCCTGTTTTTTCACACCATTCTTCAATGAAAGTATCTGAAACTTTGAATAGGTAATATTCTCATGATATCGGAGGGTACTTCTGGTTCAGACGTTGTGTTTACACTAAGCGATGGTAGGCATCTTGCCCAACAGAATTTTACGGGATGACCCGATGTGAACGACATGACTAAGGTCTCAATTGACAGGAATCCTCAGAATCGAACTCGGCAAGGAGATTTTTGAGCGTACAGGACTCACCGGAACTCCCATCCGCAGTGGGGGTAGGAAACATGGGAAAGAACGATTCGGTATGCACAAAAGACCAAGGATGAGCTCGCTGAGCGGTTGAAAGCTAATCAGATCGACCTTGACAGTAATTGAGCTTAATTTGCGACTGCCTTCAATGCTACATGGCAAAAAGGGCTTCGAGCGGATCGAACGAGCCTTCAAAAATGTCCTGAACCAGTCTCTAGCGTGGCTCTTTTGCGACTTACACCAGGGTGACGGTAGGCTTGAGCCCCTCAGTATGCCTGCAACGGAATTTAACAGACCATGTATGGCAGGTGCGGCCATTAAGAAGCATCATCCGCATGTGATCGAAGCTGTGCCCCAGCAGACCAGACTTGAACGAATTCTCGCACCGCCATTATTGGGAGTGGTGTCAACCGAGATGTCTGAAGTAGATATGCAAGAAGCATGCGGGTCTCTTTCTGAATGGATTGCCATGGTTCAGCTGGAATCCCCACGCGTGTCTGCGGACGACAACATTGATTCGTTCCTTTGCCGTTACACGGTACCTGAAGCGGATCAGGGGCGTACCACCAATTTGATCAGCTTGAAGTGGCATGGTCTCATTTCTGCCATGTGGACCACGCATCTATTCGTTGCTTTACTGTGAGTCCCAAATATCCCTTCTGGCCTCCAAGTGTGGTCGACTCTGACACTTGCCCTAAATGGGCGACGGCAGGGGCCATGCGTCAAAACTCACGGCTTCTTCATCCTGGTTTGCTATATCCGCCTCAGCGCTGGGAAAGCAAGCTGTCGAGGGAAGAGACGGCTTCACCATCGCCGCTGCCCCAAATTTGTTGGGTGGCTCTTCTGGAGCAGAAGAGGAAAAAGAACCAAAATCGAGAGCTCTCCATTCTATTTGCTGGGAGTACATTGGGGCAACTGCTACCGCCAAATGAAACAAGCGTATCCAAGGTTGAAGTAGGAAATCTCCTCGGAACTGGATCTATAATACCATTCCATCCATTTATGTGTCGGAGCTACTCTTCACCCAGCTCTCTTCTCCTTTCTCATCTTCATACACCCTGACACTCTCTAGACACTCTTTATACATCATATTTGCTCCTCGCTTTACTCGCTTACTCGCTTTACCTTCTCTTCATTTCAGCTCTCCAACTATGCCGCACTCCTTCTATCATGCCCAAGACATGGACGGCTCTCTGTCCCCTTTGGACCTCCCCAGCGCTTTCGGTGTGTTTGAAGCCGACCTCGATAACGAAATAGCAGCACATATGTTCAACCAATATATCATGGAGGAATGTCTCGATGAGGATTGTGGGGTGGACTTTTCGGATGTGGCAGGGCAGCGCCTGCCTGGCTCGGATTCTAGATGGGTCCCGGCTCCCGCTGCATCGACACCTTCTATTCAACCATCTTTCATGAACAACAATGCTTTCATGGTTATCGATCCTCACATGGGTTTGAATACTCCCATGGCCAGCAGCACTTCTCCCACCGAAAGGTCCGACGCTGCCCCGTCATTGTCAACGTGCGAACCCAATTTTACTCCCCCTGACACCGCCGACTCCGTCTCCACGGACTCCAATGGATGAACCTGATGCTGGTCCTACCCCTCCAACGATCATCACAGACCCTTCTACAGAATTTCCAGCATTGGCTGCAGAGCCAATCCCAACCACATACAACATGGCCATGTACCACCACATGCATGGAAGGCCCTTATATCAGCATGTGCCCCCGCAATTCATACAAGTAGGGGTGGCCAATCCCCCCTAACAGCATGCCTGTGTCTCAACATTACCCAGCACATCTGATGACTGTTTCATTTGGTCCCATGGGACCTGTTTTTTGGAGATACCCTACTTATGAAATGGGCGCCGCGCCTTTGCCTCCGTGTGAAGTGCCATCCAGTTTCCAACCCACACGTCAGCCTGCAATTCAGCCTCAATACCCCCCTACACCCCAACCTGAGCTCGCTTCGAACAAACGGGCCTTCGAGTTCGTGGAACCCACTGTTCCCGGCAACGCCTTCGCGGCCAACCCTGAAAACCATGGCCGCTTTGAATACGACCACGCTGGCAACCGCAAGTACCTGAATGCCCCTAAGGTCAAGCGCCCATGCGCAAACTAGCGAGTTGCTTATTGGAGCATTTGATGGTTGGTTCCTGTTCCTATTGTTGCCTTTGATGTCTTTTTGTTACATGTTTATTAGTTAGACTTTCCACGGACAAGTCTTGTGCAGCGATTCAAGACATGGATGAGGGTGAAGATTAGTTCTGCTTGCTACTGGATGCTCTCTCCATACGTGATTTGTAAATCTCTTTTTTTTTTTCAAAGGTCCAGTCAATGTGTAGAATTAATGCTATCAAGAAAGCTGCACCGGTTGTCTGGTATATTGTGAGCGTCTTTTGATGTTGGTAAAGAAGGAGAGATACTAATCACACCCAAAAGTTTTGACGTTTTCAAGCTCATGCCCGCAGTTTCACGTTTCACCGGAAATGCCTTATGAAAGAATACGTATGCTGGAAATAGATACACACTCTGAGTGAGTATGGTGTCAGGTATTGTAAAATTTAAAGTTTTGGAAAGTAATGTTTCCATGGTTGATAGAGGCTGTGTTCACTTACATGACCTTACCGCGGGTGTTGTAAAGCTGCCAAGTACAAAAGCTGGAGCTATGCTCACGAAGTAAAGTGTAAGTGTATGTTCCATTGGAAAAGTCCATGTACGAATCCAAGATCGAGAAGGCAGATTTTATCTGCGTCTTCCGCCTCAATATGCGATTGCATGTCTCTTTTCAATGAGGTCTCGCCGAAGTGGTACGAGATTGAAGAGCTTGGCACATGGCGAGGAAAAAACGAATAAATGAAGTCAGTAAAATCAAATGAGAATTCGACTAAGAGCTACAAGCCCCATAAAACATCACTTGGGTACAATTGTAGTATATTCGGCAGGCTACAACACAAAAATCCCGAAAGGTCGAATACACCAAATCCCTTTGATGTCATGTGCTTGAGCCAGGCTGCGTTGCACTGAACCGAATTTCATGCAGGTACAGTATCATTTTCTGACATCTCAGGATCTTTGAGTAAAGCGAATCGATAACACTAAGATCAAGTCTTTCGTCAAAAGATCTTTGACGAAGCCGATCTTAAGAATTGATACCTAATGCTTAACTCCTGAATTCAAAACGATCAAGTATTTCTCTGTCAGGCTGATAATCATCCAATCAACCATATCTGCTTCATCATTTGTGTTATTTAGCTGAAATGTCGACACTAAAGTGGTCACCCGTGCAGTTTTCATGCGTGGGATATAACATGGTGAGCGCTTCCGGTTAGATTGGACCGTTCTCTCCACCTGGTAGACTGAGTTGGAATATGCGGCTCGGCAAAACAGAAAGTGATCACGAAACACGATTTGTCCGGTTGTAAAGAAGCGAAAGTTGTCAATTTCCTCACAAGAAACGGTAAGATGGAAAGCTTCATCGAAGGACTTCGCGGTATAGTAAGGGCTGTTAAGATTATTAAGGTCGGTGATCAAGGGGATCCACAATCGACCCGCGGAGACATTATGTACGAATCGATACAAAATTGAAACTAGTGATACACAAAGTCCATCAACCCTTAGAGTGCAAGCTTCATGAGCTGCAAGTCGAAATGACTCTAGCAGCTGGCGCTGCTGGGCACGTTCTTGCACTTGCTGCTGGTCTTGCCGCCCTTGACACTGACACCGCTCCAGGTCCAGTCGGAGCAAGCTCCGGAGGCGCAAAGAACATAGATATCGGTAGCGCTGCTGGCAACAGTTCCCTTGACGTTGCTCACGGTGAGGCCGGTGATGGGGACACCGTTAGTGGGAGTACCAGTGGGACTGCCGTTCTTGTAGTCCTGCTCAACAACAATGCCGTAGTCCGAGATGTTGGACAGGGTGATGTCCTTGTAGGTGACGTTCTTGACAGAGCCCTTGGCACCGTAAATAGTCTTGACGCGGACACCTGTAGTTATGAAGCGTTAGCTCAATTGTCTCAAATTTTGGATGGCGCTCTGTGTACGTACCGTTCGCGGAGTTGGTAATGCTGCAGTTCTCGATGGTGACGTTCTCAACGTCGTTGTCGGAGCGTCCGCCAACGGAGCCGATGGAGATTCCGTGGCCTCCAGTGCAAGTAGCTCCGGTGAATGAGATATCCTACAGATCATTGGTTAGGTTTGATTCTCTCAAGAGACCATACGAAATTGATCTTACCGAGCCCGAGTTGATGGCCAAGCAATCATCCTGGTTGTGGACATTGGGGTTGGTGATGTAGACGCCGGTGCTCGAACCAACGTCGAAAGCATCGGTGTTGTGGCCACCCTGGGAATCGCCATCGGCGTTGTTGACCGTGATACCGCTCAGCGTGAGATCGTTAGCACCGTTGATGCTGAAGACCTGGACGGGAGAGTTCTTGATGTAGATGTTCTCAATCTTCGAACCGATCATATTGTGGGCGTAGAAGAACTTGGGCTTGGTCTTGCCGCCGTTAGTTCCCTTTCCGTCCCACCAGCGGGCACCGTCGCCATTGAGGTAGGCTCCGGAAGCTCCCTGGACGGTGATGTCGGTTCCCGAAACCGAGACAAGAGGACCGGACCATTCCTTGTAGCCGAAGGTGGTCTCTCCTTCAAAGATGACCTAGATGATAGGTGAGTGGGCGAATTCACACGTTGCAGCGCATCGAGCTCCTTACCGTAGTTCCCTTCTTCAGACCAGTCAGATCAAGAGTGGTTCCGGCCGGCACAGCGACGTTGGACAGAACAATAGTCGAGCAAGAAGTCTTCGACTTGATGGCGGAGGCGGCGCCATTGGCGCCGGTGAAAGTACAAGTGGAAGAGCGCTGCTCAATTTCAGATGCACGAGTGGCAGCCGGGGCGGCGTGCACAGCAGCAGCGCCCAGTAGGCCGATCATACCGAGTTTAAAACCGACGACCATGATGAATAGAATGAATGACAATTGGTAAGATAAAAAGAGAGTAAAAGAATGTGGTTGATGATCTTCCAACAGACTCGGCGAGTCTGCCACTTTATATTCCCGGGTGCCGGTAATTGTCTTGACGAACTAGATCAGGGTCACTCAATCTGCACGGTAGATTGCCCGAGCCCAATTAGATACAGGCAACAGCTATTTCCTCCAATGCCATGATTAGTTTGCGGTGTGATACCGAATGTGTTGGTCCCTGTTTCACGTTCTACCCTGGCACCAGCTCTGTGGAGCTCAATAAACTCATGAGGATTCACCTCCTGGTCAAGGGGAAGGGGGGGAGGGCAGCAGGACCGTTTCCGCTCATTGGTGGACTATCTGCTTCAGGCGATGTAAACCTCCCAGAAAGTCCACTAATTCAATCCCATAAAAGTGCCAAGATCCGTGGAAAGCCACGGGAGGTGTTCTGCTGTTAGTTTTACTGGATGGCGGTTTCGGAGAAAGACATCTAGGGTCCTAAGTGGGGACCCAATATAGCGGAATAGTAGTTCGTGCAAGAGCAATGGTAAAGCGACCGATGGTGTCGCTAAGCTAGGACAAATTGTGGACCATGCGCCTATTAGACTGATGAACCGTCAACCTTGGAAGGATTGAGTGAAGCCTGTTACCTTGGAATGTAGCGAACAAGCGCCGAGTCCCTCAATCAGTGTGCAGTGGTCTTCAGGGGCCTGTCACATCTAGAACATTAGCCTTCCTTGAGCCTAGACTGCACTTGGCCCGGCGAATTTGGCCCGGTACCTGGAATTGCTCTCAACGGACCAGCGACTAACCCCAGATAGGAAAGCTCCGAAGTAGCCCCGGGGATCCGCCATTGCCTCTATGAGGTCGTCTTGGCAAACACCTTAAGAAATGCTTGTCCCGTTCTTGCAAGAATCTGGATGGTTCCAAGACTGGAATAAAAAAAATCTTGCGAGCTCATTTGGAGCGATAGTTGATGAACGTTTCCAATATATTACATTTTTGATGATTTTCATTCCTTTTCTTTCTATAGTAATCGGCGACCCAGAGGTGACCCAACATCAGGCATAGGGTATCTTTGATCACGCGGAGCTGCCATTGTTCTTAGATTGGAGAAGATCCTTCATGGGCCCAGAATAGGTCTTCCTGGCTCGGAAGATCCAGTCAAAGACAAGGATTAGACACACACCAATGAATACCGGGCCGGACCAATTCATGTTCGAAGCGGTGACGGGGATCTCGGTCGGGAACGGCACAAAAATGCAAACAAAGGTCCCGAAGGCCAGTGCATAGATATTAAGTGCCATTCCGTAGCGTCCTAGATTCCAGGGGCCAAATGTGATAGGCCCACGACTGGCGTCGAGCCGACGAATAATCATCAGGACAATCGGAATGAGATATGAGACAAAGAGAGAGCTAGTGGATAGTGCAAGGATAGCGTTCAAAGCTGTCTCCGAGGCGATATTAATGACCGAGAGGACGACGACGCCGCCGGAGACTAGGAGAATAGCCCGTTTAGGTACGCGGTGGTTGCGGTCAATCTGATTGGTGATTAGCAATCGAGCTACTCAGGGCCCGGGGGAAGAAGAAAGACAAACGTGAGCAAAATACGAAGAGAATGGCAGGCCTCCATCGCGAGCAAAAGCCCAAGTCAGTCGTGACACGGATGCAACCACACCGACATTCGAGATCATGCCGATGGAGGTGATGGCTGTTTGCATGGCAGTAGTAGCTCCAACTGATCTGGTAGCCTGCTTGAAGATGCCAATGATGGGGAAGAGGTACGCAGGTTCCAAGGCCTCCTGAATGTTGCCAATACAGAAGAGGATAACGATGATGAAGATCAAAGCCATCAAACCGTCAATGGCAATGGTCTGGATTAAGATACGTGGAATCACGACTGCTGGATTCCTCACTTCCTCACTCATATGAATAGCGCCGTCGAAACCTGAATCACTCATAATGGTCAGACGTCAGATGGTTAGACACGCCTTCTTTGGAGGAGCAGATTACTCACCAAGGAAGCAGTACGTAACGGTCAACATTCCCAGACACCAGGCAATGCCACCCGAGTGCCAGCCCTCCTCTGATGTCAACAACTCCGTAAACACAAACGCTGGAGTGCTGCGACGGGCAAGAAGCACGACCGGGATAATGATCGCAATGAAGAAGGTGATGTGCATGATGCCCCCAAGCATCTGTAAAGCCGGTACGATCTTGATACCATAGATGTTGACGAGGCTGGAAAAAGCCACAATCACCCACATGATAAGGGTTCCGTGCCATTTCTCAAACACATAGCTGGGATGGTTCAGCATCACCATTCCCTGGATCTGCATTGATACCAAGTAGCAGATACTTGTCGTTGCAGCCTGCCATCCAAATACAGTGATCCAACCTTGCATCCAGGTACTAAATTCTCGAATTCGCGGCGGCGACAGTACGGCTGTCCAGTGATATTGCGCGCCTGCGAGAGGGCAGATCGATACCAACTCGGCCATTGAAAGTGCAAGGGCCATCGTGCCTGTTAATGACAACACCATGCCCCAGACGAGGCCCACGGGTCCGCCATTGACCAAGCCTGACTCGAAAGAGCTGGGAAAATGATTAGTGCCTGCACCTGACACACAAGAGTGGCTTAGTTACTTTGCGACAGATTCCCAGGACGACAGCACAGTCAGTGACAAGGAAAGGATGGAGAGCGATCCAAAGCTTCTCTACGCTGATGTTAGCTGAGGAGCTTCAATTTGCCTTTTGCCGATCTCCTTACATCTAAGCGCTTCCCGCTCGATCTGGATGTCGATATCCCTCCATTGAAAGTGCCAGACTCTGTCCGACTATGCGAGTGTTCGCGAACAGTGGACTGAACCGTCGTCTTCACACCTAAGTGACCCAGTTCAATGGACTCGTTCGACATGGCGATGGTGTTGGTCGAATCTCGCCATATTTCACAGAGAGAGAGAGAGAGAGGCGAGATGTCAGCAGGCCTTAGATAGGAGGCGAATTCACGAGCCCTCAGACCTTCCTGAATCCTACGGCACAATCAGCTCACGCGAACTCTTAACTATTGCGGTGGCGCCAAGCGCCATGCTGGGACGGGAGCCGTGAAACGAAAGGTGATTCGATGGGTTTGAAGGGGAAATCCCCGTCTCCACTTTCTTGGGGGTGGACGTGCTTCTCTCGGCATCGGCCCCAGTGTTTTTCGACGTTTCATCATCTATGAGCCCAGTGAGATGCCCTCTTATAATCATAGAGCTGGTCCCATCCCTGCATCGAGATTCTGATCTGCTTCCTCTCGCATAGTGTAGCTCTTTCTTTACCGGAGGCAACGTGGTCATCACGCCACCGGCATGTGGCAGGGCCAAGCGAAAGTTAAACTTCATTGCTTATTCCCGACAGAGCCACAGGAGTCGAGGACTATGCGAGTATCAGACACACAGACCGCCCGCGCAGGGTCCCCCCCCCGCCGGAGTCCGGCGAACACAAGAGAGATAACAGTAACAGAATCTGTAACCTATGACCAACAGCAAATGTCCGATCCAGGAACACATGCCACATGCAAAGGGGGAGAAGCTCTGGAATCAATCCTAGTGTTCTGAGGACACCCCTTTTAGTACACTTCTTGCTCATGGACCTTGATCCCCATTTTAAAGGATTTCTAGATCGCTGTTCAAGTGGTAGACCCGCGATCGGCAATCTGCGATCTGCGATCTGCTATTTCACCGGGCTGTGAACGGTGGGCTTGACTCTTGTCACTATGGCAGGCACGCTGCCTCCTCTATTCGATATTACCGACAGCGATGAGGGAGGTTATGCAGCAGTGGCGGTCTATACCTTGCTCGTGTTGACACTCGTCATGGTTCTCGCTCGTCTATCGACTCGCTGGTACATTGGGGGCGTCCTTCACTCCGACGACATCTTGTTAGCGATCTCAACGGTATGTGATGGAATGGCTTGCGAAAGACCCGAGAAACCTGCCTCTAACCTAGTGACTTCTGGTTATCCAGCTATTCGGAATACTACAAAGTATATTCGTCCAGCTCGCCATCTCCAATGGACTCGGGCGAAAGCTGGCTACCATAGGAAGCGACGAACTTGTGCGCTACCTGAAGGTTTGTGAATGCTAGAGCCACAAAACATCTCTCGGAAACTAATTTGGGTGAATAGTACGAATATGCGGCACAGCTCCTCCTTATCGTGACGGTTGCCTTTAGCAAGATTTCACTGGGTTTGCTTTTCAAAAACCTGATGACATCGCGCCGCTACCTACGGACAAATCAGGTCTTGATGGGGGTCATAATTGCATGGGCAGTGGCATCGATCTTGGCATTGGCCCTACGATGCTCGATGCCAACGCCATGGATGTGGAACTCGCCGGATAAATGCATCGATCAGGTGAGACCAGCTGGGTTGGTCTTGATTTGCTTCGAACAAAATACTGATTGGTTGTTCAGGCTGCGCTTTTCGAAGCCATCGCTGCACTCAACATCGTCACGGATCTTGCGATCGTGTTGCTTCCGTGCATGTTGCTTCGAACTGTACAATTGTCCCACTGGAAACGGTTCAGGATCATGGCACTGCTCGCGTCTCGAATCTTGTAAGGCGTGCCCAATTCAAGATTCGTGGGAGCTGATACTGACGGGGCTATAGGGTGTGTATAGCAACAGGTATTGGGATACACTTCACTGTCAAAATGCTCCAGTCTTCCGACATTCCTTGTGAGTCAATCTCGCTTTTGCTCTTATTCGGTGCTCATACGACCATGTTCTAATCCGAAATCATTCAGGGGCAAATACCGACTCCACCATCTGGGACCAGTGAGTTTCTGTCTAGCACTGACTCTTACGGATCGAAACTGACGATATGATGAACAGAGTGATGATGAATTTGAGTATCATGACTACTGCCGTGCCGGCACTCGGACGACTCGTCATCGAACTGCAACCCAGCCTCTACGCATTCACCATCAATGAGGACCCCGTAGAGTCTTCCTCGGCCGCTGACAAGTACAAGTTTTCCGCTATGGGGAAGTCATTCAATCAAACCTTCCCTGCAGAGAGGGGAAAGTGCCATAGGTCCTCCGGTCAGACAAATGGATGGAGAGAGTCCTTGAAGGACGATGCTGAAAGTACAAAGGGGCTTGTGAACACCCCAATTATGATCCAGCAGACGATTCATTTCGAGGTGCACTAGGAACACATGTACAATTGAGTACTCGGCCTTTGATGGCAACCCGGGATCCGTATGTAAGCAATAAAGATACTTTTCATCAAAGCGATACTTTTATCAGCTTCAGCTGCATTTCACTCAACCGCACTGTGTCCGGAACAGACCTGTCAACTTGCCTGTTTGTAATGAAGATGCAGAAGGGAAATTCCCCGCCCACGTTATCGTCCCTGACATCACACGGCAGACCGCCGATAGAATATATCACCTGGAGGTATTGTGATCGTTCACCTTTGAAAACAGGCATTCAATAGAATCAACTTTATCGTGGGATAGATCAAGTGATGGACATGAATCTTCTTCCAAAACATCTGAATTACCGTGGCTTCCTCACTGTTTACATGATTCCTATTAACGCGCTGCAGGTGAATTCATATTTCATTCAATAATCATGGACCGGACAAACTCGATCCTTGTGGAAAGTGAGCATCTGCAGCCGAATACTTCCGTGTTGATGTTGACTGCTCATCTCTCCACACAATCTTTCACCTTCGCCTCACTTTTCTGCCATTCCACAACGCATGCAGCCTCTTCACAGCCCATCTTCACCTCATGGCCGGCTATCTCTCCGTTCCCGCCCTCGAAGCACTGGTCAACAAGTTTCTAGAAGACCGCACCAACGAGATCACGTACATTGCCATGATCTCCGGTCTTCTCAACTACTATTTCTCTCTGGATAACGACTTCACAATCTTCTTCCACCCCCCATCCAAGGACGTTCCCGCCTACTTTGTCATCCAGCGGCTCCTGCGCTGGTTGTCTGATCCAGCAATTACTCCTCTGATCGATCATCTCGTCGTCGTTGCTAGCCCTCTTACGACCCAAAAGAACTCAAAGCCTGCCCAGAAAGGTTTCTTCGCGAGTGCCCTCGAGGAACTCGACGTTCGGTTCCGCCCACTTGAGACCGTCCTTCGACACGGCCCGGCGGAAAGATATTCATACTGGGTCATGTTCTTCGACGCCGATTTAATCACTTTTCACAAGTACGATTGCCAAGGCAAGGTTGTCGACTGGCTAGAGCCTTTGTCAATCTGGGGCCCGGATGACAGGCCTGCTTTGCCTACTGAGTTTACGCTGCAGCAGTATGCTGGGGTGATTGACTGGATGTTGAGGTACATGCGCCGAGACGTCGAGGTGGCGGTTGATGGGACAGTTGAGGGACTCTGAGGAGGACTTACGAAGAGATTAACCGCATTTCAAGTGATGATCTATGGTGAATTTGATCGAGAGATATCCTGTGATCTCAATACTATGCAGTCTCAATGCACGTCTTCAGAGTGACAAACATGCAGGTACACAGTAAACAAGTTCACTATGAAAAAAAGACACCTTTCCCCCATGTCCACTCGCCGACTATGCTATGTGTCAGAGCCATTCCAGGCTCGGGTATGCAGACATCATTCCATGCAGCTCCACATCAGCCAGAGAGATCATTCACAATGTCCTGGATGATGGGTCCTATTGCCGACAACAGAGGTGCCGTTGAACAACTTCGTGCCCCTCTTAGCCGGTTGTCGAAGACCAGAAGATGGCTGTCGAGAGCCTAAGGGGCTGAGTGGGTTGCGACCGGAAGACTCTTTCTTAACGGACGGGCTTCTTTTAGTCTTCACAGGAGACAAGTATGGCAGTTGTGTCGACTCAAGCGCGGAATCAAAAACGTGGCTCTCGGCCGCGTGATCCGGCAAGTTGTATACCCACCCTTGCCTTCTACCAGGCGAACATACTTGTACAGGAGGTCGTTGCCGTCGCGAAGCGTTGATCGGCTGCCGACGACCAGGAGCTTGGTGCGGGCACGGGTGAAAGCGACGTTTACTCGGCGCCAGTCGCGCAGAAGATCTCCGACGTGATTTTCGGAGTTGCTGCGAACACAGCTGAGGATGACGACTTCTTTGTCACGGCCCTGGAACTTGTCCGTGGTATGCATCTCAAGGTCGGGTGTGTATTTGCGAAGCTTCTGGCGAAGTAGGGCTAGCTGACTGCGGTAGAAAGTGATAACGCCGATGTTGCGGGCCGGGATGCCGCTGGCGATGAACGCTTCTACAAGTTGAGAACAGAGTATGGTCTCCATGTGGTTGACCACGCGCTGCCCCTGCGCATTCTCTAGGGCAGCAGCTCCAAGAGTGTCTGTATTTACCAGAAGAGTCTTGGCAGAGGGTTCGATGAGATCCTTCAGCCAGCAATGACCTTGGCTTGGCCCAGGACAGATGTCATGTGGGTGCTGAGAAGAGTGGAATCCATCCGCATGGAATTGCTTCAAGGCATTGATGTTCGGGACATCGAGGGAGCGGGCCGCAACTTCAGGCGTACCGCATTTTAGACGACCGGAGTAGATGAGAGTGTTCGAGAGTAGCATGATCTCCTCGCACATACGATACTGATGCTCTAGGTTGACCACCGAGTCGGGCTGCGCGTCAGAGAGGAGCTTAAAGAGACTGACATCAAGTCCTCCTTCCTGGGCTGCCTTGTTCTGTACCAGTGGAGGAAGTTGGTAGTGGTCACCCACCAAGATGAAAGTTCTTGCCATGCGAATTGGGCCCAAGCAAACAGGGAGTGTGATTTGCGATGCCTCATCAACAATGCAATAGTCAAAGATCCGTTGATTGAAGATGCTGTGGTTGACACCAAGGCAAGTGGTAGCCACGACCTGTGGTTTCTCCCAGGAGTCTTTAAGCTCTTCGATGGTCTTTTTGGGGATTGCCGCCAGGTCTGCAAACTGTTGGACCTCCGGATGGATTTTGGTGGCAGCCCCAATGCGCAGAACACGAATGTTGTCATCGCGGATCTTCAGCAGGATATTGTCAACAGCCGTGTGGGTGTAAGAGGTCAGCAATACACTCTTTCCTGTGCAACTAGGGCCCTGATGATTTGTGCAATCGTGGTGGTTTTCCCAGTACCAGGCATGCCCAAGACCAGGGCGTAATCCTTCGCACTCATGACCTTAGTAATAGCCTCTTTCTGATCAACGTTGAGGCTGCCGGGATCAGGTAGCTTATTCGCCGAGGAACTAGTCTTGAAGACAGGTGGCTGGCCTTCGACGATGAGGCGTCTGAGGTTCCTTGCTTGGAACAGGTCCTTGTCCATCAGGCAAATAAGATTGTTCCGGACGATAGCCATACCATTGCTGAATTCATCTTTGTCGATTCGATATACCATCTCTTCATCGGGGTTTTCGAGATCAGAGGGATCGCCGCTCCCAATTTCCATGATTCCTCGGAAAGACTGATTTTTAACTGCGTCAAAGCCGACGGTGCGTGCTCTTGCATTGTGCAGCTTCCGATCAACCGCGACTGTGATGTGCGATGCGCTCAATTGAATAACATAACCATTTGCCAACGCGAAGTGGCCTTTTTGGTCTGAGACCACGATCGGCTCACCAACAGAAATTTGCGACTCTGCAAAAGAAAAGCTTGGACGCGGCCGCCGCTTGAAAAAGGTATAACGATAGCGGTTTATTTTTGTTCCATTAGGCTCTTCGCAAGCAGAACGGGGATCAATCACGACATCACCAAAGCATCGGCCCAGGGGCTCTCGCTCACTGCTCAGCAAGGTCCACAGCTCTCTTCGGAACTTGACCAGATTGCCCTCCTCTTTCGTGAGAAGTTCATCCCATTTCCGGAAAAAATCACGATCGCCATGATTTAAGTGACTGGTAGCCAGTTCAAAGTCTTCACCAAGTGCACTCGTCTCGCCATCTCCATCTTCAGCTAGCTTGTGATAGATCAGACAAGGGGTTTTCGCGTAGCATCTGTTGCACATGCGCGCCTTCTTGAGCATTGGTGGCAGCAACAATCTTTCACGAATGTATCCTGCTAATTGATTTCGCACTTGTATCATCTGTAAAAGCTCATGCCGAATGCCGCGTATGCTGAGGGTTCTTGAGTTCTCCAGGTAATACAGCAACCCGAAATTGACATCGACATCTGCATGCATCATGAATAAGTTGACACGAAATCGGAGAAGACAAGACTCACCATAGCGGTCCGACAGCAGAAGAGTGTAGAGGGCTGTTTGAGCCCGATGGGCCTGGTTCGTGTCTCGCTTTCCAGTCTTCAATTCCAGAGGAACTAAGAGGTTTTGATCTCCATCTTGTCCACGAGAGGTAACCTGAACTGTGGCGTCAATGTTGCCTTTGAGTCCATACATCGGTGACCAGATGTGCTCTTCTACCTCGAGCAACTTATTGATGCTGAGATTTAGTTTGGAGCTGTTGCGGTCCTCCACCAGGGAGTTGGCCTATATGAACATTAGCAACCGCGAAGTGGGCCTTCAATGGAAGACGAACCTGGGGTGTGGCTTGGAGAAAGACATTTGCCCAAGCTTGAACGGTCGGAATCTTGCCCATGATCTCCGCCACAGCTTCGGCGACGCTCATGTTAATCGAGTACAACTCTTCTATGTGCTTCTCCATGACAGACACAACCACCGACTTCAACGAACCCAAATCCCATTTATTAGCCTGCAATGCCTCTTGGAAGACTTCATGAAAGAAGACACCAAATGCTTGCGGCTTCTCCAGCTGGCCGAATGCTTTTACACGATCCTGGAGAACAGCCCGACGCTGACAATCAATCGAGTCTGCCACGACAGTAGCAGAAATGAGATGGTCGGGATGGAGAATGATCATGTGTTTGGTGTTATCAACGACGCATTGGCCCGACAAGTCAAAGTCTCCAACTAGATGGATATATGAGTCTTTGCTACAAGGCGTATCAAACCAAGACTCGCGCAAAATGATAACCTTGCGGGTTCTTGTCTTTTCATCCTCGACGCATAGCACCTGTTGCTTTGTCAGTGGCAGGGGGCGAGCTTAGGGGGCTCTTGTTGACAGACCTGCTCGGGCTGGGTACGTCCTTTCGGCGTGACATACAATTTTTCGGCAGTATCAATGATCTGGTATCGTTTTATGGCTTTTCCATCTTTGAGGTTCTATTGATTGATTCTCTTAGCAAATATCTAAATATAAACCAATTAAGAGCGACCAACGTGAGCTTCTTCCTGGCTAATTTGCTTCAAGGTTTGTTCGATGGCATCCACGTCAAAATCATCATCAAACTCATCCGTGGAAAATTCATCCTCTGCCACTGTGGGAAGAATGGAGACATTTGATCTTTTTATGGCTTGTTGTTCTGCAGGAATGGATCCTGTGGGAGCGGCGTTCTGTTGTTTCTCATCACACTTCGCAAGTATATCCTGGAAGTCATCGGCAAAATCACCATAGTCGTCTTCAAAATCGTCTAATTCATCGTGTTTGGGGTCGTTATTCATAATATTAGGCATGATGGGCCGTTGATTACCAACGGCATCTGCATGTTCTGGGTGACTTGGTTGTTGTTTTTCAGCGGCTAGATTTGACCAGGCAGATGAGCCTAGTGATTCAAAACCATTGCGACTGGACGCTGTCTCGACGAAAGGATCTTCCGAGACATCAGCTAGATTCATGAGGTCTTGGTCAAGACCATCGTCGCTGAATTCAGAAGATAAATCTAGGATTGCAGCGCCCGCACCATTCCCAGCATTGATGCCGCTCAGACCGAGAAGGGTTTCTTTGACAGCTTCAGTGTCACCCAGACCCTTCCTGTCCGTTATAGGTGACGAAGAACGGCATCTCTGTGCATCCACTCGTTGTCGTAATGGGGAAGAGCCAAGGGGGGCCTATTTCAGTGGGCTGCACAGGCTGCACAGGCTGCACAGGCTGCAAGCTCTTCTCAATCTTCTCAAGGAGAAAATTGATTCTCGATGATTTTGTTCTCCCCGAGTCCAAGACATTGCTAGTCGTACGCGAGAAGATACCGCGGCCAGAGCCTGGGTCTTGTTGGTGGACTCGCCTTCTCTTCCTCGTGATGTCGGCCACTCAGCGGCGCAACTGATCGACCTTCTCAAGCCAGATGAGTCCCGGCTTGTTCTTGAAGCAGGCGTTTGAGGTGAAGAAGAAAGCAGATTCGCGAGGCGAGGTGGCGGTAAATCTTCAGATCCTTCGACCATGTTCTTATCCACGTAATTGTTCCATAACTCGGCGGCCAGGTCATGCTGAGGGGTCTTGAAAAGCGCCTGGATTGACTGGAGGTCAAAAGGTTCTTTCTGTTTCTTGGAGGCACTGTGGGAGGGAGTACCCGGCGAAGATGAGCGGTGGCGTCGCTTCTTTCGACGATTGGCTGGCGTTTGAGACGATGCATCGGGGTTTGAGCTGGCAGGAATATGCTCCCATATAACATGTTCAACTGGTGTTATCTCAGGTCCCGGAGCGGGGTCAAATGAGTCTTCGGCGTTGCTGATCAAGTCCGCCAGAGGGATTCGATTCGCGGGAGTCTGTGGGCATTCTTTGACCGGCTTGAGTTCCTTCGCAGAAGCAGCTGAAACCCCCTGAGGCTGAGGGTCGCTCTTTTCGGATGGATTATGCATCGGCTCAATCACGCCATTTAACCATGAGCTTTGATTCTCCTTATTTCTGTGAGCAGGTTTGGACCCGTCCTTCCAAGTCCCATTGCTGGAGATCTCATCCACGTCCTGGAAGCGGAAGGCATTCAATTTCGTGCGCGAGTTCGAGGAAATGGGGTATTTGTTGTGATTAGCTGCCATGGCGTCAATCCGATCCAATATAGAGCTCTCAAAACGGATATCAACGCATTCTCGAGGCTTCAGGGCAATATCACTTGTGAGACGAGACGTATGGACACCGGGACAATAATGATCGGACTGATCGAGAACAGAGTATGCCTCGTATATCTCGCGTCAGGTGAATGTGAGAAAGCAGTGCGAGACCAGCGCGCTGTGTTGACGAGTCGGCGAATCGACCAGGGTGCGAGATACGATAAGAACGCGTCGCGCGTCGAGGATTGGTGCCATTTCTATCAGGTTTTAATTCCTGCCTTACAGATCGGGCACTGGAAGGCGGCAAGGAAAAATCGCCCAATCGGGACTAGAGTGGTGACCCAGCCAGCTCCCCGTCGGCCCTTTGCGGATTCAACATCAACCGCCGAAACAACCCCTCCCCTTGTTGTTGCTTCACACAGTGCCATACCAATTGCGACTGTTGCTGCCACGTCGGCAAGGCGACTCATTGTTGGTCTAACTACCTCATCCCGAATACACATCGCGGCGCTCCTTCCGAACCTTCACATTCAACCCCCGTCTTCAACATGATTGCTCGGCCATTGTCGCATGCCATGCGCTCGCGCTGCCTGCTGCGCAAGCCCCAGGGCATCCAGGGCTTCTCTACCAGCAGCAACCTGCACGGAGGCGACCACGGCAGCCACTACGACCCCCCGACCGGCTGGCTTTTCGGCATCAAGCCCGGCCAGAAGTACGCGAAAGAAGGCTGGGAGGGTGTCTGGTACTACGGATTCATTGGCAGTCTCTTGGCTGCTGGTGTTGCATATGTTTTCAAGCCTGATACCTCGTATGTATCACCCTTTGTCTTCCAGCACTCGATGCTCGCCTACGTGCTCATGCCTGGTCTTTGGGGCTCGTGAATATTTCTCAATGGTCTGTTCGCTAATTCTTTTTTCAGCATACAAACCTGGGCTTTGGAAGAGGCTCGTCGGCGGCTGGAGGCTGAGGGCATCTTGGAGGACCCCCAGACGGTCAAGAAATAACTGGCTCGATACTAGGCCTGTTCTGTACACTGTACATAGAGAGATCGGAAAGGGACTATTTCGGTTGATGCCTTTACCACCTGCCATGGCAGATATGATGTTCCGATCCTTTGGTTAGATGGGGTTTTCGCATGTGTTTCCATTCCTCTTTTCGCCTGCCTATTGTACTACTTTATGTTTCGAAGTTTCTCTCACCGCATCAACAAAGGTGGATCAAAATCGAATGGCGTTCAATGTCCGTAGTATATATCATGTAGCCTAGATTGGCGCGATGGTCTACTAGGAAGTGAATAGCCCTGATATGGTATGCAGTTCGTCTCATGCTTCTCAGAGGTTCCTCCATAGCCGGCCTAGACTCCTGGGTAGAGATCCGTTCTTCTGAGGAGGGGCATTTCTCGTCGTATTTTCGTCACAAGGTCGAGGTCAATATCAGCGGTAGCTATCTGTGGCTCGTGGTACTCATCGCCCAACTGCGCAATCACTTCTCCCCACGGATTGACGATCATCGAGTGACCATAGCTTCGTCTTTTCTCATTATGGGGACCTGCCTGCGCGGCTGCTATGACATAGCTTTGGGTCTCAATGGCTCTTGCTCGTAGTAATGCCTCCCAGTGGGCCTTTCCTGTTGGAAACGTGAATGCTGAAGGGTATGTAATGATGTCGGCGTTCTGGCGTCTCAGGGCTAGACTCATTTCAGGGAAGCGTAACTAAGTATGTCAGAAACGAAAAGTTCTTTGATGTTATGTTCTCTGGCATAGCGCTCACATCGAAGCAAATTGACAAGCCAACGCGCCCTATGGGTGTTTCAAATGGAGGAATAATCTTCTGTCCTGGCTCGACGTTCCTGCGGCCATATAATTTAGCAAGTCACTTTGCGCTTGGTGAGGAGAGAAGAGCTTACGCGCTCTCCTTTAGAACAGGACCACCCTTGATGTCGACATCAAAAAGATGTATCTTCTGGTAGCTCTGGGTGATCTCTCCTTTATTATCGATCCAAATCAAGCAGTTCTTGAGTCTATGCTCAGAAGCAACGTCATGGACTCCGACGTTGATGTGCAGGTTTTCCTGCTTGGCTGACTGCTTCAGAGCCGATACAAAGTCACTGCAGTCACTGCATTGAGCTAGAGAGAAGGACTCCTCCGCAGATGAAGCTATATAGTCCGATGCCTCGGGTAGAAACAGCACCTGGAAAGACGTTAGATTGCGGGAAAAACTTCAAAAATTAGAATGAGCGCCTCAGAGCTCATTTTACCTTGGCACCAGCAGCTGCTGCCTTGCGAACTAATGCCTGGCATTGAGAGAGATTGGAAGTGATGCTCGCTGTTGCGCAGAGCTGCCCCACGGCCTATGTTGGGGAGAGAACATTAGCGATGAATGTCTGGGTTCAGCTAAGAAAACAACCTACAGCTAGAACCATACTTGCTCGAGATAAAAAATGTCACCCTGGTGTTTTCCTGTTAATAAGCGGGATTGCATCAAAGTGAGTCCCCAATCACTCAGTTGCTCTCAGAGAGGAGGCCGATAGCGATTACTCAGCTATCGCGATAACCTCAAACCGCAAAGATCATTTCTGATCCATTCCTCTTACACTCTCTGTGGTTAAAATTTGTTTGCAATCTGCCATCCAGGCAGATATCCACTGTCGCAATGAAGAGCTTGAGGAGGGATATCTCTTCAAACCCGCAAGCTGCCAATGTTACGAGCAAAGTATTCGTGAGGTCCACGAAAAGTGGGAAGGTGCAAAAGATTGTTCGAGAGCTTTATTTGAGACAAGACATTCCTTGTTCCTCGAAACTCTGCTCAATATGCCCTTCAATCGCCCCGGCTGATGCCAATGGAAACAGTATGTGTCACTATCTCGCTACCAACGCCCATTGCTAACCAGATGTAGTCGCGCCATTCGTCCTCTCCGATCGTCCCGCTGGCACGAAGGCCTTCCCCCGTGGCCACTATCTTGTCCCCGATACAAATGCGCTACTCAATGGAATGGATCTCTTTGAGCACACCGGCGCCTTCTACGATGTCGTCATCCTGCAGACTGTCCTTGAGGAGCTCCGAAACCAGTCACTACCTCTCTATAACCGCCTTCTTTCCCTCATTAAGACTGACGAGAAGCGCTTTTATCTCTTCTTCAATGAGTTTCGCATGGAGACGCATGTGCGCCGAGGTCCGCAGGAGTCGATCAACGATCGGAACGATCGAGCCGTGCGCACCGTGGCAATCTGGTACGGCGAGCATCTCCGAGAGTCTGCAGCAAAGAAGGGCAAGAAGGAGAAGTCCGTTCCTGCGATTGTTGTCATTACCGATGACAAGGGGAACCTCCGCAAAGCGAAGGAAGAGAATGTCACAGCCTTGTCGTTGTCAGACTATGTGGCCGGCTTGGAAGATTCGGAGAAGCTGCTGGACATGATCAGTGAGGCCAGAGAAGCGCGTGACACGAAGGGTGCCCGCGGAGAACTGTTCTACCCCGAGTATTATTCGATGTCAAAAATGATGACTGGTTTGCGGGCTGGAAATTTGCACCAGGGAGTGTTCAATGTTTCGCCCTACAACTACCTCGAAGGCTCAGTCAAAGTTCCATCCTTTGATAAGCCACTTCTCATTCTCGGCCGTGATAACAGCAACCGTGCGATTGCGGGTGATGTTGTTGTGATTGAAGTCCTGCCCCAAGATCAGTGGAAATCTCCTTCGACAAAGATCATGGACGAGGAAGCAGTGACTCGTAATGACAACCCTGAATCCGAGGAGGCGGAAGCCGTCGTTACGGATAGAGAGCGCAAAGCTCTTCAAGACGAAGTCAAGAAAGCCCACAGCAATCGCGCCGAAGGCAAGCCGCAGCCAACCGCTCATGTTGTCGGAGTCATCAAGCGTGGCTGGCGGCAGTACGTTGGTCATGTGGATTCCGGCTCAACTGGTTCTCAGGCTGCTTCCGGTCGCAGACAACAAACCGTCTTCCTCTTGCCCATGGACAAACGAGTACCGAAGATCCGAGTTCGCACCAGACAGGCCAACGAATTGCTCGGCCAGCGCATTCTTGTCACCATTGACGCTTGGGATCGGGATTCTCGTTATCCTACTGGTCATTTCATTCGTTCTCTGGGTGAGTTGGAAACGAAAGGAGCAGAAACGGAGGCTCTTCTATTAGAGTATGACGTACAGTACAAGCCCTTCCCCAAGTCGGTTCTGGACTGTCTGCCAGCAGAAGGACACGATTGGAAGGTCCCCGTCTCAAAGGAAGACAAGGGCTGGAAGGGCCGACGAGACCTGCGCGATTTGGTCGTCTGCAGTATCGATCCTCCGGGATGTCAGGATATTGACGACGCTCTCCACGCACGCCTTTTGCCGAACGGAAACTTCGAAGTTGGCGTCCACATTGCAGACGTGTCGCACTTTGTCAAGCCCAATAACCCCATGGACCTTGAAGCCAGTGTCCGCGGTACCACGGTGTATCTCGTCGACAAGCGTATTGACATGCTTCCCCACCTCCTTGGCACAGATTTGTGCTCTTTGAAACCATACGTGGAGCGCTATGCCTTCTCTGTTATCTGGGAGTTGACACCCAACGGAGAGATCGTGTCTTCAGATTTCACCAAGTCTGTCATTCGCTCGCGTGAAGCATTCAGCTACGAGCAGGCCCAGCTTCGCATTGATGACCCCTCGCAAAAAGACGAGTTGACTGAGAGCATGCGACACCTCTTGCACTTCTCCAAGATTTTTAAGCAAAAACGTTACGATGCCGGTGCTTTGAACCTTGCCTCTCCTGAAGTCCGTATCGAGGCCGGCGACGAAGCTGGCGATCCTCTAACGGACGTCAAGACTAAGGCCATGCTCGCCACCAACAGCCTGGTCGAAGAATTCATGCTTCTCGCCAACATCTCCGTCGCTTCTAAAATTTTCCAGTCTTTCTCGCAAACCGCCTTGCTACGACGACACGCCACTCCCCCACCCCAGAATTTCGAAGACCTCATCAACCAGCTGTCGAAGAAGCGTAACATGGAACTAGATGTCTCCAGCTCTGGAGCCCTCGCCAAATCTCTGGACCGCTGCGTTGACCCCAAGAACCCCTTCTTCAACACCCTAGTTCGCATCCTGGCAACCCGATGCATGACCTCCGCGGAATACTTCTGCGCTGGCGCCCATGCCGAGCCTGAATTCCGCCACTATGGTCTTGCATCCCCTGATTTACACTCACTTCACCTCGCCCATTCGTCGGTATGCCGATCTTCTAGTTCACCGACAGCTGGCTTCTGCCATTGGCTACGAAGGTGAGGAAGGCCATGCCGTCGCCGAAGGCGTCAGCACTCGCGGCAAGCTGGAAGATATCTGCCGTAACATCAACTTCCGACACCGCAACGCACAGTTTGCCGGCCGCGCCAGTATTGAGTATTACGTTGGCCAGGCACTCAAGGCCCGTGGTGAGAAGATGGCCGGAGGTGGTGAGAACAGCGGTGTTGACGAAGAGGGCTACGTCATGCGAGTTTTCGAGAATGGCGTTGTTGTCTTCGTGCCGCGCTTTGGAATTGAGGGTGTCGTTCGACTAGAAGACTTCGTGCTTCCTGGTGAGTCGGGTGTCTACTCGGTCGCTGAGAGACGAGAGCTCGCCGTCCACCGCACCACCGAGTTTGATAACGAGGAGTATACCCTGCGTGTGGAGGAGAAGGGCCACCCGGAGAAGGAGCGCAGTGTCACTGTGGAGCTCTTCCAGAGGGTGCAAGTCAATGTCAGCTCTGTCAAGGAAGAGGGTCGGGGTGCCGGAAAACGGAGAGTTCGTATTCTTATTACGGGCACAACCGACAAATAACCTTGTCATGTAGTTCTAGCCAAAAGCAGCTATCAATGTCAACGAATAAACATCAATGTGAATTATATTCCAAGGTTCAATGTATATCCCGTTATATATGTGTAATCTAATGCGGTGTTTGGTCACAGGAGGCTTCGTGATCTCTGACCCTGGTGATCATTCCAACGATTCCGCCGGGCCTTCACCTTTTATCCTTCACTTGACTAACACACCCCCCATCAGCTATCGAACGCTCTTTTAGGAAAATTAGTCTGACTATTATTTGTTCTTCCTCGAAGATATGCTTCTATGTGACTTCGAATATGTCCGAGGGAGCAAGGCAATGCCGCTTCTATCGAACCATTTATATCATCTTCTTGATCGGGGTTCACGCAGGGAAAACCTCATACACGTTTGAGAAACACCATTCTACGTACCAGACCGACCGGATTCCACAGCTGCGCGTTATGAGGCGGCCCAGATGTCGAAGCTGATAAGATGGTTGCTGGTGGATTCATCTTTTCGCCTTCATTGGTAGGAGGAGATGAACGACCCGCGGATTCACGGCTTTCTTGAGCTCGTTCCAGTTCGCCAATCTTCCAACCACGCACAACCCACAGACATAATGCAGCCCCGATGTACATGAAGCCGGTAAAGAGCTGCACATGGAGGTAGGAGATGCCGCCGCTGCCATCATTGGTTCGAAGCTCCAGGGCAATCGCCTCGGAGACGGTGCAGGGTGCGACCAGGCTGAGCCAAGTGATACTCAGTCCAGAGGGAAGATCTCTGATGCCAATGATTTCTGCCAGGACGGGCGAGACAGTAGCCCAATATGTTCCCGCCACTGTCCCGACGAGGACGGCGAAGAAACAAACCACGCCCATGCTATCTGCAAAGACCCAGATAACCAGGCAGAACAGACCACAAAGGAATGATAAGAAAGTAGCGACATTAATACGGCCCAGCCGATCACTGAACATGCCCACGAAGGGACGACCGAGACCTTGGCCGAGGTTCAACAATGCCGAGATAATGCTTCCCTGATGCGAAGTAAGGCCCACCGAGAGAGCAAAATTGGCGACGCTGAACAGGATAGCCACATATCCCAACATGCTCAAGATTCCCCATCCCATGAAGAATAGAAACTCGGGCCGGCGTAGAAGCGGGAGATGGAAAGCCGTCAAACGACTCCCGACAAGCTTATTACGGTCTCGAAGTAAGTTCGCGCAGACCAGATTCACGACACAGGCAATGATTCCCAGAATACGAAAAGCCCAAGAAAGACCGAAGCGCGGAATAATGGCACCCACTGCGAGGGAGTAGATCAAACCGCCCAACCCAGACCCTGCGGCTGTGATGCCCTGCGCGACGCTCCGGTGTTTGTGGAACCACTGTGAGGTAATGCCGACACTACCCACGAACAGAAAACCCATACCCCAACCGAAGCAGACACCCTGGCTGAGGAAAATGTGCCACTTCTGCGTTGCGAATGAGGAGCCGATGAGGGAAAGGGTTTCGAAGAAAACGCCGACATTCAGTACGCATCGCGTCCCAAAAATCTGGATGAAGTAAGTTGCTAACGGAGCGACGAGCAAGGCGCAAGAAATGCTGAGACCGCCGGTAAAGGCATATGAGAGGGCGCTAGTATTGGGAAATACATCATGGGAGAGGTAGTAGCTCAGAAAGACGCCGTAACTCTGGACTTCCGTTAGTGTATTCCGATTTTAAGAGGAGGGCTCGTACTGACACTGTTGATTCCCCAGGTATGCGCATTGATCCAAAAGACACATACAACACATACCCAGCCATAACCTCCGTCTGGAGGCACATCGCGATTGTATTTCTCATCAGCGTCGAGCTCGACTGGAGCTTGCGGTTGAGGTTGCGCATTCGTAGACTCCTTCGAGTGCTCGTTGTTTAGCGATTTTTGGTCATCTTGATGAGACCGAATAACCTCCAATGTAATATTGTCTGCCATCTGGCGGGATAGGTTCTGGAGGAACACCGCGAGACGTTCCCAAGAGCCAGTGACGATCCTTCAAATCTGGACCTCAAGTGGACTACTCTTTTCGTTGCGGCATGAAGTAATTTGAGAAGCTTGACAGCGGCCATTGGACAAGAATACGAAATCAGACCAAGATGTAGACGTTGTGAAGCCGATCTTATGCTAAGACCCATGCTAGGCCATAAAGGGGAGTGAGCATCGGACTTGAAGCCGACATCTCTACACTAGCTAAATTTGATGATCGTGGCTGTCATGGGGTTACATAAGTTCGGCGACAAAAGACCAATGGCGGGACTTGAGATTACGATCATTTGAGAGACGGCAAATACTTACATCCGTGGACGACCACGCCTCTACCGGGGGTTAGGCCTGGATGTGGGGTATCCGCTATGCCGAGCCGGTGCGGAGAAGGTTACTTCAGTTGGGTTCGTCGGGCTTCGGGTGTCCTTGCAGGGTACTGAGTCAGAAGTGCGGTCTAGGATGGTGACTTGGTATGGCGGCAATCCCTTAAGCAGGCTTCAGGTTATGGAACATGAACAGAGGTAGACTTATAGAACACGTTTCTTTAGACGTCGACGTAGGCAATGTATCCGAGGCGCACGTGGAGGTAGCCCTAAGCCCTGTCCCGAAAAGGAAAGTAATTGACGTTGCCGCGGCGCTGTTTGTTTTGGACTCCGCAATCGCAGATCATTTTAGGCTACTTATCGGACATCGCGTCTCCCTACATTGCTGCCCTACATCCCACCATGCATACACATACCAGACCTTTAGGCCAACGGAAGGTTTCTCCTCCTGGGCCGACTTTCATGTCGAATGACCAGATGGGTATGATGCTTATCATCTCCAATTTCCCTACGCAATCACAACTAGGGGCCCCTGGAACCCATGCGTGCAAGATCCATGACAACGGCGCTAATGGAATCTCAATGAAGCAAATTATCTCAAAGATCTCCGAACGAACAAACCGAATCGTCCAAGTGGATCTCGTCCGATTCCAGGCCGGTCAGCTGTATCGACTCCCAACCTCCAAGATAACCTTCCTCCCCGCGCAGCGTCCGCCTTCGCCATGTATCGGCAACCTGACAGCCCCCCCAAAGAGAATCATCGCTCGGGTAGCGCTATGTCTCACCGCCGGTCAATCTCACAGGCTCCAGAGGGGGGACCATCGGGCCGTCCATTAGCACAAGAGCCACGATCGGTTTCTGTCCGCAAGAACGTGTTCCCTTCGCAAGTGTTTTCGCGCCCGGTGGCCGTGGCTGCGTCGCCCGTTCCGTCTTATCGGGAGAGTCGTCAGCGACACCAGGAGAAGGAAGAAGCACGATCTTTACGCGACGCATTGCAAGAGGTGGGTCTCGACGATGACGTGCGCATTCATCACGCTGCCCAGGACGAGGCCACGGAATTAGTATGGATGCACCAGAACCCTGGTCAACAATTCAAGAATCCCTTTGCGCCATACCGGAATCCGGATACAAAGAGGGATGGATCCATCCATTCTCCATCTCGAAAAAACTCCGAGTCTTCCAACTCCTTCCGACACTCAATTGCTTCTCCAGGATCCTCAAGTGGTCATTCAAGCCCAGAGTTCGCAGATAGCCGAGACTCGAAAGAGCCGAAGCGATCCTCCATGGCCGGCACCTTGAAGAAGAACCTCAAGGTCAATTTTGCATTGCCCGGGGAGGAACCACCCCAGCCCGTTGTCGATGCTGGCCCGAAGCCTCGGACAGTTAGCGGGGACTCCTCAAAGGGCGTCTTCAAGAACCCGGATGATCATATCTACGAAGAGCCCAATGACCCTGTCAAAGAGACACCTGAAATCAAGCCTGACTTCTTCAGGTCTGACTCTTTGGCTTTGAAAAACAAACCGCCCAACGCTCTTCCACGTGCAACGAAACCTCTACCTTGGCTGCGTGATCGCAAGTCCGCTGGTTCCGTGCGAGACAAGATCTCCCAATTCGATATTCATAAAAACCCTCCCACGCAATCGCACAACCCTGGTTATATTCGGAACGCTCCAGCTCCATCGCCACCTCCTTCCCAGGAGCAACCACCAGTGCCTACGAGAGATGGCAAAGAGATTCGAAGTGATGACATTCGAGCAGCCACGAGCAAAAGACTCGCCGACAGAAGCGAGAAATTGCCCATGCCAACAGCCGTCAGTGATCGATTTGGAAGACCAATCGTGAGTTTTGACCCGAAATGGCAACCTAGTGATCTACCAAAGCCCATTCGTCAAAACTCAGCGCCAGCTGTTCCGGTGCCCACCATTGAGATTGCAGCCCCTACTATTGAAGTGTCGGAGCCGCCGTCCATTCCAGTGATCAGCGTACCCGACATCAAGGAGCCGACTATCGCTGAGTACAGCGAACCCACTCAGCAGCAACCTAAGTCTGCGCGACCTCTGCCGTCAGCAAATGGACACAGCCGCCAGGCTGCCCCAAGAAGACAAGCGCAAGATGCACAGACCCGCACGTATACCCCATACACTCGGTCTGGCGTTCCAACTGCCAGCTGCAAGGCCTGCTCCCACGGTATCTCCGGAAAAATCGTGACTGCAGGTGGATGCAGATTCCATCCGGAATGCTTCACCTGCCACCACTGCCAGACTCTTCTTGAATGTGTTGCGTTTTACGAGGAGCCTGTGGCCAGCCGCGACGAAAGACGTGCGAATCACCCCGAAGAAGATGACGGGGTCCCTCGATTCTATTGCCATCTGGACTTCCACGAGATGTTTAGCCCTCGCTGCAAGAGCTGCAAAACCCCGATCGAAGGCGAAGTTGTAGTCGCATGCGGTGCTGAGTGGCACGTCGGCCACTTCTTTTGCGCTGAATGTGGTGATGTACGTTGTGCTCCCCATCTCAGTGAATCTGTGCTAACCACTTTCTCCCATAGCCCTTCAGTTCTACAACACCATTCGTCGAAAAAGATGGCTTCGCATGGTGCCTCCATTGCCACTCTCGCCGCACCGCTCCCCGCTGCCTAGGCTGCAAACAGCACGTCCTAGACGACGTGGTCATCACCGCCATCAGTGGTCAGTGGCATGAACGATGCTTTGTCTGCCACGAATGCGGTGCCGATTTTGGCTCCGAGGGACGGTTCTTTGTTCGCGAGGGCGAGCCGAAACGCACATCCAAGGGCCGTATCATTGGTGGCCCGGTGCAGCTAGCGATTTGCGAGCGCTGCGAAGGAATCCGCCTCAAGGCACCGGGGATGTGTTGAAGCTCTTTTCATGGTTTGAATGCACAGTTGCACGCGATGTTATGAAATTACTGCTTGATGACTTACTGACTTTGATTTTCGGGCTTCGGGTTGCATATTTCGCTTCTATATGTGTGTTCCTATCTTCCTATCTTCATTGATGTGTTTGTATTTTCGGTCTGTGATTTTAAATGCGGTGGCATGAGCGAAGGTATTCGAGTTTAGCGTTCGTGGTAGTTTCAATGCATGATAGAACTTTGGAGAAAACGCCTGTACACCGGGGATTTAGATGGAATGAATCAAAGACTGTAATCAGCGCAGAATGCTCAAACCCACTCGGGGTCAGGCTTGCGTCTGAATACCGCGACATACTTGTTACCACCGTTACGGGTAACCTTCTTGGACTCCTCCGTCTCGAACTTCATCACTTGCATGCAAGGATCAGCTTCCAACTCCTCATCCGAGACCCGTTCCCAGAGATCCTTGATCCCTCCAACCTTCTGCTCAGCCTCCCCGTCCTCATCGGTCCCGTACTGGAAGTGCCGCAATACCCAGTAGTGGTACTCTTCCACGTCTGTAATGGTGTACAACAAGCCACCAGGTCGCAAGACGTAAGCGTATTCGGCATTCAGAGACTCGGAAACAATACGCGCCTTATGCTTGCGCGCCTTGAAATGGGGATCGGGGAAACAGATAAAGATCTTAGAGAGCTGATGGTGGCCGAAGAAGTTGGTGAGGAACTTCATCGTGTTGCTTCGGATTCCAGCCACGTTCTCGTAGTTGCCGGGAATGATGGAGGTCATGGTACCGGCGTCGTCGGTCTGTTGTGCTCCCGCATTTGTTTCCTCGGCGGCTTTTTTCACCTCGGCGGTAGCTGCCTCTGGGTTTTGCGAGGCGGCGGCGGCCTTCAGTCTGTGTTGTTGTGTGCGCAGGGCCTGGATTCGAGAGGTGACGTATTCAAGCACTGAGATGCGAATTTCCATTCCTAGGACGAATGTGAGCGGGTGTTTTGATTGACTATCTAAGAAGTGGATTAATGAATCGTAAAGTACTTACCGACCATCAAGGTCTCGGGTAACAATGGTGCCAGACCGATGAGCAACCCTCCGAATCCACATCCAATGTCGACAATCTCGACATCTTTCGTCAATTTGCGCGCACCGGCGAGATTTGTCTTGGAAGGATCGGCTTCCACAAAGGCTGGGTAATGTGCGGACCAATCCATGTGCGCTGGGCTCAGAGGGCTAGAAGGAAGCCGATTAGCTCGAATCTCTCGATATAGCTTCAATTCGTCTGTAGACCAGGAATTCGGCCTTTGGCGCACTGTAAAGAAGCACGTACTATTCAAGTTGGTGGTCGGAGAACGGATTCGCATGCGCGCGCTGGCGGAAGAATTTCTTCTGAGGCAGCTTGACCTCGACGTCGCCGTGACCAGAGGCCTGTTGCGCGGCCAGCTCACGGCGATATTCTTCGCGCTTCTGGCGCTTGACCGGTGGAGGTGTAGTCATTTTGGGATTGACTGGGTGAGTTGCAAGTTACAAGGTGTAGTTTGAAGTTGAAGTTGAGAATAATTTGCAACCCCACCTCCGATTGGCTCGCCCGAGCTCTCTGCTTATCGTCATTCTCAACTTCGACTTCAACTTCAACCTCGACCTGCACTTCTGCATTTCTTGACCTTCTTTTCTTCCATTTCGACTCAAATACATAGCCCCCTTCGCATCCCCAAAATGACGACAATAGCAACAACAACATCAACCGCATTCACATTCCCCGCAACCTACAACTTCCCACCCTTCTTCACCCCGCAACCAAATACCAACACCCGCCACTCCCAGCTCCAGAAATGGTCCTCTCTTATCCAAGCATGGTGCCGCCACCACCGCCAGTACCGCCTCTCCTTGATTGACGCCATTGATACCCCCCTTTTTCACAACGCCCAGCTGCGCAAACGACTAGACCTGCGCGAGGCTCGCGCCGTGATTGACTGGATGACCAAGAGTGAGAGTGAAGGCGGTGATGGGCGCGCGGAGTGGATCGAGGGATCTGGAAACCAGGCTCCAAAGTCGGTGGCGTGGATCTGGTGGAGGAGGCCTGAGGAGTGGGCGGATTTGATTGCGGATTGGGTTGAGGGGACGGGCCAGCGGGGAGTGGTTTTGACGGTTTATGAATTGGTACAGGGGGATGGGACAGTGTCGCAAGGTATGTCTGTCTTATGTCTGCCTTGACATCTTTGGTTTTGCCTGAAACTATGCTAATAATGATTTAGAATTCCATAGCATGGACAACGATGCTATGCTCAAGGCATTGAATGTCTTGGTCAAGCGCGGCAAGGCGCAGGTCTTCGGTGCCGAAGGCCAGGAAGGTGTCAAGTTCTTCTAGAAATGTGCACTGCTGGATGAAATCATGGCTATTCGTGATGAAAACGCTCAGTCTCTAACATGTACATGCATGGCTAAAACTGCAAAATTATCGAGACGATCCCATTGCCTAATCGTCCTCGTTGCCGACCATCTCTTCCGACAACTCGTACTCGTCGGTGGTGCGCAGTTCCTGTGACATGGCCATGTCGAGTAACCAGTCCACTCGCACGATCTTCGAGGTTCGTTTGACGTCGCCTGCCACTTGACGGAATCGGGGCCAGAGACGGGCGTGCTTGGGTTCCGCACTGCTCAGAAGAAAGACTTCGTGGCGACCGGGCTCATCTTCGTCCATTTCACTATCCTCGTCGTCACTCTCTTCTCGTCGGGAGTTGTTGGCTAGTGCGAGACGGCCACGGAAGAGCAGACATTCTCCGCCATTGGCCTCGACAATCGACTTGAAGGCATCGAATCCACCACGAATATCCTCGACACAGTAGATACGGAAGCCGCGCAGAAGCTTATTCTTATTCTGCTTTGCCCGGGCCGACGCCTTAACAAGGGAGAATTTGAACTTCGCTTCGGCTCCCTTATCCACCAGTGGGAAGTCAGCTGGGTCAAGAAGCTCATCCACTTTGAGACACTGGTCGACGAAGTCGGTGCTAATAATCATCGGTCCATACGCCAGAGCGTTGACGAACTTGGTGGTACGCAGAATCGTTGGCGCAGCGAGGTGTGTGCATCGACGGGCATCCTGGACCACCATGATACCAAGGTCTCGAAGGGCTCGCTTTGACGTCGTTAGTATAGATCTTGCATATTGTAAAGCATTCAAATACCTTATCAGCATCTTCTTTCTTCTCATTCCCCTTTCCAACCCACTTTTGGTAGCCGGTAATCATCAGGTGCATCGAGATAGGTGGTCGGGACTTCTTCTGCCGCTTACGCTCCGCAGTTTGTTCGTTATCGCTTTCGGCCTCGTCAGCTTCAACCGAGTGGCGCTTCTTGGGATTCTCGGTCACGGCCACGGACACGGACACTCGATTTTCGTCAGACTTGCGTCGCCCACCATAGATAACACCACCGACCCGCTTCCTTTCTTTCTCGTACAGGGCAAGATCAGGAGCGTACTCATGGAGCTTAGCGGTGGCCACCTCTTTGGACTTGCGGCTGCTGCCCGTTGAAGGCGTCTCGTTCTCTTTACCGTCGGGTATCAGCCGAGACCGTGCAGGAGTCTGGGGTTTCTTGTTGTCCGAAGGTCGATGAGAGGTTTTCCCATGTGCTTGCGGCGTTCCCGCGGTCGTTTCAGGAACATTGCTTTCCTCCTTAGGTCGCTTATCGGCAGGAGGCTTCATTTCCACCGTATTCTGGTCTTTGTTTTTCATGGCGGGGCGCGGACTCGAGTGCTCAGTATCATCAATAGAGTAGAAGATCTTCTCAAGGACTTTGGGGTCGAGCATTTTCTGGCCCGCAATGTCACCCAAGTTGGTGCGAGGAGGAAAGTGGTTATAGCGTGGCGCCGAGACAGGTTGCAGCTTCCATGCGGCGTAGCTATCTTCCAACCACAAATGATTAACAACGTGTAGACCCCATTCCCTCGCGGCGGCACACTTCTCACTATTTCCATGAGCCGTGATCAGGTGGGTATTCTCCTGCTTCAAAGTCTTTGTACACTGTGCACCGGCCGCTTCAATCAGGTTTTCAAGGTAAATTCTGGCTTCACCGACGTAGTTGGAAAGACTGATCTTCATCCCTTGGAAATCAGGAATCGGGGTACGTGACACAGGGTAGAACAACAGACGACTCAGAGGTCTCGTGTACTCGTTGAAAGTCATTAGATGGAAAAGCCAGGCCAGATTACCAACAACCTTTTCCAATCGTGAAGCCGTCCGATACACAAAGCCGTCTCGGAACCGACAAACAAGCCAATCTGCGTCGTTGATATTGCCCGTCACAGTGGCTCCACCTTGCTTGAGCACTGCCTCGATGGAATCAAGAAGGCGCGAACCGATGCCCAGATCTGGAGACAACATAATGCATTTCCCTTCAAAGACACTCGGTCCATCTCCATTTCGCGAGACGGCGTTCAGAGTCGGCATGACAGACGGGTCGGCGGTCGATGCACCCACCAAGCCTTTATTCTCGTTCGACTTGATGGGGTCGTCAGGGCCGGCGCGCAATATCTCAGGATCTGGGAGTATGTATGGACGTTCATTGATGCGCTGGCCGAGTTTCAGACAGTCGTCAAACCTATATCGCGTTAATGATAGTAGTCAGGCAGTCTGAGGTAAGACTTACCAATGAGGAAGCACAATTTTTACGCGCATCTTCTTTGCTTGCACCAAACGCGCCTTGTCCGAGTCGGCTGTCAAGTCCACCAAGTGAGTGACTGTACCGGTCATTCGAGAGCTATACAGGCCACCCTTAGCCAAGACTCCCCCAATAATCGCATCCTTGTCACCCTCGGGTATATCGCCACAGGTGACGACCACATCATTCAAAAAGAGGCGGGGATCAGGACTGTGCTGGCGAGGATTGGCAATCTTGCGCTTGGCTAGGGAGACGTGCACCCATGACGGCTTGACGACCGGAATAAAAGCCTTGCAGGCGAGGTCGTAGGAGAGGAAATTAATGGTGTTGGATACGATATGTGTGCACTCGATTGTATCATTCTTATCGGGACCGGCTTCGTGGATAGAGGGTTCGCCGCCGTATTCTTCAATCACCGCTGCGAGCTGATTCGAGTCAGTTAGGTCGCGAGTTGCGCGTTCTGTCGGAGGAGTGCATACCTGCTCAGCGGTTTCGAGAGGGAGGTCATTGGAGCAGACGATGCAGACACGGCACTGCTCGAACAGCTTGTGCTCCTCGTCCAGCGCCATGGTGATGTGCGATCTCAATACAGGTGGGCAACAACTGTGCGACGCGCTACGCGTAAGAGCCTCAACGCCCGGTCACGTGGTTGATCGCGGGCGATACGACGCACTTTATGGAAAGTGAAAACAAGAGATCGTCTCTCACTAGTTCATCAAATATTCTCAATTTGAAGATTTCATACTTGCAGGGCGGGATCTTTCTATGGTGACCAGGTCTTCTTGCATCTATTCCTAGGTGGAGATGCTGAGGTCTAAGGTATTTGGTAGTTGATTTAGGCAAAGTGTAAATCTATTTCTCGAGCATCGGTATTACACCAATAACAATATTTCCAGCAGACAGGAATCCATGGACAAGGAAAAGATGGAAGGTGGTTGATGAGAGTATAAGGAACAGTGAATCCGGCAGTTGGGCGGCTGCGTAATGCCACTCGGCGTTCCAAGAAGCCTCGGCTCGTCCGCGCGCCGCGGTCTCCATCCTTTATTACTCCCCGCGGAGACATGTCTTCCCCACACTTCATCAACAACCATGTCGTCGCCATTTCGCATCGTCAATCATGTCGTGGAATGCCAGCATATCCGTGAATACCCTGGAGCCACTGCGAATGAACAGGAAGAGCCCTTGAAACTGGCTGTGAAACAATACATTCCGCTCAACAACCCCAGTCCACAGCCCGGCGACGTGACAATTCTCGCTGCACACGCTAATGGATTCCCTAAAGTATGTTCTTCGGAGTTTGAGACCAACCCGTTCGATCGCATACACCCTGTTGTCACCGTGTCGTTCATCATTAATTTTTGGAACAGGAACTATACGAACCTCTTTGGAGGGAAATCAATGCTCGGTCCCAAGAAGCTGGATTCCGCATTCGAAGCATCTGGATGGCCGACGTCGCCTGGGAAGGAGAAAGCGGCGTGATCAATGAAGAGTCTCTTGGCAACGACCGTAGGCCAGCCTGATTCCATCCGCCACCAGAGCTGATACTAATAATCAACCAGCAAGCTGGTTCGACCACCCGCGCGACCTGCTTCATCTCCTCAACGTCAAACGGGCTGAAATGCCCCGACCCATCGTCGGCATTGGACACAGCATGGGAGGCGCGCATCTGTCAGTACCCGAGCGCAACCACATTTTTCAAACCTTCTAACAGCTTGTAGTGCACAATTAAGCTTGATGCACCCCCGTCTGTTGCATACCCTAGTGCTACTTGACCCGGTCATCCAGCGTCAAACCACTCAGCTGGACGGATACAGCCTGCGCGAGAACAAACGTATCATTGCAAAGACAACGCAGCTCTCCACACACCGCCGTGACATCTGGCCCTCCCGCAAGGATGCCGCGGATGGATTCAAACGTAGTCCATTCTATCAGGCCTGGGACCCCCGCGTCCTAGAGTCGCTGGGTAGAATATGGCCTGCGCGATCTTCCAACGCCCACTCACCCGCTCGACGGAAAGCCCGTAGATGCGAAGAATCCGCCCGTCACCTTGCGGACCACACTGCATCAGGAGGTCTTCACCTTCTCACGACCAAACTATAACCATGTGCCTGGAAGCGGTAAGCCCGTGAACCGGGTGACGCATCCAGATCTTGATGAGAACCACCGGGATTCTTATCCCTTTTACAGACCCGAGCCGGCGCGGATCTTCGCGCAGCTGCCGCATCTCCGTCCCAGCGTGCTTTACGTCTTTGCGGGCAAGTCAGATATGTGCATGCCCGATATGCGAGCTGATAAGCTTGCCATGACGGGGACGGGTCTCGGTGGTAGTGGTGGTGTTGCCGCTGGTCGAGTGCGTGAGGTGTTCCTCGAGGACTTTGGGCACTTGCTTGCGCAAGAGGCCGTGAACGAGTGTGCCGATGCCGCGGTTTGCTGGTTGGCACCAGAATTGAGACGCTGGAAAGACGAGGAAGAGAGTTTCCGATCTATGTGGAACAAGAAAACTAAATTTGAGAAGCAGACCGTCGATGCAGAATGGCTGAAGAATGTCCCTGTACCGGCTCGTCGACCCAAGAAGGCAGAGCCTGAGTCGAAGCTGTGAGCTCAATCTGAGCTCTTTGTAAATTGATCAGCACTCTTGGAGTTGGCCCCGGCAATCGAGTTAGACTGTCTGCATCCTCGGCTAGAGCCGTGGCACTTAATACAAATACAAGACGGGAGTATATACCCAGGGGTATCAGAGTGCTTCTATTTTCATGTCATAACCAAAAGCAAAGGGTGATCCATGCGTCGTCCGGAGCATCAAGATGGATATCAGCAACACCACATATCTATAGGAACAAGCTTGCGCCACGCTTTCCCTCTTGCTAATGAGGGGGTCTGAGTATGCACCAAGCACGAGGTCTTTCTACAGCCAGTTCAGATCCTCCGTTACCGGACGAAGCATGTCAGAAGCACACGATGCCAAGGCATTTCAGTAGACCCTCAAGCAGATCAAAAAGCCAAACAAAAAGAACGAGAAATACACATGTGAGCAAGTATCTATTCCGTGTGGAGTATCAGAAAAGTCACATTTTAGGCAAGTCGTACTTGCCAATCATGAAGAACCCGACCCCAGCCGCCCCTGGACAATGAGGGACATCATGGCCTGTATCTCGCTACCTGGGCGGTGCTAGGTGGACTTCTTGTCTCGGGCCACTCCATTTTCGGTCGGTGGGGTGGTACGGATCACCTCGGGGATGTGCCAGAAGTGCGCCCAGCGCAGATGGTACTCCTCCTGGCGATTGTTCAGGCAGTGACGAAGCCAAATTCCCCATACGATGTACAAGTATGCACCGATGCCAGTCATGATGTGCCTGGGAAGTTTCAAGGTTAGACGAAAGCTTCCGGCGATAAGCGGGGGTAACATGGGTACACATACCACCAACCGTGTCCTTCAAGGAATATCCCCCATGGCAGGCCAACGGTTCGGCGCAAGTGGCGGATCTGAGAACAGAACTGGTTGTCGAGGTTCCATATCAGGAAACCGCCGAGGAACATGCTCAGTCCGTAGGTGACCATGAACCACATGGTCTTAAGGGTCTTTGTGTCGCGCACATTCTCGTAGTGTTGGCGCTCTTTGGTGGGTACCTTTTCACCCTTTCTCTGGCGTTCGAGGCGGTCCTCTTCGCGGGACTTGCGCCACCTGGGCCGTAGAGTCGTCTCCATGGTATGCATGCTGCGAATGACCACCACAAAGGTCAGGAGTGCGTATGCATTCTGGTGGAAGACGGGGTCCTGGAGATAATGGTAATAAAGAGTGATAAAGACCGACAGACTGGTGAGCGAGATTGCCAGGACTAGACGGACACTTGTTGGGCGCTGGTAGGAGAACGAGGCATAGCACATAAGACAGGTGGTATAGATCATAGAAAGCTCATCGACCAGCTGCATGGGATCTGCACATTCTCATCATATTACTATTAGTCTGTGCTCGCAATCAAACAGACCGGGTAGAATCACTTGCATTTCAGGGTGGAGTGGAACAGGAAGCTGCCGGTGCCGACGAGCAAGTATCCCAAAAGAGCAACCAGGAAGATCTGATCATGTCCATTGCGGCGACAGCTGATAATACCCTTGATACCCAGCCACATAAACATGAGATTCGTCAGGGTGTTAACGATCTCGGCGGCGTAGGGTGTCGCATAGTAATCCTGAGGGCTGTCAGAGCCAAGCGCGAAGGCATCAACGATACCGAACATACCTCTTCACACCAGTTGAGGGTAGAAGTGACGGGGCTCCAGAATCCAGCCTTGGCAGGCGGATACGGGATGAAGGGAATCGACCACATGTCGTGGATTGAGGATGTTGATGTTGTGAAAGAGGGAAAGAAGCAGCCAAAAGTGACGTCGATTACACACGCGATTGGCTTCCAGTGATTGGTGCTCTGTTGCGTCTCCGCCAGATGCCGGTCTCAGTGGGACGTGGTTTTTCGGGGGTTGGATTGAAGATATTTAAATGAGAATGCGAGACTATGAGATTGCGAGAATGCTAGATTTGGATCTACTAACCACTAAGGCAATTGTGATACCTGGTGAATACGGCGAACCTTTTGCGACATCTTATCGCCGAGGCTTACAAGCGCGCGGAACCCGATGACTTCACTACCGTTTTCCTGTCCATCACCTCAATTTCACAACAGCCCAACGGCGCTCCATAACTCACCGTGGACGCTTTCTCCCGTTGAAAACATCAGTCTGGGGAATGCAGAACGCCACCCTTTTGTTCAGCAATTGAAGCCGGCTCTGTGCGGCAGTTGTCTCAGTTTTGTGCCTGCATGCGGTGAACTCCCCGAAAACTTCCAATCCGACGCCAACCGCGACTCCCATGAGAGTTCGATCTGGTATCGAACCTCCTATCACATCGCTAGCTCCCTGGGCAGCCAAATCCCCAGGTTGACCCTGCGGAGTCCAGTGCCATGTCGAACAGTGGCACGATAGCGGTGCCGGCCAAGACTGGCACCTCCACATGTATGCATGGCATCTGCGAGAGCACTGCGACCTGAGCTAACAGCTGTCCGCAGCATCCAAAACAATCTTCCATTTCTCCGCCGGCCTCTGCTCTGGCCTGACATCCTCCATCCTCCTTCAACCCGCCGATCTCCTCAAGACCCGCGTCCAACAATCCCAACAATCTCTCCTCCCAACCCTCAAAGCCATTCTCGCCTCCCCGCATCCAATCCGCGGACTATGGCGCGGTACTCTCCCCTCTGCGTTGCGCACCGGCTTTGGGTCAGCTCTCTACTTCACCAGTCTCAATGCCTTCCGCCAGACACTCGCCCAAGCTAATGCCCCCATCATCCTCGCCGGATCACCAGCACTTAAATCTTCATCCGCCCTCCCTAAACTCTCCAACTCAGCCAACCTAGCCACAGGAGCCGTCGCCCGCGTCGCCGCCGGCTTCGTAATGATGCCCGTCACGGTAATCAAAGTGCGCTACGAATCCGACTTCTACGCCTACCGCAGCCTCCTCGGCGCAGGTCGTGACATTGTCCGCACTGAAGGCATGCGCGGCCTCTTCGCAGGCTTCGGCGCCACCGCCGCCCGTGATGCTCCTTACGCCGGCCTCTACGTCCTCTTCTACGAACAGCTGAAACGCCGATTAGCTATCATGAGCAGCAACGGTACTGGCAGTGACGGGATACCTCTAGCCGCTGTCTCATCTTCGACCATCAACTTCGGCTCGGGTGCCTTGGCAGCTGGCCTAGCGACGGCCATCACCAACCCATTTGATGCGGTGAAGACCCGTCTGCAGCTCATGCCAGCCAAGTACGGAAATATGATCCGAGCTACGCGCTTGATGATCCACGAGGACGGCATGCGCAGTCTCTTTGGCGGCCTCGGTCTACGTATCGCTCGCAAAGCACTCAGCTCAGCGCTGGCATGGACAGTCTATGAAGAATTGATTTTGCAGGCGGAGAAGCGATGGGCGGCGAAGACCGAGATAGGCCTATAGATTCACTGCCCTTAGTCTTCTTTCTGTATTAATAGCTTATAACCTCCGAGGTCAGCAGGCATATGCAGATGCATGCGCCCAAGCATTGCATTTGGCTCAACCGTTGCAGAGTTGACCACTCTTTCATCATCTCCGGCGCAAATTAAAGGGGAGCATTTATTTTTATGAATGATTTGGCCAAGGCATAGAAATCAGGCGTATTATGCGATTGACATGAACATGAAACACACAAAACACGAAACGTCTTCGAAAAAGAAAAGCAGGTCATCAACTCGTGTCTCGTTACTGTCCCACCCTTCAGTGACAAAGCTTCGAAATCTCAACTCAAACATGAAACAATGAAAACGGAATTTCAAACACTTTGAAAAAGAAACCAAATCACCCGGGTCTCGTAGCAGGATATAGGCACCAATAGAAAACAAAAGAGAAATAACGAAATGTTCACAATCTGAGACCTGCTCATGCGAAAATGCGCAACCTTGGGCTCTTCTTGCGCACAAAGTACATCTTGTCCTTGTTGCGGTCGTTGACCCTGAGCTCGGTGGTTGAGCTGGAGGTTTGCGCGATGACTTTGCCTTCACGTAGGCGGCGTGTGTGCGCGAAGAGCTCTTCTTGGAAGTCTTCTGTGATCCAACGCTTGATGATGATGTAGTTGGTGTCGCGCTATTGCAAGGAAAAGTGAGCATAAAAGATCTGTGAATAGAGGATGGGCAGACTCACCTCATCCCAGTCCCAAGGCAGACTGTAAGCCATCAGAGTCTCAGGGAGAAGGTGCTTGCGGTGGACCTAGATATCAGTGTTAGTGTGAGTCAATTGAGCTATACGGAAAAGACATACCTTGATCCATGTGGTCTTCTTAGTCTCCTCCACCTCGATCTTCTTTTGTTCTTTTTCTTCCTTCTTGCCTTCTTTTCTCTTCTTGAGGATCTCCTCGATCTCTTCCTCGGAGTATCCGAACTCGATACGCAGTCGCTCGCGGAATTCTTTATCTTTCTTCTCATCTTCCTCCTTCTTCTGCTGAGCAATACGCTCCTGCTCGGCCTTCCATTCCGCGACAGCAGCCGCCTTCAAAGCCAACTCCTTATTTTTCTCCTCGGCAGCCTCCGCAGCCTTGCGAGCCTCCTCCGCGAGAATCTCCTTCCTAAGCCTCTCCCGTTCCTCCTCTTCCTCCTTCGCCTTCTGAAGCTCCTTCATCTTTTGCTGCTCGAGCTCGCGTCTAATCCTCTCACGCTCCTTCTCCTCCTCCTGTTGCCGCTCAATCTCCTTCAACTTCTCGGCCTTCAGCTTAGCCTTCAACTCTTCCCGATTGGCTGCCTCTTTCTCCGCCTCCTCAAATTTCTGAAGTCGCCAACGGTGCTCCGCCTGCTTTCGTTCCTCCTCGGCTCGGTTCTTGCGCTCGATTCGCTGTAAGCGACGCAGGCGTTCACTAATCTCCTCCTCATACCACTCCTCCTCGTCGCGCAGCAGACGGGACTCACGGGCGGGAGGCGGAGGCGGGGGTGCAGGTGCAATAGGTGCAACAGGTGCAGCAACGATTTGGCGTGGCGTCGTGCTCTTCTCACGAGTCCTCTCAAGCTCTCGTTCCAGACGCTCGATCTCCTGCTGATGCTTCCAGATCTCCATATCCTGATGGAGATCACTCTTCTCAAGCAAGCGTTGGCTCATCAGGAGCTCATAGTCGCGTTGCTGTTGGAGGGGTGATGCTTCACGAGAGACGCCGCTGGCGGCACGTCGTCGTGACGAGCGCGGGATCTCCTCATCAGATTCATCGTACACCCTCTGCTGTACTCTTCGAGGCTTGTTGGTGTTGGCGTTGCTGGTGCGGGTCGCCTGCTCATTCACGATCATCACCGCCGGAGTGCTTTCACGCTCGCGCGGTCGGCGGCCGCCTGTTGAGGCTGATCGGTACACTCGTGTAGTCTGCTGCACTGGAGCCAAATAGGCCTCTCTTGCGACCTCCGGACGGCGGTGGCGGGAAACGGAGCGGCGGTGGAAGGATGTACGGCCGTTGCGGCCGCGGATGGACATGTCAGTCTCCGAGAAGTCGGACTCCTCCGACTCTCCCTCGAAGTAGATCTCCGGGCGAGGCATTTTGGCGAAGTTCCCGATACTTGGGGAGTATGAGTGATCCAAAAATGGACGGTGGGTACGTCGTCGGCCCTGGATGAAAGTTGGGGGGGGGAGGGGGCCTGAGCACCAGAATCTAGGTGAAGGAGGGGAAAAGAGGAAAAGAGGAAAGGGGAAGAGAAACCCCCGAAAGGTAGAAAGTAAGAATAATCAGCCCGACTTAACGTGCGTGCCTAAGCAAGTCTCGCCCCAAAGACCAATACGAGTTGCTTATCGGATCAGCGTTCAGCTGAGGCGGGGGAGAGGAAGAGGGGTGAGGTGGGAAATGTGGAATGTGGAAGAAGCGCGGGTCCTCGATCTATTTATTGCAGGGTCAGATTCGACAGGGCTGGACTGAGAGACTTTGGGCTTTTCGGGGCTTAAGGACACAGGGCAGTTCAGCCTCAGAGATCATCGGCCGTGCGATCGACTCGAATGTTCGCTGCATCTCATACTTCTCCTTGCCTCGACACTGCGCTAGACCATTTACTCGGATCTGATTTTCTACATCTATACATCTCCATCTTGATTCTATCATCTCTTTTGATTTACTTAAACCTGTTCTTTTCCACTAATTCCCCAGCCACTATCTAGAGAGGTCACTTCCAGGATTCTGGACATAGCATCATCGTCTCCAGCCACCTTTCCAATGGCCCGGGGGCTCCACACTTGGGTCAAAGTCGCCCCTCTTTCGTCTTCTTCCTCTCGAAAATCACCTCTTCAATGGGCCCTAAATTCCGGTCCGCGTTAGCCCATTCTATTTCCATTCGCGCCCACATACCTAAGTCCCAAGGGCCGCGACATTCTAGCGGTCAGCGCCTCCTGTAACGAATTTCGACGCCAAATGAAACACACTGGGCCCGATTCTGGCCGTCCCTTTGTCGCCCAGTGCACGGATCACCAACACTGAAGTTAGGTGTTGAACCCCCCTTATCCTCCTGCCCAAATATATGCAAAATCTTGAGGATCTGAAACGAATGTCGGGCACCGAGAAAAAGAACCCATGGAACTCGGTCGGGTGTTCCCGCGCCTGACCCAAGATACGCGTGACTTTGGCGCATGTATAGCCTCACATGTGCCGGCTTGGGTCACTTTCCAGGCAAAGGCATTTTGGTATCTCATACTTATATTTTTCACCATTCTGGAATCCAGTTCTATTGCTGTTGTCCCTTTTATGATGTAATTTCAAGTCTACCAGCAGGCTTGAAATGTCGTACAGTTTGAACTAGACATGAACGCAATCCAAATACCTTGATTACTGAAGGGCTGAGAAGTCGGGATCATTCGATCATTCTATCCCGACTTGATCTCGATGGTGTAAAAGATCCGAAGACCCAAGGATGGCTCAGAGTCCTGGTAGTGGCGATCCGAATGTCTTACCTGGGCAACAAAAGTCGCCTTGACCTGACACGCTGACACGTACAAAGCGACTTCTCCCAGCTACGGATCAAGCATTGCCTTCAGCATAATGAAGTATACCTGACCACAATAAGCATGCTATCCCTGCACGGCGAGTGTCCGACCATCTGCAAGCGACAATCTTGACCCGCTACCCACTGCGGTATCGCGACGGCCATCAAGCCCAATCCAAGCCACCAGGACGAAAACCCAAAGCCCTCAAATTCTAGACCAATCCGGATTAATTACCTAGACCTACCTAGACCATCCAGTCTCTAATACCCCAATTTCTAAACTCTAGTAGAATTCAGAACATAGAAAATCCCCCCACGATTACCGCACAAATGACCCAAGGTTCCCCACGACAGGGATTGAGCCTGTCAGTCAAGTCGTGATCATACGTCATCGTCCTCGGGACAGTCTGCAGGCCCGAGTTCGAGGCCGATGACGCCAATGGCGGGCATCGCCACATTGTGGACGAGACGGGGCCGATGACATATGACGGGTGGCAGAGATGAAACGGGAGAGACTAGTGCGCGGAGGTATCCACTATGTTAATTTATACACAAAATGACATTTGTTGCAGGAAGGGTTAGGGTTCTTGGCGGGATTTAGGGCTGGTCATCTCCTTCAGCGGGAGATACCACATGTGCAACTGATAAAGGGTGGATCGGAGAATGGTGACAGTGATGTTGGCAAACATTGGAGTGATTTCTAGATGCTCAGTCTGATTGCCTGTAGAAGCCGGCAGTCAAAACCCAGTGGCTCATCATTTCAAGTCGAGTGGACATGGAGCTCCAGCACACCTTATCATATTGCATGGCTGTTGAACTTTTCCATATTCGGCAATCTAACTGAGAGTGTATAGAGCATTTTTCCAGAGACATTCAAGAGTCTTGCGTTGGTCGGGATGTCTAGATATTCTACATGAACCTTATGTTCCACATGTTCGAGATTTTTACGTGAGCATAAAATGGATCTACACAAGATTAAATCACCGAGACCACTTATTTCATCAATGCATTCATAATAAACCAGAGTCCAGAAGATCCTTATATCGACAATATCTAGCGCCAAACCTTAATTATCGAATCAAGGGGTTCAAAAGCTCGATATTCAAAAGTCGGGTCACCCTACCCTACAAAAGCGTAGTTGAACCCAGTCATTCCAAGAGCTTGAAAACGATCATCCCGAGTGAGTGGAAGGTTTGTGGGTCTCAGACTTGTTTAGTTTTTGTATGATCGTATGGATGAGAAGTTGATTGGGTACTTCGAGGACCTACGTACTGAAAGAACTAAATGATTGAGGAACCATCATATCTTGTCACGTTGGAAGTAGCTTTTCCGAGTATCTTTGCTGACCTTACGTGAGATAGCTTCCCCATGGCTTTCTACACATACATTGATACTGTTCTACAGCTAGAGGTTGATTTCAGGGCTCAGACAATTGATTAGGCCTTGATTTTGTTATGCGAGGCTTTCATGAACAAGGTACCCAGGGTAGTCAGGACACCGTAGCTTACTTTTGTGCAAAATTTACCTTCTGAATTTTCAAAATTACTCACCTCTATTACATGGCAATAGCCGCAAGATAATCCGGGCGAATTAAAATCTGAAACAAAGACTAGGAGGATAATCTGAATAGTGCGTTTTCTTCATCATGCAAAATCTGTCACAAGAACTTCTGGGTATCTAAATCGTCGGAACAGAACCCCCTGCTCCCATTTTTGAGAAATAAAGATGGCTGGGAAGGATCAAGTGAACCTTCCATCTCTTCATCTCCACACATCAAGGTATGTGCTTTTTGCTTCTTTCTCTCGTACGGAAGCCCATTCCACTATGGCTTTTACCAAGGATAGGCGCTTCAGACGCTCTCTTATCATTTTTCACGCCGATGTTTCCTCGAATATCACGCCTCTCACGCACGACCACCAGACTTCAAAATCTGTTCCAAGTTCTCCCGACTGTTCTTGTGCGTAGTCTCATGGTAGTGTAGCTTCTTCTCCAAGTTGGTGATCTCGGTAGCGGCCTCGGAGCTCTCGCGGGCAAGACGCTTGTTGACTGTGTCAATGGGGACATTGACGAACCTAGCCCAATCATTAGCACGAGTCCATGCTCATAGATAACCATCATAAGAAAGGAAACCATGGGAGACTCACATCTTGCCAACTCCCTCATACACCGGGGTCGCAGAGGGCAGGTCCCGAGAGCTCCTTCGATGTTAGCTGAAGCTTGCGGATCTCACGCTGCTTGGCGGTCATCTGGGCCTTGGTGATTCCGATCTGCTGCTGGGATGCCATTGCGCGGGTTTCGATCTCTTGCAGGAGCTAGGAGGCTGTTAGATATTGCTTTTGAATGTGGGGCTCCGCGGCGAAGCGGGTTTGGTATTTGCGTTCATGACAATGCGCAAATCGCTTACCTTCTGCAAGGCTTCATTGGGGATCGACATTTTGGGGGTAGGTGTTGCGATGAGCTTCGGGGGAGGGGTAGATGAGCGGTTATGGCCGGGGTGATTGGATCGCCTTTTGATGAGCGAGCCTTCTCTCGGTCTTTGTATAAGCGATAGGAATTGGCTGGTAACAGGTCGCTATCGTAAGTAATGTTTGAGGGAAGCAATGGCAATGGAGTCAAGTCGGATTGCTATGGCGGGTCCGCATCGGGGCGGTGGGTGGAGCGGTGAGAATTTGACACGAGATTAGGGCAAGCGTGTGGGGGCGTATAGATTACAAAGAACGATGGTCTTACGGCGCTGTTGCTTCATGGCTTTTTGATATTTGAAATATGAAAGTCCAAAGCGAATTCCGAGTCGAAAGTTATGATGCGTGTATTTGACGCTTGGGGTGCAAAACAATGATCACTTGGAGCCCTTCGTTTTGCCTCCAGAGACTATAGCAAGCTAAGCTTAAACCATGTCACAGTGATTCTTGCCACCTTGCATTTCATGATATCTGATATTTGAATATATGACATCGGGAGAGTGTCTCGTATCCCCGATATCTTGAATCGGTGCTGTGAATCGAGCTCCGAATCACGGGTTTGCTCAGGCCCCGAGCACGCACCAGGGAAGCAATAGTCCCTGTGGCCACCCACCCCGGAGATTACACAAAATGCAATCAAAGAATCACTGATCTATACAAGCTTAAAGGCACACTCAGACCTATCAAAGCCGATGGCCAACTTTCGACAAGGAAAAACCTGCTCTGGGTTTGCAGGGTTCAGTGAGATATATGTAAAGACCTGCCAAGAGTGATATCAGGTGTTTTTGCCACAGTGGTCTCAAATTTGTAGTACGTATGCCGCTTCTGAGCGAACTTTTTTCCTATAAAAAAATGGTTTTCATTTGAAAATTGACAAATCCTATTACAACTAAGCAAAAAGCCGCCCGCCATTCTTTGACATAATAGAAATCTAACGAAGGTAAACCCAGAACGCCAGAGCCCTTAGCATCTCTGACATTAAAGAAAACGCACCACGCAATTGAAAGACATCAAAGAGCATATCAAGGACGTGAAGAAGAAAAAGACCTGAAAGCAGAAAAGACCAGCCAGCATCAAAATAAAAAACGCCCGACGACACATGTGCGCCGTAAATCTATTCCCCATTTCCCATTCCAAGATCATTTTCCTAACTCCCATTTCCCTCCTATGTCCTTTTCTACAGGACCCAACGGCATGAACAACGCCTGAAGTTCTCACCCCCGCCTTTGAGCTGGGAACCAAACTGCAGCGAGATGTAGGCCAGCCCATGATCCGAGACAATATTGTCGCAATTCTCTAGTCATGGGCATTCATGTGCACGAATCTTAGAGTGTTTCGTGCTGATGGATCCACGGGGCAAGGCTGGGATCATGATGCATGTTTGGGAAGTAGTCATCGGCCATATGAGAGATGGGATATTGCATCGGACTGGAATGGACTGGAGGGATCTCCTCCCAAGAAGTGAATCCAGAGGGAGGGAAGTCGGAGGCGGAATAGATCGGGCCGTTCGGCACCGGGATGGGCAGGGAATCGCTCTGGAAGTTGAGGAGCTGGGGATCCATGTGGCCGTTGGAAAGCTGACCGGGTAGTAACTGGATTGCCTGAGGCTGGAGAAGATCGTCATGAGTGCCACCTGGGAGCCCAGCTAGGCCATTTGAGGCTCCGTATGAGACTTCTTGTGACATGGGGCTGCCGCGACGAAACTGCAAGTCCTCGGCGTATCCCATGTTCAGAGCGTGGGGCTGCACGGTTGGCATGCCGGGATGGCTTGTGTTCCATGATGAGCCAAGATAGCTACCATGCGTTATGAAGGAGTCCGGCGAGCCGAAGGGAGTGGAGGCTCGACTGCTGAGTGGGTACTCAAAGCTTTGGGTCCGACAGTGCATCGGGGGTACCATCGAGTATTCATCCTCCCAAGTGTTAGTGAAAGGACTGGGGGTATCATCGTAAGAGCCTGACGCTGCTGGAGTCGGAGGTGTGAGTTCTCCCCCGTCTGCGAGTGGTTGTGGCGGGGCCCTTGTTGGGCTTGAACTTGTAGGTAGGGTGGGCACGAGAGTGAGCTTCTCGCTCGATCCGGGCCAGCTCCTCATATTTGTCCCTAATCTCTGCAGGCTCCATTTTCCAGCTTCTCCCAGCAGTACTGGAGACTACTTGATGGTTATTCTGGCTGAGCAACCGCTTGCTACGCTCAGCGTAGGCAGATCGGTAAAGCATAAAGGAATTCATGGGACGGGCGACCTTTCCCTTTTCGGCCTTCTCTTGCAGACGAACTTCCGTTGATCGATGTACCCATGCATCCATATCCCGGAGTGGGATATTGGTCATATGTGCGGTCAGCTCGCTCAACGGGGCGCTGAGTGGGAGGTCGTTTTTCGTAGTGGTGCCTCTTCGAGCACGATTGTTGCGTTCCCGAGGAGTTCTGCTGAGCTTTGCTTTGGGGGGAGAGGCACGACGGCCTGAAGGGGAGTGAACTTGGGAGGATTCCATTATGGCCATAGAGTCATCAGCCCCTGGAGGAGGCGTGTGGACAGCTGTGTGGCCCATGTGCATGTGCATCTGTATTTTCCCCATATCAGTACGGTACATGAGATTGAGAGAATCAGCAGTACTTACAGGAGTTGAGGCGGGCAAAGGAGTTGGATAGCCGTGAGGTTGGAAGTAGGAAGGAGGAGACGCGTAGATCTACCCAAGTTGTGAGTGTGGCTCGCAAGGTCAGTTGAGTAAAGGATACTTACCATTGATGAGGAACCAGCGCCAAACTCGTCCATCTTGACATGTTCCATGCCGTTGGGAATATAAAATGAAACGCAAGCGCTCATAGAGTCCGAAGCTCGCTCTGGAGTGAGCTCACCACCTGATGACTGGGGTGGGGACAGTGGTAGTTCTCTGGGTGTAGCCATTTTGTAGAGCTCTCAGACTGAGAGGTGAGTGGGAGAATACCCGGAAAGCAGGAACAGTCCAGTTGGCAAAGGGAGAGATCCAACGATGGAGGATAAGTAGAAGAGCTTTCCAGAAAGAGAAAAGAAGAAGAAGAAAAAGGGTAGAAGGACGTGTGCGTCTATGTTGTGTCACCCTATGGCTGGCGGTTTCACGACTCCTGAAAGCGACTCAGACAGGCAGATAGCAGGTAAGACAAAGCACAATTGGAAGAACAAACGAAGAAAGACTTAAGTATTTGGAAGTGCAGGTGCAAGTGAAGATGCAAATATCAGTATGGATATTAACGTCTGACAGTGCCGGCTTGTTAGTCCCACAGGGCGGGGCCGTTAAATATATAAGACCTGTCCTTGATATAGGGGGGGCAAGATATGGAGCATTGCGAACCAGAGGCTGAAACCACTGACTCAAGAGACGAACTGTGAGCGGGGAGCTAGTTAGTGTGTGTTAGTATTGGTCTGTGTATTTCCATTTTTCTTTCTTGTATCGGCTGTTTGAACTTATTTTTATTACCCATTTTTATTTTTTATTTTTCTCCTTTTAAGTTAGAATTCGGTGGCAGATGTTGGGTCTTTGTCTAGTCCCGATTGGCCCTCTAGCGTTTTTTTTCATTCGCCCAGACAGTTATTCTGCTGTCTATTTTCCTGATATTTTTCAGATAATTTCTAGACTTTGGAGGAAGGGGGGGAGGGGCGCGCGCGGCTTCGCCCTGACAATCTGCATCTCTATTCCCCGGGACCTTCTGATAGTATTGGCCACTCCCATGTTTCCGCAATCTTCTTTGTGCTATAGTTGGTCCAAGGATAGAATTCATTCACCCAGTCTATTCCCGGAGACAAGACTGGGCCCGAGGAGATGAAGAATAGAGGATAGCGAGAGAGAGAGGCATCCACATGGGATCCTAGATCGGGCACCCGGTTTAGCAAATACCGGGTCATGGCTTTATGTGGCCTTAACATGGTGCTCTGCGAGGGGGAAAAGGAGATTCACCGACCCATGGGCCTCTTCGGAATTTGCAGTGGGTGCTTTACAGCGTCCGGGGATGCAATGGACGGGATGTAACTGCTAAAATAGAAAAAGAAAAAAGATCGTGACCGGGGTGCGAGGTGCCAAACTTTTAGAAATACGAGTCAAATCATATAATTTAGTCAACATTAAATCGGTTTGAAAAAAAGAGAAAAACTAACACCAGTACCGGCAGAGGGTAAAGAGCAATTGATCTGGACAGACGAGCATGGGAAAAAGCAATCATGGGATAGCATATACCCACCGGATAATGCAAGCTTCCGGATTAAGCGATAGTAGCCAAAAATGCTATACCTCTAGGACAAGCCATCTCGACCCATTCCCAGTGTTGGCTGCAAGTCGAGGCATACCTAGATAACACTCTCGGCGGCAGACGTCCCCGTGCTAAGCCTGCAAGACATTGTAACTGAACTGTCATACTGCCCGAGTGGATTTTACACGTGCATTACCCCAAATACGGACCACCGCGTTAGTTCCTGGGTGGCGGCAAAGGACTTTCTTTTTTTTCCTTCGTCGACGATCCCATCGGGGATCCCTCTCGGCGAGAAAAGTTACATGTCCCCGCGATTCTCCAGTAGCGAGAATGGCATCATGCGGACATCCCGATCAAGATTTCTACCATGGTTAAGGATATAGGAGGGCGTGGGATTCAATAAAATGACCGAAGTGAGGGCAAGACTGGAGACTAGACCCCCGGGGAAACCGCCATACTCTCTACGATCTCCAATTTTCCCGTCAAGTGGAGCAGGGGAGGGGCTGATCACCAGAGTGGGACTAGAGTTGACAGGAGTGGAGCCAGTCCAGGCCGTCGGCTCGCGAACTCTCAATGATTGAGATCGCCGCCTGCGCCTTTGCCAAGATTGGCACCAGATTGAGCGGACATGCATGACATGCGGTCTGATGGGGCTTCAGATTGGGCTCTTGATGTATCCGGCGAGGACTGCAATTGGACTAGCTGTGCCCTAAACTGTTCCGGGTCAAAGTGGCGGGCCATCGTTGCCCTAACGCGAGCTAACCCCCCCCCCTCCGCGTGGTCAAGAGTTTGGTGACTTGCACTTCCCGTGGGGATCATCACGTGTGATCGTCCGGAATTTACATCTGCTCAGCCTGTGAGGTCTGATCTGGCCCGGTATTCCAAATGGCCTTTCGGCTGGTCACGAGATATGGTTTGTCCTTTACGTCACATTCCCAACTCAATCAGACGAGCGTCTGGTGCTTACCGAGTAAACGGGGAAAGCTTCTGTGCCCTGCCGGATTGAGTTAGTGTCCCTCATGAGGCAGACTTACTCTATAAGACTGACCGGGGCTCGGAATGCGAAGATTCGATGCGGTGTATAATGCTCCAGGGCTGAGGCGGCCCTCCTCATAGTTCAAAATTAAGAAGATCATGGGAAGTATGGTCCTGGAGGGGCGCGGGGGCTTCACGCAGGAACGCCCGACCACGTTGTAGCAAGGGTTGTAAGGTCATTTTTTCATCGTCGGGGAGAGAATGTTCTTTGTTTCGATAATGCAGTCCTTGGTACTCCGGACTGGGTAGGGTTCAGAGGTTTGAAAGAGAGTCGCCATGTGGGCGACCAGGTTACAGCCTGCAGGTCTGAGAGTCTCAAGGCTTGTACAAGCCTACTCAGCGCTGATCTGGGGCCTGTCATTACACTGGAGGTCTGACACGCCCTGACAAGATGACGCTTGGTACCTTGCCTCGAGTCATATTTCACTACACACCAGGCTATCCATGGCAATACTCGTTTACTAGATAAGGATAGGGCAATCGAATATTATGCTATTATTCATGTCTTTCTTTTTTTCGATCTTGTCCATCGCCACTACTTCCTATACCAGAGATTCATCTTCAATATGGATCAATTTCAAATATCGAGCGCACCAGTGAGAACGACTCGGGGAGATTCAACAGGGCGTTCAGGCCCTCCGACCCAGACTTCAACTCGTCAAACCCTGCAACGGTTCTCCGAAAAGAGACAAGATTGACAGTAAGGATCTTCGCCCGAGCCAATGTCCAAGCCTCCTCAGCCTTTCAACCCTTCTAGAAGCCCACGGAGGGAAGACCGAAGTGGATGGGAAACACCATGACCAACACAAGCCACCACCGGTCTGCTGACAGTAAACGGGACATGAATAGTTGTCCCGACATCTCCCGCGATGTTGTGTTTCAAGGAGGCCACCGTTCTCCTATTCCGGCGATATTCTAAGAATACCACACCGCGACCCTCGACCTTCCGAAGGGGCGGTGTATCGAGTCTGCTTCATGTTGTGAGTCTCAGGATGCTACTTGGACCCTCTTATGGTTTACTGTGAGCGAAATTCCAAAGGGTAGGAGCCCGAAGCCCGGCAACTAGATCCTAGATGGCTCGTATCGAGGGGTCCGAGTTCATTCGACGATCCCGAGATCCTTCCCGTTGAGTTTCCCCGCTTTGGTGCCAGATTTCCTCGCCTTCCTTCTTACTCTTCTCTTTGCTAGATAGGGCAGTTTCGACCGTTGGCACCGTTGGCATCCAGCCTCACCCTCACTACCTGCCTGCTTCACCTGTCCTTGCATTGAAGTCGAACGGTCAATGGCTCCATCCTTGACCTGCACAATCTGCCACTCGTCGGTGTGACTGGCTAAGCCTAGATGCACCTAGCCGTCCACAAGGACAAGGATAACCAAAGAACAGGGGTTTATCAAACGTGCCGAGGTCACGGTATCTCAAATCACGATGAACGGGGTTTCTCATTCGATCTAGCGGGGACGGCGGGGCCTATGGCCTTTTAATCACCTCGTGGGGAACGGATGTCCGGAATGGGGCAACGGGGGGACGGGTACAGTACAAGTTCTCTGTGATTTTCTCTATTGACCGCTCCTCTGAGAAACGAGGGTGGTAATAGTCGGTGGGCTTATGAGGAGCACTGATTGCCGAACTATGCAGGGATTCTGCTGAACGTCTACTAGCATGACTCGAACGGGGGCCCTGTGCGTTGGTGGGCCGCCTGCAGGGGAAAATAACAGATACTGCTAGGCGCTGAGAGGCCGGCTTCTCAAGGCAGATGATCCCAGAGTCTGGATTTTCAGGAGTTCACCGGCTCTAAATGTGATGGCCAACAGTCGGGAAAAGCTACTATTGGACCACTGGACCCCAGACGACATTTGCCGGTCAGATGGCACAAATACTGCATAAGGCGATGCGGGTAGCGTGTATTTTCCTTTTACCAGGCCCTGTCAATGGCTAGAGGTTTTGGCCGTTGGTCCACTTTGCTTGTCCATGTTAAGCTGTTAGATCCCGACCGACTAGGTCAGGGCGCCGTCTACGTATCGGCTCAACGGGCGTCGATAATCATGCTCAGATTGTAGTCTGTGCTCGAGGGCTAGCCGTTACTAGAGCACAGCTATTGATCCTCGGTGGACTCGTAAAACGTCACCCGTTCTTTCTTGACCCTCTATCCATTTGCCTCTCTAGCCACCTGCGATGATGCGCATCACCCACTGTACAGTGACGTGGAGAATGTTGCCACGATACCGATGCTCTGGGAGTCTCGGTTATTTGCCGAGCGGTAATGTTTTGTATCATATCTTGAGATGTTCCACACTCAACCTCTTGTACAAAGACGCCCTCTCGTCCATCGATGCCAAGACATTATATGGACTTAGTTTTGGTGGAGCCCGACGTCCAAGGCCGAAAGACCATGAACGGGAAGACGAGTGTGTTCGTCATAAGCGGCTCGAAGAGACACCGAGCCCCTATCGATTAGCGCCAACGCGAGCCCCAGCAGCTCCGTTTGGTCATTTGATCGCCTGTGGAGCCGGAACGCCCGAGAAGCGTAACCTGAGGCTCCCGAAGTGCCGCCCTCTTAAGGTTCGCCCTCTTGGAATTTAGGTTGAGCTTCCGAACCAGACTTTGGATAAAGTTCCATGACGGAGAACTATTTCCCCAGCTCGGAGTTTACGGCTCGCTTTGAATGCAAAAAAAGATACTCCGATTAGCTTCAAGGGGTGGTTTAATACTGATCCAAGATGTGATGGATTCACACTTTCCGTGTTCCAGGGTCCCATCACACCTCATTTAGACCCTCTGTCATGCCCGAACTCAGCCGAATAGCGCTGGCGCTGGCACTGGTGCGGCTTGATCCACGATCCACGATCCACCGTTGAGGATCTGCTTGATTGGCGAGACTGTAAAAGTCGCTACCGCAAGGACTGTTCCAACTGTACAGCCGAGCTGGTGACTGAGTGACTGGTGAACGGGGGCAAGCCCCTCCCCTTCCGGGGGTCTACGGTCATCTCGTCACCATCCTAGCGCAATCGGTGATGTCCCCTGCACAATACGCATGCAGGTCGAGTAGATCAAAAGATCGAGGACAGGAATAAGCCATGTGCATTTGCCTTCTTAGGGTATTTGGGAATGTGAACAGAGAACTCCGGGGCCCCAAGGACGCAAACTTGCATCTCATCCAGCCCGCAGCGAGTGAATGCAATTGTCTCGTTAGCAGAGTTCCCCCCCCCCCGGCCTCCTCGTATTCCCCTTCTCGATAGCGCGGGATACCCGCGTGGTGACAAATATTATCAGCCAAGTCGATTGGCTCTTCTCTGCCCTACCCGTGATTATCTCCTACCTAGAAGAGTAAAAAGTACCAGATTGCTAACAGGCACCAAAGTTATAGCTCGATTGTGGTTCCATCTGCTCGATGGCATCACCAGTGCCGAGACTCTTAACAATTCCGTCTAAGGGCAGAGCGCGCACCCGTGGCTCGGCAGCCGTGGCATCCGCACGCGTGGCGGGCCAGGACCTCATAGCTTTGGGGCCCACTCCTTGATCCACTCCCATGATTCAGTTTTGATCCGAGTGGAGTTCTCCGAACTGATCAGCGTCTAAAACGGTCAAAACTCTCTTTTTGGCTGCTGTTGCATCAGAGAGCACTGGGATCGCGGGGAGGCCACCGGGGACCGATCACCCTACGATGGGGCTTCATTCACTATTCTGTCCTTACGGAGATGTTCGGCCCCAAGGAGTCCTAGTCTAGACTCCGTTTTGTGTTGCGTTTCTCTCATTCATTTTGCATTTACGATGTGCTAAGCTGGCCAGACTGTACCTCACCTAGAAAGCCCAGAGGCGGGCTGAGAGCCACAGTCCCTGCCTTGCCCAAGTTTGAGGAAAAAAAATTAAAAATTTGAATGGCATTTGCAGGTTTCGGACAATAGCTTGACGGGGAACTGTCTCCAAGAGGAAGTGGAGATATTAACGAGCATTACCCTGCATTATCAAGTGCGCCGATGTAATGTCATTCCGGTCGGGGAACCCCATCACCAGATACGTCCATGACTCGTACAGATCTGCATCTTTACAGTCCCCAAAGGTCCACGGGTCTACGAGCCATCTATATTGGGGCCATGACTGACATGAGCGTAGATCCTAGGACAAACATGACAGATCACGGGTCCGCTGTCACTGTCATAGGCACCGCAACACAACCAGTCCGAACGAGCTGAAAAAAGGGAAGATAGGTCGGCTCGGAAAAGCAAAGAGAAGAGGGAACCCAGCAATCTTAGGGGGTCGCAGCTTGGACCCTGTTGATCGCGCGCATGTCTATACTTAGCGTCATCGCCTGGCACCGAGTGTGGCCAATTGACCGAGGCCATCTCTCCCGTGTTGTCCAAGTTATTTCCACTTGGTTGCTAGTGTCGATTAGATGGGCTATGAGGGGTTTTTTCTTTTTTTTGGGCTGAGTCTGGGTGTTTGTGTGTGTGATGCGATCGCTGTTTGCAGCGGCTCTGGACTTCCGTGGTGCCATTATGAATTGGACTAGAATTGCATGCGATCGATCGATTGTATCTTCGACTATCTACAATTCGTTTGTTGTGGATGTTTTTTTCGGTTTGGCGCTTCTTCCTGAAATGGAGGGCACTGAAGGGAAGGGGGGTTTTGTTGCTGGGATACTTGGGCATATTGGGCGACAATACGACATTTCATAGTATACAATGCTTTTTGAGAGCTGTAATAGCGTCTTTAAGGGAGTATGAGTTGGTTTTCAGAACGTCTTCTGTCAGAGGATAGTTCCAGAATCTCTTCACTAGGCACGCAGGCGAGTGAAAGGAACATAAATGAGTAGATCGATATCGCAGAGTGATTTTCGACGGCTCCTTAGGCTCGTATTCGCTTTCAAGTTACGTTCTTCGTTTACTGGTCATGGGGAAAACTAGAGCGAGCATTAATTCCTCTCGTATACCTCAGCGTGCGGTCAATCGCCCATATGTTAATACCACGATACCCGTGGACATACCTGGAACAATATCTCGACACCTCCATTCACAGAAACTGTGTATCTTCAGCTGTCGAGCACCTGGTCAATGTTTAATGGGCTATATCGACTTCCCGCATTGAAAGCCTGCAGAGTACAACTGCAATGTAACAAGCTTTGTACACGCTCTCGCAGGTGGGAACGTCAGATTTTATTCTTTTTAACCTGCGAACGCTCCACGAAGGAACTAGACATGAAAAGACGTGCTATTGATCAACGACTCCAAGCTGATCTCCACCGCTGCGAGGCACTTCTGCCGTTGCTGAAACTCTGACGCCTGGCCCTCCATGTTCCATTACGGAGGCTCGCACCAACGTGGCAAGATGGCCATCAATCAGCAAACCACAATGATAGCCCTCAAGTACAGGGCCAGAGCTATGAATGTGAAAGTGCATATCATCAGGTCAAGATTTGCTGGCACAACACTAATACACGGATCGGATTGTCCGCGGGATAACCCTCTAGTATAGTTCGACGCTCGATTAGGTCAACGGTACACAAGGACTATAGACCGAGCGAAGTTCTAAATAGAATCATGTAAAATCAAAATCCTTCACAATGCAGAGACTTCTGAGCAGATGTCAAGCGGAATGAAATTCTATTAGCATACAATGAACCGTCCCCATTTGAAAATGATCCCATTCAACACCTCTCAGGTACCATCTTGAAAACGCCTGATTGCCCAACCATCTTAATGCACATTCAATCGGAAAAGAAAACATGAGAACGCCAGGAAAAGCATACGCCCTTACGGGCCCATCATCCTCCATAGACAAAAGGAAGAAAGAACGACGGATATGGATATGGACAACAAGTGCGGTTCGACCACTGACGACGGCGACGACCTGGTCCGATATCAGCAACATGAGCGGAATCAAAGGCCCATGATGACTGCAAAGTTGGCTTCAAGCATGATTGATACATGATATCCAGCCCTTTGTCCCCACTAAGGTGGAGGTGGGTGGGGGGGCCGGTTAATAAACCCGGGAGGCCACGCATTCGCTCCGATCTGAATCTCGATCGGGGTCTCGATCGAACGAGATCGAGAAGGCCCAACCGGAGTGGCTTAGAAGCCAAAGTGAACGTCCAAAAACACGAAACGACACGAAACGAAAGATCCACAACCCTGCAGCTTTTCTTCAGATGCTTGACTTGACCTGCTCTTTCGATCGAAAATTCAATAAAAAATTTTGGTCACTCTTGGACGACTTTTGGGTGTTTCACGCGAATATCTCTTTTTAGTATCTCTGCTTGTTTTCACATTTCATGGTTCAATGATCACTGACGCGGTGCATTGTTGTGCTGTGGGGATGGGACGGGATCGGGGTATTGAAGGTTGCGGCTGGGCCGAGGACGGGATACGGTTCATTGAGGGCGAGGACATGAGCTGGCCGTTGCCCGCGTGGGCGTGGCTCTGTTGAAAGACCGTGGCGTTCTCTCGTTGGCGGCGCTCTTCTTGTTCCGGAGTCATACACTTGACTGGCGGGGGAATTGGTGCATCTGGAGAGCTGCGGCCCATGAGCTTAGGGCTTGGCTCCAGTCTGCGGATTGGAGGGAGAACAGGGGCACCTGCCATTCCCCCTGAAGTCATCGGACGGGGGATTGCTTCGTTGGGCTCAGTCCTGACATCCCCATCCCGTGAGAGCTGTGGGGTGGTGATGAGTTGTTGCCATTTGGAGTTGCAGAGGCAGAAAAGGAGGGGTATCTGTTGGACATTGTGGGGGTACCTCCGTAGCCAGACTGGGGACGAGGAGTTGCATAGCTGTCAAATGAAGAGGTACCGGGGATTGCAGCCGATCCATTGGCGGCGGCAGGTGCGTGTGAAAATCCTACAACAGGTCCGACATCGCGATTGCCCTGGGTGGGTGGCATAGATGGCGGAGCCTGACCATACCCAGAGTGGGATGATGATGGACGTGCAAATGATCCAATCGAAGGAAGTTGTGTGCCAGATTGCTGGGGTTGCATGTTGCTCATCCTGGGGAGTTCAGGTTGACCCATAACATGCATCGGCGGCGGAGCACCCATTCCCCTCGAAGGAAAAGGGGAGCCCTTGGAGGGCTGGAAGATGGAAGATGAGCTGAGGGATGAGGACGGCGCTCAGGGGAAGGAGGAACGTAGAAGTTGCCCTGGCCAGGGAAAGAAGGAAGAGCGGGCTGAGAGGGCTGCGCATATGTGTGGTGGCCATTTTGAACACTAGAGAGAGCGGCGTGGGTTTGCTTCACGGGAGATGGCGGAGCATTATCATCGTCCTCAACCCTGCGCTTCTTTGCAGACGCGGGAGCAGAAGACGGCGATGCCGATGCGCTGAGACGGAACTTCAACGGCGGGAGCTTGGGCTTGTTGGCATCTTCCTCCTTTCTTTTGCAGTCCTTGCAGATAAGATGAAAGTCGTCCTTTTCCGCATCCGCCTTGGAGATGCCGAGACAATGGCTGTGCTGCCAGACATTACACTTTTCGCAAGCAACACTGTGGCTTCCATCATCCTGATCATATGTTAGACCATGTTGTTTCAGTCATTTGGAGATTCAAAACATACCAAGTTCTGGCCATATACACCACATCCGGAGCAATCAAAGATCCACTCATCATCTTGGGAGAGCTCGGCCAAGTTCTTCTGCGACTTTTCCAGCTCAGCCTTGAGGTTTCGAGCGGAGACTCGGCTCTCCCTCGTTCGATTCGTTCCTGCTCTGCAGCAAGGCGTTCAAGCTCCGCCTCGTGCAGGATACGCTTCTGCTCGCGATCCTTGATACGCTGTTCACGGGTCATCATGCGGGACTGTCGATCTTCCTCGAGCTGACGCTGTCTAGCCTGCTCCTTACGAGCCTCGGCCAGATCAGCCTCCTTCTTGCGTGCCGCCTCGGCAGCCTCTCTGTCAGCTCGTTCCCTTTCATCCTTAGCGGCTAGTCGGCTCGACCGCTTAGCGCCGGCAATTAGCTGCATATTGAGAAGCTCCTTCTCTCGCTTTTGCCGCTTGCGCAGCTGCGCCTCTTCCGCCTTTTCTAGCAACGGTAAGACATGATCCTCGATTTGTTTGCGAAGGATCTTGTCATCCGCATCCTTGCTCTTTCGAATGCTGTCCAGAAATTCTTGGTACTCGGCGAGGGTGACACACACGCACTCCCACTTAGGCTCAGATGCCACGACTCCATCTTCGCCCACGGTCTCGTCCTCTTCGGGTTCTTCGGCGGCGACATTGGATGCTCGTTTCGATGTACGCGACGCTCGGGAGGATCTACTCTTAGGCTTCTTCTTGGGACGAGAGGGTGCGGGGATGGGAGGATCGGTGCGGCGGTAAAGGCGATTGTCATCTAGGACGTAGTAAATGCGACCTTCGTGGTCATATCCGAATTCTTCGATACGCTTGGATATTTAGTGAGGGCACGCCCATTTGTCACAGGGGGCAAAAAACCACTTACCCACTGGAGTTGCTCCGATTCCTTCTTCTCGGGCATCTTGTCACGAATGCGATCGGCGTTCCAGAAAGTCCACACGGACAACTGGTGCAGGACACGCAATTTTTGAAAGACATCAAAATCCAGAAATCTCAGAGGCTCTTCATCATACCCGAAGGGATTCGTAATGTGAGGGGCTTTCGCATTGTATTGTCTCCTTGTGTATTCGTCAAAGTTCTCAGACCTGGTTTGCGCTGTCAGTCCAACTTTCGTCCAATGACAGTGGGCATTTGAACAACGTACGTCAAACCCCGATGTGAGGATATCCATTTCAAAAGACAAAGACCAATCTCCAACAACTTGTGCGAGGGTTCAGGCTTCATACACTCATCTTCCAGATCCTATGTTCGCAGTATACGTCAGCTCATATGCCCTCACAGGGGTCGTGCAAGCACGAATCCATCGAGCTCATCCATGCGCCGCAATGCGCGACACTTGCACGGGTAGCGGGGAGCGAACGAACGTACCTCGATTTCAAACTCTTCATCAATCTTCATGACTTTTCCAAAGATGGCAATGTATTGCATAAGGCTAGCGAATTCCCAGCTGCTCCTAATGCGCTGGAGCAGACCAGGTTCTTCTGGGGTCTGCTGCTCGGTGGCAGCGACCGCATCGGAGCGGCTGCGCTTTCGCGATCCCATCGCGGCAGAACGAGGCCGTTCAGGCCGGGGTTGTGTACGGGAGGTCGGGAGGGGCGGCAATTGGTTGGAAGTATCACGGTTACACTGTGAATTGGCGAAGGTAAGAATAAGATCGGAAATAACTTCCAGTGGTGAGGGTGGGAAGACGGATCCTTTTTTTTCTCGTGTCGAGAGGCGACGGAGATGATCTCTCTGAAGGGCGCGTCGGCGGGCAGATCACGTGAAGTCCGCGTTTGGGCAGCTCCTTGCTCTTCTCTTTTCCTGTTCTGAATAGAGACAAGAGACAGCAGGGTTCTTTCTTTACCATTCTATAGCAGTGTTCATGGCTGGGAACTGTCTAAGAAGCGCTTTACGACTATTCTCGAGGGGATTAGGAGTCAGAATGGATTTCTAGTATCACGACTATCATAGTAATCAAGTACATTCTTTTGCAGACATATTCACGGACGCAACAACAAATACGACTGTACCGTGGTATCTCTGGCTCACGACTTCTATCTTCATAGAGCAATAAATGGATCGTCGAGGGTAGAAAAATGCAACAGCGCCGACCAGAAACCCACACCCGACGAGCGCCACGTAAAAGAGACGAGGAGAATGGAAATGGAAGGATGTCTCTGAAAAGAAAAAGCAAAATGCAAATCAAGCACAAAAAAGGACATAGGAATACATAAGTCCCCCTCCCATCAGCACGAAAATCACCAAAGACCAGAAACTGTCCCAAATAAATCGAGAAGAAAGAAAAGAACCAGAACAAGAGAAAACAGATGATGCATTCCCATCGACGGACTCATCAAATGCCGACCCACAAACTTTTTGCGCCTTGTGACCGATACTCGCCAGAAACCTGTCCCATGCATATCGTAAGGTAGAAAAACAAATCCCGCGTACAAAGAAAATGCGTTTTCATATGTTACATGGCCGCCGGGGCTCCATCAGACACGTTGTCTGAAAGGTTAATCAGGAGCTGGGCCAAGCAGCGCTTGGTAGCTGCGTCGTCGCGAAGGACGGATGAGAATGTGGCGTCTCGAAGAGGTTCTGGGAGACATTGACGCAGGGCCTCGCGGGCTCGACTATTGTCGCTCAGACTATCTTTCTGTTAGAAACGCTCAAATGTAATGGTCAGACAAAAGGGCTTACCGAAGGAAGCATCGCACGACGTGCTTGAGAAGACGAACTGTCTGTTGCTCCACCAGCTGAGTGACCATATTGCTGAGGACAGTGCCCACTGCGTAAAAACGCTCGTAAGTCGCACAAATGTACGCCAGACCGATATCATCGAGGAGGATCTTTTGCACGATGAAGATGGCAACGGTCTTGCTAAGCTCAGATCCGGTTTCCATAATGCGAAGGCACAGAGGGATGATCTCGGTGGTCAGAAGGAAGTTAATAACATCCGACGAGTCATTTTTCACCAGAGCTCCTATCACGCCGAGGGAGGTGAGACGCAGGTATTCGAAGGGGCGCGATTTCGAGGTCGTGTTGAGGAACGGGTAAAGGAACAAGGGAATGTGAGCTGTTCGGCGCAAAGAAAAATCAGCTGTGGTATTCCAGTCGGTTTTCCAGTCGTAGTAGTCGGTACATACCGTTCAAGAAGAGTGTGCGAGTCTCGTTGTGCGATGCGACACACTGCAAGAGCGCCAGCGCATTGCAGACTCGATTTGAAGCCGCGGCGGTCAACTGGGAGGGGTTCAATAAGGGGTAGACTGAGATGATCTCTTGGAGGAGAGCAGTCATCACACCTGCAAGTTGCTGGTGGTTAGTCGCGATCGGAAAAGATATGCCCACGATGCGATGATGGGGAACAAACCAAACGAATGCCAGATAACCAGTGCCAGCTCGGGAACCTGCTCGCGCTTCTTGCTGAGCTCCATAAGCGCGGTTTCACGACGGGCGGGGTCCAAGAGTTCCGCCACCCAGATGAAGACCTTGCGGTTCTCTTCACTGATACCACCATCCATGACGGAGACGGCATTCGCAAGACCCTCTCCGTTCATGCCGGCGACGCCCCCAGCACCCTGCGCTGAGTTCGCGGCGCCATTACCACTCATGGCGAGGCGACCATAGTGCTGCTGTTGTGCCGCGGCGGCGGCGGCCTGAACCTGGGCCTGCTGTTGAGCAACCAGGGAGGCGTGCTGGTGCTGATGCTGCGAGTGAGGCTGGGCCTGCTGGTGATGTTGCTGTTGCTGCTGCTGCTGCTGCTGTTGCTGCTGTTGCTGCTGTTGCTGTTGTTGATGCTGCAGCCACGAGGGATCAGCCTGAGGGTACTGATGCTGGTGGGAGAAGACGTGTTGGCTCTGCGCTTGGAGCATGGCGAGCGGTTATGAGTCGTTTCGGGGAACTCGTATTACTCCGATGGGTCGGACCTGGCCAGAATGGGTGATTGCGGCAGAGGAGGAATGGGTATCAAGGAAGAGAGGAGTATGGAAAGGTTAAGAAACCAATAGGGTGAGTGTCATTGATGGAGACCCGGGATGGTGATCGTAGCCTGAGGAGAGGAAGAGGAAGAGAGAAGTTCGGGTCGGAAGGCGGGGAGAGCGCCGACCTTTGTGTGTGCCCTTTTGTCATACTCTCTGATCTCGCCCTTCCATCCCAACATTCTGTATGCACAACGCTTTCCAATTTCCTTCGATCTAAATCACTGGGCTCGACTTATTTCCTGGGCCACCTCGCATTGTACGCGCAGAATACTCGGAGGGTCCATCCTTGCGGACAGAACACACTGTACCTGCAAGACCGGCCCCAATCACGGCCCTCTGCCTTGTGCAACCGACCCTGAGCAGTCACCTCGACACCTTCTAGGCTTCAATTCTGGCCGAAAATGTCAATGTTTACCCCATGCAAGTATTAGGTTCAAATCTGACAAGATCCGATCATGTTTATATCCCATTTTCATGTCTCATATTAACATCTCAGGATGCCGTTGGTCATCAAAGGCAAAAGAAATTTCACAATCCGTGGTCCAAACTCATATCGACATCAATAAAGAAAAAATAGCATCCTAAAACACAAGGCTTTGGGGGAGGTCATAATGGTACATAAATCGTATCAACTAGCGCCGTTGAATATGCATAAGGGAAGAGGGTCAGGCAGTGCGAAAAAGCAGACTCGTCAAGGCAATCGTGAGCCTTTGGAATCATCAATTGTGCTCGTCATCAACGGCCTGAACGTGCTCTTGAGCGTTCTGAGCGTCGAGATCGCCGTGTGTCTCGCGTTCGTCCACCAGAACTGTCGCTACCTGTGACAAAAGTCAGTACTGTCCTTCCTGGACCTTGTAAGGATGGTGGACTTACTCCGCGTGTAGTCCGAGTAATAATAATACGAACTCGGGTAGGTGTAACTGGTCTTATCATCGTCGTCGTTTTCCCGGTCCTTGTGTCTCTTCAATCCCAAGCAGAGCGCAAGTGCTCCGAGGACAATGGCCACTGTGCCCCAGCCACTCCACTTGGATTTCTTCTCGCTCACTGAGCTCTCTGTTCCTGCGGCGGCTGCAGGTCTGGATCCAAACCAGATGCGACCCGCCGGCCGAGGACGACTGGTATGTGAGTGGTGCGAGTATCTTTCTTCGACGACTGTCTCGCGTCTACGGCGCTTCTTGATGCCCATGGCTGCGAGAAGTGCGTCCAGGGCACTCTTGAAGCACAGGCAGCCGCAGAGGAGCAGAAGCAAGATCACACCCGCAATGGTACCGATCACGATTCCTGCAATTGCACCACCGCTCAGTCCACCGTTGTTGCTGGTGGCCTTAGCTCCGAGCAGGTCGGCTCCGTCTGTTCCAACGGGTGCGATGAATCCCTGGGTGGTGGTGGCCGCTGCGGTCGCCGTGACTGTTGATGCGCCACTGCTTGTTTCTCGTACACCAGGGCTCGCCGTTCCCGTTGCTTCGGCCCCAGTCACAAGGGCAGATGAACTCTCGGCCACACATTGGCCATCCACACATTCCTGTGCTGCGTCGCAGCAGGAAGTGCCACACTGTTCCTCGCCAAGGTCATATCTGCAAGTTGAAGAGGACGTGGGGATTGCAATTTGACTGCTCCAGACCGAGGTGATGGTAGTTCGATCGGTCTCCGTGACCACGTAGGTAGTTGTGTAGTACTTCCAGCTACTGTCGGTAGCCGTGCCGGATGAACATTCAGCTTGGCCGGCGGCGTTGGTACTGCAGGCGTCGCTGGCACCACAACAGAGCCAGTCATTGTATCCGCATGGGTTCGAGCACCGCTTTTCGAGGGCGTTTTGCTCAAGTTCAAGGGCGGCTTGGTCGAGTGCTAAGGGATTTGCGATCGTAATTTGTCCAAAGCGGAGTAGTAAGATCAGAGTGGAGAACGTTGGAATGGCGGAGAGGGACCGCATGGCGGATGAGTAGCGATAAAAAGCTCCCAAGGCTCGTTTTGGTCGGTTCTCTTGATTCTTGTGTGTTTCGAGGAATGTTCGTCAGGTCGTGAACGGTGGTACAGGTTCCGATGGGGAATGCTGGGATTCCTATGTTGTCCCGCCTTTTATAGTTTTTGATAACTATCGTAGATCACCTCTTCGAGGCAAGGCAAGCAAAAATTTCCAGACTAACAGAAGAAGAAGGAGAGAGGAAAGCAAGGATGTGTGAAGTGAGAAAACAAGACAAGGTTGGAAGAGATAGCAAAACAAAGTGACTCCCAGCCTCTTCGTATACCCAACCCCAACCCCAACCACCCCATTTCCTGCCAATCGCCTAACTCCTACCCGACCATTCAGTTCTCTACTTTTGGAGGTGATTTACCTTGATTCTCATGGAGGCTGGGTTTCAGGTTGATTTTCGGGTTTATTTCAATCTAACAGGCCAATTCATCATTGCATATGCGCCCGTCTGCCACCACCCTCCCCGCGTGGCAACGATCAACATGCGGTCAGATCGCCCATCTGCTGTCTTTTTTTAAAGTTACAGCTCTACAGATATTCTAATTGAGTTTTCAAATGAAAATTTTGCCATTCAAGAGATAGAGATCCTTACATTGAAGCAAAAAATCGCCAGATGTATCAGATGGTGTCACCAATGGTAGCCCAACAGGCCTGAGAACCCGGGATGTCGGCTGCATTTACAATCAAATTATTCAATTCAAGAGGCCCAAACCCCGGAACATCAAAATGACAAGAAGTAAAAGGGCTATACACAGAGATCGTGTCAATGTCACATCACATCAAATCAGATAAACACACCCGCTACCCCCACAGCTAAGCCAAAGATCAAATCCTGCAGACTTGTCGTCCGACTCGATCTAGCTACATTCCCACTGGCGGTGTCCGCCGTAGCCGTCGCCACTGAAGCACAATAGCCCAGACTGAGTCCATGGCAGGCATTTGCGCTCAGGCTCGAGCAGATGGATGTGGCCTGCGACGATGCAGTGACCGCCTCTACCGTCACGCCAGCCCCGCCTCCACCTACCGTCACTTGGTAGCGGCCCATCAAGTCCCCGGTGCACTGCGCATACTCGGACTGACAGAGCGAGTAGTATGAAGAGCAGGCTGCAGGGTTGGAGAAAGTTGTTGGTACGTAGATAAATGGGTAGGCTCCAGACACGGTCGAGGCCGTGGAGCTCTCTGAACCAGCGGCCGTGGTCGTTGCCGTTGCGCCATTCGGGAATATAAAGCTGGTGCCCGTCTCTGAGGCTCCGCTTGTTGATGTGCCACTCAGGATACCTGTACATTTAGCCCCTGTCGGACAACAGGCGATGTTGTTGGCTGAATCGCGTGAGCAGTTCGTGCCCTGTATGCAACAGGCGTCTGAGTTGCCCAGGCTGGTGCATGGGTTATATCCGCTCGGGCAGTTGTCGATCGAGCGTCTTAGGATTTGCAGTACTTCAAAGGCCCGTTTGGATTCAACATGCTCAGGCGCAGAGAAAGGTACAGTATCTATCGAGAACACTGGGGGAAGGAATGTAGCCCAGATCCCGATCCACCAAGAAGCTCGCATTCTCGAGGCCGATGACGAATATAATCGAATTGTATCGAATGCGACCGAGTAAATTAGATGTTCACTGGCTGTCCTTAGTATCTCCCGCCGCTCATTGTTCGTTGCGATCGAGATCGGTGGTTCAAGGCTCTTATCGAGGTACAAGGTTGGGATGTCAACAAACTACTCGAAATAGTAAGATAGGCGTTAGTAGAGGCACGCAACCTGTAATGAAGCCATTGAATAAATTCAGAAACTCACAATGAACTGACGTCTCTAGCTTCAAAGTCCCAGAAAAGATTGGGGGGGATGAGAGTTCAGAGATGGAGATGATGTAGTGCGGCCGGTTGATCTCCACCGAGATCCCTGCCACAGCAACCAAATGCGCTGCCCAACCAGCCCCGTCTTTCCAAGCCTACTTTATGAAATTATGTTAGCAATGTTGGCACGCACCTATTGGCAGATCTACACATTGAGTGATCGACTTAAAATCACGAATACAATGAGGGCCATTTGGAATTTTTCCCCATCGGGTCGGGTTGTCTAAGAGCGGTCTTACCATGCATGGGCAATGCCAGCGATGATCCGCCCTTCATCCGTCTGTACACCGCCGGGCTATTTTTCGACTTCAATCACCAACCATGGACCCAGCTCCGCAAACCAATATCTCTGTCGTCGACTTTGCCGAGTGGAAACGGGGCGGGTCTGGTCGCCGGCGAGTAGCGCAGAATATCGTCGCCGCTTGTAGAGAGGTGGGGTTCGTCTACATCGTCAACCACTCGCTGTCCGCACCGTTGCTTGATGAGGCTTTCGACTGGTCCCATCGATTCTTCGATCTGCCACAAGACGAGAAGCTCAAAGCACCTCATCCAGAGGGATGGGCTATTCACAGAGGTTACTCCTGGCCCGGTTTGGAGAAGGTGTCGCAGGCGATCAGCCAGGACAATGACCAGGAGCGGGCCGGAGAGCTGAGAGAGGTTCCCGATGTCAAGGTGAGATCTTTAGGTGAATTTTCAGCGAGTGGGACGAAATTCATCGCCTTGGGCTTTCATTCAGATTTGCGCTGCTGACTCCAATTAGGAAAGCTATGACATTGGGAGCGAGGACAATTCCTCGCAGCCAAATCAATGGATCTCTGAGGAGTCTCTACCAGGGTTCCGTGCTTTCATGAATCGATTCTACTGGGAGTGCTTTCGTGTAGGAGGTGAGATCCTACAGGCCCTTGCCATTGGCCTGGATCTGGATGAGAACCATCTCTTGTTGAAACACTCTGGAAATAACAACCAGCTACGTCTCTTACATTACCCATCTATCCCAGCAGAAGCACTGGAGAGGCACCGAGCAGCGAGATGTCCAGCTCATACCGACTGGAGCTCAATCACCCTCCTCTTCCAGGATGACTGTGGCGGCCTGGAAGTTGAGGACGTCAACAAACCAGGTAGCTTTATCCCAGCAACTCCGATCAAGAATGCAATTGTCATGAACGTAGGAGATCTTCTGCAGAGATGGAGCAATAGTCTGTGGCCCGAGCCCTGTTCGAGCGTAGTTTGTTCTGACAGTTGCAGATCATCTCCGTTCTACAAGCCATCGAGTCACTCTCCCCCACTATCCAATAGGTTTGAAGGAGAGCAGCGAATCACTCGTGAACGATATTCGATTCCCTACTTCCTCGCACCCGACCCGGATTCTGTGATCGAGTGCATTCCGTCCTGCATGGGAGTTGATGAGCCGGCCAAGTACGAGCCGATCACGCAGGCTGGATACAATAAGATGCGTGCCTCTATGCAGTACTAGAGCTCGTTTCCCCATATAGTGGCAGAGCTAGGATAATTGGTTGCACAGTGTTCGCAACGGCTGTAGAATTGACATACTGAAATTCAGCTCGTGGGTAGCGATCTTCGACCTGAGATCCCTCAATTGACCTTCAAACAAAGGAATCAGATATCACAGACCATATAATAAGACTGTTTCGAATTGTAGTCTGGCTCATTTCCCAAACCCCGTTCTCTTGACCGTTGAGTGTATGTCCGTTCCTGCCGATCTGCGCTCCACAGCTCTGACTAAGATCAATCTTGGCGCGCCTTGGATCGCCCGCTAAAGCGCGTCCGCGATGCGCTCTACGATCCTGATCGCGCGACCACAATGTACGGAGAGCTGGGCAACAAATTGGTACGTGTCATGAACCATCATCAACTTCCTGGGCTAGCATCCGGGCTTTGGCACAAATACTGACTACCGCCTCCAGGTGCAACATGCCAAGCGAACCCAGTCCCTCGCCCACCTCCCACCCTACCAGACCGAGATCGTCCGCGCCGTGACTCGCGAAGTGCGAGATCTTGACCGCGATGTGACTCGCATGCTCGCGCCCTTTGAGGGTGCATTCAATCCATCAGCCGACCCAGCTATCGCCTGTTCCCTCCTAGTCGACCACCTATGCATGCGCCGAAACAAGCGCTGCCTCCTGGCGTACCACCGCGTCCGGACCGAGAAGCTCGAGGAATTTTGCTGGACTGGTGTCGACGTCCTTGAACAGCAACAGCCCAGCGAAGCGTCCGAGGACCGGGGCCCAGGTCAGGGCGCGGGCGGACACAGCTCGCTAAGTCCCGAAGAAGAGGAATACTTTCGACAATACGGCGACATGTTGGCCGCTTATAAAGGCCAATGGACTGACGTCGATCTTACGGGAACATTGGAGCCGCCGAAGGATTTGTTTATTGATGTGCGTGTGTTGAAGGATGCGGGAGAGATTCAGACGGAGTACGGGTATGTGGTGTCACCATCCGGGGGGCTCTTACGCGGCTAACGAGCGGGGTACAGGGTGATCAATCTCACAAAAAACAGTCAACTCTATGTTCGACAGGGTGATGTTGAACGACTAATTGCACAGGGATTCCTCGAGCGATTGAGCTGATTGTGGGGCCGCGGAATCACGCCACGGCCTGTACGACAGGAATTGTGTAATTTTGAGATACCCCCGCGACGACCTTAACGGTCCATGTGATATGAAGTGATTTCTTTGGAAGATGCACCATGACTTGATCTTGCAGCTATGTATAATCTAATCCTGCCGAGGGTACAAGTCCGGCTCGGTTAAACAGGACCTAGTACTTCTAGGCCGCCATTCGTATGCCGGTCGCGTCATAGGCAAGCGACTCGAGACAAGGGTGCTAAGACGACATTAAAATAGAGTCAATGTCAATCTTGGTCATAGCTTCGCGTAAGAATTGAACTCAGGCTTCGGTACTTTCATTAGAAGCCCCGATAGCGGCATTGACGGGGATGAGGTGCATCTGACATGGGTTGAAACCAGAATAGTGCGTGACTAGCGAGCGCATCACAGCTGCATGGCGTCGATCGTACATGGGAGTTGCGCAACGTCTATAGTTCGCTAGAGGGGGCCAAGATAGACTAGAGAACTCAGGCTCGAGGTACCTTAGCTCAAAGACCAAGTGGTCTAGAGTCGACAGAGTCAAATCATTGGTACCTGATGACTGATATCAGCACGGACAAACTGGCCCCGCAAGCGGTTTAGCTCCGAGATAACGATAACGCGCTAACACTTCCAAGTTTTAGTCAACCAGACTTAATATTTCTGTTTTCTTGTGCAAATGTATTCTGCTGATAAGAGGTACCGCTTCGCTCGATTCCTATATATCTTCGTGTCCCGTATGGCTTCAGCGCGCTGGCCTTGATGCCTCTTAGGCACCGTTGCGTCATCTGCTTTGCATCTAACGCCGCCGCATGCGCTAGTGGCCGGTAATCCTCCGAATTTCTTGAGACTCGTCTCGTGCGTTCATTGTGCCATCTGATGGGCGTGCTACAACCTCGTGGTCGACGCGACTCGCGCGCATCGGCTCTTTCACGTCGCAATTGGGGGTTGGACCAAGACCTCTCCATCCCACCGGAGTCCCTAGTGGAACAAGCAAACCTGGGCAGCTCGCCCGGCGCTGGGCTGGACGCTTCGAGCTATACTGGATCTAGCTTGAGGACCCCCAGTCGCTCATTTTACCACCGCTCATTGAACGTTCCTGCAGGTGGGTACCTTGGAGCTACTACTTATTGGCCGAGCGAATCTTATTGACCATTTGTCGATCATCTAGACCCGGCTCATTATGCATCCGACGGCCTACGAGAGCAAACTGCGGAGCTTGCAACCTACGGCCTGTCACTCAACAAAAAGCCGTTGTCTGGCAGAACCAGTCTCCCGCCTGGGCTCGATGTATTTCAGGGCCGCCAATCCTCGACCTCACACGAGGAAATCGCCAGCTCTCATCCACCGGTGGGAGGGCGCTCATTGGAATTAAGATCCGGCCCTGCCGATTCTGCTGTTGCCTCCTCCGCTCTGACAGCGATGATCCTCCGTCCCTCTGCGGACTCGGCCGAGGATGACACTAAGCCCGCTGTCTCGGGAGATTCCCCCCCGAACCCATACTTGCCGACTTTCCAAGACGAGCCCCATTCCCGAGACACCGAGCGGACTTCCCTGCCAGGCAAGACTCGCTCCAGGTCACCACTCCGTTATGGCGCTGTGGAGGACATTGAGAACCAGGGTAGATGCCCCGCCCGGGCAGTCAATGCATCTTCACAGGGACTGTCCAAGGTGGCAAGATGCTCTCGGATCGTGGCCAACCCCAAAGCTTGGGATAGGCGAGCCATATGGAATGAAGGAGTAGTTCAACCCGTCAGTTTACTCCCAGCAGTGATGCTTGGACTTTTGCTTAACATCCTCGATGCCCTCTCTTACGGAATGATCTTGTTCCCCCTGGGAGAGCCATTATTTGCCCACCTGGGCGCAGATGGCATCTCCATGTTTTACGTCAGTACTATTATCTCTCAGGTTGTATTCTCCTGTGGAGGGTCCATCTTCAAAGGTGGCATTGGAAGTGAAATGATCGAAGTCGTCCCCTTCTTCCACCAGATGGCCTTCGCCATCATGAATCGAGTGGGTAAGGGACAATCCACAATCCGTGATCGCGACCACGATCCTCGCCTTCTCAGTCAGTTCCGTCCTGACCGGTCTGGTATTCTTCCTTATGGGCGTATGCGGGCTGGGCTCGTTGATTGGATTCTTTCCTCGTCACATCCTGATCGGCTGCATTGGTGGTGTTGGCTACTTCCTTATTCAAACTGGAGTCGAAGTCTCCGCGAGATTGCCCGGCTCACTGGAGTACAATATGTATACTCTCCAGAAGCTCTTCCAGCTCGATACTTTCCCTCTCTGGATTATACCCCTGGTACTTGCTGTCAGTCTTCTTGTGCTGAAGCGCTTCATTCGGTCGAATTTCCTTGTCGGCGCTTACTTCATTGGTGTCGCTGTGGCTTTCTACATCATCGTACTTAGTGCGAGTATTTCCATGGATACTTTGCACCACAAGGGCTGGGTGTTTGATGCCCCATCGTCTAATAACCCTTGGTATCACTTCTACTCCCTTTATGGTAAGATTTAGATGTTATTTTGATTCATCATTAGCTAACATTCTTCAGATTTCTCTGCGGTTAATTGGTCGGCCTTTGCTGATACCATCCCGGCGATGTTCGCATTGACTTTCTTCGGTGTGCTTCATGTCCCGATCAATGTTCCTGCTCTCGGTATCTCCACTGGAGAAGACAACCTCAATGTGGATAGAGAGTTGGTCGCACATGGCGTGACTAACGCCCTCTCCGGATTCATGGGTAGCATCCAGAACTACCTTGTGTACACGAACAGTCTTTTGTTCATTGCCAGCGGTGGAGAATCGCGCTTGGCTGGTCTCATGCTAGCCGCCGCTACAGCTGGAGTTATGGTCATCGGCCCTGTCATCATCGGATACATCCCGGTAATGGTTGTCGGGGCTCTAATCTTCCTGCTTGGCATTGAATTGTTGCAAGAGGCTCTAGTGGATACATGGGGAAAGCTTAGTCGGCTCGAATATCTGACAGTGCTCATCATCGTTGTCACGATGGGTGCATGGGATTTTGTGACGGGTATTTTGGTCGGCATCATCCTTGCATGCGTGAACTTCGTGGTCCAAACATCTCGCAAGTCTGCCATTCGAGCCACGTTCTCTGGCGAGATTGCGGGGTCAACGGTCCGTGAGACCCCCCATTCAACAGCAATTCCTCCATGAGGCTGGCCAGCAAACTCTCATCATGAAGCTTGGTGGTTACCTGTTCTTTGGCACAATTGTAAGTGTTGAGAACACCATGCGCGGACTGATCGAAGACGAGGCATTCAATCGACAACCCATCCGATTCCTGATCCTGGATTTTTCCCGGGTCTACGGATTAGACTTCTCTGCCGCCGAGGCCTTCACTCGTATTAACCGCATTCTCCGCAAGCGCAACGTGCAAACCACCATCTCAGGTCTGAACGTCGAAGGTGACGTTGGCAAGAGCCTAGAAAATGTTGGCCTCTTCGAGCCAGACTCCGGCGTCCCCATCTTCGAGGACCTTAACTCAGCCCTCGAATTTTGTGAGAACGACTATCTCAAAGTATTTTACGGCCGGCAAGAAGCACTTGGTCGCAAGTCCATCGACTCGAATGCCAGCACCCATCTCCAACCTTCCGTCCCCGTCCCGAACAGGCGCTCACGGCCACCAATCCAGTCTATCGGAAAACATAGTCGGCTCGCCGCGACGTCAACACCTCCAACGCGTCGCAACCACGACCATTCGCGAACACGAAAGACAAACAGCTCTAATGGCCGCCCCAGCCTGGTCCGCCATGCGCCAACCTCTCCCTCTCCTCCTCCAAACCTTCCAAGGCCTATCATCCCAGAACGAAGATTTCTGGTTTCCCGCCTGCGCCTTCTTTTCTCGCGAATTCTACCCCGCAAATACAGTACTCTATCACGAAGGCGACATTCCCCGCGCCTTCTACCTCCTTGAATCAGGCATGCTACGCTGCGAATACGATCTCCCGCAGGGCCGCTACTTCGAGCTTGTCGTCGCTGGTCGACCTTGTGGAGAACTGCCTTTCTTCAGCGAGACGCGCCGAACGGCAACGGTGAAAGCGGAGCATGATTGTGTTGCGTGGTGTCTTATTGATGAGAAGTGGAAGGAGCTCCAGGAGCAGCACCCCGAGTTGCGAGGGAGTTGTTGACTGTTAGTTTGAAGTTGACAACTGAGCGGATGGATAGTATTACTTCGTATGTGCTAACGATGGCTGCTTGAATTGTTCTTAATGTGTGTTATTTGTCTCGTTTGCCTCCATATGGGCGGCAATTCGAGCAATTTGATTTCCGCAGGTTGGTTGAATGATTCTGTATATCCCATCGCTACAGAGCTTCTACATAAAAACATTACAACATTTACACCACAAAGCTAGGTGTTGAGTCACTAAAAGTCTTCTTCTTTCATAGACGGGTTCTCTGCCCCCTTTCCACTCGTACCAAAATTTCTGTCACTTTGTTTCACGTTTCAAGCTGGTTCATTGTTGTTCGATTCCTAAGCATCTTATGGATCTTGCTTTATCACAAAGTCCTTTCTTTTGCATTTCTACCTCGTGACGAGTTTCCGAATGGACTTACCTCGGCAACTTCTGAAGGCGACATTACTCTATATATGTTCGCCAGACTAATCACAATTAGCAAGGGGTTGAAGTCGTCACATGAATTTCTTTTGTTTTTCGGGGCTTTGACTAGGGATCTAGAAAGAACAACACCGAAATTTGATGACGACATGAAGGCAAGGGGCATTTGGAAACATGATATCGCGTGGAATATCAACGAAAACTTGTAGAGTGCCAACTGTATCCTCAGAAGTAATGGGAGTCAGACTTAACCTGAACCGTGCACTGATTGCGTTCCGTCAAGTGTTAGCAGCAACCCCATTGTGAGAAACCCAAAAAACAAAAGCGAAGGCACTAAAGCTGTTAGTACAGTAGCCCCCGCCCTTCATGCATATCTACGTCATAAGAAATGCTGATCATGTTGGTACAGTGGATTATATCTACATTCCTCTGATAAAATAGACTGAAAGCGTTACAGGGGTACTATAATCTATTTTCGAATTCTAGTGTATGGCCACGGGGCGTATCGGCAAGGACAGTGGCACCGCAAAAGTATTTTACCTCATCCATGGGTCCCAATGTCTATCCAGAAGATTAGGAAAAGTAAAAGGGGAAGGAAACAAGAGAAAAGCTATACTGCATGCCATTCGTAACTGGTCACGTCCCGAAGAAATATGCGACTGATTTTTTCTATATACTATTCCGCACTAAGAGCGAGACAGGCGTCGACTGCAAGACCAACTCTTATGAAGAGATATTAGTACACCAATTTAGAAGAAGAACTGGACTTGAAATCTCACCTTCCCTCCTTGATCTTGACCACATCGTCAATGACGTCGCGGTCTAGATTGGGGAACATATTGGACAAGGTCTCAACGACATTATCATGCTCGGTGCGCTGGATGCGCCGTGCTTCGGCATCCTCGGCGCTAGCTTGTCGCGCTGCTGCATCTTGTGCATCCAGAACACGGGTAAGGTTCTTCTGGGCGCCGCTGCCATCTTGCGATGGCCTGGTGCGTTCGTCGCTTGACTTTCGGCTCTCGGTGCTGGAACGCGGTGGTTGGTAGACATTAGGCGTGAGACGGGGTGGCGCAACGGCTGGTTGGGGTGTTGTGGCGGGTTGGAGAGGGCGGTCTTGAGATGTACTGGTCTCTCCGTCGTCGGAGAAGATGCGGCCGATAGTGGAGAGGGGCTTTTGGATGGTGCGCAAGAGGCCTGCGACGGGGGCGGAGGTGTCGTCGTCGCTAGACGGAGATTTGTTTCTACGAGATGGTCCGACTTGGGATTGAGATGGGCCTGGGTTTGTTGGTAGGGGTGGGGATTTGTCTGCTAGAGATTCAGACTCGCGATTCTGTTCGGCAATGGCTGAGACGGCTTGTTCGACGTTGCGCTCGAATTCCTCATCGCTGACTGTGAGACTGGTGCGATCCAATGTCTCGATGAATTGAATGGCGCCGGACTATATTGAGGATTAGCGATGGGCTTCATCAATTGAGACAGCGACGCATCTTACCAGTGAAGAAAGGTAGTAGCCTGCTTCGCCACCGAGCTTATCTTGGTTGCGGAAGCGCAGGATGTATTGAATATTTGAAACGAGATGATCGGGGTTCGCATGCAGAACCACGTAGATCAAAAGCGGAATGAAGGAATCGGCGGAGGTGTCTGCCTTTTTGGAATTTTTCAAAAGGCCAAATATTACCTTGCAGCAATTCAAAATACAGATGACTTTATCTCGAGGTGCCCGGTAGCCATTAAGCTTCAGAATCTCTATTTGTCTGGTAAGCAGATACCGACTTGGATGGTGGCAGGAACGGCTTACCTTGTTGTGCCAAGTTTAAGAAACGGCGTCCGCCACCGCTCACAGGCGGAATATCCAAGTGCTCTTCCTTGACCCAACTGTAAATGCGGATCTTCTGCGCCAAGATGTCATCCCGCTCGATGTCCTCCTGGTGCTGACCTCGCCGCCATGGCCCATGAAGCCTCTCAATTTCTCTTCGTCGACTGCGACTCACACTTCGTGGAATGCTTGGAGGAGCTGGAATTGCTGGAGCAAAGGTCTGCGTATACAGACGGTTCATGACAAGCTTCTCCATGCCTTCTTTGGCGTTATCGAATTCGCTGTCAGAAACATCCCGCCAGACCTCACACATAGCCATCTTATTTGTGATAAATGCTAAGAAATCGCTAATAATCTTGACTTGCTCATGCACCATCCATTGCTTCTTTCCAAACTCCATGAGGAATGAGCGTAGAAACTTGGCCACGGGGTCAGCGGTTCGATGACGCAGCTGTTCTAAAAACCTATGGAAATCGAACGGCTGATCAGGCTCGGGCTCTGGCATCGGCGGTACTGTTGAAGCCGATGATCGCCGCGTCAAAGTGGGCTCATCGGGGCCCATGGACATCTGAACGTATTGAGAGACCGGAGTGGATTGGCTCACCGGCGGGTGAGATCCTGGTGAGCCGGAGAGAAGAGGCTTGGTATGATCGAGACTAGATTTGCGAGGCGGAAAATAGTTCTGACCACCGCGGAACTGCTCAGCAAGCTCCATTCGAGGCGACATGATTTCTTGCTGGTCAGTGGTCCTATCAAGGTCCTGAAATTGGCCCAAGATGGTCTGGATCTCTGGCTGGGAATCGTTATCATCCCGTGCCCGCCCAGTTCGACGCCCTTGTCTTAATTCTGCATCACTATCACTAGGCACTTCTGGTAGCTCCTTTTCGGAGCTTGGGTCCGAATTTGGCTCATTTGTTTGCAACGCGGGGCCCGAGGAGGTTGTAGAGTTTGAGTGTCTGTAGGCATCGTCTTTCTCAGGCGGAGTAGGCGGGGGAGGTGTATTAGCCTGCAAAGACGGTAGAGTTTCGGGCGCGTCGCTTGCTGACACTGACAGCTTCTCCATCTGTCCCGCAAGCGGATCGGATTGGGACGGGGTTGATGGTGGGGGTTGAGCGGCGGGTGTTGAGTCGGCTGCGCCATCGCTGGGCTCACCAGGGGTTTGTGCCCCCTCAACGGCTTCCATAATCACGTCTTTTCGTTCCAAGTCTTTCGAGCTTTCATTCTGGCCCTCGGGGAGGGAGGGCAGAGTACTTGAGCTGTCGGGCTCTTCGTGGGCGGGTAGATCGTCCCTTGTCCCGACCGGAGAGGGCGAAGCTTCGGTAGCCGACATAAGCTATGGGCAGCATGCAGGCCTCGCCAACGTTCAGGAAATCCTAGCGTAGCGTTTAGGGGAGTCTTAGATTCTCATGTTGATGGTGCGGATCATCGTTCGGCCGGGAGGCCGCACCTCATTCACCTGTTGACCTTTAACTTGGTCAATAAAGCTTTAATGGCATGCAAGATTGAGAGCTTTAAGCATCTTGGCCTACATATGCTTTCTTTCGTCCCCTAGAAAGCTTCTGTGAAAGAAGTTCTCTTGAAAGATCGGCTCATTGTGTCTTTACTTCAAGTGTATGGGATGACTAAGTTTCTGCCCCAGGCCCCACTGGGCATAAAAAGCCCCGTCGCTGTCAACTCCACCTCCATTGCGCCTCAGCTATCATGTGTGGAATTTTTTTTCTCCTTGTCAACAAGGGCCACACAGCCAAATCGAGAAACCAGAGACTTGCTGAAAAAGCGCGGTCCGGACAGCACACAGACCCACACGGTGTGCAGGGAAGTCAAGACACAAGATGCAGTGTCCCAGCCATTACAGCATCTCACCTTTATCTCGACGGTGCTATCACTCAGAGGTGATCATGTTTACTCACAACCATTAATAGATTCATCAACCCAATCTGTGCTCTGTTGGAATGGGGAAGCTTGGAAGATCGGCGGCGAACCAGTCAGCGGCAATGATACTGAACGCGTTTTCAATTTGTTCTTGCGGGCCGTGAAAAGTGATGAATATAATACACCTCAAAGATTCGCTGAGTCTGTCGCAACTATCTCGGGCCCCTTTGCGTTTGTGTTCTATGACGCGATCAATGCGCGACTCTTCTTCAGCAGGGACTGTCTCGGCAGAAGGTCTCTCTTGCAGGGTTTTGAGGAAGACGGTAGTCTCAAGATATGCAGCGTATGCGACGGATCTTCCTCGACAGTATTTGACGAGGTAGGCTTTGCTGGAATCTACATGATCAATCTTGATGCAGATCGAGAGACATCCGCATCTCCCAAGGATCAGTACAAGATTGAGACTTTGCCATGGAGCTCTGATCCTGCTCCGCCTGCTGGTCATATTGTGAGCTTGCATATTGGCTTCGGAGTTACGTTCTCTAACGTGCAACGCAGAAGAATCCAATTCCGCCAATGAATATGTTGGTCCCACCAGAGCAACCGCCAGCATTGTTACAAGAGACTTCATCTGTAAAGGCATTGGAGACAAGGCTGCGTCAGTCACTTGAAATAAGACTGCGAGATGTGCCAACGCCTCCTGGCTATGTTTCAGGGAGCAGTGCCAAAGTCGCAGTGCTCTTTTCAGGGGGCTTGGACTGCACCCTTTTGGCTCGTCTCTCACATGATCTCTTACCAAGCAACGAACCGATCGATCTTCTGAATGTCGCATTCGAGAACCCTCGAGTCACGGCAGCAGCAAATTTGAACTCAAAACAACAGAAGACTTCATCGACATCGCCATCACCATCGCCCATCTCTGCCTATGAGGCCTGTCCTGACAGAATCACAGGCCGTTCCGCATTCGCAGAGCTCCAAAAAGCGTGTCCTGGGCGAATTTGGCGTTTTATTGCCATTGACATTCCCTACGCCGAAACATTATCACATCGAGACCAGGTCAAACGTCTCATGAGACCCCACAATACAGAAATGGACCTCTCCATCGCATGCGCCTTGTACTTTGCATCTCGCGGCCAAGGAACCATCCACATCCCCAACACAGACCCAGAACCTTACATAACCTCGGCGCGCGTTCTCCTCTCAGGACTCGGAGCAGACGAGCTCTTCGCCGGGTACGGCCGCCATGGTATCGCCTTCAACCGTGGCGGCTTTGAGGGCCTCATTTCTGAGATCAATCTCGACGTGAGCCGACTCGGACAACGCAATCTTGGCCGCGACGACCGCGTTCTTTCTCACTGGGGGCGAGAAACTCGCTTCCCATTCCTAGACGAAGATTTCGTCGCGTGGGTGCTTCGCGCGCCGGTTTGGGAGAAATGCGGCTTCGGACTTGCTGAACTGCCAGACTCCGATCCAGAGGCACAGACGATTGCCACGCTCGACAAAGAGAAAATGGCACTACGGCTTGTGGCTCTGCGACTGGGCTTGCAAAGCGTTGCTCGGGAGAAAAAGCGCGCTATCCAATTTGGTGCGCGAACAGCCAAGATGGAGACAGGCCGTACGAAAGGCACCGATACCCTGATATAAAACCTATAATCCTTTTTCCCTTCTCCTCTCCTATTGACTCATACCATTTTCGTTCCCTTCTCAACCCACGCCTCCCTCCCCCTGCTTTCCTTTCAAGAGTCCAGTCCAGCGGTGATGACAAAACATGGAAACAGATACTTCTGAAGCCTCATCCCACCTAGCTTGAAACTCGAGTCCAGATTTCTCGTCTTCTACTTTCATGCCCTTCATGGAGTACCACTCCATTTTCCGATCAAGGGGACTACTAACTGAGCATTCTTGATCCTCGTTTCTCCTCAGAGCAACAGCAGTCCGCTTGGGCGGCGCGTAGCTCGAGGCTTGATGAGGAGACTGGGTTGTGCAGTGAATGTAGTTCGTCTTGAGGGCATGGAAGCCGACGAGAATGCACGGATGAGGGGGAAGAGATGGGGCTTATGAAGGCGATAAAGGCAAGTCTGAGCTGGTAACCCGGGTATCTATCCAGAAGCATGACTCGTAGCTTTTAGACGCCGAAACAAGAAGCAACTCAAGATCGAAAATCTTCGAGACTGTAGACAAGCCTGTTGAGTCCCGATTGACGACGGTGATGAGCGCCATGGTGCGCCAATACTAATTACAAGCGGTTTCCACCACTGCTTTCTCCGTCCTACTTGACGAAAGGATGAAGAATAGATGATCCTCGGCACATACGCCGACAGCCAGATGAATTCTGAAACTCCTTTTCTTGAGATCCACAGTCCGCCACCTTCTCGTGCAATTATCTCTCAATAAACTAATGTCCAACTCCCCAAAATAAAAAAAACCCCGAACACCCTAACCATACAAGTCAATAGCTTGGCCCAGCATACCATCCAACCGATCCCTCATGGCCTCCACCTCCTTCATAAATAAAGGCACCTCCCCAATAACAGCATCGCCCAACGCATCAAACCCACTCTCCAGCATAGTCAGGATCGTGCCCATCGGCGCCGTGAACGGCGTCTGGGCTAGAATTTTATGTTTCCCAATAATAGTGCTCAACAGCGCCTCCTGAGATTGCACAAACTACACCAACCGCAGCAGTCAATATAAAACACAGAATTTCCTAGTTACCGTATGAAGGAGAACTGACATTGTGATAAGATGATTTGATACCCTCCTGCTCCGACGCAGAATACGCATGCGAAGAAGAAGTGCTAGTATCCTCCGTGATCTGGGTGAGTTCTTGTCTGATGTTGTCGATGACTTCCTGGGGGTGAGAGGTCAATTTCCCTTCCGACGCGTGGCTAAGACAGGGTTCTTCGCCTCACTGGGAGCTTGGTGTCGTGGTTCTCAAGATCGACTTCCTTGGCGAGATCGTTGGTATTGTCGGCCCATTTGGCCATGCCTTCGAGGTTTGTTTGTCTGGATTGGGCCATTTTGGGGGGGGTACTGTGTTCTATAGGATGGGGAGGATCTGATGGAAGAGGTGTAGGAGATTTGGGGTTCTGATTGAAGGGAACTTTTCTGGGTGGGGCGAGGATGTTCGGTGCTTTGTGAGGGGTGCGGAATGGGTGGTCTACGTCAGGGGGGGTTTCGTGTTATGGATCGATTAGGAGAACCATGAACCATTGATCTATTGATTTCATGCTGTAGTTCGCTAAGTACAGAAGACGATCGGTATGACCGGGCTTGGTTGCGGCCGAGTCAGCCGGCTCGGCTTTGTGGTGACAGGGATATTTGCAAAATACTGAGCCACAGAATTGAATAATTATAAGAACAAAAACGAGTTGAGTTTGAAGCAGTGAGATGGAATGGAAATTGCGTGCTGAGAAAGGAAATTAGATTCTCGAATTAAACAGTAGAACAGAAAAGCAAGAGCCACGAGTCAATCCCAGCGCGAGGGCGAGGGAGACAATCAGAACCGGCTAGCAAAGAATAATAGTGGAAACAATTTGAATAAGAAGCAAATACAGAAGGAGAAAGAGATCGGACGTCTCATTTCGAACTTTTGACAGACTCTGAGAAGGCAAACTCTGGAGCCTTGGTGAGACGTCGGAGGAGGATCAGGCTTGACCCATGCGCCGCGCCCACCACATCATGGAAAGACAAAGCATTCAACGCAGAGATAAAAAGGATACATGTCATGAAAACATTCACTGATAGGTCTGCTGAGCCTTCAACTGAGCCTTGAGCTTTTCGATGAGCTGGTCCTTGGCGGCCAGCTGCTCTCGCAGTTCGTTGATCTGGGAATCAGCGGCAGCCTGACGCTGCATCTTGCGAGCACGGGACTTCCGCGCGGCCTCTGTGTTACGAGCGCGCTTAGCAGCAATGGGGTCGCTGGTGTCGAACTCAACCGGAGAGAGCTCCTTGCGGGCTCGAGAAATACCCGAGACGGTGGAGTGCTTGGTAGAACCGGTGGCAGAGACAGGGGAGGCCTTGGCGACGACACGCTTGGGAGCAGGCGACGTAGGCAGCGCAGGCTTCTGGAACTGAGTGTCCTTGGTCTCGGAGACGGCCGGGAAGCCAAATTCAGCGTCGAAAGTGTTCAAGGCAGAGCCATCGTTGAAGAGTGATGGCCACTCAGAAGTCACATCCACGTCGGTGAACAGCGGAGAGGTATTCTGGCTAAAGGTACCAGGTGAATCGAAAGGCGGAGTGCTCAGATCAGTGAAAGCGCCCGAGGGAGGAACTGAGGTCTCAAACATCAAGTCCTTGGGCGAGACGGTGCCAGAGGGCACTGCAGGCGAGAAAGCGCCATGAGCCTCGTGGCCCAACGGAAGCTGGGTCAGGTCCAGTGGCGAAGCCATGCCGGCGTGGAACCCGGCAGAGGGCAGACCAAAGAGGTCGTAGTCGTTTTCTGATGGGACAGTGTGAGCGACTGACGCCGGAGCAGAGACGGACGGCACGGAGAAGTTACCTTGGAAGTTTGGAGTCGACATGTTGCGGCGATAGGCCAAGTAGCGTTGTTTTTGTTTGTCTGTGTATAAAGATGGGGTGGAAAAGCGGTTGTGCGGAGCGTGGTGCGAGGAGTGAGACCAGTGGGAAGGAGACCGGGGTAGCTTGGTCACTCTGGGATCTGGAACAGGAGAGCCAGGTAACTGCTGCTGAAGATGACGGTGCAACTGCAGACTAAAACTGTGTCGTCGTGGATTGTTTTGGGCCAAAAAGGGCTGCAAAGCAGACGGCTTAAGGGCAGAACTCGAAGGTGCTGGAGCACGCAAGTCTCTGGGACGAGGCTGCGGATGGGACACTGGAGCGGGATAGAGTACAAAGTCCTCTAGCGCACTGTTGTTGCTGTTGTGGTTGTTCAGACTGGAAGCCAAGGGCTGTGTGGGCGGGGGCGTGGGAAGCCATGATTGCTGGGAGTAATCCGTGGTGAACGACGTAAAGTCGATCGTGGTGGAGGTGTTGAGGGGAGAACTTGAGCTACGCGAAGCGATGCTGAAGTTCAGAGGTTCCTGAAAGGAAGACTCTGAAGAAGGTTGTTGAGGGGAGAGAAAAGACGTTATTCCCGTGGGATTAATGGTGTCGTTCTCGGTTGAGAAAGACGAGCTTGGAAGGGGGAGGCTTAGAAAGCGTCCATTTTGGCAATTGGATGTCAAAATTGGTTCAGTTGTAGGCAATATGGTGGAGATGCAGAAGATGGATATGATAGAAGTGGATGATGAAGCACGGGTGGATGGGAGGGAAAAAAGAAAAAGCAGGCATCCATTCGGGGGACTCAGGCACTTCTTAAGCAAAGTTCTGTGCGGTGGTGGAGCCCATCACCCAATCAGAGGAGAGAGCCGCATGGGGCTTAGTCAACGCCACGGTCACGGGGTGTGAGTCACACCGGTTTTGCAGCCTCTGATTGGTGATGAGGGCCCGGACCCGGTACATGCAGAGTACTTCAACTACTATGACGAAATCATGATAGATCCAAGTATAGATAAGTATAGTGGTATCGCCCAAGGGCATTGACCAATAATCGAGCTCCCTGTTCTACGTGAGGCATGTCCAGGCATCCGCACATCCGCGACGGTTCAGAGGGCCCCTTTCAAGAACTGAGGTTCCCCCGTGACAACCTATAGTTTGCGAACAGGCAACCTCAGAACCCTCCCGGAACACCGCTATCCAAGGACCTATCAACGAGGCACACCTGTCCTTTGATCGAGACAATCTACGGCGCTGATGCGATCCATCCTCGGGATCTCGCCGGAGAAGAGGCTGATACCTCCGACAAAGAAGTCAGAAGCCCCACCGATCTTTTCCCAATTGTCTCCCCGCCGTGGGCTGTGCCGTGGTCCGTGTGGCCCACGATGTGCGCTTTTGACCTAGCCTTGCCGAAGGGCGTGAAAATTGACTTTCGTGCACTGGCTATGATCGTCGATTCAGCACCATTATTTTTTTATTTTTTTTTTTTAAGAAGAAATCTTTGAGAACGTCGCCATTTCCTTTCTATTATGCAAAGGTCGACACATTCCCGGCGGCATTGGCCATTCCTTAGGCGTAAGCCCGGACTTGGGTCACCGTGAACCTAGAATTGCGCCCTGGGGCTGGAGGCTTACAAATGCGCCCGGGAGGCACATAGTGAGATTGATTGCTTGGCTGACTCCGAAAGCGCACGCTATCTTGCCGACCCGGGAAAGAAAAAAAAATTTGAATACTGGGTCCCTGTTCGCAATGTGCTCTTTGTGCGAAACAAGGCGTCTGCATTTGAAGCGAAGCTTAGTGTCAACCCAGGCATAGAAAAGCCTTAGGGCATGCCATAGAAGCCAGGGCGCGTCATTGTGGATCCTAGCAGTCTGACGTCGTTCCCGGAACATCTCTGAGAGCTCCCTAGTCCAGTGGTCCAGGTGCAGGCTGGACTAGATGATGACTGTTCCTCTTCACCGCTGATTACAAACATCCATCACATCGGGGTGACGGACTGGATCGAAGCCCTGGATTCTTGGTCCTGCAGATGTGAGATCAACAGCGCGACTCGATGGTTGCAGTCTAGATGCACCCCACAGAGCCCACCTGGGCCACGCATCGTGATGGAGACGATAGCATTGCTTGCATACATGATATGCAGGTTTCCACTCGACGCGACGCGACCCATGAATCACAGCGGACTACTACCTACAACAAGCTCGGAACGACTCCAGGCACTACGAGTAAAACATGAATGAAGAGAAAGATAATAAAAGCAAACGGAGACGATTCTATTAATTATTACCTATCGCAGTATGTGTCCACGAAGCATTAAGGAAAAAACCGCGCGAAACGGAGACAACGGTAGACAACATCAGAGGGGCAATTTGAACGGGACAGGTCCACGACAAATGAGACACCCTTCCTCCCTCCAGGGTATCCAACACGAGCAAAACACAAAACCAAACAGCGGCAAAGTGGTATCAATCTAGTCGGGCGACACACCACGTAACGCATAATGACGTCGCAAATCGAGAATCGGTTGCAGGACGCGGGTCATAAAAAGGAATGGAAGTGATGTCGATAGAGCACCACAATGATTATAGAGTTTTTTGGTGGGGGAGCAAAGAAAACAAAAAGCGACAGCGGGTATCTCATTGGCACCCCTTTCCAGAATTCACGGCCGAAGAGAAAGTTAGACCGTAATCGCGGGAAGAGGAACCAGTGGCGAGGCAAAAACAAACAAGCAATCGCAGAAAATGGTATCAAGTCCCGTATTTGCATCCTTCAGGAACTCAGGACGGGAAACACGAGTCCTTCTGGGTTAGGTTGAGTCGACGATGGGTAGGACAAATCCCACCATCGCTCGTACTCTTGACGCCCAGGAGACGCAATTCAAGCAGCAGCCTGAACGGGGGTGGCAGAAGCAACGGTGACGTTCTTGGGCTCCTCGGTGGCAGCCTCAGCAGGCTTGGAGGCCTCGTCGACGGCGGAGGTCTCCTGAGTGGCAACCTCCGCGGCGGCGGGGGTCTCTTCGGCATTGGCCTCCTCAGCCTTGTCGGCATTGGTCTCGGCCTCGGCAGCCGCAACCTGCTCATTGTCGAGCTTGACAGCCTTGCTGTTCTTGCGGAAGAGACCACCGAGCTTGTTGGCCTTGACCTTGGTCTCCTTGCCCTCACCGTCGGTAATCTCAGTGTCGGAGGTCTCGGCCTTCTTCTCCTTCTTGCCGAAGGCGCCGAAGAAGGAAGTGCGGCGCTTGTCCTTGAGGGTGGGAGTCTCAGCAGCAGGGGCCTCGACCTCCTTAGCGGCCTCCTCAGCAGGGGCGATGACAGTCTCAGGCTCAATGGGCTGGACGGCAGCCTCCTCAACGGGGTTCTCCAGCTGGGGAGCGGAGCTGGAGATAGCCTCCTCAGTGAGGGCGGTAGCATCCTTCTCGGACTTCTCCTGAGCGGGGCTGGTCACCTTCTGGAAGAAGTTGCCGAAGATGGAAGAGCGCTTGTTCTTCTTCTCCTCCTTCTTCTCTTCCTTCTTCTCCTCCTCGGGCTTAGCCTCCTCAGTAGTCTCCTTGGGGGCTTCCTCGGTGCTCTCAGCAGCAACAACGGGGACGGCTAGAATAAAGTTAGACGAATTTTGTGCCAATGTCAGATGTGGAGGAAAACATACCCTCGGTGGTCTCCTCGGTGGCAGGAACAGCGGCAACAGCCTCGACGGGGGTCTCAGCGACGGGCTCGGTGACCTTGGTCTCCTCCGCGGTCTCCTCCTTGGTCTCCTCAGGCTTCTTCTCCTCGTTCTCCTTCTTGCCCAGGAGGGTGCCGAAGATGCTGGCGCGCTTGCGGGACTGGGAGCGGCTCTTGGTAGCAGCCTTCTCCTCCTTGGGTTCCTCGAGCTTGGCCTCTTCGGTGGTCTCCTTGGGGGTCTCCTCCTCGATCTCGGTCTTCTTGGCGGCGGCGACAACAGTGGCGGGCTTGGTCAGCTTCTCAAGCTCGGCCTTGTAGCCCTCACCGGAGACAATGGTCTCCTTCTCAGCCTTGGCCTCGGTGGACTTGGCCTCGATGGCGGCGACCCAGCTGTCACGCTCAGCGGCGCTGGAGGCCTGGAAAGTGTGCTTCTGGCCAGCGACCTTGAACAAGAACTCGTTGGAGCCCTCCTTGGTCACATCGGAAACCTCAGACTATTCATCACATAAGTTTCAAATCGTGGTCATTTCATTTGCAGTTGAACATACCAGGTTGAAGATGCCAGCCGGGGTGGCCTTGTCCTCAGCGCGCTTGGTGAAGAACAGGAGACCCTTGCCGGTCTGGGTGGCCCAGGCAGCGGTGGGGTTGGCGTGAGCCGCCTTCTCGTTCTGACGGAAGACAGAGAGCTGCTTGGCCTCAACAGCCTCGTCGTTGAAGTAGAAGAAGCGCTTGGCGAAGCGGAAGCCCCTATGCGACAATCCTGATTAGCTGATAATTTCATCCTCGCATAGCTCTGCGCTCAACTCACTTGACCAGACCGGGGGCCTTGTAGCCGAGGGTACCCTCGGTAGCGGGCTTGATCTCCTCCTTGACCTCCTCAGCAGGCGCAGCAGCCTCAGTGGTCTCAGCCGCGGTCTCCTCCGTGGCCTCGGTCTCCTTGGGAGCCTCAACAGCAGGAGTTTCGGTAGCAGGAGCCACGGCGGGAGTCTCAGTGACAGGGACGACCGCGGGGGTCTCCTCGATCTTCTGAACGTCGGACATGATTAAAAAAAAAAGGGGTATTAATGGGGGTATCGATTAAAAGAAGCTGAGCTTCGGAAGAAAAGGCGTTTGGGTATCGAGGGTATCTTGAGAAAAGCAAAAGAAAAGAGCTGGAAGCCCGGGTATCACAACGTAGGAAAGGGGGGGGTATCCTTGGAAGAAGAAAGGGAAAAAAGGGAGGGAAGGGCGAGAAAAAAGAATGAGCATGGGGGGGGGGCGCTTGTTGACACTCAAAGCGGAAAGGAGCTGCAGGGAGCCCAGTCCTTGGTGGGGTCCTGCACTTAGCTAACGGGCTTCAGGGGGTAGACATACTTGATTTGTTTTTATTAATTTTAGTAGCATGGTGAAATTTCGATCCATTTCGATCATATAGTTTCATTTTTTGGGTCGTTTCTGCTGTATCTGCATGAAACAGTCCAGTCTGTGATGAAATTCGACCCGTGGGTTATTACCCCATGGCACCAGACTAAGTACCAGAGGAGAAAGAAAAAATTACAATATAGTAAGTACGAATTTTTTGTAGACTAGCATCACACCATGAACTTGTTCATAGATAGCCCCTAATTCACCCGTCCTTGTCGGGTCCCATCCCGTGTAAAATGTCTGCCTTTGTTCACTTGAAACCCAGTCGGTCACCCGATTGTAATCTCAACCGCCATTGACTCCTGTCGCACAATTTAAAGGGGGAGCCACTCCCAGCTCCTCTGGTCCCCTTATTCCTTTTGACCTAAGTACCCCGCCTCGAAGTACAGGAGGGGAAACAGGATCAGAGAGGGGGCTCCAGTCTGCCCTTCTGCATGGTGATCTGCTAAGTTCAGGCTCGGATTCGCTTGCATGGCGCTGATCCTGAGTCGGATCCTAGTTACCGGTCCTCTCCTTCCCCAGTGGCGCCTGTGTCGAGAGAGAGAGAGAGCATCTCATGACTCCCCCCAAAGTTTCATCTCTATCGCTCCAGTGGCGTGCGATCCCTCGTGGCCAACCAGCACCGTTGCACCAACCTTCGGTCGTCATGATACCCTATCATCTCATTCCATCACCTCATCTATACTGGGGTCCCATGATTGTCCTTGTCTTTACGTGATACGCGTATCACCGGAGAACACAGACGGAGAACAGTATTCTTGAAATTTCGGATCCACTGACGGGATCGATATTGGTCCCGATTGTAGTCCTCGTCTCCTGTGTATACTGTAGTTTTTCTCTTTTTTTTCACGGTTCTAGATGCTTCGAGCTAGTCGTATGAGCCCCACCGAGTGGTCCCGTGTCTTAAGCCATCTATCGTGGTGGCTGGCCAGCCCTACTCCTACACGATGTGTACGAGATGTTATTGGGTTTGGCTTTTGTTTCGGATTTTCGGTCACCTACCATGGGATGCCCATTTTCGATCGTGACTCATGAGCCCTTGGCTTTGGACGGTAGTCCCAAAGACGGAACATTTCTAGTAATGATAGCCCACACGGCTAGATCCACTTGGACATGCCCAATGATGCACTGAGGCGGGCCCCTTTTTTTTCAGTTCTACCCGGGCTAAGCAACTCTCTGCCAATCCAGACCACGTTCCGTCCTTTCTCCGACCTCTTCGCTGAGACCCGTCAATGGCCAGCGCCGTTGTAGATCATGATGCCGTAAATTCTTTGCTGTCAGGTTTGCCGCCCTGCAAGTATCATGCCGCCAAGGAGAGACCGCCTACTGTAGCCCGTTATCACGGCGTCACGGACATGCTCGCATGTCAGTCGACAGGTCTATCGTGAAGATCCCCTCGGGGCAATAACTTGCGGTGTACCCTATCTGTGTCTGGGCAAAACCTTCGCGTCCATCTAAGCTCACCTCCCAATTCCTGTCGTCGATTCTAGTGTCTACTAGCCCAAACACCCATTTCGCCGTAACCATGGCACCCTTTGATGAGGATGCGCGCTGTTTCGCTCCATGAATATCGGGTGGGCTCAAAGCGCTAGGCGCCCCGGTGCCCTCTAAACCTGATGTCTGACCGACGGACTTCTCCCGATAAAGGAAAAGAAAAGAAGTTCGTCGCGAGGACCACCGTACAAAGTTACAGCCCACCCACGGAAAATAGGGGATGACTCCACACAAGCTCGTAACTGACCCATCTACTTTTTTCTCTTTTTTACTTTTTTTTTTCTTTATTGCGGCGTCAACAAGGAGGCCCAATGATTGAGGCCCTGGCACCATCCTGCTCGATCCTAGATTCCCTCCGAAGCGACTGGCTCTAGTTTATAGATTCCAGACTGCAAGGCATGAGTTGCTTTGTGACAGCTCATCTGCCTCAGGCGAAGAATGTCACATGCCTTACCTTTCGCTGTCACGTGTGTTGAGGGGCTCGCTTACCACTAGCGCGGATGCCGAAAGTACTTAATAGGCCTGAATGCCCGCCCCTTCCACTCCTTTTTTCTTTCTTCTTCATACTTACCTTGTTTGGGTGGCTGCGATCAACACTGCGGCCCACCACAGATTGGTCCCTGCATTGCACATCGCGGCGGAACAGTTTGTTCAGCGGGCTTTTGGTCCTCTGACAGGCGCATTCTTTGGCACTTTCCACCTCGTGGACCTTTCTTTTCATCAACTCCTGGGTCAGTGACTCGGACTTGGAGAAGAGACATCTTTCTCCGCACTTAGCCTAGCTTATCTAGGTCCTCTTTAGTCGTATGTATTACTACCGTTAGCTTCATTGCTAGCCTGTCTGGATTTGGCTCGCCCCCAGGACGTTACTTCGCATCAAATTCGCGAGCGCATTGCAAGGTTTGTCACCTTTACGACTACGCTCTTATTCGTCTTCTCTCTCCTACGAGTAAACGTTTACAATTTCGCCGTCCATTTCCTTACGGAAATACGAGAGGTCCAGTTCGGAGCCACTTCGATCAAGCTCGAGAGAAGACAACAACTCATAATTAATCCCGCCGGAAAGAGACACTCCAGTGATCCGTAGTCTTCGGAGCGTTTTGTCGAGAACTCTAGAATATCCGCACCGTAGAATCACCGATCTGGGAGTTTCGCGAGACCGACTGCGCAGAGTTTACGGCCTCTTCAGCGGGTGATTGTGGCATGTATGGCCAGTGTTAATCGAGATCACAGGTTGATTTCGTTTGCATACGGAGAGAGATAGATGCATATACTCAAGGTCCACCCGGTGTCATGACTAACAGTATATTCCTGACCGAAGTGAAGACTCGTCTTGGTGAGCTGATAGATTATGAACACAGATAGTCAGACAAATCATCAAATGAGTGGAATTGCAATGCTAGATCCATCCAACTATCGATGATATGCATTATCCAGGTTCGCATTGATGTGCTACGTGCAAATGGGCTCTCCAGTATCAGGTTGATGATAAGGGGACCTTATCAAGGCTTCAGCGCTAGGTGTATGGGCAGAACGAGCGAGTGGCGAGATAGAGATAGCACGATTAACCCAACTCACGATAGTAAACATCGTCTATGAACCAATGCCGGACCATTTCCTGCGGCCAAAAGATGGCACCCGCACACGTGAGCGGCCTTGAACCGGACCGACTTATGATTCTCCCCATCATTGCGGGAAGGCCAATCACCTCTCATGATGACCACTCCAAAAATGGAAGTCTCATCCATAGTCCAGCATCGGGCTCGGAAAGGCCCAAAATTAAGTGTCGATGTCACTGTCTACACACTCCAAGCGTCTTACTGCTGAGGATTTTCCGGCTCAAGCTACGTCTTCAATTAGAGCACTCTCCTCCGGCGCAATTTTATACAATATTCGCCACGATAAGAGCTTTTTGCAAAACCCGATTATTAATGCCACTTTACCTCTTTCGGGAAAGCAAACCCTTCATCCTCTGTCGGTTTACCTACCCAGACGGTCCGGTTCACGGTGTACAAGCCGATGCGGGGCGTCAAGTGCTTTCACCAAGAGTGACCACTATATCATCATGGCGTGTTGCCTGCGGGGCGAAAATTCCCTTCCCCACAGAAGAAGAGCTTCCGCGATCTAGTGCATCAAAGGAAGCGCCCTCATCTTCTCAAAGGGTTCAATCGCTTCTTCATAATGGCACCCAGCCAACGCGTTGTCATCATCGGCGCCGGAATTGTGGGCACCAATATCGCTGACGAGCTGGTCTCGCAGGGATGGAGCGATATCACTGTCGTTGAGCAGGGCCCCCTACAAATGCCGGGCGGCTCGACATCCCATGCCCCAGGCCTCGTATTTCAGACTACTCCTTCCAAAACGATGACCAACCTCGCTCGCTACACTATTGAAAAGCTGCAATCACTTGAGAAGGATGGACAAAGCTGCTTTAATCAGGTTGGTGGTCTTGAAGTCGCGACAACTCCGGCTCGATTAGAGGACCTCAAGCGCAGGCATGGGTATGCTTCTTCTTGGGGAATTGATGCTCGCCTTGTGAGCACTGATGAGTGCCTCACGATGTATCCCCATCTGAACAAAGATATGGTGCTAGGAGGTCTCCACGTTCCTACCGACGGCCTTGCGCTTGCTGCTCGTGCGACACAGCTGCTCATTGAGAAGACGAGTAACGCCGGTGTTCGCTATATAGGCTCAAATCCTGTCACTGGTATTGAGAAAACCGGCCGCCGAGTGACAGGCGTGATTACTCCCACTGGCACCATACCCGCCGACATTATCATTTCCTGCGCCGGATTCTGGGGTGTCGAGATTGGCGCCATGGTTGGAGTATCAATACCCCTCCTCCCACTAGCACACCAATACGCGAGGACGACAGATGTGCCGGCTCTTGCGGGACGCGAAATCAATAAAAAAATGAACGGAATGAACGCAACCCTTCCTATCTTGCGACACCAGGACCAGGACCTTTATTACCGCGAGCACGGTGAACAATATGGAATCGGTTACTATGGCCACCGACCTATGCCGGTCGTCGCGGGATCCTTGGGACCGACTGGCAAGGATGTCGACGAAAAGAACATGCCCTCTCGCCTTGAATTCACGCCCGAGGACTTCGATCCCGCCTGGCAGGAGTCCCAGAAATTGTTGCCCATTTTGAAAGGTACCAAGCTCTCCGACGGCTTCAACGGTATCTTCTCGTTTACTCCGGATGGTGGTCCTATCTTTGGCCAGGCACCTAATGTGGATGGATTCTGGGTGGCCGAAGCTGTTTGGGTAACGCACTCTGCCGGTGTTGCACGAGCCATGGCAGAGACCTTGACAAACGGCCGCTCCACGATAGATATGACCGAGTGCGAACTGTCTCGCTTCGAAGAAATCCAGCTGAGTCGCTCCTATATCAACGAAACCTCAGCACAGAACTTCGTTGAGATTTACGATATTCTCCACCCATTGCAGCCGAAAGAATCTCCTCGAAAGCTTCGCACAAGTCCCTTTTATAGCCGGCAAAAGGAGCTCGGTGCTTTCTGTCTCGAGGTCGGCGGCTGGGAACGCCCCCAATGGTATGACGCGAACGCGGATTTGGTCAAGTCCCTTCCAGCGGAGTGGAAGCCTGTCGACCGGGATGCCTGGTCAGCGCAATTCTACTCTCCCATCACTGCTGCAGAGGCTTGGAAGACACGTCATGCCGTGGCAATGTTTGATATGACCACTTTCCACCGATTTGAGGTCACCGGTCCCGGAGCTGTCACTTTGCTCCAAAGGCTGTGCACCGGGGATGTCAACACCAATATAGGAGTCATCACCTATGCTCTCCTCCTTAATGACCAAGGCGGTATCCGTAGTGACATCTTCGTGTCAAGACTCGCCGAAGACAGGTTCCAAATCGGTGCCAACAGCGCAATCGATCTAGCGTATCTCACCCGTGAAGCTCGTCGCCAAGGACAATGGGTCGAGGTTCGCGACTTAACCGGCAGCACCTGTTGCATCGGTCTCTGGGGTCCTCGGGCACGAGATGTCATCAGTACCATTATTAGAGACGATTTCTCCAACAAGGACCTGCCTCACTTGGGTGTCAAGGACGCCATTCTCAACGGCATCCCGGTCATAGCCTTCCGCAAATCTTATGTCGGAGAGCTCGGCTGGGAAATCCAGACTACCGCAGACTACGGCTTACGGCTGTGGGATACTATATACCAAGCTGGCAAGAACCATGGACTCATCGCCGCGGGCCGTGGCGCTTTCAACTCTCTGCGCCTGGAGAAGGGTTATCGAATTTTCGGCGCCGATATGACCACAGAGCATAATCCCTATGAAGCTGGAGTCCAATCTGCCATTAGATTCAGTAAATGGGAGGACTACGTCGGGCGATCGGCACTCGAGCGACTGGCCCAAGAAAAGCCCACTCGTCGTCTGCGCTGCCTGACTGTCAATGATGGCCGATCCATGATCCTAGGTAAAGAACCCGTGTTCCACAATGACAAACCTGTCGGCTATGTCACCAGTGCAGGGTTCGGTTTCACTGTTCATAAGCCTGTCGCATATGCCTGGCTGCCGAGCAAGCTGGACGAAGGCGACTCTGTCGAGATCGAGTACTTCGGCCGTCGCATCAAGGCCACTGTTACCGCAGAGCCACTGTACGATCCCGATATGAAGCGCCTACAAGATATCGGGCCAGCCGTCGTTCCTGCGACGATCAGGTCTCGGCTGTAATAGACCATTCAGCATTCCGATTTATTCCTGTCAGTTCGTGTTTAGCGACGCGTTTGGCGACCACAAATGGTTACAGGTTTCAATGTAGTCAATTGTTATGAGATACTGAACATATTCAATGACAGCACGACCACGTCTAATAATGAGCGTGTCCATTGCATGGTCTTTTGCTGGGCGTAAAAAGTTCCATTTCGTCGAGTATGAAGCTAGCCGTTGATATGACGTGTGACTCAAAGCTGTCGCCACACGTGTGGCGGTTCCTCGTTCAGACCTCGAAAGATCCACGCTTCACGAGACTTAAATAGCCGGGTTTCTCTGCTCCCTTGCATCGACATCGCACATTCCTACCATCTAATACCTCCCACATTTCGTGTTCCTCAAACCCACCCTACAACCATTGTCAAAATGCCCGTTCCGACCGCTGAACAGTACGACAGAGAGCAAGCCAACGCACGTCAAGTGGCCTCCGCGGGCCACATTTCTACAGACAACAGCAGCGGTCGTCAGCTTGGAACCGGCACGGGCGGCACTGTGAGTGCGCCCGGGTCATCTTCTTCACAGGATGCTAGCGCACTCAGCAAAGAGGAGGCCGACCGACTGTTTGAGGAGCGCATGGAGGAGGAATATGCCAAAAGAGAGGGCGGCGCATAGATGTGACCGTCGTTTTACCGACATATATTCTCGTCCACAGGCGGTTGCAAGTCGTTGCGGCTTTATTTGTCATCGTGGTCCTCTGCGCTGGTGATGCTACGTGCGACTGTCTTTGCGCCCAATATTTGCGATAAATGTACAATATTTCTCTGAAATCAATGAAGGTCACTATAATGACTACAGAACATGCTCTCCTCTCATGTAGAATGTTTGTAACGTAAATATCACGATACTAGTAAATCTCACGATACTACTCTGCTCCCTTCCTTGACGCCACAGCGGGGACCAGACCATGAGTCAACGCGCAACCCATGCATCTCTAGGCGAGACCCCATCAAACATCGTAGCATTCACCTTGTCGACATCCTCTAATCTAAGATTCAGATACTATCATCATGAAGAGCGACCCTAAAGCCGTCAAAGATAGTTTCTTTCCTCGCCAGGAAACAAGAGTCATTGTTCCTGCCAAAGTAGACTCCATACGAACCACGAACTTGTACTTGCGGCCCCTCGAAATCGGAGATGCTGCCGCACTCTTTGAATACCGATCTCGACAGGATGTGGCAGATTGGCTGTAAGATCACTCAACCCCTCACCCTGCAAAACTCAATGAATCCAATTGACTTGTGTTCCAGATGGCCTAAAGTCCCTCACCTAAACATCCAAGAGACAGAAGCCAATATTCGAGACAAAATCTTCAAAACCCCCCGATGCATCTGGTGCCATAGGACGACAATTTGTATTCGCCGTGATCTCAGCCACTGATCCAATGCAAAAGGTTATCGGCGCCGTTGGGATTAACGGCCTTGCACCATCTCCATCACTTGGATACGGCATCCATCCTGATTACTGGGGGAAAGGATATGCGAGCGAGGCGGTGGCTGCCGTAGTTGATGCGTGGTGGAAACTTCCCAGAAAAGAAGCAGAGCCTAGGATGGAATTGAATGGGGGAACGGAGAAGTTGTTTGCTGCAGCGAATAAAGCTAATGTTGGCAGTGTCAAGGTGCTGCAGAAGAATGAATTTGAGATCATTAGCGAGGCTCCATTGGATGGAGATACAGTTGCTACATTTGTACTAGAGAGACCTGGCAGATAGCACCAGCACATCAAATCTGCATGATTTATGTAGTAGCCTAGCCTATTTGTTTACGTACCATGACCAATGAATATATCATTCGGTTTGTCGTCTCCATGAAGTCAGTTCTGAAGCATCACGCATCACTCATCAAATGAAGAACACGATCAATCCTTAGGAGCTTGAATAAAAGCCCCAAGTCAACCAGACCAACCAGTGCTACTCCAATCCACCCAAGTGCCATCGCGGCGGCTCCAACATCACCGGCAACTAGACCGTAATTGAGGGTTTCGGCCATAGAAGCGGTAGCGCTGCTGTTGATATGCTGCCAAAGCGCGGATATCAGGCCGAAGGCGAATCCCACAGTCGCAGCACCCATGACGGCATAGTATGGCCCGTTAGAGGAATCTTTGACATTCACTTCAGAGCTGCTTTCCTCGCGTGCAGTACGATACTCGGGAAAGGTGCTGCTAACTATGAAGCAAATGACAGCCATGGCCACGACAATAAATCTATGTGTCGACACTGTTGCAATCGCTCTGGAGTTTCGGGGGTTCAAGTATTGTCTAATGGAAGTGGGAGCACTGACAGCAGTCCGTCAAACACGATCTTGTCCTTGAAATCGGCTGCGATATGGATCAAATTGAGCGGGTCGGCTGTACCGTGGGTGCTATTTGTTGCACTAGTTGAAGACAACTTCAGCATGTTTGCCAGATTGGTTGCACTCGAGGAGCAAGTTGTCACATCATCATTCTGCATAATACAGAGTCCCATATCTCCCACTCGAACCTCAAGGGGGTACTTTCTTTTGCGGCCAGTGTAATGTTTTGAATTGCATGGGCAATTGATGTACTGACTATTGCCGGATCAGATATGGCGAGGGAGCTTGTAGCCTTATAATGAAGCGACAACAGATATACACTGCTGAGATGGGCGGAGCTACACCCAGCAAGCAAAATTGCTAAACGGCATGTATGAGCCATGGTCACTGGATACTTGCTTTCCCATCGAAAACTGGTGAAATTTCAAATCTTAGAGTAGAACGACTGCAATGATTAGGATTATCATCAAAATATGATAAAAGCCGATCGAGACGAGAAAAAGGTCTGTGGAAGGTTGCATCGTTTCAGCAGATATCTGACCCCGCTTTACTCGAGAAGACTCCCGTACCCAGGGTCCCCAGCTTTATGGTCCTCCCGCTTCTTATGCTCGAGCCCCGTCCGGACATGTTGATGTTTGCAAAGCCAACACACAGCGATGAATCAAAAATTACCGTAGCGTGTCGTGAAGTTTACTCCAGCTTGTTCTAAGATGATGACCAGAGAACCCTTCAGCTGAACTTTGGCTTCAGCTTCACTGAAGAGTGCAGTGGGTCTAACTATATTGGGATTAGTGAATACGATATGGTGGCTGATTGTGCCAAGGCTATTCGGCTATGGTAAAGCGATGCTCTCAAGATCGCCTTTATTAAGCAGTATTTAGCTATCTTGGGATGAGCACTGTACTATGGTCAAAGTATGCAAAGATTGATTCCTTGGCCCTTGACGGACATTCATGCAAACGGGCTAGACATGGTTAGGTCACACCCTCAGAACTGTTTCGAAACTGCAAAGTGCGAGAGATCAACTAAAAACCATCGAGCTGGTGAGAAGTACTTGCAGTCCGCTAGTTGAATCTTGAACGTGCAGAGAACCTCACTACAGCAATAGCTCCCAAGACAAGTATTGCAATCACCGAGATTCCAACAGTCACTCCAACCTTTATGCCAGTGTCCAAAGGAAGAGTCCAGATAATTGGAATCAAAATCACGGTGGCTGGAGTAATCAGCAAGAGAAGTAGCAAGAGAAGTCCCCTTTGGATCCATCGAGGAAGTCTGCTTGGAGACGTAGAAAACATAGAAAATTGTGGCCACGCATTGTGTGCATTTGGATCTACCCTCATCCAAAACGGAGCACCTACAGTGACAATGAATGCGAAGACGATTCCGATACTCACTGCAGTTCGGATACCAGAATCTACATTCTTCGCCCAAAGAATTCCAATTGGTAACCCTAAGATGAGTCCGATCAACAAGAAAAAGCTGACAACGAAACCCAGTTCTCTGTAGAGCCATTCAAATGTCACCCACAGACTCCTGGCAGACTTTTCAAGAGTCCATTTGTACAAGTGGACGATATTCAATTCAAGAGTCCATTTGTACAAGTGGACGATATTCAAGGCCGTGGCGGTGAGTGCCCATGCTAAGATGAGACGGACTGAAAGTGAGCGTGGTTGGACCGATTTGCCGTGCTTTTCTGCGTACTTTCTGATTTCGTACTTCATCTCAATTTTCATCTCATTGAACCACTGGCTGCGCACAACAATTCGCATCAAGTACGAGAAGCTCGTCACCACGGCGGCTACAACAAAAAAGTACCAAACAGGGACTGGATTGGCAAATGGTTCAATTTGCATTCCGAAGACCGATGCGGCGAAGGAGAGGGAATGAATATGAAAGCCAGCTCGGTAAGTCTCGTCACCGCATGTGCCTCGTCAATGGAGCGTCGACTATCCAGCAAAGCCATGTTAGATGCCAAAGAGGCCGAAGTGGTCCGGAGGCGCTCAGCCATTCGATTGATGTCTTCCAAGAGGTTCTCCAAATCGGGAGGAAGATCGTGCTCCGTGGCTCCTCCCCTGAGCTCCTGGGAATCGACTTTTTGCAGAAAGGTCACGAAAGGCCTTATAGATTCACTGATTTCTGGAAGCTCCCGTTGGGCCCGATTGATAAGCTGACGCCATAGAACGAGGCGGTCTTCCATTCTCACATCATCCAAAATCTCAACATCAACTTCATCCAGAATTTTACGCAGCTGGTTGAGAAGGGTCAAAGTATCTTGGCGAATGATTTGAAGCAATGGCTGGGTCAGATTGAAATGCCCAGTCCCGATATACATGGTATCACGGATCTCATCCAGTGTAGATTTTGTGTGGGTCAAGGCCCCAAAATTCATGGTCGAAAAGCGTTCTCGAAAGATTCGGTCCAGGTCAATTTTCACCTCTTGGCGGGGGGCCATCTGTTCAATGATGCATTTCGTTCTCGTTGTCGTAGGGACGTGTGGCTGTCTGGAGAAGCGGGTCCGGGTCCAAATTTTGTACCCGCTCTTTTCATTCACGCGACCCGGCAAAGCATCTTCATCCCAAGTACCTACACGAGCTTCCTCGTGTTCATCATTGCTTGTTTGTCCGGGAAGTGGCCCTGGAACCCCTGGAATCGCATATACTTCGTTTCGTTCCCAAAGGTCCCCCGACTCCTCGATGTTTGGCAAGGGATCAAGAAGTGCAATCACTAGAATCTCGCTCAATATCAACCAGCCCTCAGGATTTGAATATGGAGGATCTCACCAACTTGACAATCTTGATCAGGAAATTTCCCGGTCCAAATAGAAATCTTTTCCTCCCAACCATATTCTCTTTTTACTCGTGTTGTCTTGGCCGGATCGGTCCATAAACCCCACCCTGAACGGAAAATATTTGTTATGGACTGAGAAGTAATCTTTCCGCGATCAGTGAAATGCTCCGTCTGATATTTGAAAAGATCTGAAAGATCTTGGCTGGAGAAATACGTCGGGGTTCGCCAGACCGGTCGATACCATTTCATAGAGATATACGACTTCTCCAAGGATGCTGTCTTCCATAGCTTGGCTGGTGTCTGCTCATAGTTCGCACCGGAGTATCCCGAATTCAGCAGATGCTCCTCGAAGAATTCCGGGTTAATGCCGAATTCTTCACCAAGCTTGTGAATCACTCGCTCAGAAAGATCCTCCACCAAAATGAGAAGCCTTTCGGTATCAGGAAAATCAACCAGAGATGGCATACTTCCGGCATCAGTGACGGGCCATCTGGGTAACTCTTGGTCAACACAATCATAGTAGATGAGTGAGACCCTTTCGTTGCGGGGTCTGGCGCGCACATTTCCATGTCTGATATGATCTAGTACCTGGCCTGCGTTTTCAAGAACCTCTGTATAACTGATGCGAGTGGATACTATTTCGGACTCCTCTCCCTGGATGCTTTCTTGACCTATCTCTGAGTACGTGGGTTGACCCGTTTCTGAGTCTATGGGCGAAGGGGGCAATTCGGCAGCAGATGGTATCAAAGGTGCACCCAGTCGATTAATTACATCAAATGAGGCTTCAGATGTCTCGTCGTCAAATATTCGATCGTTTGAAAGCTCGCCCAAGCCTGCATCATCGTCGGTCGCAGTAGACCCTGTCTGTGACTCAGGTAGAACGATTGCTTCGGGGAAGATCCCATGCGAGAGGGAATCACCATGTAAAATATCCTCCAATGAGTCCCTGTTGTCTATCTCTGTGTGAGAGACTCGTTGCTCCTCTATCACAGATCCGTTAGAATGGGCCTCTTCTCCATAGCGGGGTTGAAATTCAGCCTCTTGGGCCTCTTCAGCCACCGGTGGCAGACTCGATCGCTGTAACCACGCATGTAGACGAGGGGATGAAGAATCCATCAGTCACGGAATGAGTTTGGAAAGGAGATCTGGTTAGCGACTCCGCAAGATGTTGCGTCTTACCTGAGTACAAAATCAGGCCGTGTTGACGAATATGAGATCACGTGCTCGGTGCGTCTGAATTATATATCGTGATAAGGAAATTGCTGACAACATGTGCTAGCGGTGCATCCAATGATTTGGCGCTTTGGGATAGTTACGTAAGATTTTCAAAGCGCAGCATGGCAATCGACATACGCTTTCTCTTCCAAGTACCCTATGTGTTCTCCTCCTCTGTAGTCCCACTATCCCCAGTTGCCAATCTGTTTGCAGACAGATAGGCAGAGGCGACTTCCCCTTTGCAGTAGGTATTCATTTTCATGTGATTCGCTCGTGGTTCTCGGGGGAGCGAAGAAACAGCAACTCAGGATATAACCAAAACCGGCTTAGTTCATTTTTCTTGGGTATATTTAAATTTAACTGTTTTGTTTTTACTTTACAATGTCGGATAAAACTAATGAAAATTGGATATTCCTCCCTCGAATTTAGATAAATTCAAGCTCTGATCTTGTCCTTGGTTATTGACAATTCCTAGACACATTGATCCATGCCTGAGGCAGTGAGTTCGCTGCACGTGATATCACGTGCGCTGCGGCCAGCTTGACGAGAGCCAGGAGGAGCTTCCGCATAGGACTCGATCACCGCTTATCATCCGTGTCCCTCCTTTCTCATAACTGATCCTTTCGCTGGATCTTTCCTTCACTTGAGTTCCCCCTGGTGGAAAGGCAAGGCTTCAGAAGATTCCCTTGACCACCATGGCTCCACCGGATACCTTCTTCCGCTCGTCGGACATGAGCCTGACCCAGCTCTACATTGCCAACGAGATCGGAAGAGAGGTTGTAAGCGCCCTGGGAGAGGTCGGCCAGGTGCAGTTTAGAGATGTGAGTTTGGTCTCAGGCACCCGTACCTCAGATTTCCCCGTGTCGTGAAGCGTCCTCGCTAACTTAGCCTGCAATCAGCTCAACCCCGACACCAATGCCTTTCAACGCACTTTCACCAAGGAAATCCGTCGGTTAGACAATGTTGAGAGACAGCTCCGTATGTTTGACTCATCCCTCATTATCGCCGTGGTGCGCTTAGTGGACAAACTGCTAAACCCCGCCCTCCCGTCATAGGCTACTTCCATTCGCAAATGGACAAGGCGTCCATTTCGATGAGATCTTCCTCCGAATTTTCCGACACCCTAGCTGCCCCTCTAGCTTCGGAGATCGACGAACTGGCGGAACGCAGCGAGAGCTTGGAACAGCGGATCGCTTCCCTGAATGACAGCTACGAGAGCCTGAAGAAGCGTGAAGTCGAGCTCACTGAATGGCGCTGGGTTCTCCGCGAAGCTGGTGGATTTTTTGATCGGGTCAGTGCCGACTCTCTCCCAAACGGCCTGATGAGCCTCATAACGTATGGAGACTAATCCCAACAATAGGCCCACACCCAGACGGAAGACATTCGCCAATCCTTCGATAACGACGAGGCTCCTCTTCTCCGCGATGTCGAACAGCACGCTCCCCGTGGTGCGAATGGTGATAACCATGGCCAACAGAGCTTCCAGGAGATGAACATCGGTTTCGTTGCTGGTGTTATCCCTCAGGACCGCATTGGTGCTTTCGAGCGCATCCTGTGGCGTACCCTGCGCGGTAACCTCTACATGAACCAGTCTGAGATTCCGGAAGCCATCATTGACCCTGTCAATAACGAGGAGATCCACAAGAGTGTTTTTGTGATCTTCGCTCATGGCAAGAATATCCTTGCCAAGATTCGAAAAATCTCCGAGTCGCTGGGTGCCTCTCTGTATGGCGTCGATGAGAACAGCGAACTGAGACGTGATCAAATCCACGAGGTCAACACTCGACTTGGCGATGTGGGCAATGTGCTTCGCAACACCAAGAGCACTCTTGACGCGGAGCTCTCGCAGATTGCTCGCTCGCTCGCGGCCTGGATGATCATCGTCAAGAAGGAAAAAGCAGTTTACGACACACTGAACAAGTTTTCCTACGACCAGGCACGAAAGACGCTCATTGCTGAGGCATGGTGTCCAACAAACTCTCTAGCTTTGATCAAGTCGACTCTTCAAGATGTTAACGACCGCGCTGGCCTCTCTGTCCCGACTATCGTCAACCAAATTCGTACCAACAAGACTCCGCCAACCTATGTTCGGACCAACAAGTTCACGGAAGCCTTCCAGACTATTGTCAATGCCTACGGTATTCCCAAGTACTCCGAGGTTAATCCTGGATTGTACACCGTTGTTACATTTCCCTTCCTTTTCGCCGTCATGTTCGGTGATTTCGGTCACGGTGCTTTGATGACCATGGCTGCCACTGCAATGATTATTTTCGAAAAGAAGCTGCTACGCGCCAAACTTGATGAGCTGACCTACATGGCTTTCTATGGTCGATACATCATGTTGATGATGGGTCTCTTCTCCATGTATACCGGTTTCATCTACAACGATATCTTCTCCAAGGCTTTCACCTTCTTCCCCAGTCAATGGCAATGGCCCGAGGACATCAAGGTAGGCCAGTCCGTTGAGGCGACCTTAAAAGATGGGTACCGTTTCCCCATTGGTTTGGACTGGAACTGGCATGAGGCGGAGAACTCCCTGCTTTTCTCGAACAGCATGAAGATGAAGATGAGTATTTTGCTTGGATGGGCCCACGTAAGTGCATCGGCATCGTCATATTCCGCCTTTGAATAGCAATCATACTGACAACAACATTAGATGACCTATGCTCTCTGCTTCCAGTACGTAAACGCGCGGCACTTCAAGTCCAAGGTTGACATATGGGGCAACTTCATCCCGGGCATGCTGTTCTTCCAATCCATCTTCGGATACCTCGTCATCACTATCCTCTACAAGTGGTCCGTGAACTGGGTGGAAATTGGAGAGAACCCTCCGAGTCTACTCAACATGCTTATCTTTATGTTCCTGAGCCCCGGTACCGTCAACGAACCTCTTTTCCCCCACCAGGCCGGTGTTCAGGTGTTCCTGCTTCTCGTCGCCGTCGTCCAAGTACCTATCATGCTTCTCCTCAAGCCGCTCTGGCTTCGGAGTGAGCATAACCGTGCCCGCGCTTTAGGTTACCGGGGACTTGGCGAGCAATCCCGAGTCAGCGCTCTTGAGGATGATGGTCAAATCGATGGCGGTTACCGTGATAGCATGGCGAGTGATGGCGAAGGCGTTGCCATGATTGCCCAGGATATCCATGAAGGCGAGGAGCACGAGGAATTCGACTTCTCCGATGTCATGATTCACCAGGTCATTCACACCATTGAGTTCTGTCTCAACTGTATTTCGCACACCGCCTCCTATCTTCGTCTTTGGGCTCTTTCCCTCGCTCACCAGCAGCTTTCGATTGTACTTTGGGATATGACTCTCGGCTCCGCCTTTGACCAGGAAAGCCCGGTCATCCGTGTCATTGCTATTGTCTTCTGCTTCTACCTTTGGTTCACATTGAGTGTGGCTATTTTGTGTGTCATGGAAGGCACCAGTGCCAGTAAGCATACCCCGAAACTCTTCTTATCGATGCCACGATACTAAATGATTTATAGTGTTGCACTCACTCAGATTGCACTGGGTTGAGTCGATGTCGAAACACTTTATGGGAGAAGGCATTCCCTTCTTACCGTTCAGCTTCAAGACTCTACTTGAGGAAGATCCGATCGATTAAAGTTGTACAATTGGTCGTTTGTTTCATAAAGCTTCTCTAAGCCAAGTTTTGCACAATCGTCCCTGTGGGATCCTGGCCTTTCATTCCTCCGATTTCCTTGTCTTGTTTTGTAAAGTATTTAGAGAATACATCATGTCTGTGAATAAAGTTTGGAGTTCAGTCGTAGATGAGGATCCCTTGAGGGACGGACCCAGATGGTGAATGTCATGGTGCATATCACGGAACAAAGACCCTTCAACATGACGATGTGGGCCATACAAGCACGATTTTACATGGAACGTCATTTATTTTAAGATTTTTTTTGGTATTCTATATTTAAACTATTGAATGTCATGGATGCCGTCAGCGACAGCGATGTTATCTTTGAGACGATGACACGAGATTCCAGCTCAATCTCAGCACTCGAAGTGTAAAAGGGCGTGACATCAAGAATAAAAGGCAATCGAAAAGAAGAAATGAGGCTGAGCTGCACCCAACGGGGTATCAATCATATCCTCGTGTCAAAAACAAATCAAAAAACTGAGGGGTACGCTTATTTCTTCTGGTACTTGTTGTACAGATCGATAACCTTTTGAACCTCATCACGAGAGCCGAGGAAGACACCACTTTTATCGTGAATGTGCTCGGGGACAACCTCCATCAAGCGTTCCATGCGGGAGTTGACAGCCAGACCACCGGCATTCTCGAACAGCATCGCCATGGGCGCGCACTCGTACAAGATACGAAGCTTACCCTTGGGGTTCTTCTTGTCGGCCGGGTAGGCGAAGATACCACCGTAGAGCAGGGTTCGGTAGGCGTCTGCGACCATGGAACCGATGTAACGAGCGCTGTAGGGCTTCTCGCCTTCAGCCGGGTATTTGAGGCTGTGGAAGTACTCGTTGGTCCAGTCTTCCCAGAGGGAGCTGTTACCTTCGTTGACAGAGTAGATGGAGCGCTTGGCGGGCATGACCATGTTGGGGTGAGTGAGGATGAACTCGCCCAGCGAGTTCTCGAGGGTGAAACCGTTGACACCACCGCCACGCATGGTGATGACCAGCTGCGCAGACGCACCGTACATAGTGAAGCCGGAGGCGACGAGGCTGGTTCCGGGGTGGAGAAGGTGCTCGGGGCCAACTTCCTTGTTGGGGCCGAGCGCGTCGTCGGGCAGCTGGAAGATACCGAAGATGGTACCGACCGAGACACCGGCATCCAGGTTGGAGGAGCCATCAATGGGGTCGCAGACGACGGCGTAGCGGGCGTTGGGGTGCTCGTCGAACTTGATCACATTCTCTTCCTCTTCTGAGACGACGATGCGGCACTTGCCCGAGGCGCGCATGGCAGAGATGAAGATGTCATTGCCAATGACGTCAAGCTTCTTCTGATCGTCACCGGTGGTGTTGGAGGAACCGGCGAGACCGGTCAAGTTAATGAGGGAGGCGCGACGGATGTAGTAGGCGATAGACTTGAAGGAGAATTGGAGAGCGTGGCACAGCAGAGTAAAGTCACCCGAGGCATCAGGATATTTGGCCTGCTCTTCGGTGAAGAATCGAGTGAGAGTCACAATATCAGTGTTGATGTTCTCCTGACCAACAGGAGGAGCGCCCGACATTTTGGAGGTAAAGGTAGGTAATTGAGGTTGTAAAGAGGGAAGGTAGATGAAAGAGGTAGACGTCGGAGGTATAGAGGTTTGAGGTAAAAGATAGATATAGAGGGGTAGGGATTGCCGCGGCTCAAGGGGGGAGGAATTAAATAAGAATAAGAAATTCAGCCAAGAGGGTTTCTGAGTGGCAAGTAATGCGAACAAGGCAGGTTAACAAGGCAGGTCGATCGAGGTGGAGAGATCAACGTCAAGGAGGGAGGGGCACAAACCGGTCTAAGTACTTGAGTACTGACGCAGGCGGGGGAGTGACTTCATTCCCGAGTCCCGCGGGTTTTTCGTCACCTTTTTCCCCGCGTGACCGCAACTGCTCCGGTTTTCCCCTTTTGGAGCTGCGCTGAGGCCGATCTCGTCCGTCTTGAGTTCAATGAATTGTCTGAATTTCTATACTGTACGGTCAACTTTGCCATTGGGGTATCATTTCTGTTGAAGCAATCTTTTCATCTCTTATGTCGCCGACAACGGTCGTGGTGCTGTTGGATCCATGTTAATCATAGATCACCGCTTACCCGGTTCAGACTCCTCCGATCCCTTCCTCTTGCCGAAATCTCGGGCATCGGGACAGTAGGCCGCTGCCGGAAGAAAGAAATCCCTCCACTCTGGACCCCTCCACCTGAACAATTATGTGCACAACTGAGATTTCAATCACTGTTAGAAGTGCCCCTGATAGTCCCGACTAGTTCAGGGCCGACCTTCTAGAACCCGTGCTTATAGATCGCCGATCCCGACCCTTTCGGCTTACCTGATGTAAAATCTTAAATACGGCCCTTTTTGCAGACGGATGATGCATTACCAGAAAAAGCCAGAATCCCGGAGGGGTCAAAGTATGAATATCAACTCTGAATTGATTGCTTGAATGAAAGTGAGCTATCGTAACGATCAGCAACAGAGAAGAACATCCCTGTTTCTGAACCCCTACCACATGCTTGTAGCCTCTGTCAAGGCCTCTATCTCGAAGGACCCGTGCTAGAACTTTTTGAAATACAATTGACAAATCGACGAGACTGACAATGGACCATTTCTTTCTCCTGCTCGCCAGCATTGTTGTATAGCGGCCGCGTAATTGGGGGCTGAGCTCTGATAAGCCACAGTTACATCGCGAAATAGATCAAAAGGTGGGGAAATAATGACATGACAGCGAAGATCAAACTACTCTACTTCCCCATTCACGATTTTGCGGTGTAATCATAGCTGCAGTTAAATCTCACTCCATCTCCAAGATGTCTACATCGAGCACACTCAAATTGGAGCCTCTGACTATTGAGGACAACTCAGCCCTCACCGACCTATGGTTCGCGGCCTTCAGCGACCCGATTCTACGACGCGTGTTCCCAAACACGCCGGGCGTGCGCAAGTGGTTGGAAAATGCCAATGCCCACGACCTTCTCAACAAGCCCTTCCAGCGATACATCAAAATAGTAGATACGGCCTCAAAAGATGCCGAGGGTCGCCCGCGGATAGCCGCATACGCCAAATGGGACTTATCCATGCCCGAGGAGCGAGGACGCCGTTATCCCCCGTGGCACGAAGAAATGCCCGCTGAACTGTGCGAGGCATTTTTCATGAAAGAGGAGGCGAATCGGAAGCGGGTGATGGGTGATACCCGGCATTTCTGTACGTTTTCCATCCCGATCGCTCCTACCGAGTGCCTATTAACTATATCCAGATCTGGATACGGTCGCTACGCACCCTGACTATCAGCAGCGAGGAGCTGGGTCCTTACTGGTCAAATGGGGCTGTGATCTAGCCGATGCTCTGGGTGTGCAGGCGTATGTGGATGCCAGCAAGGACGGTGCGCCATTGTACGCAAAATTCGGGTTCGTGGATTATAGCCTTCCTGGTGAAGAGATTGCCTCGATGGCGCGAAGATGATTGATATAGTTGCTACTCGGAAGATCTGGCAATATAGGAATTTAGGCCTTCAAAATGTGAGTAGTTGGGCAAGTCCCTTCCAAACCCCCCTGCATCCATCCCGCAATTGACAGGGCCCGTGGCTTGAATAGCTGAGCATATCGGCTCTGATCTTAGCATGATTGCCGTGATTGAAGATAGTGTCGTTTTGAACTGGCCGTGATCGGGTACGCCGAAGGAAGACATGGTCGAGGATATAATTGATAGGCTTCCCTGGATAGCGGGGTATTGGAGTAGCCGATCTCTGAACTTTGAATTTCAAACGCTCGGAGTAAATATGGTGTTGGTGATACAAATAAATCTGAGGAACTCAGCAGGACACCATAGTCATGTCGTATTTGGTGACTTTCCTCCCGGTCAATGCCTTGAATGGGGTCATTGGTAGCTGACTTGAACATGGGTTAACTGTAGTCGTTCTCGTAAAACTGAGTGTTACGGAGTAAGGCCCAACTAGCGTTACCGTATGTCCCGGGGAATTTGGTGTGAGTGGCCCAATAAAGGCGATGAATGTGAGATCTCTCCGAGGCGAATGGGAGAGCAAATCTGCAGCGACTCCTTGAACCTCATCGCCGGATGCCAAAACAGCCGGAGCTAAGACCCTACCCGAAGATGCTGCGCTGCAATGATGCTTTGATCAATTCGAAGGGGATACTTTGTGTTTGGAGACCTGACTGCTGATTAAAGCTGGAGTGATGGATACTAATTACCGATTGGCACCAGATGGGTATTCTAGTACCCTATAATTCGGGCAAGGATTGATACTTGAGTACCTACAGAAACCCCTGTTTAGAAAGGCTACGAAGATGGATGGTCAGCTGTTCAATGAGTAAGTGGTTAGGATACCCCGACAAACTGATCTATAAAGTTGATTCCAGGCCCCTCTAGCAGAGGCTCGCGTAAATGGAGCCACTATCAACGCAAATACCGATTCAACCTCAATTGGCGGTATATCATCCGGTGGTAATATCGGCGCTGTCATTCAATAGTATGAGTGGGATGCATACTTGCTCTCGTATATGGGTATGCGTTTCTTTAATCTCAATAAGTCCTAGATGAAACTTACACTCAACTCCGCCACAGCCATCTTGACTCTCAAATCAACAGACTCTCATGTCACCTATTAGAAGCCTCCGGATCACAAATACGCTTCCATTACCGAGAACGAGTTTGCCCCATGGCACGGATGTCATACTCTCAAAGCTATGCCAGTCCCGTAGACATCACCGACATCTGTGTCTTTACAATATCTAGGAGATACACGGCTGTTTCTCATCTGTTTACTCACATGAAGCCAATCGTGAAAGCTGTGACGTATCTGGATGATGTTTGTGCAATCTTGAGGATGGCATATGGACCATGAGTTGGGCTTGCCATTTTTGCTATCTATAAACATTGGACTGTCCATGTTGGTTCCTTTGGAGCAATCCAGGGTATGATTGAGAACGCTAATTTTGGTTGGAATTTTTGGCGGAACTCATAACAAGAACAATTGGATAAAATAAGGCGTTAGTTTCACAGTGGCTTGAATCTGTGGGGACTGCATGATTAATGAGCTGAGGCTTGAAAGCACATAAAGAACTATCCACGGATCAAGCCTTAGAAGGCGATGATGCTATCTGAAGGATAAGGTAGAGGACAGAAGATGTAACTAAGCTGTATCAGTCGTAGTTGACTTGATGAACTGGGAGAGCTTAGCACCTTCGCTTGCATCCACAGAAAAGCTCTTTTCGGAGATTGGATCCACAACGTATGCTGTGTTAGAACTGATCTTCTTGTAACCTTTCTTGAGCTCACAGATAAGATCCTCCTTATAAAGGGTGTTCTCGAGAACAACCGCGCGAAATTTATGGTTCTCGGAACGCAAATATCCCTCGACGGAGGCACCAGCAAGAACAGCACGCACTTTATGGCCCTGTGGAAGCTCTGTCGCCGACTGAATATTGTGAGATGAGAGAGCATAGGTGTTTGCGTTTGGATTCATCTTGTAACCGGCCCGCGCCAGATCAGATGTGTCGAGGATCAGCATTTTGATGAAATTTGCCGTGGCAGCCTCCAGTGCATGGACAGCACACATATCGGCAAGTCTCGCAAGTTCAATGAGGGCAGAGATCTGGGCCCCTACATCTTCCGAGTAGAATGTGATATTGCCGATGTAGAGCCACTGCAGAAGCATTTCAAAGCTCTGGAGAGAAAGAACCCCCTCAATCACTTTCAAGGTGGCTTCATTCGTCTTTCCTTCAGAGAATTTTCCATTGAACATCTTGGCGAAGTAAGAAGACTGTTTGCAGAGTAGATCTTTTGCAACGAGGAAGACGCGACTGGGGGGGCTCAATTCGAATCTTGACTGCGGGTCCGTGAATCAGGGGAAGAACTCTACCAGATTCAGTTAGGAAAACCCAGAGACACAATCATGGTCCTTTAGCCAACTCACTCGCTCGTGAAGTATCCGGGGTTTTGATCAAGCATGTTTGATTCCCAGTTCGCTGCCATCTTGGATTTGTCGACACGTCGGCGTTTCTTGGAAAGACCGAGATGCGACATTGGGCTAACTAAGTGTCAATTCTCACGGAGTGCAAGTTTGTAAGCGAAGAACTCACGCGAAGCTTTGGATTTGTTCACGACCAAGTACAGACGAAGAAGTCGGGTGATGGCGAGATAACCTCAGATGTAATACCAAGGTGCTCCCATGAACTTTGCAACGTCCGAAGGAGAATTTGAACGCAGAGTGACGGAAACTCAGAAATATGATTGAGTAATGACGGCAAGATCAATCGATCGTATCTTCTCAATATTTAAAGAAAATGATAGCATGTATGTACGTGCTCTGGAACTGGTGCCTCAAATGCTTGGGGATGTTTAGTTGATAGAGATCTTAACATTGACACTAAAGGTATCAATGAAAGTGTGCGAACTGGTTCTTAAGCCTCACCCATTACACTCTCTCCCAACGGGGATACCACGCCTTGTGCGAGGATGGGCTGGGTTATGCTCACTCTTCTTAGTTGCTGGATCAGTACATACAGTCATGGTGGAACGAGTGACAAAGTAATGAAGTGACGGCCTGAGGCGTTATATATGCCTCCAAAGGTATGCGATATTTCCTCGAGGAGATGGACACAGTATAAGCAACTACTCAATACACTACAGTTCTCACCAAAATCGATATCGCGTTGAAGTTCATATGCAGTGGCTGTATGAGACCAGGCTCTGCTCGTATCTGACAAAGCTAGTCTGGTTGTGTGTGTTCTTCCTATTGGTACTGCTCAATCCGCAGAACCAGACTGACATCGAGCCAACGTCCATCACGTATGCCAGCTCTTGTGACGGTTTTCAACGAGACTGTTTTCGGCTAATATGGGGGTTTTGAAAGTGAGAACAAAATTTGCAAGCTTGAATGTCGATTTTCGACAAGGTGAAGGAATTTTCATTTACGAGTCGACGGCGGACTAGTCATGCCTGGTAGCATTGGGCGCTATAGAATTGCCGTCTTCATTTCGAGGCAATTGTCAGTGCCCAGATAGACCTTGATTGCTGCGTGATTTCTTCGTTGAGTTTTCGTTATGTGCAGAAAAAGGGTTTAGGTCATCGGGATCGACATCTACAATGCCATGCCTTACATGACGAGACTGGCCGATGTGACACCTGAGGCATGAAGGGCTCATTTACGTAAATCATCCACGTGATGAATCCATTCAACGAAAGCAGAGGCCCGATGCGGACTAGATCCGGCAGAATGTGGCTCCGGCGGAGAGCTTGAAAAACTTCGAAAATTATTTTCTCTCTTTCTCTTTCTACACTCTGTGACCAACCATCTCTATGGCATTCAATGATTGTGCTTTGAGACTTTGTTTCTTTGATCAGCAAAGCTGATGATAACACCGTTCCGACCTTCACTAATTGACTCTGTTTGACAGATCAGAAACTATCGGTAAGTTCCACGACTTGGTTAGCACTTGCACACGATTCGGTTGAGCACACCTCAACATGATGATACACCATAACCAATTCAAACTAGAGTCTTTGACCCAAAAGGGGAATGAAACTTTGTTATTTGCACGTCAGGCTGAAAACTTGAACATTCATTTGAATTATCACACATTGTCGCCGGGATGGACATGGAGCTAACTCGACCTCAAGTAGGACTAATTTCACACAGCTCGCGTCTCACCGACACATCGACTTGAAATGGTGAGTTCTTTGTCTTTCCTTCTTTTCACCACCTTACATGATGATCATTTCGTATTATATACGCTGGAAATTACCGTCCAAGGTCTTCGGATCACTGACGATAACTAATGGCTTGACTGATATCTTTCACACATGCACCTTGTCTCTAAACATCGCTTGTGAACCATGTACTAATTGTCATGAAGACTAGGTCATAAAAACCTCGCATGGTAAGCCTCCGGCCCATCCTCGCACACACGCTCTGCCAAAAATTCCCTGTCCAAAGATGAAGCGGCACTGGGCTCCGACGGGCGTTAGACAAAACGACGTTCCGGTCATGACGGAGATGCCTTTTTTGCGGCAGGCCTAGAAAACCTCGCCCACTGAGACAAATCTGATGATATTTTGTCGACTCTCACAATGTTGTGACGAATCGCTAATCATCGCGAGTAGTAGCTTGCTGCCGTCGATTTTGACTGCGATCGTAGAAATACACTGGGTATGCATCCCTTTTTTTTCTTTTCCACTTTGCCCTTGCCTCCCTTTTATGATGATTCCCTTAGATGACGAGTCTTATTGGAGTTATCCATGCAGACACAATCTTTTTAACAACCATTCATGCCTCTCTGACACACTTTTTCATTGAACACTTGCTGCCTTGACATGTGACAACAGTCGCTAATGTTCTACTGCAGTGAAAACCTCGATGGCCTCCGCTTGTCGGCCTCTACAGATTGTAGTGTATGTTACACCTCAACTCCCTTCCATCCATTACTATGATGAATCGACACAACCAAAGACAAGCATATGTCCAAGCCAGCTTCGGCTGGCTAAGACGAGAAATGTCATGACTGATCAGTCACATCCGTCGCGATGCCTGCAACATCCAGCCAGTCCGATGCTGATGGATCTTGAACAGAAATAACTACCACTTGGACTAATTACGTAGATGCTGCTGGCCATCTGCATTGTAAAATGTAAGTGACACCACCCTTTTCTTTACACCACCCCTTTACATGATGAATTATCATACATTATCACGACGGTCAACATAAGGAATTTATATTGATGACCACCGCCTGTGACAAGGCATTATATCTGACACCCTTGTTAAAACAATTTTGTTCGGTCGCATTGTCTGGTACATGACGCTAATATTCGACCAGTTACCTAGGATTTGCGTTTAATTCTATCATGTGTGTCTGGGCCCCGGTCTCTCACCTGTCGAGATGGCACAGGCACCTTTGTGTTGATCATTTAGGATGCATCAGTTACAAGTCTATCAATCCATGAACATAACAAAACCATTGCATCCCTTAATGTGCGTAGCATCTATTCCGTTGCTTGAGTGAAACGAGTAAGCCTTGCAGCGTAGAATTTCCCCTTGTTTACAGACCCTTGTCCATCCCTGCACACAATTTTCTCCATCAGAAGGTGAGAGCTACGATCCGTTGTGATCTAGACGCTGGTTGGGTGTTGACGGGGTCCGTGGATGCGGGGGCAACAGGCGTGGACCTCTCAGCTACGACTATAAGCGCCGAGGCCGGGCCCGCGTGTGATGAGCACCTTCAAGTTGCATATTCCACTCCCCGCTTGAGAGATCGGCTTTATCGTGTTTCTTTGCTCGTTCTGTTATTCCAAATTTAGATTTTGCCATGGCGTGCCGTCCGCTTGGGTCTGCACTAAGGTGGCCCTACAGTTTTCTTCTTCTCAGCTCAGCTTTCATAGAGCCCCTCTTCTTCGAGTATCTGTTTCTTGGGTGACTTTTAGACCTGTAAAATGGGCTACGATTTGAGGAGTACTCGGCCAGTATGAATAGGTAAGCTGATGCGTTCTGCGACATTTCTGCTCTAGAGTTGGAGTTGGTGATCTAATTACCAATTCCTAGGATCTCTAGCTGGATGGGAGCAGACCATGCGGGCGACCAACAGCAGTATTCGAGTTGGTCGTCTATGCCTGTGAATAATCACCCGTCGTCCGGTCGTCGAGAACATGCGGTACAGCCTCCGTTATTGACAACGGCATTGGGTGCTCCTCAATTTCATCCTGCATCCACTCCTCTGTCGTCTACTTCGCTATCAAGTCCTTTCACGCAGGCTCATTCTCCATACGTTGCTTCTCCTGTGCACGCGAGATCGACACCATCTTCCTCGATGGCATCTAGGCAGCAGACGTCTTTTAATGTTCCTTACAACCCTCAAGAATGGGGGACCGTTGGTGCAGCCTCTGCGCAAGCTGCATATTCCCAGGCCAACAGTGTGCATCGAGTCTCACCCCAGCCACGAAATCAATCAGGTGGGTTTCTCGTGCATAAAGAACATTCAAATGGCTTGCATTGACCATGTCTCCTCAGATGTGCCCGTGTCACCGCCGCCGCCACCTTACTCGCCTCCAAGCAATCGGAATCAAATGCCACAGGAGTTCACTTCGCCAAACCCTAACATCTCGGTGACACCGACAGTCACGCCACCCCAGCATTCTTCTCCCGAAAGCAATATCAATATGAATGTTGAGTACCAACGACGCTCAGTGCCGCGTCCTCGTCCAGTCTCCGTGATATATTCAAATGATCCAGGGCTTCGACAATCGTTACCTCCTCCGCCTCCACCGCAGGGGAATCGGTCAGTCTCGCAAAGTCGAATGGACCATTACCAGGGCGCTCCTCACAATTCCGCTGCATCCCACTCCAGAGCGCGAATTTCGATGTCATATGAACAAGCCCTTCCATCGCCGTCATTGAGAGGCAATGTAATGGGTCAATCAGCCGATCAGTTGGAGACACCATCAAGGCCGCCTGCGTCCCGGAGAGCTGCCTCTGCAGGGGCTATTGTGAGTAGCGCAAGCTCTTCCAGAAACCGCTCTCCCTCGAATAGTGGTTGGGAACCAGGTATGCCACTCCCACCGCCTCCTCCAAGGCCTCCTCCGACCGCAAGGGCAGTCAGTGCGAGTGGTTCATCAGAGGGTTCTTCCACGAGGACAGTTCAGGGCTCAAGTAGGACTCGACCTAGGCCGCCGCCAATCATGGGGACTGGACTTGGGAGCATTCCACCAACACCGGCGGACTGGGTTGACGAGGAGTACATGAAACACCGACCAAGTAGGGATCATGAGCCTCTACATATCGATACAACCACGTCGGTCCCAACGCCGGATCCAACTGGCAATCCAGACATGGATGAGCCAGAATACCAGTCACAGAAAACCCCTGGGAGTGGTGGTCTTTTCCGAAGTCCGGCCATTCGGGATCCCAGTGCCAAAGGCATTCGTGAACGGCGAATTGAGCGTCGAAGCCGCCAAAGTCAGGTCTTCGAGGATATGAGTGCAGTGTCTTCCAGTGGTAACCCTTGGGCTGATGCTTTGGAGCAAATAAAGCCCTCAAATCTTATCTTTCCGGAGCACAGACAAAGTCCTGATCCAACCCGGCATCCGACATCGTCAAGGAAGACTCCTCAAAGCACCCGGAGTGTAGGTTCGGAGGGTCTCCGCACTGCTTCACGGTCTCGGGCATCATCTACTAGCCTTTTCTCCGAGCAGTCGCCGCAATCGACACCTAAGCCGGAACCTAGCGCCGCTGGACCATCTGCTGCTTTTGCGCAGACACCTCCATTCTCGCCAGGAGCATCTTCTTCGACATTCCAAAGGGAAACACCCCAGGCGATACCACCAAAAGCACTTCCCACGCCCCCGCTAGGTTCTGCTAAAGAGGCTCTATCACGCTCTCGCGCCGCCTCCAGAGGATCAGAGGAACGTCCAGTTTCCCATATCCTGCATCTGCCTAACGACGCCCTATCTACGATGAAGCCTCTTTCCCCCCAACGACTGTCAATTACACAGACTTATCAGCAGGCATCATTGGAATCAGTCATCAGGCAAGAGACCGACTTTGTTCGAGACGCGGTTCAAAGGCATCAGAAGTTCATCGAACAGGAAGCTGCCGCTCTGAATGAGGCTGAGGCAATGAAGGTCTTCACAGACTTCATCATCGCTGAGTCTCAGATACGTCGTGAGCGATACGCCGCTGTTTGGGATGCTGATTCATTTGGAATTGACGGAGTGCGCAACAAGCTCTTCGAAATGCCGCCTCTTGAGGCCAACATGCCGACAAAGCCAACCAGACCAATGCCTACTTTGGAAATACCTTCAATCCGAGCGAGTCGACCCGAATCTGCGTGGTGGAATAACTATCAACCTTGTCTTTCACCTATTGCCAGTCTCAGCATGAGCAACGACGAAATGAGCTCCCGGGGTCGTGCGCCTAGTCGCTGGTGGGAGTCCAAAACTGGTTCCAGCAGTGAGGAGTGTGGTAGAAAAGTGCATCGGTCCAAGAGAGAGTCGAAGTATATGGGTCTTCCTCGTGACTCCATGCAGTGGGACCAGGAAAGAACCCCGCCGAAGCTCGACGAGGCGGATGCAACTTACACCGACCAGTTCAAAGCTTACGGTCCGGACGAGTATCCTCCGGAGAAAGTCGACTTTCACGAAGAGGCCTCCGCTTACCCCGATTACGGTGACGGAGATCGTCGTGAGCAGTTTCGGACGCCTCAGAAGCTGGATATCTCCAGACTCATTACTCTGCCGCCGCCATATCCACGCCACTATCCTGCTGTGAATAACAGCCACCCAGAAATGATATCCTACCGAACCACTGTCCGCTCAATTACCGATCTTACTGAGATCAAGTCGACCAGACAGCGATACAAGGACGATGTGGAGACTATGGCTCAGGAACATAAGATCCAGGTCAAAGACGGCCGTCGCCAGTTCAAGTCCAACATTCAAAGCCAAATTCAAGAAGGTAGCCTCACATTTGCAGAGGCAGCCGAGGCAGAAGCAGCGATGATTGCCGACGAGAACAAGCGGGCAAGGGCATTGGCGAAACGCGAGCTTGATACTTATCAAGAGACTGTGCTGAAGCCGATGGTGGCAATTCTAAATGACCGCATTGCTCGGGCGTCAACCTGTATCGATGAATTGAGTAGCAGGCTTTTCGATGATGCGCAACATGAAACCCCAGACCAGACACAAGAAGAAGGGGATGAAAAGCCTGAGCTCTTGGAAAAGCTGACACAGCTCAAATGGTTATTTGAAGCACGAGAGCAGCTTCACCGCGAATCGTTCGAGTTGGTCAGTGACCGCGATGATAAATACAAGGTGTTCGCTCTACTGCCGTATAGACAAAGCCAAAACGAGGACAAGATTCGGGAGACGCAAGCCTTCTTCGCCAAGGATACGCTTGACCGACGGGTACAATACGAGACGCAGGCCTTCTCCCGTCTTGAATCCTTCATGGACGTCATTGAGCAGCACGTTGTACGCGGTGTCGAGAAGCAACTTTCTGCATTCTGGGACATCGCACCGTCCCTCCTCGCCCTTGTCCAGCAGATACCGGACAGTCTGCATGGTCTCCAAGTCCAAATCCCAGCTGATGAATACCGAGAGAATCCCAGCTTCTACACGCACCCGCTGCAATATTTATATACGCTTCTGTCACATGCCGAAAAGTCGAGCTATCAATACATCGAGTCACAGATTAACCTGCTTTGCCTACTGCACGAAGTTCGATCAGCGGTTATGCGAGCCAATCGTAACCTTGCGGAGGCAGAGAGGATCTGGCAAGGCGAGTCGGAAGAGAACGTCCGTCGGGAAATGCAGGAAGCAAGAGCGGATGAAGAGGTTGCTCTGACCACCGACCTGAAGGACAAGGTATCCACTGTGGAAGGCCAGTGGACTGAAGCACTTGGGAGTCAAATCCAGGGACTTCGAGAGCGAGTGAAAGCCCAGCTCGTTGCGGAAGATGGCTGGGAAGACCTGGAGCAATTGGAACAGGAGTGATGGAATTTTTTTCTGCTAATTGTGATATCCCCATTCGTTCGCTGTAGACCGGGTTTGCACAGTATATAATTGATAGTCCAGATGTGACCATCAGAGAAGGATCTTCTCTACCGTTCTTTTGTCTATCGTACTCTTCTCTATATCCCTGATGACGATGTCCCGCGGGACCCACAAGTCACGTGCATGCCATTCTAGAGTGTTCCGTCCCGGCGGATTCAAATATCGTTCCTCTTTCCTTCATCTTCTTCATTCTCCCCTTTTCATCCATCATTCATTTCTCTCGTCCAGCTTGTCGTCTGGGCTCATTTTTTGAACTGTAAGCTTCCCCTTCTTCCATTGCCCTTCAAAATCCCTCGGAGTTCTTTGTTCAGGTGTCTGGTCTACGGACCCTCCTGTCGGAGCTCTCCCACTCGCCCAAATGATGAGAAAACCATAGCTGGCACCAGTCAGAGGGACGGACTACCATCCGTCTTTTATGCTGAATAGCTTGCGTCCGGCAATACGCTAGCTGGACCTGAAATTTGTGGCCATTGCCTTGTGCAATTTTTTCACACTGAAAAATTCCATGAAAAATCTTCGAAACTCGCCGCTAACCGACGAACTCGAACAGAACCTTCACATCCCAAGAAAACAGAGAAGTGGAACTAGTGGTCCCACGACGTCCCAGAAGAGCATTGAAGAAAGAGCAGAACCCTTTCGACACAAATTGTCAATCAGAGATTTTATCACATAGTCAACCTGCATCATGGTCCTCCACAACCCCAACAATTGGCACTGGGTTAACAAGGACGCCTCTGGCTGGGCCAAAGATTACTTGCAGAAGAACCTGACTGTCATCAGTGCTGAGGAAGGGGGCGTGTCAGCCAAAGTAGACAAGGTGGTGTCCGTGAATGGCGACGTAGACGTCAGCCAGCGCAAGGGCAAGGTCATCACCCTGTACGACGTGAAGCTGTCCCTAGAGTACTCAGGTTTGTAGAAATCGATTCCATCCACCGAACTTTGACAGCTGAGACTGTTTCGATAGGTAAGACCCAGGACGGTGAGGAGGTCACTGGCTCCATCACTGTCCCCGAGGTAGCCCATGACACCGAGGAAGATGAGTATGTCGTACGTTCCCTAGACCCGCCTCTGCAGTCCGCCATCTTCTGCTTTTCTCGCGCATCCAGGACTAACGCGATGGTCTCCAGTTTGAGATTGATATCCACGCCGATGCCGCCTCCAAGCAACCCGTAAAGGATCTTGTTCGGTCCAAGATCACTCCCCAATTGCGCGTGGCCCTAGCCAAGCTCACCAGTGCTCTCGTCACCGAACACGCCAAGGACCTGCAACACGCTGCCGGCGAAAATCCCTCCAAGGGCTTCACCCCTGCCCCCGTCTACCCTCATGCCAAGAAGGATGCCGCTGCTGCTGCCACCACTACCACCACCTCCACCACCGAGAACGTCGCCGTGAACACCACCACGGTGACCGCGTCCGATGAGATGCGCACTACCGCCGAGGAACTCTACAAAACCTTCACTGACCCCCAGCGCATCACGGCCTTCACCCGCGGTCCTCCCCGCCAATTCGACGGCGCCAAGGTCGGCGGCAAATTCGCCATCTTCGACGGCAACGTCACCGGCGAGTACATTAAGCTCGACTCACCCAGACAGATTGTGCAGAAGTGGCGTCTGGCTCAGTGGCCCGCCAACCACTTCAGCACCCTTGAGATGAACTTCGATCAGAACGACGTCGACGGCGTCACCCAGCTGCGTGTTTCCTGGTCCGGCGTGCCCGTCGGCCAAGAGGACGTCACCAAGCAGAACTGGGAGCTGTACTACATTCGCAGCATCAAGCAAACTTTCGGGTATGTATCCAATCCCTCCTGTTCTGGCCTTTGACCAATTCGGGTCTCTTCTTTTCTCCAGTTCCAGATCGAATCCGTCGTCTTCATTGAGAAACACATTACTGACGTCCTTGCTTGTTTTACTTGGTTTAGCTTTGGCACTATTCTCTGATCGACTTCGTGACCTCTTTTCTTCGACGTGATACATGATACAGATAGAATGTATCTATCCGAGCTTTTTTTTTCCCCCTTCACTACAACATAATTCAAAATCCAAGAGCGCATAGCACGCGGGACTTTCAGTTTGAAAACCGCAGGTCCACCAGTGACATTGATACATGGTATCGGTCTGGTCTAGAAAGGGCCGTGACGTGATCAATTGTGGTTCTGGCTCTGCTTTAGAGAGACAGCAAGCCGTGCCTCCTATATTCGTGTTTGTTGGTTTATGTTTGGCCACGGTCCAGATACAGTTCGGATCGGGGTTTGCAATGATGCTACGATAGAGGTGATGTGACGAGATGCCTATGATAATGAATGAAACTGTCCGCCAGACTTTTTTTTATCTTGTAGAAACAGCTGTTCTCCGGTCTTGCCCTCTTCTGTCATATCTCGACCTGGTTCCTTCGCTCACTTCTTCCGCTCTTCACTTGCCCAGCTCACTAACACATCTTACTCACCAAAGCATTCTTGCCTCTCTCTCCTCCTCGCACTTCTTTCATTACATCTGCTCACCATTCCTAGTCCAAATTCAACGAAGAACCCACAACGAACGGAATGCCACCGAAAGAATGATTAATCCAGCCGCGGCGACTACATCCAATCATGGAGAGATCCCAATGGATCCCGATCCGCGAGGTCATCTATAAATCTATAAGCGATATTGGCATGCCTTCCGTCCGCACCATAATGGCTTAGAACTGTCAATGCCTCGATCCTTAAGACTTCTTCCAGTCTGTGATCTCCTGGTCTATTCAGCTTCAAATTCCTTCGTGCCCTCAGTTATCTGCACTTTGCGCGGCCTGTAATTCGCAAACCCTTCTCACCTTACAGCCCATGTCAAGTGGGTTGATACGTCGACTGTTTGCTATTTTCTTTCTGCGCCGCTGAAAGACATCCCAGTGCTTTCACACCACCCAAAACATCACCCACCCTTGTGGAGTCCCAAACCTCCACGTCCCTTTTGTTTTAACGACGAGGTGGACGGTAGACAGGAAAATGAACGCAACGCACGAGCCAAGAATTACTTCTCAGCTTTTACGCAAGTAATTACGACTTTCTGCAATTCTCACTTTCCCGGACTTAGGCCACCCGAAGTGCAGATGAAAGCGAGTGAAAAGGAATACCGAGCAAGCCATTCGTGGGAAACTCCTCAGGTACCATTTGACGTGGATATGAGTGTGTGTGTTTATTCATCACCACGGGCAGGGACTATCGAGGGTGAAACGTAACAAGAGAGTTGATAAAACGAGTCCAATCATGACTATTGCATTCCTGTTCTTTTTAAACTATCATTGAGTTCCATCTCTTACAGAGTACGCTCAACCATCTCGATACCGTAGTCCTCCTTGAGGGTCTTGAGCAAAGGGGCACAGATATCCATGGTCGTAGGAGCAAGAACACCCTTCTTGGAGATAGTACCATCAAGAACCTGCTTCACCGCAACACCACAGGAACACCGACCAGCTTAGCCATGGCAGAGTATCCACTGGGGTTACCGTATTCACAGAGAGTAGAGGTACGGACCTCTTTGGAGCCGTCCTTGTGCTCGATGTCGAACTTGTGCTGAAGCATGACCATGTCGCGCTCGCCCTCCTCGTATTGCATCTTCTTCTCGAGGGTGGCGCACAGGGTATCGAGGGCGTTACCGCGGGGAGTGATCTGCTCATCAGAGAACAGGCCGATCCAGCGGAGACCAGCGAGGAGACGGTCGCGCTCGTCGTTGTTGGGGAATGAGGTCTTGGACTCCACAGCGGCAATGAGATCCTTCTCGGAGGATGAGGCGGCACCAAGGACCTGGGCGGTGGCTTCCTTCCAGGTAGTGGGCTTCTCAAAGATGGCGGCAGGTTCGTCGTTCAGGAAGCCGATGTCGACGAGGACCTTGATCATCTCGGGGGAAGCCTTGGAAGCGGAGAGTGCCGCGGAGGAGGGTCTGGGCTTCGGGAATATCGTAGCGCTCACGGAAGGGAGTCGAGTCACGGTTGGGGTACCCGACGAAGGCGAAACCGGGGTAGATGAAGTAGGGCTTGGCGGTGGCCATCAGGTCGGGGCCATCGATGCTGACGATCTTGCCGTTCTCGTAGACCTTGGCGGCATTGCGAAGGGCCAGGAGGACACCGCGGCTGGACCAGGAGAACTTGTAGCCCAGAGGGTTGTTGGAGCACTCGGGAGCGGGGAGACCGCCGCAGTAGGAGATGAAGCCGGTGATCTTGCCGCCCTCATTGTGGACCTCGGAGATGGTCTTGACGGCGTAAAGGTGGTCAATACCGGGGTCTATAGAAAGTTGACGGTTAGAACTGGAAAAGAGACGAGCAGCTTCAAGGGAAAACTTACCCAGGCCAATCTCGTTCATGACGGTGATACCGGCCTTCTTGCACTCCTCGTCAAGCTCCATCATGGCGGGGGAGACATAGGAGGTTGTGACGACATTCTTCTTGGTGCGGATAGCAGACTTGATGACGGTAGCGTGGAAGGTGTAGGGAATCAAGGAAATGGCGAGGTCGACTCCCGACATGGCCTTGTCGAGAGCAGCATCATCGCTGACGTCGAGGGAGATAGCCTTGGCGTTCTTGAAACCCTCGGACAGCTTCTGGGCGCTCTCGAGGGTGCGGCAGGCTATCAAAGGGAAGCAAAATGGTCAGTGATTTGGAACTGAATAGTTGACGACCTCAAATAGGTTTGTTTGGCCTTCGATGACCCATTGTCGCATGCAGCGGGGTATCCGGATGGAAAACATCACGGAGAGAGGGATTCTGGTGCCAATTCATTGGCAATTGCACTTACCAACGATAACTTCAACACCGGCCTTGTCAAGAACCTCGACAGTAGGCTTGGTGACTATTTGAAGAACAATATGAGCAAGTGTACACTTTTTTTTTGGAGGAAGCGGCATTGCGGAGCAGCGACGCATTGCGGAAGCCCGTTAACCGTAGAAAGGAACATACCGAAGCCAGAGCCCAAAAGGAGGACCTTGGAACCTGCAATTTGCTTAACCATATTGAATTGATATGGGGTTAGGAAATGATTGAGATGGAGAAGAGAAGTATCCGGGCAGCTCCCTGTGCGGTGAGTCAATCGTCACGTGGCCGGTATCGGCGCGGGGGTTTATCTAAGCAGGTCGGGGACCCAAATAGGTCAAAAGACGTATCCAATGTGTATGATTTGCAGATAAGAATGTTCGGTGTATAGTGTATGTAGACAATAAGTGTAGTGCTGCTAATGCTGCTGGGATATATGGGACGACAATGATCTGTTGGGCCGCCCTGGACGCCACAAACTCCGCTTGATGCTGAAAAGAAAATAAGATGCTGAAAGGAAGGATCTATATCGCCTTTACTTTTCCCGGTCGAAGGATCTGCGTTTCCAGGCCTTCTTCACTGGACTCTGGACGGTCGCCGGCAAAATTGCCCTCCGCGTTAGGGTTCTGGCGGGATTTCGAGATACGTCGTTGCCAGCCAAGCATTACGGGCATGAAGTGCCACAGGTCGAACTCGGGCCACATGACGTCGAGGAAGACTATCTCAGTGTTTTCGTGACATTGCCAGAGCATAAAATCACTCAAGCGTTCCACACCGGAGGTGCGAACGAGGAGATCCAGAGGTGGGGTACCCTTGGTCAACATGTGGTCGGAAAGTGTCTGGCGGGAAATGGTTTCGGGGGAGGTAAATGCCTGGCTTTCGCCATCAGCTGTCTTGCCCTGCACGATGGTCTTGAGATGCTGTGCATCCTGCTGCCCGAGGTGTAAAGTTGTAGAAGACGAAAAGGACGATCCAGACTCGTAGACACGATTGGCGTGGTCATTCCGTAGGTGGTTGTCATCCTCGTGACCGGATGATTCGGTGGACGCCGATTCCGAGTCACTTTGGATATCATATGTCTTAGACCCGAGGGTCTGGGCTCGAATATTGTGCGCGATATGAGATTCGGAGAACGGCGTTCGGAGGTGACCATCCCCAGGGTGGAGAGGCGTGCTGTAATCCTCAACGGTCTCACGAATGGCGGTGGTGATTTCGTCGCGGGAAGTGTAGGGGAAGCAAATGTTCAGGACGCGGTCGCCGTTACGACTGGTGAGGTCGACAGCCTTGTTGACAGCAGCCAGGACATCGGGTTTGAGTAGATCAAGTCGACCCAACACGCGAACCTTGGCCCCGTATCGATCCAAGAGATCTCCGTGCTGCGCCATTTGTGACAATTTCACCTTGGCCATCTCCATGAGTGCATCGACCTCGAACTTGGAGCGTTTGAAATTCTCGATGCTGAATGCGTAGATGGTAACAACCTTCACGCCGCTTTTATAGCACACTTCCAGGATCTAAAACAATAGTCAGTAGGAGGACGGAAATCTGCGACCAGAGCTCAGCAGCACGGGGGTTGAGCTCGCCGGTCAATTACCGAGGACATACCCTTGCCAATGCCTCGAATCCCAAATTATGGCCTTCAACGGTCTCGATCCCATGTGATCTAGCAAATCGTCTGTTCCCGTCCATCACGAAGGCGACATGTTGGGGGATGGGACCTTGGCGGAGCGCGCCGACCAGCAGCTCCTTGAGGCTGTTAATCGCGAATTCGATCGGCGGAGAGGCGAGGAACCAATTCCGAAGTCGCGACAGATGCATTGAGCTCGCCATGGTGATAGCACACGGGGACGAAGCTCAGGCAGCTCGTTTGGGGGTAAGGACTTGACGGCTTAAGAAGGTTGGAGCGGACGAAAATAGGACGCGCGGTAGGAAGGGAACGGAAGGCGTTTTCGTCTTTAGTGCAACGGGCGACGTGTTCAGACCCTCGCGATCCGGGCTGGGCCACTATGTTGAACTATGCAAGTCAATCGATGGAAGAGAAAGACTTTCCTATCAGGCTACACTATTTCATCCACCCTGCTATTTTGTTTCCGCCAACGGCCGAGCGCCCCCTGGGGCGAGGCCTGCAACTTGCCAGCCAAGACATCTGGTCAGGCTGAACAACCTCAATAATTGGTGGGGGCCCGCATAAAATGGTACATCTCCGGGCTTATCGGAGCTCGACATTGTTTTGGGATTACGTTCAGAGCTATCCCACCTCGGTGTAAGGTGTTACTATGGGCTACCTGTCTACCTTGACATACATTACACTGGGTCACTTCAAATTGCTGTTCAATAGCAAACAAAAACGAAGGGGATATCTTGCATTGGGGTGATAAAGAAAAGTGCATCAAACAAGTACAAGTCGTCGCCAAATGCTCTATGGTTGACAAAAGAATTCCAACATCAAGAGTCGGCATGATAACCACATCATAGATCCTTTCGGATTTCCTCACCACTAGACGGCGTCCCTGGCCCTGAGCTGGCCATGTCCCAACTTCCATCCTCACTGCGTCTGCGGCGCCGCTCGCCACGCTCTCTCATCGCATCTCGAATCCGGGAGCTCACATCCTCGAGCGGGTCCTTCTGGGTCATTGGGCTCAGAGGCTTGAGTCCGCCTCGTGAGCCGGGACGAGGAGCAGCAGAGCTGCTGCGACTGCGGTTAGGGGTGGGTGGTCTGAGTGAGAAGAAGCCAATGTTGGCCAGATTGTGGAACGACTCGTTACGAGGCAAAGGCTCGGCCGAGGGCAAGTCCTCCATCTCGTCACGGGTTGCTTTGATCGCGGGCAAATCGCCCTCAAGTCCCTCGTGGCTGACTTCCCGGAAGGGATCAGTGACAATTCGTGCAGCGTCAAAGTCTGGGAACAGCTCCGGGCCCAAGGTGTTGATTGCCTCATCGACTTGTTGGGCGAGCATCGCGCGCTTTGCACGCAATTTCACGAGCGTGTTGGCGGACGACGGGTTCAGGCACAAGACCAGTGGTCGCAAGGACTTGACAATATCCATACCCACCTCACCAATACGGAGTGCGGCAAACGAGATAGTCAGGGAATATGACCACGCCAATCACCACCACAAGCCAAAGTGGCACCCAGTCCGGCACAAGGCCTTGGATGCGGTTCCGATATGTCCAGTAGGTGAACATAGTCGTATAAAACGCATACACAGCCGGGGCAAATGCCAGCGCAATGAGTAATTTCCATGTAGCCATCACATCGCGCCCCTGCAATTTAACTGTGGAAGCAGCCAGTGCCTCCTTGGATTTCTTCATCGACAGATACTTCGTCGCGACGAAAACCGGAGTAAAGAGAAGCAGCCCAGGTAGGGTGCCAATGGTGAGGAGAGCCAACTTGCCCAGACGATAAATCAAGGTGGCGACCACCTGCACAATAGAAAATTTGGCATACTGCACTTGATGATCACGAATACCGAGGATACGAAGCTGCTTGTTGTAGTTGACAATGGATTTGCGGAGATTGACGATCCGCGGGTCGTCTTTAAAATGATTGTAGCCCTTCACGAGGCGGCGGTTGAGCTCCACAACCATGGGAAGAGGAGCTTCTTGCCCTTGGTGTTGTACAGACGGCGGGCTGCTTGGATTACCTGCAATTTGTTAATCAAGATTGACGCAAAGGAGACTCGGTTGGGATTACCATGAGCGTTTCGTAATCGGGGCTTGTGACCGTGACCGCAACAAGACTTTGGTATATGATATCCAGAAGAGCACCGACAGACTCGCGGCGATCGCCTTGCTTGAACTGCTCCACAATCTCCTTCGGGACTTCAATTGGGTTACCGAATTCTATGACGGCGCGAGATCGGAATTTATGGGCGTGGAAATAGTTCATGCCACAAGGCACAATCTTCAAACCACAATCAGGGTTGTCTGCGAGGGTACCGAGAGCCATCAGGGCCACGCCAGCCTTGAGGGGCAATAGAGATGGACGATCGTGGCTACCACCTTCCGGAAAGATGCCAACGCAGCCACCAGCATTCAATCTCGCAAAGACGGCCTCGTAGACAGCCGTCTGATCCACGTGCGGAGCGACCTTGAACTTGGAACCCTTGAAATCGGGGACCTGTTCAGCAGCGTCTCCTGAAAAGGTTCCATCGTTGCCAATATCGTTTCTCCCAGTTAATTGGAAGAGCGCATCCCTGTGCTTGAAAGGCTTTTTAAGTATCAGCTCCTCCGGACCACGGATCTCCGCGATAGCCGAGCTGTGCGAAGTACCGTTGATAGTAGGTAGCGCAATTGTTCCCTCCTTCTCAAAGCCGTGTCCTTCAAAGTTGGTGCCGATACCGCGCAAGAGTGTGGGTTCGTTGACCGGATCGGGCAGATAAATAGTACCTGTGCCCGGCTTCAAGTTATCCATGGCGCGCGCCACGGGCAGGGTTCCGATACCACGCGCTAAAAGTCCAATAAACTTGCGTCTGAAGGATTTCTCCGCAATGAGCCATGAGATACGTCGGTGGGCCTCGCTGCGAATGACGCGCATAAGGACAAGCGAATCGACAAACTGCGAAGAAGGCCAGAATCAGCTCCATTTGGCGGACTTTGGTGAACAAGAATGGCATACCTGGTTCGCATGAGGGGCGGCGACAATGATAATGGGACCTCGGCGAGGGATCTTCCATGATCCGCGGGGATGCACCTCGCGGAAGAAGAGGTCGATCAGCACGGAGAACGACCATAAGACCAGATCGTACAGCCATCCAATGAGGGGTGGAATGTACGCCTGTTTCTTCCCCATGACGACGGTTCCAAATAGCCCGATCAGTCAGGTTTGGTATTGAGCGAAGGGTGGAGAGAGTGTTAGGGCGGCGTTGACATGAAGTTCTGTCAATATTAGCCGCAACGAGCTTTGAGCTTTGACCCGCTTGGTTCTGACGTAAAGACACAAAGCTCTGTACCCCACAGAAACTTTCTCTTGGCCAAGTCTCTCTTCAGAATAGATTCCAAGGAACCGAGAGAAGGGAAAGCACAGAAAAGAAAAAGATAAAGAGGCTCACGCGGAGGGGTGAGCTGCTCGAATCCGGAAAGTTTGAGGGACCGATTTTAGCGCGCTTTTTTTTTTCCATGCTCGGACACTTCTAGAACATCCGCTTTGTTCCTTGACGTTGATATTATTGATGATGACTAGTCCTGGAGAAACTTGCAGTTGAAAGTAGAGAGGGGAGTTTTGTGCGAGGGAGCTACTTATCCCTTCAGCACTACCTTAACTTCTGACATCCAATACCAGGTCAGGTATCATGAGAATTTCGAGTCACGTCCTACTTGTGATACCAGGTCTGGTATCTGCCTCAACAGCTTACTAAATAATTTACTGCTTATTGGAGCTGCTTACCCCGCGAACCCAACATAACGCGCAGTGGCAGATGTTGGGGCAGACCCTTTGGGCTTGGTGCGGAAGTATCGGATATCAGGAAGTGGGGGTTTGGCCGAGAAAGCGACCATGGCTTTTGTCGAACCATGAACGTTGAGAGAGAGAGAGAGAGAGAGAGAGAGAGAGAAAATATTACTAGGGAGGTGCCTAGACAGATAATGTACAAAGAAAACGTGGAAGGAACCTCAGATTGTTACCTGCAAGAGTTCCCCGCCTGCCCCGCAACGTCGATTTACATCCTTCCCTATTCAAGACCTTTTGTAAACTTGATACTCCCGAACCCGATTGATCTTTCGGGGTCCTCTACTTTTTACGCTTCTCTTTCTTTATCATATGGTGGTCTCTCGACCAGCATGTCTCTCAACTGGGTGATGCTTCATGACCAGGAAGGTTTCGTCCGCCTTCCTAGTGAGCGGTTGTTATACTCTTCTCCTCCGCGCACTGCTCTCGCCGTGACCCCGCCGCCGGGGTACAAGGGCAGCGAGAGCTTGTCTGTCCAGAGTAGCGCCGGCTGTATTCATCTTACCAACCAGAGGGTAGGCGATCTCCTCTTGCGCACTTTGTCTGCCTCCCTTACAAATATTAACGTTCTTCGACCAGGTCGTCTATCTACCTGCCCAAGGAACCGATGACCTTCAATCATTTTCTTCGCCTTTACTCAACGTTCACGACTCTCACGTCTCAGCCCCTTTCTTTGGTCCCAACGTTTGGACCGCACTGGTCCAGCCCGTCTCCGGAGGCGGTATCTCCGCCAACCTGCCTGCAGTACAAATCAAAGTGACCTTCAAAGAAGGAGGAGCCTTTGACTTCCACACACAATTTGAACGGATCAGGGAGCGATTAGAACAGGCTGTAGAGGTTATGGGTGAAGGGACACGGGGCGTGGGAGGCGTGGACATGGGGGCCGTTCATTTGGAGGAGCTACCGGCATATGAAGGCCCTGGCAATTCAAACAACACAACTGTTACTAACGAGACACCAACGGCACCGCAGATTAACAGAAGAGTCTCCACGGTCGGTCCCGAGCCGGTAGAACCGCCACCTTGCTATGAGGAGGCTCAGTCGCAGAGCGTGGCCAATGAATTGGAAGAACGTTTGCGACAGGCCAGTTAAGCGGCTTGGGCAGTGCATTTAATCAACAATATAATCTACTCTCGACTCGAGAGCGCCAGGAAGCCTTTATGTACATTATGATCCCCATGAATAGTTACCGATCCGAGAACGGTAGGACACTTAGAGAACAATGATAAGAAGCGCCCTGTGCGCCACCAATCTGGATTACTGGTTGTATAGTGATGTATCGAATCTTTCAATTGCAACATGCTGTAGAGCAGAGCACTGTAACCATGAGGACGATAGGCTTGTCCAAGCCTTCGAACGACGCTTTATAGACAGGCCGTCGGGCTGGCCAATCACGTGTGGCACAATTGGCCTATTCAGCGGCCGGGGCGTCCCGATTTTCCAGTCCGAGCTTGGAAAACCCGCACCTCGACTCAACACCAACCCCTACCTTCAATCCCATACCCCAATCCCCACGACCTCCGGTCATTGAACCTATCGCAATGGGTCTCGCCGACTTTTTCACTGACGTCGTCTCCTCCCTGGGCTTCGCCGAGGCCCAGGCTGAGGCTCCCGCCGCCGACGTTGAGACCTCCACCCAGGACGAGTCCACCGAGAAGACCGAGGAAGCCTCCGAGGAGAGCACTGAGACCGAGTCCTCCGAAGACACTCCTGAGGAGTCCTCTGAGGAGTCTTCTGAGGAGGCCCCCGAGGAAGAAGAGCCTGAGGCCGAAGAGGAAGAGGAAGAGGAGGAAGAAGAGGAGGAGGAGCCCGAGGACATTAAGCCCAAGCTCGAGGAGGGTGAGTTACTCCCAGTCTGATCCTCTTCACCATGCTTTTTCGTTCGGTCTCCTGCGATGAGCCGTCGTGTCGTGCCTATCGATGGCGTATTCCACATCCGCGACCCCCAGGCCCCCCCAATCAGTATCCGCATTAGGACCCCAATGGCATCGCAATCGCTCTCAATTTATCTCGATTCAAAAGATGACACCCGCGACTAACCAATCGCCTAACAGAATGTGCCAACTCCGCGAAGTGCGCCCCCTACAAGCACCACTACGATGAGTGCGTTGAGCGTGTCATGAAGCAGGAGGAGGATGAGGACTTCAAGGGCCCCAAAGAGGACTGCGTTGAGGAGTGTAAGTTCCCACACGCATCTGGCTGTTGCACTGTGCCGAATACCAGCATCGCTGCCTTCAAGATAGCCATTGAATCATCAAACCTAACATGACTTGCCAGTCTTCCACCTCACCCACTGCGTTACCGCCTGCGCTGCCCCAAAGCTCTGGAGGGAGCTCAAGTAAACGGATCGCGAATTCCTCCGACGCGCCGCTTTCCGCGTTCTCGCATCGATTCGGCCCTTCAAGTCCTCGGCAGGATCGACACGAGCAACTTGGAACGCAACGTCACGGAAATTCAACTCCGCTTCGACGACTGTCGCTTTGCCAACCTGACAGTCTGCCGTCTATTCTTTTGGATTAGTAGCATGGAGGCTTCTCTTCGGTCTCGATTGTGCGCAATATGGTGTTTTCAGGACAGGGAGGAATAAAGGGAAGAATAATAGACCACTCCTGCCCTGTCTTGCATGTACAGATACTGGTTTTCGCCTGCTCGAACTGTGCTAGTGTTTTATTTACTGTCTTAAGACGAATCTCATCTGTTGAAAACGGATAGACGGGAGGCCCTGGCGCGGATGCGCGGAAGTGCCATCAGCCACGCTTTGCGTGCTAGTGCGTAGGGTACGCTAGTAGAACCGATCAAAAATACGAGACAGACCTTCTAGGCAACTTGATAGACCACGGCAAGTCTAGAAGGTATCTTCAATTGATATCATCTCAAATCATATCTAGCGTAGCAAATTGTCCACACCCTGGGTGGGTTAAGGCTTAATATAACCAAGAATCAGGGAAAAGCCCGATGGCCAGGCAGAAACGAAAGGGTGGTATATACTGGGCTGATCCTGAGCCCAAATTTTAGGCATCAAAACCAGCCTGAGATGCAGAAAGATGCGACAAAAAAGCATTCATCGTTGTGACGTTGGCCTATGAAACGATTAACAGACTCATCAGACATGGCCTATTATCTCGCGCTAGGTTTCAGCAGACTTGAGAGCCAACCTGTCCAGAGGAGATGCGGAATTGATCTGTGAGATGTCCTTGTTCGGACCGCAGGGATCACCCTGTCCGGCTTCTGCGGCATGCAGCTCGACACCACGGTCAACCTCCAACCTCCGACGCTGGACATCTCGCCCAAACAATCCTATAACTAGAGGGAATGGTGCAGCGACGAAAGAAATAACTGCAGCGAAAATGAGCGCATTGCGCATATTTGAAGGAGGATTCGCCTTGTCACTAGCCTTGAGCGCATCCTGAATGAGAATGAAACAAGCGCCGAGCAACTGTCCGCCCGTCCAGCAGATGGTGCTCCCAATCTCCGGCGAGAAGGGATATGTGATTTCGACCAGATACTCCAAAACGATAGGCAGAAGCGCGAATGACGAGGCGCCCATCAACGCCATGACTACATACGACGGAGCAATGCCGGCTGAACTGGATGGCGCGAATATTAAACCGATATACGAGGCCACCACGATTGGTACCAACACACGGATCGAGCCGAGGTAGTGTTTCCACTTGTCCGTGATTGGCGACATGATTGCGGCTGTTACCAATCCTACTACGATCAGGACTGCGCCCGCGATACCCGAGTCGGTCTCGGAGTATCCGTATGGACTCAGGATCTGGGTCACCAGGGACGAAACGCTATTGAAGAATCCGACATATACCGCGAATGGTACCAGAATTAACCAAAATTCTAGCGTACCGAGTAATTGCTTAGTTGCGGGTATCAGTGGCGTGCGGGGGATGGCAGATGAGGCGCTTGGGGGAGTCGGTGGTGCAGCGGGCAGGAAAAAAGATGGTATTGATGCAACGCTGGACTATATGCGGTGAGTTCTTGTCAGTTGAAGGTAGTATACATGCGACACAGGCAACTTACAATGATAGAGATGTACAGGACCATGTTTGGGATATCGGAGGGCTTGGTCGCCCACTCCGAGTCCACCAATTGTCCTATCGCTGCGCCAAGAGGGTTGGCCAAGCTGGCGAGGGCTGTTGCACTCGTGCGGCCTTTGTCTGAGAACCACAGGTCACTGTAGCGGGTGGGCGCGCACAGGCAGAATGGTTGCGCCAGACCGATCAGGATCTGGCCGAACATAGCGAGCCCAAATATGCCGCCACTGGCTCGGGTGCCTGCATAGCGCAGCCAGTTGCCCACGAGCAGGAGCGAAGCGGTGGTGACGATCGCTGGTTTGGGACCGCCTTTGTTCAGGATCCAGATGACGAAGCTGGGTTAAGGAAAGAAGAGTCAGTTGAATCAAGGAAATACGCTCCAAGACGAGGTATCACTAACGGACTGGCAACGCAGAATGCAAACAGATAGCCGGTGCTTAACCAATTGATAGCACTCTCGGAGACTTGGAAATACTCCGCGGCAGTGGTGGAGATGGACGAGAAAGTGAGCCACTAACTTCATTTAGCATACATTCCTCGCATTTCTCAGTGGATCCGGGGTAAGGTTAATCTCACATCCCAACTGACGACGATGTTGAGAAGCACGAGTTGCGCCAGGCCCCAGAACCGTCGTTTATAGACCTTGAACGGCGGTTGCGCGAGCGGCGAGCTGTTGCTCTCCGAGATCTTCAAAGTCGCCATGACCGACTGTTGATCAGGGGGACATGGGCAAATGGAAGAAAGATAAAGGCGTCGGTCTTTGTCTTGGTCTCGGAGAGCGCTTGGTCTCCGTCGCGGGATCCGAGGTTGCGTCTACATGGGAGGTACATGCAGCCCCACGGTTACTACGTAATGGATCTGGTTTTGTGGAGGTATTATCATCATTGCCATGTGCCAGGATTCCTATCTCGGGATTAGAGCCTGATCCAAAAACCTAATAAACCCCAACTAAGGATCCAAAGGCTATTATAGCCTTCGCTTAGAAGTTATCGGGTCAGAAGTGGACTCCGTGGTTCGCCTGCGTCTGGGTCAACAGGGGTAACTATGAAAATGCACTAAACAAGTCAATCGACGAAGAAATCAATAGATCCACAGATGGATATGTCAATAACTCAGATCAGATCAGCTAGTCGATATCTTCGGAATATTATTCTATGATACATACTTTCAGACGAGAGATCACAAATGGACAAAAAGGTGTGGCTGAGGCCGTGCAGATCGCAAACTCCTTCTTTTCCTCCCCACCATCTTAAATTCCGTTCAGCCACCCTTTTCTTTTGTCGCCCTTCAAATCTGGTGAAGTTTGGCATTCCTCTGTCAACATTACTGTTCCTCATGATGAGTGACGGCCATTTCTAAATTCCCTGATCCCTACAAACCCCGGCTGCATTCCTCGCGCCCTGAACGCTCGTCATGAACATCAGCCTCCGATCCAGCCAGTCTTCGTACGGTGACCCACGATACCACTCGACACAGACCGTCTCCGATGTCCAGGCGCCCCAGGCTCCCATAACGCCCCTAGGAAAGGACCTTGTAGACGGGTATCGGGACGCAGTCGGCTCTCAGCATGAAGACCGGTCGCGATACAATCCGGTAAGGGGAAACCACCAGGTCACGGCACATTGGAGCTCCACGGACCTAGCTAATTCGTAACTTCTTGCAGCTGAATCCGGCTCACCCGCGGAGCTCAGCGCTTCTTAACACCAGCAATCCGGTGACGATGTACCTCCTAACCGAGACCGCAATGTGCGACAGTAACAGCTTCGAGATTCTGTCATTCGAGGAAGTGGAAAGCCTCAAGAAAGAGCGCTCATTGTTGTCGACCCGAATGGAGGGTACAAAGCGCAAACTCGCCCTGGAGACCAAATTACGCGATGCCGCCCAATCCATCGGTCGGCTCTACAGTCCCCCGAGTCCCAGGAGCAGTGGTGAATACGGCGCCAACGGAACGAAGTCACACCGCAGGAGCAGGAGCATCTTTGGGCGCTCTGGCGCTGCCGAAGTTCTCGATAAGAGCGACTCCGAACTGGCGATGAGCCAGCGGAAATGCGAAGAATTAGCACAAGAGCTGTGGAAGCTGGAGCGCAGGTCCCAACAAATCAACCAGCGCTTGCTGGAGCACACTGCGGGAGTCTTGCAAATGACTCATAAGGGACTGAAGAAGGCGCCCAAGAATCCCCAGGCTGCGGCGGACGACCTTAATGACGGCCACGACTTCGACGAGCGCAGCCTTTACCGAACTCCGGAGCACCTGGACAACTATGGATTAAGTGGACGAATAGTGACAGGTGACCCGGCAGCTTCTTCGGAAGTTATGCAGAATATGCAGAAGAGGTTGGAGGACCTCACTGAGCGAATGTGCGATATGATGGTCCAGGCCACTCCAGATGAATTCGTTGATCCACCGCCGCGGCCGGCGCAGGACAGCTCCGCGACACTTGAGGCATACTTGGCGTATTTGGAAAATGGCCTACATTCTCTTGCTTCGTGCCCGGCTGTCGCTGTTGCTACAGGTGCTTCCAATACTCAGAGCGAAGGAGCGTGGAAAGAGCAGATCACCGAAGTCAATACCCGGGTTCAGGCCATCGTCGATCGTTTCGGTCTTACTCGGTCGCCCACGCTTCCTCCCCTCCAAGTGCAGCTGAGGGCGAAGGCCTAGAGGAGCAGCTTTCCTACCTCCAGACCGGTATCGATGGCCTTGCAAGCCGGGTGGATGGCTTGCTGGAGCAGAAGAGCATTTTAACCACGCAAATTCAGCAGCAGCGAGAGCTCAACTCCAAATCAGATGCGGAACGGGATGCCCATATCGGCGACTTGACCGAGCAACTTGCTCATGCTCGCAAGGACCTTGAGACTTCCGAGCGCGAGGGTAAGGCTGCCCAGGATGAGCTCGCTGTACTGATAGAGCAGCTTGAGGCTATGCGCCACGATGGCCCTTCACAGGATGAGGTCAAGGCTTCACTGGTGCAGGCCGAGGGAGAAATTGCTCGCCTGCAGAGTGTCATTGAATCTATGCACGCTGAGGCCGACACACGTGCCGAGGCAGTGAGAGAAGCCGATGATCGTGCGGATGAGATGAAAGAAGCTCGCGAACGTGCTGAGCAACGTGTGGCTCAGATTGAGGAGGCTCGTGAGCTCGCCGAACAAGAACTGGCTCAGCTCCAGGCCAATGTTCAGCAGATTCGCAACGAATCTGATGTGCGCGTGCAGGAGGCTGTCAGCCAGCGAGCAGAGCTTGAGGCCAGCATCGAGCAATTCCGCAGTGAGTCGGACGAGCGTCTACGGGAGGCAATGAACCAGTGTGCAGAACTCGAGGCCAGCATCGAGCAAATTCGGGCCGACTCAGACGCACGTCTGAAGGAGGCAATGAATCAGTGTGCGGAGCTCGAGGCTTTCGTGCATCAAATCCGCAATGAAACCGACCCACGCTTGGAGGAGGCATACAGCCAGCGTGCACAGGCCGAGGAGAATGCTACTCGTCTGCAGAAGGAGATGACCGAGCTTGAGGGCGAAGTTGTGCGCATAACGACTGAACTTACCATGGTCAAGGCGGAGCTTGATGGTGCCTACGGTACCCGAGCTCAGCGTGCGGCCGAGGTAGCTGGAAATCCAGAGATTCAGAAGGAGATCGATGCTCTGAACACCCGGAACATCGAGCTAACCGAGGAACTTGCTGAGCTCAAGAGCCAGCGAGGCGGTGGTGATCTTCAGCAGCGCGCTGATACTCTCGAGAAGGAGCTGCGCGAGACTCTTGACGACTATGAGGCCATGACAAAGGCCAGCATTGAGTTTGAGAAGGAGCGTGAGCGCTTCGAGAGTATTATTGACAGTATGCGCGACCGCTGTGAGCAGCTGGAAACTCAGATCAGCGAAGACCGAATCAACTGGATGAACCTCAACAGCCCGACATCCATGGGCCGTGATCCTTCTTCCGAGACCACATCTACCATGGTACTCAAGAACGAGTTCAAAAAGATGATGCGCGATACTCGTAACGAGAACATGAAGATCTTGAAGGTCCGTAATATTCCTATTTCCATTCTCCCTCCTTGTGTACCTTTTTCACATTGAATGTTATCACAATACTAACAATTCTGGCACAGGCGGAACAAGAAGAACGTCGCAGGATCGAAGGCTTGCTGCGAGCCCTACGAAAGGAGCATGCCCAAGTGACGGGCAAACCCATGCCCAGCCCTTTGGGAACTCCCTTATGATGATGAATTTGTTTTAAACCTGCGTTTTTCGGAAGATTGTACATATAAACTTCGGTAACTGATCAATGTAGGATAATTGCATGAGCGCACGGCAAGCGCGATGAGGATGGTGCCTTATAAAACTGTATGGTTCCAGCTGCTTTCTATGCTATTTCCACGAGTCCACCTTTCTTGTATTCTTGAACACCGTCTATGCGCTATGTCTGTCGACAATGCCCATGGTAATCGACCAGGTCGCTTCTTTGCTCCCGAGAACCTCAAGCGTCACAACTACACCTGCGATACTTCCTCCCAGTCACCGTCTACGGACATTCCCGACTCATCTGAGTCCGGGCCCATCTTCAATGCCATCAGAGTCACAAGTCCAGAGGGAAGTACTCGAAATTCCAGACCTGCCTCCAATATAGGCCCCATCATGGAAGAAGGATTAGCAGCCAATATCGCCATGTTCATTCCCTCGGCGCTCGACGGTCACCAGTCCTCCAAACGACTTTCTCACAATGAAAGACGACAAGTTGACACTATCTGGTGGCGCAAGCAGATGCTTTCCGATACGTCTTTACATCAGACGGCACACCTGGGCGCTGGTCCATTCACCGAGACGATCTTGGCTGCAGGTGCTGCTAGAAACTTGCACCAAAAAGCACATTCTCTCAACACGGCGGAAGGGAGTCAATATGTTCCTCGCTGGCCTACGAATCTGGGGACTGCCGTTTCCACCCTTTGGCCTCATTTCCCACCTCCAGAAAGACAGCCCACGCCTCCAGGACTCCCATCATTCAATACCCCCGAGGCGGTGTATTGCTCTGCACAGTTCCTGGTTGGGGGAAATGGCAGACGCCGTTCGTACAGGGCCGAAGGCAACGGCCAACAAACACGCTCATACGGAGATGCAATGCTGCGATTCTTTGGTCTGTCTCCCTCAACCGAGATCGCACCGGAAGGGCTTTCTGTGACTGGGATTGGACGAGCAGAAGATGGAACAGCAGTCCAGGGCCGGTTTCCGTATCGACAAAGTGGCCACGGAATAAATCCTAATCGACAGCTAAATGACCATCCCTTCCATCAAAGCAATCTTCCTATCGCTGGAAACGAAGCTGAGGAATTGAGATGCGAGGCTGGATTTGATGACACAAGGACCAAGGAACCGGGATCTCGTTCGCGGAGGCAGATTCGGATCTACACGCCTCGCCCTCTTGGACGATTGTGGCCATTCTCAGATGATACTTCCGACTCTGCTATTCCACCACGTCCACGGAAGCAGGGCGGGGCTGTTGCACTGCTTGGTCTTCGGCGGACTTCACCTGTCCAGGACGGAGCCACAGCTGCCCCATTTACCGTGGCATCCTCTGTTCAAGGTGTGGGAGTGATGGGAGATCAGATCGCGCAAGTCTCTTCATCGTTGCGCTCAAGTCGGACACCAGACAATTCTGAGGATCTTGCAGGCGGTAGGACTACTGAAGGAGGTCATAAACCATATGGCGTTCTTTCTTGCATGCCCACTCAGCTGTCTCTTTATTGTTCGGGTCGTTGTATCCGCAAGCGTCGTTCGAGCATGGAAACTCTCAACGTTGTCAGTACTGGCGAAACTTACCTGACTGCTCGTGACCATCAAGGCTGTGGGCCGGGTCTTAGGTGGTGGTGGTGGTTGTGGTGATGCTCTCCTTCAAAGTACCCTCCATGTCCAATTTCGCGTGGCCTGGTACCTTCTTTCCTATTAAATTTGCTCGTGGAAGATGTCTTCGTGTCCTGGTTAATATTCTGTTACCCTCGTTTATCTTTCATTTGGTGAAGACTAATGAATTGGTCTACATATCTTTCTTGACTTTCTGTACATTTGTGACCCTTGAAGTGTCTTGAGACATTTTGCTCTGCTGGTGTTGATGGCGAAACTTGTCTCCTCAAGTATATATATATTACAATTCGGGTGTGATCCCCGGGATTTACTTGAAAATATTTCTACCTCAAGCTTTGCGAGGCTACATAGAAGGTACATAAATATTCGAAGCCCGTAATATCCATCTAGACGCTATGCCATGTGTATTTCAGGTGGCATAAAGACAATCATCACCAGAGTCGCCAAGCAGCGGAAGATGTCATAGCTGAAAAGCTAATGAATAAAATATTTGTGATACATATGCGCAACGCGAAAGGCGGAGAGAGGAAGACCACAGGGTGAAAGTGATGATTAAGATAAGAGCCGGAAGGGGATCCAACGCTTGTATGCACTGTAACGCCAAGAAGACAGGGGAAAGGGCAGGAGAAGGAGGAAGAGTGGCAGAGGACAGCAAGAGAGCGAGAAAAGGGGCAGATCATAATCCCTGGAAGAAGGGACATGCCTCGATGATCTCCTCATCGTCGCATGCAAAGTCCCATCCGACGATCCGGGGATCTACGCTCGCGCAGATAATCTTACGTGAGTCGAATTGGACTTTGAAGACCCTTGACGTGGGAGGAGGTTGAGCAAGCTGTCGGCGGGGGTGGGCATGAAGGTGGTGATGATGATGACCGGCAGCCAGTTGGTTGAGGTGTTGATTTATTAAAGCGACTGGTGGAGGTGGAGGAGGTGCATCAACGGCCGGTGTAGCGGTAGGTTGGTTGGCAACACCCTCGGCTGGAGCAGGGGTAGCATTATTGGTTACAGGGGGTGATTCACTGCCGGTTTCCACGTCTGTTGTTGCTTCGCCGTTCTGTGCTTGAGGACCTTGCACAGGTTGTCTCCTCTGCGGTTGCTGTGCCTGTGCCTGTGCCTGCGCCTGTGCTTGTACCGAGACCGCAGCTCGTGCAGCTTCGCTGAGATTGCCTCGTGCAGCGTTGGCCACGGCATCGGCTTGACGAAGCCGGTGACCAATTGACCATGCACCGTCGCGATCCTTGTGCCAGATCAAAATAGACTCGTCATATGAGCCAGAGACGATGCGCCCCCAGACACTACCACCTCCGCCCGGAGGAATTTTTGCACCGAGCGCAGGAATGTCGCGAGGGTCACGCGAGCCAGCAGTATTTGAGTAGTGCCCAGCACGGCGTAAAGCTCTTGGTCCAAGATCAACAGGGACGCCAGCAGCTTGTGCTTTGAAGAACTCGTTCTCAACCTCCTGAGCCTCGAGCCGAAGAGCCTCGTCAGCGCCGGGTGGATCGCCAAACCCTGCTTGAACAGTTCGCACAAGGTTGTTGTGTCCTCGCAGACAGGCCACTTCTGCCCCAGAGATATGATCATAGATGCGCACTGTATTGTCGTTGCTGCCGCTGATGATACGGCGACTGTCAAATTGGACACATGCGATGCCCTTCTCATGACCCATCAGAGTCTTTAAACAAGCACCATTGCGAATGTTCCAGACCTTGATCATGCGATCACCGGAAGCCGTCACAATCTCATCGCCATGGAGCTGCATTGCATTAACTGCGGCCCCATGTCCTTCCACAGTCATGAGAAGAGAGTTTGCTTGTATAGATTTGATATGCCCGTTTGCAATACCCGCTTCAAGAATGTTGGGTGCCATGTCTGTCAGGTCGACGACATATGAGGGATAAATGGCCCCGCCACCTGCGCAGATGCGCGGATAATCCTCATCCAGGGCCGATAGCTCTCGACGATTCCAGACCTTCACTGTGCGGTCTTTGGAGCAGGTGACTAAGTAGCGGTGGTCAAATTTGAGATTAAGAACAGAGTCGGCATGTGCGTTGGTAATTTGATGAATCTTTTTACCGGTCGAGAACTTCCAGATGATCACGCTCTTGTCGCTGCTGCCAGAGATGATGACATCCTCTTCAGGACTTGGGTCAAACTGAAGACACAGTACTGACTTTGCGTGACCTACCAATGGGCGATGCCATAAGCGCTTCGTTTCCAGGTCCCAAACTCGCACGGTTCTGTCTCGGCTTCCACTGACCAGCCATTTCCCTTGAAATTCGATTGCATAGACACATTCCTTGTGCGCTTCGTCCATGTGAGATGGGTGCGGGAGTTGGAAGTTCTTATATCGGCCATGGTGCCAATTCGCCTCTAATCTTCGGCGTTGTTTATACAGATGAACCCAGTTGACTTGAACGCTCCCGTTGGGGGAACGCGTGAGTAATGAAGACTGGAGAGGTGGCTGAAGCATTGATGGAAGCGACAGAAAAGACGTTGGAGCCACGCGTCCCATGCCGTCCACTGAAAAAGACCCTGTTCGCTCGGTTGCATCGGCCATGTGGTGATCACCTTCGTCGTCCGCTTCAGTCGAAGCCTGGCCGTTGGCTTCAACTGTTCCATACCTTTCAGCACCACGTGAATTAAGCCATGTGAGAGGGACGCGCTTCTTATGCTTCGGCTCTCCCAGGTCTGCCTCTGAATGTAGAGGGCGTGCTCGACGGGTTTGAGGTGAAAGTGCCTCGGCATGCTCTTGTTCGAAGCTGCGAATGGCACGCGTATCCACCCGCCAACCTTCTTTGATGTATAAAACCCTCCATAGACCAGAGTCGAGAATTCGGCTGCGCCATGAACGAGACGCCAGCGACGCAGTCAACAGATCTTTTGGGCTGAGGTAAGAGAATATGTCGAATGTAAGTTCCGGGGGCAGCTTGACAACAGGGTCCATATGAAGTAGCGGATTAAGACGATCGACCACTGCAGAGAGCGTAGAGGTGGAAAGAGACCGGAGAAGGCTATACGCGAGTTCTAAATTAGAGGGGTCGTTAGCGGGCGGAGAAGGCAAAGGAGGTTGGGGCTTCGGAAACTGCAATGCAGAACGCAGTGAGGGGCGCTGACCAGCTCGATCGGTCTCGCTCTGGGCGAGGACCCATTCCGGAAGCATTATGACATTGTCTGAAACGGTATCCTTGTCTGACTGGCTTCGCGTCTCATCCGAATAGCCCTCATCTAGCTTGAAAGACGGCGAGAGAGAGGGCACAGCGAATCCAGTGAAGCCGGTCGCCTGCAGCCGCAAATTCGGGCCAGATGGAGAATTGGGGATCGTTTCTCCCTCCATCGATGCTACCAAGCGAGTGGAGAAGGCTGCGATAGAGCGAGCGCGCTGAGGACGGATGAGTCGATGGGTCGGGGGCGAGACCTAGTGCTGTGACTTTTCAAGACGCCCACCAAACCGAGGACTAGCTGTGCGCGCGTTGTAGAGCTTCTTACAAAGCTTCAACGAGGATCTCACCCTCTTGCGCTGAACGAAAGGCGTTGGACGGGAGGATGGGAGTTTGGGGTCGGTGCCGCATATCACGTCACGTTTAGCGGCGGGATCCACCAGAAAGTGATAGATCGGAAGGCAAGAGGGCGCAACACATCAGATGCGATAGGTCGAGGACAGGATTAGGGGAGGCTGATCGACTGAAGAACAACTACTTCCGAGTTGAGAAATAACAAAAAACATGCCGCTCAGAGAGAGCAATGTAGGCACTGGAATGGCCTGCGGATCACGTGGTCAACGGGAGGGCAGGCGAAGTATGTACAATCAACAACGATAACCTTGAGAAAAGCGCTGGGAGAATGTATGGAACGAACGCAAGGTGCAAAATATACAATACATCCCGGAGAGATCATTCTCTCTTAATTCTCCTAGCAGTGAGTTTAGTGAACCCCCCGCATACTTGGTCGATTCTCGATTTGTTTATAGGATTTGTCTCAGTAGATAGGCATGTACAAAGACATGTGGGATACCTTTTTGGAAGGCCGATAACTGAATATGGCAACGACACTGGTATAGAGATCGAAGATGATCTACTTAAGCTAATGATGGATCGTTTTTACGGAATACACATTTACGGTTCAAGGGCTGTTCCACGCCAAATCTGACTAGAGGAAGAGGCTTTTGTGGTCCATCGCTACTTTGATTGTCCTACTCAGTGTCACTAGCGTGGGCTAGCCCTGATTCTACCGGTTTCACGGTATAGATCTCTCGTCTCAGGTAGAGTGGACTCGTGCCCCTCTCCACATCCCACCGCCCGATGGAACACGCGCTAAACCCTATCAGGAAACTGAACAGCCCTCCTTCCGCTCACCCTCTCCTTTCTCCCCATCCCGCCATCTCATTCCATCTTCGCCTCTACACCCCTCTCAACTTCTGCTCCCTTCGGGTCGTCCAGCTCGCCTTCGGAAGTCGATTCTTCCTTCCTATTTCGAGTCTGTCGAGAGTCCTAGTGACCGGGCTCTAACCTTCCGAACTAGGGGGGGTTTCCATCTTTCTCATTCCACACGCTTGCCCGGCCGCAGCGTGGTCTCTGAAAGACCTCTCCAGACCCATCGATTGGGTCTCGTCCACTGTCGGTGTCGGGAAATACTTCAACTGTCCTCCCTCCCTTTCGACGGAAAGTGGCGGCGCGTTTTTGATATTCTGTCTGTTCATATTAACCCTCAGATCGTGGTTATCCCGCGGGGAATTTTCCCTGTATATATACCACACCGCCATTCATTGTGACCCAGAAAGAGGTGGCAAATTGCGCCTTATCTTACGGCATACAACCGCACTTGTTCCTGCGTCGCGCAGCCTACATTCGCTCGACCATCCGAATCGCCAGCAATTCATGGTCGGCGTCCCGTCTGCTCGACACTCGTCGCTCCCTTCGATTACTATATATTCTAAGTCTGCTGTGCAGATTTGTTTTGATCTGAGCCTGGCTGGTCTGACTCATTTACTCGGTCGAGGTAAACGAAGATGATCGACTCCGCAGCAATGAGCGGCGCTCCGGTCGCCGAGGATAACATCATCAACCGGCGTGGTGGGGAATCAATCTATCAGAGTTGTGTCAACTTGAAGAGGCGGCTCTCAGAAGTCCCCAGCTTCGAACCTTTTCTGCAGGAGATGGCTGAGGAGGATCGCGAACGGGGTAACACCGATCCTGTGTCTTCGTTGTGGAACTGTCTCCGGGCTGGGTACCCGCTACTCAGCATCTACAATGCTTCTGGTCCGGAAGATGAGCTTATTGTCGACCCTGCCAAAGTCCCCGAAGCGAAACGACCGAAAGCGGCAACCTTCAAGTTTTTGCAGGCATGTCTACAGGACCTAGCCTTCCCCCAGCAAGATTGCTTCCTGATCACGGATCTATATGGTGAGAGTACAACTGGTTTCATCAAGGTCATCAAAATGGTGAATCGTGTGGTGGACATACTCGAGATGCAAGGCCAGTTGAAGCGTCCGTCCGTGGCAGACGCGCCGGCCGGTGTGCAAGCAAACGTGAAGCTCACCAAGCGGGAACATATCCTGAAGGAGCTTTTGGAAACAGAGCGCGACTACGTTCACCATCTCCAAAATTTGCAGGCATTGAAGAAGGAGTTGGAGGAGACAGGAGCACTGACCGGGGATGCGAGTCATCAAATTTTCCTGAACCTTAACAACCTCTTGGACTTTGCGCAGCGATTCTTGATTCGAATGGAGCAACACTACGCCCTGCCGGAGGATATGCAAAATTGGGGCAGCCTCTTTGCCTCTCACGAAGAAGCCTTCCGACAGTATGAACCTTTCATCGCAAATCAGATGCGGTGCGACGAAGTCTGCCTCAAGGAGTGGGACAAAATCAAGGTGGCTCCGCGTCATATAGACCTTCAACAAATGGTTGCGCAACCAAAGACACTGAACGGATTCTTCGTTAAGCCTTTCCAGCGCTTAACTAGGTACCCGCTTATGTTGTCGGTAAGTTCATTCAAGTCTCCACATGTCTTTATTCGAAATTAATGCGTTTTCTATTCATAGGAGCTTCGCAAGCAATTGGAAGATGAGCAACTTCAGGCCGATATCACCCATGCCATCAATACCATTCAGAATGTGCTAGATTTCGCCAATGAGGCAATCCACAAGGAGCATTTGGCTGCGGCAGTGGTAGATTTATCAGAGCGAGTCGATGACTGGAAGACTCTGAAGATGGACGCTTTTGGTGATCTGCTTCGCTTTGGCACATTCGCCGTGGTCAAGGGAGACAGTGGCAAGGACAATGAGAGAGAGGTACGACGACGATGGCACGGTCCAGTGCTCGCACGAGACGTGGAAACGAGCCGCGCTGACATGATTTCCAGTATCACATCTTTTTATTCGAGCGCATTCTTCTGTGTTGCAAGGACATCAACCCGAACAAACAGAAGACCAAGCTTATGATGAACAAAGACAAGCCCACCCTCATAGGTAAAGGAAAGCCCCGTCTTCAATTGAAAGGCCGCATCTACATGGCAAATGTCACGGACATCGTCTGCCTTCAGAAACCTGGCCTCTATCGTATTCAGATCTTCTGGAAAGGCGATCCGGGTGTTGTTGATAACTTCATCATCCGCTACTCTAATGAAGATACCATGAAGAATTGGTACAAAGACATTGACACCCAGCGGACAATTCAATCAGAACGTCGCACACTTCGAAACACTGGTACCTCTGACAGCGAATTCACATACATGGAGGGGATGGTGGCCCACATGCCCAATCCTTACCAGGCAGAGTATGATCAAGATGATGTCGGGCGAGATGGACAGTATCATTCTGAATTCACAATGAGTCGAAATGCCTCCAGCACCAGTCTCAGAACTCGGTCTGCCACCGGTGGCAGTACCAACTCTGGTCCTCACTCAAATGGTCGAACCCGCTTTGGAGGGGCCGATCCTTCACTCACCGTGCATACCCAATTACCTGGCAATATGTCGCCCGGTGACCGCAACAACATGAATTCATATTTCTCGCCGACTGAAACCCCATCCACCCGATCTAGTTCCCAATCCGGATTCTCTTTCGGACGTCAAAATACAAACTCGACAGGGGCATCGTCCGTTTGGAACGAGGAAGCCCATCGCTACACTGCGCCTGCCTTGTCCCGCGGCACCTCCCGAGATGGCTCAACCCCGACGGGTTACTATCCTCCCCCAACCAATGGACGATCTGCTCAACGTCCCTCATTGCCTCCTATGTCTGGATCCCATGGAACTCCCCTCTGCAAATGGCACTGCCCAGCGCATGCGTTCTGCCAGCAGCCCTGATATCCATAATAATATCAATGGACCGCCTGAGACACGTCGGTATATGGGAGTGCACACCATGCAGACTGTAGACAATGTTCCGGTGCCCCCGATTCCCGCCCACATGGCGAACATGAAGGCCCCGGTCAATCGAAGCCAGAACAACTCTCCTACAAGTCAACTTCCTCTACGCACACAGCCTCCTCCTGTCCACACAACACATTTCACCGAACCTCCTGTCCACACAACACATTTCACCGAACCAGAGTATAATGACGCTCGTGGCTCGGGCCAACTCTCAGATCCGGCCACATCTCCCTTGACCCAGGAAGAAGGACTAGAGGAGATTGACCCGTACATGCCAACACAACTCAAAGCGAAGGTGAACTTTGAGGATAACTATGTCACGCTAGTGATTGCGACTAACATTCTCTTCCGTTCCCTGACGGATCGCGTGGATGCTAAGCTGGCTCGTTTCACCAACCGATCTATTGGTAACAAAACCGTGCGCTTGCGATACCGGGACGAAGATGGCGATTTTGTCACCATTGACAGCGACGAGGCCGTACAACTTGCATTTATGGAATGGCGGGAGCAACACCGCGACATGCTCGCGAAGGGATTAGTTGGTGAAATCCAGCTCTACTGCCAGGTGGTCGACTAGATAGATCCTCCCACGAATCGTGTCTGTTTCTTTGGCCGTGAAAGTTTGAACCTCTTTAGCTTCTCTCGCTGGGAGCCTCTTACGATCATCGGTCTGCTATCTCTTTGCATCGCCCTAGCGCTTGTTCCCCCTTTCACCCCCTTTCACCCCAACTGGTTTGGCTTGGTTTTGTTGATTGTTTATTCCTGGAGAGCTGCACCATCTTTGTCATACCCCTCTTCTTATCATCATTCGTCCTTCCACCAGGCCATCATGGTCTTCATGTGGTAGAACTCTGGCGTCTTAGGCGAGGGCATTACAACTGCATAACGAGATGATCGCGGCACGGCGTCGAGAGGTGACAGGTCTTTTTGTTTTGGAAGGACCCCTTTCATATTCCGTTCCTCGGGAATACTCTGGCGGGAGCGAATGATGACTGCTATTGATCTCTGTCTTTCTCTTCAATGTCCACGAACGTATGAAGCACCTTCACGTATGCATACTTGTTTTTGGATTCAGTACGTTTTGGGGCCTTGCATGGATGTCTCGACTCGAAATTCATTGACATCTATTTCAAAGGTTCTCATCGTAGTTATGTCTCTCGCTATCTTTCGGATCGGAATGCCGTGACTCTTCCGGGAAGATCGGCTGTTGATACCGGTTGGCACGGCTGAAGTATAGGAGCTACCACAGGTTTATTTGGACCATACCAATCATTTTCTTTCCAATAGTACAGGAAACGTACGTGGCCCTAACGCCATATTCTGGTTCGAACTGGGATGCGGTATTCAAATCGACTTCTGGCGATGCAGTGCCCGATTTGGCTGTTAAAACAGGAATTTCGGCGCAGAACAGCCGGTGCTCTCACCGAATCGTGGCCCAGCGTCTCAGGAACCAGAGCCACCTCATCAATTCTTTTCCTAGTGCGCTTCCCCCTTTTTCGCTTTCGAAAAAATTCCCTTTCTGCGCCCCAGGGAAGCAAATTGTCCATCATACAAGTCTTGATTCTAAGCCACACCAGCCACATTGTGACAGCCAAGAATGTCGTTCTCCGGCCGCCGCGTTAGCATTTTGCGCCCCTCCACCCGCCGCTTCTCACAAAGCAAGGGCTTGTCTGACAACGGTATGATCTACATATCCCTGCAAGACATTCAATATCTCCGGGCTAACGTCCCGATCAATCAGAACTTGCCTCCGAGACTCATCGCCAGTTCCGTACCGCACACGAGGGCCACCGTCCCCACGCCGGCCTCGACGCCTCCCGTGCATCCACCGGCGTCGTCTGGTGCACAGAGCGAGCTTCCGAACATGGCTATGCAGAAGACCCCTCCGCCTGGGCCAACCTTGGTCAGGGTGCTCCTGAGGCCGACGACGAGATAGAAGGCAGCTTCCCCCGCCCGACGTCGATCCCGATTACTTCGGCTGCTCGGGAGTACGGCCCGACCGCTGGTATCAAGCCATTGCGCGCGGCTGTCGCACGTCTGTATAATGATCACTACCGTCAAGGAAAGGAGAGCCAGTATACTTGGGAAAATGTGTGCATTGTGCCCGGTGGCCGTGCTGGTTTGATTCGTATTGCTGCCATTTTGGGCAACTCGTACCTGTCTTTCCCCATTCCCGACTACTCCGCGTACTCGGAGATGTTGAGTCTGTTCAAGAACGTACGTTTTATCGCTTTTTGGGTGGGTTGCGGGATCGAGAATGCTGACAGGGAACCTTCAGATCGCCCCCATTCCCATTCCCCTGGCTCAAGACGACCATTATCACATCCACCCCAACAAGATTGCCGAGGAGATTGCCCGTGGTACGCAGGTACTGCTTACCTCGAATCCTCGTAACCCCACTGGTCACTTCGTGTCGCACGATGAGCTGGCGGAGATCCAGGACATTTGCCGGGACCGCGCCACTCTCATTCTAGATGAGTTCTACGGCGGCTACAACTATGCCTCCGACTGCGACGGCAGCACCATCAGTGGAGCCGAGCACGTCGTCGATGTCAATCAGGATGGTCTGTCATCCCTCCAACCCTACTTCAAGGCCTTAATCACTAACTAATCCTGCAGACGTCCTCTTGATTGACGGTATGACCAAGCGCTTCCGTCTTCCCGGTTGGCGTATCGCCTGGGTCGTTGGACCCAAGGAATTCATCGATGCCCTTGGCTCCGCCGGCTCATACCTGGATGGAGGCGCCAACGTACCCTTCCAGGAAGCCGCCATTCCCATGCTCGAGCCCTCGCTAGTCCGCACTGAGATGAAGGCCCTGCAGCACCACTTCCGTGAGAAGCGCGACTTCGTTCTGAAGCGTCTTCACGAAATCGGATTCCGCATGAAGGATGTGCCCCAGGCTACCTTCTACATCTGGCTTGACCTAACTTCGCTCGACCCGCCTCTGCCGAAGGAGGCGAACATTTCCGATGGTTTGAACTTCTTCAATGCTCTGCTGACTGAGAAGGTCATCGTTGTGCCTGGTATCTTCTTCGATTTGAACCCGGCTAAGCGTCGTGACTTGTTTGATAGTCCTTGCCACCACTTTGTTCGTTTGAGCTATGGCCCGAAGATGGATGTGCTCAAGATGGGTCTGGATGGTATTGAGCGTGTCATCAAGCGTGCGCGTAAGGCGGGGACGGCCAAGTGGGAGGATGAAGTTGCTATCCAGGATGAATAGATTTGATGTCAGCGCTGGGCTGCTTGCATTTCCAAGTTGAGCGGGCTTGTTAGGACAGAGCGAAGCGTATAGAATGAAATTTCATTGGCATTTCCGTTGGGCTTGTGGCTGTCAGCAGGTTGTAGGCTCTTGGTTGTGTCTATGCTTCATCAAGCTGAAGTATAAATCCTGACAAATTGTCGTCCGTAATTCAGTGTAGTTTATGGTCCTCACAATCGGTGGCATCATTGCGTATGCATCCTGTGTCTTACTCATCTTCCTCAGTGAAGTGCAAACTTGATCCGCTGCGGGGGAATTCAACGAACCTAGGAGGAGATTGATACAAGATGGTCTTTCAGCATGAAGAGTCAAAATGGCCTTCCAAAAGCGCAACGAGGGCTTGGCAGAACAAATGGCATTGATTGAATTACGACCACTCCTTGACAGTAAATGAGAGATATGCACCTAAGGTGGAAATCTGCTAGTCGATGGATACTCTAGAACAAAGCAGTACGGCATTAGGTGTTTCCATGCATGCCGGGGAGCCCAAGTCTCCTTCCCCCTGCCGGTTCTTCTCTTTCCCCTTCATCATTCCTCTGCAAGCTTGTTCTCTTCATTGACCGTCCTTAGTCTCGGTTGCCGAAGCATTACGTCTAATGCAACGTCCATCTCCCCACGGAGGTTGCCAAAATGGGCAGGTGAAGTATACCGCAATCTATGCTATACGAATGCGAAGCTGTCAGGCCCGCCACCAATACAGCGTACTGTGTATCTGGAAATACAAACACGAGTACACGCCAAGTCGACTACTTCCACTGCCCGAGCCAGTGACCATGCGGGAGATTTGCAACTAAATCGGAGGGCCCACGCCATGAGAGAGCAACTCGTCTAGATTTGCTAGATCCGGCTTAGCTGTATGATTACCCACTCGGTTCGCGCTTGACTTTGGTGGACTTTGGCGGACTTTGGATACGCTGGGTACTAGAGTTCGGGAATTAGATCCACTTGTCCACCGTGATCATGACTCTCAAGGATAATGCCCCCCCAGTTGGGGTAGCGACTTTGCCGATAATATGACATTTCCAGCTCCGCTTCACCTGGGCCCCTCTTAGTGTTCGCTCTCCCCGAAGACTGCCTTCCCCAATGGCCTTAGTTTCCCCCAAAGATTGCCTCCAAAGATTGACCTCCAAAGATTGACCTCCAAAGATTGACCTCCAAAGATTGACCTCCTAAGATTTACCTCCTGAGATTACCTAAGATTACCTCCTGAGATTACCTCCTGAGATTTACCTCTTAAGATTTACCTCCTGAGATTACCTCCTAAGATTTACCTCCTAAGATTTACCTCCTAAGATTTACCTCCCGAGATTACCTCCTGAGATTACCTCCTGACGATCGGTGAACTATTATTTCTATACCAGGCTCGTCTAGACCAGGGCTGAATTCGACGGCGATATCGCCTATGGCCTGTCGCCTATCTCCGGTGCCACTGCGCTCCGTTGAACCATTTATGCTCCACGTTGAGATTGGGGGCGAAAGAGAGCCTCACAGTTCAAAGATGACCCAGGATGTCCAAAGAGTGAAATTACCGGAACAATAGAGTTACCGTGAGAGTTTGGGTTCGGCCTGAGCCGCGATACACCACCAGTCCCAAGGGGGCAAGAGCATCGGTTCTAATCACTGACGATCGCTCGTATTTTCCTGAACGGTAAAAAAAATATAAAAAAAAAGACATTACTTGGCCTGCCGGATTCAGAACTGATATTTCGTGTTTCGTATTCTGTTCCTTTGACATGACGGGAGCCCTGGCTTCAACCCACAAAGCTTGTTTCTTCTGTCTAGCCTCAACTTCATGGATGCATGTCCCTGGCCAGATCGACCGAGCTTTGAAGCGAGTTGTCCTTGCCTGGAAGCCCATGACGAGGTGTCATCTCGTCTCACTGGCTTTTCGTGATACACGACATCCGCTGCTTGCCACCTTCACCCTTGTTTCCACCCTCCCAGTCAATTTTGAGCTGCCAGTCACTTTTCCTGATCTGGAGAATGCATTCCTTGTCTGTCACCGGTGTGTGAGAACAAAAGGGACAAGAGACCCGAAAGTGTCCTGTAATTGGGAGGACCCATAGAAAGTGGCTTCATGCGCCTATGAGAATGACCTACGACCTGGACCCCTGGGACCAACCACATCCTACTTTGGTACAGGCACAATGGCACTTTTACCAGACATGCAATACAGTACAAGGGCATACATCGCCCCCGTCGTTCCAGGAACCTGGATGCAAGCGATGGACCCCCTCCAGTCCTAAGTGGGCCCCGTCTCGGGAACGGTCGAGTAGCGTACTCCGCAGTGTAATACCCGGATATTACACTAGTGACATTCCCTCGATTTCTAACTGGAAGAAACGCACCCACCACTCTGTGTTCCCCGACTGCTCCAACGTCCCCAGGGCCCAAGCTTCTTTCCTTGGAAATCGAAAGCTTGGGATTGGAGGTTGTCATCTCCGAACATGACCAGCTTCTTCCATCTAACCTTAGCGTGGTCCCCGACGATCATTCGACAGATCGTTACGCGCTCGCTCGTGTTCCCCTGGCCGCATCAATTAAACACCCATCTGGTCGGAAAATCAGAGCTTTCACGGTTAGCTCCATGCGCCCTGCACATCGGTACCAATCGTGTCTTCTCTCTGTCGTGTGACGCTGTGTCCGCGGTGCTCTTCAGGCTCAGATAGATTGAACAATCCGATCGGCGCATGCGAACTTCCTACCATAATAGGCACGCCCATTCATCAAATGGAAGCAAATTATGCATTCTCGACAGCCTCCTTCTCCACTGCCCCACAGCGCGCCAACGACAAGCGACCGAGCTCGGCGCCTGAGATTAAGTGCCCATGACACTCGGCCTCTGATACGATGTGACAGCGTGTCGTCATGGTTCTGCTCGGCTCCATGTTTCATCGCCGACCAACGCACCAGGGGCCATCCTTGCTCGACTGGCGGCCCCCAGTACTGAAGTGTCCACCACCCACACCGCGCTGGGAAACGGTTTTTGGGAGGCCCCCGTTTCCCGCTGGAACTAATCTCCACACATTGCTAGCCTGGACACCATCCCCTATTCGTAGCCGTGCTGAAAGAACATCAGGCTTCCCTTCCACCAAAAGAAACCAAGCACTCCAGGGTACCACGGAGCAAATATAGACTCTGCCAGAAGGCAGAGAAAATCGGTTCCTACACATATTCCCAACCCCAGCACAAAGACCATTTTCCAGCCTCAATCCCGCCGCAATGGCAACATGCAGCTAAAAAACGGAGAGGGCCGAAGATGATTCGCCCTCGATCCGATCGCTCGTAAATCGCCGTCACCTCCCTGTTTGGTCGCGACGGGGGTTAGCAGCGGCTTGGCCATGGGAGGGGCCCTCAAATCAGCCTCGGTGAAGAAGAGACTCGAGATCGCCCGAGATCGCGAAAGGGCCGCACGCGATGATTTTCCAGGATGTAATTATATTGTCGTCGGAGTAGGGATCCCACCGCCCCGACTTGCGAAGTGATTGCTAGTGCAGAAATGGCGATGATCCTGTGCGTTCTCATGTGGCTGGCTTTGCTTGTAACCGATTTTTTTTTTTTCTGTTTCCATCTCTCGTTCTCATTGTTTACCCGGACTCATGCTGGCATGATTTCCTTCCCAGTTGCTGGCAACGGAAAGTTGTATTCGAGATTGACGTGGCGGCGCTATAGAGGTTGGCGTGAAACCAGCTTCATATCCACCGCTGCCACTGCTAATACTCAGAATGGAAGTTGGCAGGGATAACAGCTTCGCTTGTCGGGTCGGTCTCTCATTTCCCAGGCTCATGGCATGCACCGACGATCACGCCGATAGTTCGGTCCTAAGATCATAATATGGATTCATCACGATGCCTTTTACCATTGAGCTCGGTGAACATTCCACATTGATGCTGATGGCATTCCGGTCTTCCGGTTGACCTTGATGCCCTCCGAGGGGCTGGGCTTCGCCGCGGTCTAGATCGTGTATAGCGACCGTAGACCGCCTACTCCCTCTTCCCCCCTTTAAGCTCGATGATTCTTGGCACCTTCACACTCTCATCTCAACCATAGAGATCCCGGTCTCCAGATGGATTGAACGAGGGGGTTCTATTGGGTGATCAAATGTTGATGAGCAAGAGCATAATGGTTTCCGCTCAGCAGCAGGTCCATCGCTGCGAGGTTGCTCTTCGGCATGTCTCCGAAGCGGTGTGCTAGTGAATGCCGGGTGTCGCAGATATCCTGTCTACTTGTCCAGCCCCAGTTCGGGGTATCTTCTCAGCCAGGGCGTCATATCTCAACCTCAGCAGCAGAACAGAGATGGAGCATACAGGGGATCTACGTTGAAGCATCGCAGCAGCTCAGGCCGCTCCTTAAACGCGGGTGTGGGGAACTCCCTTCAGCCTCAACCACCAACCTTCAGAAAGTTCACGACTGGCACCTACGTTGGGGCAAAGGCAACAAACGCCATCACAGGGCAGGCTGGGCGCCGTCACCCGAGCCGTGTCATCTGTAATAATCCAGGTCAAGAAGACCAACGCCTCTATTCAGCTTCCCCGCTCCCGAAAGCCCGAGGCTGCCATTTCAGGATCTACCTGTCCTGACTTTCTGGCTTTCCGGCTTTCTGACTTTTCTTAGTGACTCCCGCCAGAGTCCGAAGACTCCGTGTCCACGCGGTTTCATTTCGGGACACGTAGAAAAGCAGGTATTTGCATTAGGGCGGAGCTTCATCATCCGACAAGGAGTAAGCAACTCGCTATCGCTTCGATCTGCAAATCTTGAACTAGAGAAGAAACGATCGGACACGGAAATCTTCTCCCTACGCACGTCCTCACCGATCGTCGATATGCTCAAAATTAGAATTCAAATAATTAGATCATCGAAAATAGGACCAAAAAAAAAGAACAAACAACAAATAGAAATAATTCAGCCTGTTCAGTCGCATAATTTTGGAGATAGACTATGAACGGAAAAAAAAAAGAAAAGACAAGGAACACAAAAGGAACAGCCCAGGATGTACATCCTCGACTAGCCGGACGCTCGTAGATTATTTCTCATGTCATCGACGACTTTCCTAACCTAATAGAAACATGGCGCCATGTCTCACAAGGTTGCGATGCAGCGTGGTGTGGTATCGCCACGCAAGATATCCAGAGAGAAAAAAATCGGCGAGCCTCGCAAAGTCCGTAGATTAAAAAACTCGCTATGTACCGTTGATCGGACAGATTTTCGACCTAGGTGGCAATCCAGTCAGCGCTCCGGGATATTACTTCACACGAATACACATGTGCATAACCTAGGTCGCAACCGTAACATAGTAAACAAGAACAAAGAACAAGAAAAAAAAAAATTCTCCGCGAGTTAACCGAGGAATTTTGGTAATTTTGAAAGACCGTCTTTCATATGACAATGAGCCTAGAATGACAAAAAGGAACGAAAGCGAGCCAGCCTTGTCACCTTGCGTCATCGCGTCTAGCGTAAAGGCGACACATGCTAGACCATCCAACCTGGCTCCACTTAATTTTGCATATCTCCCTAGTAAGATGGATATGAAATCGAAAAAAGAAAAGAAGAAAAGCAGAAAAAAAAATATAAAAAAATAGCAAAATCAACCAACACGAACGTAAAAGGTAAATCATTCGGGCTCTCGGAAGGAAGAGAGAGAGGAAAAACACCCAGCTCAACCCTGTTGGACGCAAGGGTAGGGGAGAGGTGGGGGGAAACCCTCTCCCCCGAAAAAGGAGAGAAAAAAAAAAAAAAAGGGAAAATAAGGCGCCCCCTTGTTCGTAAGCGAAAGCGAGCGCGCGAATGACAGACGAAAGCAAGATTCAGCGCGTAGTTTTAGAGAGTCGATAATTTCGCCATGGTCTTGGCTTGGCCCTTGGTATTCGGGAAATAGGGACTAACAAGCCACGAGTCATGCATGCCATGCATCCTTTGGCTGATCAAGGCGTGCTTTTTTTTTCCCGTTTCGGGGCCTTGCCTGGGGATAATATCAGCTCAACCTTGCCAAGCCCGGGCTCCTGGGCTGGTTCTGGGCGGGTTTCCGTGGTATCTAAGGACTATCGTGGTTTCGTGGAATGGGGCTGCTCTGGGACTAGGTCGTATCTATGCCTATCAGGGAAGTCTATTCATGGAGATTAAATTTCCCACCGGATTCAAATTCAAGGTGACTTCGTTATACTGCGAGGTAAGCTTTGATAAGACTGGGATTTGAAAATAGAAAGTTGTATTTCTTATGCGAACCCTCTGTCACTCTGTAAGGGGATTCTTCGTATCTCGTTGACATTGGGAGGTCTCAGTAAATAAAATTCGAAAATCACATCTCATACCAGGTATCAAAGAATCAGACCATCAAAGAAGAAAGTGGAAATCATAAGATAAGAAATCAACAGATGTAGGGATAAACGCCCTCCCTTCTCCTTTTAAATGAGACAAGCAGAACCAAGATGACGGGGGAATCCAGAAAGAAAGCGCCCATTAAGCCGGGAAAGAACTGAAGAGAAAGAAAGAGGAAAAGGAAAAAGAAAAAATAACAGAAACCAAAAATGGACCAGAGCGCATAGTAAAGACGATATGCGAAGGTCTCGAAATTCTCGATCGAATCAATAGATTGGGGGGGGGGGGATATCGGGGAATATAGCAAAGTCGTGACGGGCATAAATCGCACCAGAAAGTTTCCTCCATAATCTATGCGAAATCTCCTCTTATCCTACCCCCAGAAAACCCCAGTCAGTCCCCTCCGCTTGGTTCAAGATCCGGGCAGTTGGGGGTTTGTACTGAAAATTAGGATGGTATCCCACCATCATTGGCTGTCCCTCTGGCAGCTGGTGGCCCGAGAACGGCGGTTGGTGATACTCGGGGGGCATGTAGTTGGGGCGCGGGCTTGGATCATAGCGCGGCTGCATCATCTGCATATACTGCTGTTGTTGTTGTTGTTGCTGGTGCTGGTGTTGTTGCTGGTGTTGCTGCGGATGCGTCGATTGGTGGTGATGGTGTTGTTGTGGGTGCTGCGCGTGTGTCATGTTCATCGCAGAGGTAACAGGGACGTTCTGCGTCACAATCGGTGCGTTTTCGTGCACAGGAACCTGGCCGGGTACCTGGCCCATCGGAACGCTTTGTGGGGAGTAGAACTCGTGGTTGGGTGTCGCGGAGTTCGGATAGTAAGGCTGCTGCGCCAGGAGATACTGTTCGTGCGCGTTGGGTATTGAGACGGTCACCGGGGTCGGGTGTTGATACGAATGCTCTGAGACGGCGTCTTCCGAGGATGGTCGTGTCAAGGAGCCCGGGGATGCGAACGGTGTTGGTGTTTCGTCAGGGTGGTCTTGCGACAGAAGCTGTGATGGCTCCAGGGTGAGCTTTTTTGGTCTCAATGCGATCAGTGGCTTGCTTACCTTCGCTCACAGGTTGGTTCCTGGCAAATATATGGTCGTTTACCCGTATGAATTCGCCGATGACGGGCTAAACTCGAGGACTATTCATGTCAGTGGGTGGAAAAATCGCGACCGGGGTGTCGAGGTGAGCTTACATCTGAGAATGCCTTTTGGCAGCCCTCATGGTCACAGACATGAGGCTTTTCGCCAGTGTGAGTTCGTGAATGCACGGTCAGAGCGCTACGCTGGATGAAACTCTTGTTGCAGTCCTTCACCGTGCAGTGATATGGTCGCTCATTCGTGTGGATGCGATAATGGCGACAGAGGTCTGACTTGCGATTGAAAGACTGGAAACCCGAGTCAGATGCGGAAGAACATGAGCACGTCGTGCGGTAAACACCGGAACATGGAACATACCTTGCCACAATGCTCCCACGAGCAGTTGAAGTCGCGAGCACTGCCAGGAGCCATGACTGGAAGCTATTCACGAAACAACGCACGGTTGCGGGGAAAGCGGGTCGCGGGTAGGCGACGTGGAGATAAGGGAAAGGAAGGGAGGTCTCGGGGCAGATAAGTAGCCCGGGATGGTCCTGGTCAGGCCGGAGGAATAGCCTGGATGCTTCGACGAGCCCGGGGCATAATCGAGTGATATAGAAGAGGGGGAAGAACGATGAACGAAGGAGAGGGAGGGGAGGGGGGAAAGAGGGCTCAAGTCATACTATGGGCCTTTGATGAAGGGCAGCGAAGAGAAGGCTCTGGGAAGGGAAATAACGGCGCGGATAGGACCGTACAAGGGCAATTATTTTATTTTATTTTATTTATTTTTTAAAGAAAATGGGAACTGGGAAATGGGAAATTTCTTTTTCATTTAATTATTATTATTATTATTATTATTATTATTCATGATTATTTTTTAGTGTACCTCAGGTACCGGGGGTGGTACCCTTTGGGTGGTTTCCTGCGAGTTACTTAAGGTACTTCGTTGGAAGCGACTTTTGCATTGCTCTGTCGGAATTGTAAGACAAGAATGGTCAACCGGCGCGCTCACAGAGGGCCCCCGCCCTAGTCGTCAAGCATCGTCGTCAGGATTCTTGTACAAAAGAATATAATAAAGAAAGAAATTCTAGGAAATGAAAAGAAAATACAACTGGACAAGAGAGAGAAAAAAAAAAAAAAGGAAAAAAGGGGAGGAGGTACACCCAAGTCGGAACTGTGTAATACCAGTGGCCATAAGGACCAGGGTATTTTTAGCAAGTTGCGGTGATAGGACAAGGAAAGGTTAGGTTGGCAACCGAACCTAAGTGCTTTGAAATTGCGATTGCCTTGGAAAAACAATCGCCAACCCCCACATTACGACCTCAACAAGCCCAGCGGCCCATCGACCCACCTGGGCCAACCCAGATGACAACTTGGTCCGTGGTGGGCGTGGGGATACGAGGTGGGTATTGCCGTAATCTATTCGCCATTCCCAGGGCCTTCTTGAGGTACCGACTTACCGACTTACCTACTTACCTACTTCATTGCGCGAATAAAGTTAAGACAGCCTTGGGTTTGGCATCTGAAACTGCGCCCCCCCTTTGTCCCGTCCCTCGAGGGAGCTATAGAGAAATCTGGGGCCATCCACGCTACCAGGGAATGAAACGGTCTCTGGTTTGCTAGTTTACGCGATCTAGATGCTCTGGAAGGCCTGAAATTTTCCATTTTTCCCGGTAAATAGATATTTCCTGACCACAGCCTTACCACAGGTCAAGCAACACATATAAGATTCAAACATCAGAAAGAACAAGGGAAACCCAATACGGATGGGTTTGATATTCTCCTCAAGATATGATATCATAGTACAGAGAGCTCATGACATTCGGCGATTCGGCCAGACGCCGGGTTGGTCAGGCCAAGCCACGCAGCTGCGACCGAGCTACTCCGGACTTTTCTCCTAGGTCCCTTGCCCCCCCCCCCCGGCCGCCCACGCTAGCGACGATCTTCTCTCTGGGTACAGAAAGGTAGAATCAGAAGGAAAACTAGCGCTAGCGTGCATCGACGACTAGATAGAGCGAGGAGGGTCCAGAACTCAGGCTACAATAGCCCCGTTAAAACTCCGTAGCCCACCCCGCAAGAAACGGTCAAATGCGGCAGCATTACGAGAGATGGGCAAGTCTTACCCGGGGAAAAATCGCGCCAGCAAGGGATAAACATGACGCGGCTTGCTGGGACCCCCAGAGTTAGACCGAAGTAGCTTGTCTCTCTTTCTCTCACTCGGGGGGCCGTACGTGACTCGGGATGCCCCATCTCAAGCGTGAGGGATCCCGCTCCGTTCCTGATCTCCCGAGTCAGACTCCCTTTCTTTTTAAGGTTGAAGTATGATATCCACTATTTGGTAAACTGCTCTCTTGCACTCCCGAAGAGCGATAGATCAAGTAGATACCTCAGAGAAGGGATATGGGTACTCAAGATGGAATCTCCATCTCGAGTAACCGACACTAGCAGCACTCAAATCGACCAGTGATCTAGTGTCTGATAGACTTTCTAAAACATGCAGCTGGAGATCCTGATTCGCGATGAGAAATAGTACCTCCCCCCTCCCCTGGACTGTCATCTGCCTCTGTTGCTGAGTTAGGGGGGCGGCTTTTTCACCGAATAGCCGGTTCTCCCCTGTTTTTCATTTGTGTAGGCTTCTAGTTTTCAGCGGGTCAACCCTTGATTGTTCTTACCCTATCGCCACATCTATGGCCTAAGATTAGCAAGGATCAGGCAGAAACAATGGAAGTAGCCCTGCACGGGATTTGCTAGGTTCCTTTGTTTAAGATTTTTCCATCTTAGGTGGCGAAGATGAATATGGAAGGTCGTTAGTCTTCACAAGATGTCGGTCGGTTCACACCATGCCAATCACCGTTAGGGGGGGCAAGCCGGAGGAAGCTTCGATCGACATGCCCGAGAAGGAGTGCCATCTAGGATCATGAGCATGGCCAATTCAGGTTCAGGCTGAAGCACCTCGGTGGCATGAACGTGGGGATCCACCGGGGGTAATCTTTAAAGCCAACGATCCTCTGATCCTCTAACCTTATTAAATGCTGAAAAGGATCGGAGGACCAAGTGCAAGCCACGAGGAATGAAGTAATGTAGTCGTATTGACGCAGACACTTTCATGCGTACAACAGTGAATGTCGGCGTTAAAGATCAGCAGGATCGGGGGTTTGCCTCTCGAAATGACTACGAAGACTTAACTTTCTCGTGCATATCGATGGCTTCATCGCTAAGATCGGATGCACCACAGCCAATAAGAACACCTCTCGTCCATTCACTGTCGACACTCTTACTGGTCTCGGAATCAGATTGGAAGCGTCCTGTATCTCTATATCGGGATGGCTTTGGACATGACTCTCCTGAAGTGCAACAATACTTCCTCGTACGCAGCCAAAGGTGTAATTCGGCATAAACAGACAATCAAGCTGAAGGCAGTCAACAGTCAACAGTCAACAGTCAACAGTCAACAGTCAACAATCAGTAGTCAGTAGTCAGCAATCAGCAGTCAACACGCGACGGATGAACCCTGTACAGCGCCCACCCCTCTATGCCTGAAAGGGATGCGCCTCCGGGCTTCTAATGATAGCATGACACGGAAAGAGAAGGTGTGGAGTAGCCTCAATCTAGAGAAATCTCCTGGTCAAATGATGAAGGAATAAGCGACGGCCCCAGATATACGCGCTGTAATGGACATGTTTTGCCGAGAAAAGTCTAGAAACGGAAAGCCGGTATGACCTGTCCCAAGATCCAGATTATCGGTTCAATGTATTGGATCTCCACTCCAACTGCCGTGGGATAGGTATCCGGAACACGGAAGAGGCGTGGATAAGGAGGGGTTCGGAAGCGACCCCTTTCATGAAATGCGCGATTGTGATGAAAGCTGCATTTGGTTCTCAGCCCCCCCCCTTCCCCCCTAAACTCAAGCGTCGAAGGTTTGAGTGGGCTCTGGTTACGAGCTACCCCGCATTTTCGATGTGTCGACATGATGCAATCCGCAACTTGGCGGGTGTGTGGCTGAGTATTTTATGCGATAAATGTTCGATACGAACCATCAACTGGTGGAGACAAGGGTTTTGCACGTCCCACGGCCGTGCGTTGTATACCCGCAAATGCTTAACTTCACCCCTGCAACTCCGACGTGAATTGGCAGCCGAGAGATGATGTGTCATGAGAGGGGGGCCATCTCTTGAGATCCCTGGATCCCTGAATCCCTAGATCCCTAGCAACTCAAGATCGAGTCCTGCTCATCTCAATGGCACGATAAACGAAGATTCATAATCGCAATCTCCGACATGATGACTGGCTGATCACAACTGTACGGATGATCGGTTTCTTTTCCAATGACCAATGAACTTCTCCTGGCAAAGTGTCGGTCAAGGAAGAATCGCTCTTAGCGCGGCACGGAAAGTTTCCCAGGGTTTCCTCTGGGGCTGAAAAGAAGCCACCCCATTATCCCTCTCACCCCTTTACTATATCTCAAAACCTGGAACATCAGCCAAGCCGTGGAAGGGGAAAAAGGTCGACAAGCTGCACGAAAAAAAACACAACGCCTATCAGCGGCGCCGCCACCTGCGATGCTGATACGCGCACTTCTTTGCCGACCAGTGCTCGTCCATAAAAGGTCAACAACTCCGTCTTACCAAGGGGCATGATAAGCTGATGAAACCCTCCGAGGGCGGTAAAGGTTCAAAGGGAAACACTTCCCTGTCTTCCGAACAACCGCTTTCTGATCGAGTCCGAATGCTGACACCCTTGGCGCCATGACATCTTGTCATCTGATTGCCACATTAATTCCCCTAGGATTCCACCATGACGTTTGAGGCGTGAATGGAAATACCCTGTGGCTCGAATGCTGGCTCGGCAGTCGGGTAAACACGCTGCCATTTCACATCGCATATGAGTTGGGAATATCTGGCTCGTAATTTGGGATTTCTGGAGTCGAGGAGAAGGGGGCGAAAGTCTCAGGTACTAGATTGTATTGTCCCGCGGGGTTGTCACTTGTTGTTGCGGCAGCCGGCAGCGTAGAAGCCACTTGGAACCAGTTATCAATACAGTCGATTTTTGACGCCAACATTTGCGATTCTGCGATGTTCCACCTCCCCTTGGCACGTACGTTGCGTGGTCGAGGAGCTCCTTGACTCCGGTGGCATGACAAGTATTATTCCCTGTCTGGAACCTCAGCGAGGCGATCTAGACCGAACGCAGTCGACTTAAATGTCTATGCAAGACACTCTTGATATTTCCAGAGCTAGCTAAGGTTGCATGAGCGGGAATTCCATTCAGCCGGATTCAGCCCTACTTGGTTGACCTCGGAAAGGCCGCAAACCTGCCATTCCACTAAGATAATATACCTCTACACTTGGTATGGCCAGATAGACGGGACTTAGAATGCGGTCTGAAGCACAAAGTCCCGGAAGACACGGCTCAGGTCTCCCATCAATTCTCATGCAAGCTCGTACAGATACACATAATATATTCGACCTATATCTCCAATGCAATTTTACCAACTGGTCAAACCCCGCTCGCGATCAAACCCACCCCGCAACTGCTGCTGCGGTTTGAGCACCTTACCCTGCAACACGGTATACCGAATGATATTCTCACACTCCTCCGGTCTCACGCGCGCCAGCCAAATACCCTGCGTAGCACCTTCGTCATTCGTCTCAGCTTCCTCACGCTTGTACCATTCAAAGTCTCTGCGCCGGTACACAATTACATTGGCGGAATACTTGTGTCCGCCTACGTGGCTGATGAAGTAGATACCCACGCCACCAGGCCGCGTATCGTCCATATCGCGGTACAGACCTAGTGGGCGCAGGTGTCGCTCAAATTCACGGCGGAGAAGTGGTGCAGATTGGCCACACCGGGCGTCGCGCGTGCGCTGTGAGCAGAGAAGAATAACGGCTGCATGGAGACACGGGTGTGATTGAAGCGGCGGTGTGATACTGGTGTTTGCAGGGTGAGGTGACTTCTCCTCGGCTTCTGTTGGTTTTGAGGGTTCCGGCTGGCCACCCAACGGTGTCGTTGTGGTCAGGGACCTATTGACAAAGCGCTCAATGAGATCCGGAGCCAGTTGTGGTGTGACGTTTTCTACCACGGTGAAACTGGGCAGGATGAGGACGTTTGTGGGCTGTTTCCCTGCCTCGTGCATGTGATATTCGTCCGGCACGGGCATATTTGATGCGGACAGCTTGAGTCGCTGAGAAAAAGCCAAATGAGCTTCAGATTCGGTTTTGGGAGGGGGGAATGGGGGATTTCGGCTTACCCCGTTGCTTGGTTCTATGCCTCCCTTCTCAATCGCTTCCATGACACTTCCAGTCTCGTCTGCCACGTCGCGCACCCAATCTGACTTGCCCGTAGCTACGAGCATATGGGTAGACCACCCACTGACCTGTCCATATAGCTTGTCCTCGAGATCGACGTCGAATTTCGCGGGGTATTTCACGGTGCATGTTGCGCAGTCGTGGAGGCAGTCCTCCCCATCAACAGCCGGATCGGGCTTTACGAACAGCTTGTCGCTGTCAGGAACGGACTTAAATCCCTCCTGCGCCAGCCCGTTGTCGCCGACGGCATCGGTGGTGGCGTCGCTTTTCGAGGAAGCCAGGGAAACGTTAGAGGAGTTGAAGAGCGAGGATGTACCTCGACGGAAAAGGTGCATAGTGAAGGTGAGCGGCGAAGGTTTCTTCAGCACGAGTAGAGCCGAGATTGAATCAGTGCCGTGCAAGGTGTACCTTTCCGCAATCTCCTTTGACGCGCAATACTGGGAATGAACAGCTCTATCTTATCAATCATTTTGCATTCGTGCCAAGAGATTCGGAACTAAATCCGCATGACTCAGCCCCCGCTGTGTCCGATTGGACGGTCAATATGACAGCATGGATTCAGATAAAGCTACTTCATGATATACAGGCTATGATCGAGCGGGGCAATATGTGGGAGTTCTTAGTTGCTACGACCAGCGTAGTTGAAGGTGTATGGTAGATCTGTTGGGCTTCGAGTCTGCGTCAAGCGAATGACACTTCCTCCCGAACTCCCGGACTGGGACGATTGTACGCGTCGCAGCGATAGTGTCGACGGCGTGCGAAGGAGTCCCTGCGCAAAGTAGCCGCGACCAGTTGATCGAGCCGATGCAGGACTATGTGTTGCAGGTGCTGTTGCGCACATAGACCGGTTCTCCCAGGTAGAAGCATTGGATGGCCGCAAACTATTGGTTCGTATCGGGGTGAAGGGACCTTCGTATCCATATTGGTCGACCGTGTCCGTTTCCCCTTCTTCATCTGATGGTCCGATGAAAGATTCATTGTCTGTATGACGGAAGCTTGCACTATCACGGATCTCATTAAGGACTGGTGTCGTGAGAGACGTCATTCCTCGTAAGATCTCTGCGAACAGGTGCATGAGATCTCGAAACTCCGACTCTCTCAGGTCATGTGAAGAGAACCGCGCGCGTTCATAGAGCGCTAGGAAATCTGCTCCCAATTCAGGTGAATCAATGGCTCCCAGAGAAATGAGATGTTTAACGTATTGCCGCAAGCCCATGGAAGCAGGTCGCTGTAGGACTTCCACCACGCGTGTATCTGGGAATGGATCTAGCGAGGCAGATGCGAGCATATCGGCGGGCGCGAGTGAGACTGCTTTAGCCTCGATCAGGTTCGGCAATTCCTGAATGACTGTGCGGTATGGGAGGTCGGGCAAATCTGGTGTTGCCGGCGATGACCAGCCAGGATGCTCGACATGGCCCCATGGCGGATGAACTGGGTCGATTGTGAGATCTTGGTAGTTCTGGAAACTTTCCGCTTCATGTGTGACATCACGCGGCCGAGCTTGGTACGCAATGACTGCACTGCGTGCTAGACCCTCCATGACCAGGCGCCTCACGCTCTTGTTCACATCTTCCTTTTCAATAGGTATCCATGCCTTTGGGATCCCGGTCAATGTACTTCGGTTGGTGTAGATTCGAGTCGCGTATATGAGGACTGCAAGGAGGAAGGTGGCGACATACGCGCCGGTGATGAAGAAGATGTTGGTGAGGCGGTTCGTTTCGTAGCATTGGTAGATGGCGTCGACTGGGGTAAGGAGGATGAGGCAGAGGAGAATCGCGGCAAAGATGAAGAATGAGGTCGAGTTGAAGAAGCGTTCAAGTCGCTCGGCCATGACTGCCCGCGCATGCTGGACCACTGCTTGTTTCGGCAGGGTTGGGTTGTCGCGGTTTAGAGATGCGACGATGCAGCAATCACCGAGATACAGGCTGTCAGGTGATTTGGTTCAATGTATCATAGCAAGAGGTGAAGGACATGAATCATGATATTCTTAAATGTCTTTTTAGACATTTTGTCTTCAATATTTAACTTGATCTCTACTCAAAAGAACAACTTATTGTAGCATTGCGACTTCCACGACTGTGGTCCGACGGACACTATTGATGCCTCAGGCCCACAATATACGGGAACATCATAGTTCGTCCCCTTTAGATACGGCGTTAGTCGGGGACTAAGGCGGCCGTACGGGCACTATATTATAAGCATTAGGATAGATAGTATTTAGACGAATCCCTCGACGAAGGACAATCAATTACTGCGTTTCATTCTCACACGACTCAGGTACCGGCGTCACATGACCGCGCTCTTCCCGAACCAGAAGCGCCGATCTCGAATCCATCAATTCATTTCCAAGGGGCAGGTATGAGTGACTACGAGCAGCAGGAAACTCATGTTCTAGTGACTGGAGCCAACAGGTCTGAACTCTTTTGATTGGGCTAATAGACCGGTCTATCTCCAAAGCGACCTCCTGACTGACCTGATCTAGCGGCCTGGGCTTCTCAATATGCTGTCGACTCGCCGATGAATTTCTCTCCACGCACCCCGAACCGCAATCGCTCAATGTTATTTTCACGACCCGCAGCTCGCGCAAAGCCCAAGATACCCAACGCCGTTTAGAGAAGCATCTCCAATCCTCCTCCGTCCTCTCGGCTGCCTCGCGAGTCAAATTCATCCCCGAGAGCGTCGATCTAGGAGACCTCCTCTCCGTACGCGCACTCTCTCGCCACTTACTGCAGAAGTATCCCAAACTCGATGCCATTATTCTCAATGCCGGACTCGGAGGATGGTCGGGGATTGACTGGCCAGCTGCTGTCTGGGGCGTATGCACCGATCTCGTGCAGCAGGTGACATGGCCAACGTACAAAGTCGCACCCGTAGGTGTCTTGACAAACAGACAGACCAGGTTAGAGGAAGAGCCACCGCTGGGGTCTGTGTTTTGCGCCAATGTCTTCGGTCACTATATGCTGGCGCACAATGTTGTGCCTTTGTTGAAGCGCGCGCGTACTAATGGACCCGGACGAGTGATCTGGGTCTCAAGTATCGAGGCTACAGTCAAATACTTCGATGTTAATGATATTCAGGGCCTTCGGACTAAAATGCCCTATGAGTCTTCCAAGGCTCTGACCGATATTTTGGCCTTGACGTCGGATCTGCCCAGCGCGGCTCCGTGGGCCGTTGATAGTTTTATGCGCGAAGATTCCGAGGATTACGCTGCTTCTTCTGATCCGCCTACTATGTTTCTGTCACACCCCGGTATCTGTGCTACGACTATCATACCACTTGCTCTTCCCCTTATCTGGGCTATGGTGCTTGCGTTTTGGGCTGCGCGCATGCTGGGATCCCCGTGGCATACTATGTCTACATATCTCGGGGCTTCCTCTCCTGTATTCTTGGCACTAGCACCGAAGGCTGCGCTAGACGCTGCTGAAGAGCCGTATCGCCAGGCAGGCGGGGGCGAGCGAAATGGGGTTCCTCTGCTGATCGACTTGGCGTTGGAAATGTCATCTGCACCGAGACAGAAGGCTGGGGTTATGGTGGTGTTGTTGGAACTCCTGTTCTCGAGGCTGATCGAAACCGACGTCGGAAGCGTGGCGCAGTCGAACTCACCAGTGAAGATAAGGAGAAGTTCGAGGAGCTTGGCCGCCAGTCCTGGAAGCAGATGGAGGAGTTGCGGATTAAGTGGGACGCAATCCTGGACCGAGATGAGAAGACTGCGGCTTGAACGGACGAGATGGATGTTTACCGAGTCTCTCCATCGTGAGACCATTGCTGCGTGCAACAAACACTACGACTACTACTTGTAATTACCTATCACTATCTGTAAAAAAAATAAAAATTCTATACAGATCTTCCATGTCTACACAAATAGCCAAGTGATTTGCATCTTTTGAATTTCGCGTCCCAATTATTTACATCAACATAACCCGCCCCGCGCCCCATGATACTTGAAAGCAAAAAAAGATATGACATGATTTCTTCGCCTGACAATCGCCAGAGATCTAGCAGAATACGCAAGGCGCAAAACAGAAAAAGGCAGCGGGGATGTAAGTGGCAAGCCCGAGCAACTACTCGGGACAAATGATCAGGTTTTAAAAGAAAAGTAGAAGAGACTAAAAGGAGGTAGTGGTTGCAACGGTTTCACAATCGCGCACTGTCCACCGTCTAGGCGGGTGCGTCGATTGTCGGAGTACGAATTGAAAACACTTGCGAGCGCAGCGGGGGCGAAGAACTGTCGCGGGTAATAGGCAAGAAAACAGGGACCGAAGAGGCGCAAGAAAAGGGAAGGGAAGATCAGGCAAAAACGACTCCGGCTCCATGCATCAAGACGGAAGGAAGAAAGATATCGGTGAGAAAGGATGTAAAGGGACGTATCGACGTGAAGGGAGGAGGAGAGAGGGAGGGATTACATGATAATCGCAGGAACTAGACGAATATTAGCTTCGATCGTGGACATCAATCAGGGAATCCACTCACCATCAATGTTCTGCTTGATGCTCTTGTGCGGCAGAATGGAGCCACCGTTGACGTACACCTCATCAGCGATGGTCACATCGTCTCCGAGAACGGTAACGTTCTCCAGACGAGCCCAGCGTCCGACAGAGCTGTTCCAGCCGACGATGGTAGACTTGATCCAGGCGTGGTCCTTGACCTTGCTGTTCTCCATCACAACGCAGCGCTGCAGACGGACACCGTCGCCAATCACAACATTAGGGCCAATGACTACATTGGGTCCGATGCGGCAGTTGTTGCCAATCTTGGCGGTGGGGTCCACCATCACGTTGCCGCCGTGCACGTAGGGCTCGGACAGGGGGGCGAGCTTCTTGGAGTTACGCTTGGCGAGAGAGGTGAGGTACAAGCAGGTACCTGTGAGGAAGTCCTTGGGCTGACCGACATCCATCCAGAAGCCCTCGAGGTCGAAGGAATGCAGCTGGCCGTCCTTGCAGATGGCGGGGAAGGTCTCCTGCTCAATGGAGGTGGGGCGCAGCTCAATGCGGTTCAAGACACTGGGGTTCATGATGTAGATACCAGCATTAATGCGGTTGCCGACGAACTCGACCGGCTTCTCGACGAAACGGTCGATGCGCGAGGGGTGGTTGGGCTTGTGAACCACGACACCATACTTGGAGGGTTCGTCAACTTTGGTAACCACAATGGTACCCTCATCGCCGTGGGACTTGTGGAACGCAGCGAGTTGCTGGAAGGGGAAGTCGCAGATCACATCAGAGTTCAGAACGAAGAACGGGGTATCGTCCTTGCCCAGGATCTTCTCCGCCAGCTTCAGCGGGCCAGCCGTGCCCAGCGGTTCCGTCTCGACGGAGAATTCAATGTTGACACCGTACTGTTCCTCGTACTTCTTGAGAGCAGCCACCATCACATCGGGGCGGTAGTTGACAGCCAGGACGATATCGGTGACACCTGCGGCAGCCAAGCTCTCGACCTGGTGGAGGATCATGGGCCGGTTGCCGAACTCGACGAGTGGCTTAGGAAGGGTGAGCGTCTGCAGGCCATGTTCTTAGTATTCAGGTCAAATCACCATTGCGCACAAATTGGATGATTCAATGGATTGAGATTCGTTCAGTCGGAACTTACCAGAGGACGCAGACGGGTGCCGAACCCTCCGACAAGAATGAGAGCTGAGAGGGGGATATGTCAGTAATGCAGGGAGATAGGGGGTAAGGAGGGGCACATACCCTTCATAGTGGATTAATTGAAACGAAAATAAAAAGTGAAGACTGAAGATGGGAGATTGGAGATCTGAAGATGAGCACCAAGAGAAGCGAAGGACAAGATGCTAACAGGGACAATTCAAAAGGGATCTCAGACCGAGCGGGAACACCACGTTGACTTTATTTTTATCGGGGGGGCTCCTGGTGGGGCACGTGAGTGGCGGTGATTGGTCTCGAAGGGCACGTTTGCAGCGAAAAGGGGTTGCGTCTATACTTCTGCTTTTGTTGACTCGATTCACATGGGCTGGCAATTGGCAGTTGCTGATTATGGATCCGAGAATCCATTCCGGTCCATGGCCATGGCCCTCCCGAATCAAGTACTGGACACTGGGGTAGTGAGGTGTCCTCATCTCGGACCACTTCTGAGCCAGGACCACCTGGGGTCTGGCCCCCAAAACCCATCCAAGCTGCAGTTACTGTTTACTATCACTGGACCGGCTTCGCCATCACGCCTTCCCCGCGAACCTTGAGAACCTTGAAAGAGGGTGGTCAGACGATATCGCCTCTGGTTGCGGGCGCGGGTGAGGCTGCGGTCATGGGATAGGTGGGGAGCTGTCTCTCCCCATTAGCCTGGGGTAACCCATCATACCATACCACCCGCCGAATTTGACTGAGACAATCTCCCATGCTGTCTCCGATCATTGAGTGTCCGGGGGCAGCGGCCCACGTTGTGTCTCTGGCATTCCGGACATGCTACCCGCTGCATCCGTCCCCACGAAACGGAGCGCCCACTCACGCACTCTGTTAAGCTTCTCCCGATCGCCGCGCTGGCCCCGGTGTCCACCCGCATCCGTCGCGTCTGCCGGCCACCGATTTAGAAGGTTGATTTTCGTCATCCCTCGTAGACTCTGTCCGTAGACTCGATCCTGGAATGTACTCAGTCCTACGGTCCGCAACAGAACGATGTCTCGAGGGCGTAGCGCGGCCAGCGTTGGCCCCAGTCGGTCGATCTCCTGGGTCTTGGCGGGCTTCTCCGCTGGGAGCCAAAAGTTGACCCCAAATCCAGTCTGTGTTTCGTCGCCAACCTCCAATTCAATGAGGTCTAGTGCTTTCTTCCATTGTCGCGTTACTATACGGCGGGGTGGATGGACTGCAATGATTCCGACGACCAGGTTGATTGTCTTGGTCTGCGGGGTGATGGACTGGAGATGTTTGGCCGAGGAAGATCCTCCAAATTGCTCAGGTCGCCCGGTATTCGCACGAGCGAAGATGACTCTGAGGTATCTACTACGGGCGAGGTAGTCACAGGTTGGTTTCCTTCTCCGGGCCCACTCTCCTGCGTACTGTTATCCGATACTCTGGACATCGATATCTCTGACGCTTCGTGGAGAGCAAATGAATGATCGTAGAACTTGGACAGTAAGGATCCATCTTCTGGAGTTGACGAATCTTCCATAGTCTCCAGCTGATGTGTGGTCAGAAAGTTCGGGTCGTCCGGTCCATAGTAGAAGGACTGGTAGACATTGGGTTGCTCATGATCCAAAGGCTGTAACACCCGCCATTTCACGGGTCGTTGAATAGTAATTGGTTGACCCTCTTCGGTATTTGAGGAACCTTGAAACGGTGGTATTGGCTTGTCGAAAAGCTCGTCGTTGTCCCAGTCCAGATGTCCAGGTAGAGGAGCGCCCATCAAGAAGATAGTCTTTTGAGGCATGTTGAATGGACAGCTCTTAGTCCAAGACTTGCAGCTCTTAACGTCGAGATATTTAAGTCGCGCTTGACAAAATCGCGCGCACCAGACAATACTGTCATGGTTTGAAGTGCTGTTGCTGAACTGAGTGCCTCACAATATTCACTGAGTGAAGCTATAGAGACAGTCACTATTAATGAGCTCTCATACACAGTGCATCGAGCTTGTTGCTTTATGAAGGCGTGATCATGTTTCCTCCGAGGGAGTTGCAAAGGAATCATTGACAGACTGTCAAAAGCTGAACTTTGAACCGAACCATGGATGCCAAGTCAGAGCCTAAGCAGCGCACTTACATATCATCTCACTCGTCTCGGTGAATTGACCCTCACCCGAACGTTGCATCTCGCATGCCTCTCAAATCCGACTCAGAGCAACTTCATTTCAGACCCATATGTCTGTCAATCTAGAAACATGAGATAACAACACGAGCACATTCGAACTACCATCGAAACCGGTGGATGACTGTAGGTGCCCACACGTGACTCAGGGAAGCCACTCGTGCCTAAGTGGCAACCGTCTTTCGCCGCAACTCAGCGGAGCACTAAGACCTCGTCACCATCAACTCGTTTCCGATCGATCATCGGGAATGGCTGTTAGCTCAACCTAAGACTAATCTGTGTCCGGCCCTACTGCTGTACACCTCATCTCTAGCGGAGCAGATCTCCCTTACCCTCGCGGCCGAGCGCCGCTCGACATCGGACTACTATGGCCTTCCAAATCCCGATGGCCCGGCCTGTGAGGACCAACCTGTGCCTGCATCTTGTTATCTTTACTGACATCTGTGCCTCTTCCAAGAATGTTGCCGCCGTCACTTCAGACCTCTGGCCCTCGATGTCCAGCTTGTTGGCTGCTCCCCGGCAGTTGACCGGCCGAACTCCGAAGGCCTGGATTCACGATGCTCGCTCAAGAAACCCTACTCAACAGGAGAATGTGGCAGTATGTATACATTACTCACGGAGCATCGTTGCCTTTAGCTGACTTTCAAAGACTCCTTTGCGCGCATCGTTGCCCGACTACCTCGACACCGTCTCCGTGAAATCGTTGAGAACGAACATGGCGAACTGGCCTGCCCAGCGCACATCGTTCTCGCCCCTGAAAAGAAGTATGACCAACCTCTCCAACTTTATGCTTGAGTCTAACATAGCGATTGGATCTAGCCACCGCTCTTTTGAATTCGTCTCTCATCCCATCGGCTCGTGGATTCTCTGTCTCGACAGCTCGATCCTACTCGACCCTGACACCATTCCGTATCAACGCCCTTCGCGCGGTCCCTAAGGTCAAGGGTCTTTCTAAGATCCAGCAGCAAAGGTTTTTATTCGGCGGACCGTCTACGAACATGTTGGCCCAAAAGGAAAAGACCGCAAACAACAACCCGAACAGCGCAAATGCCCAGAACTCGTTTTACCAAGCCCTTCTACGTGCGAACATGCCGGCTATTGTCGTCGAAAGATACCGAAGTGCTCAATTCGCGAGTAACACGGCAACCGAGGCAATCTATGCACAGGCTTTGCAGCGGGTTGGCGGTGCTGATGCGGCCGGCATTGCGGGAAACCAGAACCTCAGCAGTGAACAACTTCAGGCCGTCGGCCAGGCTGTTGCTGCACGCAACAATGGTGGGCAGATCGGACTTGCGACTAAGCACAATGGAACTGGTGCCAAGGAGGCTCCTCTTTACGTTGTAGTGGAGGAGTCGCTCGGCAGCACCGTCTTCCGTTGGGTCAAGTTCCTGCTCTACTTCGGTTTCTTTACGTATATGTCCCTCGTCCTGATTACCATTTTGGTTGAGACTACTGGTGTTTTGAAGAACATCCGAGGCCCTCAGAACAACGAAGCCCAGCCTCAGCAGCAAACCGTCCGCTTCAGCGATGTGCATGGTTGCGATGAGGCCAAGGATGAGTTGCAAGAGCTGGTTGAATTCCTACTCAACCCTGATCGTTTCTCATCCTTGGGTGGTAAGCTCCCCAAGGGTGTTCTCTTGGTTGGTCCTCCTGGTACCGGTAAGACCCTGCTCGCCCGTGCTGTCGCTGGTGAAGCCGGTGTCCCCTTCTTCTATATGTCGGGCTCCGAATTTGATGAAGTCTACGTCGGCGTCGGTGCGAAGCGCGTTCGTGATCTCTTCGCTCAAGCCCGTAGCAAGTCCCCGGCCATCATTTTCATCGACGAACTTGATGCCATTGGCGCGAAGCGTAACGAGCGTGATGCTGCCTACGTGAAGCAGACCCTCAACCAGCTCTTGACTGAACTCGACGGTTTCTCTCAAAGTAGTGGTGTCATCATTATCGGTGCTACTAATTATCCGCAGCTATTGGATAAGGCGCTGACTCGACCGGGTCGCTTCGACCGCAAGGTCACTGTCGGTCTGCCCGATGTCCGTGGCCGCATGGATATCTTGAAGCATCACATGACAAACGTTCAGATCGGCACTGATGTGGACGTTGGTATCATTGCCCGTGGTACTCCTGGCTTCTCCGGTGCTGACCTGGAGAACTTGGTCAACCAGGCTGCTATTCACGCTAGCCGTGATCGCAAGCAGAAGGTTGGTCCCATGGACTTTGACTGGGCTAAGGACAAGATCATGATGGGCGCCGAGGCGCGCAGCCGTTTCATTCAGGACAAAGACAAGCTTTTGACTGCCTACCACGAGGCTGGCCACGCGCTGGTCGCCTATTACTCCAGATCTGCTACTCCTCTCTACAAGATTACTATTGTCCCTCGTGGTATGGCCCTGGGTATCACCCACTTCCTGCCCGAGATGGACACCGTCTCGCGAAACTACACTGAGTACCTGTCCGACATTGACGTCTCTATGGGTGGCAAGGCCGCCGAGGAGATGATCTTTGGACCCGACAATGTTACCAGTGGTATCTCGGCAGTAAGTTGTTCTTCGAAAAAGTCATCCCCCCTTCAGTATGCTGATATTTTCTCAGGACATCCAACAAGCCACTGAAACCGCCTTCACATTGGTCACCCGCTTCGGATACTCCAAGAAGCTGGGCAACGTCGACCTTTCAACCAACTACGACAGCCTCTCCTCTGAAACCAAACAAGAAATTGAAGGAGAAGTCCGTCGACTTGTCGAAGAAGCCCGCCTGCGCGCATCCAAGATCCTCACCGAGAAGCGCGACGAGTTGGAAATTTTGACGAAGGCGCTGATCGAGTACGAGACGCTGACGAAGGAAGAGATGGAGAAGGTGCTCAAGGGCGAGAAGATCGATAAATTATCCTCTTCCCCCAGCGCACCACTGAAGCTGCCAGAGGCTCTGCAAGTCGCCAACTTGAATCCGTCGACTGCAGCCGAGGGACCACCCACAGCGACCGAGTGAGCTCGAATTTGAGCTCTCTTCCCGTTGCTTCCCTCTTTCAGTTTGATTTCCTTGACCTGTATTTCTGTGGCCTATTTTACTGTGCATTCCCGGGATCGTTCGGGCGCTCTCTATTGAAAATACCATTTTTCATATTTTCATTTTCCATTTGCCATTCATCTTTCTCATTTCCTAATGCGAATCCACGCAATTGTTTCCGATCATGTATCCTGTACATATAAATTTGCGTATGCCTATCTTCTCCAAAAGCGAGTCCTAACCCTCATTTCTCCCACTTCTCCCATGTTCCCGTGCCCCACCCCACCTCTCCCTCGCAGAATAACGTAGAAGATCCCCATACCCTCCAAAAACCCGGTACCCGAATATGAACAACCTAGCTTTTAAAAAGACCATAACGTCAGACCCCTACCATCAGTCTTTTTTTTTTTCGATCTATGATCACCACTGCAAAAGTCCCGAGGTCCGGTTTCCCATTCTCTTGATCACGGGATCCACGGGTCTGGAGGCTCCACATGATGTCATACCCGCTTTAACGGCGATCCCCAAATCCTGTGCCTGGTTCGTCCAGCTCTTTGACGCCATCGTAGGATCTGGGGAGGACGGCTTCGTTTCCAGCCTATTGTCGGCCGTGGAGACAGGGCTGTCAATGATGTTACATGCTTTTCCTTCCCCCCCCGGGAGAGGTGATCTACATGAGATCATTCGTTGGCATCTCGTGTCTCATCATTGGAGCCTAGATTGGTATGAGATATGAGCGAGTTGCAAATGGAGGTTAAGATGACTTATGAGATAGGACATGGAATATAGGAAGATAGGACATAGAGTATAGGAAAGGGAGAGAAAAAGAGTATTGTTTTGAAATTTTTTTGGGATTTCAGTTAATGGAAGGATTGTCCTGGTATTTACACAGCAATGCGCTCTCGTGCGAGCCAAACCATCAAGATAAAAAAAAAGAGGAAGAAAATCGAGAGGAAAACTGTGGAGAATAAGGAAACGATCCAAAGGAGCCAGCTCTTTCCCTCCGAATATTCATAACTGGGTGACACAACCTTTCATCACGGTCATGAAGGTGGCAGCCGATAGCGTGCCGGGGCGCCCGTTGCGTTGGGACGATCTAATCAGGGAGGGGGGGTCTAAAATATGTATAGGTGGAAGGTGAGATATGTGTGTGGCTTGATGTCCCAGAGAGCCTCCGGAAACAGAAAGGGGTGAAAGATGGGAAATTTCAGAATCACGGCCGAGTATCCGATGAGAATGTGGTCGTGGGTTTGTCTGGTTTGGGCAGATGCGACTGGATTGTTGAAGAAAAAAAGAAATGGTGTGTCGGGACCTGGAAGGTGGACCGGCTTGCGGTCACGCTTGTCACGCTTGTAAAAGAAAAGAATCGAATATGCGAGATGGGGTCGCGAAGGGATTATTCGTCGTCGGATTCTTCACCGACATCCATCCAGCCCCGCGACATCTCCACTGCCTTGGACCACTTCTTATACATCTTTTTGCTGGCCTTCGGGGTAATTTGGGGTTCGAAGGTGGCTCGATTCGCGCGGTTCATGTGCTTCAAATCGGAGAAGTCTTTCCACACATCGATGGCAAAGGCGGCGGCGATGGCAGCGCCTAGAGCGGTGGTTTCATGCATTGCGG